TATTATTATTATTATTATTATTATTATTATTATTATTATCATCATTATCAATACCAAATCAATTTTGATGAAGTGGCTGATCTTCGGACAAACCGGCCCTGTCTGTTCTTGTCAGCCGGCTGAAAAAGGGTTAAACATCGAATGGAAGGGATGCTTACGGTAGTAGTAGTAGTAGTAGTGGGAATCCTTTGCTGTAGCAGGATTCTGTACGTACGTTATTACTCGGAGAGACCGATATCGTTCTCGCCGCCAGTCGTCGTACATGTAGGTAGTAAGGTAGCTTCTAGCCAGCGCTAGCGCGCTACCGTATCTCCATTCCCTGCTCAGAGGCGGATAAGCTCTTCTCCTTCCCTATTCGCGCAAGCTTGTAATGAAGAGAACGCTTTCTTCCTCCTTCACACCTCAGCTGCCTTGCTTGTGTCTTCTTGATTCGTAGTTAGTGAGCCGCCTGCCACGCGACACCGTTTCGTTTCGTTTCTTTTCGGTTCATTCTCCACACCTCACTTTTCAGTTGGCAAGATGGTGTGGGATGCCGAGAAACAAGCTCACGGCGAGCCTGAAGAAGCAGCCATTGCTAGCGTTTCCATGGAGGAAGATGAAGAAGATGAAGGAAGAAGAAGAAGAAGAAGAAGAAGAAGAAGAAGAATCCCACAGCGGCCCTTGACAGCGGCGGAGAAACTCGCCGCGACGAGGGTGAATGTCGCTCCGAGAGACGGGAGCGCGAGTGATCAAGACCCCGAAAAGGGAAGAGAACCCGGCGACAGCGACGAAAGCGACGAAAGGGAAGAGCAGCAGGAGGAAGAGGGATCCGGCTTCTTCGCCTCCCTGCGCCGCTTCGAGCGCAAACTCGACAAAACCCTCGGCCTCGAATCCGAAGCGATCGATCGGAAACTGCCCCAAGACAGGCAACCCCAACCGTGGCATGCGCAGCTCAACATGGCGCTGCTCTGGGCTTCCGGGACCATGAATGTGTCGTGCTTCGCGACGGGATTCCTGGGCTGGGAATTCGGCCTCTCCCTCAAACAGTCCATCCTCTGCATCCTCTTCGCTTCCCTCCTGGGCGGCGCGGTGTCGGGCTTCTGCGCCACGCTCGGGCCCGCGACGGGCTTGCGGCAGATTTCCATCGGGCGGTATAGTTTTGGGTGGTGGCCGAATAAGATCATCGCGGCGCTGAATACGATTCAGCAGATTGGATGGAGCGCGGTGGGGTGTATTACGGGTGGATTGGCCATGACTGCGGTTTCCGGGGGTGGTGTTCCGATTGCGAGTGGCATCATCATCATTGCGTGCTGTTCGCTTGTGGTGAGTTGTCTGGGCTTGCGGGCGATTCTGGTCTACGAGAAGTATGCCTGGTTGATTTACTTTGTCATCTTCATGATCATCTTTGGAGAGACGGGACGCTATGCGGATAATACGACGCCGACGAGCCTGAAAGGAGCAGATCTGAGCGGGAATGTTTTGTCCTTGTTGGCGGTGGTGTATGGTTCTTCGGCGAGCTGGGCCACCGTCGCGAGTGACTATTACGTTCACTACGCTGTGAACGTGAACCGGACAAAGGTCTTCCTCATGACGACTCTTGGGATTGCCATTCCAACGAGCATCGGCATGCTAGCTGGCGCCGTGGTCTCCTCCGCGATGAACAACCGCGAAGACTGGAAAGAAGCATACGAAGACCAAGGACTGGGATATCTAATCAGGGATATGCTATACCCACTCGGCTTCGCCAAGTTCATTCTGATACTTCTGGTTCTTTCGGGAATCAATATGAACATTCTGAACGGGTATAGTGCGGCGATATCATGTCAGCAATTTTCGCGGCCCTTTGCAAAGATTCCGCGCTTCATCTGGACGATCGTCTGCTTCGGTGTCGTGATTGCTCTTGCGCTTGCGGGTCGCAATCACCTTCTGGCATATCTGCAGAACTTCCTGTCTCTGCTGGGATACTGGTGCACCAGCTACTTCGTCATCCTTTTCACGGAGCACTATCTGTTCAAAAAGAACAACTTCGCCAATTATGATCTCGAGGGCTGGAACGACCCGAAACGACTTCCTCTTGGTCTTGCTGCCTTGGCCGCATTCTGCCTGGGTGTCGTTGTGTGGGTGATGGGTATGGTCGAGACCTGGTATGTTGGTCCCATAGGACGACAGATCGGTAGCTCTGGCGGCGATGTCTCCAACGAGTTGACTCTGGTCGTGACAGCGATTGTGTACGTGCCTGCGAGATACCTGGAGCTGAAGTATGTCGGCAGATGATTGAGCGATGAGATACGAGCACCATTCGGTTCCATTTTCATTCCCAGCTTCCGTGCCTCTTTCTTACTCATCGCAGCCTGGTCGCTCATCCAAGCAATCTGGAGCGCTCTGTGATCTCTTCCTGTTCGCTGTGCTTATTCAAATCCGGCCTTGCGAACTGTCTGTACAGCCATTTCGGCCAGGTATCCCGCACCCATTGCTTCTCATGTCGCGTGCCGTCTCCTTTCATCTCGAGCTCAGTTCCTGTGACCTGTCCCGTACCCAGGAAAGGATTAATGCGGCTAACAGCCAGCCCTAGCCCGCAGAGGACAGCCAGACCGACGATAGTCGCGATCACGGTGATGACGACGCTCAGTAATGTGGTAGTCGAACATGCGCATCCGAGTGCGCCTGTTCGCAATTCCCATCTCTCGGACCACAGAGGACAGATGGCTGCGTTGGAGATGGGTTCCAAGAGGTTCTTCGCGGGGACGCAGCTCTGGCTGACGGCGCACCATCCACAGCCGTGAGGTGAGTAGATGCAGTCGCCGCATTCCTGATATCGCCAGCACGCGGCGAAGCGATCGCCGTCCGACGAGGTGCTGTTGGAAATCATGGTATTCGGAGGTGCGGGTGATGTTGTTGATGTTTGTTTCGAGGCAGTCAACTCCAACTTCCCTGGCAAGACCTCGACGTCACCGACGTCCAAGCTCCCGAGCTGTCTGTCTTGGGGTCCCTGCAGCAAAAAAGCTCGGGCAGCGGAAAAGTTTCACAACCAACGGACAACTTTTCTTCCCCCAAATACATTTCGATTGAACATCTCTACGCATCCATTGGTTCGTATAGACAATATGGCGGAAGAAGGTGCAGTTTCGCAAGTCTCCTATGAGGATCTCGCCCAGGTGAGGAGCATGGAAGGACCTTCGCGATTAGACGAGAAACTGACCATGTGCGCCAGATCGAAGATGAATTCGAAGAGATTGATCTCGAAGTCAGTAAGTCGCAAACCATTCCCCTACCAATGCCATCCTTCCATAGCATGTCCTGATGATACTCCTCCAAGTCCGCCACCACTACGAACTCTCCAAACCCGCCTTTGCCAAACGCGCCGAAGCCATCGCCAAGATCCCCAATTTCTGGCCCCTCGTCTTCGAACAGGCACCCCCGGAGATAGACCAGTTCATCCAACCCAGCGACTCCCGCATCTTCGCCGAATCCCTTCTCAATCTCTCCGTGACCCGCCCCGAATTGCCCTCGGGCCACCCGCGCAGCCTCAGCATCCGCTTCGAATTCAAACCCAACGACTTCTTCGAAGAGACCGTGCTCGAGAAGCACTTCTCCTATCGTCGCGCCAAAGACGGCTGGGCGGGTCTGGTATCCGAGCCGGTGAAGATCACGTGGAAGAAGGGGCAGGATTTGACGGAAGGGCTGGTGGAGGATGCGAGGAAATTGTTCGAGGCGAGGAAGGGGAAGGGGGACATGCTCGCGAGGGATCTGCCCGAGTATCAGAGACTGAAGAAGCAGGTGGAGCATTTGAACGGTGCGGGGACGAGTTTCTTCACGTGGTTTGGGTTTGTGAGTGGGAGGAGATGGGTGAGTGCGGAGGAGAGTGAGGAGGCGAATCGGGAACATCAGCAGAAGAAGCAGAAGGAAGAAGGGAAGGCGAAGAAGCAAGATGAGAAAGAAGATGAAGACGGAGAAGCAGAAGAAGAAGATGATGATGATGACAAGGAAGACGACTCGGACGTTGAGGTGCACGAAGCGGGCGAGGAACTTGCTACTTTCCTCGCCGAGGATCTCTGGCCCAACGCGATCAAGTTCTTCACGAGCGTACGTATCCCTCTATCGCTAGAAAGTGCACTCGACCCCAAAGCTAATCTTCCCGAACAGGCCCAAGAAATCGAAGAGATGTCCGACATTGATTTCGAAGAAATGGACGAAGACGAGGGGGAGGAGGAGGACGACGACGACAACGAACCCGTTGACATCCGCGCACTGGTCTCGGAGAAAGGCGGTAGGAAGCGCGACAGCGACGTCGGTCCTCCCAAGAAGAAAGCGAAGAAATGAACGACGCGAGCCGGAAGGAATGTGTGTGAAAAAGTCGGTTGGATGAAAGCTGCCCCCTAATAAGAGCCCATCTTTTTTTTTTTAAAAAAAAAAAAAAAATCAGGGCGTTTTTATTATCAGATTCGGGATCTCCCCCCCACCTCAGTATCCCTAAATTCTAAAACAAAAGACATTCGGCCCGTGTAGATCCGATCTTTTGCGGGTCCCACTCTTTCTTCTACAGTAGGTACTGTGGTACCGACGTCTTGGATGCTGGGTCCGGCCATGCTGCGCCAAGCCGGGCAAATAATGGTTACATGTAGTCGTGCACACGTGTGTGTGTGTGAAAGTGGAAGGTGTGACTGAAACGTTTTTGCTTATCTCGCTGCGTCGCACTTTCCTTCCTATCACACTACTAACTACATCTCGACCATCTCAACAACGGGGCGGCGGGTGCAGGTGCAGGTGCAGATGCCGCACACACACACGTGGTGTTGTTTCCGTGGTTGGTTGGTGAGATGGGATGCATCCAATTCATTCGTACCTTCCATTATATCGGGCCGGCTGAACCGGTCTGACTGATAGGTGTGGGAGGGAGTGAGATTGTGTAGGTAGGTAGATGTAGGCATCAAAGGCATCATCAGTGCTGCCGGAATCGGGATCCAAGCTGCGGAGGGGATGGATAGAGATCATCCCGAGAAGCTGAATCTCACTATTACGTCCCATGACATGATAAGCAAAAGGTCGGAACACAGCTGACGGCGCATCTGACCGAAAGCACGCCATTTCTCGGGACGTGTACTGTCTGATAGTAGTCGCACGAAACAAGACCAGACCAGACCGGAATCTTGTCGTACTGTTGTATCTTTTGCTCTGCTGTGGTACTCATTGAAACAGAAAAACGCCCGTGCGATTCTTTCCCTCCCGTTCCCTCCCTCCCTCCCTCCCATTCTTTGGTACTCGTGCAAGACAACTCCCCCGCGATACTTTTTCTTTCTGGTCTAAGCCATGCTAAGCTATGATATTGCACGCGTCTAGCAGCTGCCGACGAAGAAGTCTTCCTCGTATCCTTCGGGATGTGATTTTGCGGTGTAGGCGCCAGAGATGTGTAGTGGAGTCGCGTAGCCCGGCGTTGCCGGGGTCATAGGCCGTGATCGCGACGAGATTTCAAACTTCATGGGTTCGTGATCATGCACATCGCTTGGCGTCCTCTGTCCGGGGGACAAGCCATCTTCGTCCATCCAACGCAGTCCATTCGCGTATTCTTCGATTGGAAAGACCTCGCGTGCATACTCTTCCAGCCCCCGATAACCTTCCCATATGCCACGACCTTCGTTGGGGTATTCTAGGTGGGGTCCGAAGTAAGGTGCTCGCTTCTGGCCTAGTGTCTCTTGTAAGATCTCCAGGTGTTCTCGATATCCGCTCGGGGTAGAGACTGCAATCTGTATGGGACCCCGAATGTAGCGAACCGGTCTCCCGACGCCGCGGGAGAACTTGGCGCAGGCTTGTTTTGGCGTCAACTTCTCGAATGCCACCGTCACTCTAGGTGCCGTGTTAGCAACGTGTCCCGCCTGCTTAGCGGTATGACGTGCTCACCTTTGACCTTTCCAGTGATGTGGACCCATCTTGAAGATCTGTAGCAGGGCAGGCCCGACGTCATGTTCCGCATCGAGCCACGGTAATGGGTCATCGGGATGGAAGGGCGCTTGCCAGATGAAACTACCGTCGTCCTGTAGTTCCATCTGGAACAGGGGATATGGTAAAGAGGTGAAGTTGTTGTTGTAGATGCCGGTGTAGATGAAGGTAGCCGGGATTCCGATCTGCCGAACGTAGTTCTCGATGGCGAACTTGGTTTCCCACATGGGCAAGGCTCTCCAGTCCGGGTTGAAGATGGAGTGGTCGGGCATGCTCGAGTAGACATAGTGCACTATGCCGGCCTTCTGAGCGGCGTCGACACATGCCTTGCCAATGGCGACTTCATCCCCCCAATGGGTGGTGTTGATGAAGGCGATCTTGGCGCCGCTGAAGAGCCGAGTGAGGAGTCGCGAGCGGTCGGGGCCCGTGAGGTCGCCTTCGATCAGCTCGACGTTGTCGAGGCCATCGAGCTCCTCGGCAACGAGTCCCTCGTTGTTGCGAATCTGCGCGCGCACCTGCCAGCCGACAGCGGAAGCCGCGCGAATGAAGGAAGCAGCCTGTCGTCCGGTGGAATTAATTGTAGCAACGACCTTGGGTGGCATCACAAGAGGCGCCGCATATGGACAGCAACGGGGACCTGGTTCAGGCGACAGGCGGAGGGGAAGGGGTTTTCCTGGTCAGCAGGAGTGGTCCCGAGACCAGCAGGAGGAAGGAAGAAAATAATTTGCTAGGCCAGCAGGCGGAGCGGTGTGGGGTAGTGCGGAAGATCAATGGTGAAGGCTCGAGCCGGAGCGGTGGTAGTCCGGTAGAGGTGAATGTTTAAAGTTACCTTACGGGTTCGGGTCCGGTGATGATGTGTTTAAATGGTCGGAGTGAGGGTGGATAGCAGGTGCAGGTCCAAGCGCAGGTACGGGCATGGGCGGTACTAGTAGTAGGGTTGCAGTAGCCAGACGGGGCGCTGCACAGGTGGGGAGAGGGAGGGCAGTGCAGTTGGAGAGTTGTGCGAGATGGTTAGCAGTGTAAGCTCGGACGCGTAGGGTAAGAGAGATATGTGTGAGATGGTGAGGAAGTCGGAGGAGGAGGAGGGAAGAGATGGGGGAGGGAGAGCTGGCGGCGAGAAGTAGGGTAAGGTAGCGAAGAAGGTGCGGCACGAGGAGCAGACCCATGCTCCCGGCGGCGCAAGTGGAAGCGATGGAAGAATGATGGAATGGGGTGAAAACTGGATGATAGTAGATGTAAGGTAGCGAGGTCAGGGCCGATGACGAGGTTGAGACAGGACATGACGCCAGGGCGATGGCGAGTGGACAGCAATGGGAGAGGGCGGGAGTGTACGTTTCAGCGGAATCATGTTGGGTGCGGGTAGGTACAGACCGTTGGTGTTTCCCAGTAAATTTTAGGTAATGGGCGAGGAGGCTCTGTGTGCCCTCTCACCTCCTCTTCTCTTCTATGGCAGCAGTGGCAGTGGCAGTGGCAGTGGCACGAGCATGCAATTGCTGAGGTATGGCGCCGTCAGCAGGTGGGCGTGCTCGTTTGGCAAGCGCCGCCGCCTGATGATGAGGCTCGCTCTCGCCTTGACCGGGGATGCGATACAGAATGGGGGCAAGGGCGAAGCGATGGACGGACAGCAGCAGCAGCAGCAGCAGAGGTCGTGTCCGTGTGCGTGCGAGGGGAACGTGTGAGGTTGGACGGCGACGACATCCTTCGCTAACCGTAGCCGGCGCTGTCTTCTCCGCATCCGCGCACAGGCTGCATGCCCACACCCAACACTCTCCAGCACCATCTTCCACCTCCACACCCAACCGCTGCGATATATATATATATATATATATATATTCGTCTTTGCCTTCGCTTCATCTTCGTCCGACACCTTGCCGTCAACGCCTTCGTCGGACATATTCGTCGGACATGTTGCTCCAATCATCTCAGGGGTGATATAAAACATGCGCAGGCCAGGCTCGGCCAGGCGAGTCATCTTCGTATAGCGGTACAGTCAGAACATGGAGAAGATTGAGTTGGGCGGGGACTTTGGCCCGCGGCGCAGCAAGTCAGGTGACCCTCCACCGACGACCGATCAGGAAGCTGCCACTTCACACACACACTCTCTCTCTGTTTCCCTCTCACCTGACCGTCGACACCAACTACTGACTCCTGCTACCTCCTCCTCCGCCTTGCGCCTCTCACCAAGCTTTGCATCTCGCCGCCTTCCTTCCACGCCCTTCTCCGACCAAGCCACACCGGCTGACTCCTCTCATCGAGGTCCATGTGATGTGCGGGCTCAACACGAATCGACCTGCAGGCAATTACCTAACCTCTTCCACTCTCCCGCCAATGGCTGCAAGCCGCGCCGAAGACATCCCCAATTGACGGTCCGACAATCGCTTCGGTCTTTCCGCCGACACCCTCATCACCTCCTTCCTCCTCTTGCGCGGACCGATTTCATGCGAAGCGCGCACCGTCGACGGATTCGTGCTTTTGCCACTCCACTTGTCCACTGTCCACCCTCACGCATCCCCCCGCTTTCTCTCGCTCCCCTTGCCCGTGTTGACGTCCGTCTCGCTGCCTGCGAACTGCTCCTGCACCTCCCCTTCATCAGACTCTGTACCATCTCCCTAGCGCCCCGATGCGTCGGGGCGAATTTCAATACATGTAACGCTCACCATTACTCCTCATCGACCGCCGATAGACGTCACTTCTCTTTGGAGTATCCAGAAAAGGCCTCCCGCACTGGCTCTTTACGTTCCTGATGAATCGTCCGGATCTACAATCGTCGAGCACATCCTGCCACACCAATCGGCTCTCGACCTCGATTTCGTCTATGTGCAGACGCGGCAGCCCGATGCTTGACTCACATGCCGGCGGTGAAGCGACAGGCGCTCTGCTCATGCACCGCCAGTTCTGATAGTTTAGAACCACCGTTACAATGCTCCGGTCTCTTCCGGACGTCGCGCATCGCAAATTTCAACATACCACGGCAATGGCTATCGAGAGGTCCCAGCGACGCCGGCCACAATTCGGCACATGGAGCTGCCACGCCATCGAATGCACATAAATCAATTAAGTCCTGGTCTTGGTGGATCTGATGGTCAAATCTTTGCAGGGACAATTCACTCGCACGTCGCCATCAGACCTTGATCTCGACAAGTTCTCCCGACATGTGAGACCAATGACGAACAAAATGGGGCTGGACCATTTCAATTCGGTATGCCATCCGACGAGTTTGGCAATGGCCTCTCTGTTTGAAGCTCGGCTGCGCACAGCAACGAGTGGAACGAGCACGGCGACTCCCGGGGTGAACATGTATCCAGGATTTCCAAACACGTGCGTGGCACGGTGTCACTCATCCTGGCGTGAACGCAGCTTAAACGACGCTCGCGCTGTTCGTGCGGCCGTATGAAATTTTCTTCGGGGTCTCTTAGCCGTCTACTGACTCGGCAATGGCGCAAGTCTTCGCGACTGGGAGCATCTCACTTTCACATCGTCACTTCTTCCCTCAATCTAGCAATACAATCCTCCCACTACCAACGAGAGCTGGTAAGATCGAGCTCCATCTTGTTCCCGACCGACGCTTGCAATAAGAAGCACCATTCTCCCGGGCTAGAAGACCATGGAAAGATTCACTTCTTTCGTCTCAGCTAATTTACCAGCTCTTAAGATATCGGATCAGGTCCAGGAATGATATCTACTCAACTTATCCTTCGAATGACAGAAGCGTCTTACGAACGCGCGTAGAAGGACAATCCTTCTTTGCGTATGAAGAGCTTTGCAATCGGAGAACACACCGTGTCCTTCGCGGACATGCTCAATCAGGGGCCTAGGCTTCACAGCTCGTGCATCGATCTCGTCGTGGACGACCTCCAGAAGCTGGGCGCCAGGATGGGCAGGAGACGCAGCTCACGGTTCGAGCAGTTTCCGATCATGCCTGTCCCTTGAACAAGGACGCCCATCGTCGACGCCTGGAATGCTTTTCTTTCAGAAATTTGCTGTCACGTTTTATTCGCCTCATCTGCTCTCGTTGCCTTGGAGAGATGCAGGCTGGCCAACATCGCAACGATACTAGCACAACGGTCCTGCTTCGACGACTGTCAAACATGCTCGCTGCGGCGCGCGGAAAAGTGGGACCTACTTCCTTGATGAGAAAGCCAATGCCCGATCCCAAATCATTGCATCGAGACGTGGTACGAAGACATCTTTGACATCATAATGGCGAGAGGTGCAGCGACGCCGGCTGTCGCGAGAAGAGCTGAAGTACAAACATAATGGATCCGAGAGCGAGATTCAGGGCTGCATCAGCCTGCGCTGTACCTATTGTTATTAAGCATCATGAATCACCCAAATGCGGGCTGCTGCATAGGGTGCTGGATAGTACTGGATGGTACTATGTCTCCTAATCCGGTTTATTAGCTTAGTATGTCTATATAATATATCGCTACATTCCTATAGCTTAGATAGAAAGGAATTATCGACCTTAATATATAACAGTCTCCGTACCGTTCTAATACCTATCTATCTATCGTTCTCTATAGAGTCTAATAGCTTAGCTCTACTCTCGAGCTACTACGGGCTACTCCCTTCTTATAGGTAGGATACGTAGATAAGTAGCTCTCGTTTCGTACGGTAGGCTACGGTACGATTCGATTCGATCTATTACTTTAGTACCTATAATACGCGTATCTAGAGAGCGAGGTATTTAGTACAAATAGTTCCTAAGATCTTTTTATACGGATTAGCCGCGAGAGTAATAAGTATAAGTATAGGTAGAGAGATAGAAAATTAGCCTCGAACGTCCTTACGTAGTAAGTGTCTCAGAAAAGTTCTATATCTTTAAGGTATTTAGGGGCGAGACGAAACGTAGAAAAAAAAGTTAACGGCTAAGAAAGACCGCTTCAAGTCTTTTTTCCTAATACGAATATAAAATGATTTTCTTAATCGCTCTTTTTCTCGCCTACTTGCTTCCTTCTCTCTAAACGTCTAAGCAGTTTTAAACTTTTATCGAGGACTCGAAGGGAAAGCGGCATAAATCGTAATACTAATATTTAATTTACTATTATCGAAAGCGGCAACTTACGCAATCTACCTAAGGATAAAACTAGGGTAATCCCGCGTGTTTCTTTGTTTTTTTGGGACTGTACGGTAGTAAGAAATTTACGATACCGCCTAGATTAATTCCAAGCGGTGTTCTTGTCTTTGTCTTGTCTTGTCTTTTTCATCGAAACGATGCCAAAACAAAGGAGGAGCAAAAGTTTAGCCAGCTCTTGCACGGTCTGTCGAACGTACTCAAGGTACATGTATGTACATAGCCGGAGGATAACAGGGAAAATATATAGGTAAGTTGAAATAGAGTCTTCATAGAAGAATAGATAGTCAGTCATAACCTAACACATCACCACCTTATGCAGCAGAAATTCTTGGAAGGCTCCCAAAAGGGGGAAGAAGATGCGCAGGTACGTACCGCAGGAGGGAAGTGGCAAATTCGTGCAAGTAGGGGAAATGGTGTAGACGATGATAAAGAGGTGATGATTCAACTCATGACGGGAACCTCCATGAGATCATTTTCTGCGACATGAGGGATAAACCATAAGTTCAGTGCGCGGGCCATACATGTGCTGCGAACTCCCAAGTGCCATCACCGAGAATGAGGGAGAAGAGCTGAGCTGAGCGTCTTGTGGTCATTGGCATCAAGCACATCAGACATGAACTGCCCAGAAACAAAGGCATGCCAGTATTCGCTCAGGTCCGCAACAAGCTTTGAATGGCTATGGAGCTCAGGTTGCCGAGGCATCAGTACCGATAAGACGAGAGTTCTGTATGTGGAAAATCTGAAAGGTTTAAAGGGGTGACCACATTGGAATCCATGGAAAAGAACTTCGCATCAGTTCGCGACGGCATCAACGTTTCTACTCAGGATTAGCTAGTAATAGGATAATGCTTGGCTTATACAGTGAAGCCTGTTGTCTCAAGATCATACACAGCCGACTGCAGCCAGATCGCCTGCTGTGGTGGTACACTTCCCTTCTCGTAAGTGCCAGAGTCGAGTAGTACCGTGAAGTTCAGCTTGCGATGCGATCGCGAGACCTGCAACAATATCCTTCATAGCTTCTCACTCCTGAGTCTCTTCTCAGCGGGCGCCGACGCGGAAGGAACTACGTCCGGAGAACCGGTCTTCCGCCACCACGAACGCAGTTCTGCTGCATGAGCTCGCTCTTCGTCCCCTAGCTCGACAGGCGGGCCCTTCACTTCCTCCTTCATGCCCGAAAAGCTGACAGCGCGCTTCCTACGAGCCCAAGCGGGTCTCGCACTGTCATCATCGGCCTCGGGATCTGCGTAACGCCATACGCACCACGCGGAGCCTTCGGATGAGAATAGGTATGTCTGTCGCTTGCGAGACTTGACGGTAAAGGCGCGAAGGAGGATCACGTCCCCAACTCGTGCGAACGGCAGATTCGCGAGCCATGGACGGTAGATTTCCACCCTGATTGACTCGTCCTTCTCCAGGCTGGGATCCGTGACGTGAAGAATGGTGTAATGGTCGCGCTGGCCGCCTTTGGCACGCTCAGGCTCTTTGGTCTCGTCTGCTACAACTGCAAGCACATCGACGTATTCAGAAGAATTCAGCTTCTCATCGAGATTAGAAAGCGGCATAAAATAAGCCAGGTCGGTCCTGATGCCGTGGCTCCTCCTGTGCCTGCGTATCGCCGTCCGTTCCGGCTCACCGAGTTCTGCTTCGACCACTGTCTCTTCATGTTGCGCCCGTGAAGATCGCTTAGGAGAAAACCAACTCGAGATCACTTCTGGAACAGTTCCAAGTCGAAATGACTTTCGAGTAGACTTCTTCGCGGATAATTCAGTTGAGTCATCAGCCATCTCTGCGTCCTTTGATGGCTCAGTCTGCACGTTCTTGGCGGCTTCTGGACTGGCTATGGTAGCAGTGGCCTCACTTTCAGTCCTTGTCTTCCTTGGCGAACGTCGCACTGGTGTCTTCCTCTCAGGATTGAGCAAAGTTCGATCGATCTTGGGTTCAGGGGTTGCCGCCTCGGTTGCCTGCCGCGTTCGCGGAGCCTGCGAGCTTTGCTCAACCTCTCCAGAGGTCTCTGTCTTAGCTCGCGACTTCTCAGGCGATTTACGAGCCGAAATCTTTCTCTCAGGGTCGAGCCCAGTTTCGTCTGGAATAGTGCCTTGACTCCGCGTATGAGGTGGTGTCGACGCCTCGTCGACAGGATGGGGCTCCTGTGACTCTTGGGTTTCCTTCCGACGCGATCGCCTCACTGGCGTACTTGCTAGGTGGCTCTGCTGATTGACCTCATTTGCCGTGTCTCGATTCCTGCGTGAGCGTCTCGGTGTAGTAGCCGCCACTGCTGGGGCCTGTTCCTCGACTGAGTCAATGACGGCTTTCAATTCACTTTCCGTCAGCGAGTCGCCCTGGGTGCGCCGAGGAGTTGGAGGCAGAGCGTTGCGTGGCTGCGACTGGGTTTCGAATGGTTGAGACTCCAGTCGGTGTTGCGACGATTCTGGGCTTAGAGGCATGGACGAGTACGCGGATTGCACGTGAGAAGTCAGTTGAGGCCGTCGTGATGGCTGGGTATCCCGCAATTCCGGCACGTCCACTTCGACAACGGTCTCAGGTTTCGCGGCCTTGACATTGGCCGCACCGTCCGTGAAGCCAGTTGTGACTGAATGTTGTGTCTCCTTAGGATGAGTGGCAGCGCTGTCACCAGGGCTTGAAGCGATAGCGATATCCTCAGAACGTTGCGCGAACTGAGAAAAGGAGCCTGTAGCAGACATCTCGACCTCACTCTGACCCATGTCAACTTCAGGTCGTTCAAGATCGTAAGCGGCTTGTTGCAAAGCTCGACTCTCCTCGGCATCCTCTGAATCTTTTGGACCTGGAGACGATGCCAATACTTGTCCAGCACGTGTCTGCGTCGCAGCGGCGACAGCGGGCTCTACTGTTTGGTGCGAAATACCCCTGCCTTCCTGCCGAGACGGAGATACAGAAGGCCGGTCAACTTGTGCAGCAGCCTCTTGCTCCTCTTCATCCCTTGAAAACGAGGCGGCGGCAGTTGGCGGCAATTCATGCTCACTGTTGTCCGTGGCTACAGATGTCGCACTCTGGAACGAGAAGTAATGGTGGTCTCCAATTGTGTTATTCGTCTGCCGTGTCAAGGGTATACCTGGCACCTCAGCAAGCTCCTGTTGGGTTTGGAGTTGTTCAGTAAAGAAGCTCTGTTGCCCTGGGCCCACCCAAGGGAGAGACTCATCAGGTACTGTCTCTGGAATCGTGTAATCCTCGTCATGCGCAATTGGTGTCATGACTTCAGAACGGTCGACAGTAGTCTGCGTCGTGTCCATCATGTCAGACTGCAAAGCACTTCCTTGCGAAGTCAGGGCCTCCGTAGATTGTCGTGGCTGCGCAAACTGTGAAAAGTCTGAGTGGCCCGCAAAATCCTCTTGCTGATTTTCGAGACCAGATCGAGTGGTAGCGGGCCCCTCCACGGCTCCTTGAGGCTGTTGAATCTGCTCAACTTCGTCTCGTTCATCGTCGCTTGAGCCAAGATCGATGACTTCGACCCTTTGTGACGATAATGGAGCACTGCTGCGAGGAGGTTCAGCGCCGTGGCGTGGCTGTTCAGGTGCAATGGCCGCACCCAGATCTTTGTTTACTGTAACACCATCAGGGACGGGATCAGCGGCATGAAGAGGATCGTCTGAGCCTGGCGCCTCTTCCATTTGGACATCTGCACCATACTCGACTGACAAGTTTTGCTCTCCAGTCTGATACGCATCGTCCTTTTTTCCTGACATTGCGATCGCGTCTTGCCGAATCGCATGCAGGAGGGAACCGTCCTGAATATCGGCAACGTCAAAAGTACTACCCGTGGCCGCGGTCGCATCGGCGGCTTCCTGCTGTCCATCATTATCATCTTGCGGATCTCGACCAGCAGGACTTGCGCTGGAACCCTCGCGTGCCGATGCATCGTCTGTGATGTTATGTGATGGGGCGCTGCCCGTTGGAGTCTCCACAACCTTTGTCTGCTCTCCAGAAGTCTCCATCTGAGCGACAGATGCGGCTTGCATCCTCTCCCGCGCTATCTGTGAGAGAGAAGACGCTGACGGAATGTCGGTGGACGCTGGTGTAGGCGTCTCAACTGATGGCATCTGCCCAGGTTGCTCGGGAGAAGGCGAAGGCTTGAAACCAAAGAGACTGCTGTACGTTTTGGCCATGATTCTGTCCTTGTCTGAACGTGGCGTTGACTTCAGCAGTGATGCGTCTGAGGTACCGTCAAAGCCGAAGAGACCGGCGGGAGGGCCTGAAAATCTGGCAGGTGTTTTGGGCGGTGGCAGAATGGATTGCTTCGTCGCGGCGCTGCTCACGGCTTCATCGGCGTCTTTACTGCCCATACCTCCTTCCTTCGGCCACTGCGCGGCAAATTGCTCCGGCACCATCTTCGCTCCGGTTTGAACGGCTTGGCTGGCGTGGCTTTCATTGTCGATGGGTTCAATAATCTCCTGAGGCTCTGCCTCTAGGCTCGAAGCCGCTAGCTGCGAGCGCTCGATCGCCATCTCCTCTGATTTTGCACTCTCTTCACCATTCGCAACGCCCTCATCACCTGTTTCGTCACCCGAGTCTACTATTTCAAAAGCTTCGACGACTTCTGCCTCTGCCCGATCCTCTTCTTGATCTGAATCGTCATCGTCGTCCGCTGGTGGCTCTCCCATGTCCTCCACGATCTCCTCTACGTCGTCTTCGTTGATTTCTGACAAGTCGTCATCGTAGCCTTCTTCTTGGTGATCAACGCGGACTCGTCCTTCTTCATCATGCATTGGAAACCTTCGTCTCATGTGCTCGTAATACATTTCTTCGTCCTCTTCGGTATCGGAGCCCATTGCATCAGCCTGTTCCTGAGTGAGATGTTCGCTGTAGTGGCCATCGACATCCTGTGCTCTAATGATACGTTCTCGCCGCACGACTTCCACGTGCTCTTCTAATTCTTCTCTGACGGCTTCCGTAGTAGATGCAAGGCTTTCCGTGAGCGGTGTCGCTGCCCGTCGTTGCCTTTGCATCGTGGCTGTCATTGTAGTGTGATCGTTTTCTGTAATCGAAGACATGGCGTCGCTCTGTGACGAGACCATTGGCGCGTGACCGCTCCGCTCTATTACCTCTGCATCTCTGCCACTGACAGGAACTTCAACAAAGTTCTCAGAGGTTTCTTCAACTTCAAGAGTCGAGGCCGGAGCTCTGCGGCTCGTCTCCGTGACATGATACTGCGATTGTGTAGGTTCCACCGGAAACGGCGACGGTAAAGGTAGCGCCGAAGAGGGTATCGGCTGCAACTTCGGGGTATACGGGCCTTCGCCATCACTTGTCGTTTGATGAGCTTGTACCTGCGACTCGTTTGGCATTTGCAGACGTGCTAGAGAAGGCGGAGGCATGCCACCTTGAGGTTGAGCCTCGTTGGTAGTTGGGGATGTATGCGGCCTTGAGGGCGATGTAGCTGGGCCGATTGCAATAGCTTGCGCTGTTCCATTCAGACGCGAGTCCAAATCGGCGGCAACTCCATCCTCAACCTCAGATGGAATCTTCTCAGGGCTTGGCGTCCTCTCCGCAACCTTCCAGCTCGCGACATTGCCAAAAGAGATTCTCTGCTTCTTTCTGGGCTGCTCTTCGAGTTCAAGCTCGGCGTCCGCAAAGAGATCCCAGGAAAACTTCTCGCCGGACAATCTCGATCTCTTCACGAACGCCGGGCTCGAGTAGATAGGAACTACATCCACTCCATTTATGCTGCTGCTGCGCATATACAACGGCACCGCGCGGACGGGTGTCCCAAAAGCTTGTCCACTCTGTCGACCACGATTTTCGTCGTGTTCTGGCTCTTCAGGCGGAGGCGTACCCTCATGGACCGCAATCGTGGTATCTACCTCTTCGCCGTTTGCCTTCTTGACCACCTTCACCCCCAACTCGCCTGTATACACAAGCTCGCCGTCAACACTCTTGCCCGGAGTCACCACTGTTCCTGTCTCTCCAGCCCAGGACGCGCCTCTGAGTTCCAAAATGAGCTCATCACCAATACCAATTTTGGCTTTGGCGACAGCACCAGCGCTTGGTCCCGTGAATCGCACGCGTACTTGTCCCTTCCTACTTCTGAGGCGGAAGTCTGGGTCTGCAAGAAGAAGTGCACATTGCTTCGTGGAGGAGCTGTACGGCCAGAAAAGCGAGACGACGGCGCGAATAGCCCTGTCCTTCAGCGGAGACTCTCCAGGCGAGAGCGCGGTGATGGATATCGTCTGCATTGTCTTCACGTCATATGGATCGTACAATCATGGTCGATAGGATCTCGAACAGTGTCGACAGCGGGCGCACAATGTGTTGCAACGCAAGGCGGGAACCGCTGGGCGTGAAGTCGTGATGTGATGTGAGGTCGCTCGGAGCTCGGGGAAGCTCTGGAGGTTCACGACGCGGGCAACGGGAGGATCCGCGTTGCAAAGCTGAAGGGAGGAAGGGACGGGGACATACGGCACCGATAAATGCTGATCGCGCGTTGAAAGTTCTCCAACAATCCACGTACTCCATTAGTCTGTTCTATCCTTACTACTTGATCTCGCAGTGTGTCCATTTATCTGCAGACCTTCTCGCTCCGACGCGATCTCGTGAACTTTCGTGTCCATGCCCACCCAAAACTTCCTTCCTCGCCATTCGACCTTCGTGCCACCATACACAGCCCACAGCCAGATCGGAAGCGCAAGTGTTTCTCGGCCAAGCCAGGAGAGAAGCCACTCGCCAAACGGTCGCCTCCTGTTGTTCTTAGGTGGTCTCGCAAAGAAAGGTGTGTTGTCGTCAAAATCTATGGATGCAGCCGAATGTAGCTTCAGGTATAGCGTCCAGTCCATCGCACACCAGATCGAGACGCTGAGCAACCAGAAGAGTGCAAAAGCTCTCCAGGTCTGAGGCACTCCAAAAGTGTCATGGAAAAAAGGTAGCGTAGTAGCGGAAAAAGCTCCGTAGCAAGAGCAGAAGAAAGGCTCGATGCCCGGCTCTACGAATGTTGCTAGAGTGACGCTGAATTTGCGCACTCTCAGCCATCGAGCTCGTCGGTTCCAGTATTCGCCCACGCTCATGTTCGCCATCGGTTGAATGGCGAGATCTCCAAAGCAAAGAGCATGCTTGCCCATTTTCTCGCCATTCCGCTCCTCTGGCACCTTCTTCCTCCAGAGTAAATCACCAATGAGGTGGTCCTCGCAGATGTTCTCGCTGAAGTAATCGATTCCGAGGTTGTCAGTGAGGCTGTTGAGATGGCTTCGCCGAAACATTGTGCTTTTGCCGACGACACAAGGAGCGGCCAAAACAGTCTGAAACGCCGTATAAAACTTCGCATGCGACGAGGCCATAAAGCACTCTTCCAGCCTTCCTCCACCAATAGAATAGGCGGTTCGCTCGGAATGATGCTGCAACGTAGCACTGGCCGAGCTGGTGGTTCGAATCTGGGCATCTGCATCTGTGTGGTCGTTTAACAGCCCTCTCGATTCTTCACCAGCTGTAGACCCAACAATGTCCACTACAAGCGGAAGGTGATGGACGAATTTGTTCCTGCGCTTCTCTCCGTAGCCCTCTAATTTGCCGACCATGCGTCCAAGCACACCTTTTGCCACCCAAACATTGCAGTCGATTATCCAAACGAGATCACCGACGGCCTCTCGGTATGCCCGACTCATGTTCCGGATCTTTGGATTCGGCCCTAACTTGATGTCTCCATCTTGAAGCGCATCATCCTCCTCTTCAAGCAAAAGCTGGGCATCGTACTCCTTGAACTCGTCGACCAGCTGCTTCACCACTTTGTAAGAAGGATCTTTCCTGTCGGCGATGCAGAAGCGGACGTGGAGCTTCTTCTGTGGGTATTCTTGTCGGAAAGTTGATGCTAGGCAGTCGTATAGACGAGGCTCTAGCCCTTTGACTGGTCGTATGATGGTGATGTGAGGCGTCTCATCGTCCTTCAATCTTGCTCTAGGTTTCGGGGAAGAGCAGTGCCTCCATAGTTGTATGTACCCAATGCTGCAGATGACAGCAATCGTAATGTACCAGAACAAGCTTGCTCCAGCCGCTGCCAGCGTCACCGCAGAGTGCGCGTCGCCTGCTTGGTATGCATTCGTGTCTTCGAACGCATTTGTAGGCGGCATGAAGAGGACATGTCAGTTTCGGAATCGACTTGAGGTGAAGTTCGTGGTGAAATGTCAAAAATGTGCAGGGTTGGTCGGATTTACTAATCGCCGACTCCAGTCGCGTCACCCCAGGAAAGACGTAAACATTGGCTTCGATCCCACCTTGTCGCAAACATTCATACCGCACTTTCAATTCTGTTCGCCACGCGTTTTTTGCATAGGAGCTTGGAGTTACATGGCAGCAATCGCATAAGGAGAAGAGGGTACCGAAAAGATATGCAGTCGAGTCCGCCGACACGCGCCTTGGAGCGCCCATCTTCACGCGCTGAGTCGGAATATTCGCTCGATCTGGATGCATTGGACCTCGAGACTCAGTCGGATATTGATATCCCCAAGCAGAAAGTGGATCGCATCTTCTCGGAGGACATTGATGGACCCAGCGACTTTACTCAGAACATGGAAATGTGGATGCGAGGGGGACCGGCCTCGAGGAAGAGTACACTTAAAGGATTGAAGCAATCCACCACTCCAATTCAGGAAGTCCTCGAGAAGGAGAAACAAGCAGTCAAACAACAAGAACATCTTCAAGTCCCGACTCAGCATATAGGCAGCCCTGAGCATGAGCACACCGGAAGCCACCACACCCCAGACAACAGCCCGCCAAATGTGCCGGCACATCACCAAACGGAGACTATCGAGGAGACAGAAGATGAGGACTCTGTACATGATCACACGGGCTATCAAGACGGCTTCAGCTCGGAATGGCAGACATACGGCTCAGCATCCACGCCGGCTCCTCCTCCACACAAACAATTTCTTCAGCCTACTGTGGAAGACTATAACAGCGAGCTATCGCCAGCACGTCATGCTTTTAGTCTCAAATCTCGCGGCCGTAGCCTGAGGTCGTCCGGACCGAGAGACAACATCGCACCGCCCGAAAAAGAACCGTCTACTCCAGGACGTGCCTCCAGTCCGACATTGTCTCCAGTCCGGTCTCCGCTCCTCGAACGTAGTAAGACGGGAGATGACCGATACGACAAGGAGATGCGCAACGACATGGAGGAGCAAATGATGCAACTGCAAGCGAAGTGGCAGCAGCTCGAGCACCTCAACCAGGCTCTCGAACACGCGCTCGATGAAGAGAAGCGCCAGCGCAAGGAAGACCAGATTTCGCATGAAGCGCAAATGGCGGAAGCGTCGCGCCGTGAAAAGGACCTAGCAGATATGAAGGAGGCGGCTTATCAGCATAGCGATGACTTCAGACGGGAATTTGGCGAGTTGAAGAAGAAGCTGCAAGATCACGACAAGGACGCAGAGAACGCAAAGGCTGGCGAAAGTGACTCTGAGCGGGACTTTCAAGCTGAACTGCAGCGACTCAAGGACAGACTTGAACTCCAACAGATGCAGCACACTCAAGAGACTCGAGGTTTGAAGCAAGATTTAGAGTTGGCAAGCAAGAGTCGTGAAATTGCAGAAGAGACCGCTCGTATTCATCGCGAAGAGCTGGAGGAGCAGCGGAGTCTTCACGATGCGGAGGTGGGGCGCCTGAGAGCCGACTTGAAGCATTCAAGAGCCGACGAAGCGACGATCATGGGACTGGAGAGGCGGCTCAACGATTCTGATACGGAAATTAAGAGGCTGAAGGCGCTGAACGTTGAACAAGAGACGGAGTTAATGAGCACTCGCTCGCAGCTTGCCAGCGCGAAGCAATCTCGTGAGGATGAGACGTCACGCCTTTCTTCTGCTCGTGGTCGAGCCGTCGAGCTGGCTTCTAACCTTCAACGTCAACTTCAAGAACTTCGACAACAGCTGAAAGACGAGCAAGCGTCGCATGAAACCGATCTGGAGCGGCTTCGATCACAGCAGGAACAGTCTTCACAGACATCGGTCCGAGAGTTGGAGATCGTGCGTGGAGAACTAGAGACCAAGCAAACCGAGCTCAATGAAGCCATCCTCGAACGGGACGAAGCGAAGGATGCGTTCGAATTTCGACAGTCGGAAGAAGAGAGCCTTCGCAATGAGGTTGCTGATATGAAGGCCGTCAACGCAGAGCTCGACGCTAGAATCACTGAGAAATTGCAGAGACGGGAGACCTATTGGCGTGAGAAGCTCGAGGAGGCAGATCGGGAGCGTCAGCTCATGGCGAAGGCATTACTGCATCACTGGGGGCGAGAGGAAGTTGGCATCGACAGCCCGCAAATGTACGCCTACAAGTACTTGAGGCGGGCCGATTCCGGGAAGACTCCAACCAAGACGAAAGCTGCGGCACAATGAGATGATCGAAGGATAGAAACGTAGCGCAATGGCCTTATGAACCCCATTGCGGTTTCAAATCGTATCACATCATCCTTAATATCCCGGCATTTCATTCTATATCCTTCCCTCATAACAGTCCTTTTCTCGCCAACTCAATCTTTCTCGCAGATTCGCCAGCTTTGAACCCTCCTTTGCTGACGCAAGCCATACTCCCTTCTCCAAATTCAATTTTATCCTCAACGTTCGGGAACGCGCATGGGCAATGGTGAGGGAAGTGGACGCAGCTGAGGGTGTGTGGGCAGAGGTACTTGTCGCAACGTGCTAGAGTATCAAAGTGAGCTGGTGTATACAGGTGTGCATGTGATGAATTCATTGTACCTTGCTCGTAGCTGTTCTGATACCATTCTGAATCGGAGCCCATATTTTGTGGTTCTTGGTGTTGATGTTGTTGGCCGCCGAACATGTTGCCGAAGTTGAAGAATTGGGCCATTCCGGGGACTATCAAGACAATGAGTGGTAAGAGGGAGTGTAGGAGATGCATGTTGCCTAGTGTTTGTCTGATTGGTGTTGTGGTGATCTGCAAAGGGAGACATAAAGTCCAGAGCCAGTTGTCGCGATGGGGCAGCGGCTAAATGATTTGCCGAAAAATACCAAGACTTTCAGCTTCTTCTCCGACTTCCCCTGCTTCGCGAAAATAGCATCGGCCGAATCGCACTTCCACGACAAGTTCACTATCACGCAGCGCATATACCTCGACAGACGAGAACGACGACTATCGCCGACCATGCATCTTATGTATACCCTCGACCCAAACGGCAAGCGCCTCTACACTCTCAAGAAGGTCGTTGATGGAGAGGTCACAAAATCTGCTCATCCCGCGCGTTTCTCGCCAGATGACAAGTACTCGAGGTATGGGAGAGCTACAAGAGCTATTTGGTCTAGCAAGCATGGTATTGATATTCTGGGACAGGCACCGCGTTACTCTCAAGAAGCGATATGGTCTTCTCTTGACTCAGCAAAGTACGACCGTGGAAAAACTCGGCGCATGACGTGCACTGACTTGATCACAGAAGATAAGAAGGTGCTGGGCCAGTAAAGAGATGAGATCACAAATTACTTGAGGAATTAGCTTGGAGTTCTGGCGTACATTACACAAAAGCGGTCGTGGGGAAATTTGAAGGCACGATGAAAGAAGACCGGGTAGACCGAAGATACGAGATCAATCAGCTGCGGCTAGTACCATCCAATTCCGAGCATTTGCGATCCTTACCGCACGACGATACCTGCAAGCTCCCTTGCCCTGCTTTCCAGCATGCGCGTCTTCCCGAATCGGCTCGTTTTGACGGAAAACGACGCAAGCAGTGAAGATGATGAGCTCCCACACTCCATTGGCTATCGTCGTGCACATTGACGCAAGAATCGTTTGGATCTTCGCCCTCAGCACGGTCGCAGCACCTCGCTCATACATGCTGCTGATGCGGCTCATTGAGCAAAGCCGGGCGTGTGAACGGTGCCTAGTGAGCATTGCACTGACTCGAAATCCCTCCAGAAATGCGGGAGGGTCCCTTTGCACAAGCTGCAGGAGGGAATCCACAAGGAGGGCAAGCTAGAGCAGGAAACTCGGTCGCAGGGATGGCGACCATCTCAAGACGAGCAACAGAGATCTACAGCGAGCGCTGTGAACCTCTTCGTATACTATCATATGGCTCCAGACGACGATGCGAAAGCCTGTGGAAGTAAATTATGCTAGTCTCGAACATGCAAATCACGTCGCGACAAGATGTTGCTGGATCAAAATATCTCCACGTAACTGGGTGCTGGCACCATCTGTACCTGCCCAGCGTGCTACTCTGACTGTATCACCCTTCGTGACTACCTCACAAGTCAGCATAGACTAGTGCAACCAACAGATACGTCGCTCAACGGGTGGTATACTCTCACCTTATTCGAACGCATGGCAATCTCGGTTTTCTAGCAAGAAATCGCTGTGGCCCTCGGACCCTTGGCCTTAGGGCTGTACAAGCTGCGAAAGCGTAAGAAAGCGTGAGCAAGCGTGATCCGAGTCCACATTACTCGCATATGAAGCGAGATAACTAGAGGTTCGTATCTGTCTTTGTATTATAGAGCCTAAGGCCCTTTCCACATGAATGCAAGAGCTATTATTCACTTACACGGGACGACCCGGCGCTAATGTCTTCACATGCTGAAGAGGATGAACTGACTCGCAGTTCTCACGGTTCGACAGCACACTGAGACTACTTTCACATGTCGAAAGCGATGAAATTACTTATACAACACCGCTCGGCGCTAAAAATTCCATGTGATGTCGAGAAGTGCACATTCATATGAAGCTGTCCCATACCTCAACCTCAAACTCTTCTTCCGTCCCTTCTTCAGGCCATCAAGATCCACAACAACAGCAACAGCGGCAGTCGTAGCAAATCTCCCTGCTGAAATCAACTCTTTTCCAGACTCACTATCCGTCTATATACCTTCGGGCATCCACGCAGTCCCACGGACAGTACCAGTATTATGGAGCAATCTCACCTCAGCAAGCTGGCCGGAGAGCTTCGTAACCAAATCTACGAGCTCGTGAGCGTAGATCTCACCACCCGCCGAGCGAGCCACGGTCTCGCAGGCGAGCCTCTCACGCCTCCCATGGCCCAAGTCTGCAAGCAGATGCGCAAAGAAAGCATCGGAATCTTCTTCAAAGAGTTCAAAGCAAACCTGGACTCCGACATGGATGGCAACGACGTTCAGCACCTGGTGACCTACCTCAAACAGACTCCCACTCACATCCACCAGTTGATCTCACGGCTGGAGATCAATGTGCTTGTCTGTGCCACGTCTTTTGACGACTATTTTACCGGATGTCATCATGCGAGGAAGGATTGGAGGAGGCTGATGAGGATCCTCGACCGGTATGGGTATCGTGGAGAGCGCTTGCGGGTACACGTGAAGATCTGCTCTCATGGGGATGATTTTCCACGACTGGTCATTGAGGATCTGAAGGGGCTTGGTCTGGAGCTGAGCCATGAGATTGTGGAGGAGTGAACGCAGAACTTCAGATCATGTTGGTGTATCTGTGACCCACAGAGCCATACATTGGGGCTGGAGAGAGTCATGCGTGAAAGCTCCGGGAGAAATCTCCTTTCACCTGATTTTCTTTCCCCTCCTCGACGTCTCTGCGAGAACGAGGCATTCCATTGCGGTGGGTACAAGCCGGTGGCAGAGCGACGGCAAATCATACGGCGATCATTTGCGAACATATGCCCTCGTCTGAGTTGATTTGGGTTTTGGACAAGATCAGCATAGATTTCTTGGCATTCACTCAGCTGGTCTGAGCTTTGTTCACGTACATCGGGCCGAACCTTGAGCCTACACCAAATGTTTAAACTCTTCTTCTCTTCTTCTCCACTTCCCCTGCTCTTCTCTTCTCAACAAATTCCATCCAACAACCCCAACGCATTATCATGGACGAGTCGCCATTCAGCAAGCTGCCAGCCGAGCTGCGCAACGAGATCTACAACTTAGTCCTGCCCACATAAGAGGATTTCTGCATTACGCCCGAAGACGATCTCAAGTTTGAGCCGACAGCCGTTCAACCACCTCTTACCCGAGTCTGCAAGCAAATGCGCAAGGAGAGCCTGCCAATGTTCTACGCCATGAACAACTTCACGATCTACACGTGTCCAGCGACCGAGGGCTATCTCGTCTGCGGCAGAAAAATCTTCAGATTCTCAAATTCACTCCTGGAAACAGCGGTGTCCAGGTGGATTGTGCATACAGACAGAGAGGGCCACAAGGCGATTCGGAGACTCCTGATCAAGACTTGGGTCGTCGCGCTGGACTGGAAAGATGAGTGGAAGACTCGGCGGCCGAGCTGGCGGAAGCTCAGAGAGGAGCTCAAGAGCCAAGGCTATGGTGAAGATCGGGTTATGGTGTCTGTATCTTGTCTCTTCGACGAATCTCAAAGTTGAGCAGCGTGTGAAGAAGTCATTCGAAATTCTGGGATTCGTTTGTGAGATTGAGTGAAATAGCTCAGAGGCACTGCGCAGGGCGGCAGTTGGTTGGTGAGACGGGAGATTGGACTTTCACATGTTAGGCTCAGCAATGCACACAAACGGAGAAGCTTCGACCACTTGCTTCACCAAACCCTTGATTGACGCCCGTCGCTCCTTCCTCTTCTCTCGCTGATGCCATCGAGTTCAGATTGATCATCACGGCATGTGACACGCATATCTTTGCAAGGACTCGCAAGGTGTGCGAAGGTAAAATGGAGAGCTCTGAGACGCCTGCTGGGCAGCCGCGGCTACAATGACGGACGGATGGAGATGGAGATGGCTCGTTGTATCCGGCGACGAAGCACGAACTATCTCTGCAGCATGGAGTATCAGCATCCATCAATCAGAACATTCCTCATACTTTTGGCTGTTGAACATTACAAACGCCATGTTGAATGCACAGGTATCTCAGTTCCCACCAAATTTTCCACTCGCCTCCCATTTTAGCCCACCATGCGCCAGACACGAGAATCACCCAGATCCCACCATCTTTGCTCAAAACTCATTCTTCATACTCTATCCCGAAGCTGTCTGCCCGAAGTCGTCTGTCTAGTAGAGTACTCTGGTTCGAATCCTACTGCCAAGATCTTCCAAATTCTGATAGAGATTCTCAATCTCCGAGACATTTACGTTGGAAACATCGGCCATGAGGTAGGCGACATCGCCGCGTGCGTCGGTCATTTGCTTGTCGACGTTGTGGTCGCCGAGGATTTCATTGACGCGGCGAAGCACACCGGGGACGTTCTTGTGGATGTAGATGATGCGGACATGGTTGGGTTCGTCGAGGGTGAGGGAGCGGAGCGTGACTTCGGGCATGTTGACTGCACCAGTTGTGGTGCCGAAGTTGACGTAGTTTACGAGGGCCTAGGTTGACGTGAGTAAGCTGGGAGAGATCGAAAACGCGTAGAACATACCTCTGCGACTTCTACGCCAATAGCTGATTGTGCCTCTTCGGTTGAGCCTCCAATGTGCGGCGTGAGGATGAGGTTCTTTAGGCTGCGCAGGTCGTTCGTCCAAGTGTTCAATTGCGAATTGAAGTGCTCTCCATTCGAACCAGGTTCATTCGGGTACACATCAAGCGCTGCTCCCGCGAGCTTGCCGTTTTGCATGTACTTGATCAAAGCGGGAATGTCCACCACACTTCCTCTTGAGGCGTTCAACAGGTAGGCGCCATTCCGCATCTGCTCCAACTCTTTCTCTCCAATCAAATTCTTTGTCTCCGGGAGTTCCGGTACGTGAAGCGTAACAAAGTCAGCGCCTTGTAGCAGCTCTTGTAGGGAAGGCACTTGGTTTGCGGTTCCCAATGCCATCATGTTGATCACATCGTAGTATATGACCCTCATGCCCATTGCTTCGGCAAGAACCGAGAGCTGCGCACCAACGTGTCCATATCCAACAATTCCCAGTGTCTTTCCTCTTACTTCCCAGCAGCCAGCCGAGACCTTGTTCCAAATGCCCTGGTGCATCTCATTACTGCGATCTCCGATCTGTCTTGCCAGTGCGATGATCTCGCCAATCATGAGCTCGGCAACTGAGCGCGAGTTGCTGAAAGGCGAGTTGAAGACTGCAATGCCCATCTCTGCGGCATATGTGAGATCCACCTGATTTGTACCAATGCAGAAGCAGCCAATAACGATCAAATTCTTTGCATGCTTCAGAACGTTCGCTGTGATCTGTGTCTTGGAGCGAATGCCGATAACGTGTACATCTTGGATCTTCTCAATGAGCTGGTCTTCAGGTAAAGAGCTCTTGAGTGCCTCCACTTGGTAACCCTGCTTCTTCAGAATCGCCTGGCCGGTCTGATTGACATTCTCGAGGAGGAGCACTTTGACGTCCTGGGTGTTGAATGGCTTGAGCTGTTTGGCAGAAGCCTTGGGAGGGCCGGAGTAGGAGTGGGCGGAGCCTTGGTGGAAGGTCATGTTCGGGCTGGTCGATAGCGAGCTTTCGAGCGGATTGAATGAGTTGGAGACAGTCCTGTTCGATTGTTAGGGGTGTCCGAACGTTCGTCTTCGAAGACATGGTCCCTCATAGGACCGATGGTCCTCTCCACCACCGTGATACTTGCTGCCAATCTCGTCATGGTCTCAGGTTACTCACCTGTTCAATGGCGTATTATCATTGCGCTCGGGAATGTCCACTGCTGTCGCCGGCATGGTTGGGAATTTGAAGGGTAAAATCAAGCAGCGAAAGCGAAGATGGAGGAAGGGACAAGACGAAGGCAAGCAGATTTTTCAAACGCGCCAACAAAGAAAGCGAAGAGTCATTATTCACGTCTTCGGCGTGAGAAAGTTTTATCCCATCATAAGTCATAAGCCCACCTCACCTAGCCCTGCGCGCAATGCCACCAATGATTCATGCAGGGTTCCTGCAGCCCAGTGCGGGAGCGATGACGCTATTCCGTAGCGGGCATCGCCGACGAGCATCTACCGGCACCCGAACGGTCACGGTCATCGACGGCATTTCATCCGTTCTCTACACTCCATCTTGTCTCTTCTTTGATCATGCCTATGCGTCGCTCGACATGCGGGACACAGTGGTAACACATGATGATGATGCGCAATCACCTCATCCACGCCATCAACCTGTACACTTCCACCTTCCACAGGCGAGCAACTGCTCTTTACCACAGCGGACTCTGGCCCAACTGACCAAATGCTGGGCGAGGGAGCCAGATGGGCAGCACGTTGCCTGGTATGCCGGATTAGGATCTCGAGTGTCGCTATCCCACGATGTTCAGATCGATGCATGATGCGGAAAAGCATCACTGCGGCTCGTGCGACTGCAGTGTTGCCAGCCTCGGAGTTACTACAGCGTGCTAGTAATGCACTAGATCAGTGGTGACTTCACTCAGAACAATCTACTGAAGGCGATGCAACAACGCCTCACAAAGTTCATCGCTGGCTATGGTCACAACTCGACTGCACTGCGACTCGATTCTCACCTTCGGTAAGGGCGCTGAATCTACAGCGAAGCGAGAACATCTGCAGGGCACCTGGTAGTGGCAGGGTGCTGGGGATATCTCCGAGGAGGCCCACCATCAGTCGCTTAGGAAGTCCAGAAGTGGCGGTCAGAGAAGCGAATGCCCTGAGACACGCGAGGCCAATATGGATCCAGACGAGAACTCGCGGGCGATCGGCCGTAGAGCCCTCAAGCGCTGCTATCAGCTTTCAGGGTCCCAGCGTGCCAGCGTGTGTTGATTGCACCGCAGAAGACACGATGGCGTATCGCGATTCAATTTGTCGCTCACGGATGTCGTTGCGAGAACAGAGCTGACAGATCTTAGTAGGTATTAGTCAATGTCCGACCGTGTCCAGCCTGCCGGTGAAGCTCACAGTATCCACGGTGTGACTGGAATTGGTTTCGTGGTTCGCACACAGGTAGATCTGCCATCATGATGATAGACCGACGTTGACTGAGTTCAGAAGCAAAGTACCGGAGCACAGGGCTCGTTTGGTGATACACGACTGAGGACGGCCTTGTGCTCCGATGTTGGCCCTCGCGGCTTGTTATTAACAGGAGCGAGACGGCTGATACGCTTCGCGGGAACGGAAAAGGCCCATCTTCGCCTTACCGATTCGGACGGGTGGCTTCTAAATGTACGACTTGACGGTACATCTGCCAATAATCATCAACGTCGTCAGAGCAGGGTCATCATCTCGTGACGCGGACTTGCATGCGGATGCGATCGGCAAATCCTTGTTCAACGAGCAGAGTGGCAAATCGAGAGATGCGCCTGTTTGCGTTGACGAGAAGCGCATTCCTGGGCATGTATTTGGCGTTGCATGTGAAGAAGAGGGATCGACATAGCTAGCTGATAGCTTAAGGGTAAAATTTCATTCACTTCGCCCGTCATTCCCACGGGTTCAGGTCGTGAGGCGGAGCCTGCTCCCAACGGGTGGAGGCGATTGCGGCTGCCTTTCCCCCAAACTCTGGTGAAACCTCTGCGGTGGGACGGGGCTCCAGGCTCTCGGTCCGAACGACTTCGACACGGCTGATCGACCGCAGTGGGTCGGCTTCGAGAACATCGCAGACTCAGACACGGTAAGCGAGCAGAAGGGACAAATCGACGACGACGACGACGACGACGACTTCATGTGACGGCAACAGCAATCCATTGTTGTTATTAGAGACGTGTGATGCACGTAAGGCGGACCCAAGAAACTTGGCCAATCCTCCCACCCATGCTCTATCAGCATAATCAGCTCCGCGTTCGTCACGCTGCCAATCGTTAAATCTCCGGAAGTTGGCCAGCCTGGGATCCTGGCAGGCTGGCATTGACGCCGGAGGGGCACAGGCAATCGCCACGCGCGCATCCTCGATCTGCCTTACATTCCGCGCTCGTGGTTGTTTATAACAGATTATGCCCATTTAACAACACCTCGGACGACGCTACGGGCGTCAACATGGCGTCTCATACTGCCGGCAAGGCGGCTAAGGAGCGACAGAAGCAGCTCTACGAGGGCAAGCGCGAGAGGGAGTTCTACCGGTAAGCAGAACCTCCATACGATGCGAGATGCCCTGGCGCAATCTCTGATGACTGACATGTTGGGCATGACAGATATTATCAGCCTATCCGCGAATTGACCAAGGCTGGTCCTCCGCTATGCGACCTGGCAGACGCACACGCAGTCAGGGCCCACCGCCCTTTCTCCTCGCCAGACCGCGCCCTCACCGCGTTCTGCCAACTGGGTGCCTTGAGGCTGGAGACGCGCCGGGCGATGCTCTTCTTCTTCGACTCCAATTATGCCTATGTTCTTGCGGAAGCAACCCGCACGCTCAGTCTCCAGAATGACTCGGTCATGGTGCAGGAGGACGACCTATGGCTTGGCCATACCGTCATCCCCCGCGGCTTTTCCGTTTGTGAGCATACTGTCAATCTTCCCTCCAACCAAGGATCAAATAAGGACGACCCGACTTCGAGCGGCCTGATACACATCGTCAACGACCTGAGCGATGACACGCGATTCTGTGATCGGCCATTTGTCACCGGCGAGCCGAATGCGAGATTCTACGCTGGCGTTCCGATTACTACCCCTCGAGGAATCAACATTGGCGCCTATTGTGTTTTGGACGACAAGAAGCGTGAAGGACTGAGCACGGATGGCATGAACTTCATGCGCGACATGGCCGCTACGGTCATGACCCATCTGGAGATGGTCCGCGCCACGGCCGAGCACAAAATCGGCACACAGATGATTGCTGGGCTCGGTGCCTTCATTGACGGCGCTTCTGGATTTCGTGACTGGGCGGCGCAGAATGGCGATTTTGGACTGGACAAGGATCCGCACCTATCGCATCCGATGAAAGTGCAGCCTATGACGGCGAACGCGTCTGCAGTGGCTCAAGCAGCTGTGCAAGTGGGGGAGCATATCGAGGAGGAGCGCCGCACGAGTACGGTAAGCTCCTCACCAAGACGTCAAAGATCGCGCGGAGCAACGATGACCAACAGCCATCTTCTACAGCCCTCCGCCAAGTCACAAGCAACGCTCAAGAACAAGAGAAGCGCCGAACGATTCGATCCTGATCCGGCTGCAGTCAGCGCTCAGAAGACGTTCGAACGAGCCGCCACCCTGCTCCGCGAGGCAATGAGTATCGATGGAGTGTTGTTCTTGGATGCTGCGGTTGGCACCTTCGGCGGACTCGTAGAGACCAGTCCGACGGAATCTATCAGCAACACCGAGCATAGCTCGGACTGCCACGGAAGCGGCGCAGAGGCGACAACTGGAACCGAAGGCGAAGAGAAACTAACAAGGAAGCCGGGCGAGGATGCAAACCGCACACGCAAGCTTTGCCACATCCTTGCATCTGCTGCGATCAAGGATGCAGAAGTAGGATCAGCGCAGGAGACTCACTTCAACGGAATTAAGAAACCTGAGGAGATGACGGAAAGATTCCTCCGCTCTCTATTACGACGCTATCCACGGGGCAAAATATGGAGCTTCAATGAATACGGCGATGCATCATCGGAAGACGAGTCATCCGAATACAATACCGATACTGGCTCTTGTCGATGCTCTAGAAACACAAGGCCCTCGGATCTCCAAGGCCACAGTCCGTCATGCTCGAAAAGGCGAAGAAATAGCAGACTGGACGACTGCAAAGAAATCTTGCGCCTATTACCTGGCGTGCGTAGTGTCGGTCTCGTGGGAATGTGGGACCACACTCGTCAGAGATGGTATGCAGCAAGCATATTCTGGTCGTATTCACCGCTTCGGCTGTTCTCTGAAGAGTCGGAAGTGAAGTATATGCAAGCTTTCTGCGACGTGATTCTGGCCGAGCTGCACCGTCTAGAAGCGCAGAACTCTGACAGAGCGAAGTCGGACTTCATCTCGACCATATCGCATGAGCTACGCTCGCCGCTACACGGCATACTCGGAAGCGTAGAGTGTCTGCAGGAACAAGAGACTGACTCCTTTAGTGTGGGTCTCATATCTCAGATTGAGATCTGCGGCAGAACGCTTCTGGACATCATAGACCATCTTTTGGACTTCAGCAAGATCAATCACCAGGCGAGATCAAAGAATGGTGCCCTGGCTGATGCGCAAGGCCGCAGGCTGTCGAGCACCGGCAAGCGGATTAGAATGGGTGGCATGATGGCGCTCGATACCGATGCCGCTCTCGATCACGTTACAGAAGAAGTAGTAGAGACCACGGTCTACTCTTTCTGCTGCAGCAGAGACGCCGAAATGATCATGAATCGCAAGGTCGCTGTCATACTGGATATCGACAGATCACCAGATGTCGACTGGAAGTGCCACATTGCTCTTGGAGCCTGGAAACGAGTCTGCATCAACCTGGTGAGCAATGCACTCAAGTACACAAGTTCAGGACACATTCGAGTATCGCTCAGAGCCAGCCCAATTCCCGACAAGCGCAAGCGATTTCATGTCACCTTTACTGTGGCCGATAGCGGTCGCGGTATGTCGCGAGATTTCCTGGAGAACCAATTGTTCCGCGCATTTGCCCAGGAAGACAGTCTAGTTGAGGGCACCGGTCTGGGCATGAACCTCGTGGCTAAGATTGTCAAAGCATGGGATGGAAGAATAGAGGTACAGAGCGAGAAAGGCGTGGGCTCGAGCTTCTCAATTACTCTGCCGCTGGAACGAAGCCGTAGCAGCAGTCACGCTTGGTCGAAGCACGCTACACGATCAATCGAGCGGTCGATTGCAGGCATCACAGTCGGCGTCATTGACAATACATCAACGCCTCTGGCCTCTGGAAACCAAGTACCCGACGAAACAGCAAGATCACTTCTCCTGCAAAGCGTTCACCATACACTCGCACAGGTCGGAGTAAATGCCGCGATGTGCGCATGGGCGGGCGAAGAGAAAGCCGACATGTACTTTGTTACAGAGGGCGAGTTAAGTCAGGAGCTGCAACGACGGCAGGACATGGGCTGTACAGACATACTGATGTCTCCGAGCGCTCTTAGCAACAAGCCGTTCATTGTGCTTTGCGACAGCACTCTCTCCGCAAGGCGAATCAGGGCACCTGGCTTGGGCAACATCGCTACTGGATATGTGGAGCTTGTCGCTCAACCAGCTGGGCCTGATCGTTTAGCAAAGGCAATTCACTCTTGCCTCAAGCACAGAGACTCGGTCAACAAGATCCAAGCGGTGGCCGGGACGTTGAAGGACGTGCCGGCTGTGGTCTCTCATCCAGAACCGAGCACCGTTGCGCACTCCATTCCCATCAGGCCCAGGAAAGATACCCACATCGGGAGCCCGACTGGAGATAAGACCAAAGATGATAGCCCCAACCGGTCGGGAGATGAGCACGCGGTCACACAGGAGGCTCGCTCTGCGGAGCTAGAGCGCGGACTTGCGTCTGACTACAAGTTCCCTAGGGTCCCAACACCATCACTCAACGGCTCGACTTTCCGGGTCAGCGATGAGCCTTCACCCAAGGGAAAGCCGATTCGCAAGAAATCGCCGGACAGCAAACCAAACTCTGGCGTGTCCCTCCTTCTGGTTGACGATAATGTAAGCCTTGACTCACAAATCATCATGGATAGTGACGCTAATGTCTCTCGTAGCCTATCAATTTACAGCTCCTTGTGACGTACGCGGAGAAGTTCGGTCATCGCAAGACAGTCGCCACCGACGGCCAGCAAGCAGTGGACGCATACAAGACTGCCTGCTTAGAGGGGTCAGCATCGAGCCCATCGTCGGATCAAGGCCAGAAGCCGGAGATGGTACGCAATGACAGCGGCAACGACAGCTCACAAGCCGTGACCAACGAGGTCGAGACCCTCCAAACGTCCAAGCCGAACGTCATTCTCATGGACATCAACATGCCTTGTCTGAATGGTTTCGAAGCGACACGACAAATTCGAGGGTTCGAAAAAATGATGGGCATTGAGCCTGCTACGATTATTGCTCTCACGGGGTTGGGTAGTGCGAGCGCGCAGCAGGAAGCTTTTAGTTCTGGGTTTGATATGTTTTTGACTAAACCTGTACGGTTGAAGGAATTGACGAAGATACTGGATGGGATCAAGAGACCCTGAGTCAAGGCCTACGGGCAGATTTGGCATTTGCAAAGCATTGGTAGACGGACGGACGGACGGAAGGACGATACAGAGGAAATAATATGGATTAGAGCCTCAACGGCATGAAGTGACGCCTTTTGCTCTGCCTTTTGGGTTCAACTTTTGTCCAGCGTTAAGGCAAGTATTCGGCCAAGGAAATGTACAATGACTAAGATGGAAAGCCTGTAGTGTTTTGTTCTCCAACATTCTCTCTCTACCTAGTGACGATGATGCTGGAGGGCTTGGTGTCGGGGAGCTAATTTCCCTTTCAGGCTGTTCCGACGTTCATGCACTCCACACTGCTCTCCGCGGTTGGAAGTCGGGGCAGCTGTCAGCGATCAGTTCCCTTACCCGAAAAGCATAAGGTATTTGGGCATTGCAGTGGAAATTACAACATTCCTGGTCACTCAAGCGTCTGGCAGTACGATTTCGATCATACCGAGCACGTTAAGTGGCAAGACGATCGGAGAGAGAGAGGGATATCCCAACAACTGCGGGTTTTCGTTGCGACAGAATTCGACGAACTTGTAACTTGCCTTATTGATCTTCGAGACAACCGCTGTACGATGACAGTGGACTCTCAGTTCCGCGGTCAGGCCGTCACTGTTGCGGCATCGATTGCTTCGGTTGCTGGATTGCTTGGCATTCTCAACTACTTGCAGATCCCATCTCTATTCCAGCGACGGGCCAAGTCACGCAAAGTTGGGCCTCGATGCTATTCATTGAACGAACAGCCATCACTCACATCATTCAAAGCTCTGGTGGAGCGGACGACACTCAAAGAGACCTATCCTCTGGCCATCGATGTGCAGAACAACATTCCCATTTACGATTGCGGCAAGTTGGATCTCCAGGACTCGAAGCAGGTTGAGCGCTTCCAAGATGAGCTGTATCATGTCCTTGTCGAAGGGCCAGGTGTCTACGTTCTGAAGCATTTCTTCACGGATCTGGAGCCGGTCGATGCTGCCAATGAGGCGTTTGCTGCGATCATCAAACGTGAGCTGGAAGAGAATGGAGAGAAAGGTGACCACTTTGCGGCAGCCGGGACGAACAATCGGATCTGGAATTCCTTCTCGAAACTCTGCTTACAAGACCCGGAGAGCTTTGTGAAATACTATTCGAATCCTCTATTCGAGATCGTGTGCGAGTCTTATCTTGGTCCGGCATACCGCATCACCAGCCAAGTTAATATTGTCAAGCCTGGTGGGAAACCGCAAGTTAGCCATCGAGACTATCATCTTGGTTTCCAAACGGCAGAAGACGTGGCCAAATGGCCCAAAGATCTACACACCGCGAGTCAACTCCTCACACTGCAAGGAGCAGTCGCCCAATCCGACATGCCCCTCTCCTCGGGGCCAACGCGCTTTCTGCCCTACAGCCAAACGTTTGAAGAAGGCTACATGGCGTACCGCCTGCCGTCTTTCAACGACTACTTCCTCCAAAATTGGACCTCCCTGCCCCTCAAGAAGGGCGACGCAGTCTTCTTCTCCCCAGCACTCTTCCACGCCGCAGGCGAAAATCTCACCACGGACTTCAACCGCAGCGCGAATCTCATACAAGTCAGCAGCGCTTTCGGGAAGACGATGGAAACGATCGATTCGGTGCCTTTGATTGAAGCGACGTACGAGATTTTGCGGGAGAAAGGGTGGAATGAGGCTTTTGTGCGGGCGGTTGCGGAGGGATATCCGTTTCCGACGAATTTGGATCGTAGGCCGCCGGCGCCGGGTGGGATGGCGCCGGAGAGTGAGCAGGATGTTTTGAGGAAGGGCTTGGTGGAGGGGTGGGCAAGAGAGGAGGTTTTGGGGGCGATGAGGAAGATGAGGAGGGATGCGTTGGCATGAGGATTGGTAGAGGCAGTATTTAGGATATCCGAGCGCGCCGTAGATGGTATGGCCTGTTGGAGATATTGGCAGAGTAGATGGAAATTGGTTGCTGGATAGCCAGTGCTCCCAGAGACTCGTAGAAGCCGCTCAGCAGCCTCCATAGGGCTTGGGTCGAAGGAAGCCTCATAACTTGCGATGTAGTAACTTGGTGACTTGAGATATTGATGTAACCATCATGAGTAGTGTACGAACAGGTAGGAATTCACAAGATGCTAGTGAAGTTTGCTCGGCTGTGACACGCGTGATTTAGCCGCGGTTTACCCGCGTATGAAGCTCCTCCAAAGCCCCAGTGACTGGAAGCTGCCTGAAGTCTTACAAACATTCAACCTCTCTGTCCGACCTATCCCTCCACCGTCCACCCACACATCCGAATCCGAATCCAAGAACCTACCAACACGAAAAGCTAGACAAGATGGCGGACGTAGAGATGACCGACGCGGCACCAAAGGCGAAGAAGGTGGGCCCAAGCGGGGGCGATACTGAGGGCAAGAAGAAGTTTGAGGTCAAGAAGGTATAAACATACTGTCGTATAAGAGTCTTGGGGTGAACACATGTTAATTTAGAGGATAGTGGAACGCCGTCGCGCTCTGGGCCTGGGACATTGTCGTTGACAACTGCGCCATCTGCCGCAACCACATCATGGACTTGTGCATCGACTGTCAGGCGAATCAAGCATCAGCTACGAGCGAGGAATGCACTGTGGCATGGGGTATCTGCAACGTACGTATACGAACACATGCACGAGCTTGAGGCAATGAACTGACAGACATGCGATAGCACGCCTTCCACTTTCACTGCATCTCCCGATGGCTCAAGACACGACAGGTCTGCCCGCTCGACAACCGCGATTGGGAGTTCCAGAAGTATGGTCGTTGAAAGGTATGGCTTTTTGGGGATACCCGGAGAGGCGTGGTGTGGCTTTCTTACGGCGCAAAGAAGGGCGGATCCGGTACGAACACGGCAGCATTTGCATGGCGCTGAGGGCGCAGGTTGCAACTTTACGACGAGAAGATACGATGAAAAGACATGGCGTATGATACAGGCGCGCAGTCATGAGTTTGCTGCTGCTTCATGGAGAGCATAGCTGGGATGAGCTATATGCAGGCGAGCCTCACAGGCTCGCATCTGCCGGAGTATTCAAGCCTTCGTGGCTATATGATGAAACTTACACCCCATTTTCGAGCTCTTCTGTGAACTCCATGGCAGGGACTTATGTGACAAGCCCAGTGTTGGCAACCTACGCATATCCCGATTGAACTTCCTTGCCTCATGCCCTCCCACGCCTCAGCCCACTCTCTTCCCATCTACCTCAATGCTTATCCCCGTAATCGCTCCTTGTGCATTCCTCGGCGACAAGAACGGTGCCGGGTGCTTGTTGTAGAAAGGCCATTGCGGTACCACGACCAAGAACGCCAGGGCAGTCCCTCCCAAGCCGATGTATAGTGTCAGGTAGATATCTTGCGCAACATAGCCGACGAGGAAAGCGATTGCGCCTACGACGGAGAGGAGACCGTATGTGATGTATTCGGCGAGGCGTTGGCCTTCGAAGTCCTAAGGACAAGTGGTCAGTTGGAGACCGAAGGGCCGAAGGAAGAGACGGTTACGATTTCGCCTTCGTAGATTGTTCGCGCTTGTTCGAGAATTTGGTCCATGGTTGGATGGCGGCTTCGTGGTCGATTGGAAGGCTTATGTGGAGATTGTTGGTATGGTTAAGAGCAATGCAGTGTAGGCGTTCGAAGAGCACATGCAGCTCTACCAGAATTAAGCTTCGACGGCTTGTGCGCTAACCCCAGCTGCTGAGATAAACCTGGGAGGCTGAGACTTCACTTCATCTTCTTCACATCTCCACCGGCCAATGTACACCGCGCTTTTCACCCGTCTCTTTGTCCGCAATGTGGACCTCCGTATCTCCTAATGGGCAGGGCAGACTCTGTTGCGAGCTTCAACAGCTCTCTACGGCGCTACAGTCCTTTCGAAGAGGTCTCGTTGCTCAAGGTCTCATGCAGATATGTAGATGCATGCACTCCTCTTTTTACAAGCGAGCTGAATGTCCTTGCTTCTACTAGCGTATGGTATCATGTTGTATCCGTCCAACCAAGCAGATTCCACGAGCTCTCTCGCGGCTCATACTACCTTAATCACCAATCGCAGTATTCGAAGGACCACACCGCTTAGCACATACCGCTTCGGGAATCCAATGGTAACTTTAAATCATCCTATGAGACTGTTGCCAAAAGAGATTTCACAAAGACTGCGTTCTACCCTATTCAAAGCATTACTGAGCACAAGAAGCCGCAGATGAATCTGCTCAGCACACGAAGCGAAACGAAACATAGGGATCAGAAGCGAAAAGATTGCAAATGCATATACCGTCGATTGCCTCTTGCGGATGGAGCCCACGATCGACCAAGACTCGCGTCTCCTATTCGAACAGATAGCCACTCACGCGGACCAAGAAAAAGCTTTTTGACCTTAGCTCGTGGCTACAATACCACGCTTTTGATGTCGTTGGAGAGGTCACATTCAATAAAGGACTCGGACTTTTGGAGCTGGCTCAGACGTGGAGCCATGATGGGCACCATAAAAGGCTTACTAATCTAGGCATCTCACATTGGACAGATCCCGGAAACCTTTCATTGCCTCTAGGAAACCCTCTGTAACCGGTCTTACTATCAACAATGGAACCAAGGTCCTCGCAGTCACGGTGAAATGCGTCAATATGCGAAGAAAGATGGCCCGTAATGGCGAGCTGGAGCCCAATGAAGACAAGGCTAGATACGACACGCTCTCCACATGGGCCGCAGTGAAGTCTCAGGATCCGGATGACATGTTAACTAGGGATTTCGTTGTCGCTCTGAGAACGACTGTAAGTTTTCGCTCATCATGCTGCCTTGAGAATTGATTAACGCTTCTCGTAGGTTGTCGCAGGCAGCGATACCACGGCCATCGCCATACGTGCCATTCTATACTACTTGATGGAGAATCCAGACAAAATGCGAAAGCTGCAAGAGGAGATTGATACAGCAGATAGGGCCGGCAGGCTAAGTGCGGTGGTATCTGATAAGGAAGCTCGCGCCTTGCGCTACCTCACGGCAATCGAGAAAGAAGCAATACGTCTCTGTCCTTCAGTGGGCCTCATTTTCGAACGCCACGTGCCCGCCGGCGCAGCAGCCATCTGTGGCCGCTACATCCTGGGCGGCATCAGTCCATGGATTCTGCACTACAGCGAGGAAGTCTTTCCGGTGGATCGACGCCTCTCCCGAACAGCTTGCTATGATACAGAAGCATTTTTACAATGTCGGAGTCGGGAGCCGGAAGTGCATTGGAGTGAATATCAGTTTGATCGAGATGCGGAAATGGATTCATCAGATGTCGAGGGAATTCGATGTTATTCGAATGCGGATTGGAAGGCGAAGAATGTGTGGTTTACACAGCAGAAGTGTGAAATTGGGAGGAGGAAGAGCTAACGTCTCTGGAGGCTGGGAGAATGCTGAGCTTCATGCTGCCAGCGAATGGAGATCTTGCTGCAGCTGACCTGAGAGGAGAAGTACGTGCGGAAAAGGATTTAAGCATATTCTGAAGTACCTGGAGTACCATTAGTATCCTTAATCGAAGGTTGTGGATAGAAATTGGGTGATGGACTTGGTCAGAACAGAGTTATTGACAAGCCTCGGCGGATCGGGCCATCGTCGGGCGTTTGCTCGTGCGGGCAGTGATCGGCAGGATGGAATGCTTGTACTGTGCTTATGCTGCTGTGCTGCTCGGCCAAGAAACCTGGAAGCGTCGGGTGTTACAAGACGCCCTGGATGGCACCAGCGAGGGCCATGGATTATTCATCTTCGCATTCTTTCGCACGCCGAAACGTTTTCGGCCCAACCCACGATGCCCATCTGCCGTCGGCGATTGGTGCCGCTGCTGAAGGGCCCAGACGTCGGCGCGCCCCCGATGACGCTTGGCACGTGCGGGCTAAACGAGCTGCGCGTCCCAGGTAAAAGTTTATCCCTCATTCTTTCTTCTTTCCAATTCTCCTTTCCTCCTCGATCAACGGCGCTTTAATGTACCACGACATCACCACCTCCGCTTGCAGCTCAGAGCTTCTTTTGGCTTCACAAATCATCACCGGTGATACACATTCTCTGCGCAAATGCGCCATTTTTGACTAACCGACCTGTCACCTACCCTCCACTGCCGCCGCTGCGCCGAAAAGCTGGCAGCCCCTTTTGAGGCACTTTGCGACTGCCTCGACACAGCACACCAGCACCACCGTCGCGGCGAAGGCGACATTCCACGGCAAACCACCAAGTTGGCGGGGACTCAGGCACTCTCGTTCTCCCAAATCCGCCCTCTGCTCGGGCCCCGGTGGTTCGTCAGCGGAGGCGACATCAAGCGGCCTCCATAACTGCGCCGACCGCAACTGCAATCGAGACATCGCGCTCCACAAAAGCAGCGATACGAATTATCCAATACTCGATGGGTTAACTTGCAGGCCTCTGTGAAGGCTGCGTGCGCGAGGGCATAGGACGAGACCTGAATCTCGCTTCCGCCGAGGATACAAGGAAACATCCAGGGAGGATCTAATCTATATTTCCGGATAAGGACACACAATTTACAACACAGCCAAAAAGAGCCAAAAAGACATGACAGCCGGCGCAATGCATACTCCACGCTCCGAGAAGTCGCAGACTCGGTACAGCACGCCCGAGCCCGACTTGGATGACCACCGCTTCCAGCCAGAGAGCCTCCCGCCTGCAACCGAGTCGCTCGTTCAGGCTCGTCGAGGTACACTGGCCAGCATTGTGGATGGCGACCGACCTCAGCGTCCAGTATTGGTTGTGCCTCATGTCGACCGGCATGGCTCTATCACTCGCGACTTCGAGCACGCCGTCGACGATGCTAACAGCATCAGGAGTAAGAAGTCGAACCGTTCCGAACGGTTATTGTCTCCTGACGAGGAATGGCACAAGGAGAGGCGGGCTTCTCAGGGTGGCTCGCACAGCCCCATGAACCCCAGAAGAAGCCAGTTTCGTAGAGCAATGCATAGCCGGCGAGACGACGATGGAGCCTCGGTACGTTCGGGTGAATCTAACCGATCCACATCGCCTCCAAATTCTGTGGACGCTTTTGCGCCTACCAATCGCCCGAGAGCTGGCACCGCGAACAGCCGCGCTCCCACTCTAGACAACACATCCCTGAAGAGGACGATCTCGAATTTGACAGCTCAGCGCCAGCGGAGGCCCACCTTTGACAATATTGAGGTCGCCGACACGCTTGCTGCTCCGGGACTCAAGTCAGATGTACCATCCCGTCGCAGCTCGGTCGAAGATGATGTCTGCTTCCCGCCTGAAGAGCCACCAAACACCTACACGATCGATTTCGAGGATCTAGAGGAGTTCGTTTCTCAGACGCACACCAAGACGCCGGTCGCGCATCCTTTCATGCCACACTTTACGAAGGAAAATGCCAACCCAAAGAAGGTTCACAATGATCTACGTTCCAACAGCCAGAATGGAGACTACTTCATCAACATGGACCAATTCACGAATGGCAACGCCAATGGCAAGGTTGACGAGAAGGGTGCAAGCACCGAGCCTGATGACAACACCCTTGCCCGAGCGCCTAGCATGTCGGAGTATCTCAACCGCTGGACTTTCTTCTCTTCCGAGATTGACGAGACCATCCATGCTCCTGAGCTTGGCGGTCTTTTGATGCCGGGCGAGACTTTCCGCGACCTGTTCGAGCTCGGCCCGAAAGGAGGTGTCTGGTGGCTTGACATGCTGAACCCTTCCGAGGAGGAGATCTCAACGATCTGCTCCGCATTCCGAGTCCATCCTTTGACACGAGAGGACATTACCACTCAAGAGACTCGTGAGAAGGTGGAGCTCTTCAGGAGCTACTACTTCCTCTGCTTCCGCAGTTTCAATGCACTCGACAAGGAAAGCGAAGATTACCTGGAACCAATCAACATCTACGCCGTCGTCTTCCGCGAAGGCCTTCTCACGTTCTCGTTCTGCCAGAACAACCATGCCTCCCAAGTGCGAAAGCGCATCGGTCGTCTCCGTGACTACGTGAATCTGTCCGCCGACTGGGCCTGTTACGCGTTGATCGACGAGATTGTTGACTCCTTCGGACCAGTCCTCCGCGAATTGGAAAATGAATCGGACACGATCGAAGATTCGGTCTTCACCGCTCGCTTTGAAGACTCCCGCCAAATGCTACAACAGATTGGTGAATGTCGCAAGAAGATCATGGCTCTCACGCGGCTCTTGGGCGGCAAAGCAGATGTCATCAAGTCTTTTGCCAAGAAGTGCAACGAAGCCTATGCCGTGGCTCCAAGAGGCGATGTTGGGTTGTATCTGAGTGACGTGCAAGACCATATCGTCACCATGATGTCCAACCTCGGGCACTTTGAAAAGATGCTCTCGCGTAGCCACACCAACCACTTGACACAGATAACGCTGGAGCACACGCACCAAGGTTCGCGATCCAATGAGTTGCTTGGCAAGCTCACAGTACTAGCGACGGTGTTGGTGCCAATGAATCTAGTCGCAGGACTATTCGGCATGAACGTCCACGTTCCGGGACAAGGCCAGGAGACGTACGCATGGTGGTTTGGAATCGTCGGTACGATCTTCACGTTTGGGATCGTTTGTGTTCTTTTGGCGAAGAAGTTCAAGTTCATCTGAAGAGGAGGAATCCGCGAAAAGTTTTTGCTTGTGTTCCTGATGATTGCCATGACTGATAAAGAAGCGCGTAGATGGCAGATCGGGCATGGCATATGGGAAGAGCAAAAGCGTGACTTGGAGCATACATGGGACGTATTGCTTGTCTTGCGTTGGCGAGCGATTGTTGGCTTTGAAACGTTCTTGTCTTGTATGGTATTGGTACAGTTGTTCCATCGTTTTCTGATTTTTCAGTAGGCAACATAGAGTTTGCACATGCACACGATCGCGGACAATGCCTCTTCTAACCTCATTTCTGTCAAGTTTGTCGCGTGATGTGTGGGCGGGAAGGAGCCGAGGGGCGACCTCGACTTCGATGGTCTCGACTGCTTCTCATCTAAACAATGCCTTCCAATGTTTTCACATCCCATTCCCAGATAACGGACGATGCTACTACAGTCACTGGACGATCTGAGGCACAATCGGTTGCAGGAATGTTGCAGGATCCGAGCCAGCTCGAAGAGATCAGGTTTCGCAGTCATTCTGGATCCTACCTACTGCATTGTGACCAACGTGCGCTCTGTCCTCACACGAATGGCTGAGGATGGCCTGGTCTGGAGGCCCCTAGGGTTGAGGTTGACGTTAGGGTTAGGGTTCAAACTTCAACCGAAATTTCCCCTGACAGAATGGTAGAGTCCCCTCGCCAGAGTTGCAGGAGCCAAGTCTCGTTTGCAGAGCTCCAATATTGATGTCGCTATGTGCGTTTTTGCTATGCAGCGGCCTTAGCCAGAAGCAGACATTCCTTAGCGACGGACGTATCCGAGCCAATGAGAGCACTGGAAACTCCAGGGTGTTTCTTTGCACCTTCGTGAAGATGACATTTCTGGATCGAATGCACTGAGTCTCATACGATGGCGATGCGTGGTTGTTGTTTTGGAAGCGTTTTGCTGCAGGAACGTTGTCTGGGCGCTATAGGAAAGACGGACGTACACTAGCGGCGGGCGTGTCCGAATCACTGAAATAGTTCAGATTCTCATAGATATATCCTTGCGCCTTCTTCTGGGGATGATATTCCTGAATCGAATGAGCCACGAACGCCACGATACCAAAGAGGTGTGGTTGTAATTGGAGAAGCGTTTTGCTGTTGAAATATGGCCCGTGCGCTATATGAAGCTCGGCTTAGCTACAGCTCCTGCTCCTGCTTGACTTCGGGCCCTTCACCATAGCATCTTGACGATGAAGACAAACATCTATCCCACGACGCCACGAACATGGCAACCATATCACGAAATCTACGGTTCCAATGGCTGAAACGCACAACCAGAGTCGCCACACGTAGGCGCGCCAGCACTCTCGCCGAAATCCAAAACGGACTCCCCAAACGCCTCATAGCACCAACATGGGACGACCTCTTCCCTCAGAATTCCTATCGGCTCCAAGTCACTCTCGCAGACCACTTGCCTGAAATTTCGGCGCCAGCTCCGCCGCAGATCTTACCGCCGCCTAGTTCGAATCGACAGCTACCCATTGGCCATCATCTCGTCTATTTCGAACAATCACGTCGTGGAAGTTCCATGCTCCCCGATGGAACGAATCCCGATCAGAGTCCCGGGAAACCCTTCGTGCGGAGGATGTGGGCTGGTGGGCGGGTGCGGTATTCACAACATAACCCTCTACAACTTGACGGGGGAAGAGGTGTGGGGTGCGAGTTTATCAGGAATGTGGATGTGAGGGGGAAAGAGGGAGCGGAGAGGATCTTCGTCCGAGTGGAAAGACGTCTCGCGAAAGCTACCCCGGACGAAGTGCAAAGATTGGAAGCGGCGAGTGAAGATGAAAGCGGTTCGCTGAAAAAGGAACTGGAACACAGAGTCCGACAGAGATTATGGAGGAATGAAGAGGAAGATTTCGGGCAATGTTCGATTCTGGAAACTCGGAATCTCGTCTTCATGAAAGAACGCAGTCCGGAGGAAGCTAGCCAGGAAGCCAAAAGAGCAAAGGAGAAAATCCTCAAACCTCAACATTCGCCCGACTACACCCACGTCGTTGTCCCGGACGCCAAACTCCTGTTCCGCTTCTCGGCCCTCACGTTCAACGCCCATTCCATCCACCTGGACCGCCATTTCGCGCAAAACGTCGAAGGGCACGCCAATCTCCTCCTCCACGGTCCGTTGTCGTACACGTTTCTCGTGACGCTTCTGCAACAACAGCTCTCCCAGCGAGGCAACGAAGTGATCAAGACTATCGAATATCGAAATTTGGCGCCCCTGTATTGTGATGAGCCGGTTACGTTTGGGGGGAAACAGGTTGGGGAGAGGAAATGGGATGTCTGGGCGCAAGGGCCTGAGGGTGGGGTTGCGGTTAAAGGGAGTGTCGTGACGGAGACGGGCAGTATTGATCGAGCGAATTTGGGGCAATGACGAGTGGAAGAGTTCGGGGGTGTGGGGTTGGATTGGGTGGGGGAGGATTGACGATTGCTGTAGTGCGTAACAGTAAAGAGGTCAACGACAGACTCCGCTCCGACAGAAGAAAACAATTGAAGGAGGGAGCACGCTCAGAGAATCAGCACATCATTATGCTTGCCAGTGTGCAATGCTATCCAACAGGGTCCATACACCCGATACACAAAAAGCATCTACAGAGCCCACAACTCCATCGCTTCGCCATGCAACGGACCAATACTAATTACAACAACAGTAACAAACGTACAGTCTTTGAAGACCCCAGCACTCAACTTAGCTCATCCCCAACACTGCCTTGGGCACGAAATTGAAAGCCGTACTAACAAGCGCCAAAATCGTACTCACGACAATCAGACTCCAATCCACCATCTTCTGCCTCGCCGACAATTCTTTCCCGAAAAGCTTCAGATGGAAAGCACACGGAAGAATCAGGCAGATCGTAAAACATGCCACGGCTCCTAGTAGACTCATAATGGTATCGAATGCCGGGATCAAGATCGCCAGAAGCACGAAGATGACGACGCATAGGATGCGCACTGTGACTTTGAGGATGCCCCGTGTTAAGCCGGAGAGGCCGTGTGTGGGTGGTTGATTGCCCATTGCCCTGGCGTCGAGTCCGAGGAAGAGTTCCAATGTAGCGACGATGGGGCGCGCATTGAGAGGTACTTTGGTCAAAGGGATGATGGCGATGCAGATGACAATGAAGACTGAGGTCCAGGCTGGATAGCCCCCGTCGTCGTTTGAGAGTATGTTCCTCGTGACTTCGTCTTTGACTCCATCTCCAAACATCAGTAACCCGACAACGGCCATGAGGAGATCGAGCGTGAAGGTGAAACCGTAGGTGATGTTTACGCCCCGACGATATTTGTACGGATGGCGCATGTCACGGTAGATGTTTGGGAAGACGGAATGGCCACCCCAAGGGGACATGAGGATTCCAAACGAAATGGGGAGAGTTGCCCAGTTCGCGGGGAAGAGATGTGTCGGTGCTGGTTCGCGGAGAGAGCCTGGCGTGGTGGGTTTGATGAGACCGTCGATCAGGACTACGAGGACGATTCCGAAGCAGGAAAGGATGCCGAGAATGCTGGTGAAGGACAGGTAGCGGAGTGGCACGAAGGATAGCGGGATGAGGATAATGCCACAGATGACTTTCCATTGCGTAAGGCCCCAACCGGGAATCAGCGCGTCGAGAGAGTCGGCAAAGAGGACAATGAGAGCGACGCAGGCGGCTAGTAGCTCGAGGGAGAAGACGATTGATGTACCGATTCGGGCCCAGGGTCCAAAGGAGACGTAGGCGAGATCTGCGAAGGTGATGAGGCTGCTGTCGACGTCGGCGCACTTTGCCAGAAGTTTAGCGGTGTAGCAAGTTGAGATGCCGGCGAAGAAGAAGAATATCAACCCGGGTATCCAGCCAGCATAGTTCATGGCTAGAGGCAGGGCAAGGAGTCCTACGCCGATGAGCACGTTGACGGAGTTGAAGATGGTCTGAGGTAAAGTGGACTGCCCGACCACGACATTGACCGCGGTGCCATCCTCTTCCTCGATTCGCGTGACCAGGAGAGGATCACGTTCTTTGTCTGGAGCGGTTGTTCCTTTCGTTTGCTGTTGACGAAACAGACGGCCAGCGTGCCTCATACTGGATTCGTTGACACGTGAAGATAGCGAGCCCCAGGTGCTCCCATAACTGCCTCCAAACGGAGATGCCAACGAAGGCTCGATGAGAAAGATGTTGTCGTCGCGCCGCGATTGGCGAGAGATTGTCTTGTGTAGCAGCGGCTCTTGCTCGTTCGCACGCAGCTGATCGGACATGTGCTGATCCTGATCTCGCGTCGTTCTTCGCGACAGAGCGCTCGGTGTCGTCAAGTCGTTCACCTCCTCCAACGCATCGTCCGAGACGGCCCTGTCCCTCGCTTCGATCTGTTGCCTCAACAACGATCTCTGGGCCTTTGGTGTTGTGTCAATCTCCTCCTCATCTCCTTCATCCTCGTCTGCAGGTTCTGCATAGCGAAAGCTCTGCCTGACTGGAGTGATCTCATGAAAGCCTACAGCACGCTGCCATGAGCGGGCGAAGTTTTCGAAGCTGTTCACACCGCCTGCCTCTCTGACCGCCTTCATAGCCATTCCCATTGAGGATGTCCTCCTTCGAACTCCTCTTCCTGGGCCCCCATCTTCGCCCGGCGCGGCATATGCACTGTGATATCCTGTTTCTGAGGGTCGATCATGTTGCGATTGTTGTGATCCGTCTTCGCTCTGGAAGTGAATGCGGTCGTGGTGTAGGCTGTTATCGGTACCTGTAGAATCTGCGCGTCCACGTTCGTATGCGGCCCAGCTGGAGGGCAACTGTCCCCGCTGCGCCGACATGTTGCACAAGAGATGCTTCACGCTCGTCCCAGCTCCCGCAACAGCTCCTCAATACCAACGGCACTAGCAACGGTAGCTCCGCAGCGGATGGATCTCCTGCTCAGCAATTGAAGCGCTCCACTTGGATGAAGGGAAGCAACGCTTCCGGGCAGAAAGGCAGTTCAGTTGGGAGAGGTCTTACGAGTGAAGAGAAGTTCTAGCACACCGACTGACGGAGACGGGGCCAGCATATCCTTATATCTGGGCAAGACAGGACATATCCCCGAGCGCAATAAAGCAAGCTGCCCGCCGCGGGTCTCGGATCGATGGCGCTTGGGGAGGAAGATTGTGCAGTACGTAGCGGCTGGGGAGAAGCGGCAATGTGATGAATTCTTATCAGACTCTGGTGGCAGATGAACAAGGACCAGCGACCCGCTTCACAATGGCCCTGCAGAGAATGGGAAAGTTCCTCTTTTCTCCCTCCGCCATGTGACCTCGGAGGTGCATGGTGCATGGCGCATCGTGTAGGTCACTAAGCTATTAGGTAGAAGACTAAACTCGACCACGTGCCGGTGTAGCAGAGTAGTGGCCTTGGGACGGAGCGAGGTGTACATGTACCTTCTTAATGGCGTGAAGGTCGCGCGTTGATATCGGAAGGGTGGTACACAGTAGATCCATGTAGTCACGCCGTTGGGTAAGAAACCCGCACCGCGGGGTTCACGCTTCTCTGATTGGAGCGAGGAGCGGGAGCGGGCCGGGAAGCCGGACCTTTTACAGCCGCCTGCCTTGTGTGACGTCTCGTCTCGTCTCGTCTCGTGCGAATTTCAACCTCTTCCTACGGCCATCCGACCACGCACAAAGGGAGTCCTCACGCAAATTCACGGTAGAGCGACCGCTGCTCTGCTATCTCCCGCCCATTTTGCCGTCCACTTGCGAGAACCGGTGAGTACATGTACACTCCCCGCATGACTCAGCCGCCGTCGCTCTGCCCGAGTCACATGCCCGCCACGACCTCGTAAATTCCCTTTTCGCACCGCACCGCACCGCACCGCACCTCCCCACCCCCTCCACTCCCACCAACACAATTGGAAGTGCTGACGTCTCTTGCCTCCACCACAGTGAGCGAGTCTGCGCTCTGCACCCGCAACCATGTCGGCCCCTCAACCCAACGACGCCGAGAAGAATATCGAGATATGGAAGGTCAAGAAGTTGATCAAGAGATTGGAAGCCGCTCGCGGCAACGGAACCTCGATGATTTCCCTCATCATTCCGCCCAAGGACCAGGTCTCGCGTGCCGCCAAGATGTTGGCTGAAGAGTTCGGTACTGCCTCCAACATCAAGTCTCGTGTCAACCGCCTGTCTGTCCTTTCCGCCATCACCTCCACCCAGCAGCGTCTCAAGTTGTACAGCAAGGTCCCTCCGAACGGACTGGTCGTATACTGTGGTGAAATCATCACCAGCGAAGGCAAGGAGCGAAAGATCAACATCGACTTTGAGCCTTTCAAGCCTATCAACACCTCTTTGTACCTGTGCGACAACAAGTTCCACACCGAGGCCCTTAGCGAGCTCCTCGAGTCCGACCAGAAGTTCGGCTTCATCATCATGGACGGCAACGGTGCCCTCTTCGGAACCCTTTCCGGTAACACGCGAGACATTGTTGCCAAATTCAGCGTCGATTTGCCGAAGAAGCACGGTCGTGGTGGTCAGTCCGCTCTGCGTTTCGCCCGTCTGAGAGAAGAGAAGCGCCACAACTACGTCCGCAAGGTCGCCGAAATGGCCGTCCAGAACTTCATCACCAACGACAAGGTCAACGTGGCAGGTCTGATCTTGGCCGGTTCCGCTGACTTCAAGAACGACCTCAACCAGTCCGACTTGTTCGACCAGCGTCTGCAAGCCAAGGTCATCAAGGTCGTCGATGTTTCCTACGGAGGCGAAAACGGCTTCAACCAGGCCATTGAACTGTCCGCCGAGACCCTATCTAATGTCAAGTTCATCCAGGAAAAGAAGTTGATCAACCGATACTTTGACGAGATTAGCCAGGACAGCGGCAAGGTCTGCTACGGAATTGATGACACCCTCAAGGCCCTCGAGGCCGGTGCAGCCGAGACTCTGATCATCTACGAGGACTTGGAGATGACACGCTGGCAGCTAAAGGGCAGCGACGGCAGCGAGGTCATCTTGCACACCACCAAGCAGCAGGACAACGACCGCAGCCTTTTCATGGACAAGGAGACTGGTCAGGAGATGGAAGTGATTGACTCCGTGTCGTTCCTCGAGTGGATCTCCGAGAAGTACCGCGACTTTGGTGCTACCCTGGAATTTGTCTCCGACCGTTCTTCCGAAGGAAACCAGTTCGTTCGCGGCTTCGGTGGAATTGGTGCCATTCTTCGCTACAAGCTCAACTTTGAGCAATTGAACGCCGACGAAGAGGACGAGGATGAGTTCTACGACGATTGACAAATAGATGACCTCGCAGAGGGCGAGGCGCCACGCACAACACCGCCAGCACCGGTCATGGCAGCCGATGTTAAGGCGCCCGCCACTGCGCAGCCAGCACAACAGGCTGCGACTGCTACTGTCTCAGCAGCCAACGAGACAGGAAAAGGAAAGCAGGAAGCGGCGAAGGAACCGAAGACCAGCTCCAGCAGTAGAGGAGCCTCGTTTGCCAAGAAGGTCCTCGCCAAGCAAGAGTCAGCGACGAAGATGACAAGCCACAACCGACCGAAGGTGGGATGTTCCGAGCACCAGAGGTCTTTACGGTTGCTAACGATTACAGGTCTCTTCGCCACTGAAGGCAGGCATCACCGCCTGACAGGGCTCTCACGAACGCACGTCGGAGAACATCAGTACTGATCTCTTCACCAGTCATGAACCTGACCTCGGCCAAGAGTAAGAACTGATATCTGCGCGCTTCGTGTGCAGAGAGACATGATACCGAATATCATCATCTACAACATCAATGTGATTTTTGTGCAAGAATGACTGGGCGTGTTTGCTTCTTCAGTGTCTTTGCAAAGACCACGATATCAAAAAGAGACACTCCTTCGGTCGCACTGGCGAGAATGCTTTATTCAGAATCTGTCGTTCTCTTGGGTAGCTTGACAATAAACACAGTCCTTTCCGAAGCCTCGAGCCTTCACCCTGCTCCACTTGTGCCCAGTCCGCGGATGACCTCCCGCAAGCTTCTGCCAGAGAGACCTATTCACAACCATCGACTTCCTGTTCACCTCACACCTCCGCACTTTGCACTACGCATACAACTCACAGCCTGCTCTCTTCACCCAGCCATCCAACCTGTACAATGTGGGAAGCCCCGAATGAATTTCAGCCAGCCAGCCACTCAAGTCTTCACTTCCTTCCTCAACACATCCTTCCAAGACCCCAAGAATTTCCAGCTCGAGGCTTGGCTATCGAGCTCTTGTAAGGCAGCATTCACAGCGCCTTCTCCCTTCCCTCTCGGCCGTCCCCGGAATTCGATGAAGAAGATGTACTGCCAGACTCCCAGCCCCGAAGGACGAGATTGGAAATTGGTCAGATTGATGCCGTGATTCGCGAAGACCGCCAAGCAAGCAGCCAGAGCGCCCGGTTGATCGTGAGGAACTTTGAGGCAGATCAGAGATTTGTAGGATTGCAGTTCGATTGCTTCCAGGCTGTTGGCGGGGGGTTGGGAGAGAGGCGGGGTGGGGGATTTCGTGGAGCGGAGGATGAGGAAGCGGGTGCTGTTGCCTTTGAGGTCTTGGATGGAAGGGGCGAGGATGGTGAGGTTGTACAGTTTTGCGGAGAGGCGGGACGATATGGCTGCGGAGGTTTTGGTTTGGTCTTTGGAGACGGCAAGGGCGGCGGCGGAGGTGGAGGCGGTGTCTTTTTGGGGGAGGGTGGGGAGGTGGGTCTGGAGGAAGGTGGTGCATTGGGCCCAGGCTTGCGGGTGGGAGTGGAGGGAGGTGATGTGGTCGAGAGGGTAGAGGGGTTTGTTGCTGCTGTTGGTGCCGTTTGCGTTGCCTCCGTCTTGCTGGGCGGTGGTGGTGGTGGCCTCCTTTTCCTTGTCCTCGAGTTTTCGCCACGGCTCGCTCATGCGGCGTTCTTTCTCTTCGCGCTCCGAACTGCCGGGTCGATGGATATGTCCGACAAGACAGTGTTCGACTTCGAGATAGATTTCCCCTTCGACTTGTACGTCCCGGAACTGGCCATGTCGATCTGCCAGTAGATCCAGTGTGAAGATCACGGATCCATTCGTTGAATTCTCAAATGGTACCACGCCATGCGTCGCTTCTCCGCTCTGCACAGCGCGGAAAACATCATGTATGGTGGCTTGAGGATCCAATTCATACTCTTCCGCCGGGAACACAGAGATGGCAGCCTAGAAGGTAAACCTCTCATCAGCATCAATCTCTTGGAAACAAGTATGTCTGCGAACATCGGGATAAGAATGGGGTTCAATTCTCTTTCTATTCTCTCTTCAAGATTCTCTTCAACGATACCTCTTTGAATTGCAACCGATCATGCTTGCACCAATGCCATTCATATCCCTTCGCGTGTCCTGTGCCAGTGACGAGGAAAGGCGCCTCACTTACTTGGTTGGTATAGCTCGCCGCAGGTCCCAAGTAGGCTACCGCGGGCTTCTCCATGATACTTGCCTGACGTGTATTCTACTGTACCCGTGAGGAGGTTTGATATGCGAGTGTTCCCAACGGCAACAAAGTGCGACCTGGAGTGGTTGTCGGAAGCGACAATGCCAGCAGGAAACTCGATTGTTTGTGAGAGACGGTGACGGAAGCGTGGAGTGAAAGCTCGAAGTTGTTAGCGTCAACAGCGGCCCGTGTCCAGTCAGCGCTCGGTACAAAGAATAACACGGGTGGTCACGGCCTTACGACGAGAGCAAGGCCGGACGTAATCTGCTGATATTCAAATTGAGTCAACTGATAAGAACACGAAAAGTCACCCTTGCTGTACACATATGTTCAAGCACTTCAATGAAGATCACGAGACAACTTGCCAAGATGGAGCATTGAGAGGCCATCTTGTCATGCGATACACGATAAGCCTACGCGTCAAGCGGAAATCGTCTTCTAGCCGAGCTTGGTCATCGTCGTGCCTGTCAGCTACATGAACAAAGTAGGCCGCCAGAAGTCCCATACAGTCCCAATACGCCTAACCTCCTCAAAGTCCCGCATGCAAGCCCGACGCCGTTCTCTCCTTCCCTCGTATCCGTGCGCGCACCCGGCACACTCTGGGTATCTCCTAATTGATTGTCTTGAAACAGAATGTGGTGCCAAAGTCCAACGCTTAAGCATCGGCCTTCTTTCCCTTCTTCTGCTCCACCTTGAGGAGAAGCGCGCGGTTGATGTGTGGGAGAACACCTCCGAAAGCAATGGTGGCCTTGATGAGGGTGTCCAACTCTTCGTCACCACGGATCGCGAGCTGCAGGTGGCGGGGCGTGATACGCTTGACCTTCAGATCCTTTGCAGCGTTGCCTGCCAATTCGAGGACTTCAGCGGTAAGGTACTCGAGGACGGCGGTAACGTAGACGGCGGCTTTGGCACCGACGCGCATCTTGTTCTGGGTCTGGCTCTTCAAGAAACGCTTGACACGTCCGCATGGGAACTATGGCCTCGATTAGCGACATTGCAATTTCGGTGCAGCGGGGTAAGAAGCGCGTAGGATCGGGTTCGTAGTGGCAGGGTGGCAGCAAGTGGAATCGACGAAGGCTACACAGTAGTAGTAAGTGTGATTCGTGGCGTGTGCTTGCGACCAGTACACGGAATGCCCTTTGCGCGCGCCAGCCGCCGTATAGCTTGCTACCTCATGTGCAAGACGTGTATCGCGATAACACGTACCTGAAGACCCGCCTTGGCAGAGTGAGACTTCTGGGTCTTGCCAGCCTCGCCGCCAGCCTTGCCACCGCCAGTCTTTCCACCGGATTTGCCTGGAAAGGTGTCAGAAACGCCCGGTCGAGTCCAGGAGATTGCGCCAGCTCATACCCTTGCCGCCTGCCATTGCGCTTGATGTCTGAGGAAGGAATGCGATTGATAGTCGAGCTTGCGCGTGTGCAGAGAGGTTGCTGTGAGTCGCGTTGGGTGGTTACGGATGGTTTACGAGGGGACGAAAGGCGATGAATCGAAGAAACTCGCAGGGCAGTCGCGTTCGGCGGGATTTGGGGCTTGCGCTTCTTTCGGCTTAGTGCGGAACAACAAGACAGCTGCGGTGGCCTGTGCGAGCGCTTCGAGGCTCGGGAATGGACGGCAGACGGCGGTGGGTGTATACAGACGTCGACCGCGATATGAAGGGCTGACCGTGCCTATGGAATGTTTAGCTGGCCCGTGTGATTGCGCTATGGGAGATAGAGAGGCTGAGGAGGCCTGGTGGTGAACAGGGGAAGCTCCGGTAGAGTGCCAAGGCCAAGGTATGGCTCTCAGGATACCTTAGCCAAGGCGAGGGAATTGAGAGTAGAACGGTAGGTCGTGTACAATGATGTGTGATAGAAGAGGAGCATACCTTCTGATGGACTTGACAGGAAAGCCTCAGCCTCAGCCTCTAGAATGTGCTGGTGAGGCGCGAACGTAGCAACTCTCAGAGTGTCTCCTGCAACGTTTTCAGTCAGCGAAAGGTCAATCGTGGTTGAGGGAGGAGATCCGAAACCCACATGGTCTTTCAATTCTCCTCGAGAATAGCGTCTTCAACTGCTTAGAGGGATCATTGGCCTCCTGGCCCGTGGCATAGAGCTTGGAAGAGGCTCTGGCATGCTCAAACGGGTAGGCCTCATGGCTCTGGTTCAGGCCTCAATACCGCCCGCCAGCGCGGGTCAATATTCACAAAGCCCGATATAGAGGTAGACATGATGTTCTTGTCCGGATCTATCAGGTTTTGAAGCTTGATATGAGAAGTACAGAATGGGTCGTGTCTTTTCTCTCCCAGCACTTGTCGACTTGGTGAAGCAAGTCCATTTGGCGCCTTACCCTTTCGGGCGACAGTGGAGGAGAAGCGGAAGTGGCTCCGCTGCAACGTGCACAGTGAGAGCTCCAGCTGACTCACGTTGGAGCTTCGTGCTTCAATTGCTCTGCTCTGGGAAAGCTGCCAACACCGCTTGGCAATAATGATGCTGCTCTACAACACAGGCATCAGCTACCATCCGCTCCCGCCTCCATTTCTCACATCTGTCGCGAGCAGATGACAATGGCCCGCTCCGCGTCTCTCTCCAACTTCCTCCCATGCGAATCGACTCCAATCTCTCGCAACACGCTTGGCCCACTGAGCATTTTCCAGCCTTCTTCCCTTCCATGCCTGTCCCGCCAACGCAGGTACAGCTCCTGGTCTGGACCGGCAAGGCGATATCTCAGATCGTTGACCGGCATCTCCGGAAGCCGCGCCCACTGTTTGATGCCGCTGGGCCGATGGATTACCATGATTCTTGCCAAATCACGCGGGAAGATGTACGCCTCGTTGGCCAGTAGCTCGGGTCTGGAAGGACAGCCTGCCACGTGAATGGCGCGTAGTTCGATGGATATGGTGTTCATACTGCGCACCTGGACATCATTTGCCCACCGCCCTGGTCTGCCTCCAGGGCTCCGCTGTCGTCTTCGCGCACGACCTCCAATCTCGATCTCCCAAGCTTCCTGAAAACAACGCCAACCATTGCACCAAGGATAATCGTTAGCTGGTGGCGAGGAAACTCTCCAGGTGTTGTCTCCTGTCATTGCGCCGAGATGCCGCCTGCAGATGGTATAACTCTCCACATTGTGAACACAGCAGCAGCCATTTCTCCACCACGTAATGTGCCGGAAGGGTAATCCCAGCATCGCCTTTTGATGACACCACAGGTTGAACTCGCTAATCTTGCTACCAGCTTGGGCCTCGAGGATCTGTGAAGCACTGAGAAGGCGAGCCGGCCAGTTTGACAAGTCCACCGGCATTTTGTGCTCAAGGAGATCTAGAGGCACCCCTTTCCAATGACTTGAATAGGAGATCAACACTCTTTGGCAACATCTATTAGAGCGATCCCGCTTTCGTTTGCTCGGTGAAAACTCTCCGAGGGTCTGCTTGCTTCAATTTCAGCATTGACAAACACCTACCCGAAGTGCCGCTATATCGAAGGACCGACGCCGCTCCGCGACCTGAGCCTGATTGGCGCTTCACTGAGCGTATTGCACAAGCAATCAGCTTTCATGTTCTTTTGGGAAGATTGTTCGCTTCAATGCAACCTTCGTGGCACTTTCTATCTTCGAGAACACTGCCTAGACTGCACTGCTGAGGCTACCTGACCTTTCCGTCTAGTCTATCCCTCACTTCCCAGTCTTCTTGCCATTCTTCTTGCCATTCTTCTTACCGTTCTTCTTGCTCTGCTGCTTACCCTCCTCCTTGCTTGTCCCCTCCGCCGCCACTCTCGCCTGGAGCGTCTCGAGATCCTGCGTCCACTGAGGCTTAGCCGGCATCTCCTCAACACTCCGGACTCGTCCATTCGGATACTGAACATGAGCATTCGGAGACAAACCAGCAGCCTGCAGCTGCCGATTCATCTCAAGGGGCGAAATCCAGCGTTCTTCAAGGTCTTCCCACTTCAACGATGCCGGATGCAGAGGTACATGCATGCGTCTCAAATCGTTCATGTTTCTCTGTTTGTGCGCCCTCAGACTGCGCCACGGAGTCCAGCGTGCGCGACCTTGGTTGTCGTTTTCGAGCCGGATGGCCTCTGTTGCTGCGTTTTCGATGTGACCTTCGAGGAGGTGGAGGTGGTCGTGTGGAGGTAGACTCATCTCGTCTGAGAGGGGAAAAGTTGTGATGTATTGGTTGGAGTAGTTGTTTTCTACCCAGTCTGGGAGCTTGCTCTGGTGACTCGCTCAGTATAATGGAGCTCTCAAAGAACCAAGAGGAGGCAGTGCGCTACTCACCATGCTCAACGCAGCATCCTGCGCTTTGCCGAGACCACGCTCGTCTCCGGCTTCTTGGTAATGATCTGGATCGCTTGTTTTCTGGTTGGACATCTGGACAGGACACTTAGTAGCTATGTGAGTGACGACAATGCTCTTGAAGATATCGAGAGGAAGGCCAACGGAAGTGGTGCTTAAGAAGTATTGGATTTGATTGCTAGAGGACATTGACTGTCACGAAGCTCGGCCTTGAGCTCGCTTCGCTTCATTCTGGCACCGCTTTATGAGAATCATCTATTACAAAAGACCATTGAGACGAGTGGACTCTAGAGCAGGGGCTTTGAGGATTGGATATTTTCTGGAACATACCAGATCCGCACGGCAGATATGCAAACACGAGACTCTTTGTCAGCTCTTTGGACGGCATGGGGGAAACACTTCTGCCACGCTCCAACAGGGTCACATATGGCTTGATGTCGCCGTATAGGTTCGACTTTTCACATGCCGAGGATCCCCATTCACTCGGTCACAGAAGGACTCCGGCTACGATCGGCATTATCCTGCCGATCCGTCTAAGGGAGGGAGCACCTGCCTTCTGGTCTGGCGGGGCTGCAAATTGAAGAAGGCGCGGTGCATTTGGACGCGCGGTGCGTTTGACTTCAAATAAGCGACGGATCCTGTCAGGAGCACAACCAAAACAACTTCTACGAACCGCAGCGCATCGCATGATCCCACTTCACCGTGCACTTCACGATGTTCAGACTGTTCACCATCGTTCTGGCCAGCGCAGCCATCGCGGCTGCCACGCACACGGTCCAAGTTACCGTCACTAATGACCGGACCAAGTACCATGGCGACATTTGGAACACCACCGTCGACGTTCCCACTCCCGGCATGTCTAACGAGCTGGGCTTGAAAGACGCGAAAACGCTTTACGTGACGGGAGCGAAAGGCCTCAACGTCGAGAAGATTGTGTGCTCTCCTTTTTGGCTGAACAATACCGGCATCATGCGTGGCGACAACTTCACGATTGAAAAGCCGGCATTGGCTCCAAAAGGAAGTCTCGGACTCCATTTGTTGGAATGTATGACTCTGGAACAATCTTGTGGAGAGTTCAACGCGGCTGAATCATACGCGCGAACTCCAATCTTGAAGCCAGGAGAGCATGGCCCGCCATGGCCGGACTGCTTGAAATTAGTTTCAGTAGATGCTGGCAAACCTATACGTAAGTCCTCCGGTCCACTTCTGGAACGCCAGCTCATCTGACAACTCTGCAGCATGTGACTGCTTCAACCAAGGCGCTTTCCTGGACAACTACCTCGATCTCGATAACGTCGCTCAAGATGCCATTCACGCCGCATGCGACTACTTCGGCACAGCCACCATTGGCACCGACACCGATATGGTATATTGGTACCACTATTACGGCCAGCAAGAGGGCTATGTCCTCCTCCACGTCTACTGGCACGGTCAAAATGGCAATGAGTGCAACACAAATGCCGGCAATGCAAATTACATGGACCTATTCCGCAGTACTTGCTACGACTCTTTCTGGGGATTGTTCCACAACCAGAACAGTACTGGCCATACGAATCCGCTCGAGGACGTTTACGGATGGTAAGTTCAGTGGCACTTAAAATGAGAGCGTTCTTGACGTGCTGACACTTTACCCAGCGCACCGCCTGATGTTCTCGGCATGCAGCCCCCTGGTGGAAAGGGAGGATGGGGGACTGATGAGTGTCTTGTGTGGGAGATCGATCCGGCTCCGAGCGTGAACAACCCTGAGTTCAAGATCGGTTGCAATATGGATCCTTCGAGCAGCAATGCGTGTTGAGGCACATGAGGTCAGGAGCACTTTGCTTTGAACGCGTGGACATGGAGAGATGCGAGAGGTTGGCGAGTCACGATGCGACTGATATCAAAAGTTTCGTTGGCTCAGTAGCTCACTGTCCCTCAGCTACTAAGGCCTTTCCCTGCCCTTATCTCACTCTTGTTTCCGCGCCTCATTCTTGCACGCTGAATGGAAGGCACGGCTCATTGATAAGTTGGCCTCCTCTGACCGGCACCACGTTGCGGCTCACAAGCACCGCCATTGGCTACTCACTTCCTCACTTCAACTTGGTACAAGCCGTTCGACCTTGGCGAGAACAACGAGCACGACCACAACAGCAACCTCGATCTCGACAACAGCACATTCTTCCTGACTGCGGACCTACACGACCAGGCGAAGTATACTCACCTCCTCCTATCTCCACTTGTCGAGAGCTAACGCCACCAAAGAAGCAGCTCCAAAGCAATGGCTCCCCTACTCTACTGTGTTCCTATGGAAGCTGTAACAAAATACCAACAAAGCCTGAAACAAGACCCCCACCCCTCCTCCACCACCACCTGGACCTTCCAAGACATCGGCAACGCCCCATCCTCCGTCCTCCTCGCCGTCATCGTCCTCCCTCTCTTCATCATAGCAGTCCCCACCATGGTTCTGACCTTCGTCTCCCGCAAACGGCGCTATCTGAGACTTTTCCTCACGACGTTGAGCTACCTGGTAACGGTAGCAGCAAGCTCGTTACTGCAGTGGGTTACGATTTCCATGTGGGAGAGTCAGAAACAGGAGAGTCTGAGTGCGCGGCCGGTGGGGTTCTTGGTGTTGGATTTCGTGGCGACGGGGTTTCCGATATTGGTGGGGAGTTTTGCTTGGGTCATGAGTTGGGCGGTTAGTGGCGGGTTTAGGGGGTGTAATTCTTGGTTGGCGAATCTGGAGGAGTAAGGTAACTTGTTAAGGTTATGAGTGGATTCGGTGCGGGTACTAAGGCACAAAGGTAAGCCCCAGATCTTCGCGGGCCGAGGCGCATCTCAACAGCGATCGGGATTCAGGACTCCGACGACATCTTGGACCTCTGCTTGTGTGCTGGGCACTGGGCACCCACTTGGCACAGCACTGGGAAGCGTATCCTTCACCCTCCCTTCCTCATCAGTCCCTCGTCCTTCGCTTGCACGTGTCTTCGTCTACCCGCACCGAAATTCCTCCAAGATGGACCGTCCTGCGCAGCAACAGAGCGTGCCCAAACTCTACCGAATCTCGACTCTCCGGGAGTTCCTACCCTTGTCCAGCGATGAGAGAGATTCTTCTCTGGCCTCCGCCCGCGGCTCCAACATGGCCGGCTTGATTCAAGCCAGCTCCGCTACCAATCTCGCCGGCATGCGATCCAAATGGCTGCCTCGACGGAACAGCATCAGTGCTGCAGAGATGCCCGCCCTGCGCCAGCGATCCGATTCCGAAAGCTCCCACGGCCTCGACCCGGCCTCAAAGTCAGCCTCACACAACCCCGGAGGTGTTGCCGGGTGGGGTGGAGGAGACGATCATTCTCGGCGGATGAGTTACGCGGCTGAAGTGCTCATGACACCGCAGGTGCGCAGTCAACGCTTGATCGGAAACACGAATCCGCGATATCGATGGGAGCAGTATTGGAAATCAGAGGATCAGTTGAGGAGGATCAAGAAGAAGAGCATACGACAATACTACGAGCGGAACAACTACCTAGTGCAAAATTACATGTACATTGATCGATTGCTGGATAGCAGTCTCCCGCACGATCTTATTCAGGAGTACAATCATCCCTCACATGAGAGCCCATTGATACAAGGGAACAAACCGAGCAGACAGCAGAATGGAGGCCTGCAGTTTGAATTACCAGATTCCCAATATCCCGAGACAATCGAAGAGGGCGATGAAGAGCCACAGCAGCAGCGCTTGTACCTTGAGCGAGCAGGCTCATTCGACAGTATCCTGGCAGATGGCGAAATGTATCGCGATGTCGAGCCCGAACCACCCAAGCCGAAGGTGAAGCGGACACCAAAGGACATATATTCGATCAAAAAGCAACCCAGTGACAATCATCAGGCGACCGAGGAAGAACCTCTTCTCCGCACTAACACCAGAGGTGACCTGGAAGAACAGACAATGCCTCCAGACCTTGAGTTTGAAGACGAAGCCTCTTCATCATCTCGCATCGTCCAAATCGCAATCTGGGTCAATCTCGTAGCCAACACAGCACTTCTGGCCATGAAGATTGTTGTCGTGCTGTTGAGTTCTTCGGTTTCCGTGCTTGCATCACTTGTGGACGCCGCGCTTGACTTCCTCAGTACCGCCATCGTTGGACTGACTACCTGGCTCATATCCCGAACAGATCAGTATGCCTATCCAACCGGCCGTCGGCGTTTGGAACCGGTTGGTGTACTGGTCTTCTCTGTCATCATGATAACGGCGTTCATTCAGGTCCTGTGGGAGGCTCTTAGCAGTCTCACCAACGGCAAGCATGAGGTCGTTGAGCTAGGAACCCCGGCTATCGCAATCATGGCCAGCACGGTCGTGATCAAGTTCGCTTGCTGGCTGTGGTGTCGTCTCATTAAGAACAGCTCCGTCCAGGCCCTTGCACAAGACGCCATGACGGATGTCGTCTTCAACTTGTTCTCTATCATCTTTCCACTCATCGGCTTCTATGCTAGGATCTGGTGGCTCGATCCTGTGGGCGGTATCTTCCTCTCCCTCTACGTCATCATCAATTGGTCCCGGACGGCCTCAGAACATATCACCAACTTGACCGGCGCATCTGCTTCTCCGGACGAGCGCAATATCTTACTGTATCTCACGATGCGCTTCGCTAAGACCATACGCAGGATTCAGGGGTTACAGGCATATCATTCGGGTGATAAGTTGAATGTGGAGGTCGATATTGTGCTGGATGAGGATACGAGTCTGAGAGACTCTCATGATCTCGGCGAGAGTCTGCAGTATGTCATTGAGAGTGTGCCGAACGGTAAGTCACAAAGGTCTGGATGAAAAGCATTGTTGTGGTACTGACGCGCTCCGCAGTTGATCGAGCGTTCGTGCACATGGACTACGCGGATTACAATTTACCCAGCCATATGCAGCAAGACTCGTAGTCTTGCTTGAATGCGTGACTACGTGTATCGTCTCAATGGCTTGACGTTTACTAACAATTACTCGCAGATTTGTAACTATCTTGGCAGGCATGAAGTTCTGTGCTGTACATAGGGGTCACGAAGAGACCAACAAAAGGGAGCAAAAGACATGCCGAGACATTAAAAGGGCAGTACTTGGAATCGACAACAGGACGGCCGGTATAGGAACCAAGACCACGAAACAATCACAGTTCTTGCATTCTTGCCTGTCAGAATTCTCCTCCTACAACGCGCTTCCTACCGACCACAATCTCAGCTTCCCAATTCACATCTCTAACCTTTGCCTCTCAGGATTCTCCTCCTACAACGCGCGTCCTACCGACCACAAGCTCAGCCTTCCAATTCAGATCCCTAACCTTCTCTCCCCAAACCTCCCTAACCCCATCATCCCAAGCCGGGCCACTGGCACTCACACCCGTGTAATCATCCATCCAATCCTCCTCAGGCTCCGTCGTGAAACCCGCCACATCCACATCCGCAAATTCCGCTTCCCGCGCCTCCTTCTCCGCCTGCTCCCGCGCCGCAGCCATCGCCTGGCGATGCTGACGGCGGAGAAACGCCCTCACATTGATTGTTCCTCCCGTCAGCCTGTCGTATTTATTCTTGGCGGCCTTCGCGGAGCGGAACGTGTCCTGCGGCAGGAGGGAGATGACTACGTTCCAGAAGTCAGATTCTTGATGCAGGGTGGTGGTCTGCAGCAGATCGCTGACGGCGGTTAGGAGGTGATGTTCTTCTGCGGGCGTCCACTGGTCTTTTTGGCTTTGGCTTTGGCGGCGGCATTGGCGGCATTGGCATTGGCAGCGGTGGCTTTGGGCATTTTCCGACATTGTGGTGGTTGGTGTGTGTTGGTGAGTTGTTTGTAGCAAGTCTGTGTTTAGCTGTGCTTGGAGAAATATACTTTCTTTAGTGTGGTGCCGCCAGCTTTCACACGGGGCCCGCTTACTGGACCGCTGTTGGCGGCATGGATAAAGCGGACATCAAATGTCTACCTAGTTTGTTTGTTTTGACCAGGCGGTCGTGCCTTCCTATTTTGATCTGAGCGGGAGCCAAGGATGGGGGGCCTGGACAAGCATGTGAAAGCCGAGCTAAGCCGAATTGGGTCAATAATCTAAGCCAGCGGCTACTTTGGAGGCTACGAACATAGTGCTCGTCGTGCATTTTATTTCTATCTGTAGGCGTAGTCCGTAATGACAAAGTAGGCCAGAACCCTTTGCGCAGGAGTCATTCATCTCCCTTAGATTGGCACTGGTAAAGGCACTGCGCAGGTTTTGAGGTGGCCAGCGATGCGGATTGCCTTGGGAAAATTCGCTAACAGGGGGCATAGCTTCGCATTTCCTTCTTCCTCCTCTTCCTCATAGCCTGGAATCCCTAGCCCGAGCCTCCTGAACTATCATCTCCGAAAGATCGTAACCTACCAAGCCTTTGCGAAGGCTTTTGATGTGCATATGACGGCGCTACTCACGGAGAAGATCATAAATCCACGCCAATACATTTCCTTCTCTGTTCTATTCTCCCATCGTTTAAACACTTTCCCTTCCCCTACTCTCAAAAGGCAACATCAAACTCAACACCGCCAAAACACCAAAACATCCCGCACAGACAAAAATCGGCGCCGTCGTTTCCGGATTCGCATAACTGCCCACAACAACCCCAACCACCCCTCCCACCCGATTCATCACAGCACAGATCCCATACCCCGTGCCTCGGTGCGCGGAAGGCATTATCTCGGGTGTATACGCGTATATGACACCGTAGTAGATATTCGTACCGACACCGATACACGAGGAAACTGCGACGTTTTGTGTCGGGGTGGTGATTTGCGTGTAGCCGAATTGAAGGGACATGGTGACAAGGGCGCCGATGGCGAGGGTTCCTTTGCGGCCGATGTAGGGCGTCTCGACTAGTATGGCTGCTATACAGGGACCCAGGAGACCGACGGCTTGGTTGATGGCGTAGTTGCGCCAGGTCTCGTCGGTGGAGGAGTGTTGTCCGCTTGCTTTGGCGTGGCCTCGGGAGGCGAGGTAGTATGGTAGGAAGACTTGGTACAAGGGTGTCACGAGACCCACGACGAACCAGTTGAGGATCAGGAGGGAAGTAGAATAGGCTAAAAGTTTCGTTTCGAAGAGGCCGGACAGATGCTTGCGAACTCGCACGGTGGACCACTTGGATTTATCAGTGTGAAGGACGCGACCTTCTGCTTGGAGATCTTGGATGGATAGAGTGAAGGGACGATGATATTTCTGTGCGAGGCTGGCGAGATGATCGACGACCTCTTCATCGCGATTTTGGGAGACGAGCCATCGGGGCGTTTGGACCATTTTGAGCACGAAGATGCGGATCAAGGACAAGAAGAGGACCACTCCGCCACAAGTGAAATGTAAGTAGCGCCAACCCATGTTGTCTGCCCGATGGCAGTTTGGAGGTTTGACGTCGGTGGGACAGCTGAAGTTTGCCAGGAATGCCCAGGCTAGGAGGCCGGTGAACAGGTAGCCGATCGGGACCCAGATTTCGAGGAAGGTGACGAGCCATTGATATTTGCGCGGTAGAAATTCGTGAAAATTGGTCGCGTCGATGATGTAGCCTCCTCCCGCGGCGGCAGAATATATCGCGACCCTGACATTGCAGTCAGTCTGTCAGTCCGCTGGCCCACTCTCTCGTCCAAGACTTACATGGCTGAGAAGGATATGTAAGTCGTCATGCCAGCCGCAATGAGCACAAAGGCAGACACGAGAAACAGACTGCTGTTGAAAGCGAATTTCCTCCCGACAATGTCCGCCGAAAGCCCCCAAGCAGCGGCTCCCACCAGCAGACCAATCTGCGAAGCCAGCGAGACGCCTTTCAAAGCTGGATTCGGATTGCCGAATTCCTGCGTGACCGCCATCTGTGTGATCGACTGAATGACAATCAAGAGCTACAGTCTTTAGTCAATACCAAATTGGCGTTTTCGTGCTGTGAAGTGGAGCGTACCGAGTCCACAGCATACCCGAAGCCGTTCAAGAAGAACAATTTCCAGTGCCATTTCGTCATGCCAATCTCATCAATCGCTGTATTGACAAGTGCCATCTTCCTCGCCAACACCGGGTCGATGGCGGATTCGTCCCAAACCGCTCTTGCACGCTGGTGTACGTGCTGAGTATTGCTATTCTCTCGATCGTGGATCTCGTGTGTGTCGTTATCTTTGATATTGTAGCTGTCAGATTTCTCCGTATCAGGCGCCATTGCACTTCCTCTTTGTTCGCCAAGCTCACGTCGCTTGTTTCGTTGCTGGAAATGTACCCTAAAGATGAAGCATATGATTTTGGCGAAGATATTGCTTCCTTCATCGATGTATCTGTTGGAGTTGTCGAGATGGTAAGCAGTTCAAGCTTTCCGTTCTGTCGGTATCGACCTCCGCAAATAGCAGGTAGAATGTTTCAAGACGGAAGCAGCATTGCTATTGTACATTAGGGCTCTTTCCAGTTAACGAGTTTGTTGGAACTGGTCCCATAAACGTCGAGGAAGGACTGCCCGTAAGCGGCACCGCACAAGCTTTGCAGCAGAACAGCCATCCCAAGTCTTCTGCAACGGGGTTGTATCTAGCAAGAACAGCTCAACATGTACTTCGTACAACTATCGATTGGCCACAGTTTGGACTCGAGAAACGATTCCGAGCCGGTGCGATGTTGGCGGTGGCAGCAAACTTGGTCGGCTCGAACATGTTGACCGTGTACCTTTGACAGACCGTGGAAGACCGAAGCTTCCTCACTGCACAGCCTGGACCCCTTCAGTTGCTGCCGGAGTTGTCTCCGTCCTGCTCGATGTACTGCGATAGCAAAGCGCCGCAGAAGTAGATGTTCAAGGAGCTCAAGATCTGCGTAAGAGACGGCCTGGCATTTTGAGCTCGTTTGTAGGCCCGAAGAGGCGCGGCAAGCTGACGCACGGTAGCTTGCGTTTGCGACTTTATTACACAGTCATTGACCTAGCCCGAGGAGCGCGGTTCGACGTAACACTGTCGTGGCGGCCACGACTGAGCACGCTCTACTTGAGCCGAAGCGGATCCATTCGGAAGCCCGTCGGGTTGTGTTTCATGAGATGTGCTGGAAAGATACCAGGGATGCGGCTCCTGGTGTTTTCAACGAAGAGCTCTCCGTATCAGCGTGCTAAGCTGCTGAAGACGGGCAGCTGCCTGCGATCTCAGTCGCAGTATTTCTAGTCATGATTCTTGTCGTCATCGGCGTCTTGGGATTAATACTGATACAAGGGACCGCGCCAGTCAACACGCCAGCCTGGACTCACAGCGTCATTTTCCGCTATGCTGATCTCGAGCAGTGGCCTGCAGAAAGTCGACATAACATCCATGGGTATTGTTGCGTTTGTTTGTGCGGAAGCAAAAACAACAGTATTGGCGATGTAAAGGTTCTAAGATTGAAGCGAAACGTCATGGAGAAGAGCACAAACCCAATCTCACCCTCGGGAGCCAGGTCCGACAGGGTTTCCGTAGATGAGCGCCGATTAGCAGCCCCTATCATCACTTTTCATATTGATCCCTTCCATGTCTCCCAGGGGTGTTGCAAAGCACGTGGGAGAAGAGCAGTAGCAGGCAGACCGCCGTGATCGCCTACGAGAACACAGGGATCGTGATCGAGCAGCCAGAACCAGTGTAGGGTCGCCCTGTGTGTCAGAGGATATCCCATAAGTAGAGTTATGCACATACATACAGCCCTGCGTGCTGTCGTTCGCCATATCCCAACGCCATCGCTATGCCTTCAAATGCTTCATCTCGCTGCCTGTGATATTGGAGTGGCTCTACTTCTTCCCGCCCTTTTTGCCCTTTCCACCCTTTTTGTGGCTGTTCGCATCCCGCCCTTTTACAGACCCACTCGAGGCAGTGCCCAGCCGCTGCTTCATATACTGTGTGACAATGTTCTCGACACTTCCGATATCATGCTTGGGCTTCCGCATGTAGGTAAGCTTCGCTCTCCTGGCCCGTCTGCCCTGCTTCCTCTGGGCTATCTCTATCCCTTCCACATTGGGAGAATATATCTTGATCCACATCTCCACTCCAACTCTTGTTAGTTGATTTCGGAGCAGAATTGCCGTATCTATCGGCGAGTTTCGTTGTCGGATGGTGATGCAGACTCCACTGAAAGGGTCGCCGTTCTTGAATCGAACGAGGAGAATGTCACCCGGTTTTACGCGGTCAGCGTTTTGCGGTGAGAAAAGGCGTGTACGCGCCCCTGTAGGATCGAGCGTCTTTAGCTGGCTCTCAAACACAACTTTGACCGGATCCGGGCATATCTGGAGGGCGGAGCGAGGCGATGGATATGTCTTGATCTTTCGCAAGTTTTCGTTAACACCTTGAACGTTGTTAGCTGATGCTCAGCCTTCGAACTCGACTTGAACTCACGATTTTGCTTTATGGCTTGTGAAGGACGAAAGCCTTCCGAAGGGGCCTTGTATTTGCTTGGCTGTGCAGGCTCCAAGGAGGGATACGTTGCTGCCCATTTCTCCGGGGGATATGTTGCTGCCCATTGCTCCTGTGTGGTGGTCGCATAGTGTCGACATTGCTTCCGTTCAGCACGGCATTGTCGCACGGCTTGTTTCAGACCGGCGAGAGGGCGAAGGGTGTTTGACGTCGACATATGGGTTTGTATGCGGATGTATGTGGATGTAATTAATAGGATCTGGCGACGATGAGGTTGCAAGCGGAGGATCCAATGTCTTGGCTCCCCCGAACTCCGCAAAGCTCCGGCGCATTGAACTTGAATCCAGAACAGCAACTCGCCAACTCTGCTATCCCAACACACCATACCATGGCGTCGATATGTCACCGCTGCGCTGTCCGCCTCCGCCATGCCGCCCAGGCAGCGCCGACGAGGGCCTTCTCCACGACTCCCGCGGCGCAACGCGCTGTCCCTGCCTTTACCGAGTCGCCCAATCCTGAACTGAACGAACTCTTCTCGCTCATTAGAACGAAGCTATTCCTACCCAACTATCTGGACAGGCGAGAGAGGAACCTCATTTTCAAAGAGAAGTATAGGCAAATGCTGCTAGACAATCCACCCACCGTAGAGATGGGAGATGAGGAGTTCACGCTTGAACCGCTCGACAAGAGGAGAGACCTACCGGCCCGTTGTCCAACTGTTCGGAAAGCACTGGATATCATGATGGAAAAGGACAGCAAAGACTGGCACCAGTTACCGACTTTGATGCAGGGTTTGAAACAAGGCCTCAACAAGCCGCTAAGACTCGAGACGCAAGAGAAGATAATTCGCAAGGCCGTACACGCGGACCAAATGGGCGTAATACTCCAATGCTTGGAAACACCCGAGCGCACTGGCATGGATCTGAAACGCGATGGCGTGCGGAGAACTCTGTTATATGGCCTGCGTGAACTGGCGCAGAAGAAAGATTGGCATCGCAAGGCGACCGACAAGGCTTTACGGAATGCTAATCTTGTCAGTCGGTTGTTGGAGAGTGAGGAGCATGGCGGTGGAAGGAACTTGAAAGAGAATGATCCCAGGACGAGGCCTGAAACCGTTGGCATCTTCTTGGAGCTGGCAGCTGTATACGCGTATCGACATGCTGGTGCAAAGGACGACACAGGACTCGTGAAGGCATATGCGGAGAGACTGACGAGCTGTCTAGAGAGAGCGTCCGTTGAGGTGCGTACTGCTGAACCCGAGGTGATGACGATAACTGACAATGTGACAGCCGCATGGTCTCAACTTAGTGAAGAGGACTAAGGCGAGCGAAGACCGCGTATCAACACATGCTCGGCAGTGGCCAATGCTGAGTGCGATACCCATCTGGCATGGAATATTTCTGGCCCAGAAGATCCTCGGTGAGGACATGCCCAACAATGCCATCGCGACCAAAGCAATTGCAGACTACGAGACCCGCTTGAATGCGCTTGCGGCGGAACTGGAGTCCGATGAACCCACGCCATATGGACAAGAGGCCTTGGCCGCGTGGAGAGCCTGCATACGTGATTGAAGGCAAGGTGTTCGTTATAGTGATACCACACTGGAAGGGTCGTGACGAGTACGTTTGAGCAGGACGCGTGGCCTTCTACTCCAACTACGAATCCGGATGTACGCCTAATCGACCAATGTGCCAGATTCTGCTGGAGCGGACCTGAACAAAAGATGGTAAACGAGATCGGGGCTGCGCGAGAACAGCAGCAGGATTATGGACGACCATAGGTGAGGCAGCCTTACATATGTTGCGTGGCCAGATGAGCTCGCAGAAGGTCCGGCCCTGCAGGTCAGAACGCAGGCCGGAGAATAAGGCGGCTTCATTGCACTGCAGATCATCGAATTATCAGCTTGCAACAAAGGTACAACATGTACTTATTCACGCTTTGCCTACAGTCACACAGAAGCTGTCTACGTCTGCAAATGCTCGAGTTGCTGATCGAGGCGCAGCAGGAACATCCCAGACGTCATTTTCTTGGAAATGATCACTACGCATTGTTGCTATAGTACAGCATCTTCGACAGCGCCAGTTTCAGCAAGAATTGACTCTCCCTATCCGTATATAAATAAAATCCCCGAACTGATAAGTATACCGCAGTCGCCCATCTCCTTTCACGAGTAAAGAGGCTGGGACCTCAGCGTCTTCGCCCTTCCCTTCTTTTCTTTTCATCGTACATACCGGTCTGGGTGCCGGCATGATGTCCCATCTCCACCGCCACGATTTCCAACGCGCGTGTACCAAACACGGCAAACCTATCCCCGAAGAACGACTTCCACCGATGATTCTAAGTAGGGGCTTTCCTGCTCCCCGTAGCACTTTTCTGGTGGGGCTTAGACGTCGTTTCAAAAAGTATTCTCCGGGTATATGCACCGCAGGTAATGAACATTGCTACTGCATTCTCAGGGCTGTAGGATGTCGTAAGTTCTGGATTTTTTTTTCTTCCTTTTTATTGTTCGATGTTTCATTTCGCCTGATGATGGTGGGTAGGCCCAGGGATGAAGTGGCATCATCGACACGGATGGTGTTTTTACGGCAGTGGTGCGCGGGGTTGCGATTAATACTTTCGTCCGCAGGATCGCAGGCGCTTTCTTTCCGCTCTTCGCTCGCTATCTATCTTTTCTATTTTCTGGGAGTTCTTTATGGTGCGGATCTTTTAGCGTTCATTCGTTTGGCATGTGCTCCGGCGCCGAGTCTGTTCTGTTCTACAAGTATGGAGAATAGATGTATTGCGGAGTAGATCTGTTGCGATAGGTTCAAGGGAAACAACAGAACGGGTACCAGGGTAAAGAGACAAGAGTAGAGATAAATAGAGCATAAAAAAAGACACGCGAAAGGGGAAATCAGCTCATAAAAAAATTTACACGTCGTTCATGATTATCTATATTTGATTCATGTAACCAGCTTTCAGGGAGCAAACTTGTTTGAAACCTTTCTCTTTTCATCATGTCATTGCATACATACAATAATAATACCTCTAATGTTTCTTGTAGTCGAGCGGGTTGATGTCGGGATCTGTCTCGTTCAGGGCCGTGATGCCGACTGTTTTTGCAATGACGGTCAGAAAAGGTTACAGGGCAAAAAGGTGAGTGGACGAGGACGGGGACTTACTCGGGGAAGCGGTGGTTCCGTTCTTGATCGTTGTGGTTTCGATTCCCTGGTGGGGTGAGAGATCTTAGCGAGGGTTTTAGATCAGATAAGGTGCGGGATTACTTACGAGTGTGATGTAGGCAAGGACACCGTTCTTGTAGTCTACTCCATCGAGAGGCTCGGTGTCCACGTTGGCCATCGCGCCGGCTAAGTCTCTCGTCAGTACTTCTACGATCAAGGAAAGGCGCGAAGAAGGTTGACGTACAGTTCACGACTTGTGCGAAAATGCCATCGCCAACGTTGGTCGTGCGCTCGATCTCGGTGTGACTGGAGTACGGCTCCAGAGCCATGATCTCCCTCTCCAGTTCCTCGGCGAAGAAGATCTGTCCGGTCTCGACAACGCGGCTGGTACCTACGGTGCCATTGCGAGTGATGTTCCAGTCCGTGTGCACTTGGACGTGGATGTGGATGCTTCTCTCGATGTAGAATCCCGGGAAGATCGAATTGAAGGAGGTGACTCCATGTTCATCCGTCGGCCACATGCCGCGTAGGAAAGTGGTTTGGCGGTTGGCAAGAAACGCGAAGTTGTCGTAGCCGCTGGTATTGTAGATGCCCTGTCCCTGGAGAAGAGTCTCGAAAGGAGTGTTGGGGTCGTAGGCGAAGGCACTGTACGAACCCGTGGAATTGCAATGCTAAAGCGTCTCGTCAATAAAAGCCTCGGTACCAAGCCTGGGTTTGACCTACCCAGATACTGATCAAAACATTGTCGACCGGTTCACAAGAATTCACATCGATGATTCCAATCTCCAGCTCCAAAGGCACACCGACCTGATCCTCGACAATGTTCTGACGCAGAAGCTCACGGGGTGGGTACCAGTATGGTCCCTGTGTGACCTCCGGAGTGAGGACGCAGGTGTCGTTCTTCAAGAAGTCGTACTTGGGTGCTTCAGCGTGGATGACATATGTAGTGTCGACATCGTCAATGCCAGGTCTTAGGCCTCGTTTCTCGAGCTCCTGGCGCTTTCGCATCTGGTGACGCTTGGTTTTCATGGCGCCTACTTGGTCACTGCATCGCTTGGCATTTTCTGATCTCGCAAACAGAACATTAGGGTTGGTCGGTGGGTGAGGGTGGGCTATGTACCGTTAACAAGGACATGATTTGACTGGATGCCTCAACTCACCATCTACCGCTACACTGAACAGCAGACACGCCGTGGTCAAGAGAGACTTTGTGGAAACCATGATGCTATCCTGGAGGGTCGATTGCAATGGTCGTCGGAATGGCCCAAAACGAGGGTAGTCCCTGACTATATAAGTTCTTCAACGCCAGCACAGACGTTGACTGGTCTTCTCCTCGCCTCCCGGTAGTAGTCTGCGATCTTTGTCCACATGTGCCGAGCCTAACCTTGAGTGCTCATCTGATGGATACATTGGATGTGTTACAAGTATTGATCACTACAGGAGCACTGTGCTATCGAAGGGCTCATGAAGTTCTGCGTCCAGCGCAAGAGTCTGGACGCTGCTCTTTGGTGCTCTGAATGGGGTCGTGAGCTGTATAACAGCATTGAAACCCGCAAAGGCAGTTCCACATCAAAGCGAGCGTACCAAGGCAGTCCCACATCGAAGCGAGCGTACCAAGGCGGAGTAGAAGATTGGCGAGTCGGGCTCTAGACATCGACCGGTGTTTCCCCGCACCGCCGTTGACTGTGGGCGAAAGCGCGAGGAAGATGTACACCTGCATGGAGGCAGCTGTGAGCGTTGACATCTCGGAGGAATGACCCAAGTTTCCTGTAGCCTACTTTCCAAACTCATCACGGTGATGAGTTCAGAGGCCCAGGAAGATGAGGGCGCTGAAGTTGAGCCTGAAAGGACCGCATTCCGAAGTATGCATAAAGGACCATCCCATGCATGGAGTCGCAGATCATTGAGGAGATTCATCTAAAGAATCACAGAATGTTCGCCGTCGATTATGTCGGTAGAAGTGGTCGGCGTCATCGAAGTCGGCGTCATCAAGTCGGCGATGAACATTCCTACCAAGTCCGAGGCCGCCATCGTTTCAGAGCGAATGCAGCTTGGTGTGAGTGGCAGGTACTTCGCTTCTGCCATCAAATGCTGCAGTATCCAGCAGAATAAGACAGGGCGTAGTTGTCCAGATACAACTAATATTATCGGTATGCTATCTTCCAGCAGGGCGAAATCGTAGTGAATGTTGCCGTACATACCTCGAGCCGTTATCGAAGTGAAGAACGGGCGAGGTGGAGGAGGTGAAGTGGATTCCCTCCACACATTTCAGATAGATCCCGGCTAAATGTCCCGATTCAGCGTCAATAACTCCTTAATATGGGCTCCGGAATTCAGGCAGGAGATCGTCATACCGAAAGCTCGACGTCGGTTTTCGACTTGTACGAAACTGGAGTTCGAGTTGTTAATGCACACGCGTACTATATCTTCGTAGTACATATCTTCGTGGCAATGCACACGCGCATCTTCGCGTTAATGCACACGCGTATATCCGTGTCAATGCACACGCGTATGTTCCGGATTCGTGCGTGCCGACGCCGTCCAGTCCACTCAAACTCGTCATGACTGCACTGCACGAGAGCTCCCCTCAATAATGTAGCCGCGGGTAGCGGTCCGTCGATTGCCGACCGTCCTCCCCATCTCCCAATACCCGTGACATACAGCTTCATACAAGTCATTCACTCACTTTCCGGTACGCACTTCGTCCAACATGGAATCCCCAATCACCGTGCCCCGCAAACTGTGGGAGCCCCAGTACGATCCAAAGAAAACAATGGCGTACCAGTTCATGCAACAAGTAAATCGCAAATACAACACCCGTCTTCAGACCTGGAGTGATTTACATGCCTGGTCTGTGAACCACCGCGCCGACTTCTGGGGCGAACTCTTCCAGCAGCAGCCCATCATCCACTCCGGCAGCTACTCCCGGGTCGTAGACGAAAATGCCCGCATGGATTCGATCCCCCGGTGGTTCGAGGGCGTCCATGTCAACTTCGCGGAGAACATGCTTTTCTGGCCGGGCTCCGATCCCACATATCGTAAACGTGACGACGAAGTAGTCTGCGTAGAAGCACGAGAGGGCGCCACCGAGATCCGCAATTGTACGTGGAGGGAGCTGAGGGAGCAGGTAGGGCTGTTGTCCAATGCTATGCGGGCGAGAGGCGTGAGGAGGGGCGATCGCGTTGCGATTGTTGCGTCGAATTCGATCCATACGATGGTCGTATTCCTGGCCGTTACATCTCTAGGTGGCATCTTCAGCAGCTCTTCCACCGACATGGGGACCAAAGGGGTTCTGGACCGACTGAAACAGGTCAGACCGAAATATGTGTTCGTGGATGACTGGGCGTTGTACAATGGGAGAACGTATGATCTCAGGCCCAAAATGACCGAGATCGTGCAGGGCATGCAAGGCGTTGGTGAATTTGAAGGCATCGTGGGCATGCCAAGAGACCAGAAGAAGCCGTTGGACCTTTCCGGAGTCCAGCATGCCGAAAAGCTGAGCCATTTCCTGGAAGGTGCAAAAGGTGACAAGACCCCCAACTTCGAACGAATTCCATTTAGCGACCCTTTCTTGATTGTCTATTCCAGCGGAACAACGGGAATGCCCAAATGCATCGTCCATAACGTTGGCGGCGTGCTTCTGAATTGCCGCAAAGAAGCAAACCTCCACAGAGATGCCGCAATAACTCCACCTGAGAAGCTATGTACGCTACAGTACACCACCACTGGCTGGATCATGTACCTCTCTAGCTGCCTTGCACTCGTCAACGGCTCCCGTACCATTCTCTACGATGGCTCGCCCTTCCAGCCAGACCTCACCTCTTTCTTGAAGCTCGTCTCCGACCAGAAAGTCTCCGATCTGGGCATCTCCCCTCGCTGGATGCAAACCCTCGCAACGGCCAAACCACCTGTCCTGCCCCGAGAAGCCGTGGATCTGAGCCATCTCCGTCGCGTCACCAGCACTGGAATGGTCCTCTCCGAAGCGCAATTCGAATGGTTCTACGATCAAGCATTCCCGCCACACGTTCAACTGGACAACATCTCCGGCGGCACGGACCTCGCAGCCTGCTTCACCATGGCAAACGTCATGTCGCCCGTCTATAGCGGTGGCTGTGTCGGCCCCTGCCTGGGCATGAGGGTAGAAGCATTCGATCAATCAATTCCAGAAGGCAAGCCGGGGCAAGCTCTCCCGCATGGCGAAGCGGGAGAGCTGGTCTGCACAACCTCCTTCCCCACTCAACCCGTCAAATTCTGGGACGACACGGACGGCAAGAAGTACTTCAATTCCTACTTCGCGCGCTTCGACGGGGTCTGGACACATGGAGATTTCATCTCCGTCCATCCCACCACGGGCCAGGTCTTCCTTCTCGGTCGCGCGGATGGCGTTCTCAATCCGTCTGGTGTGAGATTCGGCAGTGCGGAGATTTACAATGTCATTGATCTGCATTTCGGCGACGAGGTGCAGGATAGTATCTGCGTCGGACAGAGGCGACCGCAAGATATGGATGAGAGTGTCATGTTATTCTTGCTAATGAAACCGGGGAAGAAATTCACGCCAGAATTGGCGAGGAAGGTGAGAGAGGCTATCGGAAGGGATTGTGGCAGGCGGTGTGTACCGAAGTATATCTTCGAGACGCCTGAGATTCCGGTGAGTGGTTCTGCCCTTTTTTCTTTCTCTTGGTGTCTTTTGAGGTTATAGAGCTTGAGCTGATGATAATAATGTTCGGTGTCTTCTTAGACGACTATCAATCTGAAAAAGGTGGAATTACCCGTCAAGCAGATTGTCTCTGGGAAGACGATCAGGCCTTCGGATACGTTGGCGAACAAGGATTGCTTGGACTATTATTATCAATTCGCCAAGGTGGAAGAGCTGCTCCAGCCGAAGAGCAAACTCTAAATCCAGCAGACAGAACATCGATGGACGACACACAAAACTCCTTGCAGTGGCCATTCCCTCACAGCCCATGGCGACGCAAGATTCTCCCGTTGCTCCAATTCCCCTTTCGTCCAAATCCAATCACCATCACCCTCCTCCTCCTCCTCCTTCCTCTCCTCCCCTTCCATCTCTTCCCATCTTCTCAAACAACGCGCAGCACCAAATCCCACAAACAAGCAACTCGACCACGGGAACAAACCAAGTCCCACAAAAAAGCCATCCGATCAAGAACGCGATCCTGCATCAATCTACCACAGCAGGAAAGAAATCCTCGCTAGAAGTCTTTCGCTTCTGTGATGTCGGTTGGGGACCCCATCTATAGATCCTCCGATGAAGTGCACAGCTCCGATCATATGGCGCATTCGAAGTAGAGTCGCAAGCGGAGGAGAGAGAAGATTAGGTCTTTGGAGATGGCGTCGAGGAGGATGCAGAAGGGTGAGAGGGAAGGCGAGTATGATGGCTCGCGTGCTCGTTTGCTCGTTTGCTCTGGCTGAGGGTTTCCATAAATCTGGTTCGCTGTTTGCTGATTTTTTGGGGTGACTTTTGCCAAGCGCTGTTGAGACCATAGAAGGCTGTAGTGCGTATATGGTTGAGGGAGCAGCGGAGCAGCGGATGTGAAAGATTGTCCATAGACACCGTCGGGGTGTCTCAGACCGCGGAGACTAGAGCCAAGAATCGCCTGGGAACCGTATCGAAAGCACGTCTCGTGGGAAAAGCCATTCCCGACAAGACGTCGATCCCAGCCTCTAACGCGCCGCGAGACAGAAGCAAACAGCCCTCCCAAGTCCAAAAACTCACTACCCATCCTCCCCATCCCATCCCATCCCAAATCCCCACAGCACAACCAATCCCTCCCTCCCCAAAGAACCTCCAACGCCACAAATCACCCCTTCCTCCCCTCCCCCTTCCCCTCCCCCTCCCCCTTCGCAGCCAAAATCATATCCCAAACAATCTCCTCCCCACCCTTCCTCTCCACCCCCTTCCCCTCAACCCCCTCAATTCCCTCCTCCCACTTCAACCCCGCCAACTCCGCCGCCGCAATCCCCATCTTCAACTCCCCAAATCCCATCTTCCCCTTACAAACTTCCCCCGCCGTGATCCAGATCCCCTCCATCAGGACCCCGGAATCCGAACCTCCTCCTCCCCGGCCAAATCCCCGTCCATAGGATCCCGCTCCCTGGATGCCGAAATGATTTGTGGGTGAGGATGATGCGCGTGCGGCTGCTGGTGGTGGGTTGGGAGGAGAAGAACGGTGTTTGCGCGAGAGAGACATTTTGGATTTTTGGATTTTTGGATTCTGGGTTGAGGAAAGTTCTGGATGATGGGAGAGCGTGGTTGTTGCGGGAGAAGGGGGCGAGATCGACCTACCTTGCTTTAGATCTCCACACTGTCATTGTCACTGGCCTGTGACAATGAGGGCGACGTTGACATCTTGGCAATAGTGAAGCGCGTTTTGACATCACATGTGTCATTGTTGTAGCTTGTGAATGTTGCGAAAGACAAGCCTACGGCTGAAACGAGTGAGGTGAGGTTGACGCGCACGGACCATCTTCACGCGCGCTAGCGTGTCTTGTCAAAAATGAGCAGTACACGTCGAGGCTAGAAGATGTCTATGGTAGGACATGCAAACCTGGACTGCTTGATTGCTTGGGTATATCTATCTACTAATCGTCATCAATCACGTGTCGTTTCAGTAAGGGGCACACTCCCTCTCTAGCCACTTCCGACTCAACTCATCATTCTTGAAGAACGGCAAAGTCTTGTCATAGACTTCCTTGTGGTAGTCGTTCAACCACTTGAGCTCAGTTTCCGTCAGAAGGGATACGTCGATGAGTTTCCTGCACATGGGCACCATTGTCACATGTTCAAAGCCAAAGTAAGGCTTGTCGCCGAAGTTGTATTTTGTCTTAACCTCCTTCACCATGATCACGTTTTCGATTCGGATGCCAAATTCTCCATCCTCATAGTAGCCGGGCTCGTTGCTGATGACGTTGCCAACCGCAAGCGGTACTTCGGAGTATTGAATGCGAGTGCCAATCCCGATAGGACCTTCGTGCACGTTCAAGAAGCTGCCGATGCCGTGTCCCGTTCCGTGTCGGTACTCCAGTCCGTTCTGCCAGAGATACTGGCGGGCGAGTGTGTCGAGTGCGAATCCAGAAGTGCCCTTTGGAAATACGGCGAGTTCTAGGCCGATGTTGCCCTTGAGCACAAGCGTGTATGCCTCGATCTCCTTTGCAGTAGGTTCGCCGAAGTGTAATGTCCGAGTCGTGTCAGTTGTGCCATCTAGAAACTGGGCGCCAGAGTCGCATAGGTAGACCTTTGCCGGATCAATGACAGAGCAGTTGGCAGGCTCCGCCTTGTAGTGGATGACCGCGGCATTTGGACCTGTAGATGATATGGTATCGAAACTTAGGCCGACGAATTTGTCGTGCTTGCTTCGGATCTGCTCGAGCTTGTCTGAAGCTTGCACTTCGTCCAGCTCTGTGCCCTTGGTGATCAGCTCGTTCTCAAGCCAAGCAAAGTACTCGATCAAGGCCGCGCCGTCGCGAATGTGGCACTGCCGCATGCCATCAAGCTCGGTGCTATTCTTCACAGCTTTGGCGTCGCCAATTGGAGAGCGGATCTCGTCGACCTTGTCCTCGCCGCCGAGTGCACGTGACAGGGCCCAGGAAGCTTTAGTGGAGATCATGTATTTACGCGAAGGAATCGACTCCTTAGACGCTCCGTTTGTGATAGGTTCGTTGGCGGCCAAGGCCGAGACATCGGAGAAGATGCTCTCGTACGGGCGAATGTTCACTCCCTCCAGATGTGCTTTTGCGTCTGCGGGCAGCTTGGAATCATCGATATATAGGGTGGCCGTGGTAGGTGTTACTACAGCGTACGAGAAGAAGACGGGGTTGTAGGGAATGTCGTTGCCTCGCAGGTTGAAGAGCCATGCAATCTCGTCCAGCATGCTCACGACGAAGCCGGCCGCCTTCTTCTTGTCCAGCTCCTTCCTGAGCTCCTTGATCTTCTCCGTGAACTTCTTGCCAGCGTACTCCAGGCCGAGAACACGGACGGGCTCATTGGGTCTCGCGGGCTTGTCTCCGGCCCAGACCTGATCCACGAGGTTCTCAGCAACGGCCACGAGCTCCTTCCCACCCTTCTTCTTGATCTTCTCCGCCAGTTTTCGGCCCTCGGGTGCGGTGATGGTGGTGGGGTCTACGCCGACGGTCTTGCCGCCCTCGGCCTGTTCCACGGTCCACTCCTGCCATGTCGGCACGTCTTGGAGACCCTGCCTGAGCAAGGTCCAGTTGTCGTCGAGCTGGTGACTAGCCTGATTGAAATAGCGTCCATCGGTGGCCAGAGCGGCCTTGTCGTGGGAGATGACGGCGGTGCCGGCAGAGCCAGTGAAGCCGGAGATGAACTCTCGGCGGGCGTCGGTGGGAGCAATGTATTCGGAGGAGTGGGCGTCTTCAGAAGGAACGACTATGGCGCTGTCAGTCAGTCAGCGATCCGGCGTCGAAGCACGTGAGGCGCATACTGTATAGATCTACCTTGTTGGCGGTCATGAGCTCGCGCAGGCGCTTCAGCCGGTGCGTGGTGTTGACTCGATCCATCTCGACGGGACGAAAGAGCGTGGCGGAATGGGCGAATGAGCGGATCCGGATGCGAATGTGAGAGGATCGGGAGTGGATGGAGCGGCAGAAGAGGCGAGAGGAGGCAGGTGCAAATGACATTCCAAGGTTCGCTCTCTCCGCTCCCGCAATGATAAAAAGGGAAACCACGCACGAGGGCAAGCAGCAGAAGGAACGACCCGACGTCGAAGTTGTCCTTCCCTGTTAGGTCTAGTGTGGGGCGCAAAATTATACTGTACCTCCTTCGCTGCACGGTGTTCTGAACACTGTTCCCAACGCCGAATCTGCATCTCCATCGGGACCACTACATCCATCTGGGAAATCGCATCGCATCGCATCGCTGGGTCATTACCATCTCGGACGATGCTGGAGGACTGAACCCAGCACTTGCATTGCCAGTTGAGCTGCATCGAACATCGCCTGGATGGCTCCCAAGACCACCACCACCGCAATCAGGCGCTTGGTCGCCGCTGCCGTCCAAGTCCGCTCCTACTCCGCTCCCGCCGACCGGTCCATCCCCGCCGCCAAGCAGAAGTATGTCCCCACCACCGGCACCTATCCCAAAGGCTTTCTGGCGGGCAGCGCTTATGCCGGCGTCAAGGCCAGCAACCTGAAGTATGACGACCTTGCTCTCGTCGTCTCCGAGACGCCTTGTCCCGCTGCTGCTGTCACCACTCGCAATGTCTTCAAGGCCGCTCCTGTCGTCGCCTCCCGCAAGATCTTATATGACCGCGATTTCAGAGACTTGAGAGGCGTCGTCGTCAACTCGGGCTGCGCCAATGCCGTCACTGGCCAAGTGGGCAGGGAGCACGCCGAGACCATGGCACGCGAGACCGACAAGTGCTTTGGCGCCGACCAGAAATCCCCTCCTCAGACACTCGTCATGAGCACCGGCGTCATCGGCCAGAAACTCCCCATCGACCGTATCACCAGCGCCATTCCCACTCTCCATCGCGCTTTAGGCTCTACCCACCAACATTGGCTGGACGCTGCCCAAGCCATCTGCACCACCGACACTTTTCCAAAGCTCATGTCTCGCACCTTTACCCTGCCTTCGCACCCCGATACCACTTACAGCATCGCCGGTATGACCAAAGGCGCCGGCATGATTCATCCGAACATGGCCACTCTCCTCGGCATCATCTGTACGGACGTCAAGATTAAACCGGAAGCTATGACCGGCCTGCTCAAATTCGCCGTCGGTCGTTCTTTCAACAGCATTTCCATCGATGGCGACACCAGCACGAATGACACCGTTGCCTTCTTCGCCAACGGCGCCGCCGCTCCCGCCGACGCTGACCCGCTAGACTACCCTTCTCCGAAAAACACCGCTCGTCCAGTCCGTTCAGTCGGGGAGCTTGTCGGCGATGTCGTGGCCTTCCGTCGGGTCCTCGAAGATTTTACTCAAGATCTTGCAAAGCTGGTCGTCCGCGATGGCGAAGGAGCGACGAAATTCGTCACCATCCGCGTCAAGTCTGGCAGGAATTTCCTCACTGCTCGACGGGTCGCTGTGAGCATCGCCCGCTCCGCTCTCGTCAAGACCGCTCTGTACGGCAAAGACGCCAACTGGGGCCGAATCCTTTGCGCCATCGGCTATTCCCCGGGCATCATGCCCTCCCTCGAGCTTCCTACCCGTACTCTCGCGGATCCGGACAAACCTTCGGTATCTCCCATCAGGCCGCCCCACACCAGCGTCTCCTTCGTGCCTACCGACGGCAGCGAGGAATTGAAACTGCTCGTCCGCGGCGAACCCGAACAAGTGGACGAGGAGCGCGCCAAGCAGATCCTGGACATGGAAGACTTGGAGATTCTGGTGCGGCTGAACGACTATGACAAGAAGAAAGAGGAGTTTGAGGCCGTCTACTGGACTTGCGATCTCAGTCATGAGTACGTGACCATCAACGGTGATTATAGAACTTAGTTAGTGGGGATCCGAGGACAAGGGATCTCTCCGCTTGTGTACAGTAGTAGCAGCATATGTATAAATTTAGGAAATTCGAGTCTCGGAAATAAGGCAGTATCGTCTACAACACTTGTGCCCCGTCCTCTCGTCATGTTCGTGGTCGTAGAATTTCCCACCGGTCAAACATCGTCAGGGCTGCCAGCTGCGAAGCTGTGCCACGAGTACCCATCTTAGCGGTTGTGGTCAGGCTGCAACGCCGCAACATTTCCTGGCAGACAGAATACAGATTCGTCAGCTGTCGGCGACCACGGTCATCTCAGCAGAAAGTCCTGCATAGAGAACAGACAAGGATTGATCGTACGACTGGGATTTCTTTTTCTTCGTACATTACAGATACAAAGTCACAGCCGAGGCTGTGCATACATGGGTATCATCCCACGACCCCGATTACGCCCAATACGCCAACTCCATGCTTCCGTCTGAATCATTACATCCACTGCCATTCGTACCACATCCGCGGAGGTGGGTAGACCCAGTACTATTTGGGATAAGTGAAATTTCCGAAGCCGCCGTAATGGCCCGGAGGCCCCGGCGTTTGGTTGTTCAGTCTTGCATGCTGTGTGGTAGGCGTGGCGGGCTGATTGCTCGGTGTGAAGACCGTGCCGAGCCCGGAGAGTCCGCTTGCAGCAGCAGGCGTAGCTCCGTTCACGCCCTGTCCGGAAGGAGTGCTCTGCGCAGCGAGGAAGTCGTCACGATATTGCTGACTGGCCGGCGCAGGAACTCCATGAAGACCGTAGATTTGGTTGGAAAGTTCTTCCTCGAGCTCGCCGTTGAAGATCTTGTTCTTCATGGCCCAGAAAACAGATCCCGTAAGCCATGCGTCTGAGCCAGCTGTGTGCGGGTTGCCGATCCTCTGGCAACCAAGTTCTTCTGCCAGGTCGCCTAAGCCAGACTTGCTTCCGAGTGCGTCGACAATGCGCATGCCATCTGCGGAGAGACGACCATTGTTGCGTACTCGCTGAGCGTGCCTCAGGAGAAACTTGATGTCCCACAGCGTTGGAAAGAAGGTCTTGACGAGCTCGGAGAATTGCGTCTGCTCCATGGGTAGAGCATCGTTTGAAAGCAGTTTAATGAGATAGCCGAAGTCGTAGCCTGAATGAAAACTGAGCCAGTTGATATCGGAGCTGAAGGCTAGCCCGGACGTCGTGAGCAGTGATCCAAACGATTCGGTTGTGATGCCCATGTCCTGATGTCGTTGGAAATCAACGCCGCTGTTCTTGAGAAGTTCGATACTAGTTTCGGCGTACATATCCTCCTCGAGGCTGAACTGGAAGTTGAATACCCAGGTGCATGGTATTGTTTGGCCGAGAAGATGGTTGTTGTTGTATTGCAGCTTTCCACCCGGTTGTGTAGAGATTTTTGGATCTTGCACTGGCGGCAACTCGCCTTCGGGTGTCCAAAGTGTAATGCCAACCTGGATTGGTTTGAGGATGTCGACGTTGCAGCGGAGCGTCTGGTAGTGATATTCGGCCTTGGAGCCCGCGAAGTGACCAATAGGCCTCGCCACGATACCTGGGAACTCTGCGTCCATCGAGACGAAGGGATATTTCTGAACCAGTTGCCTCAGGACGTGGAATTCGTAGTCGAGGTTATGTCTCCAGACTTCTCGTATCCGTGCTGCTTGACCTGACTTGACTCCCCCCACATCCATCGCATTGTTATGCTCTTGCATCGCTGCGCCTCTTGCAAATCCCGCCTGCGCTGCTGCTGATCCCAGGCCCTGTCCTTGACCTCCTAACATGCTGCCGTTGAAGGTATTCGAGCCCGCCGCGGCACTGAATGCTGTTCCCCCATACGGAGATGTCGGATTGAAAGGCGATATGCCGCCATTGAGTGCGCTATTCCCGAAGGCCTGTGTATTGAAAGAATTGGGCATCTGGCTATTCTGATAATGCGACTGTGGTATTGAGTGCTGAGGATTAAGGTGTGCGAACGGATTGGACATGTGTGAGTGGTGCATTCTGCCTACTGCGGGAGGCATGTTGGCGGTTGATGTTTGAGGATGGTACAGTCAGGTGGAGTGGGTGGGAGCGCGTGGATGATCGGGTGGTGGTTGCTTTCGTTGAATGTCTTAACAGTTGAAGTCGGAAGCGGCCAGCGGAAGCTCCACCGCGCGCCAAGCATCACGGAGTTGGAGCTTGAGCCGGCAACCTCACTTCCAACATCCCCAGCCATTGCGCATCGAGAAACCTCTGAGCAGCTCTGCAACGCCTCGATACACGTTCTCGGCGCCGAAGACATCCAAAATGGCGCCCAAGCCTAATCTTACTGGCTTCGATCCGCAAAAGTTCGCCGCGGCGTCCGGTCAACCGAAGAACGATCCCTGGGCAAGACAGTACATCTCTCGCGCCTTCACCCAACACGATACACCTGCTAACAGACGAACAGCGAGGCATGGAGATATACCGGCCCTTTTACGCGCTGGAACAGATTTAAAGGCCTCTTCCCCGGCTTTGGCATCGCGACTGTGGCTTTCGCCGGCTACCTCGTATACGAACAGATGTTTCTACAACCGGCACATGGGCACGGACATGGAGACGAGAGCCACCACTAGAAAAGAGATGCAACGTGGGAAAGTTGGACTGTATAGCTGCGCATGGGCAGGGCGTTCAGGGAGTCACGAGACTATGGCATGAGGCGGTTAGCCGGAGAAGTGGAGTACGATGCGCGAGAAAGGACCAAGTCATAAGAACGAACCATTTCCCAATGCGCGAATCGGAGACGTTGAGATTTGGAGGATGATCAGGAGCTCTAACCGGACGTCTCCAAGCTTACGCCGACTGTACATATCCCTCAAGGGCTAGAGATCACGGGCGTCAATACGGGAAGAAGTAAGATATATGAAAACTCATTCTGGCGACGCTAGACAAAGTGAGCCAGTTGCTTTTATATCATTCAAGCTATCAAAGCCAGGACTGCATCTGGACAGAAGCGCCCCAAACCAATTGCTTGGCGCTGATGATTTCGGGAGCAGGCGCATGCCTCGCGTATTGTCTCTGTACTTGCTCGGGCTGTACGGTTGATCGTCTAACCGGACAACGACTAGTTTGTAGCTCGTTGCAGCTGACAGCAATCTGGAAGGGTTGGAGAGTTGTGGAAGTTGCTCGACCAGTGGAAGGCATGTTACGAAGACAGCGCTTTGTCTAGTTGTCGTTCTTTGTAACAAATGGGCCGTGGCTATTCAAGACTCATGCCTCGTTTCCAGCATCCTCAACCAAGTCTCGTCCATCACATGCTCCTCATCGGTGGGGACCAATATATTAATCAAATAGCCCTCTGAATATTCATTGAGCGCTCGTGCTTCCAGTCTGATCTCATACCCCACACCGCCCGCCCGCTATCCGGGCCGGAAACCTACCTAAACTTCAACCCGCTCCCTCGAGCTCTCTCATCAGCGAAGCTCATTTTCTTCTACTTCTCTCCAACCATTGCTCCAACACCACATCCTCCGGCCGACCAGGCTCTTCACCACCGCCTAACATGCCAGCATGATCCACCCGTATTCCGAGTCGCCATACCTCCACCCGCGATGCCTCGCGTCTACCCTCCGCTCGAGGGCCGACAGCCCAGCGTCGCCATCTCACCCTCCCTAGTCGAATCTGCCGCCGGCTTCACCGCCGGCGTAGTTTCCACCCTCGTCGTCCACCCTTTCGACGTCGTCAAGACCCGCCTCCAGATCGAACAAAATGAACGATCTCGTCCTGGCGGAACCTTCCGAGTCTTGCGAACTATTGCCGCCGAAGCAATTCATGGTTCTTCTCCCGACAAGCCATTGGCCCCCAAGGCAATGTCCAAAGAATTCTCAGGCATGGTGAGGGCCTTCTACAGGGGTCTGATGCCCAATATGATAGGGAATAGTGTCTCGTGGGGGCTTTATTTCATGTGGTATGGTAATATCAAGGACTTGGTAAGAGCGGCCAGGGCGAGCAGTACGGGTGATCAACAGTTGAGAAGTACAGATTACTTTTTGGCTTCGGGCATCAGTGGTATTTTGACTGCGATTCTTACGAATCCAATTTGGGTGATCAAGACGAGGATGCTGAGTACGGCGAGGAATGCTCCCGGGGCGTATACTTCTATTGCGCAAGGAACAGCGGTGCTATACAGGAGTGAAGGAGTCAGAGGGTTCTACAGAGGGCTGCTGCCGAGTCTCTTTGGAGTCAGTCATGGGGCTATTCAATTCATGGCGTATGAGCAACTGAAGAATCATTGGGCTTTGAGTCGGAACGGAGGTTTGGATGGATTGACGAATGTGGATTACCTGACCCTTTCGGCGGTGTCAAAGATGTTCGCTGGAAGCATTACATACCCGTACCAGGTTGTCCGGGCACGACTGCAGACATACGATGCCCCACAACGGTACAAGGGAGCGTGGGACGTGGTGTTGCAGGTCTTCCGAAAGGAAGGTTTCGCTGGCTTCTACAAGGGATTGGCGCCAAACGTGGTTAGGGTCCTACCTTCGACATGCGTCACGTTTCTGGTGTACGAGAACACGAAATACTATTTGCCGAGGATGCTCTCCGGCGACGATGGCCCCGTGGACGCGTGAGAAGTTCTGGATAATGGAACAGCGACACATCACCAGGATTACACATTCCGACAGATAGGACTCGCGACGACCATTCCAATACGCAGAATTACGGAATTGATATGAAGAGCGCTAGCATGCATGAAGTTCAGGTTCTCCAAGACTCAGTGCATGAATTGACTTCCTGCCGCAAGGGCTCATCTTTCTACTACCAATACGTTGCGCTGGATCGGATTGCTACATTGAACGAAGTTCACTGCCCCAGAAACAGAAGGGTCCCTCGCCACACAACGCGGTCGCATAGCAGGACAAGGCATGGAAAGGCGTTCTCGGCGTAGGAACTCGCCCGCCGAAGTGCTCGGCAGCGCGGGTCATGCTTCACTTTGCTGTTTACTACTATCAACGCTGCCCGACAGTACATCGCGCTCGCCTGTCGAAGTGCTCGGCAGTGTAAAGACAGGCGAATTGGCTAGCTGGTTGCCACACAGCGTTCGCCGAAAAAGGCTGAGTTTCGCTTTGTACAGAGTATGCTTATCTCGGGCACGTGTGTGAGATCATTACAGTATTCTGCCCACGGTTGATCCAGTCTTGGCACCCGACGCGACTTCTTGTGTTTTGCAACTCGAATTACAAAGGATGTGAGAATTCGACAGGCATCCTTCTCCTCACAAACGATGGCGTATGTCCGTCACTTGGCGCCTTCCCAACGTTCGCAATTCTGCAAGAGTGAACTGTGTCACTATGGCCTTTCTTCGAGGTCCATCTTGAACGCCGTCCTGGATTCTTTCTTGCCGTGAAAGCTCTCGATGGGAGGTTGGATTGGGAAGAGTTCCTCCTCGACTCTCCCGAAGTATCCATGTCCCGATCAGCTTGGACATTCATCCTACTGGATGCATCTTTTCAGATCTTCGGCTTCGGCCTTGCGACTTTCGGCTCAATGAAGAGCGCCTCACCAATGGCACAGAGCACCACTTTTTCTTCCACTTGCTGCTTCGCCTCGGCTCTAAACCATTCCTTCTTCCCTTCCTTCTTGACCCTCCTCGCACTCACAACTACCTCCCCAGGAGCTCGCACAGGCGCCTTATACGTGATTTTCAACTCCGCCGTGAAAGAAGACATCAGCTGCGCCGCCTCATCCTGCTTGAGCTTCAGGTGCCGTCTTCTCCGCTCCCCATTGATAGACATCAAAATCCCCATCGCCTCATCGCAAATGGTAGCCACAATACCTCCGTGCATGATCTGTGGATGCCCGTTCATGCCGTCTCCTAGTATCATGACCGTGTGGACCTCGGTGACTTCTTCCGTGTCTGTTGCCGTGGTGGGGTAGAAGGAAACGCAATGCCTGATGGTGCGTTCTGTGCGGAGGAGTTCTGCCATGAGGGAGTCCTCGCCGGAGAGTTTGGCGAGGCGACAGTTGGGGACCACGCATGAGATGCCTGGTTGTTGGATTTGGCGGGCGACCCAGGGGATGTGGAGGAAGGGTTCGAGGGTATCGCGGGGGGCGGGTTGGGTGCCGGAGTCGAGTATTGCGGAGGTTGAGAGGGGGGTGTGGTTTGAGGGCGACATTCTGTGTCGTTCTATATTGTCTATTGTTCTATCGTGGTACTGAGGAGGGCGTGAGTGCAGTGGTGTGGTGATGGTCAGCTGTGCCTGCGTCTCGGGAGGTACGCGCAGAGGGCAAGCAAATCGGGGATCTGGTCCTGGATATTGGCAGTACGAGAGTAGAGTAGGATGAAAAGCAGACTTATCAATTGTACAGCGTTCGCTCCATGTGGAATTAATTGTTGGCTGCGACGAAGGAAGAGAATGGAGAGTGTAGCAATCGAAGTGTGGAAGGGTGAGATCCCGATCAGTTACCGACGACTCGGGAGCTCGGCTCGGCTTCACGGAGCTAAAGGAGCGGGTAGCCTCTCTGCGGACAAGCGAGCCAACTTCTTTGGCTTGGGAGGGGAGAACGCCAGAGGGTGTATGCAGTAGTGAGACGCCATGCTGGCCCACGCCATGGATCAAGCAATCCACCCAAGTTCCACTACTTGAGTACATCTTCCGCCCCGTGGCACAGCAGCAGCCCGCCTCGAAGGGTGAACTTCCCCTTATCGTACAATACAATGCTTTGCGATGCCTGCCGCCACTCCGTCAAGCCAATCCTACAGTCGTCTTCACTTTTCGCATGGTGTCTGCGGCCGTGATCTGAGCCTTGAATGCGCCTGCTTGTTGCGCCTCTTCAAGCAAGGCTTCATCGGCCAGGACTTCGGCGTATCTTTCGCGGATGGGCCTGATGAGCTTTTCGACCGCTTCCGCGGCGCGTTCTTTGATGGCACGCAGGCTCATTTGTTCCATGTCCTTGGCGAGAGCGTTTTGGCCGCTTCCATCGGTAGTAGCATCACTTTGCGTTTGGCCGGCATGATGGATGATATCGATTAGATTGCTCACTCCCGGTCGCCTTTCAGGGTCATACTCAATTCCCGGCAGTGAGTCCGTGACGGCTGCTTTGAGCTTCGCTTGAATGGTTTCTTCCGAGTCTGTAAGGAGAATCCTGGATTTCGGATTCTCGGCACTCTTGGACATCTTTACTCCGGGATCTGCTAAAGACATTACCCTCTTGGCCGGACTAATGAGGGTCTCGGGAGGGACGAGGATGTCTGTGTTGTATTGGTGATTGAAGCCAATCGCGATTTCTCTCGCGAATTCGAGGTGCTGTGCCTGATCGTGCCCCACAGGCACATGTGTCGTCTGATGGACGAGTACATCCGCTGCTTGCAAGACAGGATAGGAGAAGAGGCCCAGCTTCAGTCTCTCACCGCCTTCCTTCTCGTTCTTCGTCCTGTCCTTCCACTGGGTCATGCGGCCGAGATATCCAGTCGAGGCTTGACACGACAAGATCCACATAAGTTCAACGTGGGAGGGTACATCGCTTTGATGGAAGATAGTGCTGCGCATGGGGTCCAGGCCGATTGCTAGCAGCATCGCGAGTGATTCTTTCTTCCATTGCCGCAATTGGGCGGGATCCTGGCGGACTGTAATCGCATGGAGGTCGACCAGAGAGTATATCAGGCTGGTGGACTTTTCCGCTTCATCTTGAAGTTTGACCCATTGTCGCAGAGCTCCCAGGTAGTTCCCCAGGTGTGGCACTCCGGTTGGTTGGATGCCAGAGAATATGACTTTTCGTGGCGCTTTTGCGTGTGTGGTCTGATGCCGTACGCGGATGCGCAATGGCTGGAGCAGTTGTCCGCTACCGCGCCCGCATGTCCTGGCGCACGGCAGCATCAATGGAGATGTTGTCCTGGTTCATGTGCAGACGAAGGTCGATCGGCGTCCGGGAGAAAGAGACGGCCGAAGACAGCGCTCTCGCTTTCGGCACAGACCAACCATAAACTTTGTCTCAAAACTCTTGACCTCGATTCTGGAAGTGAAAAATCTCTTGGACGCTTTCCAAGAAACACACCCACCAAAGCAAGTGCAGTGCAGTAACATCCAAGATGAGTGCCACTCACAGCCACATCAGACCCAACACATATCTATTCCTGCGCCTCCTCACCGAGACGCTCAAGTTAGTCGAGATCAAACTAAATACGTAGGTTCTAACATTTCCATCCGTCAGACTCGAGCCACAAGATGCGCATGCGATGACTCCTGCAAGCCATACACGATACTGAGAATGGCGCAGGATCGTCGAGGTCGGCAAGTTGGGCTCCTTTCCTTCCAATCTGCTAGTCGGTCGGCCTTACTACCACACCTATGAGATTCTGGAAAAGAAGGAAGGAGAGCTGTATTCGAGGCTGAGAATCGTGCCACCGGCAGAGCTGCATGCTGAAGCAGGCCTGGACGATGCGCCAACACCGACCGAATCGAGAGAAGATACCGCGACACCCGTACCGGGCGATGCTTTACCTACAAGCCACGACCTGCTGTCAGAAGAAGAAGCGAAGAACAATCGTCTAACCGTCGATGATGCAAGCCGACAACAGCTCACGCACGCTGCAATTGAAGAGCTGAAGAAATCTGCGGGTGGGAAAGAGGTCATTGAGAGGATTTTGGCGAATCACAAGGGCTTGGACGAGAAGACTGCTTTCGCAAAGGCCAAATACATGGCACGGAAGAACAAGAAGTATCTGAAGAGATTCACGGCGCTGCCCATGGACCTTGGAGAGTTGATCGACTATGTCATGGAGAAGGAGCCACCTCGAATAATGGAGATGCGAGAGGAGGCCCTAGGCTTAGTGGGTGCTTGGAGTCATGCCCATTTCAGCAGCTTTGATGTACCAGAGACAGGGAAAGGCATCGGCGGGAGATGGTTAGTAATTGATGAGGCAGGCGGGCTTGTCGTTGCCGGGCTGGCTGAGAGGATGAATCTACTATATCCACCATTGCCGAAGGACAAAGATTCGAAGCAGTCCAATGGCGCGCTCAGCGCGGACAATGGCGACGGCGACGTGACGATGGAAGAGAATCAACCCGTTTCAAATGGCACTGCAAGATCAGCAAAGCCATCGCATCGAGACTTCCCACCACCCGCAACGACAAATTCCATCACCCTCCTGCATCCCGCGGTACAGCCCAACTTATCGCTGTTGAAATACTTTGGCTACGACACCAGCAACCCCGAACGTCCGGGAGATATCGAAGAAGAACATCCGCTCCATACTCATCTCAAGCACCTCTCATGGCTTCAACTCCTGCACCCAGAAGAAGACCCGACCTACACTGAACCGGAGAGTGTCACCGAAGATGTGCTGGCATCTTGGAAATCCGGCAAGCGAGGCAACTACTACAAAAAGCGCCGCCGTTGGTCAAGATGCAAAGCGATCGTCGACGAAACACGTGCTGGAGGCTTCGAAGGTCTAGTCATCGCCTCCCATATGGATCCAGTCTCCATCCTCGAACACACGGTCTCACTCGTCCGAGGTGGAGGACACATCATCATCTACTCTCCAACCATTGAACCCCTAGTCAAAGCTGTCGATATGTACAGCAAGGAAAGACGTTCCGCATACATAGCCCATCTAAGCAAAGGCGAGATTCCAGATGCTGAAGATTTTCCCGTGGACCCACGACTGCTTCTTGCGCCTTCAGTGCAGACGAGCAGAGTAAGGGAATGGCAGGTCTTGCCAGGGAGAACACATCCGCTCATGACTTCGAGAGGAGGCGCGGAAGGCTATGTCTTCACCGCAAGGCGAGCTATTCCATTGGAAGGCGGAGTTGAAGCGAGAGGGGTTTTTTCTGCCAAGAAGAGGAGGGTTGCTGCTACGAACACTTCCACAGAGGACTCCACAGCGACGACAGCAACCCCATCTTGATACTCTACATATCCAATCCAATGTCCAGATCCCCAAAGTCCAACAACATCTAACATCAAGATTCTCGCCTTCCTTCTGCTGTGCCGCAGCCTCGTCTTCAACAAGCTCCAATGCCCTAGGGTTGGGTCTGCAGATCGCTAATTATTAGGGCAAAGAGCTGCTGTGTGCGACCCTTGGAGGGCGTTGCCGATGTAGTGGCGAGACATTTGGGTGGTTCCCAAAGTCTAGTATGCCCTCTTTGCCCTTTCGCAGCTGTGGAGCTCGGGCATGCGGACAGCCGCTAGTGCTTCCTTCGGGTACGCGAATCGGACGAATTCCGGGCGTTCACGAGATACGCTAACTCTAAAGTTCGGATTAGGGTCAGAGGGCACCGTGATGAGGAGGTTCTTGGACAGATTGGGCTGGGTTAGGCGAGGGCTTGCATGTTGGACTGGGGATTGATATGGTCGTAGAAGAAGTGGACGTGGAGGGGTTGGATGAACCGGACTGCTGTCACGGTCACCATCGAAAGCCCTGATATGAGGCCGTGTCAGCTATGCACGTTTGAAACCAGTAGAGTGTGTGGCCATGATTCAGGGAACATACATACTTTGCTTGCATCCTGCGTGGGTGGTGGCTGGCAGACTACAGAGGTCCAATGCGCCAGCACAGCTCTGCTAGCAGCGCCACCAAAGGCGGGTCCTTTTTCGCCATTCTGGAGTTGTGACAGTCTTGTTGAAGAGCTAAATGTTCCAAGTTGAAATTACTCAGTGCCCATGACCAAGATTGTGGTCAAGTCAACGCGAACTTTGGAGACTGCTAATAATGGCTAAATTTCGGCTGGTGCACAGACTTCGCCGTCAGGTGCGACCATTCATTAGCGTCCATGAGTGCAAATCTGGATAAGCTGGGAGGCGACTTTCAACAACAAGTTGAATAGTAGTGTGATTGTTTTTGTACTGGCTTTTGCGTTAGCCTTGCTCATGTTGTATTTGAGTGGAGTGTTGGTTCGGCTAGTGGTTTGAGGTCTACCGCGAGCTCAAGTTTTAGGGACTGGAATTGAGAATGACTCGTAGGAACCTAAAAACCCCGTTCTTCTCTCATGGAGTTTCGATCTCCGCGGTTGAAGACGTACATGGCGTTTGCTTGGTAATCAGAGATGGCAAAACAAAATCAAGAGTGTTTCTCGGCCGGCAGTCGTGTGACGCGGATGACTGTCCCACAAACGTCCCAGCAGCATATGCATCTCACGCAGGAACCACCTGCGTTGCTTTGGAAAACAATGACCTTCCATCGGGACATCGTCTTGACGATCTATACCGCGAATAGAGGACATTTCAACCCCGTCTTGCCAAGTTGGAGAAGACGTTGAAATTGGATTTCCTCGACGGCTTTTACCACCAATATGGCATAGTCGGATCGTTGCGCAGAGTACAGAATTCCAAGCACGAAAAGCTGGAGACGATTGCCAGGACAGGTATGCAGATTAGCGAGATAGGGGAGCCTAGAAGGAGGGGGATTGCCCAGTTCTTTCCACAAATGACGACTACGACGTTTATACCGCGGCAAAAGTGGTTGCACTTTAGCGCATTACGAGTTAGCATGTTGTAAAATGGTATGCGTTTCTGGCTTGTAAGGACTTATCGGGTAGAATTCCAGAAACCACACCCGTGGCAGGAGCCCAGTTCGACTTCAAAACCTCGGTGGGTCTGCATCGGGATCCTTGGGTATGAGAGTGGCCAACACGAGGAAGTAGACAAAGACAACCGTCCAGCATTTGATAGGTCGAGCTAGTGCCTAAAAGAAGAAGGGTAAGAAAGAACGGGAGAGCCCAGAAGTTAGCCCACGACGCTGAAGACAGCAAAAGCGGCAATAGTCTCCAACATACAACTGAAAGACGGGGTGGGTCTGCGGAAGAGGCAGCGTGCAATAGCTGTGTGAATGACTGCGCCCGCTTTGAAATGCGCGTAACGACTGCATGCGATATAAGTGAACCAGCATGGAAGTCTCCAGTTTTCATCCCTTTATAAATGTCCGACGCCCAAAGCCTCGTTCAGATGCCAGCTGACAGTTGCTGATCACGGGTGATACGACAGCTTACTCAAGCTCTCCTTTGGAAAGCGAATGTTGCTGAGCGAATCAGCTTCGGACGAGAATATTCCAATCTCCTCCGATATCTCAATCTGTGTCACTCTCACCCATCTGCCGCCAAGATCTCGTCAGCGAAATTCGATGTCCAGTCAATCATGTCCTGGTCGCGTACCTCGGATAACAAAGCCTGCATCTGTCGTTCCTCGGACAGGGTTGTATCGCCGTTTTCACCTCTCCTATGTCTTCGAACAGATGGTAAACGTCCTCCGTTTCTCGCCCCCTCTTCGGCTTGCGAATGGATATCAGGTGCTGCAGGCGGTGGGCGCAGGCGGTCGCCTTGTGGCTCGACGGAGTTCTTGGTGTGCGCTGTTCTTGATCGGGACTCTCCGCTGTTTGCGAGACTCTTCGATTGTGTTTCGTGGGTCATCTCACTTCCGCCACTCTTGCTAGCGCGCTTTGCAGTGCCTTTCTTCTTATCCGCAGGCTTTCCTCGCGACTCTATTTCTGGCTTCTTTGCTTCCATCAATGGCTCAGCTTTGCGCTTATCGTCGCCGATTATGTGAGTGCGATGCTTGTTCCAGAGCTCGAGGGATAATTTGTGCAGTATTCTGTACTTAGCATCAGGATTGCAAGATCGGAGATGGGATGGTCTCTTCGCGGTCCACTTCCTCTTTTTACTGCCTGATGCCTGATCGTATCCATCGTTCTGTGGACGGTCGATGAATTGAATTACCTCTCCCGGCTCCAGAAGAGTTACTTCAAGCGACCAATTCTCGTCGCCGGCCTGAAGCTGGAGCAAAGCTTGAATTTTCAGCAATCTTCTTCCGTCAATAACTTTGGCATGGTCTCCCCAAATGTCCCAGTCAATGCCGATCTCCGCTATCCGGCACTGGAACTGTTGAAAGCCCGGTCTAAGACTTCCGTCTGTCTGTCGCAAGGGATCTCCATCTTCGCAAGAACTCTTACTGCAGTAGATTGGGAAGTGCAGCAGAGTTTCCTCGTCGACGTCCACGGTGAACGTCATAGGAACATGTGGATAGTGGATCTCCCCAGATGGCAAGGCCTTAGAAAGAGGTGCGAGCCTGTCGACGACTACTGAGTAAGTGTCTCCCGGGTAAGCGTCATCAGGAGGACCGTCGGAGCAGATTGCAGGGTGTAGAATTGCTACCTTTCGTCTCGTGGAACTGTCGTATTTCCACTCTTGGATGGCATCGTCATGAATCCTCCAATCGAATGCCACATCACGAACGACGTAAAAAGTCCCTTCCGGCGCAGAGTCAGGCTCGTTCTCCAGGTACTGGCGAAGTCCTCCACAAGCCACGGGGAAAGGCTCTTGGCCCTTCCCCAGCCTCAGTCCTTGTGCTTTGGCAGTAGCAGTCAAGCCAGCCATGACAATGCGGTTGAAACTTCCCCCTCCGGTAACGACAATACCATTTAGAGGCTCGTTCTGCAGTGCTTCGTCGCGCAAGTAGCCTTCAAGATCTTCTTGGAGCCTCAACGTCCATGTTTCCAGCCATGACCGCATTTGCTTTGGGTAGATCTCCACGTCAAAGCGCTCAATACCGTCCTCCCGATCCTGCCAAGTCTCCGTACCGTACACTGTAACAGTGAAGCGCTCGAGTGTCGCTCTTTTCTTCTCCTCTTCGATCTTCTTCTGATATTGTCGGGTAAAGTCGACTTCAGACAGATTTCCCAAACGAGCTAGAACTTCTTCTAGGCCGCCATGTCTGGCAAGTCTGGTCGACTTCAGCAAATGCTCCCAAGCAAGCTCGTGCACAACGTGTGATCCAAGGAGACCACCGCTCGGAGTGCCCACGATTTCCATTGTTCGCTGGCCTTCGGTCTCGGCCGGCCGTATACGGACAGCCGACCAATCGTTGGTTGCGTGGCCAATGTCATACCACGCAATGGTAGCGGTACCGTCTTGGCCCTCCATCAGAAGCCCCATCTCCTGAGCAGCACAACAGTGTGGCTCAAAGCGGAGCCTCACGTTGCGAAAGCCAGCGTTGGCAGCCGCATTTCTGACCATTACGCGTGCTTCCGTGCCCCATATAGCTGGCACTGTGACCTGAGCTTCGATTTGGATGTTCTCCCAGTAGTCCGACTCCAGAACAATGCCCTTTGGACTAGACTCCCTGTAGTACCTCAGAATGCGTCTGTACATCTCTTTGTACCGCCTCGTGTAAAGATTTGTCAGGCAGGCGATTTTGGAAAAGTAACGGGAGTCGTTGTCGGCGAATTCGGCGTTCTTCCAGTACAGCCTCGCTTGATGCGAACTCTTGTGAGAGTCGCAAACGCCCAGCTTCCAGCCACTGATCACCCTGTGCTTGTCCTGTGGATGGGAGCTGAGCCACTCGTTGACCTCAAAATTCCCATATAACATAACGTCCGTACCCTCATCCCATATTACTGTTTGCTCCAGACTCTTTTCTCTTGCGTCGTTCAGCTCTATGATGTCGATCGGTGCCTTATTGACTGAGGCGCCGGCCAGCACATGTCGACATCCCACTTTGAGGAGGCCGCTGCCATCGTCAAGGAGGACGTTTAGTCTGTCCCTTGTGGGATCGATTGTTGAGCGCGGCGGCATGGCGCTGAGATGGCCCAAGAGTACTTTGAGATGGTGGCCAGCTGTTCACAACGACCAGGAGCAACGGCAAAAGATAGAGTGTCTCCAAGACTGATGGGCCAGCTTGAGTATGCTCCGTCATGCGTTTACAGCAGGATGCTGCAGACAGCGTGTTCAGCGCTAGTTTATGTCCAGCCAGCGTCCAAGACAAAGCAACGGAAGCACGCGAGCTTCTTTCACCCGCGCAACGATTCACGTGCTCTGCCAAGTATCCTACAAACGCTGCGTCGCGACGCCATTCGTCAGGAGCTATGCCTTCCACGGTGATGCGAAGCGGATACTTGCATGGCTCGGCACCGTGAAAGGTCTCGCAGGTTGCTGTCTGAGGTCAGCGTTTGATCAGGCAAGGCAATGTAAGCTGAAGATATCGATAATGGCTATTGTGCGTCCTCAGTGCTTAGGGGGGAACGAAGAACTGAGTTGGCAGGCCTCCGAGATCAGCGGCTTCAGTTGGTGGGTGCCGTGATGCTCGGAGACCAAACAGTATGCCCTGGCCGCGCGGAGAGATGTCTGAATCGGGCCTTCAGATATGGAGCACCGCCGTGTACAATCAGCTCCTGCTGTCACGCAGATAGGGGTCCTTGTTTTAGTGACAATGCAGTGAGCCACCTAAGCGCATTTCGCGTCAAGATAGCAAGGCTCCGATATGACAGCAGCTCTGCTTCAGCTCTCGCTTGTTGTTTCCAAGAACCCCTGATGCGTCGGATGTTGTTTGCCAAGAAGCATGTCGCCATGCTGCAAGAAGCCGCGGTCGATGAGACTTAATTTCCACCGGCAATGCAGCGTTCGACGCAGCGTTTGAGGTCGCTAGCGGTTGTGATGATCGTTCCCACGTTCAAACGAGCCTGCCTCCAGTTTTGCTAAGTTAGCGAGAATCCAGCTGCCTCATTTACCCGCAAACCTGCTTCTTCATGTCCTGACGCCTTGACATCCACTCGAAGTCATTTTCCCAGCGGATTGAACAAGACAACCATGCCGAGACGTCCCAGCCTCCACAGACAGGCAGCCAAGCAGTGCGCATTATTCGTGGCGGATCACATACTTCCAGATGCGCCATCCGAAGAGGAAGTGAACCAGCATCTGCGCGAATTCTTGGACGACAACAAATTGTATTGCAAGAGCAACAAAAAACTGGTTCCGATCTCCGTCCGTTACTTCAAGTCTGTTTTTCGCGACATCTGCAGGGAATGTGGTTGGCACGATCGTAGAGTGTCCATTTTCGCTTCGATTTTGACCCTTTGTCGTCGCAAGAGTGAGGGGCTCGATGAAGCAATGCGAGCCAAGTACGGATACGACAAGACCACATTCAACCTCAAAAATCTACTGATCGCGTGTCGGTCACCGCATATGAAGCAAGATGCACCTGAGCAGAATATTCCATCCTCAGCCCTAACGACAGAAGACGACTATGCCACAGATCGATCACAGTCATCATTTTCGGAGCGATCTCTGAACGAGCCGGAGAAAGGAGCATCCTCGCAACTCGCCCTTAGTTCGAGGTCCACGTTGGTCCCAGGCAAGAGAGAAGCCGCAGAACTGCATCCGGGGGCAAGTGTCGCAAAACGTGCGAGACTGCAACCTCCGAAAAGAGCTCCCGCCGCACGCCTTCAGAACCGTGACACGGCTGTCGAGAGCATGCCAGATGCGCCAGTACTAGACCAAGCTTCACAACGGAGGCCAAGATCAAGTTCCAGTGTGCTATCTGCGCCTCCTCCAGACTACATAAACGGACCACAATCTGGCGAGGGTGCCGTGCTCATTTTGTCCGCGAGTGACAGCGCAACCGAAGAGCAAACGCCTGATGCAGAAATGATGAGCCGCGGAGGCGTTGAAGCTGGTTTGAGTGATATATCCGGCCTTGTAAAGAGCGCGACGGACAGCCTTTTCCACAGTATAAACCTCAGCCCAAAGCAGGATGGTCCAGTTCCTTCTGTCGACGACCTCGGCCAACAACTGCAAGCTCTTTTTATCAGGTGCTTTGGACCGGCTTGTATCGTCACTTGGCGAGAGCTACGCGATGCGAGCCGTTTCTCGGCTTCTCAAGTTGTCAAAGCTCTTGTTGGCGCGTACATTTTCCAGGAAATCTTTGACGAGAGGGTATCGTGGTGCGACTGGAATTGCAGAGGCCAGGCTCTGCCAAATCAAACGGGTATGCTGTTACTGTGGTCTAATCGTGCCCACATTGCAATCGCTAACATCTACAAAGCCGTAAATGAGCGTGCGTTTAGCCTATTAGCTGCGATGGTGCACCCGGATCCTTCCTGGCCCAGTTCACGGGACGTGTATGCCCTCCTCGCAGAGAGACTGGATTTCCCGACGCCCAACAAGCAATCGTCGCCCGTCAAGCAGATTGCAGAAAAGCTGTCGACAGATCTTATCGCAACATTGGCTCCTTACATCGACCATTTGGTGCAGCTCGCCCGCGTTCTGGACGAACAGGCCGTTGGTGTGGATGAATGGCAACCCGCATTTCATACCGATGTCAATGCCGCCATCACGAAGGCTTTGCGACTCCGTGTCAATCTCTGGAAGGCCAAGCAACATCATGTCTTCTCTTGGCCTCCATCTGGGGCAGCGTTGGAACTTTCGAGTATGATGCCGCTCCTTCAAACATCGGATGGCTCGAGGCAGCAGATCGCTTTCACGTCATTTCCGGGAATCGAGGTGGCGTTTGCAGAGGATGCTCGCCCCTGTCAGGTCGTTCGGGCTGCTGTCATGACCGTGCCGACATGTGGAGGATTCGCAAAGCAGGACAAGTGTGCGGATACGCGTCCAAAGATCCGGCTTAGGCTCGGGGGAAAAGGTATGCCAAGTGAATCAGGATTGAAGGTTGCAATCTGAACGATCTTTTCCGTCGTCGAGATGGACGACGCGTTGCGGTGCGCGCACTCGCGTTGGAAGTTGTTGCTAGTTTCATGGTGTAACAGATGCACAGGACGCGTGAAGTCGACTTCCCCGGAGCAAAGTTCAGCCGTGATCCGGTATTGTCCCACTTGACCTCTTCGATTTTCCTTCTTCGTTCTTCCCATCTCGATATGTACTCTATTGCAAGATATTGGCGAGAAATCATCACCACCTAATCCGCGCGGTTTACATTTGTACCAGGGAGCACCTAATAGCGCCTCCTGCCGGGATACGCGAAACCTTAACAACTCCCTCGCGTGCTTTGGGCATGGATCCTTCGATTGTCTCTCGCCGAGTATGGATCTTACGCTGTGTAGAAAAGATGGTTAACGACCGGATGTGATCTGGGCGGATCGAGAGTTCGCGTGTTGATATCAACGATAGTCCCCGTGGACGGTAATCGGTTCTTGCGACAATAATGCATCCCAGACGGATCCGTGCGCTTATCCCCAAGCAACATAACGGTCGTCCCTTGGCGCCACACGTGCTTCACCTGCGTACGGAGCCATCTTGCGTCTGCTTGCGATCTAACGTCCGCGACATTACTATCCATCTGCATGCCAAGAGGTCATCCAGAAGTGCGATAGCTTTCGAAGGGTACACGCTCGACAGAACTCTCCACACATAGGATCCTAGACGTTGGAACTTCTACAGCCGCCGGAGGAGAATGCTCAGCGAGGCAGACGAGCGAGCACCGCTGCTCCAATTCCCCGGCTTCTATAGCGAAGGCCGCGAACCCGAGAACCTCCCGGATGCATACAAGCAGTTCTGTACTCTGATCGGGAATCGACCTCTGGAATTACCCAAAGACGCACGCTACAACCCGCCAAAAGACTCGCTCTACTACCGCGCGATTCAACATGGGAAGATGCAAGGCCGAATGTACGCTTTTACGTCCGCCTTGACGAACACGCTCCTCCTGAGCCAGGTGGTGCTTGGAGCCGCTCTTACTGGACTCGGCGCGAGCGATTCTAGCAGGGTGCTCATTACTGTATTTGGAGCTTTGAACACCGTCATCGCTGGACTGGTAGCTTTCATGAAATCCAGAGGTCAACCCATGAGAGCTCGCATGTTCCGCGATGATCTGGATCGCGTGGTGGACGAGATTGAGAATTCTGCTACGATGTGGAAAGGAATCAGCCAGAAGATCCACGGATACGATGCAATTGATACGGACGACTCTGTTACCGTGCGCAGTGAGGTGGCGAGGTTGACGAGATTGTACGACCGGGCTGTCAAGACGAACACCCTGAATGGTAAGGATGCCAAAAGCTTGTCTATCTAGACATCTGCTAACATACGCTCGAGACCCCGACTTCTACGGCGCCGGAATCTCAGTAGATCCCCACAACGCAGCTGGTCTCCGTAGTCGCACAGGCCAGACTCCCCTGCCAGCAATGCCATCAAACATGCCGCCGCCAGCAGCCGGACCCGCTTCTGCCGCGACAGATGCTGCTCCAGCGCCCTTGCCAGCACCCTCTGCTGACCCGGATGAAAGCCCTGCGACCAAAGCACCAACGGCACCCTCCCCGAAGAAGAAAGACGACGATAAGGGTAAGGAGCCAGACAAGACAGCAGACCCGAACGCGAAGAAACCAGATGTCTCTCAAACTCCTGCGCCCGCTGCTGTCGATCCGGATGAGAGTCCAGCCACGACTGCAAAGCCAGCGAAGCCGCCGAAAGATGAGACAAAGCCCAATGGCGAAGCGAATGCCGGAGCGCCGAAGCCATCCTAGCCTGCCTTCTGGGCCTTGAACCCGTGGCGTTCGAATCGTAATCTCATCACCTCATCACATACCCTTTCGCCTTCAAGATACCCTTCTCCTGAACCAAGGAATCAGATAGCAATACATGATTAGCAATGTAATGAACGTAATAGCCTGAGATCGAAGACGAAGTCGAGGCTCAAATTTCTCTACATGAAGCTGATGTCAATCAAAAATGTCCAAGAAGTCAACTCTATGTAGACATGTACAAAGTAAGGTAAGAAGCCGTCGTCGTGCACATCAGCATATATCGCCGGCCGTTCGGTTCAAGACTACTTGCGAGAGGATTGAACGCCGTGCTCGCTCAAGAACGCTTCCATAAAAATTCCACAAAGAGCACCGACTGCGGTGCTCATTTCGTCGACAGCGGCGGCTTCTGGCCGTACACGACGTACCTGCAAATCCCATTAGCAGCTTCTCATCACATCCGCGACTGACTTGGCGTCGGAGAGCGACTTACACTGGAAGATACATGTGTATCCTCTTACTCTTGAAATCATTCCGCACTTCCATCAACAGCGTTTCCATCTCCGCTAACGACCACCCCAGTCCTTGCGTAAAAGTCCTCACGCTCAACCCCTGTAATCCCTCGTACATGCCCACGAGCAAATAGATCCCCGCCTGTCGTAACCGCTTGTCCTTCGGCCAAGGGCCCATGGGGAATTTATACGGCCGTACAGTCACGTTGATGAAGCCAGCATCTTCCATCTGCTGCTTCATCTTTTCCGGATAACAGCGACTGGTCAGCCCGAATCGTTGAATGCCTTCCTCCCAGAGGTTCTGCCATCGTACTACGGCGGCATCGGGAGGAAGGGAGCCATCGTCCGCGGAGAAATTCAGGTCGAATTCTTGATTTTCGACCCAGCCGCCGGGGGTCATGGATTTGAACGCTTGCTCGTAGAAGTGCGACCAGGATTTGACGGAGAAGCCGTTCATGAGCCGCGAATGCACAAAGTCGAATTCTTGATTAAAAGTCCATGTCTCGTCGGCGTCCATGATTTGGAATTCGAGATTGGGTGGTACTGCTGTAGGTTGTATAGGCGAGAGGTCCACGCCTATTACTTCAGACATGGGATAGTCGTCGGCCATGTCTATTGCCCATATGCCTAGAGAATCGTGAGTAAGAGTTCTGTGATACTATGTTGGGATGTCTGCAATCTCGCACCAGTTCCTGTTCCGATGTCTAGTACTTTCCGCGGATTGCGGATGGGACAGACGAAATGCCTCTCCTTTAGAACAAGCCGTACTCCATGATAGTGAATATCCATTCGTTCTTGCTCGCCCTCGTCGTTGGGGATTACGTATTTTCCTCTCCGGAAAGCATGATATGTCCTGCCGTTTTCCTGTTCGTATTCGAAGATGCTAGATTGGACTGATTCGGTGGAGAGGTAGCCCTCGTCGTAGCCAGAATCTCCATCGCTAAAGGCGTCGGCCGACTCCCGAGCTTCCACCTCCACTCCGTCCAGCTCCATCTGCATATGGACCAAGAGCGCAGCGGCGCGGCCGGCAGAAGAATACACAATATGTAGGGGCGGGATGATATAGCAACGTCACGTCATGTTATGGCCAAGCTTCCTGTATGTCGCGATGGCGGATCTCGTACAGGGCCTCCCCGGTAATATTCCTGGAAATGGTCCCTGAAATGTTCCCTGAAATGTGCCCTGGAATGTTCCCTGGAGAAGATGATGGGGCGAAGAGCGGAGAGCACAGACGGTGCAGAGGAGGAAGAGGCTCGCGAGGGGCGGGTCCAGACTCCCGAACTGGAGCGTTCGTCGAGACGAGACCGCATGTGCTCTCGCGCCTTCGCGCCACGCGATCAGGTGGAGGTTGAGGGCAGAGATCTGGTGGCCGCCGGTGCAGATTAGCGCGGGGCCGGACCCACGCCTCCCGTCTGCCCCGCCCTAGCCGAGCATCGGGACTTGTGACTGGCTGACCGAGCCGACCTCGGGATATCGGCAGTGGGAAGGACGCATCTCACGACAGAAGTGAACTGTAAGAACCCCCACGCGCGAGCCGTGTCATGCTCCTTCGCTTCCCTTTTATGCGCCCGTCCCGTCGGTGCCGTCTGCAGGAAAGTACACTCTACTACCCGTATCGTATCAGTCCCTACCCCCTGCGGCGGGGCAGGGACTACTGTCCGACTGATACGGGTAGTGCTCGAGTCCCGCCCCGCGCAACGCCAGTCCACTTTGTATAAAACATCTGCAGCCTTCTCCAAGCACATTATTTGCCTTTCTCGTTTCTTGGGTCCGGATCTTTTTCTTTGCTGCTCCGCCAGCGCCAGCGGTCCGCTCCATCGAGAGTGGGCAGTCTGCTCCGTCACGCCGTGATTGGCTGTTTGCGACGTCAACCGCCGGCCGCAAGATGGACTCTCTGTATCCTCGTCTTACTCTGCCCGCCGTTGCGCTTTCATTGTTCGCCGTCTTCTTGTCGTATGTCGTGATCGGGAGCATCGTCAATTACCGCAAGCTCTCGCAGTTCAAAGGGCCACCGCTCGCGGCCTTGAGCAGACTCTGGATCTTCCGCGAAGAGTGCGCCGGGCGTCTTCCAAAGTCGCAGGAGGAAGCGCTCCGGAAATATGGTATGTCATATATGTCGAATCCCTGGAAGAGAACCCGATCAGCTGACGGGGCTTCCATAGGCTCTCCTGCAAGGATTGGACCCAACCTGTTGGTAACCGATGATCCGGATCTCATCCGTCACATGAACGCGCCGGGCTCCAAGTGGACGCGCTCGACATGGTACGATGCTATGAAGCTGGATCCGAGGCAACATAGCGTCTTCTCAACTCGAGACGAGAAGCTGCACGCCGAACTGAAGGCAAAGGAAGCCACTGGAGTGAGCATCGACTTTCCCACCAAATCAACCAACCCAGCTGACATCCGCAGTACAATGGCCGAGACATCCCTGGTCTGGAATCTGACATGGATGAAAAGGTGCTCGAAATGCTGGATCTGATCAAGTCATCCTACGCTGGCAAGATCATGGACTTCGCCGATGTCGCTCGCTTCTTCACTCTCGACGTTCTGAGCACCGTAGCCTTCGGGCGACCATTCGGATTCATGGCAGCGAACGAGGACCTCTACGACTACAATAAGATCAGCGCTGGCTTCATGGTCGTCCTCGGTCTGCAATGTAACCATCATGGCCTGTATCGCTTCCTTTCCCAGGATTGGATCCAGGCATTAGTGGCACCTAAAGTGACGGACGAGAAGGGCTGGGGTCCTCTTCTGGCCTTTGCGCGGAAGGCGGTGTCTGAGAGATATGGCCCCGATGCAAAAGCCAAAAAGGACATGCTTGGATCTTTTGTGGAGAAAGGGCTTGATCAGACGCAGTGCGAGGTCGAAGCATTTCTGCAAATCATGGCCGGCTCCGATTCCACGACCGACGTCCTGCGCTCGACTGTGTTCCTGCTCGCGGGCAACCCTCCTGCGTACATCAAGCTGAGGGACGAGATTGATACTGCAGTCAAAGCGGGTGTTGTGGCACCAGGATTGGTAATCAAGTACACCGAGGCGCGGAAGTTACCTTACTTGAGAGCATGTATCTTGGAGTCGTTGCGGCTCTTCTCACCTCTTTTCGGACTGAAGTCGAAAAGCGCCCCGGAAGGTGGAGAGAACGTCAATGGAGTCTTCTTCCCAGAGGGAAGTGAGGTCTGCATCTGTGACAATGCTTTCATGCGACGGAAGGATATCTTCGGGGATGACGCCGAAATCTACCGACCGGAGCGGTTCGTCGATTGCGATGAGGAGCTTGCCAACAGGAGGTTCCGCGCCGTGGAGTGTGCATTCGGTACCGGCAGGTACATGTGCCTTGGCAAACACATTGCTCAGATGGAGCTGCATAAGGCCGTATTTGAGGTGAGAGTGCGATATAGCCCGTGTAGGAACAGCACTGACTTGAATCGCAGTTGATGAGGAACTTCGATTTCCAAATTGCCGACGCGACGAAAGGCATTACTCTCTTTCATCACAATGTCCATGTCGCATCTGACATGAACATGGTTGCACGGTCGCGAGTATGAATGATACCCAAGTCTGATCGATTATGGCATATGAACCGGCGTAATCGGTTAGATACCACTTGAAGAAGTTCGGCTCTTTGATGATGGAATGACGACCAAAAATTTGCTCTTTTCCAGGTCATTGCCTCAATCCAGGTCTTTGCAACCCTCTGGTTGTTGTATAGCTGCAATTTGGCGGCCGCACTGATGTTCGCGGATGATCTTGGTACATTTTCAAGTTAGAGAGTGGAGGTAGGCATGCAGATCCTGTACGCAGACGTAGGAAGAAGCTGATACTGCTTCGGTTCGCTAATGGTGTATCTTGTGAGCTGTTGTCAGGAAGAGGAAGAGGTGAAGAGATAAAGTCGCAACAAACTTGAAGATCTTCCGGACTAGCAGGGCCTAGATCGAGCTAGCGCCACGCTAGCATCGACAATACAACATGTGAACTCGTAACACATAAGGAAGGAGCGACGTCCCTGCGCATTCACGCATTTGAACATACACTCGGCACAATCGGATCAGAACGCGCCTTGATGCGCCCCTGTTGGGACAAGTCTCACCAACATCCATATGCCAACATTCTGAACTAACCGTTACTATTCTTTGGTCCGCACGCGGCATCAACAACAGCACCTATCGCCGGCGTAGCAGTATGATTGATACTTCTCCATCTGGAGGACGAAAACACCACCGTGTTGCCATCTTGCGAGCAGGCCGCAATGCAAGAGTTACGCCTCCTCAACATGGCCCCCGAACTGCGCAACATCATCTACTGACTCGTGCTCCTATCAGAAGAGCCACGACGCCTCGGTGCACCATTTAAGACCCATGAGTCTACGATCCTGGCAGTCTCCAAGCAAATCCGTCCGGAAGCTATTTCAATCTATTATGGCGAGAATTCCATCTGCATGGAAAGCGAAGCCACACTCGATACCAGCGAGAACGTAGAGCACGAGCTGAGCCAAATCGCGCCAGCAAAAGTCGCCATAGTCAAGAAGCTCGAGATGCACCTACGCTTCCAGTGGAGCTCGGATTGCGTGCATGAGTGGCTGGCGACTCTGGTACGAGTGAGCATACATAAGCACAAAAGCCCCTCAGTTTGAGGATGTAGTAAGCACCTACGTCTAAAGTGTCACTCAGAAGCTTGCAGAGATAGGTTTGAAGCTACAGCCTCTCAGTGTGACTGGTGTGGCCGGCTATCGTTCCAAACCCCTCGGTGCGTCTTTCCTGGTCTGGAGCGGTCCTTGTTTGACAGAACTATCCGCAATGTTGCGTATTGGCGACATCAGTATTGGCGAATTTGCGAATGTTTGGGCATACGCCGTGCAGAGAAAAGTGAAATGGATTCAGGAGTGAGTAGTTCCGTAAAGTTGAATATGTTGTTGGAATGCTGAACCAAGTTATTTCGAGAGCTTTTTGGCGAAAACCGGATTCCCAGAGGCCATCGGTTGTTGTCTGTCTTGTATCAACTCGCAATGCATTGTCGCTCGCTGCACACAGCATCTTCATACGACGAAGCGTTATCTCGACGGCTGCTATGGCTGATCCTGCGCTATCTGACTCGCTGCTGCCCTGGTTTTGGCGAGGGTTCTGGAGAAGACATCAATGTTCCTCTGCGCAGCGACGCTGCATCTTCAACAGCGACATAGTCACTCTCCAGCCCCTTCTTTCCCTATCCAAGGGGATCCGATCCTACTCATCTCAATCAAATTCTCTCCCTCACAAACTTGGCTCTGGTCTCTTCCCAAATTTGCCCCCATTGCTCCTTGTCCTCGGTTCGTAGGTCGTATCTGAAGTCCCAGCGAATGCTTGTCACAGGTACACCTCGGTCCAGGCATGCACGCAGGCCCTGTGGGTGCTTCGACAGATAGCCCTTTACCCAGTCGATGTTGAGTGTCCACCCGGACGAAATCACCATCTCTCGAAGCATCGAGCATCTCTCGGGACCAATTTTGCGAAGCCACTTCTCCAGCAAAGACCACCTTCGTCCGTCGTTGTAATACACTTTTCGACAGAAGGTGTTGCTACCGTAGTAGATAGCGGTAGCCTCGGTGCGGATCTGACGGCTAATCGCCAGGAATGCTGGCTCCCTCAATGACTTGGGCCTCGTGGTGGTAAGTTCGATTCTGCCGCTGCTGACGAGGACTAGCTCGTAGATTTCGTTTCGGAGCTCGGCAGGCAGGTTGAGAAGACGGCAGGTCGGCTCCGACCTTTCGACTTCGCCGTTGTCTAGCTCGAAAGGCGGCAAATTCGGTATCTCGGGAAGGTCGTTTACTGTGTCCGCCATACGATCGTGACGGCTTTCTTGAGCAGCCGAATGCTGTCTGCTGGAAGTCGTCTGGGACTACATTGCAGCAGCTGCAGACTCAGCGATGGTCAGAATACGAGGTGGCTGCGATAGTCCGCAGTAGGTGGTGTTGTCTTTCTCCGGATGAGCGAGGAAGATGTGTGCTGGCAAACACGGCTGACGGAGGTCAGGGACTACACAAACATAGCTGAGCTCACAATCGTGTGACCAGTGCGCCGTACGTAATGGAAGCATCTGTTTCTTACAACCATAAAAGTACATATCAACCCTGTTCTGTCGAGGTGTCGAAACATTTTCTCCGGCCCGAACGCCTCGCTAACTTCAGCCTTTTCAATAATGTCCGTTGACAAGCTCGAAATCATGTCCGTCGGTGCAATATCCGTCTGAGATATTCTCCCGAGCTCCCTAAACAGCGGGGTCCTTCTCCAGTACGGCATTTATCAGCGTTGGTCTACCACTTTCGAACACCTTGGCCCCGATGACTTTTCCCACCGCTTCCACAAGTCTCTCCTTGAGCGCATCGCCCTCTGGGTGGCCGTTCGCTTGAACAGCGCCAGCAGAATCTTGCTCTAGGGTGTCCAGTGCCCGCATAATAGCTTCAACCACTTTCTCCGCATTAGCTCGCTTTGCGTCATCCTTCATACCTTCTTGCAGGTGGATATCGTAAGTCTTGAGATTCGGTCGAATCAGTGATCGCACCCCCGCTGAGCCAGCGATCATACTAAGGCCCAAAATGGCGCCATAGTGCGTTCCGAATGGCTTGTGCGAGTCAAGAAAGTGCTTCAAACAAGACCGAGCGATTCTCGGCTTCAGTGTTGATGAGCTTGATCCGTACTTGCGTGCGATGCTCGAGAGGAGACTGCTGGCGTAGTCGCGAAGACTGAAATGAGTGTCCCCTGCATGCGAAGGACCGAGATGCTTGCCGACCAGACAGGTCAAGACTGAAGGCACCACAGCAGGTACATACGGAGCGATGTACAAACTCGGATTATCCAGCAAAGCGGCAATGAGCAGCATGCTCTGCGTGAGAATGAAGAGCGATTTGAGGTTGTGCGTGACCTTGTCTGCCGCGAATTGAATGAAGTAAGGCACCAGTTGATGCAGTCCTGGATCCGTTTGTAACGACGCGAATGCGGCAGCACGGTACTCGTCATTGTGCTCGTCCAGAATCGCCGTGCATATCCGCTCGAAGTAGAGCTGCAGCTCTTTTGAGAGCACATGCTTGACCAACGGCTTGACTTGAACATTGTCATTCCCGCTGACTGCAGCAAGCGTGCTCGCATTCTGTCCCTTCGATGCCAGATCTTGATTCCTCTGATCTTGCTGAGTAGGGTTCTGTGGTATGCTTGGTTGTACGCCTTCCACTGCCAGCCAATGCGCCGTAAAGCTGATCTCCCGCGGCACTTTTGGCAAAGGCGCATTGATCAGCTTCTCAAAGTCCACCTCCTCATCTTCCACATAGAACAGCGGTTGTCCAGGACCAATTGAGGCCTCTCCAAATCGTAGCGGTCGCGTTGATTCGTATCCATACAACGGTTCGACATCTAGTAGTCGCAGCGCTTGCGAGACGTCCTGCGTCGTGAGGGTCGTGCGTTTCGCATGTCTCATGAACTTGAGCGCCTCTTCCAACACTTGACTGATGCGATATTCGACGTCTCTTGCCAAATGCTCCGCGACTTCGCGGTTTAGGGATGCGATTCCGACTGACTCTGCGACATCTGTCACGTTCTCTGGATTCCACACCGACATCTTGCGGTCGGTGGCTCACACGAGCCGGTGCTCTGAGGGGGTTGTAGCCAGTGAAGGCGGCGCAAATACGGTTTCGCGGGTGTTCGGTGCTATTTTCTCGACCGACAGTGTTCGCGTGATCTCAAGAGAGCTCGCGCGCTGGTCACGGCGATTGCTATATTCGTTGTTTTCTCGGTGGAAGTCGCGCATATGTCTCGGACTGCCTTCAATTGTCGATAAGTTGCGATGTAGAACGCGAGCTTGGGAAGGCACGTGCCAGGCGGGTTCGGCCGCCGCTAATAAACTCTATGCTATGCATTCACTTACTACCATGGATAGCGTCATTGCACGCGTGAATCGTGGCTCTCAAATACTCCAAGGTAATCTCTATAATTTCACGACTCATTCAATGATCCGAAATCTTTTCAGTTTTCACACGTCATATACTCGCATTGTGGAAGGAATTATGAAGTAGATTCCAGTCGTTGAGTGGTAGGGCTATCGCTGCGCCAGAGCTACGGAACATCGGTCCGCTCGCATAGCCTGTATGTCGTCAGATCGGCCGATTCTGCCTTGCCGTTGCATCTGTAAGGAGCCAGGGTTGGCTGCTCTCGATGGTGGTCTCTCGACAAGGCAAGACCAGGTACTGCACTTCACATCAGACCTGCCTTCCTCACGGACCAGCTCAAGCCGCCTGCTACCGCAGTGCATCCAGTGCAAATTAGAATCGGTCCCTACTCACTAACACAAGTCGAAGCAGCACTTCTTTCAAAGACTTTGCTGCTCTTCACGAGTGACTCAATGAGAGGCCCAGAGATGACCGGTCCACGCCTCTTCCGGCTGCCAGGAGCCCAACCAAGAGGCTGACACCGGTAGCTTCATGTACTCTCTGCACCACTTTGATGATGCCTCTCCAGGTAGGTTAATAAGCGCTGGCCATCAGCCCATACAGCACACCGCAGATGAACAGGGGAGCGATCGAGGTGGTCAATCCAGGGGATACAAAAACGGCGATGGCAGTGACAAAGCTGACACCGAGTATGGCCGTGTAATGACGAAGCGATCTCCCAGAGCGCCGACAATGATGCAGCCGAAGACCATTGCCAGTTTGATGAAAGCAGTAGTCAGAAAACCCAGAGTAGAGTTGAGACCCAAAGCTTCTGCTATCGAAGGAAGATAGTTGATCGGTAGAAAGTAGCCCATGCCTGGATGGCATTCACCACTTGCAAAGTCCAGAAAAGGCGACCCTTCATATAGGAAAGGTCTAGTTTTGGCGTTGCATAAGCACCAGTGATGGGCAGCCGAGGCTTCAATGAGAACATCAGAGGGACGCGCCAGTACAACAATGATAGCAGATTCGATCCTCAAGGTCTGAAGCAAGTAGCAAATGGTCATTTTGGAGGCTGATGAAGACGAACATACCCAACGGAATCCAACTCTAGCGAGCAGAGCTTGGAGGATAAGCGGCATCACCGCATCGCCAACTTCGTCTCCAGCAATGTCAATACCAATTGCAAGACCCCTCTTCCTCGCAAACGATTCGTTGAGATAGCTAATATTTGGCATTATCAGAGCGTCTCCAGCGATAGCACAGGAGACGCTCTGAGTGACTAGGAGGTGCGACACAGCCTGTGCGAAAGATGCCCCAACGAAGGCCACGACAATCGTTGGCAGACTGGCCCATATTGCGTATTTTCCCCAGCGCGGCCACCTCTGGACTATCGCGAGATATACCGTCGTGAGGTACTAGAGACCAGCAGTGGCGGAATCGATTGCAGCAATGCCATTCGAGTGAGATGCAAACGGCTCGTTGGTGGTATGGTACCCTTGTTAGACACCAAGTGAGAGCGAAAATTCCCACATCAGTCCCTTGCCCAAGAAGGAGGCGAAGACAGTGAGCCAAGTCTGGAAGCCCTCGTCCGCCGGTGGCAGGGCATTTTGAGGTCGCGGGCTGCTTGCATCTGCCGGAGCAAACTCTGGTGTGTCGATCGCTGCTCCCTCGTTTCCTCCACACAGCTCAATGCTCTCTTCCCCAGAATCGTACGAGAGCTTCTGGGATGACACTGTGGGATAGATCCTGAGAGGTCGAGCAAGTGAAGTTGTTAGAAAGACATTTATTGAAACGTGCTACGTCCATGACTTAGCAGTCGGCAGTGGAAAGACCTGGTTGTACCATCGGCGTTGGAGTCGGCCCGACAACCTTTCTTGGCACCGAAGTGGACCTCACTTGCGACACGGATCTCGTTCCTTTCCACTTCACCCATTCTCTTTCTATTCACTCATCAACTTCGGAATTACAATGACATACTGTAGTTCTTGCATCGAGTCTCATTTGAAGCATCATGGCGTTGCTCGCGAGCAACTGCAATTCATTAAGCATGCTCTACCGTGTCTTCCGAGACATGATTTCTCTTTTCAGTCAGGGGTACCCGGTTGTATAAAAATATCCAAAACGTGTCACTTACAAGATTGGAAAAGAGGCAGACGCTGACCGTCTCTTCATTGATTCTGTGGTATACGAAGGAACAGCCTACGGAACAATGAAATCTACTGTGTTGGCGGGCTTGGCGATCACTGCCCAGGCGACTAAATACGGCAATAATCATCCCCCAGTCTGGCCTGATACACCCAGAATCGAGAAGCATTTCCCACCCATCAATGTGACGCTGCGCTCTCCAGCTTTCATCAGTCCGGACCAAGTACCTGACGGCTTCTCGAAGGGAACGGAGGGACCCACCAGCGATGCCATACTACACGACTTCCTCCACGGCCTGGCATCACGGAATCCTTGGATGACGTATCAAGATCTCGGTTACGTTTCTGAAGAAGGCCGCAGTTTGCCATTCATACAATTATCCTCATCCAATGTATCATGGAACCGGACGGTCCAGATTCCGGAAACTCCGTTGAGTTCATCGCGCAGCAAGATAAGGGTATGGCTACAAGGTGGTGTGCACGGCAGCGAGCCTGCAGGTGATCAATCTATTCTCGCGCTACTCGGCAAGATGGATGCCGAGCCACAATGGACCGCTTCTCTGCTAGAGAACCTGGAGATCATGATGCTTCCAAGGTACAATCCAGATGGCGTAGCATACTTCCAACGAGATTTGGCGTCGAACTTCGATCCTAATCGTGACCATGTCAAACTGGCAAGGCAGCAGACAAGGGATATCAAGCGCGTATTCTCTGAGTTTGCGCCACATGTCGCTGCAGATATGCATGAGTTCAGAGCGTCGGCAATGTATGGAGGACAGTATCTACCTGGCGCGGATGCGATGTTCTCCGCAGCCAAGAATCTGAACATCCACACAGCGATACGGCATATGTCAGAGCAACTCTTCGCCCCGGCTATCGGGACGCACTTGAAATCCCGAGGCTTAAGATGGGAGCCATACGTTACTGGCAGAACAAGTCTGAAGCATGACACCTCCATCGTGTTCCACGAGGCAGGTAGCGACGCCAAGATTGGAAGAAATGCAATGGGACTATCTCAAGCGATCGTCTTTCTTTGCGAAGTACGAGGAATCGGTATTGCCGACCAAGAATTCCATCGTCGTACGGCGACGGCGCTGACCATTCTGGAAAGCATTCTCCAGACAGCTTCTGATCATGCGCATGAGATTATTCGGGTGGTGGAAGACGGAGTGAACGACTTCGCGAACAGTGACGAACCCATCGTTGTTTCGGACCACACCGACAAGTCCACCCGCAACTGGACTTTCGTTGACTTTGACAGCGGAGATCTGGTTCAGGTGCCGGTCGTATTCCACAGCACGACGCCGACTTCTGCTAATCTGACCCGACCTAGACCAGAAGCGTACTTGATCCCTCGTACATGGGCAGAGGTCGCTGCGAGACTTGAGATCCTTGGACTACAGGTTGAAACAGTGTCTGAGAGCTGGAATGGAACCGTGGAAGCGCTGACAATCACATCATCTTCGATTGGCCGCTATCACGATGAAGGCGTGGTACTCACAGCCGTCACGACCAACTCAACTTCGACTCATGTCCAGCTGCCTCCTGGAAGCTTCCGGGTCAGTACGCGTCAAAAGAACGCGGCTTTGGCCTTTGTTACTCTTGAGCCTGAGAACGTGGACTCTTACGTCAGTTGGGGCATCATTCCCATGGAGAAGGGCGATCAGTATCCTATCTTCCGAGCGACATCTTAGGCCCTCAAATACAGAACGTCTCCATCATGGCGTCGAGCGCTATGGACATCTGCTCGGGGTAATGCGTGTGTCCTCCGAAGAGCCCCGAACATCGCCGTCGCCAAGGCGGGCTCTGCGTGCTGGACGAGTGACTATGACATTGTCATGTTCCTGTTCCTCATACTGGGCAACATCAGGGAAGGGAAAGCACGAGTGCGTCGGTCGGTGGATGGATGGATAGCTTCGCTGGAGGGCGTGAGCTTAATGATCTTGTGAGCATTGTGCAATTCATGCATCTGGTGGGATTGGCGCTTACGGCTCTGTGTCATCGTTGACTGTACATGTACTATAATAAAGATGGCAGATGCAGACTTTGGACGCTTACACCGCAAGTGCCCGCCATTTCCCAAAGCCATTTCTAATCTTCGCAAACGTCCTTCGTCTTCCTAACGCTGACGAAGAGCAGAGGTCACCTCCGACGTATCAATTATTTTCGATTACTTTCAGGCCATTTCCCAGTCTCAGGGCCTCTGTTCCGCTTTGTCGCCCTTGTGGAAGGTGTAGGTCGCGAAGTAGCAGTTCGGCAATGGAAAGCGATAGACACACGGCATTCACTTCCAAGCACGTCCGCTAGCGCAGGGACTAGCCGGACCAATTGCAGCGCTCTCACTTGACTACATCTGCCTGACTGCCATCACGTTTTCCCCAGGACGTTTTTGCCCATCACGAGTATCCACAGCCGCCGACAACATGGCTTCGAGCTCGCATCGAGGCCATCCTCAGGCCTCCATTGAATTACAACGGAGTCCGCGATCAGAGGAGTAATCGCTTGGCCAATTGGCAATGAACAGTAACTAGTGCCTGCCGATGGCACTCGCCGATGACACTGTCGACTACATTCGGCCAATGTCAGTGCAATGGTAGAGCGTGCCTTAGATCCCAGTGCCGCTGGACTCCGACTGCAGAGCTCTCCAGGATTGGGTCGAAGTCCTCGCTAAAAAGCCATCAGAACAGTGAGCTGTTGTGCAGGAACGCTGAGCTTACTGCCACAAGTGTCTCCCTCCATCTCCTCCCTACTCAGTCACGCAAGCGCGGCGATGCCTCAGAAGGGGAGGGAGGGAGGGAGTGTACTGCTACGCCTGCCACCACTGAGCACAAACGAAACCTCAGCTCGTTTGGTTCGTCTTGAGCTTCTCGTTTCCTTCTTGACGCGATGCTGACTTGGGTAGCCGCAAATTTCAAAACTGCGTCTCCCAGGTAGCCTCGCATAAAAAGAGGCCATAGACACGGTGGCCAAGCAGATGGATTAGCGGCCGTTTACTTTCATGATGACCTGTCATTTTTCGCCGTGAGTCACTCAACTTCCACTTCAGCTTGTGTTTCCTTCATGTCATGAACATCAGAGGCGCGGTTGGTCAAGCATCTTCAACAGTGACAAGCTCGTCAAAGTCTTCATTCTCTTTGGGGGTCCAGGCATTGCCTTCTGTCTTCAAGTTTAGCCTTGACTGGTGGAGGATATGATTTCAGACGGCATGGAGACGAAACTGATTGTGAGTATTTCTGTTACAGGCTCGCTGGTATCAAGGTGCAAAGTTCTGAATTGCAAAAGAAGAAGAGGGAAGAGGGATAGATGCGTGGTTTCAAGCAGGAGCATGATATTCGGAAGTTGCAGGAGGCAGCTTCTACGCCGTTCGACCTGCAGGTACCGCTACCCGAAGGCGTTGCGAGTTTTCGGAGAAGTTTGAGAGGAAGGTGGTGTAATACTGCTCAATAAATTTGTGAGATCTATCCAGTGGAAATAGTCTGGGCGAGCCGCACAATTCCAAGTATTCGCTTCCTCGAGCCACTTCCCATTCAGACTACGCCTTTCGACGTGAGAATCTCCCCATCCAGACTACGCCTTTCACGGTGCGAATCTCACGCGTACCCATGTTTGCAATGCTGTGGTCCATCTGCCAGCCTCTTCATATCACTTTCAGATCTTGACCATCTTCAAGCGCATTCGTGTGGTGGCATATGCTTTCGTCCGTCGCTGTCCAAGTCGCGCTGTTGGATATTTCTACTCGGCCTTGCCGCGCAGCCCAGCGGAGGCGCTGGAGTCGAAGAAACGAGCAAAGAGTGGGGAGATGAGGGAGCGGAAGACGGTTTGGGCGCCGCTAGCAGACGATGTGTCAGTATAGAGTCAAGGTAGGATTGAGACATGCGCCTGCACATACCCGGTCTGGGGAAGAGCCATCCAGAGAACAAGGACGAACTTGAACACGTAGTAGAACGGGAACCAGTACACGGCATTGATGGCAGACTCAATGACGGTCAGGAAGGCGTAGACCACCCAGTACTGTAACATGCACCGGTCAGCATATTCGTGATCTCCTTGTCCTTGACTTGCGCGAAACATACGGTGAGCCATTGGGTGTCATCGGACTTTCCGCTGGAGAAGAGGGCCTCGAGAGAGTAGTAGGCGGGGATGGCGAAGCCGGCAGTGTTGACCAGGAACTCGCCGGCAATGTTGAAGAAGACGAGGAAGAAGTAGAGGGCGCCGATTCCAAGGATCACGTAGACCTTGGGGACGCTGGTCTGCTGCTCGAGGTTGTTGAGCGCCGGGTATTTCGAGAGCTCCCTGAACACGTGTCAGCGCGGGCACTCGACTGTCGCCGATGGCATAGCAGTGAGGAGACTCACTTGTCGAGCTGGGAGAGGTGGTACTGGGCACTGGAAAGGCTTGTCAGCGTCGTCTCCTGCTTCCGAATTGTTGAGTGCGCAGGCCTTACCGCTCCTGGATGGAGCCAGCGTTTCCTTGGGCGGACATGGTGTCGGTGTTGTTGATGGTGTGTCAATCGCAGAGAGCTCTGAAGCAGATGTGATTGGGGTGAGGGTGGGTTGGGTTGGGTTGGGTTGGTGGAGTTGGATCGGGATGGGTGTTGCAGTGCAGTCGAGAGGTTGAGAAGTAGGACACGTTCTGTGGGATGACGAAGACGTGAGCACTGAGCACTGAGCAGCTTGGAGCTGGCACGGCTGGGAAAGTACCGTAAGCCTGGTCGCTTCAGGTCTGCTTGCTTTGTGCAGCTGCTTACCTTATCCCCGCCCTGTCACGGGTGCGTAGTCGTCGTCGTCTACTCTATTTGGCGAACACAGAGAGTATTTACCTTACAACTCGTGACCTGCAGCAATCTGCCATTATCCCGTGGTCTATAGCTACAGTCTATCCAATTCCTGACGGTGCAAAGTGTGTGATCTAGATCTTAGAGTTTCGGGGTGCGGCACTATCCGAACTGCGCCGCCAAGCCCGTCACTATGCTGGCTCGATTCGTAAACAAACAGACAGACTCGACATCACAACACCATTACCTCCACCACCTCTTCCGCCGCTCCGCCCTGCCCGCCGACCTCACATCTCTCCCTCCTCGTCGACGACAGCGTTGCTTCCGCTGCATACTAACCACCCAGTTTCACTTCTCTCTGCGACCGACGTCGAGCTCTCGTTGTTACCGGCCCCCCCCGATCGCAATATCGAACTTGTGAGGACAGTAAGAGACCGGGCACGAGGGATACACACTGCTATATGTCGGTTCTCGCGCTGGGTAAATCGCCGCTTGGAACAGCCTTGTCATGCCGCTGGCGCATCGCGGGTTGGCTCTGTTGACGAAATCTCGCTGACCAGCCACCAGTGTTGACATTACAACAATAACAGCCGCGGGCGACACAACACCGAATATTTGCGCCGCTTTCACAGCATCGATCCCGCAATATCTCTATGTCGGCTCGCAACAGTCAGCGACCCGACTCTCGGGCTTCCACGACGAGTGCGACATCCTTTCAGAACGATGCCTCGCTGCCTCACGATGCGAAATCAGCCCAAGTCGCCTATATGAGCCAAGGCCCCGAGGCAGCGCTCCTTCAATACCAAGCTAGCATGGCACCTCAACCCATTGCTCAATACGAGACAATGGCGCAGCATCACATGGGTCATCAACATTCGCAAAGTGTGCAGTTTCCGGTGCAGACGCAATACCCTAGGAATGAATCGCCGTATCTGCAGCAGGAGATGAATTTTCCGCAGCATGCGCGCATGGGCTCTGTTCCTATCCAACCCGCTACTGAGCTTGTAGAGGGAGGACGGAGAAGAGGTGCTGCTGTCACCGCTACGAACGACAAGGAGCTACGGGAGATGCTCGCAAAGAATGAGGGACGGCCGCTGCGCGAGGTTGCTCAGGAAGTCGTCCAGAAGGAGCGTACACCTATGGCTGAAAAGACGAAGCAGCTCTTTGCCATGCTATGGTGAGTTCCCCAGGATTACAGTTATGCTTTGCCCGCCACTGACTCTTCAAAGGCTTCGACAAGTCTGCAAACCAGCAAAGACCTCAGTGCCTCGGAATCGTGTCTACTTACAGTATGCCACAAGGTGTGGTACGGAGCGCGTGATACCACTGAATCCGGCGTCCTTTGGCAAACTTGTCAGGGTCATCTTCCCAGGTATCCAAACCAGGAGACTAGGCGTGCGAGGCGAGAGCAAGTATCACTACGTGGACCTGGCCCTTGAGGAAGAGCCATCGAACATGCCGGCATCGTGGCAAAGCGCTGCTCTCCAACATGGGGACAGTCGGCAGCGTTCGCAATCCGCCAGCACTTCGCAGATTGACTTCAACAACATTCCTCGCTTGCAGGCCGACACTGCTGCATTTCCGAACGCCGATGGCTCCTTTGACATTCCTGCTCCACGGCCGCCAACGCCTCGTGGGCCACCTTCGAAGGGTCGCTCTTTCCTTTACCCGGATACGCGCGGGATGCAACCCAATTCGCACGAGTCCATGATATATGCGCATACACTTCGCTTCCCGCCAAGCAATATGCCGACCTTCACCGAAAACGAACCCGTCAACCTGCCGTCTATACATCCGTATCTCCCACCACGTACAGACATTGACACCGCCGACGCATTGGCAGCACTCTACCGTACACACTGCACATCACTAATTGACAGCATCCGATTCTGCAAGGAGAAGCAGTTCTTCCGGCTGTATACCTCTTTCCATGGTACCCTCACTGTTCCTGTGCAGAAACTATTTACACATCCTAATCTGGCACCCTGGATAGAGCAATGCGATCTCGTCATGTACCGCACCATGGTACGCTTTGTCAGTCGCCTCACATTGCAAGCCGCCCCAGTCGTTGTCATCAATATCTTGAACAACATCTCGCAAACCCTCCACAGCCACATCTCAAAGACCTTCGCCAATCAGCCACCCCATGTCCTGGAGGCAAAGCTGCGGCCTGCCACCATCTTTGGCGGCCTGTTGCATCGCCTTATTAGGGTGAACAGTGCCGCACACGCAGCTGCAAATCTTCTTACGATTGATGAGAATCGGGAACGAATGTGGATGGAATGGGTTACCATGGTAAACCCTAAGCGCGTCATGGAAGCTGAGCTTCCCGACTGCGGATACGAAGAAGTATACAAGATCATGACGACAGAAATGCGCAGCCTTCTGGAACCGCTGCAATCGACTGGTTACCAGGACGACACCTCCTTCTACAGCTTCGAAGCGGACAACGGTGGTTTTGCGCAGTTTCTGCAGAGCCAGACTGCGCCACCGTCACGCAATGGGCCATCTCAGGTTTCGACCGAGAATGTGCTGGATCGCTGGTCTGGATTCCTTTCTTCGTTAGCAGGACGTTTTCCGAACGCATCGGCTAGAACCATATTGCACTGCATATCTGCTGTTGGCACTGCTGCCCTGCGCGACATCACCATAATGAGTGGCTACTCTTATCAACACTGGTGGGTGCTCAAGATCTTTGTCGACGAGATGGCGCTGTGGTTGGCCGAGATGGGCGGCTTCCTCGAGCCTGCTGAAGCCAAATCCCCTACAAGCACTGGCCAAGCCTTTCCCTCTCCAGTAGAGAACGGCACTGCGAGAAGCCACAGCGACAGCCGCATGAGCAGCATGGGACCTGGCACCACTGGCGCAAATCAGGAAGACCAGTCCAAGTCCTTGTCGGGTCTTCTTTCTCAGTCGCACAACCCAAACTACACGGCCCTCCAGCACCAACAACAACAGGTGCATGGCTTTCATTTCCCACCGCAGCAACATCATCATCACCAAATCGCTCAGCACAAACAGCATCACGAAACGGATATCGATGATAGCGGCATTGGAATGTCATTGATGGACGAGGATTTGACCATGTCCAAGTTCGGCGTCACTGGGCCTCATGTTGCCATGGAAGGCGTGAGTGCGACGGATCTTTGAGTGGAATTTCTTTAGGAAGCGAAAGCCAAATTGCCCACCTTCACTGCATGGCAGCATTCGAATGGCGTTGGACTTGGAGACTAGATCTTTGTGATTCTCTAGCGGCGGTGGCGGCAGCCGGGGGTGTGTTGGTATTCTCTATTTGCTCGTGCTGCGGCTACGAGAAAGGGCTTTTTTCGGGGGAGTTCTGAAGAATTGAGTAACATCAGAGCGCCTTAAGGGGAGCGCTAGGCTTCTTTGTTCTTGCGAGTTGAGATGTGTCGGTTGGATTGGGAAAGGCTAGGCTGCTTGTGGACAGTCATGGTTGGGATACCACTTTTGCGCGCGCGCGTTTGCGTTGCTGTTTGCGTTTTGCCCGTCGGGAGCCGATGTTCTGTATGCTGAAATGAGTGCGCTTACAACCATCTATGCACCTCGACTCGAATATTCCCCTACCTACAGATGTCCTCAATTGGACGAAGCTATCCAATACTAGCTGGCAGGCCCGGAGGTAGCCCTCCGATGGCTCATCAATTCTGCCCCAATGGTTCCAATCCTCTGGCTGACGCACAGTAATGTCCCACTCGCCGGTATCACAGTTCCGAGACCACAATGTGCAACAGCCCGCGCCGATGTGAACCGAAGCATATCATCGAATCGCAATAGTGCGTCGAAGAACAGGCATTGTTCGTTTCGCGTCGTGGGAGAGAGAGACCGATGGATGTGATATATGACCTAGCTGGACTTATGGGACCTTCGTACTCTGGCGCATTTGGAGTGTACGGGCAAGGCATGTGATGACATGATGATGATGACAAGGATTGAAAAGCATTGATATCCTTCCTGACGGGAATTGAGTATCTGTTGGTACATAAGGTACCATTTAGTGACTGAAGGGTTGCTCTCGCTGTGCTGTCCGACTCCCTGGCAGCACTGTCTCGAATGAGATACTCGGGATAAGGCTTATTCTGACTGCGTATGCTTGAATTTGGTCCTGAGGCATTCCATTCACACGTAATGCAGCCTCTGTACAGATTTTCAGAATATGCGTGCCTGTTTAGGAGCGCCGCATGTGACAGCTGCCGGATTTTGGGTAGTCAGCCAATGACTGGCATCGAAAGTTGATTAAGCTCGCTTGACAGCGCTTGGCATGTGAAAGAGTCTAGAAAGTGTGGCGGAGTTACTAGTAGTCTCAGCGTGCAGGCGACGTGGCTCGTGAACGCTAGACCTATTTTTCGGGCTTACGTAGTCGTAAAATAAAGTAAGTAGACTATATAATAAATCTTTAAAGGATAGAAGTTAGCTATCTAGAATTATAATAGAGATATAACTAAGTAAGATAAGTAGCTATATTCTAGCTAGTTTTTCTCCTAAATATAAAGTAGCTAGAAGGGTAGAAAGGTATTAGAGCTTAGAGTTGACTAGATAGCTAGGCTCTACTTAGTATATAAGATAGAAGATACTATACTATCTGATTAAGTTAGGTACTTTCAGTTTAGTAAGTAACTATTAGATAGATATCTTTAGTATATTTAATTCTATAATTAAGTATTGTTTTCTAGATCTTAAACTAATATCTTAGTAAATAAATACTTAGATAGAACATTAGGTCTCTACGTATCTATTTCCTTATTATGAAGCTTAGGCTTATTAGACCGCCTGGCTAAAGCCGGCTCCAGCTTAGCGACCCTGCCTGAGCCTCTGAGACTGAGGTACCTTGGGGACCTTAGGTGTGGCGGAGTACGTCACACTAAAAATTTCAGGCGCGGAAAAGATTTCGAGCGCGACTTTTTGGTCCTCTCGTTTCTTTCCCTTTCCACACGCCATTCGCACTCAAAACTTTCACCTGCGCTGGCTCCTGCAGCTAGCGAACGCTTCCCCACACACGTCCCATCATTGCTCGCGTGGCTAGCGAGAGCTGGAGGAAATCTCTGGAAATCTCTTGCGGATTCCCACGGCCATCTGATCCTGAGCAAACTGCAGGAAGCACCCACCAACACAACAACCACCAGATTGGCTCATTGAATGAAGTTTACGTCGCATAACACCACCTGAGAAACCCTTCAAGTCGCTATATGCGTCCAGAAGACCTCCTGCGCTGCCTCTGCAAGCCGAAGAAGTGAGTAAGATGAGCGCGACAGGCATCCCCCATTCACCACCGCAACCCGTGACAGTCACCGAAACTGACGCCGTGATTACAAAAAGGCCCAGGTAACACCCGCTACTCGCGACTTGAACACACACTCCGATCAAAAACTGCCATCCTACCGCTGCCTGCGATAACAACGCCGCCCTACCTGACCACCTACATAATCCACCACCCGATACTTCCGCCGGGTATCGGAGACACGATTCCCTCGACTTGAGCTCCGTCGGCAACATTCCGCGCCGCAAGCGCTCTAGTATCATCCCCCTCTCCGCCAGACCTCCATAACTTCGGCCACGGTCGTTGCATCCCCCGATACTCAAGCTTGCTGCTGGCGTAAGCCAGCCTCCAGAACAGAAACAGAGGAGTGGGCCTTCTCTACCAGACGAACGTCACGGTTCGCCTGGGCAGCAGATTGTGCTACACCATACCAGTTACGCCAAAGAGCAAGACTAAGCACTTCGTAAGAATCTAGCAGAGAGCAGACCGCTGGTCAAGACAACCAGAGCACATATCTTCCCTTCAAGAGCAGGCAGATTGCGTGGAGATGGTCAACTTTGAGATCCCACAGCATTATACCGACTCTCCGTCATCACTTAGTGGTACTCCACATCTGACGATCAATCGGGACATTACTGCTCTCGATCTCGATTCCAGCAATGCATTTGAGGGACCAGAGAAGCTCTTAGAAGTATGGTTCAGTCCATCCGAGAGGGCGGTCCCAGCGTCTGCCTCTCCGCTTGGCTTGAAGGCGGTCTCGCAGGACACATGGAAGGAGATGCTTGACTTGGTCAATTGCAAGGTTCTCTCGGTCGTTGAGAGCCGCAATGTTGACGCCTACCTGCTCTCCGAATCCAGCATGTTCATTTTCCCGCACAAGCTTGTGCTGAAGACCTGCGGCACCACGACGCTGCTCTACGGCTTGCCGCGCATGCTTGAGATTGCAGCTCTTGAGGCTGGCTTTCCACACACCAAGGCTAGCTTGCCGGATGGCACTGCGACCGCTGCGAGTCCATACCGGGTCTTCTACAGCCGCAAGAACTTCCTCTTTCCAGACCAGCAGAAGGGACCACACCGCAGCTGGCGTGATGAGGTACGCTACCTTGACAAGATGTTCATGGGAGGGAGCGCCTACATGATTGGCAAGATGAACGGCGAGCATTGGTACCTGTACATCACGGGGCCGAGGACTGAGTTGACTCCACCGTCGACTCCTGAGGAAGCCCAGTTTCAGACCCCGACTCAGAAGATGATGCTGCCTGAGAAAGGTATGAACGGCCATCCTGATGCTGAGCCGGAGGATGAGACGCTGGAGATCCTCATGACCGACCTCGAGGAAACCAATGCACGCCAATTCTACCTGGACGAGGCTAGTGCCATTGCCTGTGACAATGCACGGCACGCCCACCTGGTCCGCAAGGAGGCCATCGAGCATCTGGGCGTCATCCCCGAGCACAATGGGTCGGACCCTAGTATCTCCGGCAACACGTTAGTGAACGGGAATGACGAGTCTTTTGACGTCTTCGCTCAGACCTCCAGCGACCATTCTGGCCACACCACCCCTGACGAGGAGCCGCTCACTTTTGGTGAAGAGCTCAGCACTGAAGGCCACACGCTCGGCACAGTCGTCACTGAGGCCTGCGGTCTGGCAGACGTCTACCCGGTATCCAAGTACCCAGACGCCCGCATCGACTCGTACCTCTTCACGCCGTGCGGCTACTCTGCCAACGGCGTCGTTCCAATGCCAGGAGACGCCGAGAGCACGTCGTACTGGACCGTTCACGTCACGCCAGAACCACACTGCTCCTACGCCAGCTTCGAAAGCAACGTGCCCACTCGCCACACCGGTCGTGACACCGTTGATGTGGTACAGCTGGTCGTCGGGATCTTCAAGCCTGGTAGGTTCAGCGTGACATTGTTTGAGGCGAAGGAAGGAGGGAATGACAACTCGTACGCTAAGAAGGATAAGCGCATGGATCATATCAAGGGATACCGACGCATTGATCGGATTGTGCATGATCTTGAGGGGTACGAGTTGGTATTCCGATACTTTGAGAGAGAGGATTGGAAGGGTGGATCTCCGAGACTTGGAGAGCGAAGCCCATGAGACGTGGATGTGAGAGGGCTGGACTGTCCTTAGGAAAATATGCTTCTGGAGTTCTGCTTTAGCTGATTTGTCTTCGTTGCTCGTTGCTGCGTTCTGTTATGCCACGGTTGAAACTAATGATTTGCTTTTCCAATGGTGTCTTTGGCCTCGATAACTTTTCAAGTCTCTCTCGAATGCTGTTTCAAATTCCCTAATCATACATATTCTTTCTCCATCCCATCCCACCTCAACATCTCTTCCTCCTCCTCTCGAACCCAACAACTACCCATCCCCTCACAGATACGCAACTCGAAACTCGCCCCACCCTCAATCATCCAGATTCTCAAAGAGACCCACCCACTCTCTGCCCATACACATCTTCTATCTTCCGTGGCTCCCTCCTCCCGTACGAAATGCATTTGACCCTCCTATCCTCTGCGCTCAGAGTCTCCATGAGATCTTCGATGGGAAATATCCGGGGTGGAGAGGGAGTCTACACCAGGTGTGGTCTTTCTTGATCGCAGTCGTGGATGATATATTCTGCAGAGGTTTGCGGGTAGGAGGATCGGAGTTGGAGCGTGGGAATGTGGGAGGGGAAAATTGTAGGGTTCTGGGAGTTGGGAGGAGGGATAAGGATAGGGGAGTGTGCGCATTCTCCTGAGGTCCGAATCCGTGCGACGAGGGGGATCGGTTTGGGATGCTGGATAGGTTGTCGTTCCATAACTGTGAGTAGACCCGGGAGGAGGGTGAACAGCCGACTGACGGCGACGGCGGCGATAACCCCTCTCATTCTGCTCCTCAACTGCCCTGAGCGGAATCACATGTTCCTCTCCCAATGCCCTGAGGAATTCTAGAGTCGAACGATCCGGGTCTGAACTCAATGCATCTTCGTGGGAACGCTTGTACCACCGAGGTTTCTGATGCGGTTCTAGGAATGAAGTCAAGAGTCGTTCGAAGAAGGATTCGTCTTCTTCTTCGTCGACGAGGGCGCGGTTGTTGTTGCGCTCTCTGCCGAAGAGGATGCGGTTGGGGCCGGTGGTGGTCTCTTCTAGGGCTCTGGGGTCTTCGCGGAGGCGGGTGTAGATTTGTTGGTGGGGTTCGTCTTCGTCGATGAGGGTGCGGTCGCTGTCGCTTTCTCTGTCACCTGCGTTTTGAATGGGGCCGGTTTCTTCGTCGAAGAGCGTTGTAATTTGGCTGGAACGGGCGTAGATTCCTTCGTCTTCATCGTCCAGAGTCTCTGTGCCGTCTCGAAGACAGCTAAGCTCTGGATCAGAGATGCGAGAATCGATGTCTATGGTCTGGCATGCGTTTTCCACGTCGGGGAGTGGCGGATCGTCCGGGATGCGAGCAAGGAAGACGTGAGTGTTGCTATAATACTGCTGTGGCCGTGCGTGGCAATCGTCGTGCTGTTGAGATCGCTCATCAGACTCGTGACTTCGAGGCGGACTTGGCTCTGCATCTTCAATATATGCCTGATGCGGCCGTCGAGCTTCTTCGTGGCTTTCTTCCGGGTGATGATGGCGTGTGAAGTCTTCCACAAGAGGAGGGCTCATGAGCTCACGGGCGCTGTTTGGCCCGAGGAAGTACGCGATGCCTTCATTTTCCATCGTACCAGTTGCTTCAGTCGGCGCTTGCTGTCCCTCTCTGCTGCCATATGGATCCGCTCGAGCCAGATCGTGCATATCCGTCGCGCTATCCACGCCATGAGGTGGAGTTTGAGGTGGAGTGAAGCATCCCACAGTATCTCCGTGCCTCACCTCAGCTCCACGTCGGGAAGGGCCTGGCTCTCGAGAAGCGTGCTCGTAAGAGTTCTGCACGCCAGCGGTATAATGAGGCTGATTGCGAGCACCAAAACCATCATTCCGCCCCATGAAATTCCACAAAGCTTCACCATCTCGCAGCCGAGACCTCAACACGTAATCTCTCCCTTGCCGTCCACGACGAGCCCTCTCCATTTCCAAGACCATTTCCAATCCCATCGCTCTCACAGCAGTGAAATCCCTCCACCGAGGCCACCGTCCCAGAAGTCTTGCGAAGAGAAGCCAAGTCCTCTGGATCCGGACGCGAGACTGGAAGGATAGATTGGGACGAATATGTCCAAACCGATGGAAGTAGGCGTATTCGTGGGTCACGAAGTTCATGTCAGCTGTGAATGGGTCCATGGTTCCTATGTTGGCTTTGGCGAGGATGTATCGCTCAGTTCTTTGCTGGAGGAGTGCTGTTCCTCCTGATATACCACCCATCACCGCAGCATCCAGATTCGTTCGCAAATTGCTTGTCGGAGAAGATCTAGATTTGCTTGTCAGTTTCTTCACTCGCAATGAAAGCTTCCCTCCGATGATGACTGGAAGTAACGATGTGTTTGCTTCTCGAATAGATCTATCATTAGCAGTAACGGTGCCGGGCGATATGACTAGGCGTTCTCGACGATCCAACCTGATCGTAGGTATGAGCAAACGCTCAGATCCCTTCTCACCCATGCATGCCTTTTGTCAGGCAGAAATCTCAAAATGCTTGCTTCTGTTCCTCGCAAAATCAAAAGTATCCCATCCCATGCAGTCGTCACCTCTCCTGATCTATTGCACCTTCTTAGCCATACTCTCCAACGGCCCATAAGACCGATCGTCTGTCCCCTCAACTTCCTTCACCATCGTTTCCATCTCTGCCTTCTGCCTTGCCCACTCTTCCTGGCTCATCTTCGTCTCCTTGTAGAAGAGCTCCATGTTCGGCTTGCGGTAGCTGCCTCCCAATCTGTCCCACAGTGTAGTGAATTGGCCGTAGTTGTAGTTGAAGTACAGGTGGTGCATGGTATGACATGCCGCGCCATTGATAACGGGGCTGTTGGCGACGTACTCCCCATCGTGGATCATGACGGTCCAGATCTGGATGAAAGTGAAGAGCGCAATGTATGCGAATTTCTGCAGCGGGAAGATGAAGGGGAAGAGATGGTAGGGTACACTCTGCGAGTAGCCGTCGAGAGGGTGGAAAGCGTGCGAGGCATAAGGAGTCGGCATGATCCACTTGTGGTGTGGTTTGTGCAGGCGCTTGTAGAGCAGCTTGCTGTGCAAAGCACGGTGGATCCAGTAGATGCAGAAGTCGGTAAACATCAAAAACAGGGGGAACTGAATCCAGTTGTACCAGCCTCCAAACAGCTCCAGGAAAGGGTGTTTGAATCCTGGGTTGGTTGTGCTGTCGTAGATGAACGAGTATCCTCTCACCTCGGCGACGAAGAAGGGAACGGTGAAGATGGCCATGATCGGGATTGATTCCAGGGTCTGCCGAATCTCCATCCTGATCTGGTTTTTGAGGTATTTCGGGTGTTGAAAGGTCGTCTTGTCGAAGACGAAGATATAACTCAGCGTCGCGCAGGTGAAGTAAATTACCAATCCAAAGATCCTGTTCCACTCTACATTAGCCCAACCCATCCCACCCCTTCTTCGCCCATCGATTGTCTTCTCACTCACCAAGTGACAGTGTACAGACTGACAAGCTGCCTCCAAACATTATCCCGGTCCCACCGACTCATATACGCATACTCGCTCGGCTGGACGCTGAAATACGAACTCGCAGGTTCGAATTGCCATGCCGACCTCACGGCCTCCCCTTGGCCAGTCGCGTCAGCAAAGGACGTGGCATTGGTGTTTGCGTATTTCAGTCCGGCTGCAATGGTCGAAATGGGGTCGAAGGAGCTGACGGAGGGATGGATGGGCAGGAGATTCGCGTAGAGGCGGTCGAAGAGGAAAGTGTCGAGGACTTCGAGCACGACGTCCATTTTGGCGGGTGTTTCCGGCAATCAGGTGAGATGGACGAGGATCCTGGGCCTGGAGCTCACCCTTGACGGCGCTCTTCCCTCCTCTCAATATTAGACCAAGAAAAGGAAGAAAGCAGTGCGACCTCCGTGCGTGTTGTAGTTAGTGGTTGTCCGTGAGAAGAACAGGAAAGAAGCAGAAAACCAAAAGTCCCCAAGATGATAATCATCGCGTCTCCTTCCCTTCCGCTAAAACGCCGCGTCGCAGTCAAAAAAAGTCGAACCACCTTTTAATTCCGGGTGGAGAAAGAGCGGGGCCAATGCCGTCCCGCCACTCCGGACCCTGCCTCGTTCCCGGCCTCTCATTGGCCATAATCCCTGTCTTTATTAACAGAACCATCGCCAAGAGATCGTGCCGCGCTTGCGCCACTTCTCACGTGTTTGCAGCATAGCGTGAGTCTGGGGGAGACAGAATCGTTTGATGATATCCTCAACGTACGATTTGTAGGATCTCGTATGATATCCCTGTAGTGGCGAGATGGGAGATGCATTCCTTCTTCATCAGAGCTGCAATAAGAAACCGAGCACGTGAAAGAGTCGAGCATAAAACATTGTATTTCCTACCGGAAACGCAATGCTTCTTCTACTCACCGCCATCTTCCTCCTCATTTCAACATTTCGTCGTTTCGATTCACATCTTCAATGCAGCCGAATAGCCCATTCGATGCCGAGGAATCACCGCCCCTTCCCAAAACGCCTTGCTGAATCCCGAAAACCATCTCGGTGCTGCCCTGGGTATTCTTTCCTTTCCATACACCGTGATTGCGCCCTCGCCCTTACCTTCGTTCGTTCCCAGAAAATCAAAAGTACCATCGCCTCATCCGGGCGGGCTGTGAGAGTACCCGCTGTAGCTGTTGCTTCTCCATCCATGACCGTACGGGCCCGCCGGTGGATGGTCACGCATCGGTGGCAGCGGCCGTGTGTTCTGCTGCGCTGGCGATGCTGAAGAGCCCGGATGTGTTGCGCTTGTCGTCGACGGTCTCATTGGGAACGATCCGAAGGTCGACGAAGGCCCAGTACTCGCTCCCGCTGCCGTGCGCCAACTTGGTTGCCCGTCCGTACTGGATCTTCCTCCTCCGATGCCCCACGGCGAGCCTGGCTGCTCCCTTGGCTGGACAGGCGACGCGGTCCCGCGGGCAAGGCTACTCCCCCCGAGTCCGTTGCTCGGGTAGTAGTTGCCCGCTCCGTTGCTGGGTCCGAGGCTGGGTGGTCTTGATGAGTTGCCCGCCCTAAAGCTGTCAGCAACACGTCCTTGACCGGAAGGATATGATGGATAGCGGGGATCGGGTAGGGAGTTTGGTGTGCTATAGGTGGTGTTCGGATGCGTACTCGTGGTATTCCTCTTCGCCGGCCGCGGTGGCTCGTCATCATCCGATAGTGTCAAGTCAATCACCGAGCTCGCCGGCCGCTTGTTGCTCTGCTGTGCAGAAGATGCTGAAGGCGCCGCTGAGGGACCACGCGACGAAAGTGGCGGTGTGTTCATCGCCACGCCCGTAGACGGCATCGGTGAAAGTATTGAGGGAGTCGGACGAGCAAGCCCTGAGAGGCTGTTCTTCGGCTGGCTCTTGGCCTGAGAATCCGTAACGTCGACCAGGTCGTCGCCGTCGTCGAAGTCATCGTCGTAATGAGCACGCCCAGCTTTGCTGGTCCCGCCGTTCGGCTGCGACTCATCAGTCTCCTTGATGAAATGCCACTGGCCGTCTGGCTCGAGGTCCACTTTCTCAATCGACAGAGGCGTCTTCTGGAGGATCTCTTCGAAGTATTTGTCGATGCAGAGCTGCTCATAGTTGACGCTCTTGCTGCACAGCGGGCAGCTCCACTGCGGCGCCTGATCCTGCAGTTGCAAGAACATGGCTCCATCGAAGCATTGCTGGTGCGTGCAGATAGTCGACCGTACGGGCAACGTGATGCGCAGCGTCGAGATGGGGTCCTTTAGCGACATCCTCACCGAAGTCACGCCAATTTCGTCGTCTGCTTTGGACTTCATCTCGTCCAACACTCGCTGCTTGGAGATGATGCCTCCGCCATGCCTACCTTCTTTGATGCGCTGTGCTAAGGTGTCCGCGGTCATGTGCTTTACCAGATTTATTGTAAACGCAAACCGTTTTTGCGTGAGCGCGTAGGTGACGGACACTTGGTTGGGGTAGCCAGGCTTTCTACGGACCTTATCCGTGATGTCTGCCGGCTTCGTCGATCCAGGTTTATTCTTCAGTCCCTTGAAGTTCCACTTCACATCGTCGCCGTTGATCTTGACTTCGATCTGGGAGGGGAAAGCGACATCGATTGGCGTATATGCCGCATTGCCCGCATTGGCTCCACAGTACATCAGAAGTTTCATGCTAGGATCTGAGGAAAGGCAAGCGACTTGTTCGGGGCTGAGGCTGATGTTCGTCCGGATCGTATTTCGGTTTTGTGGCATCTCTGGCCTCACTGTATCAGCATCGTAAGTGTGCCTCAAATAAATCAAAAGACAAGGAGTAGTTACCGGCTAGTTCTTGGAGCGGCAGCACCGTCTCGAGCACTTCGTAGAACGGACTGGCTTTGAAGTTCACTGCCCAAAAGTCAATACAGAATCACGCCACTAATGCTGCGAGAGAGCTCACATCTGCTGGGCCATCGGCTGCTGGACGCCGTCGATCGTCCTTGGCCTGGAGCCATGGAGTCTGAGTAGTCGCCGTTCTGATTTTGGTAGTTGCTGGAGGAAGCGCGAGGAGGTGCTTGTCCGTGGTGGTTGAGGCGATGCTGGAAAGCTCTGAAAGCTTCCATGTCGCCGCTTTTTACGATGGTGTCGAGAACTGCAGAAAGCACCGTGTCAGCCTGGAGAAATCCACTTGACCGCATGCCTCGCTGACGCACGGCCCAGTCCACTTGCTACTTACTCTCAATGCACCTCTTCTGCAGGACAGCTTTGGTGCCGGAGACCTGGTAGTTATATGCCTTACATATCTCCTTCAGGTCATTGTTGACGACGGTCTTGATGGTGCTCTCGACGTTGCCCTTCTGCCGCTGCAGCTCATATGTTGCCATCTCTTTGCGCTCCGTAGCGCCCTCCACGATATAACCCCTGCGATTCGAGACTTACGAATCGTGGGTGCTTTGAGACTGCGTCGAAAGGAATGCCTCCGGTACGAAGTCGCCTGTAGTCTGGTTGTATGGGCAGCTGTGGCTGATAGAGGAGTTGTTGCACAGGATGTCTTGGGCGTGCTTGCTTTGCTCGAGGCCTCAAGCTTGCGTGTTGTAGGTCGTCTTCGAGTTAGCCTCTGGGGCCGATGTCGGGTGGAGTTATCGCCTATTCTCGCTAGTGAAGTCGAAGTGCCCCAATCGGTCGGTGCTGGCGACGCTGTGCGCCGGTCGCATGTGGCTTTGTCAAGAATCGGAGGTGAAGCAAGTCGGGGTTATTGGACATTGTGTGGAAGGCGCGGGCATTGAAGTCCTCCTCTGCGCCAATCACCTGCCGCGGTCACCCCTCACCTTGACATGTGATAAGGAGCCGCGTTCCCCTACTGCGTGTCCCGCAAATTGACGGTGATCGTGGAAGGAGAAGGATTGTGAAGAAGAACGGCAGAGGTCTCAGGCGCATCATCAGCCTAAGATGCAGCGCCGAAGTCTGGTCGGAAGCTAACGCACTTTCCCGGTCCGTGCGAGCCCCACATTTCGCTTCTTTCCAAATATCTCAGACAAAGCACCATTGAAAGTACGCGACAGAGAACACACAGACCAGCAGACAGAGCACGACAACATGGCCAAATCAGCAAGAGCAAGCCGCATCAAGAAGAACAACCAAGCGCTCAAAAAGCGTGTCTTCGATCCCGTCGAGACAGCCCGCAATGAACGACTCTCGGCCAAATTGCTCGAACTAGCCAAGGCACCCAAAGAGAAAGAGCAGGAGACGGAAGTCGAAAAGGAGGCCGAGGGTGAGTCGAACGAGACAATCGAAATATTTTGAATGTCAAAGCTGAGATACGATAGGCACAGCAGAGCCAACAGACACAAAAGACGAGAAGATGGACGTAGACGAGAACGGCAAGCCGAGGAGGAGCAACCGCGAAATCAAGAGACAGCATCAGGTCAGAGCTGCTCGCATCGTGAAGACTCATAAGAAGCCCCGGAATCAAAGGCATTTCCCTACACACGGGAGTAAGAAGAAGGGAAGCAAGCGATGAAAAATTGTCCCGGAGAACCACAACGCCGTGGAAGAAATTTTCGAAACGGAGCTGAGACCGGATCGATCGTCTTGTCTGGACGACATATCGGATACATGCACGCTGTGCTACTGTTAACAAGCGCCAGGATATGACGGCTACCATACCGGTAGATGGGTTGTTGTTCTGAGCTCGGACGAGCCAGTCTTCACGTGTGACCGTGGCATCATATGCGAGCCGTGCCTGTTGAGCGCGATGCTGCCCACGTGCTACGCTCTAGAGCCTTCGGACAGCCGGTCGCTTACGGCTGAAGCGAGCGCATTCGCAAGTAGTCACTGCAGAGGAGAAAAGGACTACAAGACAGTGAAGAAGAAATCAAGCCCGGTGAAGCATCTCTCTTCACATTACCACAAAACTACCAAATCTGCACACATATTCTTTTCCTTCGCTTCTCCCGCCCCATCTGTCACGGATCTCTTATATCCATCGTGATCTCGTAGATGTTCGCGTCTATTCTCCAAATTCCATTCCGTCCCAGAGAAGAGAGCAAATACATTACCCATCATAACTCACGTTCTGGTCGCTTCCATCCTTCCTGTAAAATATTCCTATGGGTATCATCCTATATGCTGAAGAGCACGTAAAAATTCTTTTCCAACCCCCGAATCTCCCTCCTCTTTGATAGTTAACTATTCGAATCGAAATGTCCGGTCAAAGTAAAATGATCGTGCGTATCGTGCTGTGTGCTGTACACCTCGCTCTGTACAGTCATCTTCATCTTTTCCCCTCAGAGAGCCTTCTTGTTAGCTTCTCCCTGCATCCTAGCAATAGCAGCCCGATGCGCATCATTCATGCCGCCCATGCGCATATGCGCATCAATCTGTTCCTGCTTCGCCCTCTTCTGTTCCTCTTTGGCACGGGCTTCATTCTCACGCTGCATGCGAGCAGCGCGGAGCATCTCCATCTGCGAATCCGAATACAAAATTGGTTGGCGGGAAGTATTCGCGACGGCGTTGGAAGATCGCCACATGCTCCAGTTCTGGGCTTGTTTGTTTGCGTTGTGGGAGGAAGTGCGATGTGGTTGGTGGGAGTCGTAGATTGGCTTGCTTGGTCCTGCGGAGGACATGCGTATGGGTTTTGTCATGCTGAGGCCGCTGGGAGAACGTTGGAAGGGTGGTGGAGGCGAGGCTGCTGGGGTGGGCATATTCAAGTGGGAGATAGTTTGCGAGACGTGTCTGGAGTTCATGGGACGGATGGTGTCTTCCCCTTCTTGCATGACTTGTTGCTGTTGTTGGACAAGAGCTTTGCGTTGCGCGAGCGTCATGTCCTCTTCGTTCTTGCCCGAGGACGAGGCGTGGTCTGCTTGGCTGCCTTCCTGGCTGCTCTCGCCTCCTCTGGTTAAGTCTTCTTCTAGGAGAGGGGGAGTAGATGCGCTAGGTGTCATGAAGGATGTCGTTGTGAGTCGATTGTCCAGCCTGTCTCTCCTCTCGTCCAGCAGATTGCTCTGTCTACGCATCAGCTGCGATACTTGTCGCGCCTTGTCTGGCAAAGTGGTGTTAACAGGCGATTCCACCACCCGTTGATCGAGAACAGGTGCTGAGACATTGCGACTGGGCTCCAGTGCGGGTGCTTGTGGCTCCTGGGCTTCCACATTGAGGACTGGATTGCTGCTTGCGCGCTTCGCCAGTGGTATTGACCAGCTGTCGTCGCTTGGCTTGGCCTGGTGAGAATAGACTGGAGTGAGAGTACGTGAGATCCGCTGAGATAATCGGTTGCTCGACCTCTTCTTCTCCGTCTTCTGTTCCGCCTTCTGCTCAATCTTTGGCTGTGGTGGAGGTGGCGGCGGAGCAGGAGCCGCATTGTTCTCGTCAGCCCTTGCAGATTCTGCTGCGTTGCCCATTTCAATTTGCACCGCTTCGGCGTCAGGCTCCAGTTCTTCTTCGATGGGTTCCGGTTCTGCACGACTGACTTCTTTCGCCCACTCGTTCGTCCTGTAGGTAGTCGCCGCTTTCGAGATCCGTTTCGGTAACCGTTCGGCCAATTCCGACTTTTCTGCGCCGTCGAAATAGCCGTCCCCTGCTTCAGATTTGCGGTCGTTCGATGCGGGTGTTCCCGGACTGTTCGGATCAAGATGTCGCGGACTCTTTGGAGCTGGATACAACGCCTCTTCATCGTCGTCTTCGATGATCTCTTCATTGTTCAACTGCAGCGTGACAGTCGAATTCCGTGCACCATGGGATAGATACATCGAATTTGGACGAGAAAGCCGTGTCGACAGTGCATCTGCATCAGGAGGTTCGGCAGCTGTGGCAGCAATTGATGATGCAATCTCATCTTCTTCCTCGATGAACGGCTCCTCGTTGGCGGCTTCAAGAGCGTGCTTCGCATGAAGCGACTTCATCGAAAGGCGCTTCACATTCGCAGGTCGTTTTACGGCGGCCATTGGATCTTGTGAAAGAAATCCGGGACTCGCTGGTTCCGTTTTGAGAGTTGCCGCAACACCCTCGTTGGTTCCCTTGTAGCTGGTCACATCGGTGAGGTTATCACGGCCGGCCACTTCGTTCAGGTTGTCGCGACTGGTAAAGGGATTGGTGGCCGTTCCCGCCTGGCTCGCAGTCTCCAGATTACCGTTCTCCATAGGGCGACCATCTTCGTCGAGCTCGATGGGCAGGGTGTACCGTCGATTGTCCTGGTTCACACTTGAAGACGATCGATGATTGCTCTGTGCGGAGCGGACATTGACGAGTGGATACGATTGACTTCCACTTTTCGACTCCGTATCGTAGTCTTTGTTGTTGTACTCATCGATCGAGGCGGTGCCGGACTCAACAGAGACTTGTGGCTGCTTCTTGCCATCATGGTACTCTTCCCAGTGAGCTAAGCTTTCGCGGTTGCGGTTCTCGACGTCACGTCCGACCTCTTCTTCCAGGGCATCCCTGGCTTCCTCATCCAGGATCCGCTGAGCGTCTCGCTTGGCTTTCTGCTCCTTGACAATCTTCCAGATCTTGATCTGCGACATTGTCCCCAGGAACGCCACAATGATGATGGCCGCAATCTCGACTCGCATGTTGCGAGTGATGGGGTAAGTATCAGTAAACAGGGGAAACTCATTGTCGTTCAAATCTGCAAGAACGTAAGTCGTAGAACCCCAACGTCAGCTTCCCTGTACTTACCCCAGATGTACAACCAGAATTCTTTCAGGCCCGCCCGTCCGAAACAATCAATTCCTAGAATGAAAGCTGTGGCTCCAGCAAAAGATGTACAAACGATAACCCCGTAGTCTCGGGTAAAGCGACTGATGTATGAGCAATAGCCTGCTGCACAAAGGACTGCGATTAGGACAATTTTCCCGGTACTGTTCTGGATCAGCCCCCCTGGTCGAAGGACAAGGAGCCACATCGCAAGACAGAACCCGCCCAGGACACAACCGAAACCTTCGGACACCTCCTTGAAAATCAGGGCCAGACCGCCAAGCAGAGCACCGCCGCACACTCCGGCGACCAAGTAAGCTCCTTGGATAGCAGCTGGGACTGGCGGATGCATCAGATAGACGACCAGGACTTCAATGGAGAGCGCAACCACCAATGCGGTGCTAAGGAACGTCTGCGTCTCCCTGTGCTTGATTCCGACAAAGCCCAGGGCCAAGCCAGCAATCATAAGAAGTACACCGGCAATGCCCAACGCCGGATTGAGAGCCGGCTGAATGGGCAAAGTGACTCCATCGTTGGTGGAGTTGTTAGGCCCAGGTAGCGTTACAGTCGGACTTGGAGAGCCAGTGGTAGTTCCGCTCAGGGTGATTGGCACAGTCGCGTCGCCGCTTTTCGATGGAGATACCGAATGCGAATCGCCTGTGGTAGCTGCCTGTGACGCTGATCCTGTGCTGGTAGGTCCATTGCTTGGTTCTGTGTTATCGGATGTTGCCGAAGTCGAAGGCGCATTGTTCGTCGTCGTAGCAGGTGTCCCGCTCTGCTGTGCTTGACGAAGGCGCAGTCCGTCGCGGACACCTATGCGTTCAGCGCATGCTAGCGCGACCAGCAGCGATACGAGCGCATACTGTAGGCGCATGGTGGTACTATCGCTGAGGCACGCAGATGACAGGCCAGTAACTTTGGTTCTCTTGGTCGGAAGCTTCCAATGGCTCCCTCGGCTCAGCGCGTCCGGATCCGAAGTGTGCAATCGCGTGCGTTCGAGACCATGGGTCAGTCAAGAAGTCCGGACAGGATACTCGACAGCATGCTCTCGCCCGGCAGCCGGTCCGGTGGGCGTGACAAGAGAGCGAAGGCGGGCGAATGAATGTGTGGCAGTGGGACAAGAGCGACGAGGAGGTGAGCTCAGGTATACCAGAGGGCAGCCCTGTCCATAGTACGTGCATTTGGAAGGCACCCTTGTCAAAGTCAGATGAAAGCGCGAAAAGCCTTGTCGTCGCTACCGCACCCGCGGAGTGGAAGCGCCGACAGCCGCATCTGGCGAACGCAAGATTGGAAGTTGAGGACTGCCAAACCTTGTCGTCTGCTTCCGATCGTTCACGGCGGCTGCGCATCCGACACGGCAGAGAATTGCGACGGCACCGCTGCGAGCCAACCACGAAGGCTCGGCAGTCAGCATCATCGCGCTATTGGGGTGTTGCATCAAAGGCTGGGGCTGCTGCAATTTCACAGCTCGACACGTATTCTTCTCTCGCTTCTGTATCGCCGCCTCATCGTCATGGACATTAGACCTCCCTATATTCGTGGGAAATAATAATCAGAATATCGACGGAGAGGACTCAACAACAAACGTCGCCGCGGATCTCCAACGGCCGTTACTGGACGATGCATTGAAATTGGAAAAAGCGAGAGGGATCGCCCGAGATTGCGAGTGATGTCTCTAGCGCCGTTCGGGAGCGGGAACGGGCAGCATGAGGCGCTTGGACCGAGCCAAGTCCCGTGCGAACTGGAGATCCGCGGCTCCAGGCTACAGTAAGAGCCTCCAGCATGCACGCGCGTGCCGTAGTGTCACGAATCCTACCACACATGTACAGTATGATATTAGTCCGGCTGTAGTACGTGCTCTCCTCTCAACCTCATCAACCACCTGCAGCGGCTCCACAGTCTAGGACGGCACAGGTTGCCAGCCGCTCAGACCACGTGTTGTTGGCGTCGAGCTCTGAAGATGAATGAACCAAGGCATCATGGAACAATGATCCTCCGAACGGACAAGACGAGAAGAAAAGGCCCTGTCCTGCCCAGCTGGTCCTGAATATCCCGGGCGGGTTTCAGCCGCGATATTCTCCGTTTGACCTCGTGGCTGGTGGTTGGACGATGGCGCCTCTTGCAGCATTGGTGACTCGCGCGTGATCAACGCGACCTGCATATCTATGCTGGTGAGAGTCTTGATCCCGGATGACAATCTTTTGCGTTTACGTGATGTGATGCCGTGCCTGCAGTTGGGGGAGCAGTCTATACCCTAAAAGCTTTACCCAAAGGCAATCCGATATTTACTTGAGTCAGAGACCGCATACGGAGAAATGGACAGCTGTGGGGCTCGGGCCGATGCGGTAATCAGATCAATCTCCCGGCGAAAGGTGACGATGTTGGTCGGACAAGGGCATCCTATAAGCCACATCCACAGCATCTATTTATCACGACCTGCCATGCCCCAGCAGCCGGTGCAACCTGGAGAAGGATGCAAATAGGTCGCCACACCTGGTTGATCCCCGACCACGCTTACACGTAATCATCTTTCAGATGACTTGCAGGTCCCCCAACCCGATCAAATGTCCACGAGACAAGGGCTGTCGACCGAGCCAAAGCCCGCGGCAACGCCGCCTTCCTCGCTTTGGTCGCCCTTGGTGCGCAACAAATAGCCCGCCTCAGAGTTCTCCAGCATCTTTCGACTTCCATTCGCTTCGGTCTGCCAGAGGCATGCCCCGTAGATGCCCAGTTCGCATATCACGCCACCGCTCTGCAGCTCGCCGTTGCGAAAGATGGTGTTACTCTGTGCAGGAGGCTCGATCATCTCCATCAGGATATGCGCCGGCCAGTGGGATTCTGGAAGTCCTTTCAAGAAGTCCGGTATCGCTTGGCGGTAGATGTTATTGCCTCCGCCTTCTCGCTGGGGTTTGAGGACGTATCGAACCGCCGTTTCTGGACTTGTGGCCAGCTTGCGAGCCTCGTTGCCTGCTTCACTCTTGTCCAGTGGGTAAATGGGAGCGAAGGTCTCCAGAACCGCTGCCGCTTCCTGTTTGTCTGGCAGGAAGTGGGCCAGGTGTGGCGAGTGAGGTGTCGCTAGCACCTGCTGAACCTTTTTGGTCCCGGCAAGTTGGGTTAGCACGGTTGGACACTTGATTGCCGCGCTGCGCTCGAGCTGAAGCCGCGCATCCCAATGCGACTGGTCTTTGTATTCGCCTGGCCCGTATCCAGCTCTGAGGTAAACCAGACTGACCTCATACTGCTTCTGAGGAGTGTGAGGAGGTGAGTATATTAGCTTTCGTTTGTCGTCAACATTCGTTTCTTGAAGAACTTTGTCAAAGAGCAGTCTGAAGGTTCGAACGCCGTGATTCTTGTTCAGAGCGTATTCCAGATGCCTTTGATCAAACACATTCCGCTCTGGATCTTGTACGAGGAAGATGACACAGGTTGGCAGGCCTGTCGTTGAAGGCCCGTACGCTTGATGTGCCTGAGCCATGCCAGCTGCCAACGAGGGCACGGAGGTGCTGGCAGGTAGCGACGACTCATTGATTGTCGACGAGAGCTCTTCCGGGTACGCATCGATTGCACGGAGATGCTGATGAAGGCCCGCGACTTGGCTTGACAGACCGCCGAACGAGGAAGCTATTGTGTTAAACTCCACTTGCTTGACGGAGGTCTTGGATGGATTTGACTCGTCGACATGCACCATATAGTCTGAGCGAAAAAGCCCCAAGGCAAGAGGCTGCCATCAAGTCAGCCAGCGAGTGGTAGTTCGATGGCAACAAAACCTGCCTGAGCGTATCCCTCTCTCTTCACAGCGAGGTGCACCTTCCATAATCCAGCCATGAAGTCGTCGATCTCCACCAACCTGCGCGAACGTGGTCAGTAGCTACCCAGAAAGACCTGAAGTGAAATGAGCGCCGCGAGCGTGACGGCTTCATGTGACAGCCTCATCCCTTGATAGACATCACGGGCAAGGTGTGAGCCGAGAGCATTCGCCTCCTTCACATACACTGTCTCATGTGACGCAAAGTAAGAGTGAGAGCAGCCAAACCAGTACCTACTCTTCAACAATGCCAGTCAACCATCCCTCATCACTAGCAATGGCAGAGTAGAGCTCATTGTACGCCTTGGCGACGCCCTTTGCTTGCTCAAAGCAGCCCTTCGGAAAAAGACTTGGGAAGAGCGTCACCGGTGCAGTCGTCGCCAGTGCTATAGCCGGATCTTGCTCTGCTGGCACGAACGAGGGAGCCGGTCTCACCGCGAGGCCATTGGCGATTGACCAGTCCTTCAAGTTGGATAGCAGGTAAGCATTCTGCTCTTCATTCAACTCCGGCGGGTACGCTGGGTAGATGGAGGTGGACATTGTTGACTTTTGGTGGTTGTGTTCATGAAGTTGGAGCTGATATGGGGGTTTCAAGGTGTTGTTGTGTTGATTGCTCATCAAGAAGGTGATGTGGATTCTCTTGGCGGCAGCGGGAGTTCGCTTGATGCAGCGGACCGTGCTCCTTGCGTGCTGTGCCGAGCGCTGCCTGGACTTCACACAATTCAACTCGAGTCCACTTTCAACGAATACGCGACGTATGAGATGAATTGCCCATCAAGACCTCTCGTGTGCGAATACTGGGTCTTAAGAAGCTCTCCACGAAATCTCATCGACAACAGATTCTCGCCCTAACGTCTCGGCCGATACAACCAGCGAATACGATCTCGCATCTCGAGTAGCAACGATCGACGATTCGGGCCTACGATCGAACAAGGCGACAACACAGACAGCGAATTGCGTACAGGAGACTCTTTCGCGAATGTGCTAGTTGTGCCAGGAGTATGGGAGAAAGACGAAGTGGGACAAGCCAGTTACCAATGACACCACCTCGCGATTGGCCTTCTGGGACGGGCAAGGCACGACGACGAAAGTTGAAGAGCACTTGAGAGTTCATACGGCTTAGGAAACGTTGGCGGACAATTGATTCGCTCCAGAAAGGGTGAATAGAGCTTTCCAGCAAAACGACTGTCTACTCTCCGCTGCTCTCGAGACTCCATCGGAGCAAGCAGCTTCTCCTTGAAACCGTTTTATTAGTGCTACGACAAACGTTGCTCGGCTCGGCACCAGTGCCGGACTCGGTTTAGAGCTTCGGGTCTTCTACTCGCTGAAGTGAACGGCGTGCTTGCTTATCTGCTGTTCCACGAATATCACGTTCACGTCTTGACGACATTACGCTTAACTAAGGCGTCGCATGCGAATTTCCTGCTCACTGCTTTTCCGCCATTCTTTGAACGACAACTTCACTAGTGCCTCGACTACCAAACCTCCTCGACAACAGCACTATTGCCGCCATTGCTATTGCTGTCGAACGCTCCGGTCCACTGCAGCTATTAGCGAGATCGAGGAAGCCGCGATCAATATCGCCACGTGACCGCGTTCTTAGCGCGTCCTGCAGCCTAAAGCCTCACATCTCTCGAAATTTTGCCATTTTCGACATCCGCCCTGCCAAGACACGCACGACACGCACGGCACGGCAAAAACACCTCTGAAGCCTCAGAATGGCGGCCGACCCATGGTATTGGACGGTCGCCCAAGTCGCTGACTTCTTCCGGAAAGATGCAGTCAACTACATCACCGACTTGCCGAATGCCCGCCTGCCGGACACAAACGTGTTCGCGCACAATATGGAGGAGAATGACGTCTCTGGTGCCTGCCTTCTAAACGGCGCCATCGACACGGCCTTTCTTAAAGACGACTGCGGGATACGATCTCTCGGCATGCGAAGTGCCATCCTGCATTGCATTGCCAAGCTCAAAACTCAGTCCGCGTTTCTGGGCGTGCAGAAGCCTCCTGAGACTTCTGCACCTCAGACTCCTGCCTCGTTGCACGCGTTTCCACAGCCTCAGACCGCAGTTTCGGCAGAGGTTCCAGTGTTTGATCCCATTGGACAAAGCGTCGAAAGCAGGAAGAAAATTCGCAGCGGAGAGGTAGGGATCCAGGATGAGCGCGGAAGGAAGCGACGGAAGCTGGATCTTTCGAACTCGAACTCGCCTTCAGCAGGCTTTATGGGCGACGCTGGTGTTCCGGTGGACAGACTTTTCTACGGTACCACAGGGTTTGGCCAAGAAATCAGTCTGAAGCCTGACAGCAGTATCTTTGTTCAGGCCAAAGATCAAGGATTCAAGACCTTCCAATTCTCGTATCCGGAGAAGCCACCAGGCGAGGTTGGGTACGTCTACTCGCAATTGCGCCATTACTTCAACATCGAAACCGCGAAAGCTCTTCGACGCCGAGGTCGTGAGGCTTTGGCTATTACGCCTTATCGCGAAGATCTCCTGCCCAATGATAAGGCACAATCCGCCACTGTCTTCCAAATTGCTCCCGAGCATCCTAAAAGCGTGATCAAAGTGAGAGAAAAGGTGTCTCTCCTTGACTCGGAAGTTGACTACAACTTCATGCCTCAGACCGACAACGGAGAATGGGACTTCCTCAACCAGAAGTGGAGTGGGAATGATGGCCAAGAGTTGCCGGAGTTTGGACAGTCAGACAGCGCGAGCACTTCGCCAAGCCTCAGACAAGAGATGGCCGATGAGCAAGAAGAGCAAGAACAGGAGCGTCAGAAGCATCTGACTGCGGAACAAGTACCTGAAGTCATCAATCAGTGCATGGAGAGCTTCAGAAATGCGTGGAAGGAGAAGAAAGAACCGCTGCGGGAGAAGAACAACGCATGGACTGTCTGGAGAAAGACGAAGCGAAGCAGGGCTCTTCGTGATCAGCTTGTCGACGATGCTAAATCCAAAATCAAGCACCTCGAGAAGCGCCTCGAAAAGCAGAAGGAATGGTTCATGGAAGCCACATGGGAATCTGCAGACAAGCTTAAAGAGACGTGCTCGGTGATGGACGTCTCGGTCGAAGAAGCTGAAGAGCTGAAGTGGAAAATCAATGTTTGGCAGCGAAAGCAGGAGCCTTACCACGTGGTGCGACACGGCCAACATTCTTCCTCCAACACGAAGCCGACCGCTCCCGATTTGACTACAGCAGCATTTATCCACCCTGACGATCGTATGAGTGTGGAGCCGGCTGTCGAGGACGACTCCATCGAAGGAGAGCAGTTCCACACCCCCACTGGCAGCCCGGTTGCTCCTCATGATGAGGGTAACGACGGAGACGAATCAGATCAGATGTCTGTTGACCATCAAGCCGATGCTGGTTTCGTAATGAGCGCTCCTTCGTCGCCTGTTAGCCTTCCTGAAGCTTGTACCGACGCCCAGAAAGACGGATTGCAGGCGGCGATTTCCGAAGACCGTGATGATTCTATCACAGACTCTGATTCAGACAACAAGCTCGTTTCACCTGCGACTCTGTTCCCTTCTCAGCACTCCAAAAACCGTGAATCGACGCCGACTCCAGAGAATTCTAAATTCGCGACTGCATGGGGTGAACCCATCGTGATATCATCCGATTCGACTCCCGCAGCCACCAAGAAAGGCAAGAAGAGAGACGAGGCCTTTTCGCAGAAGCAGCACATCAATGACCCACTAAATGCCACATACAACGAAGTCAAAGGCTGGGATATGGCGGACCTTATCTCGCAATGTGATCGACTTCGATTCTTGATCAAGCTGCTCGTTGACGCGGGAGTCGAGAAGAGAGGCCTCATGCACAAACACTTGATCAAATTTCGCAAGCCGACATTTGTGGAGAAGTTGATTGATGCCTTACTCGCAATGAGAAAAGAATACGAAAAGATGGGCGATAGCGAGGCAAGCCAGACGTTGCTTGGATGCGCCAGAATCTTCGTGGCGTGGTTCCACCTCGCTCCGGAGTTAGCCAACGAAAATCGAGGCTTCGACATCGATTGGAAAAAACTCGTTCAAAACAAGCCTCAGGTGACGGCTTTCACACGAATGCTAGAGTCCGTGCTACAGAAGAAAGATGGTAAAATGTTTGAGCCGCCCAAGTCAAAGCCTGCACCAGGTCCTACGGCAGACTCGGTGGTTGTTGACCTTGACTCCTCAGACGACGCAGATGATGGTCCAAATGACACACCTAGCAAAAAGCGCAATGCAACACTTACAGCAAAGCTTGCCAAGAGCAAGGCAGTTCAGCAGTCGCAGATGGATCAGGTTAAGGCCCTGGAGCGTCAAAAGAAATTCAAGGCGGCGAAATCACAGCCCTGCTACTCGCAGCCACTTTCTCAAGAATCGCCGGCGACTGTGCAGATGGGCTCAAGCGTATCATCCATACCCGTCAACTTGCTCAAGGATGAGGACGAGGATACTATCTTCGTGGATCAGCGAATCGCTGAAACCATGAAGGATCATCAAGTTGCAGGGGTGCAGTTCATGTGGAGAGAGATTACCGCAGGAGATGACGCCCAGGGCTGCATTCTTGCGCACACAATGGGATTGGGCAAGACAATGCAGGCGATCACTTTGCTGGTTGCGCTAAATGAAGCTGCTCAGTCGGACAACCCAGGCATCTACAAGCAGCTACCACAGCATCTGCGCTTGCAGAGTGCGGACCGACAGCTTCGTACACTAATCCTCTGTCCAGCCTCGCTGCTGATCAATTGGCGGAATGAGATTAAGGCGTGGGCGCCCAAGAAACTTGCCAATGTGTGGACAATGGAAGCAACTGCAAAGGCTAGTCACAGAGCCTTCCTGGAAGCATGGCACGATAAAGGCGGTGTCTTGCTCGTCGGCTACGAGGTCTTCAGATCCCTGGTCCTTGGAAAGCTCAAGATGGATTCCAAGAGCAAGCAAGATGGCAAAGACTCCAAAGCCAAGATAGCTAAGAGGAAGTCAAAGGAGAAGGAGGAAGCAGAAGACTTGAGCGAGTTTCTGACAATCGATCCGGAATTGGTCATAGCGGACGAAGCCCACAGATTGAAAGATGAAAAGTCTCAGCTTTCACTCGCTGCGAGACAGTTCAAGACCGAGAGCAGGATCGCACTGACTGGTACGCCGATGAGCAACGACGTCCAGGAGATCTACGCACTTACCTCATGGGCGGCACCGACTTATCTGGGCTCCGCGAAGTGGTTCAACAACCAATTTGCCAAGCCCATCAAGGAAGGCAACGGAACTGACAGTACAACCTACCAGCGCCGAAAGGGTCTCAAGAAACTTGCTGTTTTACATAGCAAGATCGAGCCAAAGGTTGATCGGGCAGGCATTACTGTCCTTCGCGGATCTCTTTCGACCAAACAAGAATTTGTCGTCACTTTGCCGCTGCTGGGCCCCCAACAAGCGGCGTATGGGAAATACGTCGCTGCCTTGCTGGGCGACGAGAAGAAGGAGAAAGCAAGTCAAGTCGCGCTGTTCTCATGGTTGCAAATCTTGACGTTGCTTACCAACCACCCACTGCCCTTCAAGCGGAAATTGCTCGAATCTCCAAGACCCTCGAGGGCTCATCAGAAGGCGCTCGTTGCAGAAGCGGCGGATTCGGAGAACGGCTCAGCTGCGCCGCAACAAGAGGGCGATGACGGCGACGATGAAGAACTGGAGAAGGTCGTGCGCACCCTTGGCTTCAGTGAGCAAGTCATTCAGGACATCACTTCCTCAATAAGCGATGACTTGAGCGCGAACCTGTCGGCCAAGACAAACCTCTTGCTGGACATCATTCAGTTGTCCAAAGCATGTGATGACAAGGTACTAGTGTTTTCGCATTACATTCCAGTCCTGGACTACGTCTGTGATCTCCTCCGCGCATCTGGCATCAGCTTCGGGCGAATCGACGGTAGTATTGCGACAGCCAAGCGTGAGCCAATTCTGAAAGATTTCCAAGCGGGCAAAACCGACGTCATGGTTATCTCAACCAAAGCAGGCGGTGTTGGTCTCAACATCCAGAGAGCTAACCGTGTTATCATACTTGATGCACACTTCAATCCAACCTACGAGGAGCAGGCCATTGGACGAGCCTACCGCCTTGGACAGAAAAAGTCGGTCTTTGTCTACCGCTTCATGGTTGGTGGAACATTCGAGACCAACATCTATGACAAGCAGAAGTTCAAGATATCTCTCGTGAACAGGGTGGTGGACAAGAAGAACACGAAGCGCGCCGGCGAGATCAATACGCGAGATTACCTGTATGAACCGAAAGACGTCCCATTGGCGAACGACTTGACCACTCACCTTGACAAAGACCCAGAAGTGCTTTCCAAGCTGCTGGAACGACAAATGCAGCGACCGAGCGAGTTGGCGTTGATACGCGCCCTTGAAAATACAGAGACCTTGATGGAGGAGGAGCAGGAGCAACTCACAGCGGAAGAGCAGAAGGAGGTTGACGACGAGATTCGCGCGGATCTGTACGAAGGTCGTCCTCACAAGAAAGGTGTCGGTCCCGCGGTCTCGCAGTCAGGTGGCTTTCCGCTCAGAAGCACACAGCCAGCTCCACGGACTAAGAATCCGAATAGGGGCGCGCCGGTTGGTGTTCCTTCGCGTATTATGGTGACCTTTCCTATGCACCCTACTTCCTACCGGAGTACCGCTCCATCTCGAGCTCAGCCAAACGGAGCACACAACCGTCTTCCGTCAAGCACGTTTGTGCAACCACAGCCACAACAGCAGGTGCCGCAGCAGATGCCACCAGACATGCCACATGGATTACCTGACGTACCGCCGAAATAACCGAAATGAGGGCATGAAGAGGACACGACTGTATGATGAATGATAGAGCCCGCGCTTTTCGCGCAGGAGCGTTCTTGAGCGACTGTTCTGCTTTTTCCTTTGCAGCTTTTTAGCGTGTATTTTTTTTTTTTGGCACTGCGAGTTGCGCGAGTAACGAGATACCCCCACAGAGAGCACCTGCAGGAAGCTGAGGTGAGGAGATGATGGAAGCTTTTAGTAGGCACGAAAGCGAAATGCGAAATGACTTGGAATGATTGCCTCTTCCGTGCCTCTTCCTTGTAAGTGACAATGGTCTCTCTACTTATTCCGTGTGCCCATCCCAACCCTAACAACGTGCGCATGTGAAAGCCGTTAGGGTTTCTCGGGGTAGCATAAAATGGTGGGACCCGTGTCAAAAGGGCGGTCAGCAACGATCAATCTGCCTTCGGCATGAAACCGCTTGCAGACTTGCAGTCAGATCAGAAGTGGAAGACTATTGTCACCTTATTTTGACATTACTTTACTCAGGCGATGAAGATGCCGATTCGGCATGCAGCTTTTCCAGCACTTTGCACACTTTGCACAACGAAACGCAGAGCCCTGTATCTCAGATCGACTTCCCGACCATGTCTGAGCAGAAAGTTGAGACTACCCTAGGCGATTACAACAACAGACAGGCAAGTCAAAAGGGAGAGTTACGACACGATGGAAATCGAGAAGGCCTTTGCGAGGTATATTGTAGAGCTTCTTCATCTGCGTGTCTGCCTGCAAAGCCTTGATCTCCTTCACCGAGAAACGTCCTCAGGCAATCAGACCGACTCACGCTCCGCATTATCGTACATCTGTCTGGAAAGCTCTCCAAAGTCATCCGTAAAGTCTCGCAGGTACATCACCCGCCTGATGTTCCATCAAACTTGCGCATGAAGCGTATCGTGCGCGAGAACATGCCGCGCTCTAAACCAATATGAAGCGCCGTTCTGAACATTGTCCAGAAAAACGCCAGACTCCGCGCTAATTTTCATCAAAAGGGTACCTCCAGCAACTCATCGCCTTCGAATTGCAACACCACCTCCTCCTGCTCCTCCCGGCTGCTGCTGCTGCTGCTTGTGCTGGTGCTGTTGCTGCTGCTCGTGCTGGTGCTGGTGCTGGTGCTGCTGCTGGTGCTGGTGCTCGCGCTACTGCTGGTGCTGCTTCTGGTGCTGCTGCTCGGTGCTCTGATCACTGTCGTGACACTCGCTTACCTTCGAAGATGCTTCGCCACGGTCTGGCTTGTTTGTCACATCATGGATCTTCGCACCGATGGCGCCCATGTCCGGGCGTCCGCCGTCGCTGAGCTCGCTCTCGCGGCGGGCGACGTGCTTGCTCATGATGGTCATGACTTCCATCTCTCCTTGCTTCTGACGAATCTCGAACTGTAGATGACAAGCGGATCAGCCAAGACCATATTAGCAGCAGAAAAGTTCTCTTACCCAGGACTCGTACTCGTTCCACCACCAAGTATGCGTCTTGCCGTCGAATCCCTTGAATCCGGCGATGCCATCTTCGCCGACGCGCTTGGCCCAGGGTTTGTCGACAATGTAGTGCAGGCAGACGATCTCGTTGTCGCGCCAGATGTTCTCGTGGCGGTATGCCATCGTCTTCACTGCATTGTACTTCCAGCTGACGGGCATCCAGCGGCCATGGAAGAAGTGGGTCATGAACTCCTGATCTGGAAACTTGAAGGTGCCGAGAAGGTCCGTGGCATTGAAGAAGTTGAGCATGTCGATCCAGAGCTGTTGCGATGGATGGAAGAGGAACATGCCACTGTTGAAGAGATGATGAGTGGGACGGCTGTCCTTGTTGACGGGCACGGAGCCGTTTGAGGCCTCGGGACGACTCTGCAGAGTGAATGGGCAGTTCTCCTTGCAGTGCTCGGCTGGAGTCCAGGGCATCCTATCCGGGCTGCAGACGCAGTCGTGAACAGCCGCAATCCAATCCTTGGGCAGCTTGTCGGCAGAGTCGAAGATCGAGTCCATGTTCTGCAGGAGAGTCATGTCGGCGTCAAGGTAGCATATCGTGTCGTAGCCGAATCGGAAGGAGTCGAACACGCGAAGCTTGGTCCACGTGTCGGTGAAGCGCTCGACGGCCACATGGAGCTCATGGTGAGCTGGTGGCACGAGCAAATCGCATTGCTGCAGGATGATGTTAGACTTGCCGGCCTCGATCTCGAGGGCGCGGACTGCTGTCTTGGTCAGTGTTGAAGTGTAGAGGACAATCAGTGCGTACTGAGAGCCCTGCTTCTTGAGCGTATGCGCGAGCAAAACGACACCAGCTAGGTAAGAAGCACGCGTGACGAGGGTTATGTACGCGAAGCGTCCTCCATCGCTGCCCTTCTGGGTGTCGTTTACCGCGAGATCCTGCTCTCCCTTGTTGACGCTGTCGTGGCGGAACATGGTGCGTGATTTGAAGGAGCGTTGCGGTCGGCGAAGCGTGCGAGGAAGCAGCGGACGGGTGTATGCGTGAGGCGAGTGGTGGTGTAAGGAGCGAATGTATGCTGCAGGTGCCTGGGCTTGAGGGCGGATGGTCGCTGCTGTCTTTGCGCGAGAGTTGTCGTTGGTGTGTTGTTGTCGGTGTATAGGTTGTTGGTTAAGAGTGTGCGTTATAAAGGAAGTATGTGGGGGTGGAAAGGAGCAAACGGAGGGCGAAAAGCGGAAGGAAGTCGCGCGGGTGAAGTGAAGCTTGAGGTGAGGTCACGCAAGCATGTGATCAGCAGCCAACGGCAAGCATGTGATCAGCAGCCAACGCCGACGGCAGAGGAAGCAAGCAAACGAGTGTCGGGTGAAGACGTCGTTGGGGAGCAGAAAGTCGAGGTCGGAATTGTCGTGTGTTTTGATCCAATTTCCGCCTGAGTGCAAGAGAGGAAGGAGCTACCCAGGTTGACCATCAGCTGCTATGACAGCGCGGATACTTCGAGGAAAGGGCCAATGCTTCAGTCGGAGGGAGAGAGTTTGGTATAGCGAGTGCTCGATGTCGCTCAAGGCCTTGAAATGCCGTGTCGCTGGACTTGTGCCTCCTCGTCAGGAGGTGGTGGGCATTCTTGCATCTTGCGGACCACCCAAAAGCCGTGCCAACCCGAGCTCTTCTTATCTGATGGAGGTATACGCGTGAAGAGGGAAAGTATAGCATGTCCCATCTTTACAACAGCATGCGTTACAGCAACTCCTTAATTAAGCTTGTGAAGAGAAAAGACAAACTTCGCCATCGTTCGACAAACCTGAAACTCACCAGACGTAGCTCAAGCAAAGAAAAGCTGATGTTCAGGAGGTACTACAAACCTAGCAAGAACAAAGAACCTTCCAGGCAAGCAAGCCCTTCTCATGAATCCCGCGGTCTCCCGTTCGCCTGATGCTTCAGTGCGTCTGTATCGTCGTCGTCGCCGTCACTTATGAGTCCGTCGAGCTCGAACTCCTGAGCATCGTGGGACTGTCTATCCAGGTCGTTGGGTATCCGCAGGTGGCCATTAGCGCGCGCTCGCTCTTCATCGCCGAGCTTAACGTTACGGTTGCTGTTTGAATTTGGATCCTTGTGTGCCGAGTAGAGGCGTAGTAGCATCAGCACGACTGGAAGGGGTCAGTGAGTTGAGATAGCAAGGCAGACAGGAATCACTTACGTAGAAATAGTATGAAGGCCACGCTGTACAGGATCAGGATGTATGACACATGCGTGACACCCGCATCAGACAGCACCTTGATCTACGGCGGAAAACGGTTAGCCTGAATCTATGGCTTGGTCTCAAGCTCGTGCTACTACTCACCTGTTCTTCGGTGGCGCCCATGAACAGGAATCCAGACGCGTACAGCAAGAAGGGCGGCAAGTACTGGAAGCTGTTGATCTCAGCATCCACGTCGCCGCCGTCCGCTCCGACTAGGGTCGTCTTGTCCCTGAGCACGAAGCTGATCTCGATAATCCTTGTGAAGCCAGCGCCCATGAGGGTGTATCCAAATACCGAATGCACATGCGTGCTGAGCATCAGCTCTTGCGGATGCGCACTCATTGCCCACCCTGTCATCGCAATGACCATTCCTGGGATAAGGTTACGTCTCGGCCGTCCCTGTCTATCTCTTGACAACCAAATACCAACCAGACCGGCTGCCCACCAGATGATACCCATTGTCGTATGTTGTAGATCATTCTTCACCCACGCAGTTCCCCAGCGATGTTCCGTGAACGTGTTCACGCATCCCCACAACGTAATGACCGAACTATCCCAGAACTCTTGACTCCTGCCCGTTCTTGCCAGGAAAGCTTGTCCATTCAACAGTAGCAGCGTCATAACGATGCCGTACGCAATGAACGCACTGCCCATGATGAAATGCGCCAAACATTGACCCAAATGATCGCCCTGACAGAACCCTTGACTCGCAATCCCACCAAACAACATCTGCACCCACGCCGCAACAGGCATCACTCCTCCCAGTATTCCATGAGCCTTCACCAACCCTTTCCTCACTCTTCCAAGAAAACCTCTTTCAATATGCAGTCTCAAGTAGACGCCCAAGACCACCTGCACAATCAACATCAACATCAACCAGTTCGCAAATTTGGCATGTACATTCGGCCCAAACTGTCTTCCTTTGTGCAGGTGGCCCAGGAAGTAGCCTACGACTGCGAGTGCGGTTCCGGCTATTTGTGCGGGAACGTGCCATCGTGAACGTACAAGGCCTAGCACCATGCCCGTGGGGAAGATGATTCCCCATGCGAAGCCTTGGATGAGGATGTGTGCCCAGAGGGTGCTGTCCATGGGCTCTCCGGAGACGGCTTCGCCTTCAGGCACTTCGTCGTGGCCACCGTGAGCGAGGGCACGGGTCGCGAGCAGGAGGAGGACGACGGGAAGGGAGGTTTTGTTGGCCATGGTGAAGGTGAACCTGGACCCTTGTGGCGATACGGTCGATGGAGTCTATCTTCGTGGAGGTTTGAGGTCGGGCGCGACCATCTGGAACGTTTTCACGTCGTTGTGCCGCGTATTCTCGACGAGAGAAGATGCAGATGTTGATTGTAGAGAGCGATGACCATCCTGCTCCTTGCCTTTGGACGGGATGCTCTCCCGTCGGCCTCGTCAGCAGATAGACTTTGTTGCCGAGATTCCGAAGCGATCCTTGCCGGAGCTTGCCGAATCGGGACCTCAATCAGACAACGACGCGTCTTCCCATCAGTTGACGCGTCAAACATGTACATGACAAAGGTGAAAATTTGATGGCGCTCATCAAACGGCGCAATGGATTCTGAACAGCTACCAATGTCGCGGCAACACAATGATGCGCCAGTACCTCCCGTCGATGAGCCGTGGAAGGACGAGGTGAAAGATGAGGCGGCATCTTCACAGCAGAAAGCCACCGATATGCCCGCTAGCTCACAGCCAGACATGAAGGACTTCGCCGCAAGTCCACAGCACAGGATGCAAGAGACGACTATGTCTATAACACCTGAGAAGAGAAAGACATTCGCATCGTCTCAGGAAGAGATCAAAGAAGCAACTGCATCTCCCCAGCAAGAAATCAAGCCAGAATTAGCATCCTCGCAGCAAGATACCAGAGATGTCACAGCGTCCTCGTCAGGCCCACTCCAAAGCTCTTCACCACTCACCAAAACGAAAGCCGAAGAGCCACGAACACCCACCAATCCCCGCTTAGCATCCCTCAACACCAAACGCCAAACCCTCGAACAAAAACTCGCGGCACTACAAGCTGAACGCCGGACCATGATCTCCAATACCAAACTTCCCTCCGGCCTCGACATGCCCTCGCACTGGTCCGACGAAGACAAAGAAAAACATGCGATGAAGACTGCGAATGCGACGATTAAGGAGCACATCGGGTTGTTGCATCGGTATAACGAGATCAAGGATATTGGGCTGGGAACGATGGGGTTGGTGGCGGAGAAAAGAGGTGTTAGGCAAGGGGTTATTATGGAGGAGTTTGGCATGGGAAGTGAGGACTGAGTGAGCTCTGATTTCGGGTTGTGGTGGTTATGGGAGGTGGAATCCGTGGAAGATAAGACATGTGTTTGCTTGATGTTATGCTATGATACCCATGATTAAGCTACGTTTCCACGCTATGCCGGACACCTGCTATGTACGGACGCGGTAACAAGTCCTTGTCAGTGTCAATCACTCCGAGTCTTCATGCTTCCTTCCAGATGCAATGCGCAATTGCCGCAACATCGTTCAGACTCAAGCCCCTCGTGTTCCGACCTTCGAAATGGCATCGGACCAGACGTCCAATGACTTCGAATCTTTCTTGCAACATTTCCCCCAGACCATCCGGAGCTACGGCATCCAAGCGTAGATCGAACCCATCAAGCCCCTTCTCACGAATCGAGAGGGTAATCCTGCTGTAACTACGTATCGACGAGAAGCGCTTGCCGAGGGGCCATGGCGAGAATGCGACTGAGAACGGCGATGTCAGAAATTTGATGTGTTTTGAAGTACCTTATCTCCCAGGAAATGGAAGGAGCGATAATGAAGAAGGAGGGCAGATTTAAGCTTTGCGCACGGACGCAGAATTCAAATGCTAGCGCGGACATCACATCGGAGTCTCATCTCTATCCAATTCGCCGTTGCCATGATTTTGTCTAAGTTTCTCGAGAAGAGAACAAAGTCCCCCCCCCCGGCGAAAACACACGAGAGTCGAAACACGTTAGCATACGGCCTCAGCTCTCTCTCTTGTTCGTCGGCCTCAAGCTGGTACCCAGCGGCATGTGTTCGCAGTCTGATGATCGGCTTTGGACACAAGCCGCCGAGAACCTGTACATGGCCCCTTCCCCAAAGTTGACCTGCATCAGATTTGTAGCCGCAGGCAGGTTCTATTGTAGTCCAAGCTTCCTTGTCGAGAGAACTTACTGAAATTCCGCATCGCACCTTTCAAACCGATTCCACGCTCGGCGCGGTTTCGGGAGAAGAGCACGTACTTCGCGATCAGATGTGAAACCTAGCAGAGATCTGAATTGATAAGCAGTGATGGCTGCTTGAGCCATTATAATACGTACACGAAGAAAGATAACGGAAAAGAAATCCTCCTTACGTCTCCATCTCCCAGCTTTCGTGCCGCAGGCCGAAAGCTAATCCTCATCCCAGACATCACCCAGATACTGCATTTGCATCGTTCTCCAATTAATCATCTCGCAAGAATATGCTGATTCGCCTGTGCTGCCACTGTGCAGCATCTCGAAGGAAAGCGGGTTCGAGAGAGCGTCTTCTACCGCTGAATTGAGGCGGCGTCTTGGCATTGGTGAAGGCAGAGAAGGGACAGTAGAGCGGATGTTCCCTGTGTCCGCTTCCTGCGATGACTTTCCTGCTTGATGCCCGAGATTGTGACCTTTTTCATCGTAACTTGGGCTGCTCGTGTTTGAGGACATGATGTGCGGATTTCTTGATGTTGTCAGAAAGACCAGAAAGAGTACACGAAAATCTATTCGTATTTGATCCAGTATGTCTCGTTCACTCTTGCCAAGTCTCGGGAATTCAAGGGTCACAGATGCAAGATCGATTTCGAGGATCTATTCCAGGCTGTAAGCGTTGTCTTGGTCATTGATTCATAATGCTCTGAGTTCCAAAAAACGAAGCCATCTGGTACTGTGACTCCTGTCTGAGTGTCGAAAGGCATGATCCAAGGACATTAAGGTGTATGTCAGACAAGTGTCTTTTTGTCACAGACAACATTGGCATCATGCTCGCCTGGCATATCGAACACTGTTGCACGGTAATCACTGCTGATCTGCGACACGGACTAAGAACAACTAGACCAATGTATTGATGCATACTGCCTTAGCCCTCTCATATCGGCCTCGAGATCTGGCAGACTGAGCCAGATAATCGACGGTGAGCGAGCAGGTAGCATCTTCGGCGAAAGAGGTCGCATGACTCAGTATTCAGCCGCCGGAGGGGTCTAGACAGCCACTCTCCTTATTCGTGCAGATGTCGTTCGGCAGGTGTCCTCGACGAGTCAGTCGATCGATGTCAAAATTGGCTGTAGACATTGGCCGAATGGAGCGTGGGATGTGGAATTTTTTTAATGGGCGATATGACATGACCCGCATATGACGATGATAATGCTCTGTTGACTGCTGGTCGATCGTGATGGGGTGTAGGAAGCAGAAAGGAAGAAGCGGAGGGGAAGGTGGTGTTTTGGTGACCACTCTTTCCGCTTCCGAAGTACACCCGAAGAATGGACCAGGATCTCGAACAACACCTCAACATTTCAGACCACACCACTTGCATCAACGCTTCGGACCTGATCACCATACCACCAGAAAAGATTCTCAAAGTCACGAGCAGCAGTGTGCATGCCACCGCGTACGAAAGAGGACAGCGCTGAACGCAAACGACACGTTCGCGTGTCCTCCGAGAACATGAGTATGAGTATGTTGCTCATGCAACTGCTCAAAAGTGATCGATCGATGGCGTCTGATCCATGATAATGCCAATCGGGCTCTTTGGTGTGATAGAAGCGGGCCCTGCGGTTCTTATCACGCGCAAGATAGTGAACCTGTCTGTTTGGCCTACTGGACAAGACGATTCGGGGACCTTGGATCTTGCGCAAAATCTGTTTCTCGCCTAGAGAAACCGGCGGAGGCGAATGCGTGCTCCAGGTTGCCTCAGGAAGACAGATGTTAGGCCTGTTTGAGAGGAAAACCAACGAGCTTTCCTGGGTTCAATGCCGGTCAATCTCGTTTCCGAAGCCGCTGTCGATGCCATTACCGGTCACTTGGACACCGCCAACACCCCTGCGACACTTTATTCATTCTACAGGACTGAATAGCAGAGCTCAAGTCGTCAGTGGCAGGATACAGATGCCCTCGTATGAACCTCTTCGGTGGTCGCCATTTGCTCGTGGCGCGATTGAGTAACATTGCCGGAATGTCCAGGACAATCCGATCCCTCACATTTGATGGAGACTACGAAAAGTTCTGTCTGGTGGCTGTGTTTGAGATTCCAATTTAAGGGCTACAGCAAGACTGGTATGATGGTTCTGGATCCGGCTACGTCAACGCAACCCCGCCCGCGTAGGCGCTCTTCATGACGACCTTCCTTAGCTCCATAAACCGAACTGCGGGACCTCCGAGCGATGCTACGACTTCAAAACAACTCTTGACCATCGAAGTACAACAGCAAGAACCATAGTAATCTGCGATCATGTCTCAATACACAGTTCCCTGCAAAGGCATCGTTGCATATTCGCAACATGAATGGAAGATGGAGGACCTGCTCACGCGAGAGCCTGCGGAAGATGAATTTATGGTCGAAATGATCGCAACTGGCATCTGCCACACGGATATCTCAGGCTACGGTGGCATTTATCCAAGAGTTCTGGGTCATGAAGGTACGTCAATTGGAGATTCTGTCCTCGTAATAAATCTCACCATTCGTTAGGTGCCGGCCGTGTTCTTCGTCTAGGAAGCAGGAAGCTTGAATCTCAGTACAAGGAGGGCGATCTGGTCATTCTTTCGGCAGCAGCATGTCTGAAATGCAAGTACTGTAAAACTGGACATCCGGCGTATTGCGTTGAGCACGCTGCACTCACTCTCCAAGCCAACGAGCCAAACTTTGTCCTCGCCTCAGACAAGTCTAAAGTCATTGGAGGTGGCTACTTTGGTCAGTCCAGCTTTGCTTCTCCTGTGCCGGTAAAGGTCTCGTGTGCCTCGAATGTCACCAAGAAGATCCGAGACGCAACTGAGTTGAGACTATATGCACCACTGGGCTGTGGTATCATGACTGGAGCTGGCTCAATCACGCACGTGGGTCACTGCGGACCAGACGACGTAGTCGCAGTAGTTGGTCTTGGTGGAGTTGGCCTTGCAGGCATTGCAGCTGCCAAGTACAATGGCGTCAAGAACATCATTGCTGTCGATCTCGTGCCCTCGCGCATCGAGCTGGCCAAACTAATGGGAGCAACGGCTGGCCTGCATTCGGCGCCAGATAAGCTTAAGGACACTGGCCTTGCTAAAGCCATAAAGGAGATGACGCCGGAGGGCCTGGGTTGCTCTCATATCATGGACACAACACCTTCAGTCGGTATTCTCCAAGAATGCTTCGAAGCGCTGCAGAAGAACGGCACAGTCTTCCAAGTGGGCGTTAAGCCTGTTGGCGCGAAGATGGAAATTGACCTGCTGACGCACATGGTGAACGGAAGGAGGCTGGTTGGAGTGATTGAGGGCGACAGAGATCCTGCAGAGGCTTTGCCAGAGCTTGTCCAATGGGCAAAGGATGGCATCCTGCCTATGGAAAAGCTGCTGAAGGAGTATCCAGTTGCCGAATTTGAGCAGGGAAAGAAGGTGATGGAGGATGGCAGCGTCATCAAGAGCGTGCTGGTATGGTAGGCGACTCGAGCAGACAGGTGTCGACGAGGGTCTTTCTGATTTCAACTCTCCTTCGAAAGACACAACCATTCTATATATCCTAACGACCGCATGCTTCGTCACCCTCGTATCATTAATCCTTTCTTCGAGCTACAGAAACCGTCAAAAATAACGGACCGAACGTGACTGGCCAAACCAGCCGGATACCTACCTTGGAGGCATTTCAGAGGAAGCGTTTTTCGTTGCAGGAAGGTGTCCTACACGACCTCATCGCGTTCTAGTTTTGAGTCGGCGACGAAATGACAATACAATTGACGATGCCGACGAGTGACCTAGCCGATGACTGTGTCTCTTTGAATCTGAAAGAGCGCAACCATGTGCAGCGAGCAGTGCTCTCCGGACGAGACTTTGACTATGGCCTACGACACGCTGTCGGAAGTGAAGCAATATGAATATATCCTAAGAAGCATCTACATGGATAACCACCTGACCCAAGTAGTAGGGTTCATTGGTGTCGCTGGAGCCAGTCTGCGAAATGCTATGCTGAACCTCAAAGATCTGGACTACATTCAAAGCGAGAATCTGAGCTGGTCCAGAGCAGCCATGGATCCCTTTTGCGACGCCTGCACGAAGTTACTCGACTAACAAAGATCCCTGACCAGAGAAGTGCGAATCATCTGCGTTGAGCCCAAGGCATCGATGACTTTCTACCTGGAATTGAAGATTCGGTCAATAAGAGCAAGTACGCACTGCCATTACCAGCAGAGTCTGCCATTTCGCCATTCGACTCGACGACCACGAAGAGTTCTTGTGGCCTTCTAATTGAACATACCCTTCTGCTCTTTCAGAGCAAGGAGCCGTAGCATATCGCTCGTATCGCTCTGATCGTCACCTTCAGCATAGCCCGGCATGAGCGCCAGCCAGCGATAAACGCTCTCCCGCAATTCTTTGGGCATCCGCGACGGCTTCTTCAGCGCTTGCTCCATGGCAGCGACACACTGCTTCGCCGTCTTCTCAATCAGAATCTCACCAGCCGATCCAGCGCCCGCAAGAGCTTGCTTATACCCCAGCATCGCATCAACCACCACCGCCTCCGTCCTGGGCCAAAAACTGCTCATCAGATTCCATGGCTGTCCACCACTCTGATCCCCTCCGCCACGGAAATCACTCCTCAGAATCACTGCGGGGATATCTGCCATTTTGGCAATCATGAACTCCACCACGGTCCCAGAATCCAGCTCGGCGCCATCATATGTAATCAGAGCCAGATCACAGCTAAGGAGCGATCGAATATCCTTGTCTCTGATATTTTGAGGTGTAACATTTCCGCGTTGCTCCAGGTCTTGCGGTAGGCAGGGGATGAATTTGCCATTCGAGTGCTGGTGCACGGCTTTGGCGAGGAGAGCGTTGGTATGTAAATCTGCGATTGTGAAGAGAGGGCCGGCATGGTAGTATGTATAAGTCCCCGGCTGGTGGAGATCCGATGCTGTCGAAGGGGCTTGGATGTCTAGAATCGCATCCGCCTTGTTGGAAGCCATGTTGCTTGCAGAAGCCATAATTTCTGAGGCAAAAGATTGGAACGTTGGGGCGGTCCTTGTTAGCTTCCGACAGATTTTCATATACTTTTCAGGTCCATCTATATCTCCTACCAGTCCACGTTTGCGTAGAAAGTACTCATAGCGAGCGAACAGAAATTCGATAGGCCAGCTCAGAGCTAAAGCTTCAACAAAAGCATTGGTGGCCGGGAAGGACACCCGCTGGCGTCCGAGATTGAACCACCAATTACATTTACTCTTTAATCCCTCGTAGACTGTTCTCCATTCCCACTTCGTAGGTTCCCGAAGTCTCAAGAAAAGAAACAGCGCAAAAGAAATTTGAAGCAGTGGCACAGTTCAAGTTTTCCCCCAAATGAAATTCTTTGTCATTACAAACTATGCTACGACCCGATCCGGTCCCATGCAATGCAATCTATCCCAGTGCTAAGGAATGCCTGTCTATTCTATTCCCATGCTCTCACTTCGCGGTGAGCCTTTGCCGTTCCCAGTTCCCGTGTGTACGTGCTGATCGATCATTCGCAATCTGTCGGTCGGTTTTCCCTTTCCTGGATTTCCAATCTAATGAGCCCCATGTGTGTGGCGACGGCGGTGCTTCTCAATGTCCCGCTTGCTCCAACGCTTGCTGATCTTGCCGTTCGCACATGTCGTGCCAGCAGCCACGTCCATTGGAATCGCGCAGTTGTCAACGTCGCAGATGCCGAAGTGCGTGGAATCGACGCAGATGATGTCGCCGGGTGTGGGACAGGACACTTGGCTGTCCGGGCATGTTCCAGAGCTGCCGGTGGCGGTAGGTGCGGCGGCGGAGGAGGAAGTATTCTCGGTTGATGAGGGTGCTGCGCTCGGAGAAGAAGACGCTGGTGCGTACGATGAAGGCGACGGTGCCGCGCTCGAAGTGGTGGCCGCGGCGGAGGAGGTGTAAGGCGAAGGAGAGTTGGTTCCTGATGCTGAGCCCTTCGAACAGCCTGGTCCGGTCGGCACCGCTAGAGGGTATGGATTTCCCTGCGTGTGCGTGGTAACGTACTTTCCTGGATCTGGGAATTTGACGTTGTACTGTTCAGTGGTTGGGCATTGATCGATGCTGGCAAGGTTGGCCACGAACATGCTGGGGAGGCTAGCCATTTCAGAGCCGTCTCCTCCAGTGATATCAGCGTCGATGCAGTTCATGTATATCTAAAGACTCATGTTAGCATTCTTTATCTTGTTTGTTTTGGGGGGCTTACCTCACGATTTCCGACCGAATTAAACCAGGTCCAGGCAAGTGTGGCCTTGCCATTCTTCAATCCCTTTGGAATAGTGAAGTTGAACGAGTTCACGCAGTCCGGCGAGTTAGTACCGTCACATTCCACGGCAGTCGGCAAGTTTCCCTTTGTGTCGCTTGGGCATCCTCCTTCGATCGAATAGATGACGTGCCAACTCGCAGGATCTTTCAGCTTCGCTGGGTCGGTCTCGTACGTGACTGACATTTGACAGGATCCACCTCCATGAACTGCGGTATTGGCGCCTCCTCCTAGATCAAAGGAGAGCTTCTGCGTGGAGCCTGCGGGCATCTTGACTTTGCCGGCAAATGGAAGCTTGACGCCATGGCAAGGGAAGTCGGAGCCCGACGCATCAAGTGGAGGCTTCACGTTCGTGCCTTCGATGGGTTCCGGGGTGGCGATGAACAAGTGGGCGTTGGCAGTGCCGAGCAAGAAGCTCGAAGCCAGAAATGCGGTCGCTGCTTTGAAGATCATGTTGCGGTGCGTGGAGGTGTTGGTGCTGGTGTTCGTTGCGAAGAGAATGTTGTTGGTGTTTGGGTTCGTTGCGGAGAGAATGTTGTTGGTGTTTGTGAGTGTCCGAAGCAGAAGTAGTGGTGCGCTTTAAGTGTGGGTGTAAAGCACGCTGCTGCTGTGAAGAATGTGTTGTAGATCGATCAACGACGAAAGGTGATGGGGGTTTTTTCTGCAGTGAATGTCAATCAATGTTCTGCGAGTTTCTGATTTCTAGAAAGCAGAGAAGAGGAGTGGAAAGCTCAGCTCTTATAGGCGATGTGTTGCTCAGATGTATTGACAATAGGGGCATTGTCGTGGATGAGCGAAGCGTTGTCCTATTGTCAATTCATTGTTCGAGGTGAAGTGCAACAATGCCTTGTCGTCGAAGTCACTAGAATCGAGTTTTCAGGCTCCAATCGACGACCAGACGCGCGTCGACGATTGAAGGTCTCGAAGTGAAGATGCCGAATTGCATGTAGTAGTGTTGTTGCTTCCGGACTTCGCTTGCAAGGGCGTCGGAATTGTCTGAGACATTCACTCACCCTGATACCTCCACCGCCGCCGCTCACTCGATCGTGTGACTTTGCTCTTGCTATCGCCTTGGTGATGAAGTGTAGTCGTCACGCTCTTTCGAGTCTCCCCCTCCCACCACTCGTCATTCGCTAGTTGCTCCCGTAGTAGAGGACTTGGCAAACTCAGCCAGCAGGCCGAATGAATGTACGAATTCCGATATCTGCAAACACAAGGTGCCAAGGCGATGCAGCGCAACAAACTCTCGTAGGAGCAATGTCTGTCAGTCTGCTCAAACAAAGAATCCTCTCCGGAAACGGCACCGCAATGCCGAAGCACTCTTCCATATTGAAAGCGCCTAGGGAAGGACAAAGAAACCCCTTCCTGATCCAATCGTATGGACCTCGCGTCGTATCTCATCCAAATTGGTACAATCAGACTGCTGCTGGATCAGACTGCTCCTCTTCTGTCTGTGCATTGCCACCCTCTCCTTTCCCTAAAGTGCTCCTACGTTCCTCCACAAGACGGCAAAATCTTCGTCCACACCTGAAGCGGCCTCAGTCCAAAGACTGCACACCAACATTGATCGTGTTCAATTTTCAAAGCACATGGTCGAGCAAGTGCAGCGTATCCTCCATGTCTGTTTCAGTTCTATCAGGTAGTGGCGGCCAGACGGAGAGCTTGAAGGGATCGGCTCGTGAAGGGAAGTGAGATGGCTGGAGTGTTTACGATGGCGGTGGCGGTGAGAAGGAGCGATTAGTCTCCATCTTAATAGATGTGAGAGGTGCAGAGAACCTTGAAGACCCGGCAAGAGCAGTATCTAGTATGTGTCAACGGTCCATCTCTTTGCTAGTTTGTCGTGGACAAACTTGTTGGTAAGGTGATCTGACCTCACTAATAATACTGGCGAGTCATCCGGATCTGATGCTTCGCTCAATCTGCTGTAGCTGTTGTCGTCGAGAACGCCAGAATATGGCGATCGCTAAGGCTGAATTTGCTTGCGACAAACATACGCCACGTGACCGCGGCATGGCTTGAGTTACTATGACCCAGCATCCGCCTATCTTTCCGTGCTTGCAGGCAAAATCGTCAATAACAAGTGCATGCGTATAACAACTCGAGCCTGCGGGCTCGGCCGTGGAGAATGTCCTTCTTGGAAAGTCGGAGAACGTGATTCCGGACGCTGTTGCGCAAAAGGCCGAAGACGCAGTACGTGGATCTGCCGGAGCGAAGCGAGCATGGCCAGAGTACGGTATGAGTGAGGATATCAGCAAGGATCTGATGCAGGTAATTAAGGAGTTTTATGTCAGTCTGAAGGCCTTGGTTGTGGATGGCAAGCTAAATCGTGCAGAGACGCCAGAGGACGCGCAACAGAGAGTCGTTGAACCGCTGCGCGAAGGTAGGGCAGATGTGGATACCAAATTCTACCAGACCTAGAGTATCTCGTCCCAAGTAGGGCGCCACAAGAGTTCGCCGACCTGAATTCGTCTTTTGTTGAGAGTTTGGAGTGTCGAAGCAGAGGCTATCCTGGGCCTGCTGGAATTTGAACTATTTTGATTTGCGTCTCTTCTACTCTAATACAATATACTTGTGCAGGTGTTCTGGGATAGCGTTGATAAGGCCCTTGCTCTCCAACCATTTCCGGCTGAAGAGGCGTTCTGCGTATCGGTATGCGCCGTCACACAGGATTGTGACAATGGTGTGGCCCGGTCCTAGCTTCTCTGCTAGGTCTCTGGCAGCAGCGACATTCAAGCAAGAAGATGCGCCGAGGTAGAGACCTTCCTCGTCCAGGCACCTGTATACCATCTCGATGCTCTTTTCGTCTGCAATGTGGAGTGCGCCATCAAGCAGATCGATATCCGGCTTCAAGTTCTCTGTGATTCTTCCCTGGCCAATGCCTTCGGTGATCGAAGATCCTGAACGATCGACGAGTTTTCCACCCGATGATACGTATGTGTAGATGACTGAGCCGGGTGGATCCGCGACGTAGCACTTGACCTTGCCGTCGCTGACTGTCTTTAAATACCTTGTGACACCCGCGATGGTTCCAGCGGTGCCTGAAGCGCACGTGAAAGCATCGATCTTGCCTTCTGTTTGCGCCCAGATTTCCGGTCCTGTAGTCTCGATATGTGCCTGTCGGTTTGCGGTGTTGTCGAACTGATTTGTCCACACTGCGTTCTCCAGCCCTTCAGCGTGTCTCTTTGCTTGATGATTGTAGTTCATCGGGTTGTCGAAAGCCACGGCCGGGACAGGATAGACTTCCGCTCCCAGTAACCTCAGCAGGTCGACCTTTCCTTGAGACTGTGTATTGGGCATGTAGATCACGCATTTGTATCCCTTGCTTCTACACACATGTGCAAGACCGATTCCTGTGTTGCCTGCTGTTCCCTCTACCACAGTACCGCCAGGCTTCAAAAAGCCTTTCTTCTCAGCATCTTCAACAACGAAGAGCGCCGCGCGATCTTTGACGGAGCCACCTGGGTTCTGGAATTCGGCTTTGCCTAGGATTTCGCATTTCGTCTCGCGTGACAGCTTCTGCAGTTTAATGAGGGGCGTATTTCCGATTGCTGACAGAATTATTAGCTGAGTTCAGACAATTGCCGAAATGAGAGAGTGAATACCGGAAACGAAGCCATTTTCAGCGACTTTCTGCGCCTTTGAGATCTCGACTCCACGTGGGTTCATGGCGTTGACCTGTGCTGCCGATATCGTTGATGCGGGGCGTATCGATCTGAATGTGGCCGGCTTGGGTATTGTGCGGAGAGCAGTTCTTGCGAACATTGTGTCTATCGGCCGAAGCAGAATCCTTTGGTACAGAGCCCTCAGTCCAGCATCAAAGCATTCACTTGAAAGTTTGGTGGTGGTGTCATTGGTCAAAGCTTCGTCCCAATCGCGGAACGTTTCCGCTTGTTTACGCGTGAAGTAAACACCGCAACCATCTTGAAGCAACATCCAGCATCCCTCCTTTCTCTTCACCAACAACATCTCCCACCAGTAGCAGCAAGCATGCCGGGTCGCACGGTAAATGCGGCGCGTGCTGCGAGGAAGACGACATCCGCGAAATCCCTCCGCGCCGGCCGCAACTCGTCGCCTGTCACCGAAATTCCAGACGAAGGAGAGGACACCTCGCTGCGACGCGAAGTCTGTCGCATCTTCGCAGACGCACAGAAATCGACAGCCGGACACAGAAAGGCGATCATATCACTGCGGAAGATTCAGGAGGCGTGCTGCTACGAATCCGTGAGCAGCAACAAGAAGGGAAAGCAAACAGAGGAGGAATTTGATGAAGAGGCGTTCAACGATGAAATTATGCGCTGTATCCTCCGCATTCTGCCGGTCAAGAAATCAGAGGCGGTCGGAGATCGTGTTGTGCGCTTCTTGGGGGCGTTCTTGAATGTAGCGAGCGGCAAGGACAACGAGATTGCACAGCAGGATGAGGACGGAGAACATGGAGCGTTGCCAGAGACCCCGACCTCGCGACTCACGACTAAGATTCTGAGCACGCTCATCCCGGTCTTGCAGGTCAAAGATAAAGTCATCCGCTTTCGTGCCACACAAGTCACAAGCCACATCATTAACAGCCTGGACACACTGGACGATAATCTGTTTCACCAGCTGAGATACCAGCTCCTGCGCAGAATCCATGATAAGGAGGCGCCAGTGCGACTGCAGGCAGTCTACGGCCTAGGCAGACTTGCTGCTGAAGTGGAAGATGACGAAGAGAAGGAAGATTCCGATTCAGACGATGAGGTTGGCGCTGGTGTGCTGGCAAAATTGCTCGGCACACTGCAGAACGACCCATCTGCTGAGGTGCGACGGAATCTGCTCCTCAATCTGCCATTGACAAAAGAGGTGTTACCATACTTGCTCGAGCGCGCGAGAGACGCGGATGCTTCGACCAGACGAGCACTTTACGCTCGACTTTTGCCGGCACTTGGCGACTTCAGACATCTCAGTCTGACGCACCGAGAGAAGCTATTGAGATGGGGCCTTCGAGACCGGGACGAAAATGTCCGACAGGCGACTGCCAAACTCTTCTGTGAGCGGTGGGTCGAAGATTGCGCCGCATTGCCAGCCGTGCAAGCAGCGGAAGGCCAAGAAAAGCAGCCAGATGTCCCTGTGCCGTCTCTTGATGCTCTCCTTGAACTGCTGGAGCGTATCGATGTGGTAAACAGCGGAACGGACGGCGGCATCGCTCTGGTTGCCATGGTCGAATTCTGGAAATTGAGACCAGACTACGTCGATTATGTCTCTTTCCCAGACTCATTCTGGGACGACTTGTCGCCAGAGCTTGCTTTTGTCGCACGCACCTTCAACGACTACTGCCGTGCCCCAGTGGAACCAGGCTATCACGGACCGAACTTGGAAGCTCTGGTTGAGGAGAAGCTGCCTGAGGTCACCAAGTTTGGCTTCCTCCTCGAGCGAGAAATCAACAAGCTTATAGAGACTACAATCAGAGTGGCGGAAGACGGCGACGATGACGATGACGGTGAACTGTCCAATGCCGAATTCGTCGTTGAGCAAATGCTACACATGGCCCTCACATTCGACTACAGCGATGAAGTCGGACGTCGCAAGATGTATGGTCTGATGCGCGATTCGCTCGCCACGCCCGATCTGCCTGAAGAAGTCACTCGGTTGGTCGTCGAGAACCTCCGGCTTGTTTGCGGCGAGAATGCAAAGGGCGAGCGCGAATTCTGTGAAGTCGTTCTGGAGGCTATTGGCGAAGTCCATGATACCATCATGGGCGAGGACGCTGACGCCGACCCTGATAGCACAGAGGAGAGCTTCCACTCCGCCACTTCTCAAGTCAGCGACGATGAAGAAGATACTATTGTCGTTGCGCAGAGACGTCCTAAGAAGGCGAAGAAGCAGCTGACTGCTGAAGAAGAAGCCGATAAGGCTGTCAAAGAGATCATGGTCAACATGAAGTGCCTGCACATTGCTCTTTGCATGTTACAGAATGTGCAGTGTGATCTCGAGGAGAATGTGTATCTTGTCACGATGCTGAACAACCTTGTTGTGCCGGCAGTCCGAAGCCAGGAAGCGCCGATAAGAGAGCGTGGTCTGTTATGTTTGGGACTGTGCTGCCTGCTTGGAAAGGTGAGTGTTGATGGAACACATCGGAGTGATCAATACTAACTTGGTGCAGAACCTGGCACAAGAAAATCTCAGCCTCTTCTTGCACTGCTTCAACAAAGGTCACCCTGCTCTGCAAGCCATCGCCCTTCAGATCATCACCGACATCTTAATCACCCACCCGACCATTCTCTCCGATCCTTTGACGTCTACCACGGAAGTGTCTGAGCAAAACGACATGCTGAAGCCAATTCTCAGAGCCTTCAAGAACTCCCTCAAGTCCGAAGATCCGAATGTGCAATCGACAGGTGCCACTGCACTTTCGAAGGCCATGCTTTCCCGTCTCATCACCGACAGTGACCTGCTTCGACAGCTCGTTGTCCTCTACTTCGACTCGGACAGCGCTTCGAACGCCCAACTGCGACAGAGTCTGTCCTACTTCCTGCCGGTATACTGTCACTCTCGCGCGGAGAACGCTATTCGAATGGCCGAAATAGCAACAGCAATCGTCAGCAAACTTTTCACACTTCGCCAGGCTCTAGAAGACGACCCAGATGAAGAGGCGGATCTTCCAGGCGCCGATGGAATTGTGAAAATATCGCAGATCGGCACCATGTTGCTCGACTGGACCGATCCTCGAAAAGTTGTTGGTTTCAGCGAGGTTGCCAATGACGCGATCGTTGCGCATGGAGCCGGTGAAACTCACTACATCATTGCTCATTACATTCTGGACCGACTGGTATCTCAGAATCCGTCTAAGGATGAGAAGAAGCCTCTGTTTTCGATGCTCAACAAAGTGCACCTACCTCCTGGTGGCGCTGATGCTGAGCGAGTGAAGGCCATTCTCGAACTTGCTGCTGAAGCTGCGGAGACTAAGGTTGCGCCTAGCGCGACTGATAAAAATGTTCTCACCAAAATCCAGAACCAGCTGCTCAAGATGATGCACGACATCATGACGGAAGAGCGTGGTGGTGGAGATACTATTCTTGATACTGCCGAGGGTCCTGCCCAAATCGAGGCGGATGTGCCGGAGGGAGATACTACTGTCCAAATTCGACCTGGCGCTGCGGATCAGGGTGAGGACGGGGAAGAGAATGAAGAGGAAGACGATGCCACCGAGCAACTTCAGCTTGAATTAAAGGATGCTACGCTTGGTGCTACAACAACCACGGGCTTTGTTCCTGATGCAGAGGGAACGAGGATTGGATTAGAGGATCTCACTACTAGTGAAGATCTTGATGGGGATACGGAGATGAGTGGCATTTGAAAACTTTGGAACTACTTGGGGGAGGAGGGTCACGGTTTCGTATTTTCTTGTTTGATGATGTTGATACCAATGAGAACGGCTGGCTTATTGGCGTTACTTGAGGTATTGCAACTCTATACATGTTGCATTATGCCCGCTACTTTACGACTGTGACTCTCTCTGGAACTCCTCCTTTGCGTTCGGATCCGAGACCCGGTCAGCTTTCACACGGGTTGGCTCCTGGACACCTTGTTGAACCTGAGGTTCCACCTTTGTTTGATCTGCCTCTTGTGCCTGGAACTGTAAGTTTTAATTCGGATCTGAGATGTGAGCGACTTTGACGTGCGTAGTATCCTGGACGACCGTTGGCGTGGTCGACTTTATCTCCGTGAACGAGAAGGACTCATCCGTCAAGTCGACTATGACTCGAGCATCCCCTCCAACCTTGCTGTCATCTTCACCGATCCACTCTTCACGCTTCTTCAACAGCCAGGTCTTCATCGGTCGCGTATGGGTCTCAACAGCATTAGCACCAAGCCGAAAAGCAAAATACTTTTCCCCGCCCCCGAAGCCATTCTCTCTAGCTTCGTAGAGAAGTTTGACCGTTCCAGTGATCAGACAGAATTCGTCAATGCCAAGGACGACGCCCTTGCAGATTTCGAATTCGCCGTATGTTGATGGGAAAGACTTGGTGACACGGAGGGAGGCTTTTTGATCGTGAGATCTCGCGGCCGCGAGGTAGGTATCTACTGTTGTACCGAGGCGGTCGAATGTGATGGGTCCCTTTTTCTGTCGTTCTTCTGCTCCTGCGGCTGAATCTTCTTCCTTGTTCCACGTGAGCGCGTGTAGACCAGTGGTCTCAAAGACTTGAGCAGGACTGGTATTAGCATAAACGACCTGAATCGGGACCGTAATCGGCTGTTTCCGCAACTTCAGTCCATGTACAACCTCTACAACTCCAACATTGCCTAGAAGCCTTGCTTAGCGCTTGGATGTGGCCTACGAATCAAAAGCTTCCCTTACCGTGCGCCTCTGTGAGTTGATGGATGACCACCTGACTTCCAGGTAGGAATTCGTGACCGCCATCCGAAGATCGTAAAGTTGCGGTGATAAGAATTTGTGCTTCTTTTTCGCAAAGTATGCAGCCGAGAAAGTAGTCGCGAAGCGGAAGCTCAATCGCCGCGAAAGTTGGGCGCTGCATTGCTGTGTTCATGATTAGAAATGATTGGAAATGAGATTAGCGCAAGATATGGAAAACGCCTTAAAGGAGTTTCTAAGAAGAATATGTTTGTGGTTTCCTCCTTTGGACTTTTGTGAGTTCTTTTATCTTTGTCGCGTTAGCGTGGAATTCGGACCCACAAATCCCGTGATTTCCATCCCTGCATTAGCATATGCAATTTCGCCAAGACTTTCCCACTCGCGCTGAAGCACGCGCGACAGCGATATCCGTATCGCGGTAATGAATCAGCGACCTGTTATATATTACCAAAACTGCCCTCTATTTGTTACATGGCCGTGAAAGGATTCGCCTATGGCCCGCTACTTGTTTTAACGCTTGTTTTCACACCCCGTAGAAGACAAGTAGATCTAAGTGTTTATTAGCAAGCCTTTTAGAGCATTGGACTAGGATGAGAATAGTCTTACTTTTCACATGCTAACAAAGATTTGCTTTAATACAACATCTACCAACTCCTACTTCCGTTTGCCTATTTCACCGAGGAGCACCAGAATGCGTGCCTTTCCGGAGGCTCTTCACATTCCGTACACATTCCTACTAGTGAATCGTATGTCGGATTCTGTTGCAACACTTTGTAGGCCCAGTTCGTACAAATGTGCTGTGTGGCATTCATATAAAAAATTGGACGGGGCCTTCGAACATCTGCTTCTCTTCGACCGAGCACACCCAGGGGCGTCAAGTGAGGTCGTATCTTCGTGCTTGTCTTCAATTTCACCCTGGTGAGGATTAGGTCTCTAGGCTGGTATGAAGTTCCTCGGAGTGTGATGGCGGTATGGTTACACTTCTTCTTTCTCCGTCGACACTGCGTACACGCAGCTTTGATGAAGGGGCCGCGAAGTCGCAATGCGTCTACCATTTGTAGAGGCGATGATGAGTGATTAGAGATCTTCACAGCTTGGAGAAGGAGGATAGATTTTAAAGGGTGGCAAATGTCTGGTCTTTGTTACAATGGATTTGGAAACAAAGAGCTCTTGGGAGATTGCTCCACGATACTAAGTTTTGAAGTCGTCAATTACCCTACATGAAAATTGGGAAGGCCAGAGTATTGACTCCGCGCCGCACCGCCTCAATAATAGGCAGGTCTCAAAGGAGCCCTCCGACGAGAGACTAGCTGCAACCCAGAAATTCTTTTTTGGTTGGACTCATGTTAAGTCGCACTTTGCATTCTATTGTCATTCATGTCCTTGTCCTGTCTCATCCCTCGCTTTAAAGTCGATATCAATCCTGCGGATGTTTCCTGCATTCTGAACACCACCAAAGATGCTGATCGACACTCTCTTCGCACTCCATACAGATACCGTATCTGTTGAACCATGCAGTCCCATGAATAAAGTATTTGCCCTCGTGACGGTCGTGGCGGAGCAACTTGGACGGATCGATGTACTGACGGCCCGACTCCTCGTTCTCCCAGGACTTGACACCCTGAAAGCCTTGCTCGTTGGCGAGATCTAAAGCGCTTCGCAAGGTATGGGTGGTCCGCGGGCCCGGCGCCTCAATGCTCTGAGCAGACGGCGTCAGCACGTGCTTCTTCTCGTCGAAGTTGGGCTGGAGCGCCTCCTGAGCCTTTCTCTTCGATGGTGTCTGAAGAGCCATGGTAGCACTGGAGGTGCTCACGAAAGGCATCTTGTTACGTTGCTCGTCAGCCAACTTATCCTTCAAGACGGTCGAAACGGAGTTCTCCTGCCCAGAAGGGGCCAGTTGAAGGTGAGCCGTACCATTGGCGTCAGTTACAAGAGCCGGACCCGTGTGGCCAAGATAGCTGTCTCTGGGGACAGACGCAGGAGGCTGAAGACGGATCTCAAGGCGCCGAGGTGTGGCAGGGGTATTGAAGTTCTCCTCTGTTAGTGGTGTGCGAGTGACAGAACCTGCAAGGGAAGTGAGGTCCTGTCCTCTGGCTCTATACGAGCTTGATGGTACTTGAATGTCCTCCTCTTCTTGTTCAGTCTCCACATCGTCTGAAGCCGGATCTGCCTTCTTCGTGGCTCTTTTCCCTGGATTACGGCCGTCGACTGCTGGAACACAGCCCTCATAGCCTATTCCTGCGGCGATGCATCGTGCACAAGGACGACCACGGTTACAGCCCTTGCGAGTTTGTTTACATCTTTCGCATCGCCGAGGTATGGCTTGCTGTGCTTTTGAAAGAGACATATTGCGAGGCTGATGACCAGGTTGGAAGTTCCGTCGTGCTGAAGTTCCGAAGAGCGGTGTTGTTATACTTCTGTGGAAGCCGCAAAGAGGTTCTCGAAGGCAAGCGAATCTCGCAGAGGTGAAGACTTTTTCTCGAGCTGCCTTCCTGAGTTGAGCTTTGCTTCTGTTATATTGTTGTTGATGGTAATGTCTTGATGGTTGTTGATCTATTTTAGTTTCCGTTGTGGAGGGTTTTTATATTGTGAAGTTGCTTTGAGTCATGCCAGTCGCGGGTGAAGGTCCTAGCATGTGAAAGAAGCATCCCGTTCACATAAGCTTATGGAAGTACCAAGCTCCTATTGTGGAGAACTGTACAACAAAAGCCACAACGCGTTGAATATGATAAAGACACACCATTTTGGAGTCTCCTGAGAAAGCCTTTCCTCTCGACTAGCGTGAAAGAAGTCTCTGACCAAGGAGTCTTGACATTTAGAGTTCGAATCCTGTCAATTTCCATGTGAGCACGTTTTTCCCTTGCCTTCGTCTACGACTCGAGCTCGACGTCAGCTGTACCTCTGACTTACACCCTCATGTCCATTGAAGTTGCACATGCGTAGCTTCAGCATCCTCTCTTAGAAGCTCCCCTCTGATTGGCGAGCACCAAATACCCATTCCTGTTGTAGGCAAACTTCATCGCAACGGCGCACCCGTCAAGGTGTGAAGATGCATCGTCAATCAACACGCCCGAATTACAGCCCTTGCACCACCGAACGGTCATCCTCCACTCCACACTGTCTCCTTCGATTGGCACCAGCCAGTTGTCGGCCCAGTTCAACTCCGTGATGCCTCTTGGATTGGCAAACGCAGCTGCTCGCGAGTACGCTTCACATGTTGGAAACAGCAGTGGATCTGGTTCTGGCACTGTGATTCGTGGGAAGAAGTTATCGAAGTCGTCGATTGGGTCGAGGCCAAGAGCCAGTGCGGTGTTGAGGTAGGTCTGGTCTTCCCGTAAGGTCAGCCCTGACAGCTCAATCCTCTCCTCCTCATTTTCCTCCACTGTTTTGTCTATTCGGCGATGATGAAGATGAATTTCGTGGGGCGAAACTGTGGTAGGTGGAGTGGTAATGGCAGTGGCAGGTACAGTGTCGGTGGCATGGGCACGCGAATGAGAGAGCGCTGTGCGAGAGAGGCTCCCTGACTGAATTGCGCCGGAGCTTGCTGTATTTACTGGTGAAGTCTGCGTTAGCCCGCCGCGAGGAGTTAGTTTGATAGCTGCACGAGCATCTGTATGTCTTGAGAGGTCCACCATCCTCCGAGTGGCCATGCTTTGGGGTGGGATCTGTCGTGTTGGAAGCGCCTCCAACTTCTGAGCTGAAGAAGCGTCTTGTAAACGCGTAGAAGAGCCTTGTTGTGGTGTCTGGTATCTATGCTGGGCGTAAGACATCCATTCAGCTTTGTTTGTGCCCTCAAACGTCGTCTTCATGACGGGTCGATCGGACAGAGGGGGCATTGCTCCAGCGGTCGGACCTTGTCCTTCTGAAGGAAAATTCAGCATAGATGAGGTCTGTGGCTTGAAGTTGTCGTGGCCTGCGCGCATAGGTGGATAGGCAGCAGAGCTCGGCGACCTCGTTGCTATGGCAACTGCTGGAAGATTCGAGCCATAAATTGGCAGGTGCGACTGTGCAGTGGCGCAGCTTGATCTGCCAGTGCGAAAGTCTGTCGATGGTGTCGCTTTCGCAGGTCTCCGCGACGCGTCAGGCTCTACCGTGACCACTGTCCGAATCTCCGCGGGTGCGAAAGTGCCTTCCATGCTTGGGTCTTTGCATAGGGCCGTCAAGGCGCGATAGTCCATCTCATGAAACCCCTCGCCAGCCTGCAAAAAGGCGCGGCAAGAGTACAGATGACCCGAGCCTGCACCGTTGCTGAGCTGATACATTCCACACGCAGCTTGTCCGCATGCTGGGCAGTGGAAGCGAACACGTTGCGCATTGGAAGCTTCGACGTGTGCCCGGATATCGGGGAAATTGGAGGATCGAAAAGCGCAGATGGAGCACTGCAGTACCCCGTTGGGAGGAAAAGCGCCGCGTTGCGCCATGCTGAAGTCGGACGCGGATAGGAGGAGCGCAGAGGAGCGTTATGAGAGTAGGGAATGGCGGGAAAAAGCGCAGAATTGATCAGCTCGGAGGGCTATTGGTGTTTTCCGGGTTGTCGAGGTTGATGCAAGAATGGGAAGTGGCGGATAAAATTTACATGTGATCACCTAATGAGGAAGGCGCAGGCTTGGCAAGGCTTGGCGCTAGCGCAAGCGAATCTCGATGCTGGAGGGATATGTCAGGCTATGATGAGCGACTGAGCGTTTGCCTTATTGCTCTACCAATAGGCTTGAAATAATTGGGGGAGAGGATACACCAATTCACCATTAGACCTTGCAGCTCTATTTGGGTACTTTTCTGTGCCTTGCGAAACCTCCTCCTGCAGACGGCATCATCGCCCATCAGCGAGCTTCAGCAGTTGGCACCGACTCGATCAGTGCGTGTTACCTAAAAGCCTCTCGAGAGTCATTCGCCCTCGGCAACCGCGATCGGGAAATGCCGTCGCTCGCAGAAGAATTACCCTCATGACTGGACGCTTCGGACTCAGCTTTGCGTCTAGGTCGTAGTTTCAACTTGATCTTAGGCCTATGTTCCAGCTTCTTGGCGTCATTGTTGAACTGCTGCTGCATCGGGGGCTTTGACGACGTCGCCTCGACTTGCACGTTCGAGGCACCACGCTCCAGGATTCGCGCTTTCGCGATAGCCTTGTAAGATTTCGTCCACTGACAGCTGTCCTTGGCAATCTGGAACAGAGATCTTCCCCGGCCACGATCATTTGTCCAGTATCTGCCGCCTCTCCATTCGTTGAAAGCCCAGCACCCTTCCGTGAAATGTTTCACAAGTCCCTCTGTAGTGCAGCAAGTGGCCCAACAGCCTGGACACGCGTAGTATAGGAAGACATTCTCGTTCCCGGCCGCATAGTGCTTTGCAGCATCGGAGGAGATGTGGTTCGGGTCTTGTGTGGTTCGGAACAGAGTGCAGACTGTGCACCCATAGACGGTAGTCTGGCTGCGATCCGTTGATGGCTCGTAGGTGCGCGAATTCGAGTTGTAAGGGGGCGGGTATGTGGTTGCTGGAAGTATTGCAGAGGATGTAGTGTTGCCCATTTCCACGTCAACTCCGGGTGCGCTGGCCATGTTTGTAGTCGAGGTTCTAGGTGAGGTTCGTAATGTCTTCAGATTGTTAGTGGCTATGGGTTGATGCTTGGTGGAAGGACGTGGAAAGTTGTGCGACTGGCTTAGCCTAAATACGAACTTTCCATTTATGCTTCAACACGCGTTGCGAGTGAATGGGAGAAAATAAGAGAACGTGACTTATACGGAATCAGACGTGAATTTACAGAGTTGATCAATATCCTGAATGTGTCTGCGGTAGTGCTAGCAAGCCTTGCTCTGAATCCTCCTCCGTGTCCAAAGATCGAGTCCATGAGATGCCCGACGCCGTTTGTAGACGCCGCACTTCTCAACATGCAATGCTGGTGCGTTTGTCTTCCCTAATAAGCTCATTGCGTTGGATCTAGTCGCCTCATTATCCTTCAATCGAGCTCTTTCCAACGCTCTGTTATTGTTGGGGAAGAGCTTCTGGCATTCTTTGCGATGCGCGGTCCAGGCATCTCGCTTCGAAGCAAGGTTTCGTTCGTTTGGCCACGTTCTTTGATTTTCTCCCTTCCCGTCATTCTGGTCCTCTTCCTCCTCTTCATTCGCATCCCACCCTGATGACTCTATGCTTTCTCCCGGAGCGGGAACTTGGCGCTCAGGGTCGTCTGATATAAATTGGTCACGGGCATGCTTGAGGTATCTTGCTGGTTGTGTGATTGCTTCTCCAAGCCGATACTCCCCTGATTATGCTATCGTTGGCGCGCATGATCTCCTTCGCCATCTGGTCAGCCAAGGCTACTTGTCATATGTCACTACAACTTGATCCAAGCTCATCGAGTCTGATTGTAGCACACGAGGTGCTATTGTGCCATAAGCTGTTTTCATGCACTTTAAGCTCTACAGCCATGTGGGTATTGACCATGTCAAGCCATCATATCTTATAAGTTTGGCGCGACGGAGGCAGTCCTTGCTGGCGAGAGTACCACGCTCTCCACCAACACCAGCAGAAGAACGTCCAACGACAGTTTGCCGGCGTGGAAAGCCTGTTTGTGCGTTAGTCCTCCGTCTTCGGTCTTCGTTTGTCTTGTTGCTTCGTGCGGGTCTCATCCCATGTGAGAGGCTTCCTAATCGGCTCCTGTTTCTCGGCTCGGCAAGTGCGCGGGTGATCCCGTCTTTCACGAGCACTGGCATGAGGGGCTCTGCGTGTTATGTCTTTCTCTGGCCTTGCTGAGTCTGTGTGTGTTTGCTGGTCCATAGGAGATTCGTGAAAGCTGCAGTCAGGATAGAGTTCGGCACCGGAGCAATGATATGCCGATCGGCCGGGCGGCTAAAAGGCCAACAGCGACCGAATTTCGGCGGCGCAGAGAGACACCGACGTCAACAACAGGACCGTGAGATATCTCTGTGCCAAGTCCATCACCAGCAGCAGCATGCAGCCGATATCCTTATCACTCTCTTTCCATACCGGAGATAGGCCAACATCGTCTGGTGCGAGGCAAGACGACGCTGGCTGATCCTGTACTCGCGCCCGCTACATATCCTTTGCCACACCATCGTGGGGGAACGACGCGCTGTTCTCCATCGGATCATCCTCACCACTGCATTGAGCATCAGACAGATCCGGAGTTTCGATCATGGGCTTTCTTCACAAGCTGCGTGTCGTTGTGTGGGGCGAGCCGCCGCCAACCAAGGAAGAGGCCAGGCTGCTCTTCAAGATCGACTGGTTTATTCTCAGCTATGTCTGCTCGATGTACGAAACCAAGTCCTACGGCCTGATCTCGCTAGCTAAACTTCTCGCAGGTATTGGGTCAATTACTTGGACCGCGCCAACTTGAACAATGCCTACGTTTCCGGAGCACAGCAAGATCTAGGCTTCAAAGGCACCCAGCTAAACCAGATCAACACCATCTTCTATGGTGGCTACCTTCTCGGCCAGATTCCAAACAATCTCATCTTGCAGAAAATTCCACCTCGCATATGGCTGCCCACGACATGTCTCTGCTGGGGTTTCCTTACTCTCGGTACCGGCTTCACACAACATCCCTGGCAGATCATGGTCATCCGTTTCTTCCAGGGCTTCTTCGAAGCCAGTTGTTTCGTGGGCGTGCAGTGGATTCTCGGTTCCTGGTACAAACCGCACGAGATTGGGAAGCGTACAGCTATCTTTACTAGCTCTGGCCTCGCTGGACAACTGTTCTCTGGAATTATGCAAGGTGCTATTTACACGAATCTTAACGGGGTTTCTGGCCTGGCAGGTTGGCGCTGGCTGTTTGTGATCGACTTCCTCATCACGCTGCCAATATCAATTTACGGCTTCTTGCTATTTCCTGACACTCCCGTGAGCACAAAGGCGAAATACTTCTCACACTCTGAAAAGGTGCTGGCATCAGAACGGCTGCCGAAGGTAGAAAGGCGACGTGGAGTTCTGGGCTGGAGCCTCATCCGACGAGTGTTGCTTTCATGGCATTGGTGGGGCTTCGTGTTGCTTTGGATTGCCGGTTCAAACACTGAGATGTACTCCTCTAACGCCATCATGCAGCTTTGGCTTAAGGACATTGGCGGGTATTCGGTGCCACAGGTCAACTACATCCCTTCTTCTGTATCTGGAATGGGTATCGTGGCAACGCTGCTTCTTGGATGGTATACGGACTTCAATCCTCGTCATCGCTGGCATGTTGGGATCTTGCTCTCATTCACAGCCATCATCTCTGGAGCACTGATGCTCTCGCCACCGACTAAAGCGGCCAAATTCGCCGCACTCATTCTGAACGGATGCCAATACGCTGGACAAACAGTATTCTTCGCATGGGCCAACGACCTCACAAGAAAAGACGACGCGAAGCGCTCTATTGTTGTCGCCTGTATGAACATGTTCTCTGTCGCCGTGTACCTATTCTGGAGCTTGTTGTTCTACAACGCAACGCAGGCGCCGGATTGGTTTGAGGGCAACTGCGCCATGATTGCGATGGGCGGCTTTACGCTCGTCATGACCCTTGCATGTTACTTCGGACAACGGTGGCAAGAGAAGCAAGACTTCCTTGAGAGCAATGAGTGGCCGGCAACGGAAGAGGAAACGCATGTTGACGAGGAGAAAACGAAAGCTCGATAAAGACATTCCATATCCAGCTGCAGTTACACTTTAGTCAAATCACACGTCCAAAGTTCCTCCACGGAATTTGCTCATCGACGCGATGCACTTCATCTGCAACCATCTCAGTGAAGGAAATACAAGTGCAGCCCAACTCGAACCAACCAAAAGACCCATAGTGAATCTGGCCGACTGCGCCGCAGATGGCGTAGATGACTACGCTCAGAGTCGTCCAGATCTTACAAGGAACTCTGAGGAACCACGATTCAAGGCATTGGAGTCCAAGACCGCATGCGTAGGTCCCGGGTACATTATCGCCGATTATACCGAGCATCAGAATAACGGCGCAAAAATGTCCGAACGATCTGACTCATTCATATTCTGCTACAAGTAGCGAGCCTGGGCTCACTTCTTCTGCTGCAGCCTATGAAGGGCCGGGTTGATATGTCCGAAGCAATGCCAATACCCAGCATTAGGTCGAACATGTATCCCAAGGTCTCTCCCATTCAAGTCAGAAAGAAGATCATCGACTTAGATGTATGCCCTGCAAAATATACGTAGAAGTCTGCTCCAGCTGGAGCCCTGGAGCTCGGCGCATTAAGATAGACTGCCAACACTGATAGCCGTTTGCCTGCGATTGCTGCCGTTGAGCCTGTCGAAGATAGCGAGGTATAGGAATACGGTCCAGCGCAGCCCACGAGGCCAAACAGCAAACAGGCTTGAGATATTCAGATGTGTTTCTCGTAGATGTGGATCATTGAATGTGCCCTATTTGATCGAAGTCGAGATAGCACTATTTAATCAAAGCTGGTCTCTGAAAAAGGCAGTTTGGCGAATGGGCGGAAACAACTACAAGGGTGGGGAAGCTCGACCTAGAACCTGCCCTGACCTTCCGGTCTCCCGACGATAAGACTCTTCGGGCAACGCTGCAATGAGCAATTGCACTCTAAGGCGATGTGCGTTATCATTGCCTAGTGCTATGCACCCCACAGGGCCGGGCTCATTGGTACGGTCTCTCCATATCTCACTACTGAGCGTAGTGGCGCCCCATCAGGAGCAAAAGCAGGAGTGAGTTATCAAAAGACCGCTTAAGGGCAGCCAGAGTGATCACATCGCCTTCGCATCTCAAGAGAGGATCATCAGTCCTGGAACGATGAAGTCAGAAGCTGTCGCCACAGCCGTGTCCGAGGACAATTTGGAGATTCCTCTGATCAACTTCTCGGCCTTCTTATCCGACGACCAGGCTACGAAGAAATCTACCGCCCAGGCAATCCTAGCTGGCTTTCAAAATGCTGGCTTCATTTACTTGAAAAATCATGGCATTCGAGACTCAGTGGTAAAGCAGACGTTCGAAGAATCTGCAAAGTTCTTTGAAAGACCACGGGAAGAGAAAGATAAGCTTGCTTGGACCACGCCCGAGGTAGAAGAAGAACATGATGGTTCACCCAAATGTAGCTGCATGCTGATTCCATTCCAGGCCAATCGTGGTTACTCTCAGCCTGGAAGAGAGAAAGTCACCAACGCAGACACAGCTGCCGATATCGAGAAAGTTCGAGCAACAGAAGGCGCGGATTTGAAAGAATCTCTGGAAATCGGCAAGGAAGGCGAACCTGGCCTTCCAAATCAATGGCCTGCGGATGCTGAAGGGGACGTATTCAAGAAACAGATGATGAGTTTCTTTGACCAATGCAAAGCTCTACACTTCGACGTCATGCGAGCTATTGCCGTTGGCCTTGGTATCGATGAGTACTGGTTTGACAGTTACTGTGATGCTGGAAACAATACGTTGAGATTGCTGCATTACCCGGAAGTCAAGGCGGATGTATTCAAGAAGAACAAGAACACTATGAGAGCTGGTGCACATACGGATTATGGCACTCTCACTTTCTTATTCCAGGTGCGCTCCCCGCACCCATTGTTCTCGTTCCCACTAATAGGGCCACCAGGATCTGGCCGGCGGACTGCAGGTGCTTTCGCCCAAAGGCACGTTTGTCGACGCCACACCCATCGAAGGCACGATCGTTGTCAACGCCGGAGATCTCCTGGCTCGTTGGTCAAACGATACAATCAAGAGCACGAAGCACCGAGTTGTGGAGCCACCTACTCCGTCGGACGTGCATCCAGCCAGATACAGTATCCCTTACTTTTGTCATCCCAACCATGACAGCCTGATTGAAGCAATTCCTGGCACTTTTGGAGAGAAGAATCCGCGAAAGTATCCATCCGTGAACTGGTGAGACTCTTTCTATCTTTGAGCATGTGACATGGGCTGACTATGTCGATAGTGGAGAGCATCTTGTCCAGAGACTAAGGGCTACGTATTAGATACGTCGGTATCAATTTGCTCGTGATTACTATAGTCTGCCTTGACTGAGAGTCTCTTTGATCCTTGTCCGCTGCTCTGGAAGTATGACATTTAGCACTACGGCCTCCACAGTACAAATGATAAACCGTGCCTGGACAACCAGACTCCGGCTTTGTTCGAAGCCAACGAGCCTGGTATTCGTCCCAGAGTAATTCAAGACCTAATCAAACCACTCTGGCTGGACAATCTCAATAAAACCAATCCCAAGAGACGCTCTTAAGATGAACTTCTCTCGCCTCGTCCAGACCATCAAGACCACTTTGGTTGGTGATCTAAAGACAGCCGCGGGAACTTGCTAGATTTCTTTCTCGCCTACCCTTCTGCCTGGGACCGGAACACTTCGGCCAGCGAGCGACCAAGACAAGAACATGCGCAGCTTCGAGGCTTCCAGAAGGAGTGCGTCCGCAACGTCGAACGTCTGTCCAGGGGTCCCGCGAAATACTTCGAGAAGCTTAAAGTGAAGGTTTGCTATCACATACCGCGGCATCTACCGATCATTGTCCCTTACGGAAGGGATTGGAACGCTCGTGTGCATTATTTGTTGTACCAACAAGAATATACTAATCACGCGAGTCTGATCTTCTGAGCTGCTGCCAGTATTCCTTCCGGATAACGAGGTTCCAAAGCAAATTACACAATCGAACAGCACTGCTCGATGAGCGATGGTTCCTTATACTTGCATGCTTTGACCACCTATCGGAGCGGTTCTTCGAATATACCGATGCTTTGACTGTACCGTTCAACCCCGAGCCCGAAACAACAGACTTAGATCCTCGGTCCCTAACCGTGTTCTACGGTTGCATAGATGGACACTATTCTCTCGGCTATGGACAGGGTTCTCCGCGACTGAATTAGAGACATGCACTCCTCCTTCTCAATGCGGTTACTGGAATTGTTGCAAGTGAAAGTCAACTTGATGTATATCCACTCGGCTTGACTCCATTGCAAAGCATCACGGGCATGGCAGAGCGATCGCACATGCGAGGATCCTCAAAACTCACAGCAATAGAGCCAACTGCCACACAAGATCGTCGCGCAATAAAACTTATGAATCACCGAGGTGTCGCAAAGAGGCTTGTCCAAGCCTTCAAGGCAGCAACGTCTATTGGTACGACCGTTTCCTTGTTCTTCTTCCTGTAGGATATCCACTCAACACGACTCCAGTCATTTTCAGCATCGTCAAGGTCATCATGGCATCTCAATCGCTCCTTCTCGCCTTGTTGACTGTCCCAGGTGCCCTGGCATACCCATGGGTTGCCGAAGTTCCAGGCGTCAACTCCATGTCGCTCCCAGCTCGCTCTATCCGCAACCGCCACGTCGAAGCAAGAGACTCCCTACAATGCCCAAATAACCCAAACCACGTCCCAGCCGCTCCCATCACTTCACAATACCCGTACCTGGGCGCCATAAACGGCAAGAACGGTACCGGAAAGGGAGGAATCCTCGTTCCAGCCCCAGGCGATACCGTTCATTACTACCAGGAGCCGGGCCCGCTCGATATTCGTGGACCGTGCCCTGGAATCAACACCATGGCCAACCACGGCTTTTTGGCTCGTGATGGAATCACTACTTGTGAGTTGTCGAAGCCTGTACTCGAAGTCCAATCCCCGGATTGACCGAAAGACCAGACAATGAGCTCGTGGACGCGCAGCAGAACGTCTTCAACGTTGGATATGACCTTGCCAACCTGCTTGCCATTGCCGGTGTTGGCTTGGTACGTCCAGTCCACCCTAGATGACATCCTGCGACTGCTGACAGCTTGAGCAGGACGGTGATCTTGTTGGGACCGGGAAGCTGTCCATTGGTTGTGATGCAACATCTCGAACTGCCACGCCTGGCAACGTTCTTGCTGACGAGCTTGGATTGGACGGGTGAGCGAAGCAAATCGTGGGATGCACACTTGTTCAAGACACCTGCTAACCCATAATTAGCCACAACCACTTTGAAGGCATGAGGATATCGGTCTGTCGTGAGATCGATCTTTAAAGTCGCTGACCAACGATTAGGCGACACTTCCCTCACCCGCAACGACTACTTCCTTGCAGAGGAGCCAGGCAACAACTACAAGTTCAACGCAACCGTGAGACATATCTCAAACCCACTCCCAGTGCTCCCTCACTAATATCTCCCCTAGCTCTTCACGGAAATGATGTCCTACTGCAACGGCAACTGCGATCTCCAAGCCCTCGCCCTGTACCGCGAAAAGCGCTACAACGAATCCGTAGCCCAAAACGGCAACTTCTTCTTCGGCCCCGGCTCCCTTCTCCTCTACGGTGCTGCAAGTTTCCTATACGAGCTCTTCCCCACCGCCAACGGTACCGCAGACGAGCAGACCATGATGTCCTTCTTCGGCGCCAACAAGACCTCCGACGGCGAATACGTTTTCAACGGCGGAGAGCGAATCCCACCGAACTGGAGAAGTCGCGTGGATCCTTACGATAACAACCAGGTTGGAGGACAGATTTCGGCGATGTACCAGCTTCACGTAAGTCTCCGCTTCTAGTCCTCTGAGAAGATTTTGCTTTATACTGACGACTTCTTCACAGCCTGTGCCTTTCGGTGGCAACGTTGGACCTGACAACTTCCTTGGTCTCAACTACTCTTCTTACATCAGCAACGGCAAGCTGAATGAGCAAACCGGCTCGGACGCCATGTGTCTGATCTACCAGACTTTGACTGCGGGTTTCCCAGCCGAGCTCGGCCAGCTCATTGACATTCCGGTCGCAGTGCAGAGCGCCATCGCCAGCGAGCTAGACCCAATGTTCGCAAACTTTGGATGCCCAAGGAACCACAACTCCGGCAGCAGTGTTTCGGGCTCTTAATTGCAGTAGAGTGGAGGAGCCTGTTGTGTGCCTCTTTCGTTTGTCGATAGCGCTCATGGCTACGTGTACAGATATCTTGTTGAAGATACGTCAACATCCTCATTGATCAGTCGCCATGACACTAGGCCTCGATGTTCTTGAGCATGCGAATCGAAATCTTTACTCCAGCCGACGTAAGCTATAGGCATCCTTTCGCGCCAACAGCCCGAGAAGACGCCATTTTCCATCATACCCAGTGAGGTCTGGTCCCTTCTCGTCATGTCCCAAGGTGGACATATGTATGAGAGGATAGGTGGTGTTGAAACGTGTCGGGAACAGATCAAGGTATGAGTGAAGAGAAGCAAGAGATACTAAGGGTGCTCAAGCAGTATTGCACTTCCGTCTGGCATAGTTAGCCGGGAGAGCTGAATCAGTTCCAGAAGGCAGTCATAAGCGCCGTCGTCCATCTGCGATAATGTGGAATCGGGATGAATTAATGCCATAGGAGATTCGGGCGGCAGCGAGACAACCGATTCTGTCGTTTCTAATTCCGTGAACCTTGCGTCGGTCATGCTGACGGCTTAAGGCTGATGTGCCCTCAATTCCTTGTTCTGGCTGTTGATCGAATGATTGACATTTCTCAAATCATTTGGCACGTCTTCGGGCGAGTCCGCTGAGTTGGGCGTAGACATTGTTGGATTGGAATTCGATGTTGAAGGATGAGAGGAAAGGCATGTTCGCATTCGGCTTCGGCCTGGTCCGCTGCCAAGATCTCGGCGAAACGGGGAACTTGGCCGAGATCGCGGAGATCGCCTCTGAGCCTGAGGCATCAAAGTTTGCGCTGACATATTTTACTTTACCTTCTTCTCTCCGCTTCCGGATGCTACAGTATCAACGAATTCAGACAACGCACATATCAACTCATACACTCTACAGACCATCGAATGTTTGTTCAAGCTATGGATCCCACTTGTCTCCACGATGACTTAGTGGCCGCTGCTAGGCGCCGGCAAAGGCGGGTTACTCACTGCATGAAAGGAGATCCACTTTCGGCGTAGAAGGCCCGTCATGCCGAATGGATTCGAATCATAGGTTGAGGCCCAAAACGCCCAGTCATGGCCTCAATCTTGCATTCCGAACTCTATCGACATGTCGGGCTCTTGCGTGGCGTGTCCAGGAGACCTAGAAAGCCGTGAAGACCCCAAACAACCCACAGCTACCTCGACGATCGAGTACGACGACGAGAAGTCACCCGGATACGACAGTTCCACAACGCAGAAGTGCCTGGTAGTCTTTACGACGAGCTTTGTCACCTTGGCGGCATGCTTCAGCAGTACTTCGCTGTTTTCAGCGGCAGACCAGATCGCCGCAAACTACGGAACAACCGCAGAGGTGATCAATGCATCTAGCGCTGGAGTATTGTTTGCTATGGGCTTATCCAACTTCGTCTGGGGCCCTATCTCCAAGGTATCATGATCAAAAAGCGCCTCGAGCAGCAAACCTACTAACCTGTTCGCAAGCTGTGCGGCAGATTGATCGCCTTTAACGCTTGCATTGTGGCTTTGCTGCTCTTCACTATCGCAGGCGCGCTGGCACCCAACTTGGAGGCGTTCGTCGTCTTCCGTATCTTAAGCGGCTTTCAGGGCACGTTCTTTCATGTGACAGGGCAGGCGATCTTAGCCGAATACTTTCCTCCTGTACGCCCTCTGCAACGAACCTCAGACTTTGGTCACTGACGAAATGCCTCAGACCCGAAGAGGGACTGCGACCGGATTTTTCCTAAGCGGCACAGTGCTTGGCCCGCCTCTCGGTCAGTTGTTGCCTCGACGAGAAGAATATGCTCATCTGACTTTCATCACAGGACCTCTGGTCGCTGGTGTAGTCACCACATACCAAAGCTGGCGGGTCATTCTGTGGACCCAAGCCGGCATGGTGTTGTTAGGACTTGTTCTATCGCTTGCAGTACTTCGAAAAGGAGGACGTCCGCCACTGAAAATGAATGAAGCTGGATCTATCGCGATGCTGCGCTGCGTGCTCCACGCGTTCAACCCTATGAGCGTCTTTGGGTTGATGAAGTATCCGAACGTGTTGCTTACTGTAAGCCATGGCTGCTTGCTCGACGGCGAAAAGCTAATTGTCCCCTCTAGGACATAGCATGCGGTCTTCTCAGCTGGTCACAGTATGCTCTGCTTTCTAGTCCGCGACACATCTTGGTCTCGCAATATGGTCTGACCTCACCACTCATATCAGCGCTTTTCTATCTTTCACCGGCAGGCGGCTTTCTCCTAGGCACACTGTTAGGCGGCAGATTCTCTGACCACACCGTTCGAAAGTGGATCAAACTGAGAGATGGTACACGCCTGCCGCAAGATCGACTCCGCGCTGGATCGATTTCTTGGTTCTTTGTGATCCCTGCGGCTTCGCTCATATACGGATGGTCTATTGAAGAGCACGCAGGAGGACTTGCTCTACCCATTGTCTTTGCGTTCTTTATTGCTGCAGGACTTCTCGCTGCGTTTGCAGGATTGAATACGTATTGTGCAGGCAAGTGAAGCCCAATCACGGCTCAGGTGCTTACTGACTCCTCGCAGAGGTCATGCCTCAGCGCCGTCCCGATGCTATTGCAAGTAAATACGTTGTCCAGTACATGTTCTCCGCAGCTGCCTCTGGAGCTGCAGTGCCTTTGATCGACGCGCTCGGTGTTGGAATACAATGTACAATAAGTGAGTTCAGCAGATGACTCGATGCGAGGATCTTGAGACTTATGCTTGCGCAGGTGTCATACTTGTTTACATTGCCGGCGGACTCTGCTTTGTGACAGCTCTTTACGGCCGCAGGATGCAGGACTGGGTAGACGGAAAGCATATCAAACCATAGCGACAGCACGAGCCTCCCCAGCATCGACACCAAACAAATGGACATAAGAAGTTGGATCTGGCGCGAGATGCAATATGCCCACAATGTATTATTTGAGGTAGAGTACAGGGTGAGCGGTCGGTCAATGGCACTAATGCTACCTCTTGACTCGGGTCAACCACCAAGCATTTCCACTGCGCGGCTGCAACCGTCTCCATGACACCAAAACCCAACCCATGCGAGACCCATTTGTCACATGCATTCTCCTTAGCTACCGCCTTTGGCACCGCACTAGAACGACATTAGCAAAGAGGATCTCGGAGCCAATGGAGGCCAAGAATCTATTCACCTCGAGGAGAGCTTCCCACTCTGTCTGTGTACCATACCCGGCATCGTAAGGGCACGCCCGGTTCTCGGTGACATACGTGCAGTCATAGTCGACGTGAGTACCGGGGAACTGACTTCCTTGGGACTGGGAGACGAAGTTCGCACGGAGGTTGTCGTAATTGACCGTTCCATCTGCGTTGTTCTCGCATCCAGAAAAGTACACATTGAAGTTGGCCTGTCATGTGAAGAAAAGAAATTGTAAGCGGATAGGCCTCGTATCTCTTCGGACTTCCCCTCTTCTTCACTTACATAGCAGCTAAAGTCGACAACGCCATACCGGTCGCTGAAAGGCACCGTCTTGAACTCCGCAGCGCGGTTGGTGCTCGGGTTGCAAATGTCCGGCGTGTCGGAGATCTTGTTTGCGTAGGTGCACCAGTTCTCGCCGTATTGCCAGCAGATGAATTCCGTCCGAGGGGGTGTGGAGGGTACTCTGAGCAGCAGAAAGAAAATCAGAAAATCCGACCACCCAAGAATGTTCCGCACAGTGGGGTTTTCTTACTTTACAGTTGCGCAGAGGAGAGTTGGGCCATAGTCTGGTGTCATTTGGCACTCCTTTGAAGTCGACGTGAACCCCGGCACTGGGTCGGCCGCTGGCTTAGCCAGAGAGGTGACAGCGAGGCTCAGGAGGCCCGTGACGAGAGCCGTGGACTTGGTGAACATCTTGACGAAGTTGGTTATGTCGAATTCGTGTCAAGAGAAGGAACTATGATGATGCGTGGAGAGAACGAAAGAGTGTAGCGAATAGTGGGCTTTAAAAGAGAACACAAGACGAGGGTTAAAACCAAGCACCAAGAGAACCAGGAAAGACCTTTATGGATCGGCTTACTCCTGCACAGCCCATCCCATGAAACCCTCGCATGGCTGGATATCCCATACCATCCGTCACCGCCCGTTGGTTTTGTGAGCGTCATGCAAGACACGAGTGCTCCCACCCATCAGTCCACTACGCACCACGCACCATAAACGGCTACAGATGGAAATAGCTCACTGGTCCGGTGTGTTTTTGGGTTAATGGTCAAAGTGCGCAATGTGCGCAAGGAACGACAGGGGAAATGTTATCTGCCGGGTCCATCTTTGCTGTTTGGCAGGGTAGAGCTTTTCACCAAAATGTCGAGGTTCAAAGGGAGATATCCTAAGGCAGTCAGGCTACAGGTCCGCTCGCAAAGGGAACAGAACCTACCAGGCTGCTTGCCCTACACGTCGCGGCCTTTTCTGGACGGGTTTCGTATAGGTAGGGAGATGATATTCGCTGGTGCTTGACATGAAGCCGGACCTTTGAGCTCGTTCTGCCTAAGGCCGAAATGCACGGCCATGTTATGTGTGTGTTTTGGGAATTCTCCCCTGCAAATAGCAAAGTTATACTCTGCAAATAGTATTTGCCAACTCGCCAACGCCAGTGATGAAGGATGATGGAAGTTTCGTGGCTGGGATGTAACTTTAGAGCTGACCACGTGAAACGGCGGAGGACAAGGTAATGTGCGGGCAAGGACCATGTCTCTTCTCTCCGGATGAACCTTCTCGTCGCACATCTACCTCCGGTTCCCACGAAGAACAAATGGCAGGCGCTGCTTACAATATCCGGTATTGGCGGGCAACGAGAACGGTCTGGACTCGTGTCAGGTACACCGGAGCTTCCCTGGGAGAAACGTACAATGCTGTGCACTCGTGCATGAACGTTTCCAAGAACTTCGCAGAGCCTCATCGATGGTACCTGTATCACAGACGGAGCCAACTGGTGAGTAGTCTACGACCGTCTTTGGTGCGGCGTTCGTGGTCCGCGTGCTAAGGAAGTCGGCTTTAGTAGAATAGCCCTCGAAACAAGGCATTCGATTCATGCGAGACTCCAACAGCCAGCATATACCAGTAGTTCCAAAACAGTATGAATCTCAGTGCAGGCTCAACGAAGCGTGCCGCGAATACAGGCACGGCGTCAGGAATGAGTAGACATGTGGCTATCTACTTCATTGCACAGTGGAGATTGAGGTCGACAGTGGCTCAGCAAGTGCCAGGACTTGGCCACTTCCAGCGAAAAGGCCACTCCCGATGGCTCCAGACAAAGCAACGAATTGGATGATCCGAGATTCAGTCTTCTCTCGAGCGTTTCAATATGCCAGTCTGCATCGCGATGCTGTCGCTGTTCTGTATCCAGTTCGCCGCGGCTCTTCGAAACAATGATATCTTCCTTGACAGCCTCCTTGTCCGTGATGACGGCTGGCCGGGTCTTCAATGCCCTGACGTTGATGAGATCAGCTTCGAAGCGCTTCTGAGAGCTCGCAGAGCTTCATATTAAAGATGGTGGCCACACGCAGCTTATGCTCAACTTAGCCATTGCTAGATAATCCAATCAATAAGATCAAGGCAGTGCTCAATCCTTCTATCCCGTCCAATGCCCCAGCTCGATCGAATCGCTGGTCGGCCAGGGTAGGCCTGCATGGTGGCCATGAGTTGTTGGCTGGTCATTGAAAGATTGATGCAATGCGTCATCTGTCAAATCTAGAGATAGCGTTATCGAGGGTTTTAGAAACGAGCATCGCAGACAGAAGTCGTGTTCGTCGCTTGGGCCACACATCACATGCTTCCAATCTGTACGCTAGCCCAATACTACGATTTCTCACAGCGACAAGATGTGTTAGAAGCCGCTCGCTCCCAAATCCTAGACTAGCATCATTGGACACTCATGTTCAATGGAACATCGATCGCGCGTAATCTCGTACTGGATGTTTTTCAGCCTCAAGTCCGGCATTGTATACTTCAACGATCCTGTCGAGCATTATATTTGAACCCCCAACATGCTAGCATTACTTCCATACCAGTTCCTAGCCACAATTCAACGTAACTGACCCAACGCTCGAAGCCTGCAGCATGCTCTTAAGCGAAGGTTGAACTTACGGTTGTTACCAGAAGTGATGCGGATGGGGCTGGCGGATGAATATATCCAAACAACTCGAGTCAACGGACATGTTCATATGTAAGGGTATCTCTGTACATTTAGCGCGACTCTGGCCGCCGTCAATACTCACTCAGACTCAGATGACCCATTCATTCCGATCATCCGTAGAAGTGATGAAAGGCTCATCGATCTGCTTGACAGCCATGTCACTGCAAAGCACACTGCACCGCAATCGTCAGCGTCATGCTCAAACAAGATGGGATACCTCAACAGGATAGGAAGAGACAGGAAACTCACCAAGCCCCAGCGACCAACCCATCCAGCTCCTTTACCATTCCCTCCCTCTTCCTACCCACCGCGACCCCTCGTCCAATCTCCGCTCTCAACTCCCTCATCCTCTTTCCCTTAGCCATCCCTGCCATATCCATGACCATCTCTCCCAAGCAATCCGCATGGAAAGCATGCTGACATGGAAAAACAAAGAATTGTCTCATCAGAAGTGGTAATCTACACTTCCAACATCTCTCGCCCGGTTCCACGATCGCATATCGCTCATCAAGTTTCTTGATGTCCTGCTTGATGTTGGAAGCAGTCGTGGCAGATTCGTCCATTCCGTGCTTGAGGTTGTCAATCTGCCTGCTGTACTCCTCCAATGCCGCGCAGATTTCTTCCTTGAAGTCGTCGATGACGACAAAGTCCGGAAAGAAGGGTATCAAGTCCTCAATTCGTAGCAATTCGCACCTCCTCAGGAACTCAATGGCCGATTTGATGCCTTTGTTCTGACCAATGACCTTCTTAGCGACTTTCAGCCAAAGCTTCTTTCGGAGCACATCATCAATCCCAGGACTATCGGCTACTGATGCTGCAAGTTCCACTTCGTCGTACTTCAAAGCAAGGTCAACGGCAGATGCATACTGCTCCATGGTTCTGTATACATGCACAGCAGATTGAACTCGCTTGTGAGCAATACACAAGCGTAGAGCGAAGTCCGCGTCATAGAATTGATCGTGAGCCATCTCCTGCGTTCGAAGATACGAAAGGAGCGCGCTTTCGTCTGGAGTGTGGTGCGCAGCATACATCGAGATTAATGTGTTATGGACCGCCGCGTCTGTTGAATGCGAGTGGTTTATGCAGAACAGGAGATATCTGATCGCTTGATTGTTGTTGAGCGGGACTGTCTCGCCGACGGTCTTGTTGTAGTTGAGCAATGCCGGAATGATCTTCTTGGTGTCCAATCCGGTTTGGCGCATCAGGACGTCTACGACTTCCGTCGACTGGTGCGCCATGAGCACTGTGCTATATCTGTAAAACATATCAGGATCTGTCTGTTTCTTGAGCACATTCATGGCCTCTGTCCATCTTTCACGATTGATCCAGTATGAAAGAACGTAGTTAAAGTCCTCCACGATGTTGGCAAAGAACAGCAACTCCTCTTCTCTGGCATGTGCGCTGATGATCTCGTACGTAGTCTTTCGGTCCAGGTCCGATTTCTGTCTCGAGACGAAATCTTGGAATTCCTTACGAACAGCAGGAAGCTGCTTCTGTGTTTCGGTCGACGCACCGTTGCCATTCGCCGATAGTTCGGCACGTGTGGATAATGTATCATCCATCTGATTCAGCTTTGCCATGTAGAGCTCGACTAGCCAGCTTGCAAGCATAGTGCGCTGCATCGTGCTGCTCTTCTTTAACGTCGACAGCTTCACCAGCAGATACTTCCGCAACGCATCGTGCTCACCCTTGTCGATCAAGCTGAGCGCTACGTCCTCGAACGCCTTCGTGCTCTTGCCAAGGACAACTGCAGCTTCGGCAAATTTGCCCTGCGAGATCAAATGGTCTCCAGTCTGAGATGCCACAGCATCCCTCTGAGCAGGCGTTTTGGCATATGTTTGCGCAGCCTCAAACTGGCCTTGCTTCAACAGGATCTTCCAAACGTCTCTTGTCTCGTCTGTAACCACAACCTCGAAGATCTCCTGGGGGGTAAAAAGCCAATACGTGTTCTTCTGATGATCAGCGAAAAGTCCTAAACTCGTGTGGCCACTTTTCAGTATCTGCTGATTGTACACGATACTCTCGTTGAGTCGATTGATTCCGATAAGGCGGCCCTCGATGAGAGCGAGGATATGGAATTGCGTCAGAATCATGGCGGATGGATGAGGCTGTGTCGCCCTGGTCCTGCCGCCAGAAGTCTGGACGGCGGGGAATTTTGGCATTGGGAACATCTTCGATTCGCGGAATACTTGCTTGCCTAGAGTAACCAGATCAGGAGCGGCTGTTGTGAGTTTGCCATGGTACACGCCCTCAGTACATAGCCAGGCATACGCTCTCTCGGCACTCTGAGCGTCACTGATAGAGGAGGCCACATCTGGAGGATCAGGCGAGATTGCCAACGACGATGGTGTGTTGGCACTGGTCCTATCGATCTCGTGCATATTTGGAGCCTCGCCTTCCAGAAGCTTCGCATATATTGACGATTCATGTCCTCTGCCGCCAACTCTCCCTACGAAATGCAGTAACTTGTGCTGCGTGGCAACCAGCACTCTTCTTGTCTCCGGCCGAGTCGCAAGTACATCCGCGTACAAGCCCACGATTGGGCCATCCTGAGGATTGTATACATTCCTGAAATACTTCTCCTGGCTCCTGTAAAACTCCGTGCTCGGCTCAATGTACGTTTCGTAGATGTTCCCATCCGCGGAGCCAATCAAGATCTCCCTGGTGCTAGCGGTAGGCTGCGACGGATTCCACGCGATGCTTTCAATCTGTACGCCTTTTACACGCCCCAAAGCTTTCGGTTGTCGCGACTGCGTATGGAGGTAGTAGTTCTCGCCAAGTGTGGTAGATACGATGAGATGGGATGCAGACGGGTCGAGGAACAGCTTGCGGATAACGCCGACTTCTGCCGGTCGCTTGGGAAGATCGATGTCGTCGATATCTTCGGCGTTGTCAAGGTCGAATCGAAGTATTCGGCCGGTCGAGAGAGCTAAGATGAGAACGTTGTTGGCGACCTGCGCGGCTACGAAGTCGGCGGAGATGTCGAAGCGCAGCTGCACTTTCTGTACGTCGAAGATGGGGAGAGCCGTATCGTCCTGGGCGCCGGCGGCATACCCGCTCGTCGAGTCGAAAGCCATGTGTTAGCCTGTCATATTTCCAGTGGTTTGAATATAAGAAAGAGATACAATGTTCGCTGTCTGCCTGATGAGGTCGAGCTCTGGCGGACGCTCGGACCAGCTGGGCGATCTTCACGCACTTCACCACGCGCCCAAAGCCAAAACACAACGCTGTCTTCTAGCATTCACAGGAAGTTTGCCGCGATAGTGTCCTCAATTGCGTTTGAATTTGCATTGGTTATTCTTGTCGAGGTGACGCCGTGTCTCAAGCACGAGGCTTCGACCAAGGTTCAGACTACGCATGAGCAAGAAGCCCGGTGTATCCGTAGAAAAACATCAGACGGTTTGGGTGTACCCGCTACGCGCAAACCCATCACCACATTCCTTGTGGATTTTGTGATTTTTGATCAGACACCTGTCTACCCAGGCACCTCTTCATCGCTCCGTTAACTCAGCAGCTTCCAGGCCAGCATCGGAACGCCATCAACCGCTATCGCCGCCCGTCATCAAAAGAAGCACCTCCTTCCAGCCTGGCTTGCGAGCTGCAGCTGCCATCTCGAGATCTCGTACGCTCAGAAACGGCCTCCTCCGGGGCTGCTCTGCTAGCGAAGCCAAAATCTTCTCATGGGTGGCCCATACTACCGTCACGCTCGCCAGGATCTGGCTGTCACCGCGAGCCTTCAAATCCGCGATCTCAGAGTCAGAGATCTTCTCGTCGAACAAATTGGTAGGTTGAAGACCGTACTGTCTCAGAGTGTGGTGATAGCGGATTGAAGACTCGAGCTCGAGGTGAAGCCAGTGCGAGAAGCTGTTGACGGAGCTAGACGTACCGGTCTTGAATGGCTCCCACTTCTGGATGTCGACCAAAGTCTTCAGCTGGAAGGTATTGCAGTCGTAGAAGATGGCCATTGCTTCTTTGTACAGTCTGCGGGAGGTCTGTGCGAGGCTTGGAACGGTGTGGGTGCGAAAATTCCAGGATCTGCCACTGTGGTCACGATGTTTGGTTAGCACGGAGACCAATATGCGAGAGTCCTTGACTTACCGAACGACAATCTTTCCTTCCATCGAAAGCGCGTAGCCGTAGATGTGATTGCGCACTTCACCGGGCAGCTTGAACAGCGGGCACTCTTCTTGTGTGGCGGTCTCGCCGGAACGTGAAGTGGCTTCGGCCATGTTGTTGGAGTTGTTATCAGCCTCGCGGTCGTTAGCGAGAGTCGTACGAGCAAGTTGCGCCGTCAAGTCGTCTGCGTAGGTGTGCGCCGGCTCATGATTAGAGGCATGTGAAGGCATGGTCGTGTGTGTGGCGTTGGCGAATCAGAACCGTTGCTGGGGAAATCTGTTCCGACGAGAACCGAGTGTTCGATTTCAGATGTGGTGGGTCTTGTGATGGTCTTGTTGAGTATCGAGATGCGAATCTGAAGTTCAAGTGCAGGTCGATTTATAGGAATTTCCCGTCGCGACTTCCTATTGCATTCACGTTTATCGTATAAAAGCTTTAACTGACAAAGAAGGTTTATAGCCAGGCTATCTATATAAGGTTTTAAGGTATTTTTATTTCCTCTATCTATATAAGGTTTTAAGGTATTTTTATATCCCCTCTACTTATGTAGCTACTAAGAGTAGGACATTTTATATAAATGTATAACACTACTTTAGCTAGTGTCGTGTAATTCCTTGGCATGCAGGCCAAGGATCTTATAATCGCGCTAATGGAGTTCACAAGGACGTCGGCTTTCGGAGTTTCTATGTTCCGATGAAGTTCCACCTCACCTTAAGCTAAAAGAATATCTTCACTCTTCACCATCGTAACGGGATTCCTCCATCAGCGAACAACATACAATCATCAGGGAAGACGATAGTGGACTCTACGTGGCTTGCTGTTTCGCTGTCTCGCCAGAAACATGGCGGCTTTTTCGCGCGAAAGCAGCCAGTTATCTGCAAAATAACACATCTTCCTGCGTCGGCGTCCTATCGCTTCTCGCCATCCAAATTTATGAATTCAAAGATGCAGCTCGCACCGTATTCGATACAGTCTTTTCCGCATTCTGGGCAAACCACCTCGTCCTCGCGCCCCGCCGTCGCTGCTTTAGGCTCATCTTGTTCCTTGCTTACGACACCGAGTGACGCATTCGAAGTCGCAAACTCGAATGCGACGGACTGGCCTCTCTCGTCGCGAAAATGATCTACTGTCCGAGCAGTTAGCACTCTCCATGTCGAGATGACGAGTCTTCCTTACAGGAGCCAATATCGCTGCTGCACTGGTAGTGCAGTCTCGCACCCTTGCGAAGCTGGATCTTCCTGCAATCTCTTCCGATGCCAGTGAGCGGTGCATTTGTTGAAAGGACCTGGCCAGATATTCCGACACGTGAGTATTGGGTTCTCATCGTCAGATCGGTGATGCCATGATTGGTCGGCACCTCTATACCATCAGCCTTGCCAAGGATAGAAAGCTTTCGCAGGCTTTCGTAAACGTCCCGATGCAGAGCAGCGAAGCAGACAGCCGCGCCATGTCCAAATCGGAGGACTCTTCGAGCTACATCTGGTCAGCGTCAACTGGTCCGTCTCAAATTACCTATGTCACTCACTATCCAAACTTGGCGAATGGCCGACGTCCATGTGGCTACCTCTGTGCAGCAGCACAGCCTCTCCCCCAAGAGTGCGAACCCGCACGGTCTTAGATACTCGCGCCCTAGATTCGCACCGGAAGGACGCAGTGATCGATGCTGAAGATATTATCTGGAATCTTGGCTCTTGGAAGCTTGGTTTCGTGTTGTCCTTCAAAGTCTCGCAGCCGATTTTCATGGTGAAGCTTGAGGAATTGGTCCAGGCCACCTGATATGCATCTGATTCTCGTCAGCAGTCTACCAAGTCTGGAGCATTCATTCAACCTACTGTCCTGAATATTTTCGATAGTCTGTCCGAGCCTCAACTCTGCCTTCTGAGGGAGAGAACGACTCACGCCACCTTTCAAATCTTGCAGCTCGATCCTTTCCGCTGTCACGATAATGATTGGGTCGATGTTCCTCTCCCACGCGGCGTTGACAAAGACTTCGGGTGTCAAGTTGCCCCAAGCCGTACTTGGACCCTGCGCAGCCTGTGTTGGTATCGACTTTGTCGCTGCTCCTTTGCGGTTGCTTGCTATTCGAGACATGTCGATATTCAGATGCGCCGATGAGCCTGTAGAGCTGCGAGGGTTGAGGATAAATGATCTTCTGATCTCCGAGTGCAATTCGAGTTGGTGTGCGTGGTGGTGGATGCTTCGTAAAGAAACAAAGTTGCGGCAATTGGTGTGCAAAATACGTGCGCTGGGGGACTGCAGACACCTTGTGTGCTTTCATGTGATGGCTGTTTCACTCCACTGCCACATACTGCGTCGTTCACATGCGGAATAGCGCAGGTCGCATTTCCATGTGTGCTGAGACAATGAAGAGATTCAAGAAGGGTCCAAAACGACTGATCCGTAAACGAAGATGTGAGATCAGAGCAAAACGAGTCGAGAAGATCTAAGACCACCAAGCATTCACCGTCACCAACGAAATCAGATTGATTCAGTCCGCCTGCCGGCCCTGTGTCTCCAATCTGTCCTTGGCCCATTTCTGGATGCGAAAGAAAATCACGGCAAGAATGCACAGCATCTCAGCCGGCTACGATATCTTCTTTCCCTTTGCCTCAATGGAACGTCAAGGCCGCTGTGTTCGCGTGGCATTGGACGAATTGCCGCAAGTGGTCTCAGCGATGACCCGCCGTCAGTGTAAGGGACAAACTGAGACATGCAGTGCGTCATGAATATCTACCGACACGCATACGATGGATTTGTGGTCGCTCTGTTGGCTGATAATAATCTGCATCTAAAGCTTTCCGGATGTGGTTCTTTGGTGGAAGTGGACAGATCAACTTCTCGTCAATGGACCCCTTGGAGAGATACTAATCACGCAGTGTAGTGTATGCACCACTTCAAACCTGCGACACAGTATCAGCAGCAACCGACGGCATGCTTGAAGATTCGATGCGACTTACCCGATCATGGAGTTTCCCTCGTCGTCATGCCAGGGCTTGTCGACGACAAATCTCGCATAACATCCGTTTAAGTTCCGGTACAACAGACCTGCAGCAACAAACGCGGCCAGCCAAGTTCCATGATACGACCCGAAAACTACCACACCAGCAAGAAGCTCACTCCATGCTGCGTGGATAGATTTCTTTGGCTCTCCAACATCTTGCACAGGACTATCATCGACCTGCCGATATAAGCCTTGCCAGAAGCGTCGAAATGCAGTCCACCAGTGAATTGTATTTACGTCGTACGAAAAGCTTTTCATCGCTGGCGGTAGTTCTTATCTCGAAGCCGCACGCGAAGCCGTCGCCAACATCATATTGGGGCTCCTCGACGAGCAGATAAAAATTCCCGTGGGCACGAACAGACAGCAAGCCGCGATCGCAATCGCCAACAAGCATGGAATACATATCGACCTGGCCATGCTCTTGTCCCGAGAGCCTTTGACATTCGGATCGGATGAGCCTGATCCATGTCCTTCCTCATCTTGAAGCGAGAGTGTTTCTCGACTGGAGAAATAATGCCCAACGGCCCGCAAGTCGCAGAGCTCTCTGTGCAACGTGCCCAGGCTTTGGCGACGATGAAGCGATGAAGCGACGAAGAAGAAGAAGAAGAAGAAGTTTTGCTTCAAAAAGCACACCAGAAGACGCCCAACCTCGAATCGTAATTTCCGTGCTACATCAAATTTACCTTACCGAAGAACAGCAGACGTGTCTCCATTGCTTACCGACACAAGTTTTAGATCGCAGAAACAAGACGACGGGAAGGTCTGAAGGTCCAGCTGATGAGAAAAGAACGGGCTACTAGCTAGTCACACACACACACACACACACACACCACACCCACTCTCCAAAAGCTTCCCAAGGCAATGAATTAAGACCTCTATGCACGACGACTCCTTGGCAATCTGGCATGGGGAGAAAAAAAGCTAAAAATCTCCGGATAAAGAGGGCAGACAAAAAGGCCAGAGCTCTCTCGGACACACACATGTCAGCGTGAGCGACGCAAGAATTCGCAGCAGGATCTCATTCCAAAAAAAAAAAAAAAAAAAAAAAAAAAATTTTTTTAGACCTTTTCCATCTCCTACTATAGATTTTTCCATACTCCCGACTGAATCCCTTCTTCCTCACCGGCATAAATCCCCAGCACAGCACAGCATGCCACATATCCCTCCTTTTCCTGCGTCCTGAAAGGAAAGGATAAGTCTGTCTTCGCGGCAGGCAAGGTCTAGCTAGCTGACTCCGCGGCTTATCAAAAGGCAAGGCATGCCCTGTTTGCTGCCCCAGAGAGAAAATCAAGCAACTCTCGATGGTTCCGTTCCAGGAGAAGTTTAACAATCTACGGGACACACAGTCATTCTCTTCTCTGGGAAACGAAGTCGGAAGCGTCTCGGAAACCAAAACAAGACCCACCACCAAAAATCTTCACCTCAAAAGCTCGACACCATTCTCTCCCCCCCCCCCCCCCTTCCCCTTCTTTACCCCGACCCAAACATTGATCTAGCTTTCTCGTATCACTGGGAAATTTCGAACAGCAGGATTGAAAGCGCTCGCGGTAGATGGAGAATGCAAACGCAATCGCACGGAAAGAATCGTTGAAAGGGGAAGTTTATAAACATGGCTGTATTATCTTAACGATGGACAAGGACAGTAGGCAAGAGACGAGCGTTTCGAAGCTTTCGAAGAGGTTTAGAAGAAGATCGAGGCCAATAGAGGTAATCTTGCTAACATTCTTCAGCCTGGAGGTCTTAGGGTGGGAGCAGACCCTCTGGCTTGGAGGCGGTACAGCGTCGGTCAACGGCCCGTCAGCTACGATTGTTTAGCAGACGTTGACGCGGATTGGCCAGAAGAGGGTCGTGAACAGGACGTGCGTTCGATGAGAGCAGCCATATAGGCCAGACGACATGGCAACATCGGATACCTGACTTTCCCGTTCGGCGGCGCGAAGGCTGGTCAAACCCTGAAGAGCACAAAGAGCTTTTGCTCCATTGCATGGAAGATCCGTCGGAGGTTGTATCCATGTTTTGGCGCTTTTCGGAGGCGGGGAGTTGTTCCGATCGCGTATGTCAAGCGATACGGAACAACAAGGCGTGGGACCCAGAGCAGTAGATGTGGCAGACATAAAGCCTTGTTCCCGTCGAGATCCCGTCCAGAAGGTGCGAGGCATCACCGATCAACAAGGAATCTTCGGAACAAGAGCGATCCGTCTGTCCACACCAGCGTACAGACACGCAATTTGAACGACATTCACCGCAGGCGGGCCGTTGGGTGATTCAATCCGTGGCGTCATCCGAGGTCCAAAATCCAGGCCGTAGAATATCTTGGAGTCGTACCGTACGTCAACCTCTCGGTGGATGACCAACAATCGTTCACCTGCTTTGTTTGCTCGCTGATTTATCGCCGATAGAGTGGAAGTTTCGATACGAAGTAGGCAGCACGAACACGCTGGCGCTGGTGTCTGTGTTCGTTGTGTATCAAAATTGTGGGATCGGTCTTACTGAACGGCTCAAGAATGAGGAGGCGGGCAAAGACGGCAGGGCATGCATCGTTGCTTCGGGGGGGAAATCGAGAGCATCGGTGTAGATAGTCGCTGCTTTGTTTCTGCCGACATCCGGGGTGCGGGTGTGCAGAACAGCAGGTGTACGCCATTGACAAATCGATGGAGGCACCAATCAAGCTCCTTGTCACGTTGAACAAGTGGTCTGCGTTGGTCCAGAGGTCGGAAGGTGCCGCGCCATCTGTTTCGAAGCAGTGAAGCACCGACATCGCGTGCTCCAACGCCCTCTCTCTTGAGGTATAAGTGCTCGGCGTTCGTTGGCCCTCTGGAGGCAGCTTACCATTCTTCCCTCTTCACCATTGTTTTGGAGTGAGTATACCTTGAAGATGACGGAGGCAAAAGACTGGCACCGAGACACGATCGAGCGTGACGCGAGGGACGAGGTTGGGTCCGGATGGCGACCAGAGTTCCGTCCGAGCCAGGCCAACATCGCAATTCCCCGAGCAGTGCTGGAGAAGATGTATCTCAGCCCGCCGACCAATGTGACGGGCGATTTCCGGAACATGATGGCAAGAGAAGCATTCTCCCCCTGAATGCACGACGGCTGACACACCGAAGGCCAACCCGACCCCACTCGGCCTCGTGGGCTTCTTGGTCGCCACATTGCCGATGAGCTGTGCACTCATGGGCCTGGGCGGTGCTGGAGGTGGTGGAGCTGCCACATCGTATGCAGGATTCCCGACGTGAGCATTGCGCGAGAAGGCATTGACTGACGAGATCCCAGTGGTCTGGGTATGTGGTTTGGCGGGACGCTCCAGATGATCGCATGTATCATGGAATGGTTCCTGGGCAACACATTCAGCTTCCTGATCTTCGGCACCTTTGGTAGGGAGGCCTCTCCATCATGTTCGGCACACGCTGATACGGCATAGGGGCGGCGTGGTTTGCGCTGTCGTCCGCCGGGCAAGCCGAGCAGGCCTTTGTGGATGGTCTTACCCAGCAGGGCGTGGATCAAGCTGCTGCAGAAGCGCAATTCCAGGCGAGCTTTGGTGAGTGACTACGTCGTCTATACTCGGATGCAGCCACTCACTCTCTGACGTGGACGCAGCATGGGGCCTCGTGGTGTTTGGCCTCTTGATCATCACCTTTGGACTGTGCGCGTTACGGACGAACGTGGTATTCGTGGTGTGTTTCGCCATTGTGAGCAACGCGGTGTTTCTGCTTGCCGGATCGTACTGGGTCATGGCGCGTGGAAGAGGCGAGCTGGCGGTGAGGATGCAAAAGGTGGGTCGGGTCGTTGGCGGAATCGCATGAGTTGAAGCAGCACTGACCGACGTGGATGCGGATGCTGATGCGGATGCAGGCGGTGGGGGCCATCTTCTTCTTCTGCTGCGTGCTGGCGTGGTACCTCCTGGTGGCCAACCTGCTCGAGGTGCTCGAATTCGGCTATTCGCTGCCGGTGGGAGACCTCAGCGCGAAACTGGGCCGACACGGCAAGCAGGCCGAGTTCCGAGATCGGTCGCAGTCGGTGTAGTGTGTAGTGTGTTGTGGGTAGTGGAGGGAGTGGATAGTAGTAGTAGTAGTGGGCAGTCAAAAGGGATCGATGCCATGCGACCAGCTGTGCTTGACGAGACGCCAACGATGTCGGATGAAGCGGAATTCCAGGCGATTGACGACGGGCGTGCTGAGGCCGGGGAAGTTGCCGGTGGTGAGGGTGTGGATGAAGACCTCGCCGACGACTTGATGCAGGCCGACGACGCGGGCGGACAGGTCTTGCACGTGCACCTGGAGATGGGGGAAGGTGGTGGTGAGGAGCTTGAGTTTGTCGGCGTACTCATGTCCCCATGTCTCCTCGCCCATGAACCGGTCGAAGTTGCTGCTCCCGTTGGAGGTGAATTCCAAGTGATCGGCAATGCTGTCCGTCCAGATGGGATTGTCGAAGTCGCGTGCATTGGTCGCCTCGATGAGCCGGAGTGCGATGGCTTCCAGTGTCGCCGCGTGCTCGCCCGTGTCGTCGTCCATGTTGTCTCGTCCGTTTCCGAACCGTTCATTCCTTCATTCACTCACTCGTCCCCGTGATGTTCACCACCAGATGGGCATGTCCATCATCATCGCACCGCCACCCGAAACGAAACACAGAAATCCGAATCCCAATCCGAACCCGGATCCGAATCCGAATCCCCCGAGGCATGTTGTTGACGGGCCCGTGCATGAAAACACCCACACAACATGGTATATCGACTGCTTCTCCGCATTGCATTGCGATGCGAGGGAGAAAGCTGTAGCGAGAAGAATGCCCACCGAGAGAGAAGAGAGAAAAGAGAAAGAGAGAGGGAGAGAGCTCGAGCTCGAGCTCTACCGCGGCCGAGATGCGCCGCACTATACCCTCTACCCCTCCGTCATCGCTCCAGCGGATATACACCATTACTAAACACTTCCAACAACACTCTGCGCTCAACATGCTGGACATGATATGCCTTCCAACTAATAAACAACACATCTCTTTCAATCCGAACCTCTCAGCCACTATCGCCTCCAGCGCTACGCCCACGCAGAACGATGCCGACTCAGCCAGCGAACCCAGAACCGGCGCATCCTGAAGTAGACTCGATGCTCTCGCGAAAGTTCGGCAAGGAAGTCGCCAACTACTTCTCCGGCTCGCCCTTGAACCGCCTCTCCTTCCTGCGAGGCGACCACACCTTCCTCTCTCAGGCGCTCAAGCACCCCTCCACCAGCTTCCTCCTCTGCAACGACCTACAACCTCTCGTCCAGCCCAACACCCCACCCGGCCGAGGCAAGCTGGCCTATGTCACCTACCAACATGTCCAGCCCATCATTGGCGACGACCCTTTCGCGGATTCCGAGCACGACATCATCAAGGCCTTCGATTCCGAGCTCTACGTCCCACAGATGATCTTTCTCGGCATCGACGAGAAGGATGAGGAAGGCCTGACGTATCAGGGAAAGAATCGCTACACCGGAGCCCCGTACTTCGCCCTCGACGTCACGCCCCAGCATGCCTTGAAGGAGAAGTGCGAGAGGTTAATAGCAGACCTGAAGGAGAAGGGCTTGGAGTTTGGCAAGGGCAGGATGATGGATGTGGAAGCGTCAGACGGTAACAACTCACACCCCCTCCGACTGGAATCTCATACTGACGTCCACCGGAGCTGCGATATATGCCGAAGCTCGCCAATTGCTCGATTGGAACCTCCGCAATCCCTTCTGCGCTGCGTGCGGCCATCCCACCATGAGCGTCAACGCCGGCTTCAAACGCACCTGCCCTCCAGCCGACAAGTCCTTCAAGTCGCGCAACCGCCAGAATGCCCTTCCCTCCACCCCCGAGCCGCCCGGAGACCCGAACGCTCGACCGCCCTGCGCCACCCGACATGGCATCTCGAACCTCTGCTTCCCTCGGACCGATCCAACCGTCATCATGGCAGTCGTGAATTCCACCGGCGATAAGATCCTCCTCGGGAGACAGAAGAGATGGCCACCATACTGGTACTCCACACTGGCAGGCTTTGCCGAACCGGCAGAGTCAATCGAGGAGTCAGTACGACGAGAAGTCTACGAAGAAGCCGGTGTCCTGGTGGGGCGGGTGGTCATACACTCCACGCAACCCTGGCCATATCCTGCAAACTTGATGATCGGCGCCGTGGGGCAGGCAATCCCTACCGGCGAGACGATCGATCTGGGAAATGACCCCGAGTTGGACGATGCGAAGTGGTTCGACTTGGACACGGTGCGCCACGCTCTGAGAGTAGGAACATCCGGTCTCGGGGAAGATGCAGGCTCGGAATACAAGGAAGGCGGTCTCAGGCTGCCGCCGAACACGGCCATCGCGAACCAGCTGATGACTGCGGTCTGCAATGGCTTTGCGAGTGGAGATGCGAAGATGTAGATGAGGGCAGAGGTGGGACTGATAGATACCAGAATCTAGCAATTGCAAGTTTAGAGCCTCCTTTTTCCGAGTTTGCGTTGTCTTCCCCCACCGCGCCCGCTCTCTTGCCATGTGGCGCCAAGAGGACAATACTGCTCGCGAGAACACGCTCGGAGTACGAGATGATTCCGACTTGACAGAATGGCTCCTGTCCTGTCGGCCCCAAAGCTCAAGAAGAAGAAGAAGGTCAGGCTGTTGCAGATACGGTGAGTTCTTTCTTTCGGTGGTGGTGGTGGTAGTGGTGGTGGTGGTGGTGGTGGTGGTGGTGATATCTATGCCTACGTTGTTGTTTCATCTCATCTGATGACATGTCGTCGTAGCAATCCCAATCCCAATCCCAAGGGGGGGGTAAACGAACGAAACACACGACGGTCTCTTCTCTGGCCTTGACTTGGGCGATTCGAGGCGCTGACTGACTGCCTAGGCGAGTTTGGAAGCCTTAGCTTTCCTTTACACTCGCTAACGAACCGTGGTGGCTCGAATCGAATCGACGACATTGCGGCATGGGAGGAGTGTACCTTTAGCTTTAGCTTTTTTTTTTTTTTTTTTTTCATGATGATGATGATGATGAGGGTTTTGGGAAGATGCCACACTGGTGGGTGACTGGGAGGGAAGATTTGGGGACCGCGATTGGGGGATTTGTGGTGGGTTTATGCGTATGTCTATGTCTATGCCTCCGACGACGATGACGATGACGATGACGAAGTCATCTCCTCTCTCTCTCTCTCTCTCTCTCTCTCTCCAAGGCATACAGAGTATCCCAATCATAGCATCATCAGCTCACCCGTCTTCTCCAAACGGATAATTGAACTTGAGCAAGGAATTCAACCCTCCAACCCAATGGTCTTCCCCATCCGTCGCCCCGATCGCGCGTACAATAGACGGAACACCACGAAACCAATCCCTCTCCCGCGATCTCACCTCCTCGCCCACCACCCGAACTTCCATCCCGGCCTTCAGACCCTCCCGTCGCCGCACCCCGTCCACCGAGACTTCAATCTCCCTCCCGCGATTCCCGGCCTCAATCCGCAACGTGATGGGCGTGTTGGCCGGCAGCAGCAACGGCCGGAAGGAGAGACTCCGCGGACAGATGGGCGTCAACAGGATGGAAGAGACCAGCGGATGCACGATCGAACCCCCACTGGAAAGACTGTAAGCCGTTGACCCCGTGGGCGTGCTGACCAGAAAGCCATCCGCGATGGCGGTCGTCAGCATGCGCTGGTTCCCTTGTGGTCCGATGAGAATGGTGATATGCGCCAAGTGCGGTACGGCACCCCTATGCAACAAGACCTCATTCAGCGCAAAGATATCACCACACTGATTGTCCGTGTGAGTGAGAGGTTGTTCATGCGGGAGTCTCTCGCCCGCGGGACCGAAGATCCCGATCTTCAGGCGGTTCCTCAGAAGGACCCGGGAGTTCCGGGAGGCACCCATTGATTTCCCGCGGATCTGGATCCAGCCGTCGGTCCTGGGGGGTTCGTCGGTGCTGCTGCGTGCCGGGAGAGGTGGCGGCGCACCGGAGACGTAGGCCTGGCGGAAAGCGCGTTTGTACTCGTTGAATTTCCACTCCCCGAGGAAACCCAGAGTGCCCATACTGAACGACAAGACTGGGGGGACCGATTTCGCGGTAGCAAACAGAGACGCCGCGCGAAGAATGGTGCCGTCGCCGCCGAGGGTGGTGGTGAGGTCGACTTTTTCCTCGTAGGCGGAGTTGCCTTGGCCATTGTGGACGGCATGGACCGGGAATGGGAGGGATTCGTGGATCTCGTTGGCGACGTAGGGCTCGAAGATGAGGGAGGAGCCTGGGTAGACGGTGTGGATGTGGTTGGCGTATTCGATCAAGGCTCGGTTGACTTCGGCATCGTCGTCTTTGCGGACGAGGAGGATGTTGCGTGGCGGCGAAGGCCACTGGAGCGCGAGGAGCTCATTGCTGCTTGTCTCTGGTCGATGGTCAGTGAAATTGTTTGGACACGGCGATTAATTGCCTTGCGTACCCTGGAACTTGGGATGGACACGAGACGGCAGCTCTGCGATGTCCTTGACTTGGCGTCGAAGCGCCGAGGAAGTGAAGCATCTCCGCGAGACAGAGTACGGTGAGGGTGGCGGTGGTGGTGTTGGTACATGTGGTGTGCTCCTGCTCCTGAAGCATTTCCAGACGAATCTCATCGTTCCATCATCGCCCACAATCAAGTTCCACTCTCGGACGTCGCGTGAGGTTGGCGAGGCGAGGCGAGGCGAGGAACTACCCGCATATCGGTATACCGAAAGCAGTTTGATTACATAATCACCACGTAGCAAACACACACCTGGAATAACACAACACACAACACGAAAATAAAAACGAATATCTGCCTATCGCACACAGCCCTTTTTTCTTCCGATCCCCAAGTAGCACCTCCCCCAATGAGAGACCCCCCCCCATTATCGGCCACCACCTTGCCAGTAGATAACCCCCCCACCCAGAAGCTACCCTCTCGAATACCGGCTCTCTCGCGCTGTGCCGTCTCTCCTCTCCCTCTCCCTCCCCTCCCCTCCTATTCTATCCGTGAAAAGAAACCCCCCCCCCCCCCCGCCTCCCTTTGTTCCTCTGCCGGGAATGGTACAAACACAGCGCACACAATCTGACCAGCAGATGAAGTCCAAGATCCCCCCTCAGATCCACCCCACCGTCCCTTCCCTTCCCCTCCTGGTAGACACGACAGATTCCAATATGCTTTCGAAATAATTTGCTTTGTTGCCTTGCTTTGCTTCATGTTGTTGTTGTTGATGATGACGATGATGTTCCTTCTTGCCGATGATGCCCTGTTCGACCGGGACGCCTCGCTAATACCATCATCTACCGTGTCGAGAGAATCGCTGCACGCTCCATTCTGATTTCCGCCCCAGCGCCATCGCTTAACCCCCGCAACCTATACCCATATGTTCTCCTTATCTTTGTTACAATCTGCATACCACCCCTCCCTCCATGGAGCGATCCCACACCACTCCTCGTCATCTTGCAAGCAGAACTACTGCGGGCTCTTGGCGCCCGCCTGACCATTGCGGCGGTTGTCACCCTCGTTGATGCCAAGTTGACCCATGCCGCTAGACAGGAACGAGAAGGGATCGCCAGCGCCGTCGTTGCCGTAACCGGCTGGTTGACCGTAAGTGCCGTTCGAGTATGGCCCGGCGCCAGCTTGCGCGGACGGGTTGCCCTGGTTGAACGCCTGCTCCGTGCGGCTGTCGAATCCACCACCCTGAGACTGCATGCCACCGTTGCTTGCCATCTGAGAGTATCCTCCGGCCATGTATGGGCTTGGTGCGGCAATGCCAGAGGGAAGTGCGTACGATGATGGTGGTCCGAAGGATTGTCCGCTGAATCCACCTGGTGGCCCAGCCATGCCGCTACCACCATATGCCGAGCTGGGTTGCTGCATACCCCCGTAAGACCCGGAATCCATTGATTGCATGGGAGGCATGTTGGGTGGTCCGCCGTACTGGTTTCCAGGGAAGCTTGTCATGCCGCTTTCGGCAACGACGGCGGCGTTGTTTCGTGACGCTCCGCATCGCAAGCAAGAAACATTCTTGGCAAAGTTATGGTACCCGCAGCCTTCATTTCCGCATTTCCAATCACCTGCACGGAATGGTACGATGCCTCCACGGCCGCTGGATCCGCCCATACCACCGCCCATACCGCCATAGCCTCCGCCGTGCATGTGTCCGCCCATCATGCCCGGATGGCCGTAGCCTGCACCTCCGTAGGGACCTGGCTGCATTCCGTAAGGCTGGCTGTAGGGATCGGGACCAGACGCACCCATGGCGGGGAACGAGCAGCGGAAGCATGCCGTCCTGCGCTGGAAGTTGGAGAATCCGCAGCTGGGGCAGGTCCAATCACCCGGACGTGGGCGATTCTTTGACGGCGGGAATGGCGTGAGGAGAGGTGGACCACCAGGGGGTTGCGAGTGCGCCGCTCTGTCCAGAACACGACTTGACGATGGGGCGACCTCAATTGCTCTGTCGTTCAGAGCGCGGCCGTTCATGCTGAGCGATTCAGCAGCCTGGAATGGATACCTGTTAGCACTGTATCTCGGCGTGCCATAATCTTCGCGACGACCACGGCTGTAAGCCATGATGGTGCGAAGCGAATGGTGTGTTGGTGATGGAGGGTGTGGGGGATGGTTGATGGTGTGGCGTGGGATGCGACGAGAGCAAAACGCCGATGTGGTGTTGATGGTTGTTTAATTAGTGTGAAAGCTGAGGAGATCTCAAATTTACGCCGCTCTAGGTGAAATTGAGCCGGCAGTGGATCAGTTGATCATCTGACGTCAGATGCTCAGGCCTCAGCTTTCACAAGCGACTCGGTCGCGTCGCGAGTGCGAATTATGAAAATGTGGGATTGCGGGTGAGGAAAAGCTGCATATCAAGGGGAGTGCACTCACCTCTTCGTGACTGCCAAAAACGACGAAGCCGCTTCCGCTCGGCTTTCCACCTTCCGGTGTACGCAGGGTCCAGAATGCGATGGGACGGCCGCCGTACTGGGTGAACCAGCTCTCCAGTTCACTCTGAGTGGTGTCGTGAGGCAGGCCGCTGAGGTGGAGAACCTTACTCCGCTCTCCCAGGAAAGCACGAACGTCACTACGGGCGTCCAATGGGCGAGCGAGGACGTCCGGGGTACCCGGCGGATTGGCCTGCGAAGGGCGTGATTTTTTGATGAGCGAGATCAAGCAGCGAGTCAGAGTAAGAGACTCCTCTAGGGCACGGCGGGGAGAGGAGGGAGCCAATGCTTGGAGGTGGAAGGGAAGACCGCCAGTGACTTTGCCAGATGAGCGAACCTCTTCGACTTCCAGACCAGCGCAGATGGACGACAGGGTTGATGAGCTAAAGGCCAGAGTCTCGGGATGGTGGGACTGGAAGGTCTGGTACTCTCCGCGGAGGCCAAACAGGACGGGGTGTTGAAGGTATGGAGGGAGGACCACGTTCTTGTCACGCGCTTCACGTGGCAGTTGGACGCGCAAATCCCAGGGGGTGAGGGTCACAAAGGCAAACGTGGGCTGGGCGCCAGCACCGTCCTTGGGGACCAGATGCTCGGCGGCGTAGTTGTCAAAGGTAGTGATGGCGTCGCGGAAGGAACCAGCGTTCTTGACATGCTCCCAGGTCAGGGTGGTGAGAGAGGTGCATAGGGGGGTAATGGGGGTATTGAGGGGACGAACGAGCACGGACTGGCGGTGCAACTGTAATGTCGTTTCATTAGCATGCTGGTCCGAGCTGGGACTATTCTCGCGAGTGTTTCGTTTCACAGACACGGCGGCAGCGATTGCACCCAGCAGTCGGCGGCTGAAACTGACGTACCTCTCGTTCGGGGTTCTGGGCATCGACCACGACCCAGCCGATCTCAATGACTTCGGCACTGTCCTTGGTCACGTAGACGCCATGCTCGTCACACGTTGTCGCGATGTGGATGATGCAGTACTTCTCGAACTGGGGCGCGGCGGGCTGCTGCTGCTGCTGCTGCTGCTGCTGCTGCTGTTGCTGCTGCTGCTGGGGCAGATAGGGAGCGGAGGTGGAGATGGAGCCCTCTCTGCCCGACGGGAAGGTGGAAGGGGGCGCGGCAGGAGCACCGCTCTGGGAGGCGGGCGTGGGATAGCTGCCGGTGCCATATGGCTGCGGTTGGGTGGGAGTGGCCATGTTTGGATATCTGGACAGGCGTGTGTGTCTCTCTCTCTCTTTCTTTTTTTCTCCCTTCTGCCTTCTGGCTCCCGGTACGAGCTTCTTGTTGCGGAGGTAGCTAAGCTCCACTGTTTCCCTCGACTGCGAAGACCGGACCCGAACGCCAAACGCCTGGATGCGGAATACTGGAGGGGAGGAGATGGAGGTGGAGTGCTTGGCGGCGGGATAGGGCGTCGAGGACGGCGAGGTGTGTGTGTGTCGGGCAGCGGGCAGGCAGCGGGAGAGCAGCGGGAGAGCAGCGGCAGACTCGAGGCTAAGGGGAGCTGCGGCGATGACTCGGTGGAGAGCTGTCTGTACGCGGAGCTGCGAGCACGCGGTCACTTAGCGTCGGTCGTATCGCACCGCGTCGCAGCAATCCAGCGCGGCGATGCAGCAATCAGATATGATGTGATGTGATGTGTGCAGCAGCCGCAATCGATGGAAGGGGGAGGGCGGGCAGAGGGGCAGCAACACGGCCGGCGATGTCGTTGTCGTGGACGTGGGCGGTGTCGTGGGCGTGGTCGTCGCCGGTACAGTAGTGGTATGTAGTAGTAAGGTAGGTAGTATGGGATTCACAGCTGCTCTGTCTCTGACGACTGACCGGAGGTGGACGGCAGTCGAGCACAGAGTAGGATAGGACTGACTACTCACAGCACACAGCTGGCCTCGCCTCGGAAGGCAGTGCGAATTGGGTTCGGATCTAAATAGGGATGAAACGAGCCAGCGGCCCGGTCAGGCGATATCACCGGAACTTCCTCTCATTCCTCTCATTCCTCTTCGGCGCCCCCTGAGGCCACCTCTTCAACATCAATATTATCATTATTATCATTATTATTTTTATTATCATTATTATTATTATTCTACATGTACGCTTACAGCTGCTTACCGTCAATTATTGTGGCAGTTTACATCACCGCGGCTGAGGCTACACGACCTGCTGCCATCAGCTTTCACGGTGAAAGAGCGCGCGATAGGATGCTGGTAAGACCATCTCCCACATCCCATGCCTTGACCCCGCCCCCCCCCCCTTCCCTTCAAGTTCATCACTGCACTACACTTCTCCACTCCTGTCAACGCATCCACTTCTCCTAAATGAGGCCGTGTTTCGGAAACGTTAAGGTATCCGCCTGCAAGAGCCCCGCTTCCCTTCGAGCCGACGTCTGCCCAGCGCTCCCACCACCACCATCACCACCATCACCACCAACACCACCAACATCATCAATACCACCAACACCGCCACCGCCACCACCATTACCAGCACCACCTCCAACAGACCCAGAACCAGTCGCTACTCTCCGCTGCAAGTCGCCGAGTGCCGGCAGGGCAGCCTGCCGTGAGCCCTCGGGACATGTACATGTCCCTCTTCTTCACACGACCACGTTGCACAGCAAAGCGGGCAAGCATGCGACCACCATGCGAGTGCCACCCGTGCCACGCTCGTGTGAGCCGACGTCGCACGACTTCTGCACGTCGATAGAACAAGCGTAGGGCTCTCCTCTGCCTCCGCAGCCAACTTAGCGAAGGGTGGTCGCCGCCGAGTGGCCGCGTTCAGCAGGCTCTCACGGAACCACAGCGTGATGGTACCTGCGCTGGGCGTCGTCGTGCTCGACCTTCGATTGGAACAACACGCTTCCGAAGACAATGACAATTACTCTCCGCGCATCCATGGCGCGGTCCCCATCCCGTGCCGTCGCTCAGAGGCCGCCGTTGCCCTGCGCCTCGCCGAATCGTCGGCCATACATGCCCAGCGCCTTGATCGGGAAGATGAACTTGTAGTTGGGATAGGAGATCGTGCTGTGTGGCCCTGCGTCAGCGATGGCGAGCTGATAGACGACCGCGTGCCAGCAAAAGGAGAGAGTCTTACCAACTCTTGTTGAACACGCCTTCGATGCCTTCCTGCAACCATTCGCCGTTCGCCTGCTGCCTGTGCATCAGAAGCCGGATCGCGCGCTCGATCGGCTCCCGCTGAGGGAACCCCGCCTCCAACAGTGCGATGATAACCTGTCAACAGTCAGCCACGCGCCACCGCGACGCGACAGTGCACAATCTCTTACCCAGGCTGTCTGTACAACTTGCGAGCCGTCTGGATGTGGACACCAGGTGCCCGTCTCACAGCTCTTGTACGATTCGCCCCATCCGCCGTCCTGCCTCTGCCGCTCTAGGAAGAACTTGCAGGCTCGCCTGACCCTCTCGCTATTCTCGTGCGTTTCACCTTGCGTAGCCAGGCTTTCCAGCGCGAACATGCCCGCGTACGTGAAGCAGATGGCCCAGCTGCCGTACCAAGATCCATCCGACCTTTGGTTGGTCCGGATCCATTGTACGGCTCGGCTCGTGAACCTCTTGATATCCTCAGCACGATACTCCGGATAGTGCTTGTTGAACAACGTGAGCGTCGTGACGCACGCAGTCGTGCATTCGGGGTAATCGTACTCGATCATGATTCGACCAAAGACTTCCGCAGCGTTCAGGTACTCCAGCTTCTCGCTGCCTCGGGTCGGTTCGTAGGAACTGCATGCGCCTGAACCGTTTTGCATCGTCAACAGAATGTCAACAGCCCACTTCAATCGCTGCTCGTCGAGGAGAGCAGGATACAAGCTCTGCTCCGGATTCTTGGGATCCCGTATGGTCTGCAGCATGAGGACCGATTTTAGGGCTTCGGCCGTGCAGTCAGAGACGGTGTATCCCTGCATGCGGTTGCTGAATCCCCAGGCGCCGCGACGCACATGACGGTAGCCAATCTCTGGCGACGTCTGTCTCGTGGGCGGATCTGAGTATATCGAGGATCCCACGTAACCAACAGGGTGGTCGAGGATCTGGTTGTCTTCGAGAAACTCGAGAGCCTTATTCAAAGTCTTCATGTGTTCCGGTTCCGTAGCAAAGCCAGACTCCACGACGGCCTGAATGGTGAAGGATGTGTCCCAGTTCTGAACTCCGTTGGTACCGCAGCACATCATGCCGTCTTTCGACACCCACAGATAATCCGGTAGCGCCTCTCTGTGCTTTTGTACGGATTCTGCGTCCGCGCCTTCTTGGATATAGCAACAGAGCATATTCATGGGAGCGTTCACAGGTGCAAGACACGCATGGTCAGTGTTGGTGTTTTCAATCTGGATCAGTTTCCAAGCCCACGCCTCGGCCTTTCGAATCAGACTAGGTCCTCGTAGAAAAGGCATCCAGACGGTTACCAGGAGGAAGTTGATGAGGTTGAGGATCCAACTCTTTGGGTGGTAATTGTCGGACGAGCTGATATCATTCCGATGCTGAGCGAACGTAATCTCTGCATACGGCTTGGTGAACAGCTCCGTCCTCAGCTGTCGAATAAGGGGATCCGAGTCTGCCTTCGGATACGACCATTGCTTCGACCACACGAAACTCATAGGTAGAAAGACCTGGCGCATATGGATCCACCACCTCCAAGGCGAAATTGGTACCCAGTCCGGGAGCAGCCAGAGCTCAGGCGGTACTGGGTTGACAATATCCCACTTCATGACACCGAGGACAGAGAGCCAGAATTTGGCCCAGTGTGGTCCATTCGTCGCTCCGCCAAGTTTATGAAGGCATCTTCTCGCTTCAATCATCCGCGGGTCCTCGGCCGGGACTCCCAGTAACCGAAGGGTGGTGTAGTTCATGGCAGTGCCAAAAACAGACGAGTCGGCTTCAATGTGTAAGCCCCAACCGCCATCGCCACCATTCTTGTTCCCGACATTCTGCATGTTGAAGATGTATCGGATAATCTCCAGCTGTTCGGGTTGGGACAGAGGCATGTTGGTAACGTACAGCGTGATGACCAGGCCAGGAAGCAAGAACATGGGCCCGCCATACTCGCAACCCCAGTTTCCAGGCTCGAGCTGCAGCTGTTCGTAGAATTTGAGGCCATTTTCAGCTGCCTGCAAGGGAGTCTCTGCTTTCGTCAGATTCGGCAAGTCCTAAAGCGTTTGCAAATCAGCACCACTCGTGCTCGGCGTACGATTTCGTGCATTATGATCCCTACCGTTTCCAATCCTAAGAAATATTTATCGGCCGTGGTCATGGGCCATTGTTTCAATTGTTCATCGGTCTGGAGATAGTGCCACGTATGTCGCCCTCTGTCGTTTCGTAGTCGCCATCTGGTGATATCTGTCTTCGCGTGGTTGAAGTTGCTGATGGGCTGCTGCCCTGGTTCAGGGGAGCCAGGTACGCGCTTTCGGATGGCCATCTCGGGAGTGGAGTCTGGATTCAGGCACTTGTTACCTGACAAATCATTGGGAGGCGTCGTGCCCTATATTTACAGTACTCTGGCGCGGACGGCTGGCGGCGGAACTCGTACGATTGAGGGCTTCGTGAACGGGGGCACAGGGGCGTTGGAGAATTAGACTTCGAGCCAGGCATCAACTTTGCGAGCCTAAGTCAGATCCGAGAGCCTCGTCAAATTCTCTTCCATGACATCCAGGCGCACATTTGCATGAGTTTCGCCTTACAACAATCCAGCAACATCACCATGCACTCGACCAGTGCACCTGCTCTCACGTTCGACGAGATCGATGACCTTCTGTACTTCACCCGCGCGAACGAGGCACAGGATCTTCAACAGACAACCACGGAATTGGCGCAAAAGTACCAATGCACACCCAGGGATGTCTTAGAAGCTGCTCGTGATCCAGAGAATGGAAACACCGTACTGCATTACTGCTCAGCGAATGGTTTGGCAGAGCTGCTACCAATGTTGTTGAGCAAGCTGGGTGAGTCTGGGAATGCGACGAGTGCAAATGGAGATGCACCGTCTTCCAAGTTCGTCAACCACGCGAACAAGGAAGGCAATACGCCCCTCCACTGGGCAGCGTACAATGGACATCTGGCGGTGGTCAAGCTGTTGGTGGCAGCTGGAGCGGACATGTGGGTCAAGAATGGGGCAGGACATTTGGCGATGTTCGAGGCGGAAAGAGCGGACAAGAACGACGTGGTGCAATATCTACTCGAGGCTGGTGGAAAGGAAGTTGAGCAGGCTGGCTCAGAGGGACAGCCGTCAGCGGAGGACGTTGTGGAGGTGCAAGAGGGAGAGGCTAGCAGCAGTGCACAGGCAGAGTGTCGTGTGGAAATCGACATGAACGGCACCAGCTCGAATGGCTGAGCTCAGAGACCATTGTCGGGTTCGGAAAAGTTAAGAAACGGTCTTGAATTAGGCCACGAATGAACGGAACGCAGGACGACGACACTGGGTCTACTTTTGGTCCTGCCTCTGCCGCTATGTGAAAGCTGCCGATGAGGGCTCAAGACTTTTAAAAGCCACTACAGCATCAGGAACCCAAGCAGTATATGGGAAACCTGGAAGATATCAACCTCACCTGGTGTCTCGCGAGAGGGCGCTACGATGCATTGTGGATATAGTACTTGGAGATGTCCAATCAATAGTTGGCGAGGGCTTCTATGGTCAGTAGATACGGGTCAGATCGTCTCGTCTCAAGGGCCTGAACACACTGATTGTCTTCGGCCTTGAGCCTTGTACTCATTTGAAGGATGATAGCCGGGGAGGCCATGATTTGGACCGTGTTTCACCGTCTTGAAGAATTGCAAATGTGTTTTATTTCTTATACACGCTTCACCGAATATGCCGATGGGTCGGATGCTTAGAACGCGTCGGCCCGAAAGTGACATCAGATGCCGAGTCCGGAGCGAGATCGACATTTCTAAGCAAATAAATCGACTTCCTCTTCTCATCATTTCTGATGAGAGACATGTTCGCCTGACACCGAAAAAGCAGTCATGTCTCTCCAGAACGTCAAACACATCACGCTCGTGCTGTCGGGCAAAGGCGGCGTGGGCAAATCCAGCGTCACAACCCAACTCGCGTTATCGCTCTCGCTGCAAGGCCATTCAGTCGGCGTACTCGATGTCGACCTCACTGGACCTTCGATTCCGCGCTTCTTCGGTATCGAGTCCTCGAAAGTTACGCAAGCACCGGGAGGATGGCTCCCCGTGCCGGTTCATGAAGAGCAAGCAAATGGCGAACAAAAGATTGGAAAACTGAGCTGCATGTCCTTGGGCTTTCTGCTGGCAAGCAGAGGAGACGCAGTAGTGTGGCGTGGACCCAAAAAGACGGCTATGGTCAGGCAGTTCCTATCGGATGTACAGTGGGGCCCGCTGGAATATTTGTTGATCGACACGCCGCCCGGGACAAGCGATGAGCATATCTCACTGGTCGAGACGCTGTTGAAGAATGCTACGCCTGAACAGTTAGCGGGCGCGGTTGTTGTCACCACGCCACAAGCGATCAGCATCAGCGATGTTAAGAAGGAAATCAACTTCTGTAAGAAGACGGGTGTCAAGGTGCTTGGCGTTATCGAGAACATGGCCGGCTTCGTATGCCCGAACTGCTCGGAGTGCACGAATGTCTTCTCAAAAGGCGGTGGTCAAGCTATGGCTCAAGAGTTCTCGGTGCCATTCCTTGGAAGCGTGCCAATCGATCCTATGTTCATCCGACTCATCGAAGAGGGCAAGCGACCAGTGTACCCGGAAGGGACCATCATCGAAGGCCAGGACATGCAAGCCAAGAACAACGAAAACGACATCGAAGGATTGCTGGTTGAAAAGTACGATTCATGCTCTCTCAGTCCTATCTTCAAAGGCATCACCAAGGAAATCACTACAGGAATTGAGCCGTGATAACTACACTCTCCAAGGGTCCGCAGATGCAAAGCCGCTCTTTCCGCAGGATCCCAACGCAAGTCAATCCACCGTGGAGTCAAACGGTGCCAAAATACCGGTGGTAGCCACGACGATAACCCAAAATTCCAGCGCCATGCACCACCAACGCCGTATCAGCAAGAACGCTGTGAGGGAGATCCAATTTTAGAGGCCAATCCCGCCTCCCCCCAAGCAAACAGCCCCTGCCACACACGCTGCTCTTGTCGTAGCTGTCGGACAGGCCTGCAGTACATTGTTCACCAATGCTCCGCAGTTGGTGGTGGCCGCAGCTGTTGCCGTGTACAAAGGCGTGCCAGATGTTGTCCAAGTCACCCGAGTCATGGTGGATAGTGTCGACGGTGTGGCGTAAGCGACAGTTGTTCTGCTACCCACCAAGGTGCTAGTCAGAGCTACCGTCGGGCAGACCAAACCACCCAAAAATCTCGTGCTGCAGGAAGTCACCGTCTCTGTAGTAATGAGAGTCGTCACGGGCACGACAATCGTTGTGAGCGCACGGCTACTGCTGGTGGAAGAGGTAGCTGCCGCTCCGCCGCTGTTGCCGCCAAGCCCGCCAACAACGCCTCCCACGCCTGCAAGTACGCTGGATGCACCAGCACCAACACCGACAACTACGCTCGCCAGTGGACTTGCAGTAGTGACAGAGCCGCTCCCGCCAGTGGCAGTCGCACCTGATCCCGCACCATTCAGAAGTGACGAAAGGCCGTTGCCGACGCCCCCAAGGACAGAAGAACTAGCGGCGCCGACTACGGAACTCAGAGGAACACTGGAAATTGTTGTCGCAGGAATGTTGTTGATCGCCGAAATGGGTCGAGAGGTGACAATAGTCGGCACTGAGGCAGGGGTGCTAGTTGAAGTAACCGGGACGCCGAAGGCATTGACGAAGACAAGCCGCTTGACCACCAGGATGACGGTGTCTGCAGTGTTGGACGCGCCACCCGTGGGGCCCAGGCTGCTGATGAGCGTACACGTATCGCCGTCCTGGTTGACAGCAAGACATCCCGGCGTCCTTGAGCAGAGAGAACTGCAACCGATGATCTGATCGCTGTCTGCACGCCTGGCGAGTTCTCGCTCTTCCAGAGTAAGACCCTGATCCAGAAGATCCACGCTCCTCTTCGAGATACTTGTCGAGGTGAGATTGGTGCTATCAGGGAAAGAGTAGTTGCACATAATCTTGTAGTCAGAACCCCAGCTGTCAATGTAGAAAGCTCCGCTCGCATTTGGACAACTGAGATCCACGGGCGCCGCTCCGTCGTATGTCTGGTCGGGTGTTCCGCTTCCCACTGCGGATTTGTAGGAGCAAGTATAGCTGGATGGCTGATAGGTGACGCCTGTGCAGCCCGGCACATCAGCGCACGAGTTCACACAGGTTTCGAGATTAGTCTGTAGGGCCGTAGAGACCGTGTAGCCTGGGAAATTTACGCTGCACTGGATCCGGAAGGGATCACCGGCTGGCGACACATACGTGAGACCATTGTCGTTGGGGCAAGAAAACACGGGGATAGATGTTGCGGTAGGAATGGTAATGATGCCCGATGATGAAGTTGGGGTAGACCCTCGGCTTTCGGGGAGCAGATTGGTTAGAGGATTTCCGTGGGTTGTTGGGGAAAGATCTCCGCCTGTGACGCTGGGGAGGTTGATGATTGAGGGCACTGAGACCAGCGTCGATAGACCTCCGAGATTGCCGAGAGCGCTGGTCACTGCTCCGAGATTGCTGGACACGCCTGCTCCTAGAGCACTCGTCAGAAGACTGTTGATTGCGTTGGTTGGCGCCGGGGCGGGTGGGATTACGGTGGTGAGGCCATTGTTGAGGACGGTTGTCAAACCGGACAGTTCGCCGACTGCCGCGGAAAGGACACTAGAGATGCGTGGAACGACGTTCGATGGCAAGGAGGGTGATGGAAAAATGCTCAGGGATGGATTCGGTAGCACTGTTGTCAAGCCTCCGACGACTGTCGTCAAATCTCCCAAATTGGGAAGGCTCAAGGACGGGATACTGAGTGGCAGTGGTGGAATCGGTATGACCGTGGGCAAGCCTCCAATCACTGATGTCAAGCCCGCAATCTCGCTGGAAAGGCCTCCAGCGACGTTTGGAAGGCTTGGCGTTGCTGTTGGGATGAGATTTGTGGGTACAAGGTTCGATGGTGTTAAGGTCGAGAGCTGCGTCAGGTCTGAGATGACAAGACTCACACCGTTCGGGAGAATAGTCGTGAGCGGTAAGTTGGTGGGCAAAGCGCCAGTTTCTCCAGCCAGAATTGAGGATACCTCTCCAGGAAGCTGTGTCGACTGAGGCAACACGCCCGTTAGAGCGTTTAAGTCAGAGCTGACCCCATTGAGAAGAGACGAGATGAAGATCGGAAGGTCGCTGGTGATGGGGAGATTCGTAGGCAGGGCTGCTGAGACTCCAGCCAGAATCGAAGAAACGGCTCCTGGGATTTGGGTCGTGATTGAAAGATCCGTCGGCAGAGCTGCAGATACTTCGGCGAGCAGAGAGGATACGGCTCCTGGGAGCCGGGTAGTTTGTGGGACCACAGTCGACAGCTGGTTTAGATCCGAGATGATGGCAGAGACTCCATTTGGTAGGACGGTCGTCAGTGGTGCGAGCAGACTTGAGACCTCCCCGGGCAGTTGAGTTGCGCCGCCAGCAAGTGAGGAGATGGCATTTGGCAGATCTGTGGTCAGAGGAATGTTCGACACGCTAGCAGCGGGTGGGAGCAAAGTCGTCAGGGCCGCCAGGTCACTCGCAAGCGTAGGCAGCGCACTACCACCTCCAGCGATATAGTTGAGCAGCCGGACTGCAGCGATAAAGCGGTTGGCAGAGAAGGTACCACCGCTTGAGCCGGCAGTAGCAGTGGACGAACCACTGCCACTTACGTCCGAGAGGGCTTGGAGAACTGAATTCTGGAGGTAGCATGTTCCCGCACCCTCTCCGTCCGCTACGCCCTCGTAGTAGAAACCGGTACAATAGCCGGCACCGCCATCTGTACTGCTCTGATCGCAATGCAAGAAGCAATCGTTGAAAGAGTCTGCAGCAAGCACTTGTGCGTATGTATTTCCAACTGCCGTGGCACTACACCGGAGGACGTAGGGTAGTTGATTCTCGATGATAACCGTGAGGTCATCTTCAGGACAAGCATAGGACACCGGAGTGCCAGAAGGCAGAGGTATCGTGGGCACGCTAGCTGACAGCGGCAGCGTAATGGTCGGAAGATCCAATGCACCGGACGGGAGGAGCGACTGCAGCGGCGGAATTGTAGACAGTACGGATATCGCAGGGGGTGACAGGCTTGGGAGTTGTGTGGGCACACTGATCCCGAGAGATATGGTGGGAAGAGCAACCGGGTTACTGAGTGTCGGTAGAGATGGCCAGATATTTGTGGGAATCGACAATAAGCTGCCACTGTAGTCCGACGGTAGCAAGGTAACAGTCACAGTGTCGAGACAAGCAGCTGATAGGATAGTCAGTGGAGGTCTTGCAACGCAGTTCGCTGGGACATACTCAAACCTGCCAAGCCTGGACCCGCCCCGACGCCAACACCAACACTGCCGGGTCCAGCTTGGGCAAGCCCAGCGAAGAGAGAAAAGAGGCCAAGGGCATTCATCTCCAAGGCAAGGTCCTGATGAAGGCCCCTCGGGCTGACTGCGCAAGGCCGAAAAGAGACAAGACAATTGGTCCGTGAGAAGGGCGTTGCGGTGGTGATGCGAGCCAGAGGTGCTGCTGGGTGATTTCCTACGCAACGCGGGCATTATGAACGCGGTCGTGTAAAATTTGTTTGTGATGGTGTTCGACGAAGGTATGGCATGAGAGCAACAACAAACATCATCGGCGCCGTCTAATCAGAGCCAATTCACTGCCAGCGCCCAAAGAACCCACCTGCAACAGGACTCATCAGCATATACGAAACCACCTTGCGTAGCCGCGAAGAACGGTGCCCTCATTTTTCAGGCTGATGGTGGTGGTGGTACTGCATAGTTGTTGGAGCTCACAAGGAACGAGCAGGCTGCAACGAAGCATTGGTCCATGTCGGGTATGAGCGAAGAGTGGTCGCGCAACATGCGGTACTCTCCGCCGGATCACCGATATTGCCGGCCAGATCTGTTCCAACAGGCTCGGGCACAGCCTCGGAATGTGCACGATTTCAAAGTCCAGGACTCTAGGCTTTTGAGATACGGCTCTTCATATTTAGACTCGTATGAAGCGTGATCGGTGGAGGACAGTGATTGCAACAGGAGTATGCAGATAGGTCTGGAGCTCGTGGCTGGCCTTCCAAGCACGGAGTCAATGTGCACATGTAGCCAACTGAAAGTAGTCGAGACTGGTGCTGAGCCAGTCTCGCTCAGAACACCGGCACGTGAAGAGGTGAAGTCGGTCGCGATCGGCATGCCGTGCAATCGCACATTCCGGTCCGGTTTTTGCTAGGAATTCGGAGGCATGCGTGCCGTAACATCGGCTAGTCGTTTCGGAGCTGAGAAGGTCGCACTCGCAAGTTATTGCGAGCTTGGAATGGGCCCTTTGAGTATGATCCTTATGGCAATGGAATTTCCTACGTCTTTCCGGGTCGTCGATTCTGCGTCAAAGTCCAACTTCGGGGGGTGCATGCGATCGTGGATAGTTTGGCTGTACATTCCACGGCAAAAGCTCTTCTCGCCGTCGTCTCGATTGCTTATCTTTTCGTGAGCCCAGCCAAAACGATCCTTGGACTTCGTTGGTCAGCGCTAGATACGCCCTGCAACAACCTCGGCTTTCGAACAGGCGTACTTCCGCAAAACTGTCGCAGAGTTCGCAGCACCTTGATTTCCACGCAAAGCTCCAAGGGTTGTCAAAAAAATCACGCTCATTGAAGGATTTGAACCAACGTCTTCGGCGAGCGTTGCGCGATTGCGAAGACGAGCCGAACTGTGGTTTGTAGTCAGCAGTGTGTTCAGCGGAAGCACCGGAATCGCTGGCTTTGCTCACATCATAACCACTGCAGGTCGTTAGCAATCATGTCTACTACATCCGCATCACCCACTGTACCTAGACCAAACGAGCTTGTGATAGGTCGGTTGCTACGCTTTCCGAACTTTGGCGACTGACGGCTTATTTACGCTTATATAGCTTCAACCGGCTCCGTTCGACGCGACCCCGTTCGCGCACATTCGGTCGCCACTAACAAGAACGCATCCAAAAAAGCCAGTCGATACATCTGAAGTTGTGTCTCTCGATGAGAAGTTATGAGTCGTTCCACCCTCTTCCTCGGTCATCAGCGTCAACGACCGCGTTTTCGTCGGCGTCGCCTGGGATGTTTCCTCGATACACCCAGAATTGTAGGAAGACACCAAAGTCCAGGAAAAGGGTCCCAAGGCTTCCAATCAACCAGCTCAGGTTGACAAGAATATAGCGGCCGTATATAGCGCCGGCTTCTCCGGGTTTGCAGCTGCTCTCGCGCCAGTGGCCTCGCGTATGGCGACTGCAAATAGGCTCAAAGGCGAATATCGAGAGCACGTAGGTAAGGTTGCCAATGCAAGCAAAAAGGAAGAAAAGAGCATTAAGGCCTTCCGTGGACTTCCTCCTGTAATTGAGCAGTAGCTGGGGCACTCGACTCCCGAGGTACAACACGGCGCAAATGTAGCCAAAGATCTGACCCCAGAGGCTGAAATTTAGCGAATCTGCTTGTTCTTTTGCTGCAGACCTTCCATTCTTGGCCTCTGGAGCAGGAGGACTCAGATAGTAACCCGCAACGCCAGCGAGGATGACCAGGATAACTGCGGTGCTGTTGAAAAGGATTGCTTGAGTCCAGCTGCGCGGCTGATGAGGCTTGAGAGCTTCTGTATCAGCAGCATTGCTTGGCTGTGGGTGAATGGGTAGCGCTGGAGAGAGATGAGTCGTGTCCAGACTGGCAAGGCGCTCCCGGAAGGAAGATCCAGAGCGATGGCGCCCGTTTGGCTCGACAGCAGCCGCATTCGGTGGTCGGGGGGATTCGGAATGGCCATTCGCGATTAGTGGAGAGCGTTCTGTGGGTGCATCAGACCCGGTGTCCGGCTTCTTATCCGGCCTAGGATCTCGCAGACGAAAACCCTTGTAGTAGAAGTACTGCCCGAGCAAGACGATATCCGCGAATGTGTAGTAGATGGCGAGTATGATCATAGTAGCAAGAACGCCCTGCAGTACGGCTCCTAGGATATTGAATACATCTGGAAGAGATTTTAGTGGAAGAACGACAACACATTGCAAGAGAGACTTACCTCCTAGTAGCCAAATGATGATAAATTCGACACTCAGTCCCTCTGCCGATGATCGTCGAAAGTTCTCAATGATTTGCGGCGAGAAGACAACAACCCAGCAGGCAATGGATATCGATCCACATATTCCAGATATGGCTTCGATGTCAACCTGATAGCTGCCTGATGGCGGGAACATGGTGGAGCGATTTTACGCGCGAGAGGAGGTCCAGTGGCGTGGTCCAATCTCTTTGTGGACAATTGTGAGACCGACCGGAGATTTCGATGACGATTATGGTGAGATTCAGTCTTGAGACACAGGTACCGTGTTTATGGTATGAACTGTCTGAACGGTATAAGTCCGAAGTCGTGTCGAAGGCTGGTAAAATTCCAAGCTGTGATGACTTTCCGCATTGGCACCATGTACACTAGCGTAAACTCTACTTGAGCCGCATCATCAGGCCAGGGGAATGTCTTGGCACTTCCAGGGCCCTGGTCGGAGCATCGACTTCCTCTCATCCAACCTCTACACATACAACCTGCACGTTCGACCCGTACCGATTCTTACCAGTCCCAAACCCGCGAAAGACGACTGCGCTTCTGTTAATCTCGCCGATGATGCGCCGTCTCGGTACGAACGTCCCTCGGCGCAGTACGCCCCACGAGTCCCGATGCGAAGAAAGGAGCAGCAGGCCATATCTATCTAGCGTTGGTGAATGGAAGGGCGCATAGACGGACGACTGAATGTGCAACACATCAAGCTCGACTACGTGGCCTTGGAATATGGTGCACCCCGGAGATGTTTGTCGAAGCTCGAAACGGCTGAGGTTTCTCATGCACTGTTCAACGTTTCACGACGTGCAGCCTGCAAGCCGCATGATTCCAGCTCGCGTTCATGCTTCCAGCCACGCAGTTGCACTACTCAGTACATGCGCGACAACTGCTTTAATATCGCCGCCTTGATATTACCTGGTTTTTGAACGGTTTTAGAACCAGTGTTGCAAGATTTGACATCCTTTGAACATTCTGTTGACTGTTCAACTCGGGTGGGTACTAAAAATACACGTTGACCGGGAGCCCGTTCCCACCGGTACTGTCGACGGCTCGACTCAACCGATCAAATAATGCCTCCCAATGACCACCAGTGCCGCGCTCGAAGTACATGCATAATACGCTCAACTTGTTTCATCTCAATGCATTCTTGGTTGTGTCCAACAGGAACATCTGTTTCTCAGCTATGAGGCTGTGGAGTCGACAGACTCATGGCTTGATTCGGGCGACAACGATAAGTGGCCGCCGCTCGAGTTCGCTGATCGCCGTCTCGACGATGCAGTTGCCACTTCGAATTGTTGCTTGGTATGTTGGTGCATAACCCTGGCAAAATGTCAACACAAGACCTTTCAGAGGATACTGGGCCAAGGCTTACTTTTGATACGAACTCCTAGCCTGCTCTGGGTTTGCAAGATCGTACTGAGATGCGAAATGATCTTGGACTGGGTGCTCCATGGCTTCGGTGGAGTAAACGCGTGCGTGAGATCCAGACATGGTGTTTGTGGTGTGGAGTGGATTGGTTTGGGTGGTGTACAGTTGTGGCAAGTGGTTTGTTGTGTTGATCGATGCTTGAGCTTGGTGTTGTGCAGCGAGATTAATACTGGGGAAGGATAGGGAATATATATATCAGAGCTTGTAAGGGCAGTCCTGTATACGAGCCAAACCTGCGGTGGTCGAATGAAAGGCGGACAACATGCGTCAGGGCCCATGGTTTCTAGACGGGATCAGCTGGCAATGATGTTGTCGCACCCTCCGGACGCACCAAGCACAGGACACCAGAGGTGCGGGCCGTTTGCGCTGGACCCTGCCAATGACGTTTGCGTGGTGGGAAGCAATTCGATTCGTTCGATACACTGAGCACACGGGAGCAGTCCGCATCGATCCCGCCCAATTTCCAGATGGAGCATGGGTGGCATCTTGGATCGGCACCCGAACTACGTCAAAGTGGAGCCCAGCTGGACCCCAGATTTGCCCTGCATATCAGGTTGCCCCAGCAGTAGTGAGTGGTGAGGTGAGTATGGCTCTTTCGCAGAAATTCCCTCGAACGATGACATGATGTTCGCGCCGCCACGAGAATAATGACTGTGGTCAGTGAGCGTGTGCTTGTCACAGACACTGACAGACTGAGTCGCATGTCTACGTTCTGGACGGTCTGGCGTCGTCCTTCGATGACTACGAGTCTACGACGACGTATTCTCTGGAGTCGAATGCGCCGACCAATCAATATGCTGGATATGCAAGGCGGCTTCTGCAGGTGCTCTTCCGATTGTTCGGCTGCGCGCCGTCCCCCCATGATAAGAACCTGTTGGGTTGGCAGTATGAGCTCAGGGCCCACTTTGTCAAATCCATCCAGTTGGATCCCCTTGCGCCCCTGGGGCCCCTTGGCATGCCGAGAGCTGCTTTCCGACAATACACGAAGCCTTCGAATACTCTCTTAGACATTCGGACTCAACAGTCTTTAGGCCTCGGGTGGGAGGTGTTGCCATCGCAGGCGCTTCCAAGACGTCCGGTTGCCGAGATGCGGACCACTTCAAGCCCGTGAATCAGCACTCGGAGGACCAAATTCGTGTTGTTTCACGTGAGATTGACTTCCATCGATGGTCCGAGACACGACCTGAGTCCCCGCGTGCCGACATTAGGGTTCACGGGACACGACAAGCTGAAGCACAAGCAAAGGCCGTCATCTTTCGTCATATCCTGCCAAGCGAGGGGTGTTCGCCACGAGGATGCAGCAGTGTCGATGCGGCTCAAGGCTGTCCTTTCACATGATCGACGATTCTGATGTCGAATTCTACATCCCCTTCTCCATTGTTCTCTTATCATTCCACACTGGACAAGACGCAGATGTGCAGGGGAGGGTACACGCTCACGAGAGAATCTGCGTCACGGTTTCTCAACCAAACTCGACCAAGGCCGGATGATATCACAGATATCACAAGCCCATGTTTCGGTTGTGGCTGGTCAACTGTCAACCTGCCAGCAAGGATGGTAGCACGGATGTATGCCTGTTGCCGATGATGACGACGCGAGGCCATTCTCGACGCCCGAACTGCAACAAGGACCGTTCTCCTAACAAAGCAAAGTTTCGAGACATCCCTCAGCGGTGTTTGGCGGAAGATGATGGGGAGTCCGTCTGCGGGCTCCTGTGCTGCTCGACCTCCGCCCCACGCTCCAGTATGTTGTAGTTGTTGCTTCTTCACACTTATCCCGCATCGACCACCAGTGCGTGACCCGGGCTGCACGGCGCGCAAGTGAGATCGTGACGAAGCGTCGTCATAGCAGATGGCAGAGGTAGCATGATATCATGCCTACCTCCAACCACTTGTCCTTCACATCTTGATCGGGGTGAGCATCGATGGAAACAGCTCCTTCTACTACACAGAGTCTGTGGAGTAGTCGCTGTAAATGTGATGTCCTGACTTAGGTCCTTTGTTGGAAGTGGTCGACATCGGCGTGATCATACGGCGCTTCCCGTGAAGGACGGCAAGATCGTTCCTTCAACGACCTGGATGCCCCTTTCTCCTTGACAGCCAACACCCTCCCGGTTCGTTAGATGATGTCGTGCATCAGTTCGGCCGCTTGGCGACGGAGACCCTCCACGCAATACGAGGGCACAACAATTGGCTGATCTGGGCATCAACTTTATCTCTTGCTTTTCGTAAGATACTCACAAGACCGCTTTCCGGATTGCGCTGTAAGTGGGAGCTCCATCTCTTTACCGCCAAGCTCTTCTGAACGGAGCTTTGCGCCCTCGGTCATTCTACATGCTGTGTCTTCCACCGGTTGCTTTGCGGCCACGCCTCATGTCTTTCTCCGTCTCTTGAGTTTACCTTGAATTTGTTCTCTTCCTTTCTGATCCGTAAGTCGGGTGTTCCTGCCGCGCTAGACGAGGTGGACTATCTTCGACTATTTCAGAGACTTCCTTTTCTTCGAACGAGGTTCACGAGCAGGTGCTTGAGGTAGATACCAGCATGAGTCAGCCATACCCTAAGATACGAGATTAACCCCAAGAAACCCTAAGGTCGCCCAAAAGGCGACGGGGAATGTGCCGACCGGAACATCTGTCGGCCCGCGACAATACTAGCTCTATCGCGCGGGCTTCGAATCCCCCGTCCAAACATCACTTGACCCACCATTCCGACAATGCACCATCTGGACAACACCACGCGTGGCGGATCACTTCTGCTCCCCCACCGCCGCAATGGAAAGGATCACGGATAAGATCGCAGCCCTCAGGCCCAAAGATAACTACTTCTCACTGGAGTTCTTCCCACCGAAGACCCAGCAGGGCTTTTCCAACCTCAATGCCCGTCTCTCACGCATGGCGCACTCGCTGCGCCCGCTCTTCGTCAATGTCACCTGGGGAGCGGGTGGCAGCACGTCTGCTAAATCGCTGGCACTAGCGGAAGTCACTCAACGCGAACTCGGCCTCACCACGTGTTTGCACCTCACGTGCACGAACATGTCCCGAAAGCTCATCGACGAGGCGTTAGAACAAGCCAAGGTGCTGGGCATCCGGAACATCCTCGCCTTGCGTGGTGATCCGCCGAGGAGCGACGAGTATAGGGATGATTCCTTACCAGATGCGGAAGAGGATGACAGCAACAAAGATTTCACATGGGCCGTAGACTTGGTGAAGTACATACGTAAGCAATATGGCAGCTACTTCTGTGTTGGAGTGGCTGGATACCCTGAAGGACATTCAGATCAGTCACACCCAGAACATCAGTCAGTGGAGCATGACCTCTCTTACTTGGTAGAGAAGACCAGTGCTGGAGCGGATTTCATCATGACGCAGCTCTTCTATGACCTCGATGCTTACCAGAGATACGAGAAGAGGCTTCGCGAGCATGAGTCTGGTGTCTTCAAGACGATACCAATCATCCCAGGCCTCATGCCGATACAGAGCTACCAGATCCTCCGCCGCACCACAAAACTCAGCCACGCTGCGCTTCCTCCAGAGATGCTGAGAAGATTGGAGGCAGTGAAGACGGACGATGAAGCAGTGAAGAGAGTCGGCGTGGACATCCTGAGCGAGATTGTGGAAAACATGAAGGGCATGGACAGCTCAGGCCCGCGGGGTTTTCACTTCTACACCCTCAATCTTGAGAAGGTGGTGGCCCAGATTCTGGAGCGGACCGATCTCATTCCTCCCGAGAAACTTGCTCTCAATGGCGAGTTCAATGTCTCGGCAGACGGAGAAGCTGTTGCAGTGGAGGAAGCGGACGACTTCGTGTTGGTCGACGACGCCAAGAAGAAGGAGCACAGGCGGAAGTCTTCTATTGCCAATTCTCAGGCACGAAATCGCGTAATTGTCTCAAGAACACGAGCCTCAAGTACGAGTAGCAATCGTACCTCGGCTTACGAAGCGTTCGATGACGAAGCAGGTGTACCACAGGAGAAGAGCAACAGTCATGCTAATACGCTTGCGATCTCCGAAGGCGAAGGTGCACTGGGGCGAGAAGCGACTTGGGATGACTACCCGAACGGTCGTTGGGGGGACGCGCGCTCTCCCGCGTATGGTGAAATCGATGGATATGGTGTCAGTCTGCACGTGAGCGTGCCCGAAGCCAAGCGTCTTTGGGGAGAGCCTACCTCGGCAGAGGACATATCAAGCAGCTTCAGGAGACACCTTGAAGGCGAGATCAGCTCGGTCCCTTGGTCTGAAGAGAGCCTACAGCCCGAGACTCTTACCATCAAGAATGAGCTGCTGAAGCTCATCAATAAAGGATGGTGGACAGTCGCTTCTCAGCCTGCCGTGAACGGCGTCCCTTCGACAGACTCAGTCTTTGGTTGGGGACCTCGCAACGGCTTCGTGTTTCAGAAGCCATTCGTGGAATTCTTCATTCCTTCTGCAGAATGGAAATCTCTGCAGGCCAAACTTGACAAGCACCCGCAGATTACGTACTTTGCTGGCAACGCAAAGGGAGACTTGGTGGCATCGGATGAAGAATCCGTCAACCCGGTGACCTGGGGCACCTTTACGGCCAAGGAGATCATCACGCCCACGATTATTGAAGCTGTGTCGTTCAAGGCATGGTTGGAAGAGGCGTTCGGGATCTGGGCAGAGTGGCAGCGCATTTACAAACCCGGATCAGAGAGCAGTAGATTGCTGGAGCGCATTCGCAAAGACTACTGGCTCGCCAGTGTGATCCATCACGGTTTCCTGGAGAAGGGAGCGCTCTGGGATGATCTCTTGGAGGAGTGACGAGTGGTTCAAGACGAGACGATTGACGAGGTGACGAAGAGGCAATAGGGCAATGCATGAGCGCTGGAGCATAGGACGCGGCAGCGATGTCTCGAGGTGGAGCTTATAGCTCGGCCTACCTCTAGCAAGAGCCAAGAGGAGGTCCGGAACATATTCGAGCCCGGCAGGTAGGATGAGCAAGGAATAGGTAGGCTCAGCTTTATAGGTACATGTAGGCTGAGCTTAAATCGCTTCCTCAACCTTACCACGTCACTCTCTGAAAACACTACGTTAAATCAAATCCACCTTAGAATGCCCCGAAACGATATGTACGCAATCTATCTAAACGGAATCGACGTATTCGATACCGAGTTTAAGGAAGCTACGACGACGCAAGATGGAAACGTACAGGTACTATCGAGGCTGAGTTTAGAACAGGTGGGCGGAGCTTCGGCTACAGGTAGGCCGACCTACCGACGCGGGTAAGACGTGATATTCTCGCGGCAACCAATTGCCGATCTTGTCGGCTATAGGCCATGCAGCCGAACCTGCATAAGAGATCTGTATGTGGTCTATACTGCAAACGTCATCCGGTCTCGGTATTACAGTATTGACCTTTCCACATTCTCCTCCCCAAATTACACGTGCCTGGCATAGCACAGTAGCGCCTTCTTAGATCGTACACGTGCATTCGGTCATTGGCACAGAGCTTCAGCTCGGGTCTACTGCCGACTTCACCTCCTTCCTTCGTCATGTTGCGAAGTAGAATACATATCGGCGCCATGCCTCCTCCTAAGTAGTGACGGAAAGTCTTACATCTCCTCTAACCTAAGAAATCATGAAGTTCTCATCGTCCTTGCTGGCATTCGCTGGCCTCACCACAGCGCAATGGGATATCCCACTCTCATCCCCGCTACAGCAGATTCTTTCCCAGGCCGGCCAGGGACCTCTATACACATACCCGACGTCTCTCACCCAGGGGATCATCCCCAAGAGTTTCCACAGCCACAACGACTACTGGCGTCCCATCCCCTTCTATTCCGCCCTCTCCGTCGGCGCCACGAGCGTGGAAGCAGACGTCTGGCTCGTGAACGGCACCCTCTACGTCGGCCACGAAATCAGCGCTCTTAAGAAGGAGAGAACTTTCGATTCGCTCTACATTCAACCGATCTTGTCTACTGTACGCGCTGAAAATCCAAATACGACGTTCGTTACCAGTCCTACGAAGAATGGTGTGTACGATACGAATTCGGGACAGACGCTCTACCTGTTTGTGGATGTCAAGACGGACGGTGCGACGACTTGGCCGGCCGTAGTCAAGGCTCTGCAGCCGCTTCGTTCTGCTGGGTATCTTACGACGGTCAACGGCACTGAAGGTGTCACCTCCGGACCTGTGACGGTGATTGGAACGGGAAATACGCCTTTGAACCAGGTGCAAGGCGTCACGCCTCGGGACTACTTCTACGACGCTCCCATCCCCACTCTGAATTCTTCCTTCAGCAACATCACGGCCAGCGTCTCTCCGATCGCCAGTACCGACTTCGCGGTCCAGTTCGGCAATGTCAGGAATGAGACTTTCAATGCGACGCAGATGGCTTTGCTGAATGCACAGGTCAAGACGGCGCACGATAAGGGTATTATGGTGCGCTACTGGGACCAACCTGGCTGGCCCGTCGGCACCCGAAATGCAGTGTGGAGGACGCTGTGGAACGCAGGTGTGGATTTGCTGAATGTGGATGATCTCGAAGGTGCTGCCAACTTCTGGCAGAACCAGGGCTAGAAGTCCCAGTGTATTCGACGTACTGATGAGGATTCGCGATGATTGTAAGACTTAATCTCCTACTAGCAAGACGAAACGATGATGTAAAGTTCACAGACCGAGCGTGTACGGGGCTGAGTATTGCTATCTGGCTGCGTGTTGAGTGGAGTCGAGTCAAACGGGCACGCACAATTTCATTGGGGACCATGTCAATTTGGATCTCTCTTCCATTGGCGCTCTCTACAGTAGGGGAGTTGTGCGCGTTGGAGGAATGGTGATTATGGAAGCTCTAGAAGCTTTTGCTTGACGCTGCGGAGCGTTGCGGACGCTGATCATGAAATCCACAACCCAAACATTTCCTGCGTCAGCACCGACACTAGATGCACTGCCATCTGAACATATTCGTTTCCAGTGGTTCTTCCTTGCGGAAGGTATTTTCAAAGTGCTAGTCATCCAATTACCGTGATTGCAGAATCCTGGAATCCATCCAGCAATGCCTTTCAAAAGTGCCGATGATATTCAGAGCAGCCATCTCTAGCTCTTGAAGTTGAGTTGGAGGAGGATGGATCCATGGCTTGCAGAGTTTCTGTATGTCGATGAGCTTCCTTGTCGTTGTTGTTACCCCGAAGGTTGGATGGTATTAGCTTTGGGGAGTGAGTGTCGGGCGACTTTCCGTTCTTGATAGGATCCTTTGCATCGTACTTGTCGACGCCGAGCGCCCAGCTGTACCTCTCTGAGCGGTCGTAGGCTCTTCTCGAACGTGGTATCCACCTCCGCGTTTCGTCACGGAACAGCGAAAGGAGAACAGCGTGGCGCTGTTGAGCGTTTCCCTCATCGTTGCTGCCATAGCGAATCGTCAACACCGTCCGGCGGGAGCATGTGTACCAGGGGAGGCGAATCGTCAGTACTGCTGGATAGGGCACGAAAATAGTCCGAGTCCAGTGCTTTCTGACTTACCAACCGTTCAGTACTTGTACCACGCGCCGAGATTCTGTTAGAGGCTTTCTTACGACTCTACGCAAACGATTCCGGTAGGCAAGTCGGAGACGTCGCCGTGCAGATGACCACTTGCACATAAGAATAGGTGGACGGAGAGGAATTCTTTCATATGGATTAGCTCGCGGATCCACTGAGATCTTGATACCAAGAGCTGAAGGAGGGTGAAAAGCCGGTTCGGCAGTGCAAGAGGGAGTTTAAGGGTGGGCTAGATGTGCCGCTCGAAGCCGACGAGTATTCCGACGAGGACTAGAGAAGCTGAACCAAAGACTGCGACCTCTTCGCTGCAAAACCTTAAGCCTGGAGAACATCTGCGTCAGCCTTAGCGTTCGGAGGTGTCGCTTCGGCCAACTTTTCTGCACTGTCGTTAAGCGTGTGAAAAGCGGACTTGTTCTTCTTAGCTTCACCCCTCCTATCGGGACCGGGACCCTCAGATTTGAACTGGTAACCTCGCACTCTGGACAACCTATTAGTAAAAAGCAGCATGGACTGGACGAGTTTCAGGGACTGACCTTGGTCCTTGACCGGTCTTCTCCGGCATCTGGCGTTCATAGAACTTCTCGAAATGAGCCATATCTTGCTCGAAAGTTGCATTGGATATGCTAGACCGAATGCCATTGAAGAAGCGGTCCATAATGTGATGGTTGTGGATCTGCAGAAGGACCCATCCTAGCATTTCCTTCGCTGCGAGTAGATGTTGGATGTATGCTCGATGGTGACCTGAGCATGCGTAGCAGAAGCAGTCTTTGCTGAGCGGAGATAGATCGACCGCATGTGTCGGCGACCACATGTCCAGGCCTAGTGGTAGAGGTATTGGACTGTCCGACGCAGTCTCGACTGCAGCAGGAAACTGAAAATCCAGCGCAATGCCGGCATCGGTCGCAGCTCCAATAAACGGCACAGTGAAGATGTCAATGCCAGAAGACACGTGGCGGAGAACGTCCATGGGGCACTTAGGATCCAAAAAGCTGAGACGCGGCAAGCTACTCAGAGAGTTTGGTAAGTCCTCAAGAGAATCAGCGTCGTAGATTGCCAGGCCGGCTACGCCATGAGCAAGCTCATCAGTCAGGCAGTCGATGTAGAACTGCTGCTTTGCACAGGACACTGGCAGAAGCGAAGCGAAGAGTTTGGCCTGAGGTCCATCTTTCCCGATTTCTCGAACAGCAACATGATCTTGCAGCCATTGTATGTTCCGATCCACAGCCTTCTCTATCCTTTTGCTGCCCAGTGCTCGTCCGTATGGAATGTCGCCCAGGCCAACTACGACATCCGCTTTCAAGCCTTCCACGGTATTGGCGTAGTCTTCCGCCTGCAGCAATTTGAAACCAACCGAGGTGCCTACGGAAATTGTAGTGCTGGTGTTGGGGTTTGCAGCTGGCGCAGCGACCGGCGGTGTTCTCCTTGCTCCTACCACAATTACTGTGTCATCAGGCAACGCAACAAATCGTCTCAGCGGTGAGGCGCCATCGGGCGGTTGGAATTTGTAAAGAGGCGGTGGATTTCGCTCAATGACTACGTACTCTCTCTGTGAGCGGTCTTCGTCAGCCCAGAGGCATTGGCACGTACATGTTGAACTTACAATCTTCAAGACCGATGTAGACCCCACTGATGTCCGTATCTCGTCTAAAGGTATCCTGCGTGATGTGTGGCACAACTCCGCGGGACGTGTTGCCGAGATAGTGAGGTGTGTCAAGCACTCTCCTTCCAGTCAGAGCAAGTTTTCCCAAGCGAGGCCCGAGAGTTTGGCTGCTGGATTTGATGAGCGTGAACATCTCGTCTGGAAGCTGCGAGAGCTTCCTGCCAGCTGCGTGGCCGTTCATCACTGCTCCTTCTGCCTCATAACAAGGATTGAACGAGGACGGAGGTTGAACAGATTCGGTCAATACCGTATTCAATGTGAAGTTCAAGAAAACGGCTAGCGCAAAACTCAAAACGCGACTTGGACGCGACTTCACCTTTCACCCACTCGAAGATCCAAACCAAAGCGAACCCTCCAATATTTCGCGAAATGTCTTCACAAAAGAGAGGACACCTGATTGTATTCGAAGGTCTGGACCGTTCAGGAAAATCAACTCAATGCGCCCGTCTTGTCACGCATCTCCAAAATCAAGGCCAAAAAGTAGAACATCTCCGCTTCCCGAACAGAACCACACCAATCGGACAGATGATTAACAGCTACCTGACCGGCTCATCACAACAAGAAGATCACGCAATACATCTGCTCTTCTCTGCAAATCGTTGGGAAATGGCCGAACATATTAAAGATCTCATCGCTTCCGGAGTCACGGTGGTAATTGATCGATACTACTATTCAGGATGTGTATATTCTGCTGCGAAGCAGAATCCTACCATGGATCTGGCATGGTGTAGACATATGGAAGTTGGATTGCCAAGGCCGGATCTATGTTTGTTTTTGGATGTGAAGGCGGAGGAGGCGGAGAGGAGGGGAGGCTTTGGGAATGAGAGGTACGAGAAGAAGGAATTGCAAGATCGTGTGAGAGGGCTTTTTGGAGAGATGAGGATCCATGAGGATGAGTGCGAGGATATCGTAATTGTGGATGCGGGATCGAGTGTAGAGAATGTGGAGAAGGAGATTCAGACCGTGGTCAAAGAGAGATTTGGAGACGAAAGGCATTCAGAAGGTCCTTTGAGATTTATAAGGCCTTGGTGAAAGATTTGCGGCTTCGTGAAGTCTGCCATTTTCGCAGAACCCGCGGCCTCTATTCACCTCTATCCAAACCTCCCATTGGGACCTTCATGGATTTTCATGGATCTCAATTGGCGTGCCGTGCTATCCGCCGCGAGTATCGCAAAAATATGGACGTTCGGCCAAATTAGGAGATACTCCCATTGTCCACGAGGCCGTGATGTGGATTCAGTCAGGCAGCCAATGGCACCAACAGAGCGGTAACACTTCCAATCGCTGCCTCCAGTCTCAGCAATTCGAGTTTGAGACGAGCTATCGTTTCGGACATGGCACTTTAGTGTCTAGAAGGCACTGGCATAGACCGAGGAGCTTTGTGGCCTGGCATGGGTTTCATTGACGAATCTCGAAGGTGTGCGGTGCCTTTCTTCAGGTCAAAAGCTCGGCTTCGTCCCAGTCGCTGTCTTCAATGACTGGTTCTGAGAAATTTGTAGGCTTGCTTTTCGTCCCGCGCTTGAAGATCGCAGACCCGTGACCTGGACTCGGATCGCTTCTGATCTCCTTTGAAGGTACTTCATCGTCGCTATCGTCAGAAAGACGATGCCAGTCATCCTCGTCTTGAAGTACCATATCCATCGGATCATCGCCTTCGCCCGATTCTGACTCTTCAACGGCGTTTGCTGTAGCTGCTGCAGCCTTCTTGCCCCGCTTTGGTTTGAACAGTGCCTTCATCTCCTTTTCTCCACGCATGCGAAGACTGAGCTCTTTGACGAGGTCCACCCACTGCGATTTGGCTCCGCAGCCTGGACAATTACCACCGGTTGGTACCAGAACACCTGGAAGAGCTTGCTCGGATTTGAGGAACACAGAAGCCAAGCACTGTAAATGGGTTACCGTTGTGCAGGATTCTGCGGCACAAAGCAATGCCCCAGCGCCGGTGCTTGAAGTTGGCTCGTGACAAATAGCACAGGCAGGGGCAGACTCTTCGTTGAATGTCGTCTGGCTCCTCATCAATTGGAGCTTTAGACTCGAATATCCCAAATCGAGAGCATTGATCCCCAGAGCACTTGCGGGTAACGAGCTATTGTCGGACTGAGCAACCGCGAGAAGCGCGCGGCTGCTTTCATCCATGACAACCTCAATTCCTGGTCTCAGTTGTTCCGAGTGTTGCTGCGTCCACTTCTGCCAGACTCGAAAGACATCCTCCGAGAAAAATGTGAGCTTCAACGGCCAGCGCTCGAAGCTCTTGGATCGAAGCAGCAAATGCAAATTAGCGAGACGATCAGTAAGTGAAAGCCGGGGCCTAGCTGAGCGTTTCCGCGTTTTGCCAGTCCTAGGAGATATTCGCACAGTCATTCTGGATTGTGTGATTCGCAAGTCTGGCGCAATGTGTCGCGTCAGATTCGGATTTTGCCATGCCCATCTGGATGACTTGTTAGTATGGATGTACCTGGCTGAGAAAATTCAACAGGGTCCACGCGCGATGGAAATTAGAGTGAAACACGTAAGAACAAGATGTTAAAACGCCGCACAGCATCGTCGGGTGCATCGTCGACTCACTCAAATTGCAGCGCCGCAATCTTGCTTGAAAAGCCAGTGACGAGACATGTCATCTCCCACGGGCGTAACGAGTCTCTGGAAGTACGGACGGCACCGCCCTTTGTATCGCCATTATGCTGTCTCAGGCGCCGGGGTGGGTTGGGGGTGCTGCCGACGTAAAGGGAGCTGTGGCGCGCTATCGAGCGCAGGAGGTAACAGGCGTAGAAAGCGGGTATGGGTGCGATCTGCTTCTCCATGCTGGGCACGCGAGCATCTTCTCGGACAGTTGTTGTTGAAATGTGTCGTGTAGGCTCGCGTGAAGTCCCGATTAGATAAATAAAGTTCGCGCCAAATAGGCTCGACCGGGGTCCTCTCGACTTCGGGCGCCAAGACCTGGCATCACCCTCCCTCCGCTTCATGCTTCCCTCCAATCCAACTCTATGCTGTCCACCTCTTCCTGTCGACACCGCCACGCCCGATACTAGCGCTCCACGAACGTACACGAACCACCCATCTAATACGGCCAGCTCGAGTGGGCTTGTGTGAATAGACCGTCCGATCTAGCCCGCCAGGCCGCATCCTAGACTCGCAAGCGGCGCATCCTACCGATATCCTGCAGCTCATGCCACGTAGGCATCGAAATCTGCTCCGGCAACCCACCACGACGGCGACGAGGAACAGCGATTGATCGACGCACGAATCTGGCCTCGCAGGCCGCCGGCGGTCGATATGGTGGCCACGCCGATGACTGGAGGTCCCACGGCCGTCGCATCGGCTGTTCCGCCAGCTCGACCCTCGCCCACAGCGGGACCCTCAAATAACGCCACGATAAAGATGAAGATGGCGGCTGTATCGGCTCCGGGTACATTGAATGGGCCGCCTTCTGGCAATAATCATAGCATCCCGCTGAGTGCCCGCCGAGCGGAGGCGTTGGATTTGTCAACGGTAGAGCGGAAAGGAGAGAGGCCAGAGACGCCACAAAGGCACAGAATATTTGACATCCCAAATGCGCCAACTTATCGGCCGACCGAAGAGGAATTTCGCGATCCGATGGAGTACATGCGCAAGATTGCCCCCGAGGGCAGCAAATACGGCATTGTGAAAGTTATCCCTCCCGACAGCTGGAATCCGACTTTTGCGATCAATACCGAGGTATGTTATATATTCTGAGGCTTGCATTGGGCAATATCATCAATTATAGACCGTCCGACTGACATGAGGTTGGAATAGCGTTTTCACTTCCGCACCAGACGTCAAGAACTCAATTCGGTCGAGGGCGGCAACCGTGTCAACAACGACTACCTCGATCAGCTGGCGAAATTTCATAAGCAGAATGGACACAACCTCAACCGCTTCCCTAGCGTAGACAAGCGACCTCTCGATCTGTATCGTCTCAAGAAAACAGTCGAGCGCAAAGGTGGCTTCGAGCAAGTGTGCAAGGGCAAGAGATGGGCTGAAGTCGGTCGGGATCTTGGCTACAGTGGCAAGATTATGTCTTCGTTGTCGACATCTTTGAAGAATTCATATCAGAAATGGCTTCTTCCGTATGAGGAGTACCTGAGGCTAGCCAAGCCTGGCGTCCACCAACAGTTGGAGATAATGAACGGAGGCCCATACACTCCGTCGCCGGGTCCCTCACCAGCCAAGAAGCCTTTGGGGGCATCGCCAGAGCAGCATGCGCCCACGATGCAAGCATCTGCTGCCCTCCATGCATCCATCAATGGCCACAGCCCTCACCCGCCACCCTCTCAGCCGGAGACTCCTCAGCAAATCCCGCACGGGCTCCCTGATGTCCCTGCTCCTCCGCCGCTCTCTCAACCGCAGCACCAGCAGCCGCCACCGCCGCCACCGCAACAGCAACCAAGCACCGGTGGCTTTACTCCAGTCAACGCAGGCGGCTTCACTCCCGTCAATGCTCCCTCCCAGACTACCTCATTTACATCGGTTAATGGAATGAACGGCGTTTCTCATTCGAATAGTGCAACACCGCAACGATCAATGGAAGCAACGCCAACAAGTTTGAGTCAGCAGTTCATTGCACCACACCCTAACGGCGTTGCGGCATTGAAGAGGCAACATAGCGAGTTGACTCCAGAAGAAGTAGAAATGATGAACAGAAGGAGTAAGCGCTTACGCAAAGATGTGCCGACTGTAGTGGGCAGCAATATGCATCACTCACGAATGTCCTCAAATCGAACGCCGACACCGCGCGATCGAGGAGATCACAAGCCCGGTGAAGTCTGCGAGTCTTGTGGTAAGCCTGACGAACCGCACAAGCGTCTGCGATGCGAGACTTGCGAGGGCTCGTACCACATGTACTGTCTAGAGCCTCCATTGAAGCAGCCGCCCGACCACGAGTTCCACTGCCCACGATGTCTGGTTGGGACCAACGAGTATGGCTTTGAGGAGGGGGATGTCTATTCGCTTTCGGGATTTCAGCGCAGAGCGAACGAGTTCAAAACACATCACTTCAGTACCCTGCCGCGTCAATACAGTCCATTCAACGAGACGAAGCGGCACCTTGAGGAGGAAGATGTGGAGCGGGAATTCTGGCGACTGGTCGAGGATCTTTCAGACGCGACGGAGGTTGAATACGGTGCAGACATCCATTCTACAACACACGGAAGTGGGTTCCCGACGATAGAACGTCATCCTCGCGACCCGTACTCGAGCGATCCATGGAATCTGAATATCCTGCCACTGGACAAGGAGTCGCTATTCAGGCATATCAAGTCCGATGTGTCTGGCATGACTGTACCGTGGCTGTACGTTGGAATGATTTTCTCTACGTTCTGTTGGCACAACGAGGACCATTACACCTACTCGGCAAATTACCAGCATTTTGGGGAGACCAAGACGTGGTATGGCATACCCGGCGAGGACTCATACAAGTTCGAGCAAGCAATGAGGGAGGAGGTTCCGGAGTTGTTTGAGACGCAGCCGGACCTTCTATTCCAGCTGGTCACGCTTGCCAAACCAGAGAAGTTGCGAAAGGCCGGCGTACGCGTCTACGCCATCGACCAGCATGCTGGCCAGTTCGTGATTACCTTCCCACGGGCCTATCATGCAGGCTTTAATCACGGCTTCAATTTCAACGAAGCCGTCAACTTTGCACCTCATGACTGGGAACCATTTGGCGAGGAAGGTGTTAAGAGGCTTCGAAACTACCGAAAGCAGCCCTGCTTCTCCCACGATGAAATGCTGCTGACTGCAGCTTCGCGCGACAATACTATCAGAACTTCGAAATGGTTAGCCCCTGCGCTGGAAAGAATGCGGGATGATGAGCTGGCTGCACGACAGCTCTTTCTTACCACCCCAGACCCTGATTCAGGTGTGGCTCCAGCTGAGCCTTACTTAGGTCCTCGGTACAAGAAGGAGCCCGAGATCATCGATCCTAGCACTGAAGAAGATGAAGTCATCTGCATATTCTGCAAAGCTTATTGTTATCTGTCTCGATATATCTGCAAGAAGACCGGCAAGGTGCTTTGCCTCTTACATGCCGGACATTATGAATGTTGCGATGGACTTGAGTTTGAGCGGTTTTCTGGAAATAACGGCGAACACGAACTTTCCTATCGAATGACCGACGACGTACTCAAGACGACGGTTGCAAAAGTTGTCGATAAGGCGAACATTCCCGAGTCTTGGGCTGCCAAGGTCGACAAGGAGCTTGAAGAGAACCCACGCCCAAACCTGAAGCACCTTCGGACTCTCTTGACCGAAGGTGAGAAGATCCAATACGAGCTTTCGCAGCTGCCAGATTTGAGACGCTTCGTTGAGCGGTGCAACGAGTGGGTCGAGGAAGCCACTGTATACATTACTCGGAAGCAGACGAACCGGCGCAAAAACGAGAAGGCTTGGCGCAAAAGCTCTGCCAAGGCAGCCGAGGCCGAAGAACGCGACAAGGAACTGCGAAAAGTTTCCAATATCGAGAATCTGCTCGCGACTGCAGACAAGATCGGCTTCGATTGTACCGAGATTAACACGCTTCGGGAGCGTGCCGACAACATCAAAGCATTTCAAAAGGACGCCACAGCCGCGCTGACCAACATCCATGGCCACACTACAGCAGACTTCGAAGAACTCGTAGTAAGAGGAAAGGAATTCCAGGTCGATATTCCAGAAATCGATGATCTGGAGCGTGTCCTACGTCGTCTACGGTGGAATGACATGGCCAAGGAGAAGCGACCCAATGCGGAGACTGGACGTCAAGACGAGACTCTATCCGATATCGAGAGTTTCATTGAGTCTGGTGTGGAGATTGGTGTTCCGGAAACAAATCCCGACATTTCGTTCTTCAGAGAGCACCGAGCGCAGGGAGAATTGTGGGAGAAGAAGGCCAAAGAGCTGATGTCAGTGGAGCAGGTCCATTACCAACAACTAGATGCACTTTCTCGGCAAGCTTCTTCGCTGCCAGTCACTCCAGAGACTTTGGCGGCTGTAGAAGGCATCTTAAAGAAGCAGCGTGAGCTTCAAGAGAAGATCGTCTCCCTAGTCAATCGCAGCAGGGATCCAGAATTCCGCAACCGACCTCATTACAAAGAGATGAAGGATGTGATGGATGCGCTTGACGAACTGCAGAGCAAGCCCAATGGAACCATCGACTTGGAAAAGGAGTCCAAACGACATGAAGACTGGATGCGCCGAGGCAAGAAGCTATTCGGAAAAGCCAACGCTCCGCTGCACATTTTGCATCAGCACATGCAAATCGTGGATGCCAGAAATCAGGCCTGTTTTGACGTCACCGACAACCCACGAGGACCGATAGAGCCGTCGTCCAGAGCAAATACTCCAGAAGACGGACAACATATCACAGAGGGAAGCAGCTCTAGTAGAGATGTCTTCTGTATCTGTCGAAAGTCCGAAGCTGGTATGATGATCGAGTGCGAAATCTGCCACGAATGGTACCATGGCAAGTGTCTAAAGATCGCGCGTGGTAAGGTGAAGGAGGACGACAAATATACTTGCCCGATCTGCGATTGGCGTATCAAGATTCCACGAGACGCCGCGCGACCTCGGCTAGAGGAATTGCAGGCGTGGCAAGATGAGCTGGAGACCCTACCATTCCAGCCTGAAGAAGAAAAGACCTTGGCAAGCATGGTCGATCATGCACAGACCTTCCGCGAGTTCGTCAAGATGTACACGGAACCACCATTCCCTCCGACCCTGGAGGAGGTAGGTGTGCTTCGCTTCTACTTGCGCAAGATTGAAGGAGCGGATCTTCTGTTGGCGCAGGAGACAAACTACCTGCGAAAGATGCTGCACTTACTTGCTCCTGTGGCGCCCACCGAACCGCCATTATCAGAGGTGTCAAACTCGACCAGAAAGCCGCGCCCGACCAAGCAGCAGAAGCTTATGGCCTCGCTCGGTATCACGAACCCAGATGATCTACCCCAACAGTACAAGGCAAAGCCTCACATGGCCAAAAGGAAGGCTTCTGAAGTCATGGGTAGCCGCCAGCCGCTTCAGTCTGCAGCAAGCGCCTCTCCAACTGGGTCTGTCACTCCTGGAATGCCGCCATCTTCCGCAGGATCAGCTCAGCCATACCTCGGCGGCACGTCTCCTGCTCCGCAACAGCCGCCGGAGAGAAAGAAGCATCTAACCGCCCTTTCGATTCATGTCTTGGGTCCTCTGGCCGGAGAGCAGATCGTCGACGACTTCCTAGCTACTGAGCCACACGCGAATCGCGATAGGCTTCTGAAAATCAAAGCTGTACTTGAATTGGAGAATGCAACTGACTTCAAGAAGGATCTGGACACCTTTAAGGCAAAGGTCAACACAATGCAGGCTCCTGCACCTCATCAGCCTGGCCCTGGTTACGAGACGCCCAACGGCCGACGGTCTACTACAACTCCAACCTACGGTGGATCTTCGATGTTTGGCAACCCACCGCCTAATCCTTATGGTCAATCGACGACGCAGGCGCCACGTTTGGGCTCGCCCGCCAACTTCATGCAGGGTACACATCAATACCCGCCTCCCACGCGCTCCCCCCAATTTGGTGCGCACATGTTTGATTCGGGTCCCAGCAACATGTTCGACGTGGCACCCACAACTGACCCTGCAAATAAGTCGACGAGCCCTGGCTTTGGTGGTCGGCCGGGTGGTGCTTCTAACGGAGGCATTCCGAGCGGCATGCCAGGTAATATGTTCGACTCGCCTAAACAGCCCGACGTGAATGCTGCTCCTCAACATGGCTTCTCGTCCAATGCTGGGATCGGCAGTCCGGGCTTTGGGGGCAGCCAGCAGAGCGCTGGCGGCAATATGGATAATGTCTTTGCCGATCTTGTTCACGATCAAGATGAGAGCATGGCTGGCTTTGATGGTGGCCACGACGCCCACGTCGGCATGAATGCCAGTGCAGCGGCACAACCCCCGACGAGCGACTTTGCCAATGCTCCTAATACCGACTTATCTGCTGTTCCAAGTACCGAGGCGGCTCACGACCGACCAGTGGAGGCGTAGGACTCCTTCATGTCTGCTTGGCCGTGGGAGGAATAAGCGTGTCAACACATCCGGAGGAGTTCGATTTTGCAGCGGCATTCATACCCCAAAGTGAGCGCGAGTGGAAGATGGCGGTTATACCCCACTGGTTTCCTTGCTTCCGTTTGGCGTTTTTTCTCATATCTGGCTCATTTCTATTCGTGCACATATCATCGGATCAGGCTTGGAGGGACAAGATGGCGTTTTCTTAATAGTGGATATCAAGGGTGATGGGAATGGAGGGGGCTCTCAGTGCTTCGGGATGAAGAGGACGGCTCTAGCAGCATTCAAGGCTGGCTAGCCTGCTCCTTTGAACAACTACATCGATTCTGTACGCATATAGGGATCATGCTTGGAATGATAGTGAGGGATCAACAAATGTGATATGGGTCGTGCAGTTTCCTTTCGTGTCTTTGGTCTCAGTGTATTGTACATGCTGGCATTCATCGCCTGCCCTGTGCCGCCACGCGCTTTATGCTCCTATGCTCTTGTCGTCCTCCATATTATAGACTTCTCACTCTGGAGGTGCACCACTGCCTTCACCCGCAGGTCTCGTGGCAAGCACTTGCTCCGGGCCCTGTGCACTCGCGGCCGCATCTCCCGGTGCCGTACCACCCTGTCTCGCGCCACCGCGCCTGCTCGCATTCGCCTCCGCAGCAGCGTCTTTCTCCGTGTTGATCTTCTCCACAATCTTCTCAATGTCGTCTGACGGCAGCATCTCTACGGTCTTTCCGGGAGCCATGATTGCGATTTCAATATTCTTTGCGCCGGTCTGGACGACTTCGAGGAGAGATTTAATGGTGAGCTCGATTGTTTCCGAGCGGGTCATGCCGTCTTTGTGGTTGCGTTCGAGGAATTCGCGGACGGTCTTGGAAGAGCGACCGATTGCGTTCGCTTTCCTATGGACACAAATATGTTAGGGGGAGAGTGTAGATGGGAATGGCAAGAGTTCTTGAGGGTGAACTTACCATGCGCTGTAGATACCCGATGGCTCGGTCTGGTACAATCGCGCCTCCTTGCTACCCGGATCGAAGCCCACAATCAACGTGCTAATACCAAACGGCCGCACACCTCCGGATTGGGTGTATCGCTGCTGGACTCCCGCAACAAACTTGGTGATGTATTCCACGCTCACGGGATCCTCCACAGTCAGACGATGTGATTGCGCTTCCAGGCGTGCTTTGTCGACGAGAATGCGGGCATCTGCGTTGAGACCGGCGAATGCGAGACAGACGTGGGTGTCGACCATGGAGATCTTGGAGGGCGTGATGCGTGTGTCTTGGAGCTTCAGGGCGGAGCGCTTCTCACAACCCAGCACGACGACTTGATCATCTTTGGCGGTGCCTTTGACGGCCACGGCGCATGTGCCGCGCTTGACGGCTTCGAGGGCGTATTCGACTTGGAAGACGTGGCCATCGGGGGAGAAGACGGAGAGCGCTCGATCGTAGCCGGACGCCATCTTGATGCCCGCTCGGTGAAGTCGAACTTTTCGATTATCAGGAGTGAATGTATGCTGGTTCCTTTGGAGTTCGGATCGATATTGAGTAGTTTGGTCGATGTGGCGGAGTTGTTTGCGTGGGATGTTTGGATGGCAGACCGTTGCATGTGAAGGCAGCTAGACGACGCGAAGCTGGAGCTCCACGAAGCACAGACTCAGAGCTTTTGATGCCTGAGGCAGGACATTTAACCCACAGAGCTCAGCTTGCACTCTCACCATCTTCTCCGAAACATCATCACCAGCCTTCACGATAAACTCTCCACGCATCTATCTAGGTCCTCTGTTGGATCGATCGGGAGTCTGAACCAAGCGTCGTCCGTCTTCACCGGAATTCCAGACAGAGGATCATCATAGTTCAGGCAGCAATAAGTACCCAACACACGTTTCTCCTTCCACTCTACTCTCTACCCTGTCCTTCCGTCAAGATCCTCTTCAACATGCCTCCAGCAACAAGAAGCCAGACCATGCGAGAAACAGTAGCTACAAGTACAGCGCCAGCCCAAGACCTGCTCGCCCACGAACACAACGTGCGCCTACGAAGACAGACGAGCGAGTCTGCGTCGGTCAACAGATCACAGACGTCGATTAGCAGGAACGCCCCAGACGAGCCGCCTCGCTTTACGATCGACCTCTCCTTGCCGCCCGAGCAACGATATCTCGAAGTATGTGCCGCGTTCAGAGAGCAGATCCATGGTCTTACGCCTCTCTTCGATGAAGTGGTGGGCGATATCGTTCGCTTCCTGCCGCTGAAGTGGCTGAAGCGATTGAGCAAAACATTGCTGCGGAAAGTGTACGATTCGGAAGAGAGCAGAGAGTTGCAAGGCATCAGCAAAGCGACAGGCGTGGAAATGTACCTCCTCGTCTGCTTCAACGTCTTACTCGACCTCTTCATGGGCTGTTCCAGTGGAGGTGCAGCGGTGAGAGAGGAAGAAGGTGAGGGTTCGAAGATGCTACATTTCAGGACGTTGGATTGGGGGATGCCTTCGCTGAGACAGGTGGTCGTACAATTGGATTTCACGATGGAGGCCAGTGGACCGATTGTGGCTTCTAGTATCACGTATGCTGGCTATGTGGGAGTCTTGACAGGTGTGAGGAAGGATTTCAGTCTCAGTTTGAATTTCCGGCCGAGCAGGAACGATAAGTTCAAGTTCTGGGCGGATCTGAGGTATTACTGGCATCTGTTGATGGTGTTGCTTGGTAAGAGGCGGAGTATCTCCAGCGAACTGAGACGCTTCCTCCTACCAACTTGTTCATCGAGGGCGTGGCTTTCCTCCAAATCGACGGAGAAGAGCGCGGGGAACGTGCTGCCGTATCATGATGTTGTCAAAGAAGTCAGTGGCCAGGGAGGCAAGCCCCTTACCACCACGGCCTGCTACCTGTGCTTCAGCGATGGCAACGAGACTACAGTCATGGAGAAAGACCGCGTAAGCGCAGTTGTGCGATCGAACGACGAATTCATCGCCATCACCAACAACGATATCGACCGCGAAGACGAAGCCGCCATGAAGCAAGAAGAGTCCACCAATTCGACTTTCGCAATGGCACTCGCCGAGATTGTCGACGAAGCGAAGGACAGGCGGCAATGCGCGGAACACAACTACCACAATCTACGCGCCAAGAAAGCAAAGCGAAGCAAGATGACTGCAGACCCCAAGAGAATTCTCGAGGTAGATGATATCGTAGAGGTGAGTGTCATCAGAAAGAACTCCCCGGCATTTTTCTTGTTGTATAGCGAAGTGTATACTGATATCCAATAGATGGTGCAGAAGTATCCCACGACGAACGAAACGACGCACTTTGCGTGTGTGATGGACCCGAAGCTGGGCATCGTGAGGTGGTGTAGGAGGTGGAAGAAGCCCGTCACGGCCAAGTGGATTCGAGAGCATCAGAGTGAGACTTGGTAATACCTGGCATGAGGTACCTTAATTCAGGTCTCGTTCTCTGGAAGGCACGCGATGGATGCCGTCGATTAATACCTGTCGATGTACGCCCCGTGCCTGCTGTTTGCGGCACGCTCCTTCCAGGACGCCTGCTATTCTCAGAACCTTCAATGTTTGCACCTTTCCAAGCTCCTCGCTACCTTGGCGAGTACTACCTTATACCTCCATGCCGAATCAACGTAACTTGGACTACGCGGCAGGACCACCTGACAGGGCTGTCTGCATGTCCTCATCCTCGCCGTCTTCTCCCTCGTCACTCTTTGCAACATCAATACCCGGATCAGGCACCACGAAATCCAAGCTAATGAACCCTGTCCGCTTCGGTTGTACAATCCTGACATCTCGTCCTTCTTTCTCCCGTTCCGCGTTCCAATTGTCAATGAACTGCTCCAGCTCCTCCTCTCCCTTCTTCGCGCCCGTCCAGCCCAGATCTTCCCACACGTATCCTGTGAATGCACCCAGGAGACTATCGATCCACGCCCTCGACGTGTACGGCGAATGCGTTCGCTTGAGCATACTGTTGATGTTTGCGATTACGAGCCGAAACTCGCTGTCGCTGACCAGCGGTTCGAGGATCTCGGGATACAAGTTGGCGTACTGAGGGTATAGATCTCCCGCTGCGAGCCAGTCTCTTTTGACGCGTATCACTCGCGTCGCTTCGAATTCGACAGATTTTGGCGAACAGTGTGGATTCGGGTGCGGAAAGCACGGATGTGATGGTCCCCAAGAAAACTCCTCGTCATCGATAGAGGCATGAGATACGCCTGTCTCGGCGGAAGGACGAAGGGCAGCGCTGCTCTCCGGCTGTGCTTGAGGTTGTGCCTGTGGTCGCGTATCGGGCGCTGGTCTTGCTGCGGCTTCTGGGCTGAGTTGCTGCGCGTTGTAATGCGTCGGTCGATTGGGCGTTGGGGGCGGATTAGTCGTGACTGCCAGTTCATCGCGGCTCCCCTGCCTCTTTGCGGAAGATGCACTCTTGCGCGAGTGTGCTGAGCGAGTTGAGCGGAAGGACCTGTGGGAAGGTTGTCGGTTCAGGGGTAGGGAGGCGGTCCGCTGTGTGCTTCGTATGCTCCGGGTGTCAGCATCGTCGGCGCCTTCGTCTGGTATGGGCGGCGGAGGCGGAATGGGGTAATGCGTAGAGACGGGCGCTGGAGGTTGTGTGTTGCTGTCCGACGTCCCCTGCACGCCCGCCAAGCGGTGGAGTGCTTGCATCGTACAGTATGTATGTATGTGTTGCGCCGGAAGCAGTGGCCGGGGTTGGCTGAAGGTCTGATGGCCGTCGATGTCGATGTGATGTCGGGTATGGGAGTCTGCTTCCACTGCTGCCTGCAGGTCCGAGTGCAGTTGCCCAATGCCGGCGAGCGGAAATGTCTCCGCGGCCGTGTCTCCCGTCGTCTCATGTCTTCACCCAAACATCTTCAATCCTCGCCCACTTTCTGCCCCAGCTACTGCCAGTCAAGTTCAACACAGTCTCGCCCACCCATACGATGAATAATAATAATAATCATATTAATCCCCCCCTGCACACTCTTGACACGCTGCCTTCAATGGGAAGTCGCCGTGTGTCGGTGCGGCGTCACCTCGTAAGTTGCACAGGCATGAATCAGTCCTCAGTAGTAGTCATCCTATCGCCAGCGCCCCGGGCGGTGTGACCCATGTTCATCCAGCTATCTTCACATTTCTCCCTCTCCTGTACATCTCCAGGCTCTCTTCCACCATCGCAACATCATCGCCGGCAGCGCAAACCATCGCCAACATGGCAAACACCCTGAAATCGGAGCGCCTGGTCTACAGGGCTATCGAGGATAACGACGATTCATTCCTACTCAGATTTCACCAGGATCCCGAGACATTCGTCAATTACACTCCTTTCCTCCCCAGCCCACAAGGCGCGAAAATGGCCGCATGGGACCGCGAAAATTACGCTTCCTGCATGTTAGCCGCAATTGTCTGTATTCCGCCTTCTGCAGAGGCAAAAGAATCAACTCCTATCGGAGTCGTCTCCATGAAAGACCCCAATCCACCCTTTGGTCGCCATACACGTCTGGCAAAGTTCGGTATCATGATTCTACGAGACTATCAAGGCCAAGGCTATGGGACGGAAGCTGTGAAGTGGGCTTTAGACTGGGGCTTCAAACATGCCGCATTGCACAAGATATCCACTATGGTCTACGAGCACAACCCTCCTTCCATCAAGATGTGCGAGAAGCTGGGATTCAAACTGGACGGTAGGCTGCGGCATGAGACCTTCTATGATGGCCGTTTCTGGGACGATCTAATCTATTCAATGCTGGAGCACGAGTGGAGAGACAAATATTGCGCCGCTGCAAATGGTGTGCATGATGTGAATGGCCACCACGAGAAACCATTATGCTAAGACTACACCGGCAACACAAGCCATGTTGGACTACTGGCAACCCGTCGAACGCCACTCGTGTGCCGAAATGGGCAAGCTCAGGTGCGCAGATAGCGGAACATCCCGACAAAAGTTCCCAGCACCACCAGCACCACCAGAAATTGCAGAATGTTCATCGTCGTCTTCGCGACCGAGAGCGGCCTTTCGATCCCTCGAAATCTCCGTCGTGGCATGATGTGCACCGTGCCACTACATCCGGGAACCCTGCATGGCACACGGAAGAAGAGGCCGGGGCTGTGCTCGACCGAGCAATAATCTCTTGGTTGTCGTGCGATGGTGCGGTAATTCTGTTCTGCCGGGCGGTAGAGCGGTAGAAGAGGCGAGTCCTCCTTTGGCTCAAAATCAACAGGACGAGAGTCGATCTCTGATGGTTTTACGGGGAGATCATCGTCTGAGTAGCCTTCCATAGAACTGGCGATGCTGGAACCCTCGGTGGGAGGTGCCTTCTCGGGTTTGGACGACATGCTGGTGTGCATCTGTCTTGTTGTGTGCGGTGCTATGGTTGCTTTGGACTGGTCTGAAATCGAAGTACGATGCCGGAGCATAAAAAGAAATCATGTCGCCAGCGTGAGCCGAGTCCTCAGACAGCTCTCACGTTGAGCTACTAATGAACCACAGAGAGAACAGAAAATACCACTGAATACAGCCACCGGACTGGATCGACTGTTTGCCGAGCCTCATTGCGACTGGATCACCGCTCGATCAGCACGACATCTAGTTACAAAGCGGCCCAATTCCACACTCCATCCCCGGCACCCATTCCTTACTGCCACACCAAGCCCAATGACATTCCCACTTCTTCTTCTCCTTCTCCCATATACATCCCCACAATTCTCTACCCTCTTCCGACCCCTCCACTTGCCACACACTCCGCCCCTCCGTCCCATTCGCGATGTCCGCCCCGACGGGAATCAGCATCGAATGCTGCTTATCTGTGCACTCCAGACGTGCTCCGTTTTCATTTCTGCTGGAACAATCCGTTGGCTCGGGCCTATTATTCCAGCGGCATTGCGTGTTGAGCCCGGCGTAGAGGATGCCCCAGAAAGTGTAGGCCGCTGCGCACATGCCGAAGATGACCAACGCGAAGTGCAGGCATTCGCGGCAGAAATCTGACCTTGGGCCGCGAAGACGACGGCGGGGTCGCAGTTGGACTTGTTGTTGTTGTTGTTGTTGTTGTTGCTGGGGTCTTGGCCGCGGGAGGTCAAAGGAATCCCGCGGTGCGGCTTGTGGGGGTTGACGACGTCCGGGGATGCGAGGCAGGCGCTTTCGTCGGGGCAGGCTGGGTTTATGGATGTAGAAGTTCGCGACGGGCGGTGGGACTCGGAGGTCTTGAACGGCGGCTTGGACGAGAGCCTGGAGAGGAGAGAGAGAGAGTAGATGAGCTGGCTGCGCATAGTTTGCTTTTTGGGGACGAGATGGGACATTGTTGTTACCTTTTGCCGCCGTTCTGGGCTCTGGCGGACGAGAGGCATTTTTTGTTGGAAATGGAGATGGAGATGGGTATGGGTATGCGACAGCTGCGGCGGGCGCAACGGATGAAGACAGCAAAGACGACGGCGACGATACCGGTGACACTCTATACTACCTACAACCGCTGTGACGAAAATCATCACTGACTGTGTGGGCCAAGAGCTGCGCAGCTAGATGTATCGTCCAAGAAGCTGGTAACTTTCAATGTCCGGTGGGACTGGTCAGCAAGTACTCATCCGCCTGGTCGGGATTGCGGTATATAGATTTGAAAACATGTGGCGGAGGACGCCGAGGAGGTCGATGGGGATTTTCAGTATGATGAGGCTGTACATATCGAGCTTCCTCATCATCATCGTCAGATTTAAGCATCTCCCCGAGTGTACTTTGTCTTATAAGGGAAATTTATCAAAGATCGTGCTGTGCGTACCGGTACAAATCCGTGAACGAGAATTCGGTGGTCTGTTCCTTCTGTGCGGACTGACTAGCCATGCGATGGGAGAGGTTGGCAGAATGATCCGATACCCGACTATGACTGACTGCTACCGCCGCTGCTTCTTCCTGCGCCTCCGATGACGATTGCAGAGAGGGGCATTGATTACGGCGAGTGCGTTCACACAGCCTAGAGAGATGCCAGATTCGAACGCTGATGGATGGATTCTTTTGGGATTTTTGACTGTTGTCCGCGGATCCCTGGCTAGCTTAGCTTGGTAGCTTTTCTTTTCTGACATGTGAACATCGTAAGCGGAATGAGTCAGCTATATTGTCGAGCAATGATGATGATGTTGAGACCACAAATTCGGTCCGCACACACCCACCCACCCACCCAATTCAGCAGCTCGTGAATGAGCGAGTTTTCGGTCGCGAGCAGGAGAGAGAGGCGGCGAGGTAATTTTTTCCCATTCGCTTCCACTTCACTTCACTTCACATCTCTTTGCAACAAGACAGACACACAGCAGACACCGTCACTCCCTCTCTTTCCCTCGCAAAGACGGGAAAAAAAAGATCTCAAAAGCAACCATCATGCTCGTCCTCCCACATCCTTTCCTCCAACGCCGCGATTCCCTCACCAACCGGGCCGACATCGTCCCTGTACCTCCTTCGCCTCCCCTTCCAGCCACCACCCTCCGCGTGGGCCCTACACAAATCCAGCGTCCGGCTGCAAGTCCTCAAGCCCCTGCACGCCCACCATCAACCGACGCCAGCGATGAGAATAGTCTCGGCGGAAGAGCCTCCTCCGGTGACCTTCCTGCGTATGGACATCTGTATCCTGAGGCTCCTGGTCGCGAGGGAGAGGAGAAGCCGCCGGCAGGATCAGCGGGTGTAGCAGCCCCTCAAGAACAGCCCACGGCGGCGAAGCCTGCTGTTAGTAAGAAAGTGAGGGCTGTGTTATGCGGTGGGGCCCTGCTTTGTGTTTCGATGATTGTGTTTATCTTGGTGGAATAGATTGGACATTGAAATTCGGGAAAGGTGATTCTGGAAGGCTACTAGCCTCACGATTGCAGGCGAGATGAGAGAGGTGGATGGAGAAGTGATGGATAGTCGATGAAGTGGGTGTTCGTTCAGGGTATCGTCACTAATTTGCTATTATCAACAAGCTTTCTGTTCAACGGCAATGATCTCCTTCATGATGCCCTTCTCCCACTGTGCAAAGTCTCTTCTTCTCTCTTCACTCAGCCAGTCAATTGCTGGTTGGAACATCGTACCCAGGCCTGGGAGTAAGCCAGCGGGCCCGACTACGTCTAGGTCATCCGCAGTCTTCCCGCCGTGCTTTTCTTTTCGTCTCAGAGGCGTCTTGTGAGGTTGCTTCTTCTTCTTCATCGGCGTGGAGACATCCTCCTCAACTTCGTCTTCATCCACATCCATGGCATCATCCACATCGTTCTCGGCGGAGATGATATCCTCCGGCACATTACTGAACCACTCCATATCCAACCACCCCGAATCCTCAGCCTCCAGGCGATAAAAGTCCACATCTTTCCCAATACTTCTCAAATCCGTATCGACTGTCTTCTCCCGACAGGCATCCTTCGCGGCACTGATAGCTTCCTTCCGCATATCTGCATCCTCCTGATCTTTCATCTTCTCTGCCGTCAACAGGCACAACGCGACGAGCAGAGCAGGCCATTTGCCCTCCGCAATCACCGTCTCCTCTGCTTCTTCCGATCTCGTCGGGCGTGTAGATTTGGCACTCTGGGGCGTTTTCCTTCTCTTGCGATTCGAACCGTCTTCTCTTCGGGCTACACGCCCGCGAAGCTCTTTCACAGCCGCCGTAGCGCCGACGAGAACGTGAGGTGCTGCTGCCGGAGCTCGTATGGCTTTACAGACGGCTCTTGCGAGAGGCATGGCGAAACCTGGGATGTCATGTTGGTCTGTTGTCTCTTCGTGCGATCGTTTGGTGCCAGCATTGCTTGGAATCGCATTCGTCGTGGGCGTCCTCACGGAAGTCCGATTCTCTTTTCCAGGCGTATTATTCCCACTGGTACTCCTCACATCTTTCCTCGGCGTCCTGGTGGGTGTCCCTCCTCCCTTCCCGCCAGCGTTCACTCTCCCCAAAACCCCATCCAAATACCCATATAGCTTGTTATACACCCGCGGCGCAACAGGTGGACTGGGCTTTCCAATCTCTAGCTCCAATCTATTTTCTAATCTTTTGCACGCGATGTGACAGCATGCATACGTTCTGGCGATTTCCTCATCGCGACTGAGCGACGCGGCTTTCGAGCGCGACTGGGACAGGAGGGAGTTGGCCAGGGAGATGAGATCGGGTGGGAGGAACGCGACGGTTGGCAGGAGAGAGGCGAGGGAGAGCTCAACCGGTGCTGGCATTTTGAGTAGCCTGGACACTGTTGGAGGTGGAGGAAGATAGAGGATGAAGGATGCAGTCTGTAAGGCGAGCTTGAGATTCACTTGCGAAGTCGCACGCGGGGTCGACTCGAACGCATGTGACTAATCTTGGCCAACATTTCACCATTTCGCACTATAAACAATTGTACATATCTTTCCAACAGATAGACACCGCGCAGATTCTACGCTGCTTTCTTATCGGTACTGCCGTTTGCCTTTGCTGCATTCTTCTTCACTTCCAACCCCTTCGGTGGCTTCAGGCCTCCGAAGACCAACCCGCACACCGCAACCATTCCAGAGCCTCCTATCAGGTATGCGATATCTCTTCCTGCCCACCAGTAGAGTGTGCAGAAAAGAAGTGGTCCCAATGCACGTCCTGCTTGTCCGAAACTCCGGTGGTTGCCCAGCTTCTCACCTCGTTCATCCGCGTTAGCTTCGAAGCTTGATAAGCTGTTCAGTCCAGTAACAACCGTACTGCTGGTGATGGCCAACAGACTCGCCGCGACGTAGAGTGTACGCTCGCTGTTGAGCTTCGCGAGAATGAAGAACGCTGCCGCGGCACTCACGACTCCCAGTTGTATGACGCGCAGCGGGTGCATTCGTCTTGTTACTCCTCCTTGCAGTATGCTGGCCACGAGTCCAATGAATCCTAGCAAGCGACCTGACTGCTTCGAGCCGTAGGAGAAGAGATCGTATGTCATGAACGACAAAGAGAACTCCATTCCACTGAAGAACAGGATGAAGGTGAAGTGTGTCATGTTCAGCAGGAGATGCGAGTTTGTCCGTTCGCCCGTCGCTGCTGGCTTCTGCTTCTCTTGCGTAGTTCCATTCTCTTTCGGTCGTAGCGACGCGTTCGTCTCAGGCAAGGCGTAGTAGAGGTAGACTGTCTCGGTAACAATTAAAGCCAGTGAAACGCCAGCTGCGGTAGCGAAGGGATTTGCTGCGACCGTGGTGACGTTCGCGAGAGCAGCACCGAGTGCGGGACCGAACGTGAAAGCGATGGAGAAACAAGCTCCAACCATGGCCATAGTCTTGCCGCGATCCTGATCGGTGCTAATGTCTGTTGCAATGGCGAGAGCCAGCTGGACATTGCCCTCGCTCAATCCACCAACCACTCTGCTTGCCAGGAACGTCCTAAAGTCAACAGCAGCACACCAGAGAGCCACGGAGGCGATGTTGCCGCACATAGACCACATCAACGCGGTTCGTCGTCCATAGCGGTCTGATAGCGTTCCAATGACTGGTGAAGCAATTGCCTGGCATAGCGAGAAGAGCGATCCGAGAGCTCCTCCGAGCAAGACGATATCGTATCGGTCGTTGATCGGCTTTTCGAAGCTGTTCTTGTAGGCGTTTAAGCCGTGCAAGACTTGAGACAATAGCGTCTGGGAGCTTTGTGTTTCGACATTGCGGTAGAATTCGAGCAGTTTTGGGAACAATGGCAAGATGAAAGTGAAGGAGATCTACCCCCGGGAGCCCATGTCAGCGATATTACGCGTGCTATAACTTGTCAACAATGCCAGACCTACCAGATCCAAGATCAGAGAGATGACCAGCACCCTCAAGACCTTCTTCCGTTGTTGAGGCGAAACACTGCTGGTGCTAAGTTCTGCCATTGTGGTGTAATGCAGGGAAGGGAGGCGTCCAAGATTCGGAGGTAGACCGTAGACGCGTCGTCCCAAGAGCGCCGGGCCAGCGGAATGAATATTACCACGCTACGCACATAAGTCAAATCTGATTGTTTGCAATAGGTGGGCCTCGGCTTGCAGCGATCTGGGACAATGCCGGTTTGAGCCAGGAAACGTGTCCAATTCGAATCGGAGGAGAGCTGGTACTAGCTAGTGAACTGTGTGAACACATGAAGGTACTCGACGACGATCACCAGCGAAGTCCGATCACCTCACTTGCCGCCCCGCGCAGCGGCTCTCCCGCGTCCCGCTACAGCCGTAACCCTATTTCCGCCGCTCGTCAGCCCCGCGGTGCGATGGATGCCTCAGGCTGCGAGTCTTGGATTTCGCCGATCACGGAATTGAAATTTGTGATCGGGGTCTCGTTTCTATCCGATGCCATTGTGGTGGTGACTCTGACAAGGCACCGCCCATCGAATTCCGTGGCCGGCTTCTCATACATCAATCCAATTGAACCAAGACAACTTTTACTGAAGAACACAACCGCAACCATGGCGTCCAAGTAGGTGACACGAGCACGATCACGACCACGACCACGACCACGAGATCAACTCCAGTCACACCAATGCTAATTCCCACATAGGAAGGTACTGCTGCTCGGATCCGGCTTCGTCACGAGACCTTGCGCCGTCGAGCTCGACAAGGCCGGTGTGCAGGTCACTGTTGGTCAGTAGAATCAAGCCTCTCTTCGCTAGTCATCACCGTTTGCTGACAATCACAAGCTTGCCGTACCCTCGAAAGTGCAAAGAAGCTGTGCGAGGGCCTCAAGCACGCCAATGCCACATCGGTCGATGTTGCCAACAAGGAGGCTCTCGAGAAGGAAATCTCCAAGGTCGACCTGGTCATCTCTCTGATCCCGTACACTTTCCACGCTCAAGTCATCGAGGCTGCCATTAGCCAGAAGAAGAATGTCGTCACCACTTCATATGTCTCCGATGCCATGATGGCCTTGGACCAGAAGGCCAAAGACGCTGGCATCACCGTCTTCAATGAGATCGGCCTGGATCCAGGTATTGATCATCTGGGCGCCGTCAAGACCATCTCCGAGGTTCATGAGCAAGGTGGTAAGGTGACCGGTTTCTGGTCTTACTGCGGTGGTCTCCCAGCCCCTGAGAACTCTGACAACCCTCTTGGTTACAAGTTCTCCTGGTCGCCGCGAGGTGTGCTCTTGGCGGCAAGGAACACCGCCGTTTTCTACAAGGATGGAAATAAGGAGACGATTGCAGGCGCCGATCTCATGGGCAACGCAAAGCCTTACTTTATCTACCCAGGCTTCGCTTTCGAGGCCTACCCTAACAGAGACAGCACTCCATTCCGGGAGCGATACGACATCCCGGAGGCCAAGGATCTCGTCCGTGGAACTCTTCGCTACCAAAACAACCCAGCCATTGTTCAGACCTTCCAGGACCTCGGGCTTTTGAGCGACAAGGAGGAAGACTTCCTCAAGAAGCCGATCGCATGGAAGGAAGCCTTCGCAAAGATTGTCGGCTCCAGCAGTCAGGAGGCTAAGGACCTCTCGTGGGCCGTGCAATCCAAGGCCAAATTTAAGGATAACACTCAAAAGGACATCGTCTTGGACGGTCTGCGCTGGTACGGTCTCTTCAGCGACGACAAGATCGAGCCACGCGGCACTCCTCTTGACTGCTTGTGCGCCACACTCGAGAAGAAGCAGCAGTACTTCGAGGGCGAGCGTGACTTTGTCATGCTGCAACACAAGTTCCGCATCGAGTGGGCAGATGGAAAGGAGGAGATGCGCACCTCCACTCTGACTGCCTACGGTGAGCCGACTGGCAGCGGCGGCTACAGCGCGATGGCCCGCCTTGTCGGTGTGCCTTGCGCGGTGGCTGTGCTCATGGTTCTCAACGGCGAGATCTCGGACAAGGGAGTCCTGGCACCAGTCACACCAAAGTACTCTGAGCCCATCCGCAAGAAGCTGCTCGACTACGGCATCGACATGAAGGAGAAGGTCGTAGCATAGGATGCTGCGCGAGACGCGTTGGGCAATCGATTGAATGACGACCAGCATGCGAGTGCTTCAGCATTAGGAGAAAAGCCGACGGTCAAGAACACTCATCGACGGTCGACTGGAAGTGTTTCCGAACTGGCCCATTCGCCAACGAAGCCCGGACATTCTATGGTGTCATGAATGAACGCCTTGTCATGACCGCATGACAAAAGATACAATCACGAAAAGGAATCGGTTGGTATGGACCGACGATGAATCACGGTACGGAGGACGGGAAAAGTACCGAACATATAAAGATAAAGAAGCGTTGGTGATCAAGGCCTACTATCTCGACGTCACTCATCCTCCTTCCACGATTTGATCGCGTGACCCGTTTTGCACAGCTACACACTACACTAATCTTGAGGACTTTGCAATAACGTGGGTCTGTAATTGGCTCTGCTAATTCGATGCCTCAGGCACGAAACAATCCTGGTTAGATCGTCGTGGCTGTGCCGGGTCAGCCGCAACTTCAGAACCCGAGCCAAGAGACGAAGTTCTGCCTCTTCATCCTTTGAAACGCCTTGGTAAAACATCCACGACAGCCTCTTTGCACTAAGCCTTGCGGGAGTCGAATCCTGGGTCGGCTTTGATGTCATGTGGGTGTGCCATTGTAAAAGCGTACGCGGGAAGCAACATGGGGGAATAAGTATGGATCATTTCTCCTTCATTGGTCTGTGACCAAATTTTCAGTATACTACTTCAGTTGAAGAGGCAAATTGGGAACCTTTTTGCAAGAAACAAGGAGAAGAATCAAGAATCCAGAATCAAGAATGGGTTGTGGCGGGTCAAAGCCTTCTTATCCGGCGAATTACCACGGGACTTATGCGAGGCCCGCGCAGTATCATGTCAACACCTCTTCGGGTGAGTATCCCCAACGTATGTGGTGCTTTGAGCAATTCGCTGACATGAGCGCTCGCAGCAACTCCCTACTACTCGCCTCCCCTGACGCGAAGATATCGAGGAGGTGGACATCATGGTGGTGCGGCCGCGATGGGATTTTATGGAGGTGCGGGTGGTTGCGGAGGAGGAGGAGGCGGCGGAGGAGGTGGCTGTGGTGAGTGAATTGCCGTGTCTTTAATGAGATGCCAGGTCTATGCTAACTGTGTTGAAGGTGGTGGCGGTGGTGGCGGTGGTGGCGGTTGCTAGGCGATCTGTCAAGTCGAGCAAGCGTTATTGTTTGCTCTAAGGCAGATGACTTTGGGATGATACTTCGACATACAATGAGGCTAAAGGAGTCGGTATTCTGTTTACTCGTCACTTGGTGGCTTTATACCCAAATGTAAAGATGTTCATTCTATATGCACTACGGTACACTCTACGCGACTGAACAGTATGTATCTAGCCACCAGGCCTGGTTAACATGCTGTTAGTACTAAGGATCGCATACGGCTATGAGACATAACTTAGACATGTATTTGCTAGAAAGGCACATGATCTATAAAAGTGACTCCGGCGCGACTGTCACTTCGAGGCTTGTTCTCCTCTATGAGGCTTCTGTGACTGTCGTTATGTTAGATTTGTAGTATGCACGAAGCATTATATTATATTCACCCTGTGCACAAGTATCCTTATCTTCTGTAAATCTATTACCAGATTATGGAAGCCTGGTATTGGTCTCTATTCAAGATTGGCAGCTTCTAGAGACAACTCCGATTGCGCTAGTATCAACACACCAGTATAACCGAAGCTTGCGCACTAATTAGAAGGTCCCATTGGCACCCATGACTTAACACTAACAGAAAGCAGCAGCAGCAGTAAAGCGCAAGAAATTGGAAATCCCGAACGATGCGACTTGGTAAGTATCGGGAAGTGTTGCCGATCGCTTTCGCTGACTTGTCTTGAGCAACAGGTGACGTCGCGTCACTTTTCTCAACGACGAGACGTCCCCACGATTAGTGAGACGATGTCTGCGATAGAAAGTGTATTAGGTAGTCGGTAAAAGCAGAGAGGAAAGAGAGGCGGTCAACGGGTGAAGTGAGTTCTCATCAGAGCTCAGATCATTCGTCGGAAGAAAGATGATCCGTAGAAAACTTTCACGAGAACCTGCTGTGGCTCTTCTCCCTCTGCAACCTCATTTCTGCCATCAACTCCTTTCTTGCCACCAACTCTTTTCTGTCATCAACTATTGATGCCTAGAATCGCGACTGTATACCACGTACTTTTAGGCTTCGGCCACATATCAATGAGTTGTCTTCGATGTTGTTAATGTGAATGTAGCTGTTTTACCGCCAGCCGATCAACTGCCACCACGGCATTAGTCTCCGAGGGACTTGAAGTCGAAGCCTGTTATTAGCCAAACTTTCTGCGCTCCTTTGCTGGCAAAGCTCTGGATCTCCGCCAACGTCCGCGAGGGCGCGCTTGAGGGGAGAGGCGAAACAAAGATTGAAGAATCCCGCAGAGACGCGAAGCGGTTTGCGCGTTCAGTCCTTTCCTCCTCTTCTTGCTCCTCTCGCTCCTCGTTCTCAGTCTCCACTCTACACCTCTTGTGTGCCTCCTTCTCATGATGCGAGGCCGATCTCTCCTACTCTTCACGTCTGTCCTCTTCTGTGCTCTCCTCTTCTCCATCCGACATCACCTCCGCGACCTCTTCGAAGTCGCACGAACTTATAGCAGCTTTCACGCTCACATCCGCAGCCATAAGGATCTTCTTCTCTCTTTTCCAAACACTCTCCAGAACCAAGAGACAGCACAAGCCGTGACAATCGAACAACATGCGCCCAGAATCATCCACCAAATTTTCCTCTCCCAGGGCAAAGCCAACGCAAGTCTGAGCAAATATGATTCTGCTATCGCAAGCTGCCAACGCTTGCATCCAGCATGGACTTTCAACATGTGGACCGACGATAACGCGACGGAATTCATACAGGAGCATTACCCGCAGATCGGCGCGCACTACATCGGTTATCAGCAGAATATCCAACGCGCCAATATCCTCCGATATGCCCTCCTGCATCACTTCGGAGGCGTTTACCTTGATCTCGACGTGACATGTCGCGCTGCCCTCGACGAACCCGTCGTTACGGGCGGAGCAGCACTAACCGAACTCCCCTGGATCACCCCCGGTGCGTACCCAGCGGGCGTCAACAACGCTTTCATTCTCTCTCGACCCAAACATCCCTTCCTCTCCGAACTCCTCCGTCGTGTCCCTAGCCGCGACCTTTCCTGGCCGATGCCATACGTGGAAAACATGCTCAGCACAGGCTGCATGTATTTCTCCAACGTCTGGATGGCCTACAACCTCGCCACTTTCTCAAGAAGAGCAAATCGGGGACGAGAAATCCGTAAGGAGGATAAGTTATACATCCTCGCGGACGAACAGGGAGGGATGGAAGCGCATATGCTCAGGGGAAAGACTGTGAGCCCCCTGTTTGAGCATGGCGGCGCGAGTAGTTGGCATGGATGGGACGCGGCCATGATTGTTTTCATCGGGAAGCATTATGGGCTCGTCTTGATGGCTCTGTCTGCTTTCGTTACGGTGCTCGGCTTTGTCGTTTGGAGATTCACTTCCAGGAGGCATACACCGAGAAAGAGGAGAGCCGGTTGGGTTGCGGCGTTCCGCAGATTCAGTCTCGATAGGAGAAGTGGTGAGCATGGGCGGCCGTTGCTGGATGAGGACGAGGATTGGGAGAAGAACGGTTGAGCGGGATTGAGGAAGCAGATGATTGAATGGGAACTGCGGCGTTTGGTGGACACCAAAAAGCGATGTGGCGATTCGTTTGCTGGAGATACCCGAGATACAGGGATGTGATTTTGAAACACATATGTATTGAGAGGCTGCCGCGGGCTTAGAGACTCTTCCAGCGGCGGGCGATAGTACCGATGTAATGAAGCGAGATTAGCGTCGGCGACCAGCCAGTACCCATGTAAATGCCTAGATCTGGAGTGAGATCTCGCAGAAACCGACAGATCGGCAAGTCATGCGAACAGGATGGCTCAAGTGACGGCACGAGCTGGACACTAGAGATGTTTACCGCCCGAACGGATGCAACAAGACGAACCAATCGAAAAGTGCAAGGTGCACGAGCTGGTTGACTGGTGCCTGTAAGCTCGAGCATTTCCACGAACGTGCTGTATGGCCGTCTACTTCGCGACGAGAGCGAACGATGCACAGCAGAGACGGCATCAAGACTGCCTGATATTTTCTGAAGCGCGATAGACGCTGTTCCTTCTCAGCGGGGACGGAAGGGCGACACGGAGAGATGGAGAGATGGAGAGACGGTACACCCCGCGGATGGTTCGCATTGGACCAGTGTACATCGTGACCTGCGGCAGGTCAGGCAGAGAAAGTCGACTAAGCCTTCGAGGGTATCGTGAAGCGGGTCGAAGACATGTGTCGTGTATCTGTGGTTGTTGGGCCGCAAGGTTGTGTGGTGGCAGCTATTCTGACTTTCGCCTCGACGTCAAGTCGCAGGACCGGTGCGGTCAAGAGCAACACGTCAAGCATCCCGGGTGCCAGGGCGAGACACAACATTATTGAAGGCTCTGCACGCGCGTCGCTTGGACTAGTGGGTCGAGACATGTGGTCTGGGATCCGGGATGACATGAAATGCTAGATAGACGTTCGCGCCAGCGCTAACGCGCCGAAACTCCTCTCTATGCTCTCTCTCTTCTGCTGCCTTGAAGGCCCGGGGCGTCGTCGATGCGAGCACGGCCTTCGTCTTTAGGCTCCTCATACGCTCCGCCGCATCTCGCAAGCGAACATCGTTTCCGATTTCAGCAGCCCGACAGCGAGTCCACGATGCTAGGAAGCCTCGCTAGATGCTTCTCCATCTCTTCCATGCCGAGGAGCTTGTCGCATTCCGGACGTGCAACGCGAGAGCTGCCGATCTTCAGGTCGGTATTCGGGGATTATGTTGAAGCTACTCGATAAGGATCAAGATCAAGATCATCCTGGTCCTTGGGCGCTGTCTTACACCAGCGACCTCCGTCTCACTTCTCCAATGACATGGTGTTACTGGCGCACACTCTAGAGAGCTCGACTCCCTCTGCACTATGCGCAGGCAAATCCGTCAACGGAGACCAGGAAATCAGAGACGTATCCGGATAATACCTATTCCTCGACGACAATCGCACGCTACACCTTCCTGCACGGCGGATCCGTCTCCGCTGGCGCATGTTTCCTCGACGTGCGCCTCGACTTGTATGCCGTTTGGATTGCTGAGTTCGTCTCAATCGTCGACGTCGCCCCGGCCACCCCTGCTCTCCCGCCAGTTTCTACCAAAGATGACCATCCACCGTGCTTTATTCTTACTGCTACTATAAGAGGCTCGCTGCCGTTCACGGTAGACGTCCTCCTTCCATACGAGTAGCAACTGGCCTTCAACTGCCAACCTTTGCGCACTTCAGTCAGGTGTCGCCCTCATCTGAGTGGTCTTCATCAGACCCTAAGAACATCACACCATCCAAACTCCTTCTTCGCATCGACCGGTTCCAGGTTGCAGACATGCCGTACATGATCGAACCCAAGGAAGCCAAGAAGAATAAAAAAGCTGGCGGTAGCAACTACAGTATCGACAAATGGAAAACCGCTCCTGCTGGTACAGATCCATATAACGCCCTCAATGTTGACCGCAGTCGCGTCGTTCAAGACCACGCACAGAAGCGCCGTGGAGTAGATGACATGTATAAGCAAGCCAAATAGTAAGGTGACATGTGTCTTACCAAATCGACCTTTGTCATGAGCTGACCTCGAACACGGATTCCAAGCGTCAAGAGCACCTCCCAACGACTTATCTGGGTTGGCTCATACCTGCAGCAAGATTGTAGGAGGAATGCGCTTTGGGTTGGCCAGGCACGTTGGGCTGGCGCGATTCTAATGTTGAGATTTTCGGCGGCATCGTGTGTATCATTATCCAGTGTCTGAAGTGTCTCGCAATAGGGTTATCGTTTGTACAAAGCTTTCGTTCTTCAGCTTGAAAATCATGTAGAGTGACAAGAAATTGCTGCCAGCTTTGGTCAGCTCCTTCTTTCTGAAATCTCGCTCCCCAATTTGCTTTGCCTCACCATACGAGAGCATGATGACAAGCCAAACAGCGCAGCGCTGGTGAGTGCCGGCACCAGTGCAACAATGCTCCATTGAAGCCGTGCGCGACTCGGGAGCGGTACACGAAAGATCAGCGCATTCGACCTGCGGCGTCAACACCGGCGCAAGCTCGTTCGACAGGCCATCCAAGCTCAGAAGTGACAAAACCAGCAGTGGCGATATGCGTATAATAGGGACCATCTATCTGAGTGGTCTCGCTGGGCCAGACAAAACTGCCGAAGGAATTAAGCGATATGGGCGACCTGAGCATCTGGGTCATGATGCGAAGGATCTCGCGTCAAAGCTCGACAGTCTCAGAAGACGGGCCAAGACGGCCCAGGGCACATAGCTTCTGAAAATTCATGGAGGCGACCGCAGTACATCTAGCGATCCGGAAAGGTACACGAGGTAAGCAATCTCAGACTGCCTGCGATAATGGACTCTGCAGCACGAGCACGGATGCCTCTCAATCGTCCTTTGCCCGCCTACGCATGTGCTAGGTTATGAGCTAATGCCGGCAGCGTTGGTATCAGTATCAATGGAAACCTCCGCGAGCGCTGTGGACAAAGCGCGTGACGGCAGCCCCGCCCGGCTAGATGTTTCCTGTGATGGCTGTAGCGAATATCGGCAAGAACTTTTGTGGACGAGGGCGCCGTCGCCGGTGAAAGCGTAGTTGAGATGGCAGGAAAGGTACATGCAGAGGGAGTGCCGCTGTTGCAAGCATTGTCGAATGGCTCGCAGCCACGTCGACGTTTACCTTGAGAGTTCCGAAGAAGGTGTGCAGTGCCGCCGTCGTGATCGCTGACGACAAGGCTATTTTGAGATGCGCAGCCTTCTACGTCACGGGCGAAAATACCGGTCAACTTGCCCATCGCAGCGTAACACAGTGGGCTCACCGCTCATTAGCATAACGATCTTATCGAGCCTGTGCTTTACCAGAGCGCGGTACTCGTGAAAGTAGGCATATCGTCCAGGGCTGTGTCGCTAGGCGGCCACCCCAAAGGTACGCGCTGGGACACTGTCCTGGCAAGCACCGCATGCGCACCACTGGAGAGGCCTGGGAATCATTCGAGGATGTTGATTCGGAAGGCCCCATTGACGGAACGAACCTCCATCGTGTATACAGTCCAGCCCTCGCAGCCCTTCCAGCCAAGCAGGTGGGCACCGGCGTCCATCAGACACCGCAATCCTCCCTCAGCATCCTGGATAGCAAACACTAATGTCTCCAGAGATTCCAGATCTCGCAACACTCCGGCGCTAGAACAAGCGGATAAGCTTCCAGAAGTACGTGAATGGTGATTTGCTCTGTGCATCTGCGATCGTGCCGCGTACTACTGAACGGGCCGTGTAAGGCGATGGCACTGCCAGGATACCGTCATCTCGCAATGCAAGGAGAAGTGCTTGCCATGCGGGCCCATGTGCCAGTTTGCCGGGGTCGGGCCAATCGCTGTTGCGTGTTCTTCGCCCCAGGTGTCTGCTAGCAAGGCAGCTATCCTGTGGACGAGAAGCTTGCCATCGCTTTCCGCACGACGCATACTCTTGGAGGCGATATTGGCGTTTTCCCCTGTCCGTGGGATCGAAACTTGCTGATGTGTTCCTGCATTACCGTCTCCCCACCTGCAAGCACCATCGAAACCTGGACGTCTGTTGCTGAAACACCAACCGGCACGGTCCTCTTTGGATGCAGCTTCCGGGCACACTGCCATGTAATTCGTTCAGAGGCATTTGATTGCCGCTTGGCTCGTCGAAGCAAAACGAGGGTCGTTTGCAGAGGATCACCTCCCGCAAATCTACTGTTAACCTCCCTGCCAGTCCGTGCGAGCCGTAGAGTGGGAGGACGTCCGTGCCAGATGTTTAAGGGCCAAGTGGCGAGTGATGGACCGACTCTCACGCTCGCCATTCGATTCAGATCTCAAAAGCTCTTCTTGCCGCATTCATTCTTCTCGCTCTCAATTACACACACACACACCACCGACCGCTCTCTTGAGCCAACAGCTTCAGAAATCCCGCTTTGTAGGACAAGACCAGCAGCTATTAGCACAATCGGTTCCTTACTATCTCGTATCTTGTCGAAGCTTCACGGTTGCGAGAAAGATCATGCCGGACCCTACTGGACCCAAGGAGACTAGCAGCTCCACGAGCGACAGCTATACTCTCGCGAAGTGGTATGGTGCCGCCCCCGGGAACGATCCATTCAACATCCTCGAAGTCCCTCGCTCCCTGGTCCGCGAGGAAAACGCCCAGAAGCGTCAAAGGATCCAACACATTTCCAAAGAAGCCAGCGAAAGCGGTCCGTCAAAGAAACAGGCCAAGTAGGATCCAGACTCGTGGTCAGTGACCAGCAGGCCTTCTGGTAAGCATTTACCGGAGTTGATGAGCTGACGTCTAAATAGAGCTGTTGGGCAGCGATATCGTTTCGGGCGATTAACTCGGCATGGTTCAAGCTCAAGCCGTTTCTGCGGTCCGGGAAGGAGAAGCCGACATCCTGAGAGCCCTCGAGAGCTCGGTCACAGTAGAGCGTCTTCACGATAGCATGGGAGTGAGGATCGAGAGTGTTGGTGACGTTATTCAGGCTCTTTCGTTGAATTAGAGACTGTGTTACCTTGATGTTGTGTGCCATTGGAAGGAGCGAAGAAAACATAACGCAGCATCGGACATAGTATGCCGTAAACCCGAATGTCACGTGTCAACCACCTTGGCCAGCCATCAACCTCACTCTATCCAACACTATACCATTGCTCCGCGAATACCACGACTCTACGTCCTTAAGAAACCTCAAACTACTCTGCACTCAGCGCAAAACCACCCTATGGCCCAAACTCGCCACTAAAGGTCCGCCCCCGAAATGTCCAACAAACCAAACGCCCAAGTCGAACCCGACGACCTCACCAATCCCAAACTAAACGTCTCCTGCCTCGACTTCCTCCTCATCGAACTCGTCCCGCTCGCGCAGAGAATCACAGACCAACTGCACGCCCGCGAACGAGCGCTCATAGAAGACTTCAAGAAGAGCAAGATCTTCAACAGCAAGGACGAAGACATCAACGCTGCGAAGTTGACCAGTAGTAGTAGTGGTAGGAACCACCGAGAAAGCGGCGCGCCTACAGTCACTGTGACGGACACAACGGATGGGAACTCTTCGATAGCATCGACGGGAGGTGCAGATGCGGTAGGAAGAAGCAGTAGCAACACAGGAGGCGGTCCGCCCTCCAGCATCTCCGACACAACCCGCGAAGCAATCTTCTGGCGTCTAGACGGCCTAGGCTACCGCGTGGGACAAGGATTGGCAGAGCGGTAGGTACGGATCCTCACCATCTCTCTCTATTCAAACACACACACACACACACACACCATACTCATCCAATGCGCTGCAGTTTCTCCTCCGGTAAACCCCGCCCGACAACCCCCCTCGAGGCGATAAAATTCATCTGTAAAGACCTCTGGATCCTGCTCTTCCGGAAACAAATCGATAACCTCAAAACCAATCATCGCGGTGTTTTCGTCCTCACGGATGCAAAATTCCAACCTCTGTCGAGGATGAGTGTCGATCGGAGGGCGGGGCCAAAGGCTTCCGAAGAGGCTTTACGGCAGGCTCAGAGCGTACGTTGCGATTGTCCTCTGTAATATGACTTGTACTCTCGCTAAATGTCGTCTCTAGTACCTCTACTTCCCCTGCGGCGTTATCAGAGGCGCTCTGCAAGGTCTGGGAGTAGATGTGACCATCACGGCGGAAACGTCGGAAATTCCCACTGCCACATTTCAGATCAAGACAAAAGGCGCCAAGGCATGATGACAAGATCTCCGGCTCGAGAATGAGACCGGGTAGCAAGCGGATGCAGAGCATGCTTGCGAGTCCGGCTTGTACGGAGGACGACCAATTAGTTGAATGACCAAAGAAGCACCGGTGGAGCGCGAGGTCGCTTTACGACATGGTTCCTCGAAGATGACCACCACTCGGGTACCACCACCACATATCGCGAGGGCATAGTCCATGCCTCAAGCCGGTGCGGATGCGAATGAGAGGAGGAAATCGGAGACGCGAACAGAGGTACAAACAGCTTTTGAGCTTGTTCATGGGAAATGCAGTACCGCCTGTATGCTGAACGCTATGTACCGCTTTCGCTTCGTGTGGAATCGCTTCTGATTCAGTCTCATGATCTCATCAACTAAGCAAGCAGGCTCTCGGCCTGTTGCAATCTGCTCTGGAACCGCTTACTGAGGTTGGTTCTTGGCGAACTCGATACCCTTCTCGATGTTGCCCTTGAGACCCTCGTAGCACTTCTGTAGCAGCTTCTTCTCGAAGTCGTTCGCGCTCTTGACGATGTTCTCCGCCTTCTGTGCACCGCCCTTGCCGAGCTCGACTGGGACAGAGAAGTACTCGAGACCGGTCTCCTTGACGATCTCGTCGCCGCCGGGGACACCTGGGAGGTAGACGAAAGTGGGCTCAACGATGCCGGTCTCACCCTTGTGGGCCTTGATGACCTGCTCAGCGAAGCGGAAGCCGGCGTAGGCCATGGAGAGAGTTGCGGAACCCGCGCCGTCCTTGGCCTTGACGACCTCGTCACCACCAAACTGGACGCCTGCAAATGGTCGTTAGCAAGGCTCAGAGCAGGGTGAAGGGATGTATCTTACGGTAGGTGAGCGCCTCGAGCTTGTCCTCTGGAATGTTGACGGCTGGCTTGGCCTGCGAGAAGAGAGGAACGATAGTCTCGCCAGAGTGACCGCCGATCACGGGGATCTTGGTCTTGGCCGGGTCCTTGGTACCGGTGATGGCCTGGACGAAGGTCTCGGCGCGGACGACGTCGAGCGTGGTGACACCGAAGAGCTTCTGTGGGTTGAACTTGCCAGCGGCCTTGAGGACCTCGGCGGCGATTGGGACGGTGCTGTTGACTGGGTTGGAGATGACCAAGACGTAGGCCTCTGGGCAGTTCTGGGCGACACCCTCAATGAGGCCCTTGACAATGCCAGCGTTGATCTTGAAGAGGTCGTCACGGGTCATGCCAGGCTTGCCTGTGTCCGTAAGTAAATGTGCACGCTTACCAATTGCCTCTTGCCACTGATGTCTCTATCCGCCGCTACTGCTGCTGCTGCTCTTCTGCCACCACTGCAACCAAAACAGAAAGAAAGGTGTACGACTCACGTGGAATTCCAGCTGGAATGATCACAATGTCCGCGCCCTTGAAGGCCTTCTTGATTCCCTCTCCATTCTCAGGCAGGTATCCGTCGATCTGCGCGACCGAGGAGATGTGGGACAAGTCGGCGGTAACACCTGCAGTGTTGACGACATCGTAGAGGGACAGGTGGTCGATGAGCGGGCTGGCCTTGAGAAGGAGCGAAAGCGGCTGGCCGATACCGCCAGAGGCGCCTGCGACGACTGCATTCCGTGATTGTCAGCGTACACCGCCTTCAGTGTGGACTGAGCAGAGGACGAGTGTTGACGTTGTGATTGAGCGCTGCGGGGAGCTGTACTCGATGGACGTACCTGCTTTGACCATGTTGACGGTTTGATCTATTGGAGTGAGATTCGAGTTCGAGTTGGTGGATGAAGAAGGTGCTGTGAGAGTCGGACGAGTGAGGTGGTTTGGATGCAGGTGGGAGAATTCGAAGGAAAATGTTGTTGCTCTGCTGCTGGCGCCTGCAGCTCGTCGGGTTCGTTTCAATGGTGGGGCCTGGGTGCCTGCCGCGGGGTCTCGGGGATGGGCGACCGGACAGTGCGCCAGGGTCTTGAGACCCGCCAGAGCTCCACGTCTTGTGATTCAATGGACTTCACCTCACTTTCACGTGCGTGGATCCGGTTTTCCCCGAGCGCAACGGGCAAATGTAGTAGACTTCTTGCCTCGGCGAGGAACACAATAACCATTGCCGTGGAGGATGCCGCCCTCTCGACCGGTCTGCTCCGAAGGGCTCACAGCATCAGCTCGGTGGTGACAACACCACGTTGATCAAAAGAGATTCTGTATTCATTGCCTGCCTGCGTGCTGCTTTCCATGCCTATTCCTAGTCTCATGCCCATGCACCCATCCCATCGCTGTAATAGTGTGAATGGTATCTACCCAAAAGACTCCTCAACCTTCGCAACACCCTGCTTCTTTCCACGCTTACCAGTCTTCTGGGAGCGAGATCGAGTACTTGCACCTGACCTCGCGCTCTTAGTCGGAGTCTTGGCCATGTCAGCACTCGTCATCACCGGGCGAAAGACGGAGAATGTGTATGGTATTGGTTTCTAGCCATTACCATAGTCCTGCTCGCCTTCCGCATCCTGCTCGTCTGCACCACCTTGTTGACCCGGTGGATATTGCTGGCCCATTGGCGGGTGACCGGGCTGTTGAGATGGGTACATCTATGACTGTCAGCTCCTCAGCGTCGTCTGTTGCACGGAACGGACTTTACTCACGGTTTGCTGGGGCATTTGCTGCATCTGGCCCATCGGATAGGCACCGGGCTGTCCACCGTACATGCTCGGGTCGAACATCTGCTGGCCGCCGTACTGGCCTTGCGGTTGTGGAGGCGGGTATGCGCCCATCTGCTGCTGGTATTGCTGAGGCGGCATGTGCTGTTGTTCCACGCCGCCAAAGTCTGGCTGTCCTCCCATCTGCGGTGGCTGAGGTTGCATACCAGACGGCCCAGCCTCACCTTGAGAAGGATCCACGTAGTTCCCTCCCTGCGTGTACTCGGGACGCCTCTTGTGCTGCGGAGTCGCATCTTCTCGTGGGACAATGTCAATCAGGAAATCGAACATGTCGCTCTTGGCAAGGGCAGACGCTATATCGCTTCGCTGAAGCGTTCGACGCTTGTTCTCCTCGGCATGGATCCAGGCGCGCATCGTCAACTCTGTGATGAAGATGTCGCAACCTTTAGCGAAAAGTATTGGCGCTTCTGCACTGATCATCTTAACTTCAGGATCCGCCTTCATAACCTTCTTTATCCGTGCCAAAGGAAGCTGGTGCAGCTTGTAGTCGTGCTCGTCCGTCTCCAGCTTCGTGACCTGGTTCTGCCAGTACGTGTTGAGAATGTCTCGGTAGGGCCCACTAAGGCCTTGCGATACCTGTAGCAATCCTGTCAGCGTCCGCGTACTGCCGCACTGCGCACAACGAAGACTCACGTTCTGCCAGTGTCCCGTGAATGTCTCTGGGGGCGGCGCATGCCCTCCAGCCGCGATCGCGGCACTTGCTCCGTAGTGCCCTCCGTGCGCCGAGTCATACAGAGGTGCGCCATTCTTGCCGTCGTACCGCTTGGGTACGGCGGCAGGCTGGCCCTGCGGCACGCCGTACGGCGCGTTCATCGTGACTTGATTGACGAGCTGTCACGGCTCACGCGACAACGGATGCCCGCGTATTGCGGCGACAGTCGGATGCGCGATGGTCGAACGTCCCCGGTCCCGTTGTCACCTGGTGACGCTCGTGGTTGCTTGAGAGTGCGCGCCGGTCTTGCAGTAGAAGGCGGTGAGCTATCGCGTCTTGGTCGTAGTAGTGGCTGCAGGATATAGCCGTCGTCTGCCTGCGGTATCTTCTGTCGTCAGCCCAATGCGCTCATCATCATTCAAATACAGCGGCGATGGCATCTCCATCGCGCATGCTGTGACGGTGAGGGTGGCGGCGCGATGGCGATGGCGATGGCGGCGCGAGAGCCGTACGCGCGCATCCTCGGGGCAGGCGCAAGGTAAACAACAACAAGCCGCCGTCGCAACATGGAAAATGGCAGTACTCACAGCCTTTCCTTTCAACAAATGACGTCTCGTGCCTTGCTCCGGGGCCTGGATCGCTGTAATTGGACAGGTGAGAGGCAGCCTATGAGATTGCGAGAAAGATGGGCGAATCACTGGGAGTTTTGTAGCTGGAAAGTCCTGCCAAGACCTGGACGAGGCCAGCGGGGACTCGGATAAATCGTCGGGATACGATCGGAATATCTACTCCGAGCGGGCCGAGTGAGGGGATATCAATGTCAACACAGAATAGCGACGATTAACACAGGATGGTTTAAAATCGGGGACGGATGTGTCGCGAGCGATAATAATGGGACTCGAGAGAGGAGGATGCGAGGGTTGAGGCACGGCGAGAGTCAACTCGGAGGAGGGAACGCACGCGACCTGCACGAAAATGCATCCTGCAGCAGAGCACAGCGAGAGCACAGCACCAGCGCGAAGTCGAGTTGGAGACATGACGCACCTACAGCGGCCCGCCCATACGCCCCCCCTCGCCTCGCAAAACAATTATACTGCAGCGTGTGCGCAATGCGAAGACGGGCGTCTGCGCAATGGACAGTAGTGATGAGCTGGCATCCCATGCGTCCACACGGCTTGTCAGAGATGAAGCTTGGAACTGCCAAGTGAGGTGAGCAAGTGAGATGGTGGCGGCTCCTCTTCACATCGTTCCGAGTGCGTTGGCATCAAAGTCACGTTATAGCCCCGCGCTACCCGCGCTGTTTTGCTGCTCTCATCCATCGCCCGGCGTGTCTAATAAGGTATCTTGCCGCTGCGAACGACAGATTGCCATCGCCATCGTGCATCGGCATGCCGTCCTCGCGAGCAACCCTTCCGACCAGGCGTCTCTCACCACCCCCCCATCCTAGCTGCTGTCCGACGCACCTGCCAAACCCCACGTTGAATCATCTCGCCGTCCGCACGCTTCACAGCCAACCCATCACGCCGCTCATGTACCTAGATATGCAGGTCTCATGGACTGTGCCTCGAATCTTGGGAGACAATATGCTGTGCAACCGCCACGGTAAAGCACCAAGCAAACGTTGCCCTCCCTACTCCTTGTCCTCCTCCTTACTCTCGAACGCTGGCAGACGATTCTGCACGTCTGCCCATGACTCCTTGCCCTTGACCATCTTGCTGATAGCATCGAGGATCTGGTCAATGCTGGCGCGGACCTGCTTTGTCGTGTCACGGTCGCGGAGCGTGAAGGTGTTGTCCTCCAAGCTCTGGTAATCGATGGTGAGGCCGAACGGGATGCCGAGCTCGTCGTTGCGAGAGTATCGCTTTCCGATGCTCACACCAGATTGATCGACCTTGAAAGAGACTGCCTCGTCGTCGAGGCGTCGCTCGAGTTCCTGCAGGAGACCGGCGAAGCGGACGTCCTTCTGGAGTGGTGCAACCAAGACCTTGATCGGCGCAACAGTGGGCTTGAACGACATGACCTGCAGTGTGTCAGCATGGCAATCACCAGGTCAAAGAGGTAGGAACGTACTGATCGAGCTTCGTCCCCCTCTCTCGTCCAGTACACGTGCTCCATCAAGCTGTATAGAATACGCCCGATACCGAACGAAGGCTCGATGACGTTGGGAATGAACTCGCGCATCGTCTCGGTCCGAGTCTGCTTCTCGATCACGACAATGTCCTTTTCCAGCTCGACTTTGCCCATGTCTGGAACTTCAACTTCAACCTTGCCGTCTTGCTGCAGGCTGAGGCTGAGCTTCTCCTTCACGTCTTGTGAGAGTTCATCCAAGGTCGATTGGACCTTGCCAGCGTCCTTCTTGAACTTCGGACCAGACTTCTTCTTGTCCAGCTGTGCCACAAACTCCTCCACCCTCTTGGGCTCCTTCAGAGGTTCGCGCACCTGTAGTGGCACACCAGTAGCCTTCATGTGTACGCTCAAGTCGTATGCGCTACGATCTGCACAACCGACGCACTCAATCCAGCCATAGGAGTTGAACAGCTCGCAGTCCCAGCAGTCAGCCGCATAGTGCGCCATTTCATTTGCCATGTGCTGTCGGAACCGCAACTTCTTTTGGTCCACTCCAATCTTCTCCATAAACTGCTTGATTCGAACCAGAAAGTAGCCAAGCGTCTCGTTGTCGACCAACTTTGTCGCCACAGCCTCTCCGATAGTCATTTCTTTTGATGTAGATCCACCAGCCGACTGTGTGTCGCGATCCAGCAGTGGCAGCTTGACATCCTTGACCGATGCAAATTTAGGGTGCTTCTTTCCGCTCTCGGGGTCGACGAAGTGCTCAACCTCGGCCATCAAGAACTCGCGCACTCGGAGCAATCCAGAACGTGGCGACAGCTCATTACGGAACGAATATCCAATGGATGCAGATGCGAAAGGTAGCTGGCCATCACTGAATTCAAGAAGCTTTTGAAAGGACAAGAACTGACCCTGAGCAGTCTCGGGTCGCAGGAAAGCAGGCTCTTTCCCAGAGGCACCAATCTGAGTCTGGAACATCAAGTTGACCGAGACTGGATCCTCAACCTGATTGCCAGAAGTCGGATTGCGAATGTCGTGCTTCCTAATCAGTGCGCCCATGTCCTCGCCGGTGCAGTCGTCAAGAGTGGCCAGGATGTACTCGTAGTCCTTGACAACAGCGTCATCAAGCTTGACTGCAGTCTTTGCCACCTTCGAGGCCTTCTTCTTTTTCTTAGGATCTTCAGGTTCATCGCTGACCTTCTCTCCACGGGCCTCACGATCACCCCTTAGCCTCGTCTCGATCACATCCTTAATAAGATGGTCTGAGCGCAGGATCTCTCCAGTCTTGGGATCCTTGCACATGTAGTCTGCAAACTTGTCCACGTGGCCAGATGTCTTGAGTACTTGATAAGGAGTGAGCATTGAGCACTTCAGAGACATCATCTTTTCTGAGCGGATGAAGTGATCCCTCCAGATGTTGATGATCTCGGCCTCCAACGTCTCGAGTGGCGGTCCATAATCGAAGAGACCCTTGGTAGCTCCGTATGGCTCGAACGACTGCCACAGGAAAACCTTCCGGCGAAGCAGAGACTCGAATGCTGCGCGATCAAAGTTTTGACCAGCCAGCGTCTTGTATTCGGTAGCCATCGTGGGTGCTGTGCCGGTGTTTCGTGTCTTGGCAAACGCTTGGAATCTTTGAACTGAAGAAGAGGTAGAGAAAATGCGAGCAGGCCTTTGGGGTGTTTGGCAGGAGTTAGAATGTGACGTTGCGTTTCTGCAGAGTCGGGATAGGCTCTTAAAATCTTGTTGCCAGCCCGTGACTCTTACTCGGCCGTGCATCCAACAACAATGGAAGCTGAGTCAATGGCACAGAGGAAGCAGCGATATCAGATTGACAGAGGCGATGTCTCCAGATCGTAGCACTTGAGCCGTTGTAGCTGTATCAAGGAGTGTATGTGTGAGCGATGCGGCCTGAGCAGAGTTGAAGAGGGTCGTGTGTCGTTTGACGAAGTCCGACGTCTGGACGATTTTTGTGATGTGTCCATTGCGGAAACTTTACCCGAAAGCTTCTTCGGCTGCACCTGACTCGACTTCCTGGAAAAGTTCATGGGAGTCGCACGCGCTGAACAACGGCAATCGAACAACATGGCATCCTTCAAGGACCCCAACAAGATCGGCAACAAGCTGAAGAGGCAACAGCAGCACCTCAAAGTAAAGAAGCAGAAGGAGGGCGAAAAGCGGGACGAGCGGTTACGGCGACGGCGACATGAAGACAAGAACCCACATCTACGAGAGCAACGACGGTCGAAAAATGTCCCATCCACTATCGATAACAAGCGCACGTGGGACGAGGTCGACTCTGCAGACGAGGACAACACGCGACTTGGCTTCGCCGTGAATATCTTGGATCCGAAGCGTAGAAAGGTCGAGAAGGACACTACAGATGGCGCCGAATTGACGAGTGAAAACGTCGAGGCTCTTGAGAAAGCGCAAGGAGAAGAAGAGGAGGATGTCGGACAAGAGACGGAAGCTCAGGACGAAGATCACGACAGTATGCTGGACACAGATGATGAGGATGAGGATGAGGCAGAAGGCAGTGCCAAGGCAGATCCGCCACATCGTGCTCCCAGCGAGGCTCCTTCTGCAGCCCCTTCAGCGGCACCATCTGTGGCGCCTTCAGCAGCGACTGATCTCACTGTGCGGCCAGAAGCGCTCAAGGCGAGATTTCCGCGTCTCTTCGAAGACGCTCAGCGAGATCCGAAAGTCTTGGTCACAACTTCCATCAACTCTACACTCCACCACGAAGCCGAGCTTCTCACAACATTATTCCCCAACAGCACGTACATCAAGCGAACAGCGCATTTCCATGGCTATAAATACAGCGTAAGGGAGATCGCTGCTTTTGCAGCGAAACCAGAACGAGGGTACACGCATGTCGTCGTACTCAATGAAGACCTCAAGACTCCAAAGGGACTGGATATCGTCCACCTACCCGATGGTCCCATGTTCCACTTCAGCATATCGAATTGGGTGCCTGGCAGCAGAATTCCAGGTCACGGCAATCCCACCTCACATTTCCCGGAGCTGATCCTCAATGGTTTCCGGACACCTCTTGGCCTTCTAGCAGCACATCTGTTCAAATCGCTCTTCCCACCTCGGCCTGAGCTGCAAGGTCGGCAAGTCATCACCCTACACAACCAGAGAGACTACATCTTCCTCCGAAAACACAGATATGTGTTTCGGGACAAGAGGCAAAGCGAAAAGAGCATCCAAGGAGCAGACGGCAAGGCTATGAAAGGGGTGGAGGATATCCGTGCAGGGCTCCAGGAGCTTGGTCCCCGCTTCACGCTGAAGCTGAGGAGGGTGGACAAGGGCATCCAGCGTGCAAGTGGCCAAGAGTGGGAATGGAAAGCGCATGATGAAAAGGTGCGGACGCGCTTCAGTCTGTAGGCCCTACAAATCGACAAGATACCAAGAACGAATATTGTCACCCAACGTATTCCGACGAGAGCCATGGAAGTCAATCTATACTGTCGTTGAGGAATGGTTTCACGCACACAGCTACCGACTGGAATTTTCGTCGACCTTAATTCCTCCTTTCCGAAGCTGATATCGTTCACCCTTTCCCACAACCACAACACAAATCCCACAAGAGAATCAAACTCGCATTGCAACGATGAACAACGCCACGATAAACGCAACGGTGGTCCTCCTCACGTCGACTGTCCTGGCGACAATAGCCCCGGCTCCTACCCATACGCCGACCTCGACGCGTGATTCTGACTTGAAGCCTTCCACGCTACACAACGTTCTACACGGCAACGACGACAGTCCACAGTGGCCTGCTATTTCGGCTGCTTCTAGCACGAAGTCGCCTTTCGCGCTTCGATTCTGGTTGCGGTCGTTTTTGCCGCTGTTGTGTGGAGATTCAATTGGTGACAAAGAAGGGAAGAGGAAAGAGTGGAGAGAGACCACAGAGCGTGGCGGGGGGCTGGTTGTGAAGACTCGAGTAGGTTCGATGAGCTCAGAGAGGAGAGGATCTTGGGGAAGGCCGGGAAGTGGTTTGAAATTCGGTGAGGTGCATATGGAAAGATTCGCTTTAATGTCCACGGATGGTTTCAGCGCAGATGAAGTTCATGAGGTTCATGAAGTTCAGAAATGACCGTCACAATCATAGTGCGCCAACTTGACCTCACATGTGAGACAGATAGATCTTCAACGGTTGCCTTTCTCCATCTCACTTCCTTCGTCAACTGTTCTGCACCCCGAACAACGACATTCTACGTCACATCAATCATTTCTCCATCGACTAGAGATGCCTAAAGTCACACCGTATACTAACGTGTCAACGGTCCGAAGCCATTGGAAAGCAGTTGACTACAGTAATAGTCCTGGCTGTCCATGGCCATCCACGAAATATCCCCTGTGAAAAGTGGCAGGCTTGCGTTACGACTACGGTCCTGACGCCTTCAACCGCATCCAATCCCGTCGCGAGATCGGGAAGACGGTATGCGAAGATTGCGATTCCTCCGAACTGATGTTCTCCCCAAGAAACAAAAAGCTTCCCATTCCACTCAAGCCGAGCAGGTCAGTCCGTATATCTTTGGAACCACGTTCTTATTCTCGGCTTACCGGTTTTATTCTACTAGCCGTCAACTCCGAGAACTCCTCTACGGAAACGAAAACATTCCACTACTTCCTCGGTCTTCCACCTGAATACCGGAGCCTCCTCATCTATCAAGACTTCTTCGACTATCGCGCGAACTAATCCACCGATGGCTTCCGCTTCCCTCCTCTCATCACGGGGGTGAGTCACAGCCTTCGTCTAGAAGCTCCGCCCGAATCTTAGGGCACGCAGATGTTCCGGGGGCCGATAAGATCATCCAGCAAGGTCCACAAGAAAGACACCATCTCTTTTCTCAAAAATGTTCCTATCGAACAGATCCAAATGATCAAGTAATTGGGACTTGTAAACTTACGGCAAGACGGATCTCAGTGGGACTTGATCGGGTCTTGCAACAAGTCAAGTTCGAGTGCTTTAAAATGGAGACGGGGAGGTTGAAAGGCTCTTAGACGATTTCTTGGCTTTGCTTGCTAGGAGGCGAAAGGAGCCAATGAAGTTACGGAGAACAGATGGGAGAGCTCTGTCGAAGCTCTTCAGATATATATTAGACAAGACGTGATGAGTATGACCAAAGTCTTTCAGGGGAAAGAATGGATTCGTCAGAGCAAGTCAAACTGCTCCGGGGCTCAAATCAGAGAAGTATGAGTTCCCCTAAAATCATATCTTGGCGCAGTTGTCGTTCTACCGATGTGCAGCTGTTCTGAATGCCTCTTCTGGTGAAGCCTCAGTGGTCAGTCTTAGGCCGCGCGGCCTCCCATGAAATGCCAAGCACGTAGGCGTCTCTGTCACATGTTAGCGCACGGACAGTCTATGAAAGCTTTGACCAAATGACTCAGCTTCTCCGGAGTTCAGAACTTCACTTCCGATCATGAACTTCTCATTTGGATTCTTCAACATCAGCCTCTCCGCCATAACAACACAAAGCCATCAAATATGCCTCAATTCGCCGAGCGCGACCTGGGGGAGAGGGGGTTGAGAAGCTATGGGAAAGGGCTCGATCTCTCCGGATACGCTCTCTTCGACCTCTCCCGCGAGTATGGCATCCCTCAGTGGAAACTGAAGGACTTGCTTGCTTCACTCAGCACCGCGCGGTACAACAACATCTTCTTCCGTCAGAACATCGGCCTGGTCGCGTACGAGCTTTGCAGCTACCGCGAATTGGAAACCTTTGCGCGAAGCAAGAACTTGAAAGTACCCGAAGGAATCACTCGGTGGGTGTATCTCGGCGTCTGGTGCTGGCAATCATTTCCCTGCTGACAAGTGAATCCAATAGTACGAATCTCATCGACTTGCTCTGCGAGAACGAAACATTCCCTCGCTTCGTGGATCTTCCGGCGGAATTGAGGAGCCTCGTTTACCAAGAGTATTTCTCTTACACTCCGCACTCCGCCAACTCCAACGACCCGGGCTACTTTCGCCGTCCACCGCCCATCACACAAGTCAATCACGCCATTCGCGAAGAGTCCCTCTCGGAATTCTGGAGCACGCAGAGGTTCCAATTCCACGTGTTTGGTCAGGGTGGTACCCAACATCTCAAACTTCCGCAAACGAGATTCTTCGAGAGAGCGCCCTTTGAGCAGCGACAGATGGTCAAGAAATTGCTGCTCGTGCTCACGGTGGAGGCAGAGCGCCCAGGGCGAGGAGGAGGACATAAGGGCTCCAAATGGGAGCTCAACCTAGCGACCAAAGGCAGGGCCGCTACCGTACGTCATATAGAGGGAGATCAAGGAGAGCTCAACGGCGTGCTGCTGGGCTTTCTAGACTCGGTTGCCGAGCGTCCAAATGGAGTGAAGTTGCTGAGTAGTGACTCGACGGCGATTGCGAAAATCGTCCAGGATGAGCTCAGATCAAGAAAATAGGAAGAGTCGGACTCGGGTTGATTTGACGATGCGGAGCCAACACGCACGCTTGCAATGCGCGCAGCGAAGGCTCGGAGCAGAGGTACATCTTCAAACCTTCTTCCAGCTGTGGGTTCAGCATACTAACGATTTCGACAGCGATCCTCTTGAACTCTTGACGGAGCGCGCGATTACCTCAGCGTACCCAAATCAGCGTCTGCTTTCGTTTTCATCCTATGCTCCGAGGGCAGAATTCGAAGCTCCAGGCCACCCAGAAGCTCTTTAACGGGGCAGACAGGATCCAAAAAGCACATGACTGGCCCATTCGGTCTTGTGTTCCACCTTGTATTGTTGCTGAGATACGTTATGCATAAGGCCAGATGGACCGCGATCGAGAATAGTGTCGAGAGGAAAGTACCGCAGGACTCTCTTGAGCTTGGACCAACGGTATGTGCTTGTCATTCACTCCAACAGCATCAATCACATGTCCATCAGACAAAAAAAAAAGTGGTTGCGATATCGCCTGAGAAGCAAGAGTCTGGTGCCTTGATGAATGGTGTCAAGTCACATGAAATGTACATGTACTAGCTGACTCTCCAGCAGCTGTTTCGCACCTCGCAACGAATCCGATATCGGCTTTCACACCGAGGTGAGGGGAAAGCACGAGGGCCGGAACCCAGATTTCGCGCCCTCCTGCCAAGTTTCAGCGCCGGCTGTCGCTAGTATCATATATTCTCCTCGCTTCCCCGTTCTCTATGCTACGCCTGCCACTGCCAATGCCGCTAGCCACAGCGACATAACAACTAAAACCTCATGGAGATGCTAACCACAACTGCCGCGTCTAGGCTGAGATCATTGCGTTTGTAGTTTAGGGGTAGAATACGAGTTTCCCACTCTTGAGGATATACTCGTGGTCCGAGTTCGAGTCTCGGCAGACGCACCAGTTTCTTCTTTTGCCTTTTTTTGGGCAGGTCTATCGTTTTGTTCTATCGTTTTCGAGGCCATGGAAAGCCATGGAAAGCCATGGGCCTCCAAACTGATGTTGTTGAACAGTGGTGATTGCATTTTAAATCGTGTCGTAAGCCTATGAGACTTTTTTGATGTCTTGGGGAGCAAGCTCAAGACTCTTGCACCAAGTCGGTCCCTTCGCAACGATTTCGCGTGGCACAGTGCTCGGGTCATGTGCAACCTTCAACAACTCTGTTCTCCAACGTTAGCATTTCGATTATTCATTTCGAAAATCAATCTTTGTCCACAACTACGAGCTCCTGAAAATATGAAAGTGTGGCAAGCAAATGTCATTGCAGTTGGCTTCTATTTCAGTCACGATGGGCCCGTCATCAATCGCCTATTTGGCCGCAAGTCCACTCTTTGTGCCGACTATGCTCACAACGTCTTCATCAGACACGGGATGTGAAAGTCCCACGCGCTGCGGTATATGCCGCGCGCTTGCTCCCCAAACCAAGGCGTACTTGAAGCTCTCCTTGAGGGTCCTGTGAACGGCATCGCACACGTCTTCGATGGTAGAGTTGTTGCGGACGATGAGCGCCTCACTGAAGTCGGGCTCTACACCCTTTCGTTTAGTGTAGATTCGGATCAGGCGGAGCTCGTCCCAGCATCGAGCCACTACATCTTGGATGCCGAGGTCAAGTTCACAGCTCATGACGGCTGTGTTGGGCTCCTTGGCGAGCTTGTCAAGATGCTCTAAGCCGATGCTATCCACCTTGTTGTAGACGTAGAGGCATTTGATGTATGTTCTGTGATCTTTCATGATTACGTCGATGAATTGATCGACAGTAGCTGGTTCTGTTAGTACAGTGCCAAGCGGCGGGTAATGATGTATGGCTTCCCGGAGACTTACCATTTTCATCTCTTATCAAGACTTCGCAATTGAGTATACGATAGTCTCGAAGGATGTTGTAGAGCATCTTCTCATCCAGATTCTTCGGCGGCGTCTGAAAGGTGATTTTCATTCCGCCAGCCTTCTTCTGCTTCAGGTAGATATTGGGAGGATCTTGGTTCAGGCGAATCCCCACTGCCTCCAGTTCTGCCTCCAGAAGCGCTCGCTGCTCCGCTCGCTTGGTGGCGTCGAGGACCATGAGGATCATGTCGCTCGTCTGATGGGCCATCAGCGGCAGAGTCCAACCAATCTTTCAATTAACTCACCTTTGCGGCAGAAATGACCTGCCTCCCTCGACCTTTACCTTCTGCTGCACCTTCGATGATACCAGGAAGATCCAGAATCTGAATTTCCGCACCGCCATACTCTAGGACTCCGGGAATAGCTGTGAGCGTTGTGAACGAATAAGCTGCCACTTCCGACTTCGTCTTGGTGATCTTCGATAGGAAGGTGGATTTTCCCACAGACGGGAAGCCAACGAGGGCTATCCGGGCATCGCCAGATTTCGAGACATCGAAGCCAGTACCTGCGGCTCCTCCAGCTCCAGGGCCAGGCTCCAGCAACTGTGCACGTAGCCGAGCGAGTTTGCTAGCGGCTATCAGCAAAGGTTGTCCGATACGAATTGTGCCTCGCTATCCACGTACCCCTTGAGAAGACCGAGATGGTACTCTGATGAACCTTAGCAAGTTTCGTTCCCGATCTCGGTGAGCAACATACCGGTGGCCTTGTTCTCTTCGACTTGTTAGCACGAGTATATATCCAGTACGAGGGCATCATTTACTCTGCGTCCTCCTCATTTCATCCTCGATCCTGCGCGAGCGATTAGAGATTGCCTAAACTTGCATCTTACCGAGGTGCTTACTCCTTGATCTTTTCGGTGATGTTGACCATCTTGACTGTTGTTGCTCGCTATTGAGCGAGCGTATGATGTCAAGAGAGTATCAAAGAGGCTATTGCCAGATTTGACGGAAGATGTCGATGTTCAAAAAGCGCAACTTTCGAGCCCATGCACACATGGAAGCAGAGACAGGGTCTGTGCTTCTCGCTTGAGGCGGTGCGAGCCGAGCCTAGTGGCGCTACGTCACGTCCTCTGGTGGCACGCAGATCCCAAGATCGTCACCACTCCATCGTAAACATGATTGTGGCCAATAGTCCCTTATGAAGTCGCCAGGTAGGCTGAAATCCCCTTTCTGTCGCCAAAAGAGCCTTTCGTACGTCCAATCCGGGTCTGTTTCAAGCTACCGGCAACCTGAACTAGGCAGAATCGACTCTCAGAATGCTCCCACCAACCCTCGAAACTCCTCGAGAGGTAAAACAACACTATGACTTGGTCTACGACCAACTTATCGCTTCTGGCGAATACCACCCTTTTCTCTACCCATGGGCCACTCTCGGCTTCGGTGTGATCATCATCTACCTGTTGCTCGACCATCGAAAGGCACCAGCACTACGATCACTTCGTTTCCCGTTGTTCGGCTTTCTTTGTGCTTTCTCAGCATGGTGTATCTTGACGAACAAGGCCAGGAGTCCCGCAGCGAGCTATGGCGTTGGTCTAGTGTCTGCGTGGGGCACTTTATGGACTGGTGCAATCATGTGCTTCAACGATTGCCAGACGGATTTCAAACGCATCGAGCGAGCTCATGGCAGCGCTTCGATGAAGTCGACTAACGTGCCCAATGGTGGTCACGTTCCAAATGGCCGTGTTAAGGCCGCCGATCAAAGCCCCAGCACTGGACCAGCGCATCGTAAAGGCCGCTTGTATTGGCAACCATACCCTTCAACGCCATTCAAGGACCGCCTCGAATGGGTCATCGACATCTTTTGCAACTTCAGAGGCGTAGGATGGAACTTCGGAACTCACGGAATCCCACCACCTCCATCATGGGCCCAAGCCGAACTCCACGACAACAGCAAAGAGGACATCTGCAACCCACCCACCGACCCAGCAGACGAAATCACAACCAGCACCACGGGAATCCGCCGCTTCACCTCCCGCAGAGCCCTCCTCCAAAACTGCCTGATCAACCTCACAATCGGCTTCTTCGCCCTCGACCTCATCAAGCTCATCATGCACCACGACCCTTACTTCTGGGGCTACACGACCACCTCCACCGCACCCCTCTGGCTCCCCCCACCCATCCGCGCCTCCCGCATCCTCCTCAAATCCTACCGCCTCCTCACCTCCCTCGCGGGAGTCTCCCTCGCCCTCAACGAAATCTTCCGCCTCGGCCCCCTCTTCTTCTGCGCCCTCCTCGGCCCCTCCCGCATCGGCCTCCGCGGCGCCCCCTGGATGAACCCCCCCGATTTCTACGGCGACTTCCGCGCCGTCCTGGACAAAGGGCTCGCGGGCTGGTGGGGCTCCTGGTGGCATCAGACCTTCCGCTTCGCCTTCGAAGCGCCCGGCTCCGCCCTCCTCGCCCACCTCTCCATCCCCAAAACTTCTCAAAAGGGAAAACTCCTCTCCCTCTTCATCGCTTTTGCCCTTTCCGGCTCTCTCCACGCCTGTGGCAGTCACACCCAACTCGGCGCCACCCGGCCCCTCCGCGGCCCCTGTTGCTTCTTCCTCCTGCAACCCCTCGGCATCCTCGCCCAGACCCTCCTGCTCCCGTACCTCCCGAAGAAACCGCACTTCCTCGTCCGCGTGTATAATTTCCTCTTCGTCATGGTCTGGATGTACTTCACCGCGCCTCTCCTCGTCGACGACTTCGCCCGGGGCGGCGTCTGGCTGTACGAGCCGCTGGCGTTCAGTCCGCTGCGGGCTCTGGGGCTGGGAGCGCGGGATGATGGGTGTTGGGATTTGTGGTATGGGTTGGTCTTCTGGAGGCGAGGGGAGGGATGGTGGGATACGGGGATCGCGTTTTGAAGAGACGGACGGGGTCATGTGAATATGAAAGAGATGGATTTTTGCAAAGATATTCCCAGAGTAGGTGGTCTTCTAGACACTGACATAGATGGAGACCATATGATTACTTTCCAGAAGAAGAAGAAGAAGAAGAAGAAGAAGAAGAAGATAATGAAGGATCCAGAAAGAAAGAGAGAGAAGCTCAAATCAATCCATCAATCCATCAATCATCCAAGAGATTTTCATTTCTGTCTTTTTTCTTTTGGTGGTACTCACTGTCGGGACCGTCTATATACACTTGAGCCCGCCATAAAAAGTTTTTTCTTGGCCACCCTCGAACGAACCCGTCCTGTCCCAGGCCGAAAAGAAGGGAAGGCCAGAAATCAGACGTTTCACGGTCATTGTCGTCACCATAGATGCCCCACCCCCGATCCCCCGAAACCCCCCCCCAAAAGTCTTCCACCCTCTCAATGCCGTGGTGCTCGTCCGTCCGACCCAGAAGAGCACAAAGAAGCGACGGGAAAAACAAAATTGGCCCCAATAGCGGCGAGCGAGCGTGCAAAAGATCCAGAATGCTCCGTGTGCACAGATCCTTTGTCGAAGTGCACAATCAAAACATATTCCCGGCTCGATCCTGCTCGCTGCTTTGCTTTGCTGTGATGAAAAAATGTGTGAAACGCGCGCGGCTCCGGGAAGGGGTATGTCTCTGTCTTGCTTTCGCTTCGCTAAACGCTCCAATTGCAGGAAGAAATGATGATCATGAACAAGTAACAATTCCCCGTACTTTGTACGAAGGGTGAATGAAGCCGGAATTTCGTACCCGAAGAAGGATAACCAATCCAAGTGTTGAAGGGCCGAAGCGTCATTTCCGTGCGCTCTTTGCCCGAAGCTCAATGTCATAGGCCTTGTTCGCCGGCCTTGCAGATTCTTATGCCCTTGCCCCATTCAGAGTTGAGGACTTGGTGGGCGCTAATACGACGGCTCGCGTTGGGGTCGAGGATGCTGTAGATGACGTTTCGACAACGCGCCTGGCACGACGTGTGAGCACAGTCGGGTAGTAGTTTGTTGTTGGTGGAGGTGCAGCTTACTCTATGCAAAGTCTCGATCGGAGCATAGCCTTCTTCGCTCTTCCGGCCGCGGATGTAGTTGTCAAAGAATTCGTCTTCGTCCTTCTTGGCAACGCGCCACAGGTGCCTGCCCGTGCGCATGGCCATGTAGATGACACCGCATGCCCAGACGTCGACGGCTCGGGGGTCGAACTCCTTGTCGGTGTACTCCTCCGGTGCGATGTAGGGCGCACTACCGCAGAGACCGGCGGTCATGTGAGGTTCTGTCTCCCACGCCATTCGGAAGCATTCGCCATTCCCGAAATCCGTAATCTTCAGGGCTCCGTGGGTGGTGAGGAGGAGATTTTCCGGCTTGAGGTCACGATGCGCCACTCCCATCTCGTGGATATACTCCACTCCACGCATGAGCTGCGCAAAATAGCAATCGGCTTCTGTGACGTCCAGTTTGCCCGCAGCGAGTACCAGCGAGTAGAGGTCACCTCCCGCGCAGAACTCCATGACCTCACAGTAGTCGCCCTTGGCATCTTCTAGCAGATCGAGGGTGTGGATGACGTTGGGGTGTCTGAGGGAGGACGAGATGCAGAACTCCGAGTTGAGTCGTTTGCTATACTTCTTTGCATCCTCCTGCGGTCGCTTGCGGAATTCCTTGACAGCGTAGAGCTGCTCGTGTTTGGAGTCGTTCGGATCGACCTTGTGTGCAATGCGTACAATTCCAAACGCTCCACGACCCACGACCTCGGAGCACTTGCCGTACTTCTGGACGAGGGTTGCGGTCTGATTCGGACCGTTCTTCTTCTCGGTTGCCATCTTGTCCTTCTCCGTCTTGAGTTGGTCGACCCAGTTGGACACCAATGACAGCTGCTGATCTTCTCCATGATTCTTGCGCTTGCCGGTGAGGAAGTCCTTGAACATGTCCGACAGCCGGTCCTGCCGCTTGGCGCCCTTGAGGAAGTGAAGATGGTCCCCGTTCTCCTCGATCCAGAAGCGCTTGGGGGCGGCGGCAGCGACCTCTTCGCGCTTCTCCTTCTTCGAGTCCGAACCGCTCCGAGACACAGCGCCCATCTTCCCGTTCTTCGAGGGCTCGCGTGAGGGTTTGGCAGGAGGTGGGTGCTTGTCCAGCGACTCCTCGCCATCCTCGACGGCAGTCTCGGGGACCTTGGTGGCAGCCTCGCGCTTGACGGCCTCCCTGCTCTCGCCGTTGGCGTCCTTTTGCGAGAACATGCGGCCGAGTCGCGAGAGGGTGGATCGCTTCTGGAGTTGGGCGGGACGCTCGGGTTTGTCGCCGTTGGTGAGATTCTGCGGGTTGGCAGTGTCGTGTGGGACGGATGAGGGAGGAAGGACGGGATCGCCGTGCTTGGAGGAGTTGAAGGAGGAGGTGGAGGCGGTGGGAGCGGGCGAGGGATGCGTCGGCGAGTTGTCACGCGGCGGCGAGGCGCCAGTCGCGGCGACGGCCATATGTAAAGGAAGGCGCAAGCGAGTGCGCGAATGCGCGTGAGAGCTGCGGGCGAAGCTGCGATAAGGCTGGGTCGGGTTGCGTCACCGCTCGCTCTCTGAGGTCTCCAACTTGGCGGGGCGGGGCGGCTGTTGTGAGTTGGGCGCGGCGGGGGCCAGTCAGGGTTTTTTCTTGGATGTCAGAGCGTTGTCGCAGATAAGGCGAGGGAGCGACACGATCGCCTTCGCGGCGTCGATTACCCGCACCGCAAAGGCGGGTGGTCGAGGGTCGAAGCTTTCTCACGGCACGGCCACGACCGCGAAGTCGCGGGTGGCACGGAGTGCTGCGGTGAGGACAGCAAGGATGGATGAGAGGGAACCAATCCACGGGCAGAGAAGTGGTAGTATAGTACCTTAGTGTACGAGCGAGCAAGACAGCAACAGCAACAGCACAGCACAGCGCAGCAGCACAGCACAGCACAGTACGGCGCGGCGCGGCACGGCACTGCACTGCACTGCACCGGACTGCACCCAGCAGGGTGGTCTTGGTCTTGGCCTTGGCGGGCTGGAGCGAGGAGAGCACGAAGGCGATGCGATGCGGTGGTGTGCCGACCGGCTCGAGGGGCGAGTCTACCGTGACAGGTGCATGGCGACGGCCGGGTGAAGAGTGCTGCGGCGGCGTGTCGTGTCGTGTCGTGTCGTGTCGTGGGGTGAGAGGTGAGGTGAGGTGAGGCGAGGTGACAGTTGTATTCTCGCGACGGACGTCTGGAGGAAGGAGGGAGGAGGAGAACGAGGGAAGCGGGCGTGTGATGAATTCCAGTTGTGTGTGTGTGTGTGTGCGTGAGCGTGTGTGTGTGAGTAGTGTGTGTGTGAGTAGTGTGTGTGTGAGTAGTGTGTGTGTGAGTAGTGTGTGTGTGAGTAGTGTACCTGCTCGAGCTCTGCGTGAATTTCCTCCCACGCCCTGCCACCCGACCGACCGACCTCTGCCGCTCCTCTCACACGCTGCGATTCGTCCTCCGAAACCTCGACCGTCGCTTGCGAGAGGGGAAAGGGGAACAGCCTGGCACCAGTCTCCGATTTTTCAACAAAGACCGGTCACGCTAACTCGGATGAGAAGAAATCACGAGACGAGTGCTGTGCGTGCTGCTATTCCTATCCCCTCCCCTCCCTACTCCTGTACTCTCAACCTGCCAAGGATTCTCTCGTTGGTGCATCCTCCCTTCTCACCGCACCACACATATCCTGCCCTCGTACAGAGCACGTGCAACAACTTGATGGTCGACGTCGCATCTGGGTCCGGGACATACCACTCTCACGCCCAAGCGAGGCACAGAACCTGCTGCGCGCCGACGTTGATCAGAAGAGCATCCCAGCGCCGCTTGTGACAGCTACCAGAGGTATGCTTTCTGCCTAGCACAGGGCCCCCGGACCCCAGGACCCCCCATCACAAGCTCGCACATCAACTTGTCATGAATCACCGCAACGCAACAAGTGATGGGGGTTTTCCGGAGTTCCTGAATTCCGTGATAAGTGAAAAGCCTCGCCTAAACAGACTTATCCCCGAACAGGCTGTCCACATACATCCAGACCAGGACACTGCTGCATTATCATTATCGTTCACAAGTTTGCCCACCACTCATAACAGCCACGCTCCATCGCAATGCTCATCGGCAATGAATGATGCCCGGATGATTCCCTACGTAATAAGCCCTTCGCCAGCAGGCGCCGCCGCCAGCGCCAGCGGACAGAAGCAGCAGCCATCGACGATAAATCGCGCACAGGTGATGCTGGCGGAAATGCTGAAGTGGGCGACACAGCAGCAGCAGCAGCAGCAGCAGCAGCAGCGCTCCTGCCGGACAATGTCGTACCGAGTGTTGCCTGCGCTGCCTTTTTCCGGGGAGGAGTATCTGCAGTAACTTGATGGCCGGCGGGCTTGCGGTCTTGATTGAGTGCAGTAGTGCCAAGAAGGTGGTGGTGAGTGTAGTGTAGTGTCAAGGTGGTGGTGGTGATCAGCCGGGTCGCTCTTCTACAGATATAGGAAACAGGAAACTGGAAGGACACGACTGTGATTGATTGACAGTCCACATCCCGTCCTTTCCCTCTCGTGCTGCGGATACCAGTTGAATTCCACGTGCTGCCTTTCTGACATCGGTGGTCCAGGAATGAAGACGACGGTGTCTGCCTGCTGAGGAGAAGAACAGTAGTAGTTCTCATGTGTTCGTGCGTCTCGTCTCGTATGCCCTGCAGAAGCAGAATGGAGTGGGGAGCATCTCGTTCAACTACATACGAAAGAGTACTACCTTCCGCTGCCTGCCCGCGGGTCTGCGAGCCAGGCTTCCTTTTGATCAACACATCACACTCTCCATCATCATCCCGACCATGTGTGCGCCGACGCCTGCTCGGGAATCCCTCTGCCCTCTGGATATTATCCCCGCTTCGGAACACTCTCTCTCATCAACCGTCATTTCCGTCGGGGCCATTGGGCTCATTCGGCGCCGGCGGCGGCTTGTTGGGCTTCCATGCCCTCTCCCTCACCTCCCTCAAGGCGCGGTCGCTGGAGGACTTCGAAGTTGCCTGTGGGACGTCATGTCAGTAGGTTGCGACCAGAGGCTGGCCGTGCAGCCTTCCTTCGCGAGCAGTTGCACTAACGCTGGAGGAGGTTGAGCGCCGTCCGCTTCTGGTTCGTCTCCGTGTCGGTGTACGAGTCCATTCGCGCGTCCGCCTCGACGTAGACTTGGGTCCTAGATGCGCCGTACGTGTTAGCACGTTGGCTGGTGATGCTCGATTCTTCTTGTCCGTGTGTGAGCTCTCTCTCTCAGGCGTAGGCGTTCGAGCCTGCCGTCGTCTCGCTTTCATGCATGTAGACATTGCGCCGATGGTGCAAATGCCCTCCAAGCCGACCGTTCTCTAAGCTCCACGCAGTATACGCTTGCATCGTGAGCTGTATATACGTACCCCTTGGGCAGAGTGAGCAGGAGGTCTTTCCGAGGACCATCCGGAATGAAGCTCGCGACTCTGAACCAGCTCACGGGCCGGTTGCCCTGCTCGTCCTTGCGACCCGCGCTCACGCCCAGCGCATACCGCACCAGCTCTTGCCCGGTCGAGGTCGCGAATGTCTCAGGCTGATCCGCGAGCCTCCCGATCAGCTGCATCTTCGCAAGGGAGCGCGCCGGGGTGGTGGAGAAGGCGCGCTGCGCGGCGCGCGGGATCTGGAAGCGCAGGGACTGCATCGTTCGTGGGATGGCGGAAGGCGAAGCGACGTCGAGGAGAGAGTGATTGTTGTCCAGGGAAGTGCAATGTGATGGAGTAGTTTGGCGATGTTGATGGTGCGATGTCACGATTGTGCGCGGGTGATGGTGAGACAGCTGGGACGCGACCGCTCCTCGCACGCGTTTTGGGCCCAAACTTCAAAGGTCAAATTTCCAGGGGCCTTTTCTCACGGCCAATTAATTTGGAACCACCACCAATTCCAAGCTCCAAGTGCCGGACGACTTCATGTCGTCTTTTCTGTTGCTCGAACCTGGACCGGGATCTGAATTCGGACCTGAACCTGGACCTATCTACACCTTTTTCCCAGCATCCTCAGCGATTTGGATGGGCTTGAAGTTGGCACCTCACGGCGACGGCGACTCGGGACGGCGACGGCGAACTGCCTCCGGTGATGCCGGATCAGGACGGGAGCATGCGCATCGCGAAACACCATCTCCTACCTCTCCCGCTGGCGCATTACTTCTGATCCCTCCGCGCAACGAATCCGCGATTCCCCTAGGCCTCCAACGAGTCATCACGTACTGTACAAAAGGAATGCGCCTTGGCGTGTACAAGAATAGCGACAACATGGCTCGTATCGGCACGCTCGCCTCCTCACGATCAGGAAATCTTGTACTGGCTTCTATACGGCTTACTGGTTCTTGATCTGGTGAGCCTACGTCGCCAAGGTACCGCATTCGGCCAACCGGTGGAGTCCAAGCAGGACTTTGCCTTGTCAGATGAGATGCCAAGATGAGGTGCTTCTCGGTCCCGACCATCCAGCCCTAATTGAACATTCAGCTTGGTGATCCTTAAACTCGTCTCTGCATGTTCAACCATTGAAGTGCGATTCACATGTGGCGATACACCACCAGAACTGTACAGTCGCCCAATTCTCACCTCAAATCCTGAGTCCAACGCATGCATGCATCTTGTGTTGATGCTGTAGCTGTGGAGCGCATATGCATCATGCAATCGATTTATTCTCCGACCCTCGCAATCAAGGAACCGCATCTAGGCCGTGAACTCCAGTCGCTGACCGCCGATTCCCTCATGATGCTGCCCTCGCTGCAAGTCTATCGTGGAGATAGGCTCGATACGCCGCAGTATGACCATCTCGCTGCCGCCAAGAGCTCGGCTTCAGCCCCGAAGCCCAAGCGAACGTCGCACTGCTTTAGGGGGCGGACCGGGACCACCACGATGACAAGAACAATCATGATCCGCATCCTTTGTACCGAAATAATGCAGCAACCACATGGCAGCGGTGGCATGCCTCCACCTGTCACCGTGAGCGAAAGCGCCCCGGCAATACCACAGCTGCATCTCAAAGCTGTACCAAATTGCAAAAGTCTGCTTGATATTTTCCTCTTGCTGACTCAAAATCTTGAACTGCGCCATGAGGTCGCATACACACGATCCATGGCTGCTTGACGTGTCTCTCCGTCCACCACAGCTCCTAGGCCGCTAGCTGGGGAGGTGCCAATGATGCACATTGCGAACGACCCGGGATTCCACCCTCCAAGTTCGCACCGCCCGTGGCCACTTTGGATGGACGCCGGACGCCTAAAGTCTCCCCGACCACCGGATACTCTGGAGCGCCGGGTCTATGACGAACGCCTGGACCCATATTTGACTCCTACCATGTGGTATCCGCCAGCGACTCCAGAGACGGCCATTACGAATCGCAAGCAATCCATGCCGAGGCACCGAGCGGTCCAATTGGATACTGCATGGTAATCTCAACCATGTTGAATATGTCGGGCCTCTCAGAATGTGCCTGACGCCTTTTCAAGGATCTTGACTACTGACAGCACCTCAAATTCCCTCTTACGGAGGGGCGCTAGTGAATTGGGCCACGTCCATCTTTATCTGGAGCCTACAGCGCACTTCGACCACGCCACAGCAGGATCTTCACGTGGAACTTCATATCTAGTGCTAGTGATGGGATTCGATTATCCTCGTTCCTGACGCAATTCTGCATCTTCTTCAGCCGTCACCAGCGGTCAAGACGAGACCGCACGACTGACGACTACAAGGCTGAATCATTCGTCGCACATGATGCCTCCAGACCTGGCTGCGGCGTGAGATGTGGCAATCCTTTTTTTCGTCACATTCTCGTGTTCGCTTGCCTGAGGAGTAATCCTCGCAAACAGAGTGAGCGTCGTCTATGTACGACGAATTTCTGGAAATACGCATTCACGATAGACGGTGGCCAACGCATCAAAGTTTAGTCGGTCGTATTCACATCTCAACCTCGCACCGGATCCTCCGGCGCTCGAACAGTAAATCTGAGAGAGCCAGAGTATAGCTCTCGTTTGTCTCGTTTTCCGTTCCGTGCGGCGCGAGTCGCGCGAAGACACACTTTGCGGCCTGCGAAATATTGAATATGACGTGCATATGCGCCAGGATCCCTGCTTACCTCAATCAGCACTTATACAGCTCTCGTCTTCGACACTACTGCGCTTTCGAAGGTGTGATCATGCCGTCGGCGCTCACATCCGTCTGGCCCTAGGATCGCTGAGGGGGCAACCACCGGGATGACAATGCAAGGCCTTCAGGCCTGGCTCGCTTCTGCACAGAACAGCGATTATTGGCTTGAGCCTCATCGTGCTTGACACGAGCGGTGACGGGTCTCTTACTATGGGGATCCTCACTATGGGGTCTCTGGCTATGTGGTCGGTGCCGAGAGCGAGCAGTATATGAATGATCTCTCTCCCTTCTGTGCCAATATCTGCCCAGTGGAACTTGGTCTTATCGCCTCTGGGTACTTCTGTCCTTGGTGGTTCCCTTCTCTCATTCCGTGTATGCCGAGAACCGCAACCACATAAGGCTTATCGTTACTCAACCGCATTACACCATCATGCGGTCAACCGTCCGCGCCCTTGCAACTGCAGTGTTGCTGGGCACGACCTTTGCCACACCTGCACCGGCTCCTCAAGCACAGGTTGCTGCTGCACCCGTCAACACGACGAATAATCAGCCAGTCAACAATCAGGAACAGACTATTCATGTTCAGTTGCCCGGACCTCTGGGCGGACCCGGCGGTCGTGCATACCGCACGGCTGCATTCCTTCCCCCGGGTCAGAGGCTGGCTCCCCAATTATCACAGAAAGCAACGAACGGAAACAGCCCGCTGGGTCTTCTGCAGGCACCACGACTGCCGGACTTTCTAACAGGAGGGCCCTTACCCAATGGATACCCTTGGGCCGGCAGAACCGCCAAGAATACGAATTACTATACCGATACTCCGAACACCGGCGTTACGAGAAATTATGACTTTACAATCACACGACAGACGATTGCACCGGATGGCGTTGAGAAAGATGGTCTCGTTATTAATGGAGCTTTCCCTGGCCCCACAATTGAAGCAAATTGGGGCGATTGGATTGAAGTCACAGTTCACAATCAGCTGGATGAAGGTACGTACTTTCCTATCACATCCGGCACCCAGGGGGAACTATGCCGTAGATTTAACTGAGACAATATACAGGTACTTCGCTGCACTGGCACGGACTCTTGCAAAGAGAAACGCCTTGGTCGTAAGTTTTCCCAGTTCTGTGGAGAACTTTCCAAAATCCTTCGAATTTCCAGTGACGACGACTGACACGTTCGTATTTCCGCAGTGATGGAGTCCCTGGCGTGCAGCAATGCCCGATCGCGCCCTCAGTGAGCTTTACCTACCGCTTCCGTGCAGATCTTCCTGGAACGTCGTGGTACCATAGCCATTATTCGGCGCAGATGGCTGGTGGTCTCTTCGGACCGCTTATCATCTATGGCCCAACGGACAACACTCAGTACGACGAGGATCTCGGACCGGTGATGGTGAACGACTGGTATCACACGGAGTACTTTCAGCTTGTGCAGCAGGCTATGGCACCGACAGCCGCGGGATTGGCACCACCATTGTCGAACAATGTGCTTATTAATGGAAAGATGAATTATCCCTGCGCGAACGTGACGAGTTCACAGAAGTGCACGCCGAATGCCGGTGTGTCGAAGTTCAAGTTCACGTCCGGGAAGACTTACCGACTCCGAGTTATCAACGCTGGTGTGGAAGCTATACAGAAGTTCAGCATTGATGGCCACAAGATGACCGTCTTTGCGAATGATTTCGTGCCGATAACGCCCTACACGACCGACGTCCTGACTCTCGGCGTAGGGCAGCGTTCTGATGTGGTCGTTAAGGCTACTGGAAGACCCACCGACTCCTACTGGATGCGATCAGACCTTGGACCCAGCTTCTTCGAGGGAGGCTGCTCACTGCACGATGGAACCTCTCCGACAGCGCTGGCCGCAATCTACTACGAGAGAGCCGACAACTCTACCGTTCCCACCAGCAACTCTACTGTCTCCAGCACGGCTCTGACAACCTGCCAGAACGACGACTTAAGCGCTACCGTCCCCTGTCATGCCATCCAGCCACCGTCCCAACCAGCCAGCTCTCAGAACTTGGACGTCACCCTGCAAAGCAACGGAACACACAACCTCTTCTACGTCAACAATTCGACCTTCCGCGTCGACTACAACGACCCCGTCCTCCTCGACGCCAAGAACGGCCAGACCCGCTTCCCGTCCGAATACAACGTCTACGACTTCGGCCAGAGCTCTTCCATCCGCCTGGTCATCTACAACCACGCCCAGGCCGGCTCCCACCCCATGCACTGGCACGGCCACAACATGTACGTCCTCGCCGTCGGGTTCGGCACCTGGGACGGCACCATCACCAACCCGTCCAACCCGCAACGTCGCGACGTGCAGATCCTCCCCAACCCCCAGAGCGCCTCCGTGCCCGCCTACATCGTGATCCAGATCGACGCGGACAACCCCGGCGTCTGGCCCATGCATTGCCACATCGCGTGGCATCTGAGCGAGGGCTTGTACATCACCGTCCTGGAACGGCCGCGGGATATTCGCAACGACATGCAGATTCCGCAGGAGATGGCGCAGACTTGTACGGACTGGCAGAGCTATACGCAGAGTAATGTTCCGGAGCAGATTGATTCTGGGTTGAAGAGGAGGAGGAGTAGGAGGAGCACGACGACGAGGAGCACGACGACGAGGAACACGAGGATGATGAAGAGGGTGTAAGGATTTATTAATGATTAATGTCATGTCGTGTCGTGTTGTGTGGTGTTGTGTGTATGGGAACACGAAGCATGAATAAGTGAATGAAATGGGATGCCGATGTTGATGCCCCGAAGAAGAAGAAAGAGGAAGGTTGTAATTCATTCATCACTACCCACTCAGCATTGCGACGGAGGTTTTTTTTTTTGGTGGGAAAGGGGAGGAGGTTGTCTGATCAACGGTTCAGCTATCTATTGTTCTGCGTTTCCAGGAAGGGGCATGCATGGCATGGCAAATACCCTCCCTTCTTATAGAATCTTAATAGACCCAATTACGAAAAATTCTACGAAGCAGTAATGATAGTAACTATTAACGCTATCATGAATATAGCCCGCTAGATATCACTTTGGGCCTCTTCGGAAGAGCCTACAGTATATGGCAGAAGTTGCCGGTACACAATTAATAATCTACCTACCTACCTACCTACCTACCTACCTACCTACTCGTCCGGGATCGCGAGAGCTTGCGAAGTAAGGAGGAAAGTAAAGTCTCTGAGCCAAGATAAGGTAGGTAGGTAGGTTAGGTAAACGATCCACGAGCGAAATCTATAGGTAGGAGAGAACACGACACTTCCGTCGCTCGGCCGCAGACCGGCTATCTAAGATAGGGTAGGGTAGGGTAGGCAAGCAAGCAAGCTGACTCCGTCGTTCGGATCGTTGAGGTGACGGCGCATGCGAATAAGAATAGCAGTCTCGCGACTTTGCAGCGAGCGAACGGATAAGGTAGATGACCCAACCAACCATCCTCTTTCGGCTATCGCTGTGATGATGAGTGATGAAGCTAGGCTACATGTAGGCAAGGATAGATAGCCAACTTTTCGTGAAAGAACGAAATAACGACTGGCGAATGGCGAATGGCGAATGGGAAACTCTTGATTGAGATTGATTGATGGATTGATAGCCAGCTGCCGTTTGAGGAAGGAACGGCTATCTACCTTAGCTGGGTCCTATGCAGATCTGTCCAGGCCAAGGCCAATCTGTCGATTGCGTGCCAAGGGCGGTGATCGGCTCTGACCATATCACTGGGCTGGGCACGGCACGGCACGACACGACGCTCTCATCTCATCATCTCTGCTTGTTGTTGCCGTGCAGTGCAGTTCCCATCGGACGGAGCCGAGACCGACCGACCGGATTGCGTGAAGAAGAAGAAGAAGAAGAAGAAGAAGAAGAAGAAGAAGAAGAAGAAGAAGAAGAAGAAGAAGAAGAAGAAGAAGAAGAAGAAGAAGGATTCATGTTGGTCATCTCTTCCCGCGAATGTGGCGGACGAGGCTGAAGATGGAGGAGGAGGAGGGGCGGCACGTGGGCGGTACATCGCAACAGTCTCCCTTTCCGACGAATGAAGTGCAGCGACGTCTGTCCTTCGGTGGCGTGCGTTCGAACCGCAATCGTCTCTTTCTATCTCTCAGTGGCAAGTGGCACGAGAGGGAGGTGAGAGGCTCACGCTGCTCTGTGCTCCACACACTTCTGCAGGCGTGCCGCTTCGTCAACTCTACAGAGAGCTCTTCTTGAAAGCGCGGCGCGGCTCTGCTCTGCTGGAGCGATCAGAGTTTCACGGATTGAGCGGGGAAAATGCTTCGGCAGCTGAGGAGCTGCAGCAGCAAATGCACATGATGAGAGGTGAACGGCTGGGGTTGAGGTGGAGATGGAGGTGGTGGTGGTCGGTGGTGGGTTGTGTAGCTGATATGCCATACACCGAGGCTCTCCCTTGTTCTTTTCCAAACCACAGCTCGCAGAACCGTCGCTATGTACACAGCGTATGTAGGGTATCATCCATCCATCAATCAATCAAGAATGAACGTGAATTGCTATGGTCCCAAGATCTCATCGCTTCGTCCGTTCCAAGATGTTTCGTTCGTCGTCTCGTCAAAAAAGACATGTCTCGTCTGCATCGTCAATCGTGCTCAGAACATCCGTTGTTGCGGCAGGCTTGAAGGTGCTGCCGCCACAGCACCGTTCGAAGAACCCGCACTCACAACACTATCCCTTCTCTGCCCCGGTATCAAAGCAGTAGGAGCAGAAGTATTGCTGATCCTCCGATCTTTCCCTCGCCCCTTGATCCCCTTGTTGCAGTTCTTGTAGAGCCCACCAAAGTACTCCCACATTTCCTTCTCCCAATGATCAACCACATCGCCTTCCTTGAAATTCTCAAACCGCACCTTGAGCCGCCGGATCGTCTCGATGTGGAATTTGTTCTGGTGTGATTTCAGGTTGCCAAGTTGTGTAAATTGCTTGTTGCAGTTGTCGAGCTTGCATGTGAAAGGCTTGGCAGCGGTGTGGACGATCTTGTGGGCGCGAACATTGCCGTGCTGGGCGAATGTCTTGCCGCAGGTATCGCAGTGGTAAGGCCGCTCACCAGTGTGCCGTCGCTCGTGGGTCTTGAGGTTGCCAAGTTGGCTGAAGCGTTGACCGCAGGCTGGTTCTTTGCACATGAAAGGCTTGATTCCGGTATGCGCACGAGTGTGGATCTCAAGGTGGGTCTTTTGGTAGAAAGCTTTGCCGCAGTCTGGCACGTCGCAAATGTATCGCTTCTTCGACTTCGCCGTGGGGATGTCGCTTGCTCGCCTCTTCTCCGGTTGCCGCTGATCCGTGGAATGGCACTTGGACTGAATGGCCCGCATCAGAGTGTCGATGTCGGTGGAGAACACCGCAGGCTTGCTCTCCTCCGATGAGTCTGATGTTGGTCGCGAGTCCGGACCCGATTCATAGGCAGTTGGTTCGTAGAAAGTTTGAGAAGGGTCGATAGGTGAATCCTCCTCCATTTTGATGTAAGGCTCGCTGCTTCCATCGCTGCTGTAGCTTTCGTTACGCATCATAGACGGATGCGCCATGGTGTTTGTGTTTGCTAATATGGGTACTGGCCACGTTAGGCTTCCGAAAGTCGCGTTGTTGAACCCATGTGACAAGTTATATGCGTTGGTGAAAGCATTGTCCAGGCAAAGGCTGTTCATGTCTGTCGTCCCAGCATGGTTCATTAGAGCACTAGGTGCGATCGATGGAACGTTCATAGAGAGCTTTTGTTGCTCCTGGGCGGCGACATAAGGTAACGACAAGGCTGCTGCAGCGTCGGGTCTGAAGGCCATGCTGAAGTTTGACATTATACCGGCCATTTCCATCTGACTTCGGTTGGCATGGCTGAGCCGTCGCTGAAGCAGCTGGCTTGGCCTGTTTGGCTGAAGAACGTCGGCCATGATTCAATGTCGTTGTTGTCGTTGTTGTTATTCCAGCTCAGGCTGCCTGCAATGGTTCTATTGATCTAGCCAGCCGTAGAGTGGTTGCGTAACTAGAGCAGCCGGACAGGGGTAGTACAAGTGTTTCCGGGAGAGATCAGACGGTATAGCAGTATGTACAGCAGGAGCGAGCTCCTGCTTGTATATATCAAAGTATTCAACATCTGGGCTTCGACTGCACCCCACCACGATATACATGCAGCTTGTTCGTCTGCTACCGCTGGGATGACGAAACGCCAGTGTTGTGGGGAGCGGAAGGCATCCCACAGAGCTGTTTGGCACCACAAGCGGTAAGCTATCATGAGGTCGGCAGAACGGATGAAGCGACAAAAAGCCAAATTGTGAGTGCATATCTTCAGAGATCGAGATCGATGCAGCATCGCGGCTCGAGAATGGCAGGGCTTTGCGGCACGTCTGCACTACGCCTACGTTAGTCCCAGCCACCCGGACGCCCTCTGCAGCTTGTCCTGGAAGTATAAGCCGAAGCGAACATAGGCACCCAGGACCGATCGCATAACTAAGTGGTAGTTGTACTCGGAGCGCAGAAGATATCCCCCTTGACGAGCACCAGGTCTCCAATTCCGGCCTCTTTCGCTGATGTCTAGACGATGGTCGACGACGGCAAGCTTGAAGCGAGGTTCCTGTTCTCGGATGATCAGCTCTGCACATGCCGGCAACACCTTCATCAGATCTTCCGATCCTGGTACGGTAGCGGACGAGCTGAGCAGGTGGGGTGAACGCCTTGAACCGCTGGTGCTGTCTCACATTCGGGAAAACATAATGCCATTATGTTTGCATTCCAGCCAATCACAGTCTCGTCGCGAGAATTACCACCTAACCCTAGTCAGTGGGAAGCACGCTGTTAATTAAGCTCGAGCGCAAAGTTGGGATGCGCGTGCAGAGGTGCAGCTCCAAGGCTGCCACGCTCTGCTGGATTGGCGCCATCAGCACGCTCTCTCCACTACTGCAGCGGCCCTCGAGAACAGTGCACACTCCGAGAGAGAGCAGCGCCGTCGACATCATATTTACTTGGGAGCCGCACTTTGCGCGACCAGGTCGGCGGGTTCGGCGTCCATGAACAATCAGAGTATGAAAGGGTACGAGAATGCCGTGGGCAGCAAGTAGCTGTCATTTGCGTAGCCAGCAGTAAACACCCGCGACAGAGGAGGGTAGCTCCGGGTCGGTCATCTTCGGGCGCACATCATCAGCACCATACCGTCAGGAACAGGACTGCATCCCACGATGTCGCCAGCGAGTCGCGGGTAAGACGGCCGTTTCGTGCTCGCGCAGGAGATGAAGTGCGCCGTACGGGATCGCGGAGGCCACGCCGAAGAAATCCAGCATACGCTACGTGTTCATGGAGCGTATCGTTGACATCGTGGCGCGCTGATGAGGTCCAGATAAGGATGATGCGACGGAGAAAGACATCTCAGATGTCGGTACCCCCGTCGCTTTCCCACCAAGGCGGAGATCGCGAGGGAGGGCGATGCAAGATGTATGCCACCACGGAGTTGCACGAACAGATGAAGGGTGTTTGATTTGTGGGTTCAGACGAGACAGTCGATGGCAGTAGCGCAGCAAGTGCTCTCCGGTGTCTTGAGGCGAGAGTCTCGGAGAAGAGCAATAGATTCTCGTCTCATTGTCTCGGGTCTTCCAGTGCTGGAAAGTCTGTCGTGAAATTTCTGGCGTGCAAGTAGAAATGGTTGTAGGATGGATGTGCGGAGAATTTGATGTCGCATCATGCCATACACACCTGTGCACCTATCTTAGGAAGCCTCAGGCATGCTCCAGGCTGCGCGAGTCATAAGTCACGTGTGTCTATCGGGCTGGTCCGCTCGTAGCGCCGCGCTAAGCGCACAGGCCGCACCGCAACATCAAAACTCCAGCCGATGCTTCAACACTTCGTCTGCTTTTCTTTCTTCTTTAGCTCTCTTTGCCTTTTGGCTTAGGTATGTACCCGACACCCACATCCTCTCTACAACACATGCCCTTGCTAATGCCTTTACAGATCAAGTGTAGTATCTGTTCTTTTCAGTTTAATCTCTGAAACTGGTCTACGGACCAATTCAAGATTATTCTTATTTTTGAAACCGGTCGCCAGGCCGCTGGGCTTGCCTATGTCTGGTGACACCGTGTCGCTCGTATTGCACTGCCTCGAGCTGACGCGAACACCATCTTTTTCATCAGTCTCACTCGCCATGGTGCGGGTTTCTGAAGAAGAAGTAACGACCTGGAGATCAATAGAGGTGGTGCGTATTGCCATGGCAGCAGCGAGTACTCGTGCGATGCTGCGGCTTGAGTAGAGCAAGTAGAAGGAAGGTGTAGTAGACGAGTGGGCCACTGAGGCATTACATTTGACGACTCGTCTACTAGGTATCCATCCATCTATCCTGTGCTGCTTCCTCTCGTTCTCATCATTAGGCAAACACGACCAGGGACACCGCGATGCCGCCCAGCCGCGCGCAACCACATGATCCATTCACCACCAGCTCTTCATCCGTTCCGCCTCTACGACGCCAACCATCCCACCCAAGCCTGCGCTCCAACGCAAGCGCCGCATCCTCGCGGTCGCGCCAACGACCCGCCTTCCTCCCCCGCTACACCGTCGGCCGCACCACACCACACATCGAAACGACAGACGTCTTGGAAGACGCAGATTTCTCTTCCGAACGCGAGAACGAACAAGTGACGCTGCGGCAGCGACCGGGCCCCACGCGACTGAGAGCGAAACCATCCACACATACCACCAAACCAGCACACCAACACAATCCTGCGGAAGAAGAGGACATTGTGAATCGCGGACCAAACGGAAGCTATTTCCTCGATGGCAGCGCTTCGTTTGGCATGCCGGCGCCCACGACGGGGTTAGGAGGAGGAGGAGAAGAAGAAGCACAGATTCAGAAAGCGATGGAGACCGTTCGGCAGGAAGAAGCGCTTTTGGCGCGGAGATACTTCACGACTGGCATGCATTCGAGACTGCAGAGGCCGACGAGGAGACATACGGACGACGATGAAGGTGAGTCAGTCGGCTACGGGAGGTTTGTTGCGCGAGAGGGGGTGCTCATGTGTGCGTGCTTGCAGATTTCGAATTCAACAAGTTGGAAATGATGGCCTCGCTGAGGGAAGAAGCTATGCAGAAGATTGAGGATGAGCGCTGGTTGTATGAGGCTCAAGATCGGTATGCGTGAGCAGGTCCTACTTCGGCTCTCTGGGGAAGTGATGGCAACATGAAGCGCACATGACTCCATAAAGAGAGGATGCTGAGACAGATGTCCATTCTCTGTACAAGAACAGAAAACAAATAGATGAGAGCAAGAAGCCCAACGGGGGTTCCTGCCATGCTGTCCGAAATTTCCCTAAGTGACTCAATCTACTCGTGTACAAGGGAACTCGAGGCACAGTTCAAACTCTGTCTGTTTTCACTGACCACCAGTTGAGGGAAGAATCTTTACGACTCACGAGTGGCGGCTGAAGCCAAACTAGTAGCCACGACCTCACATGTAAATGGTCATTCGGTTTCGTAATGCCGATGACGCCGCGTATAAGAAATAACTCGGGATCCAACGGAAAGATAGAGATATGGTTGGAGTGAGGGATCCCATACAGAAGATGTTCAGTGGACAGAGCTCCTGGTACTGGGGCCGAGTCTCGCGAGGTCTCCGCTGTTATCGGAAAACACAAGCTACAATTGATCAATTCCTGTTTTCTCGAACTCAGGCTGTGTCATCTGGAGATTAGCTCTCTTGCATGGGAGCTGGTCATCGGTTTCATGGTGAAGATGAGAGGCCGCGCCATCGGATAACTCACCGTAACGTCGTCTGGGTCCATAAAGAACTGGAACCAAGCAGCCAAAAGATACTTTCGGGGAGATTGTGGAATTCCATGGGTCCAAGGCGAAAACGTGGGAATGGCGTACCAACATATCATCGCATTGGAATTTGGATAGGCTGCACCGTTTTGAGCGAAGACAAATAGTAGCCCGTAGAACTATTTTGTCGTGACGAACTCGTACCGCTATATCTTGGAAGCACGGCTGATGCAGAATGGTTCGTGGTGACAGTGTGCAGGACGGGATGTTTCTCGGGGACCTGGTCAAGAATCAGCAATGCCCTCGGCAACAGCAGCATGACGATACTGCGTGCTTGCACTTGAAAGTCAATCTGAGCTCCGCGATGGCGCACATGGAGGAGCCTTGTCGAGTAGAACTTGCCTCTTGCGGGAACATTGCTTTCTCATCATCAAGGGCGGCTCGAGAAAGGCAGAGGATCTCCGGTGGTTCTGAGATGTGATGGCCAGGACGATGCTGGTATCGGATCTGCACGCGTAGACGCCTCACTTTACTTCGCATGGAATTGGTTCAAGGGATGAGGGGTGGTCGTCGGTATTATAGCTGAGGGTTGCAGCACTATCTGTCCATGTACGCGAGCGTATCGGCGGGCAGATAGTTTTGCGCCTTTTCCCACATGTACATTATCACATCCAGACCCCGCATTTATGAACAGGCAGATGGATAGGACGAGTCGCGTACGTATACACACACTCCCGAACCACGGAGACAGCGGCAGTGGGTGCAACCACCATGACCATGTAAAAGGTGCATAGTGTCAGCCGGAGAGCAGCAGCAGTCGCAGCGTGGGCGGTCGGACGTGTGCAAGGCAAGGCGCCGAGATGTCTGGGTGTGGGGCGTTTGGGCCAGGGCCCGTAAGGAATCGAAGTTTCGCCTGTGGGCACGGCGGCAGACGGGAAAGCGCGCAATGCGCGATCGTCTCTGCGAGCTAACGCAACTTCATATCCTTGGATGCGGGCTGTCGGGATATGCCAAGGGGGAGCATTGCGGAGGTTGGGTGGTGTGGTGTGTAGGTGGTGTAGAGACCGATACAAGCCGACGGGAGCGAGGTGAGACCACGCACGGAGGCAGCGCGGTCGTGGCGGCAGGACGTGCGAAAGTAGTCGACGGCTGTCTGTGCTGTGTGAGGGTGGATAAGGTATGGTATGGATGTATAGGAAGAGGAAGAGGTGGGAGTTTCGTGCCACCAGGACCGGCTCGCGGGCAGCGGATGTTAGCCGAGAAAGAAGCTCAAAGTTAGCCTGATCTAAGTTGGAGGCTTGCATTAGCGCGCGTGGCCTGGAGAGTGGAGCCTTTGGTTTTGCCTGTGCTATGTAGAAAGCCCTGTCGACCGCTGCTGCTGCTGTGTCCTCACTGGTCCAGACGGGGACCGCCCAAAAAGACCACGCTGCCCTCCAGCCCGTCACCTGCTTCTGCTTCTGCCTCTGCTTCCCGTCTTCGCCTGTCCGCCGCGGCTGCCAGCCATCATCAGCGCCGCCATACCACCACCACCACCACCACCATCTCCTCCTCTCCCACCACCTGACCATCTCCGCCGACACACCTCCATTCGCGGGCACAGCTCCGTCGCCCAGTGCCTAGCTTCAGCTGCCGACGCTGGGAACGGCTGTCTGGTGTTTCACCCCGTCACCGCCGCTGCCGCCAGCAAAATTCGAATCACTCCCTCTAGCTGTTTCAGCACACCACTCGCCTCACAATCCCTTTTGCAGGCCGCTTCATCTTGATGAAAGCATAGAGCGCGAAGAAGAGTAGGATTCGCCAACATGTACAACGCGCACCGTGGCATGCCTGGGCCCCAGCAGGCCCCCGTCAGCAGACTCGCCGAGCTCCTTGACCAAGTGAGGGCTGAGTTTGAGGCTCAAGCAAGCCGCACGACAGAGCATGAGCACCAATGTAAGTAGCTCCAGCATTCCGCAAGTTGCTCGGCAAAGGCGTTTGCGCAAGAGGTGATGGACGTGAAAACGAGGAGCGAAGAGTGATGCACCTCCAATCTTCGCTTTGATGACGACGCCTACACCTTTGGTGCCGCAAGGACGATGGCTGCAAGACTATGCAATGTACGAACTTCACGAACCCACGGCAATAAGCTAACGGAATTTCTGAAATGCAGTGCACGCTCAAATCCAGGAGATGGATTTGATTAGAACGAAAGTCTACCAATTGGACAACAGCCATGTGCAGATGAAGCAGAAGTGAGTATAGCGTATATCCAGATGCTCACGGTAGTACTCGCTGACCCCATCAAGATACGAGGAGGAGATCGCGCGCCTTCGACACGAGCTCGAGCAGCGCGGAGGTCCTTCTCAAGGCCCTCACGCGGCACCTTCGCAACCACCTCCTCCTGCCATCGGTCACGGTCCGGCCAATCTCTTCCAAGGCATCATGGCCGGCGGACAAGGTGGTCCAGGGCTTGCGCCTCCACCTCAAGAGCAGCAGGGCCAGCCTGGCATGCCAGGTCACATGCAAGGTCAAGGCCCACCTGGAGGATTGAACCCTCCTCCAGGTCCTCCACACAACCCTTTCGCATATGGACAGCCGCAAGGCCCGGGAGGAATGAATGGCTACGCTCCGCAACAGCCACCGCAGCCGACTGCCTCACCCGGCGGTGGCAAGCCTCGCATTGCTGGACCTCCACCAGGTGTTCGCGGCCCAGCAACGCCGCAGCAGGCTCCAGCGAATGCATACCCAGGCTCGCCTCATGTCCCGAGGCCAACGCCTCCACCAAATCCCCACGGCCATATCGCGCCCGATTTTCAGTACACCCAGGGACAGATTGAGCACATCAACAATACCCTATCCGAGTATGAGCCTGACAAGCTCCCACCACATCTGAAGCGCCAGGGCGATGACTGGCACGCGGTTTTCAACCCCAATGTCCGCCGAAGGCTGGATGTGGATCTCGTTCACAACTTGGCTCACCAGAGCGTCGTCTGCTGTGTCCGCTTCAGCCACGACGGTCGCTTTGTCGCCACTGGTTGCAACCGATCGGCTCAGATCTTCGACGTCAACAGTGGCAAGCAGGTCTGCCACCTGCAAGACAACACGACCAACTCAGAAGGCGACCTGTACATCAGGAGCGTTTGCTTCAGTCCTGACGGCCGCTTCCTCGCTACCGGCGCAGAGGATAAGATCATTCGCGTCTGGGATATTCACAACAAGGCGATCCGTCACCAATTTGCTGGTCATGACCAGGATATCTACTCGCTCGACTTCGCATCGGATGGCCGCTACATCGCTTCTGGCTCCGGTGACAGAACCATTAGATTGTGGGATCTCCAAGACAACCAGTGTGTGCTTTCACTCCAGATAGAGGACGGTGTTACTACCGTCGCAATGTCCCCTAACGGTCGATACGTTGCTGCTGGAAGTCTTGACAAGAGCGTGCGCATCTGGGACACCTCTTCGGGCGTTTTGGTTGAGCGGACCGAGGGCGAGCAAGGCCACAAAGACAGCGTCTACTCCGTTGCCTTCAGCCCTGGTGGCGAACATCTCGTGTCAGGGTCATTGGACAAGACCATCAGAATGTGGAGGCTCAATCCACAAGGCCGCAGTTACCAGGGCATGGGCGGCAGCAACAACTCTAAGAGCGGCGAGTGCGTCCGCGTGTTTGAAGGGCACAAGGATTTCGTGCTCAGTGTGGCACTGACTCCAGATGGTGCTTGGGTCATGTCCGGCTCCAAGGACCGCGGCGTGCAGTTCTGGGATCCAGAGACTGGCCAGGCTCAGCTTATGCTTCAGGGCCACAAGAACAGCGGTAAGTTAGGACTAGCCCTCACATGCGAACCACGTGCTGACTCATCCTCTAGTCATCTCCGTTGCTCCATCACCAATGGGTGGCCTCTTCGCGACCGGCTCTGGAGACATGAAGGCCAGAATCTGGCGCTACGCTCCGTACACTCAGGCAGGCGGGCCTTAGGAAGGTCGCTATGCGGAAGTGAACGCGCCTATCGCCGGACTCAGCCGGGAAGACTAGGCTGATATCGAGAAAGGGTATTCAGAGGGGGCGTTGATCTGTTGTCTACGACATGTTCTCAGCGCGGCGTTGGATGCGGCGTGGGAAGGTAAAGGGATTGCCACAAGGAAAGTATCCTGTCAGGGAAAGAAGATGCGTATCTTGATCCGTGGACTCGTCTTTTCCGGATGTGTACTAGGCTTCGGTTGTGATGGGCGGAGGACTCTAAGAGGCCGGCATGGCTGGCCATTGGGAGTCTGAGGTGCGTTCTTGGATTGTTGAGGATGGCCGAGGTCGTCAATCTCGGGAGCGCTCATATAGATATCCGTAGGCAAGAAAAGCAAGAGAGAAAAGCTTGTCATGTCTGTCATTTCTTCGAATGTCGGATGTGTCGACAAATACGTACTAAGACGGCTGGACGCTCTTGAGATGGTACGACGATCGCGACTTCATCAGCATCATCGCGCACTTAGACAGACACGACTCACGGATATGGCCGTACTTCAACGATATGCACCCATTGTACCTTCAACGCCTTTTCCGTGGATCGGGATCGTAAATGTGGAGCTACCTCAGGCTCAAAGCATGCGGGAAGAGCACAGAACGAAATCGGATGTAGCGATGTCTGAATACTAGACTGGCACTCCTTCAAAAGAAGAGCGATGACTGGTCAACACCATGCCAGAGCGATCTGTCAGCGTGAGGCGAGACGAGACGGTAAGGAATGATTGTCTCTATTTACAACTAAGCCCACTGTCCATACTTGGAATTCATTCTAAGAACAGAGAAATTTCGCACATGGCCGCGAATCCATTGACTGCGCCTACAACCTGAGCCTTGCACATTTTCACCTTCTTGTACGATATTCAACCTTGGAGACTTCCCTTTTTCTTCTTCTTTTTTCTTCTCTTTTCATGAGTGTCCCAACGCAGTCATCGAACGAAACGACTCGCTCTCGAGAGTCATATATATTTAGCATGATAGAGCGAAGCCTAGGATGAATCCTTCTCTAATTGTCCTCCTTGGAGATATCGGCAAACAGCTTGCTTGCGCTGGACAGCCTTCTGAGGGCTCCCATCTCGGTGAGCCGCTGATGACGGTTCCTCTTGGCAAGACGTAGCCCGCCGACAGTTGGGCGCAGACTAGGAGCCAGAAGGGCGCTTGTTGGTGGAACAGTCTGGTCCTCTGGCTTGGGGTTAGTCGGCTGACGAGTCATCTGGCCGGGGACTTTTGGTACAGCAGTCTGTTTGGCAGAGGCACTCGCTGCTCGAGGTGTCGATGGCACAAACGACATGCGTCGTGGAGACCACGGGATCCGTAGCTTGGACAAATTCCCTCAAGACAGGCCCGATCGGAGATCGAAGCTAGGCTATCATGCTACGAATATACGCTATGTACACGTTGGGATCGGTGACGATCAGACGATAAATCTATGCGTACATTCCTGTTGATATTCGTTGTAGCCTCGAATCGAGCAGAATGAGTTTCGAACTTATCTAGCATTTACCGCATAGTAGGACGTAACAGCCTCGCTATCATAACGTGCCCGTTCGCCTCCGCTCTCTGGAAAGGCAACTGCCCTCGGGTATCCTTTGAAAGTATGCTTTGCATTGTGGGCTAAAAGAGTCTGCACTATCCCCAAGTCGCCTATAGCCGCCGCATCGTGTAGCGGTGTGCCCAGTCCAAATCGCTCGCGCTGTCTAAATGAACTGGGATGCTGGTGATACATGAGCGCGTTTATGGGTGCCCCTTGCTGTATAATGTAGTTGACGACAGCTAGCCGGTCGGGTCTCTCGCGCCAGATAGCAAAGTGTAGGAGTTGGCCCTGCCTAACGCTGCCACCGCACGCAAACAGTGTTTGGATTACGTCGGTAGAACCATATTGTACAGCAGCCGACAAAGGTGTCTTGTCGAGCCGACAAGAAGCGTTCGGGTCAGCTCCATTGGCTAGAAACCATGTCGTCAATCCCAGGTCCTCTACAGCATATCTGCGCTCGTTGTTAGCATGTGCCGATGTATTAGGACGGAGACATACCTACGCGAGTGCTGGGGGATCCGACCAACGGAGGGCTGCATTTATGGGCCATCCATACTGCGGCAGGAGCTGGATGATTGCCTTGACTCGTTATTCTAGATCTTAATTAAAGAGTCTAGTAGATTTTATATAGTATAGTTTCTAAGACCTAGTCTTTGAAATTATATTTTGCTAGCTACTGCTACATTAGGATGCGCACTAGGCCTAGATTTACTATCTTAGGCTAAGGTACCTACCTAGGTACTTTTCCAAGTTAGAAACGACGAGATCTCAACACAAACACGAATTCATCCGTCCATAAGCGCTCGCGGGATAGCTGATTTGTCCGCCGCGGAATAATCCGCAAGTCAATATTTCCGATCATGATCCCTTGATCACACAAGATCAGTGCTGTCGTCTGATCGGAACAGCTGCTTGAGAAACGAAAAGTAACACCATTGTGATCTTGTCCGGCCGTGACTGAAACAAGGATTAAGTTGGACTGCTGGAATGATATCCCGATGCCATTCGCTTCTACTGACGAGCTACCATATGCATCGACCGTCACTTTCTCTCGCACAGCTCAAGAGGAGGCCGTGATGGTGATTACGTGACGAACGAGATGCAGACCCGCTGGAGATGCAGGATTTCTGACACCGAGCTGTCAGAAACCCTATGTATACGAAGCTGCAAGCCATGCCATCGCTTCTGACATCCGATTATTCAGCTGTGCAAGAGCCGGAGGATCTTTATGCAAAAATTCCAAGAAGTTGCAGAGGAGACTCGTGCATATAGAAGGTGGCTCGCTACCTTGCTCGTCAACCTAGGAAATGGACAGCCACGTCTTCCCTCTCTAGGTAACAAAGCAAGATGTCGACAACTCCTACCCTCTGCGGCCGTCTTGGCGATTCAAATATGACAGTCCAGGACGATCCTCGCACACTGCCCGTTCTAGCCAAACTTCTCAGAGACCTACAACTCGGCGGTCACAATCATACTCCTCTTCAGGATACTTCGGATATCCCAGCCTTGGAACCCAGTATCCGGAAAGTCCACGAGGGGTTCTCCGCTCTCTATGAGAACTTGCCCAACGAGCTGCCCGAAGACCAAGACGAAGCACCCATCGAACCATCCGAAATCATGGTCGAAAATCCCGATGGACACAAGATCAAGGTGTACGTCTTTCGACCGAAAAGCTTCGGAAACGAGCCTCTGCCCGCGATCTGTTACATCCATGGCGGAGGAATGACGGTCCTGGACACGGCGAACAAGTGCCATTTCCGTTGGTGTAAATCGCTCGCGTTGCAAGGAACGGCGGTCTTTGCGATCGATTTCCGGAATGCCTGGGGTTCGAATGGAGAACATCGACCTTTCCCGACGGGTTTGAACGATTGCGCCGCCGCGGTCAGATACGTCGCCGCTCACAAAGCCGAGCTGGGAATCAGCAGGGTCGTCGTGCAGGGCGAAAGCGGCGGCGGGAACCTGACGCTCGCTACAGCCTTGAAAGCGAATCAGGAGGGTTGGATCGATGCCATTGATGGAGTGTATGCGTGTGTGCCGGTCACGGATAGAGAAGCGCGCGGCCGGTCCCGAGAGGAGAAACTCCAGGCCTTCCCAAGCCTGGTCGAATGCGAAGGGTATCTGCTGAACCTTTCTGGCATGGTGGAGCAAGCGGCCTGGTACACCCCGAACGAAAGCGACCAGAAGAGCCCCTTGGCATGGCCGGACCGCGCCACGGAGAAGGATCTGCAAGGTCTCCCACCACACATCATCAGTGTTGATGAACTCGATCCGCTCCGCGATGAAGGCATCGCCTACTTCCGTAAGTTAGCAGCAGCCGGGGTGCAAGCCACCGCAGAGGTGAATCTGGGCATCACCCACGGCGCCAGCCTCATTTTCCGCCAAGCGCTTCCCGAAGTACACCGAAAGGCCATTCGCCAGATCGTCGCATTTGCAAAGAGGCTCTGAAAACATCAATCCTCCCGCTCCAATACAATGATGATGGCACCCGAGAACAGATCCTCATCAAACAAAAAACCCCATTTTCCCCCTTTCCACTTCTCATCCACCCTCCAAGAATATGGAGGGGTGATCCCAATGCTATACGGGCTGGGGGATCGCTGCTCGTGTACTGTACTTATGTGGTTGTTGGACACATGAATAATCATCATCATCAGAGAACCCTAGACAAATCAATCGTGAGCTGAAGGATTCTCGCTTTCAAGCTGCAGATGATATTCATCCTCTGTGTGCCACCTCTGTGCCCATTCTTCTCATCACATTATTATTATACCTGAGAAGCTGCGCGTGCTTACATGTGATATTCCTCCCCATGCGGACTCAGACTAGGCGGCAGATCCTCCTCCCTCGTGCCCCACTCGCTCTCCCGATCGCCGAGCGTCAGCTCCAAGACGCCCCCTTCGAGGAAGAAAGCATGCCCGATCCAATTCTTAGAATACGCCTGCCCGTTGAGTTTCGCGCTCTGGATGTAGATGTTCGTATAGCTCGGGTCGAAATTTACATTCTTGATCGTGGCGACGTTGCCCGTGAGGGGACTGGTGTAGCTGACGCTCTCGAAGTAGGGTGGCAGGATGAGGTAGACGTCTTGACCGGCCACGGGAAAGAGGCCGGACATGGCGAAGGCGAGGAAGGAGCCCGAAGCACCGGAGTCGTCGTTGCCGGCGAGGCCTGAGATGCTGTCGTTGAAGGAGGATGGGATGTAGGTGTGGATGCGGTAGGCAGAACGGCCGGGGCGGCCGGCGTAGTGATACTGGAAACTAGAATTGCCATCCACGTCAGTTTGAAGATCGATGGGCTGGCAAGAAGGGGCAACGTACCATGTGAGCTCGGAGGGCTCATTCCCGATATCGAGAAGGCCGGAAGAGTGCAGATAGTCCAATCTTCGAACGAATGTTTCGGGGCCGCCGAGAGTGCGCACGAGACGAGCTTCATCCTGAGGAACATAGAACTGGTACTCCCAGATGGACGATTCAAACGTCTCCCGTGGATTGCTCGAATACGAACAGAAGATGGTATCAAGCGGTGAACACTCAATTGGATTCTGATATCTCCACGTTCCATTGAAATATCTCGGCTGAAAGAAACCGGTGAAGTTGCCGGTTGCGGTACCATTGGGCCAGGAAGATGTTTGGTCGGCCTTGTAAATGTTCAGCCAGTTGGCGCTACGCTCGAGATACTTTTCGTAATCGCTTTCCTCGCCGAGATCCCGAGCCATCAGGGCGATCGTGAAGTCGTCGTAGGCGTATTCCAATGTTCGGCTGATGCTGTGGAAATCGGGTCCGAACCCAAGGTAGTCGTAGTCATTCACGGGGACATAGCCTACTTGTTTCCAGCTTTGCAGACCACCGCGCCCTTCAACGCCCCAGTCGAATGGCTAGCAATATCAGTATCAGAAAGCGATATAAGATTTGCCGGATACATACTTCATTCTCGGCATCGTTGACTACAGCCTTGTATGCCGCTTTCCAATCGACTCCGGGCACCTTCTTCAGATATCCATCGCCGAGAACAACATCAGCATTTGACCCGCCTTGAGTGTAGCCCTTGGACAGTTGCATACGACAGTCCGGTAGCCAACCTAGATGGACTTGAGTATCGATCAAGCTCCGGATCATCTGAGACAAGGCCTCTGGCTGCGTGATGGTCAAGAAGGGGAAAGTAGTACGAAAGCTGTCCCATATACAATAGAAGCTGTCGAAGTATGGCTCGCTGCTCGTCCAGAGAGGATTTTCGCCCGTGTAATTCTGGGGGGATATCATTGTCCTGTATACGCCGGAGAAGAAGGTCTTCTGCAGAGCTTCCGAGGCGCCACCAGGTTGGATGGATATGTTGCGGATGCTCTCCTTCCACGCATTCTGCGCATCTGTCTTTACTCGTGCGAAGTCCCAATCCGGGATTTCCTGCTCGGCGCTCTGGCAAGCTTGTTCTGTGCTCAGGAAGCTCACGCCCATACGAGCTTGGACTATGCCATTCGAAGGGTCATGAAAGCGGACCAGGCCTCCCGCTTGGATATAGAACAAGCTGTACCCGCGATTGACGAACAGCTCCTTTGGCTCAGTACCTCCTCTACTGTTCACCCAGACTCCGGTGTCACGTACAGAGGCACCATTGAAATCCACACAAAAGTACGATTGATATGAGCCTACTCCAAAGCTGGGCAGGAAAGTTCCATTGCCTTTCATCCTCCCGGTCTGCGGGTCGACGGTGATGGAAGCATTCTGTCTGCTGTCTTGGAGGTCTGTCAAGTCGAGAAGGAAAAGCGGGCTGGAGCCGTTCGGACCAATGTGGAAGTTGTAGAGCGCGGTATGCTGCGCGGTTGTCATCTCAACATTGACGCCATTGTTAAGGCCCAGCGAGAAGTAGCCAGGTTGAGCTTTTGGGGTGCCGTTCCTGTAGTCGACCGCGCGTTCGTATTTGGAGCCGTAGTGGCAACCATCGAGGACATCGCCAGCACATGATGGCTGAACTGAGATGGGAAATTGGCCCTGAGATGGTTGTCCACCCGTGCCGGCATCATGCTGGGCGGAGAAGCCCGTCACGTTGCTGAAGTCGTAGGACCAACCGGCCGTGTTCTGGCCGGATACGTCGGCCACGGCCTTAGCCATCCCAAAAGGCAGAGTGGCTCCCACAAAGACATTGCCGCCATTGACCGAGCCAATGAAGGGATCTATCAGGTTGTAGTTGGCCGTTGCTGTGTCCGATTGAGCGAGGCATGATGGGAGGAGGGACAGCAGGACGGCTGCTGCGGAGACGGGCGTTGCGGCCATCTACCTTATGCTCGTGGCGCGGAGAGGGTTTCATCAGAGGAGAGGGGGAGATGGACTACATCTACCTTTCCATAAGGTATGCAGTGCAACATGGGGGAAGATGAGGGGTCAGGCACACACGGGGGGTGGTGGAGGACAAGATTTCCTGTGTGATGCTTGTGATACTGCACCCAATTTCGAGAGCCAGGATCAGCACGTGAAAGCAAAGAGGCCCGCGATAGTCGGAATGCGAGTGAATCATTGTGCATCCATGAGGCGGAGCTCCTTATTAAGGTAAGAGAGAGTGTTCGGCGGTAAATAATCGGCGCTAGCGACCTCTCCCCTCCCCGGTCAATCATCGGCTGAGCCACAGCTCCTTGAACTCTTCTGGTGAATGGAATCTGGAATACAACACTTCCACCTCTCCACCACTTACTTCCGCGCGAGTGATAATGCCACCGCAGAGCAGAGGCACACCGCCACAGCCGCTCCAGGTGCCGACCGGCTTCCAATCCAAATCCACTCCGAATCTCCCTACCCTACGATCACTCGCGGGCAAACGCAATGCCACCGCTGCTGCCAACGTCACTGTCACTGCCAATGCCACACCAGCAACGCTACACCCCCATCATGCTCTCGCCATCTCGCCAGATATCTCCGGCGACAACATCACCTCGCCCTCGGAGCCGGCGTCGATCGACGACTTCTCCCTAGACTCCACCCACGAACACCCCTCGCTCTCGCCCGCCTCCTCGATTGAAGATTCCGGAGAGGACGAGGATGGACACGTCCCACATCTGCCACAGAGGCCCATATACCACCATCACTCGCGGAGCCATACCTACTTGGCGCCCTCCGCCTTCGCGCCGCCCTTCTACAATCGCCCACCCACGCCGCTCCCACCCTCACCCTCTTTGACTTCACTCCTGAGGCCGAACTTCAGCTCGCAAAATAGTCGACCAGGCACACCAGACCCATCCAGCGATGAAGGCACGTCACACATGCGAGGGGATGCCACCGGCGCACAAACGCCGAATTCTGCCGCTGCGTCGGCATTGACCAGCACCTTTCGCTCTGCGAAGCCCATTCCAAGAGCGAGCCCCAAAGTACCAACGTACGAATATTGGGGCTTCACGCTCTACCTGACAAGCAGTCTGGCCTTCATCGTCTATATCTTATGGGCCTTCTTGCCGTCCCCATTCCTCCATCAGCTTGGCATCTACTACTTCCCCGACCGCTGGTGGGCGCTCGCAATCCCCGCATGGACCGTCATGCTCATCGTCTACATCTATGTCGCGCTGGCATCCTACAACGTGGGCTATCTGACACTGCCCCTGAAGAACGTCGAATGCCTCGTTGACGAAGCCGCCAACGTCGCGGTCGTGGATGAGACCGGCAAGATCATCCGGAACGAGCAAGCAAGTTGGCTGAGCGGAGCTCCAGATGCCGGGAAACAGAAGGGCAGCGTGGGCAAGAAGTCAGGTGGGAAAGTGAAGCCGAATCCGCAGTCCAGCTACAATGCTCCACAACCGGAGCTTGACTGGCGGAGCCTGTGGAACGAGGGAACGGATGCGGTGATGGATATACCCATTGGTGGCGTTTGTGAGATTCTGTACGGCGCGCATGACGAGGATGATGATACCCTGTATGATGATGAGTAAATGAGAATCATGTTCAATGACTTCAGTGTTGAAGACCGATAGTGTCGACGAAGCAGAAGAGATCTTTGAGATGGCGACGGAGGGCGTGCCGTAACGATGTTTTGAAGGAGAAATGAGGGAGCAAGCGACGGAGATGTTTAGAGAAGAATGACAGAAGCTTGCGGATGAGGAAGGGAAAGCGGTCAGTGATGACTGTGGCTGGGTTGGTATGGGATGGAAATCGTGACGAACAGCGAGCCCTCAGTGCTTCGTTAAGCGATTTCTACGGGAAGCTTCCTCTACTCGTCATATGCTAGAGCACCGGGTGCTCTGACCTTCTTCTGCGCTCTCTTGTTCGCTTTGTGGTGCTTCTTCGGGTTGAACTTTGCTTCTGCCGGGTCAACGCCCTTCTCCAGCGCGGTTACTGTGCGCAGCTTCCTTCCTGAGAGTTGCTTGCCTTGCTCACTGTATTGGTAATGGAAGGGCTGAGCCACGACGCCACTTGCCTGCCCTGGAGCGAAGAAAGCCTTGTCCAGCGTAGCGCCTTTGCGACCTTGACGGAGCGGCAGTGCGGCCACTTCTGATTCCGTGTCCATGAGAGACGCGTCTTCGGTGCCGGCGAGCGACATCACATCAGAGGCAGCAAGATGTGCCCGTCGCTTTTGAGGGAGGTGGGCGAGATCATAGAGCTCGCGGTTGAAGTGTTTCGGGTCAATTGAAGGCGATGTGGGAGGTGGGTGGCAGAAGAGCAGTTTGCCCTTCACGTAGTCTTTCAGCACAGATCTCGCTGCCCGAGCCTCATCGGGCTGCCCGAGACCTTGCGTGAAGAATCCTCTTGCTCGCGCATAAGCGCGTAACACCTCTTCTCCAGTAGGTATCCCAGTACCTCCCTCCTCAAGTGGTCGAGTGATGATCCGCATGCCGTACATGGCTTCCAAGAATTGCTTGGGTATCCGTTGCGCAACGAGTGCGGCAGGCCCGGTATACTCTCGGAGCTGGTCAATTGGCAACACGCCAGCGCACACGAGCTCGGCTTTGGTCGTTGCGAAGTTGGGAAAGACCAGACCGGGACAGTCGCAGAGAATGACTCGAGGCGAGAGATGAATGGTCTGGAAATGTTTCGTCTTTCCAGGCGTTGCTGACACCGATACCTTCTTTGCACCCAGGAGAGCGTTGATCGTGGAGGATTTACCGACGTTAGGATAGCCAACCAGGCCAATGGATGTCTTTCGCTGAGGGAACTGCGGATCTGATGACGGCGGCGCTGCGGGAGAGTGCTCGAGGAAAAGAGCCTCGAGATCTTCTGTGGTCAGAATTCTCGTCGCCTCCTCGATGGAGAGGTTCTCGGGTTGGTCATCGGGTACTGCATTTGGCTTGACATCGACGCTCTCTTCGTCTGCCCATTCCTCTTCATCTTCCTCCTGATCCTGTATCTCGATCTTTCTGGCCTCTTTGGCGAGTTTATTGCCTTCTGCCTCCTCGATCTCTTCTTCAATGTCGCTTTCATGCAGCTCTGCGTCTTCCTCATCGCTGTCTTCATCATCTTCATCGTCCTCCTCATCTTCGTCAGAATCCTTTTCTCCCGCGTCCTGCAGCTGATCGAATGCATTCTTATGTTCGACTTCTTCTTCCAAGTCGTCTTCTCTTGCTTCGTTCATCTCCTTTGCAAGTTCAGCCGAGAAGAATCTGAAGGCAATGCCCCGCTCGTTGAACCACTCGGCCCATATCCTCCTTTGCTCGAGTGTCATCATATCGGCCTTGTTGACCAATAACAGATTTCTCTTCTTGCCACCGTCCAGTTCTTTGACATAATGCTCCAGATCCTCACAGCGATACAATAACGGGTTTCTGGCGTCCACAATCTGCACAACGAGATCTGACCTCTCAATGACCCGCCAGAGTTGCCTCCACACCTCCAGATTGCGCTCAAAAGGAGTCATGAGTAGATCATCCACCTCTTGCAGTTCCGCCAGACCTCTCCGCCATTCTAGCAGGCTCTCGCGCTCCCTCTCGTCGAGTTCTCGCGGCGTGGTATTCTCATCCCACAGCGGCCTTCTGGGCACATTCAATCTGGCCCGCTTGGCGTTCTGTTTCCGCACAACTCCTCTCTCCTCCTCTTTGCTCAAAAGGTAAGGGTTCTTCTGGTCCGTATGTATGATCTTCACGTTATTCATCTTCTCTGCTGTGAAGTCCGTTCCTGCCAGTTCTGCCGTGCTCAAGAACTCGTCCAACGCGCCTTGCTCTGTGACAGAGCGCATTTTGACCCAGTCGGCCTCCTTCTTCTCGTTCGTGATATATTCATTCCCGGCCTGATCTTTTCGCTTGATTGCATTTCCTTGATTCTGGGCGCCGCCGCGGTGCATGTTGGAATTTTTGCCTTTGCCAAAGCGGTCGTTCATAAGGCTGTTGCCCAGCCCCACGGCATTCTTGCTCTTTGCCAACACCATCTTCTCGGTATTTCGCAGGTATGTGAAAGGTGTGGTGATGTAGAAGAGAAGAGGCGAAATGTTTACAGAGAATATGCTTGGTAGTGTCTCGTGCCGACGCCGACTCGGATGACGCACGCGGGGGAAAGTGAATTTTGGCAGCTTTCAATTTCAACTTCGAGAGCACACTTTAAATTTTGATGATCAGACACGTCTTCTGGACCCACGACCCATTGAACGCGAAGAAAACAATACATCTCTGCCGAAATGCCGCGGCGCAAGTTCATTGACAAGAAGAGTGCCGTGCACTTCCAGTTGGTGCACCGCGCCCAGAATGATCCGCTCATCAACGACGAAAATGCGCCTTCGATGGTCTTCGCCGAAGTCGAGAAGCAGCAGCCTCGACGAGCAAAAGACGACGACTACGCATATTCCTCTGCCGGATCGGTCTACTCTGGCGCTTCGTACAGATCCAAGAAGACCAAGCAGCGCGGCGACCTAGAGGAGGAGTTTGGACTGAGCGTACGCAAGAATGAGGGAGAAGCGGCGCAGCATGGCGTCTTCTTCGATGATACGCAGTATGACTACATGCAGCATATGCGAGACTTGGGAGCAGGAGAAGGGGCCGTCACATGGGTGGAAGCGAGCGTACCGCAAGACAAGAAGGGCAAGGGAAAACAGAGACTCGAGGATGCACTACGAGACATGGACCTGGATGACACGAGGAGTGTGGGGCAGAGCAGTATGACTTCAGAAGTTGCGAGGAGTCTCTTGCCCGAAGAAGTGCTGCCAAGTGAGTTCGTCAAGAAGAAGAACTACCAGGACCAGCAAGACATCCCAGACGATATCGCGGGTTTCCAGCCGGACATGGATCCACGATTGCGAGAAGTACTCGAGGCGCTTGATGACGAGGAGTATGTGGACGACGAGGAAGACATTTTCGCAGAGCTTACACTGGACGGCTATGAAGTGGAGCGAGACGAGTGGGAGAGGTTTGGCGAACAGCAGTTGTTCGATGATGAAGACGATGCTGGGTGGGAGAGCGATGACACGATTAAAGCGCCGGCATCACCTCGAGAAGCTCGCCCTCAGCTTGATATACCTGAGGGCGAGGAAGTCATGCCTCCAGAAGATCCACAGGCTGTGCCTACAGCAGACCCGACTGAAGGTGCCTGGCTAGACGAGTTCAAGAAGTTCAAGTCTGCTGCCAAGGCAGAGAAAGCCGAAAAGGCTGGCCCAGCTGCTGCTCCTTCCACGTTAGAATCCTCAGCCCTTTCCTCTCTTGCAACCGGGCGGCGAAAGAAGCGAAAGGGTGCCAGAACTTCCACGACCAACTACTCCATGACATCTTCAGCGCTCGCACGAACAGGCCCTCTCACAACACTAGATGAGCGATTTGACAAGATGGAGAATGCATATTCCTTGGCTGAATTCCCTGAGGAGGAGGAAGATGGGTATCTCGCAGAGAATGCTTCTGCCGTGTCTGGTATGACGGGAATGTCGAAAGCATCGAGAGTCAGCAAGTACTCGAGTGCATCCGGACTCAGTGGTGTGAGCGGCGTCTCCAGCTATTCTCGGGCGACCGATTCCGAAGCACCGCAGCTTGTACGAAGCGATATGGATGGTATCATGGACGAGTTCTTGGCGAACCATAGCAAAGCTGGAAAGCGAGGCACTAAGGTGAAGCGTTTCGGGCCTCAGACCGGTCTTGAGCAGCTTGACGAGGTCCGAAGAGATGCTGGAGGCAAGCGGTACATTCCTCAGAAGTATCTGAGAAGCCAGGGGGCTTCATAGGATGCCTCATTTTTGCGTGAAGCGTTTCGTAGCGTTTCGTAGCGTTAGATACCCATACCATCAAGCTTCGCATGAGTTCGACCATGACGCCATTTAGCTGGTAAATATTGTCGAGTTTCTATAAGTGCATTGAGCGCAATGCGATGTTGTATTTTCATGAAGTTAGACAAAGAGTTAGCGCCGATCTCAAAAGCAAAGGATCTGAGATCGATCCCCGACACGTGCACAGCGTGGGCACGGTCCAGCTGGTTTGGCCAGACCAGCTGGATCAACGGCACCGATGACGGCCAACGCCATTGTCGTCAACTTCTCCTCTACCAATCCTCCTGAAATGATGAAATACTTTCCTGAGCCCTCACGGTAAGGACAATGGGCTGCTAAAGCTAGGTGAGCTCCTTAAAACGTCTTTCATCGATTTCCGGCCCCTTCGAACTCGCGAACAGCACCATGGCGCAAGACGACGGTATCAACGCAGACCTACGTGCTTCGCAGAAGCCCTCAATCACGGTTACGCGTCGACACGACCGATCTTTTCGCATGCTGTTGATGCATACGTTCGTCAGGCCATTCAAGCATCAAATCGTCAAGCTGCCCAAGAAAGTGTTTCCGGCTGGGTCCCCGCAAATACAATGCCACGAAAAGGCAGCGAAGACGATCGAATGCAAGGAACGAAGAGTGGACGATATCTATCTCTACGACCTGTCATCGAAGCAAGAGCGGCGCCGGGAGAAGAGACCTATCAAGAGGATGTATTACTTCTGCGGAGGAGGATGGAGATCACCGCCGTCATCAGAACACTGGGCCCTGCTTGCGGAGATGACAAACAATTTACCAGACATTGCGATCACACTCGTGAGCTATCCTCTGGCGCCGAATAGTCCTGCTCCTACGACCTTTCCACAGCTTATGAAGCTGTATCGAACGGTGATGCAAGACGCAGAAGCGGCTGGAGAAGAAGTCATCCTCGCGGGAGACTCGGCAGGAGGCAATATTGTGCTCTGTCTCACTGTGAACGCCCTCGCCGAAGACGTCGAAAGCGGCAACGAACTCCCTTGTCCCAAGGCCATCTTCGCAATGTCGCCCTCCACAGACCTTCGCCGCGCAAATCCAGACATCAAACAAGTGGAGAAGAAAGACCCGCTTTTACGGGCATCCTTTGTGGTCGATACCGCGAAGTCATGGCGCGGAGACTGGGACCCTTGCGATGTGCGAGTCTCGCCTCTCTATGCGGATGTCACACCTCTGGCGAAGCGCGGCGTAAAAGTACATGGAATCACCGGGAGAAACGACGTTCTGGGACCAGATGCGATTTTGTTCAGAGAGAAGTTGAACCAGGCTTGGGTGTATGGCGAATGGCTGGATTGGGATAAACAGATGCACTGCTTCCCATTGGCGTTCACATTCCATTTCCCGGAGAGCAGAGAGGGAAAGGATTGGACTCTTGATGTTTTGAAGAGGACATGAAGAGGGTGATCTGGGAATGACCGTTATCTGGGACAACTGATACAGAACGAGACGTCAGAATCGATAGACTACTAGGGAACTTTCTCTGCCTCAGGCAGAAAACGACACTTCTTGATGATGAGCCCAATGAGGTTGGTCCCTCCTACAAACTGGTCATTTTCCCCGAGCGCTAACTGACGGCCTTCGAAAAGCGCAACATACCCCGAAGTTTCCGTATTGGGAAGCAGCCTTGGCGTCGGAGCTGCTTGCCCTACAGGTTTGACAGCTGCATAACTATGCACACTGCACGAGCCCTGCATCACGATGGCGTTGCTCGTTAGTCATCTTCTGGGGTCTGGAGCTGGTGTGGAGACCCCATCCGTGCTCGTCGATCCACTGCTGGCAGACTTTGTTTGGGGCAAGTATGGCCGTTATGGAGAGGGAGCATCACATGCGAAAGAGGAACAGCAGGAGAAGACATATATCAGTCTGAGACTACGCTTCGTTGGAAAGGTTCTGATCTCTCACGCCATCTCACCATCCGTCCCCATTCTGCTGTGAACCCACACCATCAACACATCGTTGCCGAAGCTTCTTCTTCACGATGTACGGTTTTGTCTTTGGCCTCGTGGCCCTGACACTGGGCCTGCTGCTTACAATCGGAAAATGGACCCTCGACTATTTCCGCGACCCCAAAGGTCTCCGCCGATACCCCAACATGTCCCTCTTCTCAGGCATCAGCAGTCTTCCCTTCATGCTGGTTTCCTATTCTGGGTTCCGCTCACAATACATGCTCGACCTGCACCGCAAAACTGGACATTCGATCATCCGCACAGGGCCTAGTACCCTGCATTTCTCCGACCTGCGGGCCATTAAGGATGTCTATGGCCACTCGACGAAATGCACGAAAGATGGAAACTACGAAATCCAGGCCGGAACCCATTTCCATCTCGCCGACGTCGTGGACAAGCCCGAACACGCACGGAAACGAAAGGTCTTGTCGTCGGCGTACGCGTTGAAGAACCTGGAAGAATGGGAATTCAAAGTCGCCGATAAAGTCGAACGGCTCATTGCGCAGTTCGACAAACGCGCAGATGGGGAGACAGTAATCGACTATCGGCCCTGGACGAACTTCTTCACCATCGACGCTATTGCAGATATAGGACTTACGCACCGCATGAACCTACTGGACAATGCCAGTGGCAAGACGACCGGTATGAGACCTGATGGAACGCTGTACGAATGTGATTTCCGCCAGTGTCTCTATGCGAATTCGAGAGCGACGAGCGTGATGAGCTATTGTTATGACTACTACAAAGAAGTCTGCAAGCTGAGCAAATTGTCGCCGTACTTCAACCGACTGTGGCAGTTGAACAATGACTGGGATGGGATTCCAAGGTATCTCGCTGCGGAGCGATTGAAGCGATACCAGGCCGGAGAGAAACTCGATGATTTCTTTCAAGCCTTGATGGAGGATCGCAATGGCTCGCCGAACAATCTCGAATGGGGCGAGGCTGTTGCGGAGGTGACGATTATGATGAACGCAGGCAGCACCACGACGGCAATCTCGATGGCCAACGTCCTGTACCAGCTCCTCAAACATCCACACGTCATGGAAAAACTGCGAAAAGAAGTTGACGAGACCCTCGATGAGGATGAAGAAGTTGCACCCTACGAGAAGGTCAAATACCTCCCCTACCTGCGCGCATGCCTGGACGAATCCCTCCGTCTGTTTCCCCCAATCTCTCACGGTCTGACTCGTGCCACACCGGCGGAAGGCCAAGAAGTCTGTGGAGAATACATCGCCGGCGGCACTACAGTCAACATCAGCTCCTACATCGCCCATCGCGACGAGAAGGTCTTCCCGGATCCAGAATCGTATATCCCGGAACGCTGGCTTGGCGAGGCGGGCAAGGATCTGGGCCCTTACTTCATCGCTTTCTCTGCTGGTGCGAGGGGTTGTATTGGGCGCAACATCGCCTATCTGGAGCAGACAGTGCTGTTGGCGAGTATGGTGCATCGGTATGAGATTGAGCTGGCGGACCCCAAGTTCGAAGTTGGTCGGTACGAGTGGCAGAATCTGCATTTGACTGAGCTACCGGTTAAGATCCGAAGGCGTCAGAAAGCTGTTGTGGAGGAAGTTGCCTGATCGGATTGCAGTGTGGTCGTTTTCGATGAAGCAGCGTTGATTTGATGCATGGCGGCGGCGTTGGGAGAGGGGGGAAGCATAGACCTAGAAGAGATGTCTCTCGGCCTGAATGCAAACGATGTAGACGACCATCATGACCATATCTCACTCAATATCATTTGGGAAATTCAGATCCGTCCATTGACGCTTCAGGAGTTTCACAGTGTGCCGCGTAGACCAACCCATCGTTTGCGACACATACTCGAGGTACCTGAGCGCATGTTTCCGCTGTAGGCAGTCTGTCATGCAGTAGTAGCCGCCCACACGCAGCATGTGATGAGCAGTGAAATTGGCATTTTCCACAAACGGGTTGGATTGTGCTTAGCCCGATAATGGCGGCGAGGTGAAACGTCACATCGCGCTGCACGAAGCACGTGTCAGCCGCTGGTTAGCCGTGGTTCGGCCTCGAAGTATCGGGCCATCTTACCTCAAGCGTGCGCCTTCGTCTCGCTGCATGGAATCCGGAAAGCGATTCCGGATCGGGTTGATGCAGAAGTAGGTATGTCTTGCAGGCGTGGTAGTATTGCAGAGCGGCGACTGTCACGGGGGGTCAGAAGTTGCTTCGTGAAGAAGAATGCGAACTCTCTTCCGCCAACGAACCTTGCGGAGGACTGATCAGATTGATGAAGGGGAAAGGCCGGCTTTCGGCGAGGTCAAAGTCTTTGTAGTGGATGGGTTGGAACAGGCGATTTCTTCTATCGTTCCATGCTTCAACATCATCAGCTATTCGTTTCCAAGCGGCATAGTCGCTTTCTTGTCCTTCCTGTCTGTGCGCTAGGCGTAAGATCTTGGCGAAGCGAAGCACGACTACGTTGGCACAAGCTGCATCGTCTCGGAATGTGAACACCGATGATTGATCGTAGTTCTGTGAAAGCTCGGTGGCACGCAGATGTACCATCGAGGCGTAGATGTCTTGCCGAAGTGCTTGCCAGCAGGCTGCCTCGGCGAGCCCGCCTGAGTGGGTGAATGTGGGCATTATCCGCAGTAGACGATCCGTCCCCTTAAGATGGACCACCTCCTGACTCTCGGAGACGACTTCCTCGAAGACTCTCAGACACAACAATGTGGAGAAGATTGTTGTCATCATACATCGCTTCAGGGCCTGAGAGCTGCTCGATGACAAGTCTGAGACATGAGCCGTGGTAAAACGCCGATTCGTCCGGCACAGGCTGGTTGGATATCGTGGACAGATGCCTGGAGGACAATGCAAGAATCGCGAAGAGAACCATAGGCCCTTGCATCGCCCGTCGAGGCAGCTCACGGGTGAAATGACTAGACAGATCGCAGACATCCATCCAAGGAGCTATCTTGTTGATGAAGTGTTGCACGGGAGAGGCTTCTCGACGGGATGTATTGGACCCTGCGAGAACTTCCGGTGTTTTCAAGCTCGCAGGCGACGCGCCAGTCGTGCTCCCTACCGGAAGCTGAAAGGGAGAAGTAGCAGATTGGATAGACACATCGTCGTGGTGGCGTTCACAGAGGTCATCGATCGATGCCGGGGAAGAGTATGAAGGGAGTGTCCGTCGCTCTGATGCACTATCCTGAGGAGCATTCAGCATTCCCGCTATGGAGGCAACGCTCGGCGGTTCATTACCGGATGAGTCTGCACCTGCAGCCGTGGATGGGCCTGGGCTTGGGCAACTTCGACTGTTTGCATCTGACGGCCGGGTAGCCACGGCCTCCTCATCGTCCGTATGCCATATAGTATTCTAGACCGATGCCATCTTCCAAGACCCAGCTAACTGACAACACAATCAGTAGATCCTCCGCAGGTTGGAGAAGGCAAAGACTTACAGCTTTTCTTCGTCGAGACCCACACCTGGTCCCGATCATAGCTTTAGGTCTTGCTTCGTTCCCTTAGATAGTGCTAATGGGCTCCACGGAAGCAACCTGCCGAAAGCGAAGCTTGGGCGCGAAGATGCATGCCCTATCCGCTTCGATGCACCGCGTACAGACGGTATTGCCGGGCTCGGTGACGCATTTCAGATGGCGCTCACGGCAAGACGTGCACCCTTTGCCTAATTTAAACGATCAACGACGCGTTCGAGACGTCTACCATGTAACGAGAACCTTGCCGGGTCTAATTCCATTCTAGCCTCGCACCTGACTTCCTGCGAGGTGAGGTGTGCAACGTGTCACCATACGGAGATGGACAAAGTGGTGTTTAGATTGCTCGGTATGGTCAAGGAAAAGAAGAGCGAGTTGGTAATGGCTGCCTCCTTCTCAGGCGCTTCCTTCCTAACGCTCTTTGTTCCGTGCTTTGCTCCGTACTTTATGCCGTGATCGATAGCGCCGCTTTTAGTGTCGGACGGGTGCGGGCGGAAGGAGGCAGTCCGATTTAGGTATAGTATAGAAGGTGATTATTATTTATAGAAGAAAAATTAAAAGGATAAATGCTAAGATATATTTTAATATTCTATTATTATTTAGTAGATAATAGTACTTATACTATTAAGCTAACCGTATATTCGATATTATTATCGTAATTATCAATTAATCTATAGCCTATTATTAATCTATTTATATAATAATAGCGATAATAGTATAGGCTAATAATATAATGCCTTACTTAGTATAGGAATTATATATTCGCTAAGTAAACAGCCGTAATAAAGATTACTATATAGAGGGCTAGTAGATGCATATACCAAGCATTACTCCGCAAAATCTCGATTCCCCGATGCGCCAATATTCCGTTGCTTAAGTGTTTGTCGTTTAAAACACATCCGGAGCTCCTTAGGGCCCTAGCCTGCTGTAGACGTGATCAAGGCCGGCACGGCACGATCGAGCCGACATCATTGAGAAACAATAATGGTAGTGAGGAGATTCCAACGTATCTCCTGCCTCTTATGAGTCGTGACTTACCTTATGCGCTGTGTGGGAAGGTCATCAAGACCTGGAAAACAACTAACGGTCAAAGGCTCATGCTTCGTGATAAATTTTAGCTGGAAAGCTACTTAAGAATGCGCTACAATGCGAGGACCACAAGATCAGCCCCAGACATCCTGATGCCATCGCTTGATCCTCTTCTGCTTGTCTATGAAGCCCTTTGCTTGTTCGTCACTCCATTCATGACGCTGTTGAACCTCGTCAGTTACAGCCTTTGAGACATCCCTGGCCATAGCCGCAGAGCCGCAGATGTAGAACGAAGCCTCTTGCTCTGTCACCAGCTCGCAAACTTCGTCGGCGTACTCCTTGACTCGATCTTGGACATAGACCTTCTGTTCGCCATTGCTAGGGCGAGAAAAGGCGGTGATGAGGCTGAAATTAAGTTCCGGCCTGCTTGCCCATTCCTTCAACTCATCAGCGTACAAGTAGTCCTGACTCTGATTGCGACAGCCAAAGAATAGAATCGTTCGACCAATTTCGCGCCCCATCTTCGACAGCCGCGCACGCTCCTGGAGGAAGCCACGGAAAGGAGCAATACCAGTTCCTGCAGCGACCATGATGATGGGCTGGGACATACTGGCAGGCATCTTGAAAGTTGATTTGCGGACATGAGCATAAAGTCTGGTCTCTGCTGCTGCTGGGCTGACTGATCCGAGGAAAGCACGTTGCGTGTCAAGCAAGTGATTGGTGCACAGTCCCGGAACAATGGCTTGGCCTTGCATACGCTTATCCGATACCACGGCAGTGATCGCCACTTGACGGGCATGAACCACCGAAGAAGAAGAGATTGAGTAGTATCGCGGCTGCATCGCCGGGAGCACTTCCACCACCAACGACAGAGGCACGTCTTTCCAGGCGCCCTCGCCAGGAGCCACGTGTTGCAAGAGCCTGCCGAGGTTCAAATACTGAGTATCGCAAAGCTGCTCGTACGCGGCCTTGTCGCTGCTGAGTTGGATCAATCTCTGTTTAGCTGCCTCAGAGGGGCCGAACTGGATCAGAGCAGCAATCGTCTCCCGTGGAACGGCGGCGCATACTTCGAGGTAGCTACCAAAAAGAGCTTCGAGGGTGGTGGGTGTCGGGGCCTTCAGCTTTGTTTCCGCATCCAAAGAGCGAAGAGAGACCGGAGTGTTCTTCGCGGACAGCTTTCCCAAGCTTTGAAGAAGCCTCTCAACTTCAGGTTTCGGATTGGCTGGCCAGACTCCAAGATGGTCCCCAGTCTTGTACTTCAGACCAGGCTGTTCCGTGAGGTCGACCTCCATATGCACGCAGTTCCTTTCTCTGGCATCTTGAAAGAGCTCGCGCGTGGCTTTGACGGGTAAAGAAAAGACCGGGGACATTATGCGCTCAGCCTTCCTGTCTCTAACAGCCCACGGTTCGCCGTGGTGAAGGTCGATTGGCTCAAGCGACGGATCCTCATCAATTTTCAACGAGGGCTCGTACACCGGGTCCCGTTCTTCAAAGCCCAATTGCACTTTGAAGTAATCGAATAGACTAGTCTTGAAATCCAAGTAGTGCTCCTCTGTCTGACCCTGAGCATCATCGGCTTTGCCGATGGGCAGAAGTGCATGAGCACCTAGTGCGTCCAGTCTCTGGGCAACGACATCGACCACTGCATTAAAGTACTTGTAGTTGCTGTTGCCGAGTCCAAGCGCCACATACTGCAGATTGTTGAATGGGCTTCCTTTGGCAGTCTCGAGCCAGTGCCACAGGTCCTGGATGTTGTCGCTTGGGTCGCCTTCTCCGAAGGTAGAGACGATGAATATCGCGAGTTTCGACTGTGGGATCTTGCCGATGGAGGCAGAGTCATAGTCCGAAGCATCAGCAGCCAGAGACTTCTTGCCAAAGCGTTGCCGAATTTCTTTGGAAAGGCGGGTTGCAAAGCGTTCCGCGGTGCCCGACTGGGAGCCCCAAAAAATGACGATGTCGGCGCCAATTTGGTCCAATTTCTCTCCGATGTCCCGAGTGCCTTTGGAGCTTCCTGTGACGCCCATGAGTTCCTGCGGTCTCTCGAACATCTTGTAGAGATGGGGATCCGCCGTCTCTCCGAACAGGCCTAGATACCAGAGCGTTCCCGCGACAGCAGCCACGATAGCGACTGCAACGAAGTCGTCCCAGTATACATGATGAGGGAGTTGAGAGAAGACCTTATCGATGCCGAACAAGTCAAGTGCCGGGAGTCTGATATTTTGAACCTCCATGATGACCTGCTCGCCTGAGTATGGCCGGTGGAACTTGCGCGATTCTAAGAGTGTCCGTGTCAGCAGTGGGGAAGGAAGAGCAACACCTACTTATGTATCCATTGCTGCATCACAGGAGGTGTCTATGGGAAGGTCACCCGGTAAATGCCCGGAGTTTCCCAAATCGTCGACTCTTCCAGCTGCTTTTACACGGCATCTACATCTACTCGCCGGGCCCAGCTCTATCACAGGAGCCACTTGACCTTCCATTGGAGAAGGCTTGTTTTCGCATCTGCAGTTCCAGACGCGTGTAATGGTGGGAGATGGCTGCAATAGCGCCTTTGGGGCGTCTGGAGAAGTTGTGGAGGCGGGGAAAAGAGTGCAACAAGTTCCGGGGTTGCATTGCGTCGACTTGCTTCGCGCGAAGGAAAAAGGAAGTCGAAGCCGCGGTGAAAGCTGCCTTGTCGCGACAGTCACGTGAGTACAATAGTCACGAGATCAACTAAATCACGTGAGCACCGGCTTGTTCGAATGGAGTGGACTCGTCTACACTTCATCCCCCCTCCAATCCGGCATCTTGTGCGAATGGCTTCCTTGTGAGAAGGAGGCCAGAGATTGTGCTTCACCCTCACTCATGCCTCCATCCTGGCATGTGCTCGGGTCGATGATGATCCTTGGCAGATAGGTTCAGGTTGAGGGTGAAAGAAACATCAAACGGTCCCGTGGGAGAGAAATCGTCCACATCAAAATCGTCTTCGTTCTGTGCGTCTCAAATGCGCCTCTATTCTCCGTGCAATCACAACACGATGGGGTATGTAGCATAATTACTGTTCGTCATCATACAAGCCATCAATCCTGGACAATGCTCTTCATCAAACGTACCTTCTGCAGCATCCTCATTCGTCCCCTTGCTGTCTACCATGGACTGGCGCCTCATTCTCACCGAACGCCGCATCGAGCGTCCTTTGTCTCCTTTCCTCCTGCGCATTCGGCTCTCGGGTCTTCCTGCTGCTCCTCATTGACACGTTGGATCCAGAGGCGCCAAACATGTCGGTCAAGGTTGCTGATAGACTCCTGACCCTTCCTGAGTTCTCCTTCGGACTCCCTGCTGCGACTCGCACAGCTGTATCGTCTTCGGAGGCAAGGCCAGGTTCACCGTTGGCTATGGAGTGCCTCTTCAGGCCACTGGAAGCCGCGGGTCGATTCATCGCCAGCTGAAGTTGTTGGTCTGTCGGCCTTCTAGTAGTAGCAGGCGTTGGTGTCTTTCGCCGTCGGGACAAAGATCCAGAAGGCGACTTGTCGATACCTCGCCGGAGTTCGTCGGCTACGATTGCGCTTAAAGATCCCGACAATGGACTAGTGAGAGGACCGGGCAAAAGTCCACCCACGGAATGACGAGCTGTCAGCCTTTGGCGCGATGCACCAGGATCAAGATGAGTACGACTGGGAGAAGGCCGTGATGGAGACACTCCCGCAGGCCCCGAAGGTGTTCGATCGAGAGGAGTCTTTGGTCTGAGGGCGTTGCTCGCGGTCGGTGTTGTAGGGACAACAGGCTCACTTGTCGTCGCGTGAATAGCAGGCTTCTTCTTAGGATCGCCAGTATGCTCCGCGAGCAGTGGCGCGGAAGATTCTATGTGCACTGCACTGACATTGGCGGGTGCAACATCTTCAAGCTGCTGCTTTATGGGCTGGGCGTTTGAGTCCAGAGGCGCCGAAGGAGATGTGCCCAAATCAGATTCCATCGCCGATGCGTTCACAGACCTGGGAATAGAGGTATCTCCAGCCGTGTTGAGTCTTCGCAATGAGCCACCAGACGACGAGGCTACCGCGAGGGATGACTGTCGCGTGGGGTTTTCCATTTCTCGTGTTTCTGGAGCAGTTTCCTCGTCCACCAGGCCAATCGCGTCTTCCTCCTCTCCCAAGTCTTCCTCGTCATCTTTGTCATCGCCTGGCCTGGGTCCCGAGGTGATGCAGTACACGCCGAAGAACGTCAAACCGCACCCAGCCACGAACTTGATACCATCCTCTGCCTTTTCCGACTCGAAGTCGCGATATAGTACTGCACTACCCAAGATGACGGACAGCGTAAAGAGCACAAATTGCGTTGGAATGACCTGAGTGGCGTTGAAGCGTTGCAGAGCCCGATTGACGTATTTGATCTGCATGATCGCAGTGACCACCAGAACAGCCAAGAGTAAGTATGTGATTGGGAAGGTCACAATTCTCCAAATGCTGTAGGTTAGTAGAGACGAAACACCCTTCGTAGATAGTGCTGTGTATCCACCAAACAAACCGACGAGTCCGAGGTCGATCAGAATCGTCTTGTGGCCATATTTGTTGCTCAAGAAAAGCAGCACAATGATGAGAAAGCATGTGATGCCCAGGTAGGTCTCGAATTCCCAGGTCGTCACTAGATCCCAGATGGCCTCCGGTGTGAGCTTCGGATTGTTCGCGCTGGCACTGAGGACCACCACAACACATCCTGCGATAGCCACAACTACGCCAAAGCCGTCGCGATATCTGAAATGTTCTCCAAGCAGAAGTGGTGCAATGATGCAGTTGGAGATCAGCGCCACCACGCCGAGTGGGGACACAATGGAGGCGGGCGCGAAGCCGTATGCCAGAAAATTTCCGGCTTCTCCCAAGACCATCAGAGAAATGCCTAGCCACCAGATGGGCGATTTGAGGTAGGACGTCTCTTTCGATGCGTCCTCATCATTCTCCTCTTGCGGAACGGTGTCTCCAAAAGAGCCTGACGTTGTCCTGCCGCTGTCCAATCTGGGTATCAGCGGCTGAGTCTCTCCGTTCTCTTCAATGCTTTGCTCGTTCTCTTCCGCCTTTGCATTCTGCCGGGCTCGATCCTCGGCGATTGCAGCTTGCTGTGTGCCATAATTACTATTTGACGTTGCTTTCCTCCTTGCGGCTTTCCGTTTCTCTGGTACACCTTCTTCCCGGTCTCTGCCCAATCTCATATGCGCATATCGCTGGGTATTCAACGCGAATGATATGAGGATGTTGCCCACGATGGCGGTGATGACGCCAATGAGACTGGCCCAGTCGCCATTTTTAAGCTTGGACTTGCCGCCAAAGGCTGATATTGTTGGGACATCGGTGCTCGTGGGATCGTAGGAGGTTGGCAGATACATGGTGGATTGTTTGCTGTACAAGGCGAGCCGACGATGGGCGGGCGAGTCCAGTGGCTACCGCATGCTGTTCATATACAATAGATCTTCGTAGAACCAGTACATTCGCCGACGCCAGAGGAGTATGGGTGAGTGAGCGAGTGGGTGAGTGAGAGAAAATGTTCCACCCGCTGGCGTCGCGATGGCGATGACCGAGGTGGAAACTTAAAATGAGACTTCCAAGCTGTAAAGGTTCCTCTCGTCAACCACGTCCCCAATGATAACAACATCAAATGCTACTATTGGCTCGCTTTATCGTGACTCGATATCAATTCCGCTTTTCCTGCACGAGCGACAAAGAAGTCCACGACATGACCATCCCACGACCTCTCCTGCGCTGCTATCGCAGCCTCGAGCCGCTGCTATAAGCGTGCCGCCAAGTACCCAGCCAGAAAGATGCCTCGAATGCGTTAGGATGGAGTCATATGCACGTTCTACACGCGCAACTCCGTGCTTGTTTCGGGAGCACTTACGATGTGAGCTGGATGGTGCTACCTGGGAGCATCTACGGAACTGAAGACCCATGGGTCTATGTGGAAGCAAGTTGGCCACCCCGGACCTAGGAAGTCCAAGACAACCACAAAAGCTTCACCGAGAACTCATTTCGATGCTCGTACAAGTAAGTCGATGAGAAAGGAACCGAACGACGATAGTGTTGTGGCAGCCCTCAGGGTATGAGTTGGTTTCGAGATCTAGTGGGGCTTTACGGTGGACCAGGAGTCTGGATGTGGGAATGAATGGCACTATGACTGTTCCGTCGGGGAAGGACGTGAATGGCACTATGACTGGTCTGTTGGGGAAGGACGATCATCACTTCGGAGTGAGGGCTGTTGGAAAGGACGGGAGAAAGAGCCCCGCTGTGTCTCTCATATCAGCCTGAGGGGAGGGCCAGACCCGACAGAAGGCTGTGTTCTGTAGGTGCTTGTGGGATCACGTCAGTTAGTGATCGAGACAGTGCGACTGCGATTTCACGCTTCGGCGTGATCCATTCCATCGTCTATGTAGTGTCGTGTCTAGCGGTCTGCAGAACACCAGCTAGCGCTTGCAGTCTATCGCTTCCATGTCATTCAACCATACGTCGTTGCAGCATATCACATCTTCTTTCCGGTTGGGATCTGGAATGCGACCACACTTTCGCCATGCTTGAAAGCCTTGTCAATGCGGAAGAAGCCCTTACGATCGAATTGCACAATGTCATCCTCTTTCAGGCTGGCCACATTGCAATCCGCAAGAGCTTCCGTCTTGGTCTCAGTGTGCGGGTTCAGTACCTTTTCCAGCACATCATCCTCCTCTAGCTTGTCCTTTGTGATGAGGTAGTCGAAGTCATACATCGTAATTGGCACAAGCTCCTGGTCATTCGAGAGCCAAGTCACTTTCTTGCTCGTCTTCTTCACGTCTCCCTGAAGATGGAGCTCCAGCTCGAGTTCGGTGACTGTCTTGTCCGACTCGGACTTGACGAGGTTGAGAGGGTTGAGTGAGTACTTCTTCTTGCGAACGATGGCGTTGCCCCAGTTCATGAGCGTAATCTCTTCGTCTTCGGCGAAGGACTGAGCGTCGGCTTGGTCGAGAATGATGGTCTTGCTGTAGACGACCTTCTTTTTGCCGAGTTCAGTGTTCTTGGCGTGAACGTCCTTTTCTTCAGTGCGAGGCGCCTCTGGTGCGCCAGTAACGCTACAGGTCACCTTGTCCTTGGCTTCGACGGCAGTATATCGTGCTGCGACAGGGTCGATGTATTTCTTGTTGGTGGCCCAGAAAGAGGTCCAGTCCATCAAGTTAATGTTCTTGCTCGGACCTTGCTTGACGATGAACTCCTGCAGGGCAGGAATCGTCATACCACGACGTCGAATGCCACGGACGGTGGGCATGCGCGGGTCATCCCAGCCCCAGACTTTACCTTCAGCGACGACCTTGGTGAGCTTGCGCTTCGATAGGAAGGTGCGGATGAAGTTCATGCGCGAAAAGTTCCAGTTGTGTACACCGCGCAAGTTGAGGGCGTGAATGAACCATTGATATTGCGGGTCACGGTCGTTGTACTCGGTCGTCCTCAGTGCGTGCGTGATTCCTTCGACGGAGTCCACAACCGGGCAGGCGAAGTCGTAGGTTGGGTAAATCTTCCAAGCGTCCTTGGTACGATGGTGCGGCTCTTGGTTACATCGGTAAATGGCAGGGTCTCGCATAGCGCCGTTGTTGCTCGACATATCGATCTTGGCACGGATGAACCAACGCTTGCCTTCTTCAGTGCCCTTCTTCATCTCCTCGAAGTGTGCCAAGTTGTCCTCGACCGAATCATTGCGGTGTTTGCTCTCAATTCTCTCCCTGCGCTCTTCTTGCATCTGCTCTTGTGGCGTGTCATCCGCGTAAGCCTTGCCATCCTTAATCATCTGCACGCAGCGCTCGTAGAGGTCTTGGAAGTAATCGCTTGTGTATGTGACCTGATCTGGCTTGATGCCCAACAGCTCGCAGTCCTTGAGAATGGAATCTTGGAACTCTTCCTTCTCCTTGGAGGGATTGGTGTCATCGAAACGGACAATCATCTTGCCGTTGTACTTTTTGTGGGCGAAGTAGTCGTTGAGGAGCGCTGCTTTTGCGTGTCCGATGTGTAAATAGCCTGACGGTTCTGGAGGGAAACGAGTGACGACGCCTTTCTCGACATCTGGAAGGCCAATATCGTAGCTGGCTCCATCGTCGGCAGCTTCCTTAGCTGGTCGCGTGGGCAGGTCAATGGATGGGTTTGCGGTCTCTTCGATGTAGCTGAACCAGCGGGACAGGTTAACCATGAGATTCTGCTTGATGTACGAGTGTGCGACTCTGTTGCCGCGAAGGATCTTCCATACGGTCAAGTCGGCGTCCGTAAGAGAATATCCCACAATGTAGGTGCGCAGCGTGAGGTGGTCATTGAGCTCGCCGAGTGGGCCCTCGATCTGTTTGAGGTTGAGTGGCTTGAGAGCCTCTGCTCGGTCTTGCCACTCCTTGATCTGCGCAGCCATTTCGAGAAGTTTTTCTTCAGCAAGGTGAAGGTGTTTGGGTGTAGGCAGAGGGGGAAGAGTAGCTCAGTATTTCTTTAAAGTTCAGAGATGCACCTCAGTATGTGCTACGCAGGCCTGACTCAGCCAGCAGCCGCTCGGACCACTTCATCCTCTAAGGTATGCCCCTCAATGTTTTCATCAACAGACATCATTATACTTGTTCTCTCATCAGGCAATCAACTCTGATGAGGCTTCAATTTTCCGCCCAGTGCTAGATTTGGTCTTTTGTCATATCATGAGCAGGCCTCCAATCCAGATGACGACAGCCGCCAGTGCAAAGGTAGCGCAGTCCAGTGCCGTTCCCAAAATGCTCGAGACGATCGAACACTGTTGGTTTGAAATGTGGTCAGATTATCGCCAAGACTGCTTACCTTGCGACGAGCATTGACTGCTGCTACTTGGAACAGCTTTTCGGACGATTCGAGAGCTTCATCCTTCATCGACCTTGCAACTATAGCGCCGTACTACTCACAACCTCCTCCACTTGATGATGAGTGAGACCATCACATGGAATAGTATACTTCTGGGGAGCATTAATGTCACCACTGCACGTTTTTAGCCAAGATACGGCTCACAACGATCGACTCCGCACGAGAGATCGTTCGAATCGAGCCTGCGGACTACCCTACAGGCAAGATCTGAGCTAGATGTGCTCATATGGCTGCGATGACTTGCCTCTACTACTACTGGAAGCACACGCCCTTTTCAGTGGCTTCAGCACCGAAATTGCCGCGTTGTAGCCGAGCACGTGGAGACGATTCTCCTGATTTCACAAAGCTCTCGTTTCGAATTGAAAACGACAGATCACCTTGTCAGATTGGCGAAGATTCTCGAGTTCTGGCGACTGCTGTTCGTACGACGTACGCTCATACGGATAGCTCGCAATGCCACTGTCAAGGCTTGCTCTGAGCTCTTTCCTCAACCGAGTACAAAATCCCAAGAAATTCGAGGTCAAGAGCCTTGGGGTGGTCGCATCGGCGTCTTGGCCCAATATGAAATGCCACCGGCGGGTTGGGGAAAGAGAGTGTTTGATCATCCAGTAGCCATTCAGATTGCCCATTCTGCTTAGCTGGCAATACGATCACATCGTGCAGGGCAAGTCTGACCTCACGAGGGATGCACGTGGCTTTGACCTTGGCAACTATACCTATACGGTACCCGTACGGCGACCTCTCGTGCACTCTTAACGACGAGGATCTCGGGCCCGAGCAAGGCAGTTTGAGTTGTAACAATCTGTGCACAGACTACGTCAGAAGACCTGATCTAAGGCTTAATAATAGGGCACTCTAGGCGCCGAAAGTGCTTGGAGGAGTGTTCGATGTCTCTCCTTTTCTTGGCAACCTCGACAATGAGCTTCTCCCCTTGTGCTGTTTCTCTTGGCTGGCACGCGTTGGAGAAATCCCGAATTTCCGCCCCGTCTTCCTTGAGCCGGATTGCCTCTACAACTGAGATAGGATCTAGCATTATGATTTGAAGTGTTCCGACTATCCTTCGGACTTACCAAAGGAAGCATCTCGGAATCTTCACGATTGAGATCACCGCAATCTGCATCCAATGCTCGTCGCACTCTTTCCATACTGGCAGCGAAATGGCATGGTGCCACGAATTTGTTGGCAGGTCATGTGAGACTGATCTGGGATTTGGACCCTTATGTCTGGACACAATACCGGATAACCCAGCCTAGACTCCAGGGGACGGCAAACGCCCATTCGGCGCTGCGGGATCTGCGGCTCAAATACGCACGACACTTCTCGCTGTCACTTCTACTGCTGGATTCCTGTGCAGCTTTCCGTGGGCAATCCAACCAGAACTGCTCGAAGCAAAGTGCCATATCCCATTAATGCTCGCCGCAAAGCCTACAAGGGTGTTGCACGGACGTGACCTAGCCAAGAGGTGTTTACCCTCGGACGCAGGACTCCAGCTAACGCAAATTCGAAATCATGTCTTAAGAGCATTACCCAACGACGGACACAGCACTAAGCATTCGTAAGCGCGAACGTCCACGTGCAGTCCCTGAATAGCAGGTGGCATGCATCGCGTGCCTCTAGCAACAATAGAAGACCATCACGGTCGAGCGTATGCCCTATGTTAAATACGCAAATCCCGCAGAAGAAGTATGTTATATTAAAGAGGTAGAAGACGAGAATTTGCGTCAGTTCCTTTCCGCTCACCGATTTCAATGATTAGTATCCTGGCGGCGACGCCGTCCAACTCGAACTGTCCCTTGGCGAAGGCGCAGTACTTTGAGTCGCTCGCCAGGACCACACTTGGCAACAAAAGAACGACCTTTGCCCGTGGCGATCCCAGCAGGGACGAAAGGAGAGCGGTCGGGTTTAATGAGGATGATGAGCAGTGCGACATTCTATTAAAGATGCTGGTACATCAGCACTGCTTGAGAACAACCACAACACCTACTTTGCTTCTCGTCGCACCCAGACTTTCTTGATAACCCTTTACCTTTACCCTACTCTTGGTACCTCTGAACATGTTCTTCCAAAAGGCTCTCGGCGTAGTGGCTGCCTCGGCGAGCTTGGTCTCAGCATGCGCGCCTGAACTCTACAAGCGCTCCGGCCATCATCCCAACCATATGGTCAAGCGTCAGAACCTGCCAAACGATATCAAAGACTCACGAGGATGGACTTTTGAGCTTTCGGAGGAGTGGAACGTCCTCAACCCTGGTAAACAAGCCCATACGACTCACACGTGAGAGGTTCGAATACTGATCGTAACTTTGCACAGACTGGGGATACTGCTTTAATGGAACCCAACAATCTCCCATCGCTATCGACTCTAGATGGGGCCTTTCCACGAAGCACCAGCCGAAACTCAACTACCCCGAACGGCTCCTTGGGCGCTACAACAACTGGGACTTTGGCCCTCAATGGATCGTCGACTACGCCGCGAACAGCGAAAACGCCACCCTGACCTTCGAGGAGGAAGACGGCGAGAAGGAAGAAGTCATCTTCCAGTCCTGGCACACCCACTCCCCCGCCGAACACTCCATCGACGGCTGGTACCCGCGAGCCGAACTACATCTCGTACACTACGACAAGCAAGGCGTCCCCCGCGCCGTCGTCGGCTTCCTGATCGAGCGCCACTCCCACGCCTCTTCCTCCGCCTTTTTCGACCAGATGCCCGCCTTCAAATCGATCAACTTCCGGGACGACGTCACCCTTCCCAACGTCACATGCAATTTGAACCATGCTCTCGAGGCCGTGAATGGTTACCGGGACTTCTACACGTACAAGGGCTCTCTGACCACACCGCCATGCAAGCAGGGCTTGAGATGGTATATTGCTAAGGATGTCATCTATATTAGCGATCGGCAGATGCAGGAGTTGTTGGACGTTAGCACTTTCTCCGCGAGACCCGTGCAGCGGGTTTGGCAGCATGCTGTCAACGAGTGATTGTATCGTCTGATGAAGTGGAGTTTTTGGAGCATGCATGGGGTTTCTTGCCCATTTTCTTGCTGTGGATATTTTTTTTCTTTTTGTTTGCTTGGTCTCGTGTGTCTGTACATAGCCAAATCATATCGCCAGTAGCACACATATATCGTTCAGATCGCTGTACACAACTTCGTCACTGTGTACCCATCATTCGTCAAGTCATGTCGTCGGCCTCATCTATCAATCGTACTCGTCGTCGCAATGGCATCAAGTCCAATGGTCTCCATCCATCCGCCTTCCTCTTAAGGATATAAACCCCTATTCGTGGTCTTCTTAGTCCGATAGGCCATGATCCTCTCCAATCGATCGGAACCTTTCTACCCATGCCCACCTATTGTTGGGACATCCATCCTGCGGCATAGCATAGCCCGCCGTTGAGACCTGCCGTAGAAGCCCGCCATCACAGCGACCCGACCTGCAGCTTCGCAGATTTCAAAAGGTTTCGTACATTGTACGAAATCAGAGCTGCGCTTCACCCCTGATTCCCATTGAATTTCAGTAGCCCGATGGCGGAGACTGGGCCCCGCTCCCTTATAATGGGGCATCGGAAAACTTCTGAATGACAGCTCGCTTTACACGCGAGCTGACACGATCAAGCAAGAGCCTATCAATATCTATAGCACAGAGATGCCTTGTTCTCAGTATCCATGACGTGCTTGACCTGTACCTTTGGCGCCAAAGTCGCAAAGTGCAACCAATCGTTCCGCGTTGCTTTTTCAATGGAAGAGCGGTGCCTCGGGCCGTCGTATGCTCGTCGCAAGCCTTTTCCATTTCGCTGCTGCCAGAGCCACCACAGTCGATCGAGTTGGACGTGGTGGAGGTAGAAGAGAGGGTCGTAGGGTGCGGTGAAGGTTGCGAGATCGCCCGCGATGCTGAACGGGATGATTCCGGCGACTCTGCTCTGGATGGATTCGGAGAATGCCGAGAAAGTGGTAGAGGTGGTGAGGATTTCTTCAATGGATTCTGCGCTGAGAGCGTGGCTGGAGATGTGGTTGGAAGGGTTGCCGGCGGGATCCCGGAAACCGCGTGAGAGACAATGAGGTTTGTATTGGATATCGTAGAGACTAACATTGGTCCTCGCAAACGGTCCGTCGGTGACACAGCGTCCTTTACGGCCGATGGAGGGATCTCCGTCAATCTCTCCGTCTCCGCCGAAGCCGCTTTCCGGGTCGAAGACCGGACTCCGTTCCAAGGCGTCGCTGTCGAGTGTCCAGTCCCAGTACGTCAGACTTCCCCGGTATCCACACCTCCCTCGGAGAGTATCCTCATAGACATGTAAAAAGTATCGATGCCAAGGCAAGAAGGCGGCACTATCGCGAGTCGAAGATCCGACATGGCTATAGACCCACGGGAAATCGTCGTAAGCGCTGAGACGGCTATCGGAGGAGACGTTGGAGTAGAGGTCCTGGAGACATAGCGCGGCGGAGATGTAGTCTTTCTGTTCTGCGCTGGTGAGCGTTCGCCATTCTTTCCGTTGAGGGCATTTCTGCGATGAAGGAAGAGGAGTGTCCGTGCAAGGTGCGTATGATGTGGCGGCCTCGTATGCCGGTATCTGTCGTAGTAATCTCGAGTGGTCTCTACCGGAGTGCAGTGATAGCCAGACGAATACTGAGCAGACGAAAGCCGCGACAAAGAGGACCGCGACGCTGTAGGTGATGTCCCAGACGGTGCTTCGGCCTTGTATCAGGACTGGCTCGTGCTCGTCCTGCTCTTCTCGCCAGTCATCGTCGTCGTCGTGGTCCTCTCGAGGTGTTGCCCGGTATTCGTGCTTCTCCTTCGGCCACATCTTGGCGAATGAATGTAGAATCGTCCAATGTAAAGAAAGCGAGAACACAGGTTTCAACGGGAAGGCCACTTACATATCTCTTTTTGTTCTTTTTTCATTTTCGTCCTCAGCCTTCGTCCTCAGCCGTAGACCTCAGCCGTGGGCGCATTAGGCAGCTCGCGAGAAGCATCGCTAGACGATTGCGGTATACGCTGAAAGTTTGTGCCAGACTTCAGGCAGTGCTGACCAATGAGGGAGGCTATTCTTGTCACGCGCAGCCCTCAGCGCGCCACTCGTCGGTTGCTCTGACCCGCCAAGCCTCCTTCTTATCCTCGTCCACCAAAAGTGTGGAAAAGAATGAGTCGAGGTCGAGCCAGTGATATTGCGACATCCATGTCGCAATCCCTCGGCAATGGACTATCTTTGATCCGACCCGAAGAACCCGTGGCGCCAAGCCAACCTCACTTTCCACAGAGCCACTGGACGAGGCGAGACAGAGCAGTCGTTACATTAAACATTACAGTTTTTTCGGGAAACGTTGGCCTCTCGGACGGCGAATTTCTTCTCGCTTGACCTGGTCCTCCTGCAGTCGATGCTAACGGCAATCGTTGGACCAGGTGAGTCGACACGCGCATTTCGAGATTGGATTCCGCAGCCAAGATGTGATACTCCCGTTGCTCCCTATCTTCGAGCCAGCTTTCGGACGTAGAGACAATCCGTGCGCCTTGCTTTCAGATAGAATCTCTCCGCGGTACCTATCGAGCCAGCTCCCATGAAAACGGATTGCCTCGCATGGATCCAGTATGAAGTCTCCCTCTTATTGTTGAGACCGGGATCCTCTTGGAGAAGTTTTCGGCAGGAGCCCACAGTTCCTCCTTTGGAATGTCTCGCGATATGGCGGACTTTACAGCCACACAGAATCTGCGACTGTTATCAGCGAATTCCGATTTCGATGGCGTTGAGATGGATGATGGTAACTTACATCTCAGCATCTCGTGTCTCCCGCATCAGCAGGATAGGTACCAAGCGTACTATCCTTCCTCCCATCGTTCGATTCCATACGCTCTCGCCCAGCCATCCGATTCTTTCCCATCTTGACTCCAGCTACATTCATCTTCTCATCAAACTTGGTCATCAGCAGTACCCTTTCACACCTTCCGCTTATTTCTTCTAAACATCAAATTTTCTCACACATCTCTCCTCAGGACGATACTGCCTCGTCACTCTATATACATTGATCGGAGTCCAGGGTATTAACCACAAGGCTGAAAAGTAAAATTGAAATTTCCCGCCTACGTACCAGAAATTCCAGTGGCAGGTGTTGTTGGTTTAGAGACTCCTCCATGCGGGCGTCAAAGCAAGCCTGAACGACCAATGAGACAGACACCATTGGTCCATTGTCGTGCTCTGAGTGGTACCCGACTTGTGCGACTAGCTCGGGATGCCACGTCCATGGCCCACCGGTCTAGCGCGCGCGCGCGCGGGCATGGTATGTATGGCGCTTATGCAGGAGTGCTCTGACCCATGTGCACATGTGGATATTCTTGGTGATCCGGTTCCAACCGAGCTGGACTACGAAACACCTCAGCCGTACGGTAGCACGGTGTTGTAGGAAACAAAGTGCTTTGGAGATGTTGATGGTGGGTTGCATCGTGAATGGGAGTGAGTAGTCAAATTATCTCCCAGCCTTCCCGTCCGCAGCTCACGAGATCAGCCATCGTGAAAGAGTGTCAATGGAGAGAGGCAAATAGAGCGTTCCAACTCCAGACCCGAGTTCACCGATCAAGACCAAAAAGAAATTCGCCTCGCATACAGCTCATCTCATCTCCTCGCAGCCTTACAATCGCAATTCCCCTGGTACAGCTCTTACATCTTCCTAGGCATCCTCCCCTTCTCCCTTCTTGGAAGAAATGGCCACCTTCGAACTGGCCTTATCTTTCCTCCTCCACGCGAGAGGAGGTGGTGGCATGAGGCCGCATATAGCACCCGTGAGAAGCAAGTTGCTAGCCATCAACAGACAGACAGACGCACGGCTGTTGGGTATGTATAGCTCTGGATCGTCCTCCGGTCGGGGTGCCTCTTCCGTGACTTCCAAATTTCCAAGGGACCTTGATTCGATTGATAATGGATGTCGAATTGCAGAACTTCATAGTGAACTTGAAATACCGCTCTCGACTTGACCCCAGACACAGGGCATACATGATCTGTCGCTTCCTTCACGCGATCGATGACTTGAGACCCTTTCGCGCGGTGAACACGCCATCAAGATTGATTGCCAATGGAACCGTTTTCGCAGTGAGCAGGATCATCGTCGCAACATTCTCGACCAGAAGTCGGTTTCATATTCCCGGGCAAACTGTTTACTCGAACGAAACTCACCAGAATTGAAATCAGGGCCGACACAACCGGTCTGGTTGCCATCTTCTGTTTTTGTTCTAGACTTGAGATGCTCACGCGGGCCAGAAGAACATCGGTATTGGCAAGAGACGGAGACTCGAGAGAGAGAGAGAGAGAGAGAGAGAGAGAGAGAGAGAGAGAGAGAGCTCATCAGAGCCAAAAAAAAAAAGGATCAATCAATCCGGGTCTCCCGTCTCCGTCTCCGAGATTATGTATGCAGTTCAGCAGCATACCCTCATCACGGGACGACTTCTTACTGGCAAGTGACGTATCTATCTACCGTGAGATCGTAATGAAAAAAGCAGCAGCAGTAGATAAGCTTTTTCAAAGACCTGCTCACATCATATCACAAGTCCTGTCCTGTCCCGTCCCGTCCCGTCCTGTCCTCCCACCTACCTACCTTACCTACCTCACGTAGCTAATCCAGGCAGGGCCTCACCAGAAAATCCTCTATAATAAGCCCCAACATCTTAATCCGACCACTCATATAGATATATCTAGCCCGCAATACGTAAGGCAAGGTTACACACACCATGCCATGCCGGCCTAGCAGAACACTTCCGGATGGATAAGGTAGCTAAGTGTTATCCAAAAAAAAAAAAAAAAGAAGGGCCTACCTAAGAAGTAGTACAAGGTATGTTAAGCTGCCAGTCCCCCTCCCCCCCTCCCCCCCCCCTCCTATACCTTATAGCTAAAAGTAAAGGCAAGGTGGGTCCTATAACTGAAAATAACGGGATCTTCCATCGCGATACGAATCCGCTTATTACTTCCCAGCAGCAGCAGCCCGGTTGGACATCATATCCAGTAGATACGTGTATCTTATACATACAGAGTCCAGAATCCAGATCCATGCCCACCTATGACCACCTATGACCACGGAATCCGAAAAAAAAAAAAAATCCAAGAATTGAAGAATTTAGGAAAAAGGAGGTGCGTCGGCTCTCTCCAATCCACATCCCGGAAAAGGGCATCATCCCGTCCAAGAGGTCGTCCGTGTACATGTACCAATCAATATGCATGCATGGACCGCGTAATGCAGGCCAGGCCAGGCCAGGCCAGGCCATGCTGCCTGCCTGCCTGCCTTGGAACCAAGTTTTTTTTTTGGCCGTGGACAACTGCCAGTCTTGTTGTTCCCTAAGTTACCTTTAGGTAATAGGTAATAAGGTATGATGATGACTTACCTTAGTTCGACAACAGCAGCAGCAGGCAGAGTTGGAAGAAGACCACTGGCAACCTGCCCTCCGAATGGAAGGTACATACATGGCTAGGTACGGTCCAGAACTTGGAAGCTGACGAAAACACCCCACTTGCACTTGCCCACTCGTACCTGCCAGGTTGCCAGGTTGCCAAGTTGTTCTTCTTCGCATTCCCAGCGCATTCAATGTTTCACGCCTTTCCCCTTTTGGGATCGTTGATGGCGGCTAGCGCCTCGGATCTTCCCGAATCACATGTGACCCGCTCCTCCTCGCCGGCGCTCGAATGCCAATGATTCCCAGCGTGCCAGTCAGTATTCACGAGCAGCTCACCCTGCGACTAGCTCCAACCACTCGGTCCCCAGCTGGAGCCCCTTGCCAGCGCAAGTGAGAGGGAGAGGCAAGCCACCACCTTGGTTGGACAACAGAATGCTGATTTTTTTTCACCAACTGACGATGAAGTCTAGACTTCTCCTAGGCTACAGAGAAGAGAGACAGCAAGAACATACGACCGTCAACAGCCAGTTGCCGCCCACCCTCGAAAGCAACCAGCCTCCTTCCCTGTGTCCGCCGTTTGCCTCCAAAAATTCGAACAAGTAACTCAAATGTTTTGCAAAACTCCTGTCCTTCGCCACGCTGTTGACGACTGAACATTTCCCTTCCCTTTGCACCAAAAAGATTTTCCTCCAGATTTCTCGCTCTCTCCCTTGATGGCCTTGTTTTGTTTCCGGGTCTGCTTTATATCATACATATCGTAGCAAGCGCTCCACTGCGGCGGCTTTGCTTTCTGTGCCCTGGAGCAAGCGAGAGTAGCTGTTGCATCGAGGTGGCATCAGTAATAAAAAGAATTGCCGTGCCAAGAAAACTTGTCGACGTTCCGAATTGAATGGTAAGAATGCTGCGAGCACAACGCATTGGTCGCTCATTGATAGTCGCCAGTCGTGACCAGCTGCTGTGGCGGGCCCATCTCTGTCTGGTGCAGGCTGCGCATGTCCACGTGAGTCGGCATCGCGGGCAGATCCTGTCCGGTCGTCATGGCAATCGCTTGATACGATGCCTCGTCGATTGGGTCCTGAGATTCCTCGCTCTCCGCCAGAGCATCTCGCTCTTCCTCCATCTCCTCTTCCGAAGGCGCCGAGCCATCCGCGCTTGTCTCGTGAGTGCGGCGGTGCTGCGCCAGGTTGTCGGAGCGGGAGAAGGCCTTGTTACAGAGCGTGCAGAGATATGGCCGCTCCTGCGTGTGTGTGCGGACGTGCCTCTTCAGGTGCTCTAAGCGCTTGAACAGGCGGCCACACATGGGGATCGGACACGAGTGACTTTTCTGCGGGTATGGGCCGAGCTCGCCAATTGTCGCGCTGCGTGCTCTCCGGTAGACTCCGTTGGCCGTGCGCTGGACAGCGTGGTGCTGCAGCGAAGGATGGCGATAGTCCTGGCTCGGGCTCGAATTGTATTGCGCAGCAAAGTCCTCCGCCTGGACTTGCCCCATTCCCATGTGCTGTCGGTGCGCATGTTGAGGGGTGGTATCGTCGTTCGCGCCCTCCACGGCGTGCAAAGGTGTGCTGTGCCGGGAGAGGTCCATCAACTCCTTGTGGTCGCCCATCATGGGGTGGTGGGTAGCGTGCATGCTGGCGGGCGAGTCGTTGTACGAGACCTCCTGCCCTTCGGGAATCGCCGGAGGCGCAACCGACTGCGACACAGAGCGGCGGAGATCACTCGGCCGGTGGACCGCATGCGCGTGCGCGGTGACCGCACCTCCCGAGGCCACGCCGGTCGTGACGGCAGTCTGGGTGAGAGACGATCGACGTCTCCTCTGCTTGTATGTGGGCGAGCCCTCCAGGACCGAGTAGACCTGCTGCGGCTGGTAGTTGCGGGACAGCGCAGACGGGTAGTGCGCGGCGGAGAGGTTGGGAGGAACCGACATCAACGGGTTGAATGGCTGTTGCAGGCCAACTTCCGGGATGGCGGCGTAGAGACCGGTATCTTCATTGGCAATGTAGGTCGGTTCGGAGGACATGCCCATGCTGTGCTGCGGCGGGGTCATGGGCTCGAAGGAGATGCCACGCTGGCTGTAATCCTCCATGTGGGACGACACGAAGGATGGTGCGGGAGAGTATTCCATGTAGGCAGGCATGGAGCTGTGTCGGTTCGCGACCTGCGAGACGGGAACGCCGTTGCGGTCGAAGACGGGACCCATGGACTGCTCACGGGTCTTGGCGATCTGCGAAGGCATGGGCGGCATGGCCATCTGGGAGTAGGTTGGCACATGGGTCATGGAATCAGCGTGCATGCCGGGTTGCATACTGGATTGTTGCGACATTTGCTGGGGCATGGAAGTGGGCGGCATCTGCTGCTGCGGGAGCATGGATGGCGGGGCCATGGAATCGGCAGCGCGGAGCACGGGCGAGGTCGAGTGCGAGGGTGGCATGGAGGGTGGCTGCGCGTTGAAGGTCGACTGGTTGTTTTGCTGAGCTTTGGTGAGCTGTTCGAAGAGGGATTGCGAGGAATCGAATTCAAAGGACAGGGCAGGCTCGCTGACGGCTACCGTAGTCGCGTCCTGGCCCATCTTCTCGCGCTTCAGGTCGCGCTCGAGGGCATCGAGGAAGAGACGGTCATGGGGCACGCTGTACCAGTAAAAGACCTTCTGCTTCTTCTGCGTGCGTATGCAATTGTTCTTGTAGAGGAAGTCCAGGAAGGGACTCTTCGGCTCTTCCAGCGATGCATCGGTGCCCGACTTCAGGTTGCGGAGGTCTGAGAAGATGCCTTCCTCGAACTTCTTGGTGTTCTTGACGGGGCGACCGAAGGCCTGGAAGCGGAAGGACAGGCATCGGACGATATCGGTGCCGGAGATGTGGAAGAGATTGTTCCTGTAGGGTGGTGGTCAGCGCGGGTACGCACGACACGGCACACGGGGCATGCAGCGGACATACCATAGCACGCAGGAGACATATTCGCCGGTAGGTAGCAGGAATCGCCTGATGTACTGATCTTGACTCCAATCGACGGGAGCGGAGATGAGGAAGTACTTGACTGCATGGCGATGATGGAGGTTAGCGGTTGGGTGCAGGTGAGGGTGGGTGTTTTACGCGCGCGCGCCGGGGGAAGGGCGGAGATGCACATACGGTTGTCGACCTGCTGCAGGGCGACGACGGAGTCCTGCGGCAAGCTCTGCTGGGCGTCTTGGTCGAGGAGGAAGGTCTCGGGGGCGACGGAGCGTTGCTGGCCCGGCGGGGGCATTGAAGGATGCTGGGTGGGATACATGGTGAGGGCGGAGCGCGGCGCGGCGCTGGCGGTGAAGGTGCGTGCGGTGAAGGTGCGGCGAAGATGCGGCAGCGGGGGTCGCAGAGCAGGCGCGTCACTTTTGAGGGTGCGAATGACGAGACTCTATCTCAAACGCGCGCGCTGGATCTGAGGATGGATGAAGATGAGGCAGGGTGCAGCGACAGCCAGGTCGTGCGCGGCGGCGGCGGCGGCGGTAGGTGGTGTTGGTGGTGGTGTTGTTTGGAAGTGCGGGAGAAACGAATGTGAGGGAGACGCTCTGGTCGTCGCAACGGAAGGGGGAGGGGGGATGTATCAGAGAGGACCGGCCTCGTAGGGTGCAAATGGGTGTATGGTGAAGCGAAGCGAAGCGAAGAGAAGAGAAGAGGATGAGAGGATGAGAGGACAGCGCAGCGGTCCTGAAGCTTCGGAGGAGTGGGAGGTGGAGGTGAGGTTGAATGGAAGCGAAGGCGAAGGCGCGGCGAGGCGAGGCGAGGCGAAGCGAAGCGTGTGGAGGATGGTCGGGAGAGGATGATCGGGAGTGAGTGTGTGAGAGAGTAAGGTGGTGGTGAGTAGTGTGTGGGAGTGTGTCGTGTGTGTGGGAGGAGAGAGGTGTAGACATGTTTCACACCTGCCAGACCACAGACAGGCGCCGTATTTTAATCCGTTTCAGGCTCGGCTGCTCGGGGCCAGCCTTCCGCCTTCCGCCCGCGCTACCGTGCCGTGCCAATCACAGGGCGTCGCCTTCGCAGCACGAACGTGAACAGAACAGAACAGCACACAGGTTGGTCGTGGTTGGGCGCAGCGGGCGGCCAGGATGCTGCAGCCCATGCTCCATGTCGAATAGCTTAGCACACTCCCAGCACCTGATGATGAGTCCAGTGATTCCGGCGATTCTAGTCCAAGAGTCTGCGATCAGATCACAGTGTGGATGCTGCTAACCGCCCGCTCCCTCCCCGGCACCGCGGCTCACTACTACTGCCCAGCCCACCCTTCACAGCTTCCAGCCTGGTGACCGTTCCCCTTCCTTCCCACTCATGATGAGCGCGGGTGTCGACAGCAGCAGCAGCGATGAGTGCCGAGTCAGTGACCCTCCGTCTCTGCACCTCGGATGCTTGCTAGGCATGCCGCCCGGAATGGCCCTCTGCATTCATCGGGATGGGATGGATTACGTTGTCCATCGGGATTCATGCAGCGGCTCACCCCTCGACTGACTCCCGGCACACTGCCCCTCCCCACTCGCATCGTGACCTGACCGTGACCGTGACCGTGACCGTGACCGTGACTTGTTCTTGTTCATGTTCTCACAATTCTTATTCTTATTCTTGGTCTGGCCACTGTGTGCACCTGGTGTGCGCGGTGTGCGCCGACATGTCGATCATACAGGCACATGCAAGGTACCGTCCCGTTTCAGCGCTTGCCCGCTGCTAGTCCTTAGTATGCCCCCGACGCCCTTAACACACCACTTCACCTCCTCCTCCACCCCGTCATTCCATGATGTGATGATTGCTGCAAGTCGAAGAGGCGCCCCTCCGACAGCTGCCATGCGCATCCAGTCCAGTAGCCAAGCTACCACGAGCTCTTCCCTGCATTGCCGGTCGCTGCTGCTGGCGTACGTCGCCCGGAAAGCTTGCATGTCGAGTCTCGACTACTAATGGAAGATGGAAGACGATCTGGAGTGCCGTGAGTGCGAGCTGCACTGCAGAATGACGACGTTGCCAACAAATCCACCTGTCATTGGCCTCCAGTTGCTCGAGTCAGTCCAGCATCCTCCAAGTCTAGTCACGACACCCATCACATCGCCCACATTACATTAATCATTGTTGCCCGTGTCAATCATCTCCTCCTCCAGAGTCCAGAGCAGCAGCATCATCACTACTCATTCACTCATCGATCCCGAGATCTGGAAGCATCAGGAGCTGCGTGGTGTCATTGTCCTGCCCGCCCGGCTGCTCAGAGGCCGTGCGATCCGATGCATCTCCATCCCAAACGGTCCGCTCGTCTTCGCCATCGCCATCGCCATCCATCTCAGAAGGTGGCAAGTGCGTGCCACCGTGAAACATCTCGTCGCTTGTTTCGTCCCATCCCATCCCATCCCATCCCGAGCAGAGCAGAGCAGAGCTGAGACACGACACTTCCATTCACTTGTCCTCGGTTGCTGGCTGCATCTGCTAATAAAATATCATATCCCCTCCTCAACCATCCCAGGTTCCGTCTTCATCTCTCAAGAAGTGACCCACAGTCGCCGGCTTGCCACACATGCCCACCCGGTCCGCTCGACAGACTTGACAGGTAACTTTTCCCCCAATTCGACGTTTCGCATACACGACTGTTCCTGACCCGCATCTTGACTCGCATCGGCCCCCTCTCTCCCCTCTCCACCTGCACCTTCTCATCAGTCATCCATGCTCATTTCGTATCTGTGCCCACTTTGCGTGTTGGCCAATGCCATCTCGTGGACGCGCCGACTGCGAAGAAGATTCCATCTGCTCTTATTAGATCAGTGCCGGACATGTTCGCCTGGGCTAGCCATCGTGGAAACCGCTCCCATGGCTGGACACTATCCTCGGACCCAGCTGGCTGTTCCTGGAGAATGCAGCCGGTGAACATCAGCCGATAACCTTCCCACATGGAAGGACACGGTGTTGCCGTCTGCAATATCGACATAGGTAGACGGCGACTCCCACGGCCTTCTCGGCTTCCCCTCGATGGCATCCGACATACACGCTGTCAAATCATTGAACGTGACCATACCGCGATCATACATCTTGAAAGACCGTAAACAACCCCTCTGCATCCATTGCGCTATGGGCTCCATACGACAGCAATCTAGAAGAGCCGAGGAGAGGTTTGCGCAACAAAGTCTGCCACGCAATGCCTGCCGGGATCATGCCCCTCGGACGCCCATGGAGAGATCTGGGATACCGTGCGGCTTCCTGCAGACCCGACCGAGCAAATCACGATCTGAGCTTTCCCCAAAACAGCAGATGCATGTCTGCATGCTCGCTTCCTCGTGCATCCGACCACTCTATTTTTCCTCGCGCGAGTCACTGCGCAGAGATATGCACGACGCTGGAAGCGGAGTGGACCGCAGGATCAGCCGGGTGCTCTCCACAGACATGGGATGCCTCAGGTCCGAGGACATAGCACATCGCTCATAGGGCATTATTGCCTCTCGGTCTCTGTCATGATCACTGATTCCTCTCGTGGGAGAGTGGGAGAGTACAGTAGTGGGCACCCTGCTCTCGCATATCGCGCTGCGTGTCGATTACAATCGTTCAGTCATATAAATCTCATCAACCACAGTGTGACAGACAGACAGACTACACGTGCTTCAATGTGGCTGGAAACACTCACAATGTCTGCTCTCTTCGCCATTCCTCGTCGACAACCACCCTGGCCTGGCTGTCTTGCGTCGGACACCACCGAACATAGCCAACGGGAAGAGGCGCCGTGGACTACAGAGACCCCATGATATCTAAACCGCGATGGACCCTGCTCGGTCGCACAAATCACACGCATTCCTTAACTCTCCCGGAGCGATCGCCTCTACTCTACTACGGCCGTGATGATGATGATGATGATGATGAGAAGCAGAGCAGAGCAATTCCCATCAACAAGCTCTATGATCCCCAAGCAAGGAGAAGAAGCCCTCAATTCTCTGCAGAAAAGAGCCTTTTGACTCTTGACTTTTGACTTGTGGTGATGGTGAGTGAGCTTCACGAAATCTAAGACTCGTTGGAATCACCGACCGACCGATAGACAGGATCTCGAGTCCCCCTCATCCTCATCATCATCATCATCATCATCATCATCATCATCAGACAGCTCGGCGGCATTTCATATCATACTATACTGCCAGTATGAGAGACTACTACTACTACGCAGCATCTCGTCCGAATCCCATCCTATTCATGTCTGCTTAATTACATCACGTCTCGTCTTTGCGACTTGGAAAGATGAATCAATAGCGCTATAGCACGGTCCGGGGGTTTTCTTCTTTCCATCTGACGCATCGCACGCTCCTGTCGGAACGGTCATGTCTTTTCTCGTTCGTCTGCTTCAATCATAACATCGACACGAACAGGACACGACACGACACGACACGACACGACAACGAGACCCGTTCGCTTGGAGGCCTATTCAATCAGATCGTCTTTCCACCGTGCACTGCCCTGCTGCGCGATTCCCTAGTAGTAGTAGTAGTAGTAGTAGTAGTAGTAGTAGTAGTAGTAGTAGTAGTAGTAGTAGTAGTAGTAGTCGATGACGGGCCTGCTCTCCAGAAGCCGCCTCGTCCGTCCGTCCGTCCGTCCTTCCCTTTTCTTTCCCTCGTCCTCGTCCTCAGACTTTGAAGTTGAAGTCGAGATGATGCAACCATCATAACTCGTCGAATCCTCTTTTTTTTTTTGGTTTCTCTTTCTTCTTCCTTTGGGGGTGCCGAGAGTATGATGAGACGACCGACTGATCGGACCTGGCAATTTTTTCCCAGAACGAAAGAAAGAAGGAAGGAAGGAAAAATCGATTGGGAACAAACAAACAAACACGTGTAGTTGTAGTGTAGGTGTAGTTCCGCGAGAGAGAGAGAGAGAGAGAGAGAGAGAGAGAGAGAGAGAGAGAGAGAGAGAGAGAGAGAGAGAGAGAGAGAGAGAGAGAGAGAGAGAGAGAGTCGTCGTGACGCGGTTGTCATTCTTATTATTGTGGCGAAAGCGACTGTTTTGTTGCTTCTCTGAAATGATGTGATGTGATGTGATGAAAAAGGATTCCTAGACCGGTCGACCACAGCACCCACCGATCCACACACCAGATTGTCTAGATTGTCTAGATTTGTCTTGTCTTGTCTTGTCTTTCCCGCGTGCTCTGTATTAAGAAATTTTGTGGAAATTTGAGTTATCATATCATATCATAGCTGCTTGCGCCCTGCCCCGTTAAACAACACCAAGCGAACAACTTTTTTTTTTTTTTTTCGTTCTGTGGCCTGATAATTGCTGCGATGGAGGAGACGAAGAGGGGAGATTAACCTGGCTTAGTTAGGTCTTTGATATTGTGGTGGAGGGGGATCTGCCACTCTCTACAAAAAGGGTACATGTACTCTACTCGGATGATGGATGATGACACGCGTACAAATGTTGAAGCCCAGAAGAGAATCGGGATGGAAACCCGTGGTCGTTTCAGACCAGACAAACTCTCTACCCATACACATATACATTGTGTACACCCCCAAACCTGTTCCTCTTGTGACGGAAAGTTCTGTTTCGCCCCTTTCCGTAACCCTTAACGGGCCACACATTGTTACGTCAAGGGAGATATGTACAACAAGAAAGCTCGGACCTCTTCCACAATCCCATCAAATCCTCATCTCCTCCGCAATCACCTTGTATTCTTTCCTCTTCTTCCCGCCATCTCTCCTCAACGTCTTGACAAGCAACCCGATGCCCCTGGCCACTCTCGGGAGGATCTGCCTCTCGGCCAGATAGCTCACGCAGAACGCGCCCACCGCAAGTACCAGGATGAAAACTTTGAACTTGATGCTGAGGAACGTCAGTTCCATCCATTCTTCCACCCACGGAGCCGGGTCGAAGAGCATATAACTGCTGATCGCGAGAGCCACCAACATTGTGATGACGAACGGGAGATTGTGGCGCATCGATTGTCGGAATGGCTTTCCGACTGAAAGCACAATGGCGGAGAGGATGTATTGATAGCAGGAGATGAGGAAGAGGGTGGTGTTTTCCGAATTCTTTGAATTGGAGTGGTCTCGGTCCAGGACGGGTGGCTGATACCAGGGTTGCTTTCGTACGAAATACCAGCCTACGAATTGCGTGAGGACGCAGATGACGATTTGTCCGAGTAGAGGCGTGAGTACTTTCCTCGACACCAGAGAAGCTGTGGGTCGTTTCCGCGAGAGGGAAGGATAGGGGCCCGTCCATCCCATGAAGATAGCGATGGGGAGGATGAGTAAGAGATCGATATAGAGGAATTGGAAGTCGCCCAGGTTGGAAGCAGAAGCGTAGAGGAAGCTGACCGAGGTGAATTGGATGGCTGAGTAGAGGGACATGTATTTGAAGCAGCTGAAACTCGTCACCAGCGCGGCGCGGCCTTCACGGATGACTTCGGGCACGCACGAGATATCGAAGATGCGGCTGGTGAAGGGCGCTGCGACAGAGGCCTCTGCTTCGGAGAGGGAGATGCCCACGTCTGCGGCTTTGAGGGCTCCGCAGTCGTTGGCGCCATCGCCGCAGAACCCGGCACAGTAGTCGATGCTTTGGAGCCTCTCGACGAGTTCGTGCTTCTCGTCGGGGGACATTCGTGCGAAGACTTGGCCAATGACGAGCATCTCGCTGAGCACCTTGGGTGAGGCAAAGTCGATAAGCCATCGGAAGACGTCTCCTGTCACTGCCACAGAGTAGTTTCGAAGGTTCGACACATCGTAGGGCAGTGATGAGTCGTGCTCAGCAGGTGGTGGCAGCGGCTTCAAAGTGTTCTCATCCAGCTGGTATACGGGATTGTCGACACTTTCCCACGCCAGCTTCGACAGTGCCGTGTGTGCATCGCCCTCGACGAAATGAGGGACGAAGCAGTGCGCAGATTTGTCGATTAAACCACATTCCCTCGCAACACTGATTGCAGTCAGGATGTTGTCCCCGGTGCACATCACAGTCCGGATGTTGGCGTCCCTGAGCTCCTCGATGACGTCCGTGGTGGTTTCCTTGAGCTTGTTCTCGAAGACGATGAAGCCAACAAAGTCCAGATTAGACTCTGCCTCCTCTCGCTTCATCTTCTGTACCTTCAGCCAATTGAGTTTAAAGATATGCTTCGTTGCACACGCAATGACTCGGTAGCCGCGGTGAGTGTAGTAAGCCAGGAGGTCATCATAGTCTGCTGGAAAGCTCTCCGGCCTGCAGATGCCCTTCATAGCCTCAGGAGCTCCCTTGACAAACACATCACCACTCTTGTCTCCGAACTGTCGGACAACGACGCTAGCGCGGCGAAGTTGCGAGACGAACTCAAAGGACTTGAGGATGCCTAGCTCAATGGCTCGTCGGCTGTTAGGCGAGTCTTGCTCTTCATCAATGTCGAACTCCATGCCAGGCGGTGGTCTAGCGACAGAAGGAGTCAAGGAAGCATTTTCGTCTTCTTCGCCGCCTGCGATTTCTGCACCTTCCTCGAATTGCCAACCTGTGAATTCAAACATCTTCAGGTCTAGCGGGTCTCCGATGAACTCGTCGTCAACGATGCGAAGCGAATGGCAAGTCGCCATGGTGTACAGTATAGCCTTGTTTGCGTTGTAGTCCATGGTGGGATCTCGCTCGTACACCGCGCCGGGAAGAAGGGTCGAGGCTTCCGTAAGGATGTCGCTAAACCTATTAGCTGGTCGAGAAACAACTCTGACACCTAATACGTCCAAGCCATCTTCCGTCAAGGTACCAGTCTTGTCAAAGCACATGACATCGAGCTTGCCACCCACGTTGACACGTTGCGGGCTGATGCAGAAGATCTGTTTACTCTTCAGCCGCTGCAGGGCAAAGTTGGTACCAATTGTCAGCGTTGCTGGTAACGCCGGCGGCACAACAATGGTGATGAGGTCTAGAGCGCGAACGACGATGAGATGCCATTGCAATCCGAGCCGAATGAAGTTCACAAACGAGGCAATGAAACCTACGCCAGCGATACAGGCCATAACCGAGATGTAGCGGAATGAATCGCGGTAGAACTTGAAGCCAGATGGTTTTGGGAACAGCATGGATCGCACCAGCGCACCCTTCGTCGTGTTGAACCCGGTCCTAACCACCAGCGCCAGTGCAGCAGCCTCATCGCTCTTGTCGTCTTGTGGCCTACGGGCTCGGATGATCTTCGTCCCGCTGAACAGCATATGCCTTGCAACATCAGCGTGGATGGTGGAAGCTCCCAGATTCAGCATTTCCAGAGTCTCGTCTGTGGCTGGGGTCTTCGACACCGGAACGGATTCACCGGTAAGCATGCTCTCGTTGACGATGCAATCACCAGACAAGAGAAGGCTGTCGCATGGAAATTGGTCGAGATTTGGATCGGTTACCTCGTATACGTCTCCAGGTACGAGCTCCCATGATTCAACATACCGCCAAAACCCGCCCCTTTGAACACGAATATCGCATTCAAAGCGAGCGATATCCCGAAGTCGTTTCATTGTCTGTCTAGTTTCGATCAAGGTTGTCGTAATGCTGACGACCGAGATGATGAAGATGCAGGCAGCGTAGTAGTAGTACTCGTCCAGCGACCACAGGATGAGGCTCGCAATCTGGAAGACATAAAACGGATGAAACGCCTCGTCGACCAAAAGTTGCCCAATGCTCTTTTGCTCGAGATCGATAGCGTTCTTGCCGAAAATTCGCTCGCGCATTTCCTGCTCGTCGCCGTCAATGCCAGCTCTCACCGCAGTGACATCGGTCCATGCAGGATCTTTCCAGGTGTTGCCCAGTATGAATTTGTCTTTAAGCGGATGATAGCAGAACCGAATATAACGATAGTCCAGAATGCGGAGCTCTTCCACAATAGGATCATCATATTCGTCGTAGTCCTGCAGCTTGCCCTTGGTGTAGCCAAACACAGAAGACAGCGACTGGCCGAATTCTTGTTTGTTGAGATCTTTCACTTCCATCTCACCCCACTGGTTCTCTATCACGACCCAATCGCACTTCCCCAGTGGAGTACTCTTGCCAACAAGCCGAACGTACCACTTGGGTAGCCATCTGAAAATCAAGTAGCCCAACCCACCTGTCAAGACACAGAGACAGATATAAAGCGCGAAGCCGAAGACTGAAGTCTTGAACCCAGCAACCACGATGGTCATATCCTCTGTTAAGATGAAGATCTTCTGGCTCACTCTGCCACCAGTCCTGAAGCCACTAACATCTGAGTCTCCAGAATAGTGTCGCCGCAGGAGCGGGGCTTCAGTGGAGCGTCTTGAGTCGCGAGAGGCCCTGGACGACCTAGATGTTCCGGAAAGCTTACGAATTCCTTTCCTAGGCCTGGGCGATTCCACCGAGACAGCCTCTGTCGAGTCATCGTAATCGTTGTCCATCTCTGGCTCAATGAATGTATTCTCTCCGTTAAGCTCTCCATTTTCTAGCTCCTCCTGCTCATCCAGAATCGCCTCTTCCGGCCACTCCTCTTCATCCAGCTCCTGATCTTCTTCATCGTAGTACGTGAAACTGGTGGTGGAGTCTGCCCGTGATCGCCGGTGGTAGAAAGAACTCGAGGCGGTTGGTACACTCTCTGACATCGGACCGGAGAATATCTCGTCCTGAGCCATTTCGACATCGCCCAGAAAGCTCGCCTCACTCATAGTGGACGGGCGGCGATACACGGCGCTGCTGTGGCGCCTCTCCATCTCGTCGTCGTCCATGTCGGAGGAGAGCGATCCGCTTCCAATCTACGTAGTAGAGGCGGAATCCACTGTAGGAGGGTATGTTGGGTATGAGACTCGTGTCCCTGGGTGACAGTGCTGTCAGGGCATGCCGGCAATATGACCCAAAGTTGTACGCGACTGCGACTGCGACTGCGACGTGCACAGTGCGCGTTGAGGAAACACTGCGTGGACGGAAACATTACGATTGCGATAAACTTCAAAGGCCCGGGCGTCATGATCACGTGCTCGTTGATGCCTCAGGCTACTCAATGATCCTATCCCACGGTTGACCTCAGCTGCTTCAGCTGTCACTTGCTTATCCGACGGAGCAGCTCTCGGTCGGTCGTCGTGCTCTTCGTCCCCATGGGACTGCTGAGCCTCCCCATATGCAAGACAACTGCCATAAGCCATTCTTGGCCCCAAACGCTTCTCCGTATCACGGCTGAGGGCATCTCGAAGTCTAGAAAGACTAGCCGGTTCAACATATCTACTTGGTCGACAGGACAGGAGATGCCTCTGCAGAACGCACTCTGGAAGCCGTCATCTTTAAGGCTACGCCAGACTATGCCCGGGTCTACGCAATCATACGCGGTCGCTTCAGTTCTTGTGACGCATCTGGAAGAACGGAACTGACACAGGCGACACGGCCAATCTCAATTCTGATTGAGTACAAAACCCCAAGCGGAACCCATCGTTCTCAAGACAAAAGGTCGAAGTCTGGAGAGCCATCATGCCCACCGACCCTTTCCTCCCAGAAGGACGACAGTTTCCCCGAGCACGCTCGCCCGACGCCGGTGGTAACGACCGGAACGATCGGAAGCGCCGGCGTAAGGTTCTGTCCTGCTATGATTGTCGGAGAAGGAAACTGCAATGCGACCGAGCATTGCCTGCGTGCGGTCGCTGTACGAAGACCGGCCAGGCAGCTAATTGTCTCTATCTAGAGGATGCGTCGGACGCGCCGATCCGAGAGCCTGACTTGCAGCACACTTCCACCGCTGGCTCAGGCAGACATCCCGCCTTGCATGGGCACCTCATTCGACCGATAGGCGTGACAGCACCAACGGGCGACCTCTTATCGAGACTGGAATTTCAAGATGGTCGAATCAAACAGCTCGAGGCTGCATTGGCTGCTGCAGGACAGAGCGTCAAGCTGTCTCGGCTGCCCCCGACTCCTGAGCCGATGCATGGCGGCGTTGGAACTGCTCCAGTTCTAGACCGTGAGACTACGCTACTCCGAGGAAAGTCATTCAAGACGCAGTTCCATGGAGACACACATCCAGGTGCCTTGATCGCACGTATACCGGAGCTTCATGGGTTTACCAGAGAGATCTTCAAATCGTTCCCTGCTCTGTCAAGAATCAAGGAGGATATGCAATCGCTGGAGAAGCGAAGCCAGCATGCGGGCGCGAAACACGAAGCTGTCAGTGACAACGACCTGAGGTCATTGCTTCCAAGCAAGGCCGATGCGGACCACCTGATTCAGATTTACTTGGACAATTATGAATGTCTGTACCACATCGTCCACCTCCCATCGTTTTGGACAGAGTATGAGACCATCTGGACGGACCTGATAGCTGCCAGTGCCCACTTCGTTGCTTTGATTTTGGTGATGATGGCTGCTGCTCAGTGCCTCACATCGAGACAGCCTTGGCTGTATACGGCAAACAGCTCTACGGCAAGAGAAAGAGCCGTAGCATTCGTACACGCGGTGGAAAATTGGCTGTTGGTACAGAGTCAGAAACATGTCGGTGCCATCGACTTCCAGATTCGCGTTCTCTTGCTTTTAGCGAAGCAGGTCACGGCCCGCAAATTCAAGAGGGCATGGACAGAGTCAGGCAGCGTGCTCCGGTTTTGCATGTCGGCAGGTCTTCATAGAACTCCTGACCTGATCCGAAAGCCTACGTCATTAGTCGACAAAGAGTTAAGGAAACGAGTCTGGGCTGCCGTGACCGAGCTGGAATTGCAGGCTGCGTTTGACCGTGGCATGATCTAGATCATCGCCGTGGGCGATGCAAAGCGATTGCCCTCCTCCAAACCATCTGAACGACGACGACATCGATTCAACCATTGAGCGTCTTCCGGCTCCGAGGAAGTGGGACGACTTCAATAACACATCCTATTTATGCCTCGCTGGCAAATCTGTGATGCTCAGGCAGACCCTCAATACGTATTTGAACAACATTCGACAACCAGTAAGCTTCGACGAATCGAAGCGCTTTACGGAGGAGATCGAATCACATTTACATGGGATACCGGAGTGGACTGCAGCCAGCTCGAGAATACCCTCCGCGATGCTGTCCCTCAATCTGCGCCAGTATCTTCTCATTCTGCACGACAGAAACCTACGAGTTGGCGGGTCGAGAGCGGAAAAGAGCTTCTCGCGGACGATCCTGATCGAAACCGCGACCAAGATGCTAGATATCCACAAGTCACTAACTAGCAAAGGCATCTACGCATTAGAACTCCTGTTGCAAGATCAACTCCGAGCAGCCCTCTCACTGTGCCATATTGGCTCTCTCAACCCACATGCGGACGATGCCTTGAGTCGCGCCATTGTCGAATCAGCGCATCGACAAGTACCCGACGCGATCGAAATGCTGACTGATAAGATCATCCGCTTCGGCCGAGAGTTGCGACAGCTCTGGATCTTGTTGGCCGCACATGGGTACATGAAGTCGAAGAAAGATCCGAGCAGAAGAGTCGTGTATATGCAGGAAGCAGTAGACGGAATTACGGGGCCGTACTACAAGATCATGGCTTGCCAGGAAGATGCGCCTGCACAAATGAGTGGTGCAGCTCCGCCGCCTCGGGAGCTACCTACTGCTCCTCTCGAATACTACCCACCTTCACAGCAAGCGATAGATACCGGAATGCCACCTCCCGATCCCGGTGCCATGTTGGATCTGGATGACATTGCTGCATGGACATTCGAGGACTGGTCTTTCAGTCCAGCTGATCTGGCCGCGGCCTTCCCGGAAACGTATCCTCCACCTGCAATGCCGAACAATAGCACACCATCTCCGCCGACTTGAAGCACGAAAAGGAAAAGTGGAGCGCACACGGAGTTCAATCATGTCCTCCGGTTGCTTGCTTGCTTGCTTATCTGTGTAGATCTAATCTGAACCCCCTGGACTACTGCATCCCATGTGATGCCAGCTGACGGGAGCTCGGCCCCAAAACGGCACACAGCCTCGTCCTAGGCAGCCTCATCATTCTATCTTCGTGCCACGCATTCCCGCGAGCGAGCGACTCGCGGGCCCATACGTAGAAAAACCTGCACTGGAGAACTTGATCCCCGAAGACCCAACCTTGCAGCTCCCATGACAGAGCTCCAGCTAGCGGCGATTACGTTGGCCGCTTGCAAGTCTGACTGTGACTCTCCGAACCTTTGAACCAGCACGGCAAAGAATCATCACCATGATTCTTCACAAAAATGCGCCCATCTCATTTACCGACTCTCCCTTCCTTCCCCCTCCGTCTCTCTCTCTATCTCTCTTCATTGGAAGCGATACTCTGCTCAAAAGCCTCATCATGGGCTCTGCCATTGTGATCGGTGAAATCTATCTCGCTTGAGGTGGAGTCCGTGGAACAACGGGTCGAAGACATGGACGTCGATCTTCTGTATCCGTCGGACGTTCGTTTCGCGAGGATTTCGGAGGCTGAAGGGGAGTCGGACGAGGAGGAATCGTCTCGAGCCATGCGTCGGAGGAGTTGATTGATGGTGAGCTTGTAGGTGGCCATGGTTGTTGCGAAGCGTGGAGTCAGTCGGTGGCGAATGAAACTGACTGGTAATGTCTGGCGCGGTGTTCGGTAAGAGGACGTGTGTATGTTATGTCTCCTCTCTCTTCTCAGAAGTGAACTTGTAAACAGAACGAGCACTTGGAAGAAATCGGGCCAGGCAGTCACCTCATATTAATATATACAAATTACTGTATAGTGACCTACACATATATCCCACCATCCATCCCGCCAACGCAGTGCATGCGCAGGCAGCTAAAGAGCTCCCCTCGTTCGTGTCTGTGCAAGAGCCAGGTCGGGTTCTAGTCTCGTCGGCTTGGGATGGTTACATGAGACAATGATCCTTTCCTGTAGGCTGAGGTAGGTCCGTCAAGCTCCATGAGGATCCGCAGAAAGGCACGGTTTAACTCCACCTCCGACTGTCCGACCGAACTTTTGCCACCAACACATGCGCTTTCTTACGCAAACTCCAGCAACAAAAGCCGTCGAGTGGGTTTCCTTCGCGCCCGCAGCGATTGCGGGAAGGAAGTGTAGACCGTTGGAGCTCTGAGTGTCAGGCGACGTTGGCATGGCAATGTGGTCACTCTAGCACGGTGATATCTCGGTCTTCGTGAGGGATGAGCTGTTGGTGGTTGTTCAACGAGCTAGCGCTGCGTAGGTTGACTTGGTCGACGGATATCCGCGTGTTGCTGGATGCAGGCTTCCCCTCGCGCGTGGGAGAATGTGAACATGCGTGGGATGAGTTCGTGCCGACTCTCTGTCGCTGCTGTGTCACTATTCTTTAGTCGACCATCTTGCCGTAGAATGGAATGCCAATGCTCTGGAGAAGCATTCTCGCATCGTAATCTGTCTTGGCAGAAGTCTTTATGATGATGTGCATACCCGGTATCATCTTGGGTGGATACCTGCTCGTTGTTAGGGTTCTTGTTGCAATGCCATCAGCGTTCCTGGGGAAAAAACTCACGAGTCATAATTGACCTCCACTTCGGGAAAAAGAGCGACCTGGTCTCCTTGCAGACCAAATGCGATATTGCCGGCGCTATCACCAGACGTGCCCTTAACTCCTCTCCAGTCCTTGATCTTGGGTAGAACAACGTCTATGAGCTTGCTGAGGAAGTGATACATGTTCTCTCCTCGCAGCTCGCAGGTCGCACTTAGATATTGTCCTTGTCTGAAGCCAAACCCTGCAACGCTCTTTTTTGTCGCGTGCGTGGTTGCGCGAATGCTGGTGATGGCTTGCAATATCATCCCCGCCACGTGAATGTGAGCGCTGTCTTCAATGGCGCCTTTGACCATGGTGTGCACAGTTACTCCCTCCAGCTTGGGTATGTTCTTGTGGGTAATTGGCTTTCGGAGTGGTAGTAGAACATCTCCACCCCTTGGACCTCGCAAAGGTCTGTTCTTAAAGTATGGAGAGTCTCCGACCCATTGTCGCAAACGCTCGCCCTTTTTTGGTGCTTCGTAACCCGGTGGGAAGTGCTGATAGAAAAGGGTCATCAGATCTGGCGCAAAAGTTGTTTGGTAGGTCTGTTCGAGCCGCGGCAGCGAGAAGGGACCGGCGAAGAACTCTCTCGAAGCTATATCGGATTCTTTGGGTGGCTGATGGGGATGGAGAGGGCCGCGGTAGTATCTGGGAGGACGGAATTGATATCTTTCCGTCTTGTCAGTGAACGCGTTCCACCTTCAGCCATTGTAGTGCAACCCACCTGCTAGGGGGTAGATTCTTGCTGCGTCTGCTGGGGTGCTTGGACGGATCATATTGAGACACCTTCTCCAATGCAGCTTCAGCAGCGGTAGATTCGTGTGAAGAGACCTCGAGTTCATGTGTTTCTGGCTCGACTGCCGACGCGTACGGACGACATGACGGTGTCCATGCCGGACATGCGGGCCGAGGAGAGGATCGGAGGCGCCTGATGAAGGCGCTGGTGACTTCTTGAAGAGCCATAGTGACTGAGTGTGATGGTCGTGTATCGACGGAGGGAGGGTGTCTCAACATCTTTCTCGTCTGCGGCTCCGTTCCGAAAGCGAGATGTGAGATTAGCTCAGCGGCGACTGCCGAGCCGGGAGCCGGGCAAGCTGCGTTACCTGTGTTACCCTTGAACTCGGTTAGAGGTGCATGAAATCTGCAGGCACATCAGGGCAACTTTGATGGGATTGATTGATGGGAGCCCCCGTCTGGAGTTTCTTCGAACTTCGAACCCCGAAGCAAATAATAATGACCGAGCACCTCACTTGCTTATCTTTAAGCCGCCAACCAGATCTCATCTCCCCTCCTCATCCTTCCTTCCTTCGTGTTCGTAGACCGTATTCCTGCGATGCTGAGGCCGCGTCCACGTCAACGTCACATGCCATCAATCGCCTCTCCGAATTGTGCGGCCTAAGAGAGGCAGAACGTAAGGTAGGTAGCGAGGCAGCAAAATAAACGAGCCTCATCTCATCTGCCCCGCCTCTTGTCACAGAAGCAAGTCCACATACCACCAGCAAGCACGACGCATCCGACGCCCTCGCCACTGCCACTCACTCCATCGATCTCGTCACCGCCAGCTCATGGTGCTACATGGAGCGGAAGCATGAGCGGCGTGCACCGGTTCCTCAGCCGGAGAGAGAAGAAGAGTTCAAGCTCCCATCATTCATCACCGCACAGGGTATGTACTAGCCTCCCATTCAGCGTATTGTACCGCATCGCATACCGCAGCATGCCCTTGATCCTCGCCCGTTGCTGCAGCAAACACGACAATCATTCACGCTTGTCTGCCGACGACGACGACATCATGCTGCACCACGAATGCGTCCCTCTCCTGCCCATGGCCGAGAAGAAGCGCAAGGGCTCTTCCGTGCGGGACGTGGCACACTTCCTCTATGGCTCAGCTTGCAAGTCGCTACGCAGGACCAAGAGTGACATACACTGCTTTGTTGGCTACCATTGTTGATTCGTTCGATTCTCTCAGGCGAAAGCTAACCCGACTGTGGCAGGACAAGGTATCCAAGTCCAACACTCCGGCTCACAGACCCGACCACTTCGGTGGTATCTTTGCGATCGAAGATGACCCCAAAACTAAGCCCGACAAGGAGGAGGAGCGGAGGATTCAGGGTGTGCTGGAGAGGCTACGAGCATATGGAATCAATACCATGGTCGAGTCGAACGCCCGCTATGCGTTGCGTGTCTCCTCATCGCAAGGCGACGGCGAGGCGGCGTTTCGGTTGTTGATGCTCTTGCAGGAGACATACGAGGGTATCGTGCGCCCATACAACCCGGAGACCAAGCTGTTGGGAGCGATCAATCGGGAAATGGTGACGTGTTATCTGGATGCGTTGCTGTTTGCCATGTTTGCAAGGCTGGATAGCTTCGAAGCCATGCTCTACGACAGCTTCGATGACAAGCCGAGGAAGAGGCTGGCGGGCCTACTAAGGTTGTGGGTGAATCTGCTGCGTACTGGGAGGCTCATAACGACAGATGTCACGAGGCATCTGCAAGAAGCTTTGACGGAATGTGGCTGGGAGGATGCAGTCAGGCTTAAGCAGCAGGACCCTTCAGAGGCATTCACATTCATCACTGGTCAGTTGGAGTTACCTCTCCTGACACTAAAAATGGACCTCCACCACGCCGGCAAGGAAGATCCCCAAGACGATCACAAATTCATCAACGAGAGGTTGCTCGAAGTTGCAATCCTGGAAGAGCCACCGGAGGGCAGCGATGTCATTACGTTGGAGGACTGCCTGGAACACTACTTCAACAACAGAATCGAAGTGAAACGCCATATGGAGAATCAGCGACGCAACACTTTGAAGTCTGCCTCAATGGATTCGCCTAATACACCCACGAGCCCTACAAAGATGGAGAAAGAGAGTGGCATCCATGTTGAGGTTGCCGAAGTCCCACAACAAAGTACGTCAGGTACACCGACCGTGCAGACGCCCGTTGCAGAAACTGCGACACAGAGCACACAGACTAAAGATCCTTTCGCGCGGGTGCGGCCAATTTATGGACGTAAGCGAGGTGACAGCATTTTCAGCCAGCGCAAAGTTATCCTTGAAGGAGTGGATCCTGATCAAAAGGTGGACCCGGAAGCACAGATCCCAGACAGAGAGCGGAAGCTGAGCACCAGGACGGAGGTATTGATGCCGGCATGGCAATTCTTCAAGCTGTTGCCCTGGTACACAGATCATATGCCGATGTCTGACGCCCAGGTCGCTGCCCATTTCTCCAAGAAGCGGCCTGTTTTGGGGATCTGCCTCAAGCGATATAGTTACACCAACACTGGCCAAGCTTCGCGACTCAACACTTACATCGACATTCCTACCGAGATGACTGTGCCCAATTTCGTCAGCGATGAAGACATGCAGGAGGAGGGCCCTCTTGTCGGCAACTTCAGGCTGCTATTGCAATCTGTCGTCTGTCACCGAGGTGTTTCGGTCCAGTCCGGTCACTACGTGACCCTTACCCGTGGCACGGCAGCCAACGCGACCCAAAGCCGGAGAGGTAGCGACGACAGCGACGACATTCATGACCCGTGGATGCGATTTGACGACTTGGCTAAGGACAGGGTTACGTACGTTGACATTCGGGAGTCGTTGAAGCAGGAGACCCCGTATCTACTCTTCTATCAAGTGCAGCCGATCGGTGACGACGGCCATTCCATACACGACCTCCCAAGCTATGCAGAAGCAACATCGAGAGCACATTCCGATGCGACGCCGTTGGAAAAGCCATATCTGAACGACCCTTTTGGATCAGACTACACGTTGGAACAAGTACCTTCGCAACCGCTTTCTGATGGTCGCACAGGGTCGGAGAGCACAGACTGGGCCGTGTCTGCATCAGGACGGAATAGTCTGGAAGTGAACAGGGCCCTGGAATCAGCAAGAGGACGTCGCAGCTTACAGGGTGATGATCGACGTCTAAGCATCCCGTTCGACGCGGCTAGCGTCTCGGGCGGCAGCGCTCGTACCGATGCTACCGTGTCGATACCGTCGACGCCGAAGGAAGAGAAGGATCCTGACAGGACGGCTACCGGTCTGCTTGCGGTGGCGAACAAGTTGCCTGGCTCCCGGCGTGGAAGCCGAGCAAAGAATGGTTCACAGTTGAAAAGCCGACCCACGAGCACTGGGCCAGATACGAACAGCAGCCGCTTCAGCTTGAACATGTCCAGGCTTACACAGAAGATGAGCCGCAGCGATGAGAGCAAGAACTCTGCTCCTGCTTCCACTCAGGCAGAGACTCCTCCAGATCTACCAGCCACAGCCAGCGTTACCGAAATCACAGACGAAAAGCTCGCGCAGACTGACTCGGGCACGGGCGAGAAGCCGACGATTGCAATGCAAGTTCAGCATCTCATCAGCGATACTGCAAGTGACGATACCGCAAAGCCATCGCAGGGAACGTTGAAGCCACCGGGAAAGGCTGCCACGACCGCCGGGAATATGACGAAAAAGGAGAAAGCCGCGATGAAGCAGGAGAAGAGAAGGGCACGGAAAGGGGAGGATGACCGGGAGTGCACTCTCATGTGAGAGTTGACATGAGCGGCATGGCATGCTGGGTGGATGACTTCCGCATAGCGTTGGCGTTTTTTTCTTTCTTCCTACTTGGGTTGCAGCGTGTAGAACATTTGCTCTTCTTCTTGGGACATGAGCATGACAGGCACGAAAAAACGGTTTACGAAGGGTGTTTTGAGTAGAAGCACGACGGATGGATGGAGGAGCGCCTTTCTAATGCATTCATGCATTCATTCGCTTCTTGTGCAGAGTTGAGAGATTTTCCCGCCCGCACTGATAATCATAACATCCCATGTGCAGTGTGCAGTGTGCAGTATCTTTTCCTCCAGCAGCAGCAAGCAAGCATTTCTCTTGTCCTTCTGTGCCCCCTTTTTTTTTTCTCACAGCCCGTGGCGCTCTAGTAGACAATTCGCGATTCTAATAATGTGGCGAAATCTTTCTAGAAACACCCCGTCCCGTGAAAGGTGCATCTATCTCTTCGATTCCTAGCTTGGAGCAAAGCTCGAATAGGGAATATGATACTTCAATCTGACAAGTACCGGAACGACTGCGGGGCAGATTATTATTACCGGCAGGTGAAGATCGTGCATGTCATGGCCGAGGCAATGAGTTCGTTCCACGGCAAGCTAAGAGATTGACCACCATGATCATGGAGATGGCATGATTGTTTGAGATGCGTGTTTTTCCTGGGTAATTTCTATATACAGCTAACTAACTAACTCAGAGCAACATTTCTGGAGGTATAGGTCATTATATACATACTTCGATTCGGAAACATCAAATTGTTGCTTTTACATTACATCAAGGGATAGTGCATCGCAGTGACGTTCTGTGGCGTTTGCTGGGAGTACATGACACCAGCCGTGGCGTTGGTGCAGCTGCTGACGCCGGTCTGGTCGACAGGAGTGTACTGCAGATCCTGCGGACGGCCGAAGGCATGGAAGTAGTACCAGACCTCGCTAAGGACCGTACGGCCCGTGTCCGTGGTGTTCGCGGCGCGACCGGCAGCAGTCTCGTTATACCTTGGACCCGAGCAACCCAGATAGGGAAGCGCACCCGTCTCCGCCGCCAGGACATTCTCCATATTGCTCAAGCTGTATCCCGTCGTGTTGCTGGGCAGGATTCCGTGCTTCGAGAGCAGCTGGTAGGTAGGGAAACGCTTGTAGTAAGCGATCGCCGTCTCGAAGAAGTCCACCACCTCTTGATTCTTGGTGTAGTTGGGCCCGTAGCAGGGGATATCGAAGGTGGAATAGCAAGTGGCGTGCTTGGAGAACTCGTGGCCCCAGAAATCGGCATTCGGGCCGGTCTGCGAGATCCAGAAGGTGTTCATCCATGCCAGAAGGTCGTACTTTTGGAAGGGAAGGAGGAATGTTCCGATGTTGGAGCCGTTGTAGGGTGGGACGAAGGTGCCGTTGGGAAGGCCATTGGTTGTATTGGGGGATGGGGCAGGGTCATACTGGCGGCTCAAATCGCAGTACTGCGTGTAGGAGCCATTGCTGCGAAGATGGTCAATCTACAGGCAGTGTGGATTCTGGTGCTGGAAATGGACTTACCAGAAGTCTGGCCAGAGACCATGGAGCGTCCAGGTATTCTCGGGCAACGGCTTATCGGCCCAGGTGTCCCAGTACTGGGTTGCCAGGAAGAGGCCTCCAAAGGTCTCGGTACAGCAAGTATCCGCATAGGCTGGATTGGCTCGGCTGGAGCAAGAAAGATACTGCGGCTGGATTGCGCAAGTGTGGTTGGCAGTGGTGGTGTTCCTGTAGAGGACAGCCGATGCATGGCCAGCAAAGAGCGCTGCTGCGGTGAAAGCCTTCATCTTGTCGACACTACTTTCTCCTGTGATGCAAGGTCAGGAGAAGGGGAAACGACCTACATGTACCTTGCTCGCGCCAGATCTTTTGTATCCGCATCGTCCCAGAGTCCTCCACCTGTCTCTGTGGCCATGACCCACGTGTTGTAGACGCAGTGCGTCAGAGATCCAAGTGAAGCGCCTTGCCAATGCCCTGCAGAGATGCGGCTCCTCGTGCCTCGTGTACCTGCAGCGATAGGCCCAAGAGAGCGGGCAAAGTGCAGAGATGCAGATAAAAAGCAAATAAAAAGCAAGATGGCGTCGGGGCGATGCGTTTGGGGTATGACGACGCGAGCCAGCGCGAGCCCAGATTTCTTGGCAACCCGGAGACACCGCACGAGGGTTGTTCTCTGCGTCGGCGACATCAACAACTTAATCCTTTCACCACCTCTATATTTCCCCAACTTGCACGCAGTTCGGACACGTATTGGCTGTCTTCGTGACCAACATGACCTCAACGGAGCCAGACTACACGGTCTCTGCGCCGACCAGGCGAAGTTGAGGGAGGCTCGATGAGCCTTTCAAACGATAGAATCTTAGGGCCCTCTCCATATGCCATGGTGCAGCATAATCGGGCTATGGCCGACGGAGACTTCTCGCGATAACAATACCACGGTCCGGAATAGCAATGGCCGGAATGGCCATGTCAAGCACCTGTTCTGTTGAAGAGGCGGTCAATATGTGAGCACATCATCGAGCGGGAAATGGCACGCCTCTCGCTGAAGTACTCAAAGATGCCTCTATGTCTTGACGCAGAAGAGTGGTACTGTACTAATACGCAGGATGAGTTCTGTACGATCCGAGCGCACAAACAGCGCCTCGGCAATTTTCTTTGCGGCTCAAACCCCATAGGCACTTCGCCCACATTTTCTCTTCCTCGTCATAGGCTGCTTGAGAATCAAGGGTTGAGAACGTCAACAAAGGGTCATCGTGCCTGACGATCTTTGCGGGGCCGTCGATGGCTACGACTGTCTTGGAAGGGGCTAATCCATTCGCATCTGACTACCGCCAACAAGGTTTCTGGCAATGCTGTCCAAGAAGCTTGATGGAAGGCCGAGGATGGCGATGGCGAAACATATAGGCAACTGTACCTTCACTTCCTGCAAGTGTGCCCGTTCGAAGGCCTTGCACCGTTCGAAAATATGGCCTCAGCAACGATGCAAGTCCTCGCTGGGCTTACTTTCCTCACACGTGTTCTCGCAGTTGGGCCATCAGATATTCGAACCGATCCATTGACCAAGGGACCCGGTCTTGACATCGTAACGACTGAGACAGCTCAGACTGGAAGAATGTTGTAGCTCACCACTATCTCGCAGGTTCATTATTTCACTGGTCAATGGCCAACTGGAATCGCTGTCTCCTCCACCGGACGCAAGTTCGCATGCTATCCAGCCGGCTTAGACATTATGAACACATACGACGGTATCATTCCTACGATGCAGGTCGGCGAGCTCACCGGCATGGACACTGAGACCGCCTACCCGAATTCGTCTTACAACATGTCTCCGGGCGGAGCAGTCGACAGGACGAAAATTCCACCTGTCACCAAAGGAGATCCAAACCATCTGCTGGGCGTACAGAGTGTCATCATTGACTCAGCGGATACCCTATGGATCCTCGACACGGGTCGTGTACAGGACCTAACCAACCCCAATAGTCCCATGCTCCCGGCCACAGTTCCAGGAGGACCCAAACTAGTCAATATTGACCTCACGACGAACTCGATCGTCAAGACCATCATATTTAACACCGACCTCGTGCACTCCGACTCTTATCTGAACGATGTACGAATCGACCGCAGCCGAAACGCGGCTTACCTTACCGATTCCTCCCTCGAGGGCGACAATGCCATCGTCTACGTTGATCTCAACTCCGGCAAAGGAACGAGAAACAACCTGAGCGAAGCGCACACAATTTACGGCAGCGTACCTTTCGTGTACGGAGATCCAATGTACCAGGTTGCGAGCGCTACAGAAGCCTTGCACCCTGGATACATTACCTTTGGAGCTGACGGCATCGCCATCTCTCCGGGTTACAACACGCTCTACTTCTCCGTCATCGGTGGAAGATTCTTGTACTCTGTGCCTACGGCTGCACTGCGAGCTGGAAACGCTATGGGCCAGGTGGAAAATCTCGGTGAGAAGGGAATCAGTGACGGCATGGAGACTGACTCCAACGGGATCGTGTACGCTGGAAATGTCGAGCAGGACGCTATCAGCATGTACGGACCAACAGGTCTTGGCAATTATGCTACCGTCTTTGTGCGGGACCCGAGAATCAACTGGGTGAGATGGCAAAGATTCCGTGTCTTTGGCCATGGTTACTGACTGAAAGTACATACAGGTCGACACGATGTCCATTGCTACGGACGGATACTTATACTTCACGGTGAACCAGCTCAACTACCTGAATGCCATCTACCCGGGACAAGGAGCGCCCTTGATCGACCGACGCGAGAAGCCGTACGTGGCTTTCCGTGCCAAGTTGCCGAATGGAGGAACGAAGATCGCATGAGCAGGAACTTGAATCCATAACATAACGACATGACGATATTGAAAGCTACGTACCTCCCCCATCTAGAAGACATTCGAACCGTGAAAGAAATTCGAAGCTCTACCAGCCTTTGCGCCCAACATGATTCTGATGCCATCTATACCGCTTCTTTCCTTACCAACTCTACGAAAGAATTCTTTTCCCTTGCACTCAACAACACAATCTTCTTCTCCCCCCCCTTAATTCCATACGCATCCATGCCTTTTCATTTTCCAATAAAGTAGCTATCCCTTCTCCCAAATTCATCCCCCGAAGTGAACGCGATCTCCACACTGATCTACAGAAGGCAGAACGTCTGGGCACAGAACTTCCTTGGATTCCAGATACAGCATTGACGATTAGATTCGAAGTGCGAGGTTGTGATGATGGATCGAGGATTGAGTTGGCAGATGGAGGAGAGCATGTCCTGGAGAATCTTGGCACCGAGACCGCCGGTCACGCCGGTGAGGAGGTACGGTGTTGATGGAGACATTGTATTTGGTAACTCTCATTTGAAAACGAGTTGCGGCTTGGATAGATGATTCCAGCGATGCTGAAAAGATTGCTGATTCCTGCTCGACTGTCAAGTTTCTCTCCGACGATGACTTCGATCCATACTTGTTGTACCCTTTCGCCGATAAGTGCAATTGAGAACCCTTCTTAGACAGCATGACATGCTTCCATAGGAGGCGAGAGCTCAGGAACGCTATATATGTTCAACTCGCCTGGCATGTATGCTTGTGGAAGCAATACCATATGAGCTCCAGGCTACGAATCCTTCGCCTCTCCACGGTGTTAGATATTCGTTCGTGGCGAGATTCTTCCTGGTAAATCGTCTGACCAGGAGACGCTGAATTCGCACCTGTCAAGTTGTAAGCTGATCTTGCCGTGACGCTGCTAAAGTGATCAGCAAATTTGGTACAGGCGAAGAGCCACACGATCTCCGAGAGCCGGAGGCCTTCTCAATGGGAAACATTCGATCAAACTGAGAAGAGAAACTGAAATCATCGATCGTGACACATGTTGGATTTGGTCAGGATTCGCTGAATGACCATGTACTCGAGATTCGTACGAACAACGCCGCGCAGCTTATCCGAAGCCACTTCTTCCATCGCTCCCAAATACCCTCAAGAAAGCACAGCTCTAGTTCTCGTGAAGAGTAGCCTCGAAAGCGGCATCCCGCTCGATCGGCTTCTCGCTGGCCTTGACATGACCAAGACCCTCCTGTGCGTAGGCCTTGGCGTATGGGTTGAGGCGGAGCAGGACCTGCTTGTTGCGGAGTGGGTTCTTCTTCTGCACAACGGTGCGCTTGGTGATAGCACCGCCCTTGACTGGCCGGAGCACCGACTGGACTTCGGAGCTGTTGATGAGCTTGGCAAGGTCTGGCTGGGCCATGACATTTGTTGGCAAGAGGAAGTCCTTCTTGAGCTCGGATGGCTCGGTGGTGGTGCCGTAGACAGTGTCGAGGGCGGTGAAGGCGGACGAGGTCCAGATGATGAAGCGACCGAGGTGACCGCCAGGGGCGAGCTGGAGAAGGTTCAGTGCGTACACTGGGCAGGTCTCAACACCTGGAACGTTGCGGAAAGCGCGGACGAGGTCCTTGCCATCCTTCTCAGGCTCATAGATGACGAGCGGGCCACGGCGCTGCTGGTGACGGCGGTTCCTCAGCTTACCCTTACCAGCGCGGAGCTTGCGGGAGTTCTTGACCTTGGCGAGATCAGGGCCGGCACCGACAGCCTCGAGGAGCTTGATAGCGGCGGAGGTCTTCTTGAGGGCGCCATCGGCGAAGGCAGCGGAGGAAACAACGAGCGGAACCTCTGCGACGGTGGAGACGTGGTGTCCACGGGCGAGGAGGAGGGCAGCGCTGGAAGATGCGGCGATGGCGGAAGCAGTAGCGAAGCGCTTCTGGCCAAGGTTGATCTTCTGGTGCCACTTGCGCCAGACCTTGGTGGGTGCGAACATGCGACCAGAGCGGCACTGGTTACCGAAGGCAGCCTGACCGGCACGGTGAGTACCACCACCAGAGACACGGGGGATACGGGCGACAGCGCGTCCTGTAGAACATCATATCAGCTTTGTCCATGATTTCCATCTCCAACACTTTTCACATACCAGTACCCCACGACTCGGCAGAGGTCTGGTGGCCGGCCTTCTCGCTCACGGCGTATGGCTGGCGCTTGTTCTTGGCCATGCCAGTGTGTACCGTCCTGTCATTGTCCCATCAGTGACTGTCATCATCACCAACTCTTCTGTCTCGGGGTCTTCGTACTGGACAATGTCGGCGCGGATCGGGGCCTTGAAGACATTGGGGATGGTGAGCGTGTCCTTGGAGGCAGCTCCATCGGCGCCGTGGACGGTAACGGTCGGTCGGGAGGCCATTGCGACGGTTGTTGTGCTGTGTCGTTAGTAAAGTCCGCTGGTGAAATATCGCCGCCCAAGTTGCCTCAATTTTGGAAGCTCAAGAATTCCGAAGTGGTGTCCACGTGATGGCGCTAGGGCGTATAGGGCTTAGTGTCTTGGCAAATCTGGCTCGTTCCGTATCAAAATATCCCTCCTCCATCTCGTTGACTGCAACATCTACCTCCACGATCATCGAATTTTGCTGATGTTAACTCCTCTGAGATGCATGCGAGCGAAATGAGAATGCATAAGCAAACACGGACTGTCTCATGAAGAGGAGAAGGCGCAGTTGAACGCTACATCGTTCACATCGTTGTACGGTCTTTCGCTTTGCACCCCCTGGAAATCCCTTCTATGCTACCGAAATTCATTCGAAAGATAACGAAATGCCGGTCAAGACGCGCAGGCCTGCGCCCGCTCAGTGGCTCTCCCTTCTGGCAGTCTGTAGCAGTCGGGACCTCCGCCTCTCCTCCTTCCTTGGCATCAAACGCATCTCTGGCGTCGCCCTTCCAAGCACTGAGCGTGTGTGCTGAGAGCACGGTGTTCATCTCATCGTCGGTAAACTTGGATACGCCACGATCCACTGCTTAGCTCTGGATTGGCGCAGCAGATTGTCAGCAGCCTTCACAGCTTTGATCAATTCTGCGGAGGCAGCCCACCGGCTCTTGATGATGTTGGCGCTGCGCGGGTCGCCCCCGTCTGTCCGAAGAGGCCCAGTCTGACCTGTGACCGAAAAGTTGAATTGCTTTCATCAGCGAGAAGCGTCTGCGCTTGCTTGCTTTGCTGGAAAACTGCTCTATCTTATGCTCAGAAAACAGCTCGGTACATTGGCTTAAAGTATCGATGATGATGTTGCGCTGCTTGGTCATGTCAACGGTCAAATCCTGATCCTGATTTTTGGGCTTCACCACTAGAAGTGCAGGCCACCTTGCCATTTCTGTGCCCATGACCGATCTGATCTAACCTAGCAGTAGGCCTACGGTGTATTCCATCCTTCCTGGGACAATGGGCGGCGCTTGCTACCCTCACAAGACTGAATCTGAAAGAATCATCCGAATTCCACTATCGGTTTGCTGGTTTCACTACCCAGAGTTGCTTTTCAGGGGATGAAGGGACCATCAAGGTATGGTGAAACCCTCCTCAAAAGGAAGACAGTCGCGGTGCTGGAGTAGAGAACATGCTTCAGGCGTTTGAGGCCACTCTGCCCAAGGGTACAAGCCTTCACTGGACGACACGAAGCGGAAAGGGCGGCAAAGCTGGCACACAGCTGTAACTGCTTCGACAATGTGAGTGCTATTCCCTGCATTGATAATTTCACTGATATCATGCAAAGATAACATGATGGGATGTCTTGTTGACAGCGAGACATGGTCGGCTTTACCATTGCTTCTGACGGCATCGACACGACGAATATTGACCTGGCGGCAGGCATTCGGGCATGAAGAGGGTCCAAGACTGGCCTGTGAAAAGACTTATCGCTTCCACGCCTCTGAAAATTCTACGTCATCCAGTACAGCTGCCGACAAAGACCAGGTATTTGTCCCGCTTCGGGAACCAGTGGTCGCTTGCCATGCTGCTTTACCGCCTGACCCAGCAGCCCTTGGATCAAAGCACCATCGAGAAGATACCACATGGTGCTAGCATATATGACCGGGGTCGGGCGGCTTTCGAATAAAATACAGACGACAGCAAAGTGACTGCGCAACACGAAGTTCCAATCCCGAATCCCATCCAGAAGCGGCGCTGCATTCGGGAGGCGATCTGCGCCATTTCTCTCGTCACCTACCCAACACGGCCAACCGAGTCCCAACCTGTACTTGATAGGTCGTCGCTTGGTTTTCTTTCCCCATGCAAGCGCTCGCAGCCTGCAGGTCCCAACGACACGACATCACTCCAGATATTGAGGTCAGGATTGCTCCCGCCAAATCGTCTTATGCTTATCAAGTACCGTGCCCTGTCCGCGCTCTACCGAGCTTCTCCAGTACCTTATAATCCAACGATGTTTAATTTTCTTTGACCTTATAGTTAATTTTCATTTACTCATAATATGACCATTGCTGAAAAACCCATGTTTCATAATATAGGTATTCTGATGATAGACTATCGAATGGAAGTACGTTAGATAGTGTAACTTATCGTCCTTGTTGTTCTTTTCAGTTAATCTAAACGTTGCTTTTCTACAGCTCTACGACATCCCTCTACTTCTTAACGTTACTTCTATAATTCTCCCCTTCCTACAGTAACCTAGAGCGTAGTCACGGCGCCCGAAGCGCCGCTACGAAGCTAGTAAGTTGTAAGTATAGGAATCCGACGGAAGTTTTTCCCAGCTTCAGGGTAGGCGAGCACGACCACCGTCGTCGTAAGCCATAGCACGTAATAGCAAAAGTTCTCCCAAATCAGGTAGCCCCCGTCACAGAAATCGGACCTTCTTCGCAACATATACCAACCAGGCCAGGCCACCAAACGTCCTCCAACTCTGACCGCCAATCACGCACAACAACGTGATGTGAACCTAAGCGCGGGGTCGCTGCCGTCGCCCCTCTAGTCCCCAACTTCTTCGGCCTCAACCTTTCCCAAACAGAGAAGTCCCTTATCTTTCGAATTTCCCCTACTTACGCACATTGCGGACCAATCATCGTCATGGTCCACGCATGCATTCCCACTGTGTCATCAACAAATCCATCTCTGTGATCTGTCAGGGCATGTCACAGCTCTCACACCGGTTCGGCAGTTCATAAGGTACAGACAGGGCCAATTATTGTAGGAGTATGTATTGGTTGGCGGATTCCAGTAATAATTAAGCGAGGTCGGAGTTGACTCCAGAGACACCCCTGCTCTGGTCGCAAAATGTGGCCAAACGGATATCGCAACTACTTAGCTCGACCAGTCTCGATGACATTGTGGATGCTGTTGAGATGGAGTGGGAGTGTTTGCATGCAGCAAGTATGCCCGTAGCAGAATTTCGCCCGCGACGAGTATTGCCCTACCTCCAATCAGGCGCTCCGCCGGGGTAAGGTTCTATGTGGTTGAGAGTGAGAACCCAGAGGCGAGTAGCGAGTCGCGCACGAGTTGCGTATCCAGTAGATAGAGGGCAGAAGCAATGTGGTGCGATGCTATGTTGATACAATTGGGTATATCGCGATGCAATCAATGCAAGCAAAGACAGTTATTCTAGATCTAGATTTCATACTGTGGCCCAGCCCTCCCTGCTCGTCCTCGATCCACCTCTCCACCTCCCAGCACCACGGGTCATAATGATATCCTGAAAGTGCTAAATCCCAACAACGCCAGCGCTAAAAGTAATCATCATCACGTCAATTGTCCCACTCGACGTACGTTCTTCCCAAAGTTTACGCCATCAGGCGACTCTGTCGGGGGTTGCTGAGCAGAGAATCCCAATCGCCCTTTGCTGCCCCGCGGTTCGACGTCCAGGTAGCTTCAGCACCAGTGTATCTCCTGCCCGCGGTCTCGCGGATGGGTGCCTGGACGGTGTATGCTTTCCGCAGCACAGGTCTCGCACTCGCCTTCTTCATCGGCTTCATCTCCAGGGCGTCCATCGATGCGTTCTTTCGTCGTAGTTGAGCCCCGAGGTCGCCGGCATCTTCGCACGAAGGGGTCCTTGGCCTGAAGCGTTGCCAGATGGTAGGTTTGCGTTGGTATTGCAGCTCTTCGGGTGACGGCTGTGATAGTGAGGCGTTGTTGTTGAGTTCGGTTGCGTCAAAGTATGACCAGGCAACGGATTCTTCGAATCGGACACGTTTCGCTTGCTTGGCTGATGGGTTTGTTCGTAGACTGTCGGTGCTGACGCTGCAGAGGCTGCTTCGAGGACTCCTCACACTGTCATGTGGATCGTTGAGAGTTGTTGTCTCGCTGGCGGGTTCAGAATCGCTTGACGATTGGAGTCCAAAGCTGAGCTCTGGGAGGCTCGGGGCTGTTCCTGAAACGATGGAGGATGACCTTCCTTCGGTCATGGCTGATGCTAATGTTCAACGAGCTCGAGGCGTCACAAGCTCGACGGGATGTTGATATCTGAAGGTGTTCTGCTGTACAGCTCGTGGTTCGCTGGACGTCCAATGGATAGGCGAATGGAACTGAACAGACAAACGATCGTTTGGTGCACTGCTGGAGAAGGGAAGGTGTTGTGGTGGTCGTCCGTTGGCAGTGGTGTGCAGTGGCTCTCCGCAGCAAGCCTTGCGTGTACGACGAGGGCGAAACAGAAGCTACCACAAACTGCGAACGACAGGCATTTGTACAACCGGGGACAGAGGAACAGGTGCGGCGCAGCTTCTAACGCTGGTTGGGATACTAGCGCGTGTTAATGTGTGTTCCCCAGAAGAATGTTGAGCAGGTCCCAAAGAGGACCGAAAAGCTCGAATAAGGAACGAGGGCCGGAGTAGAACCGCATGCCGGCCCTCCCGATTAATGCATTGTCGTTCCTTGATTGGCCTTCGCCTGCCAAGCACCCCTGTGCCCCAACGGCGTGGAGGGAGTACCGTATCGAACATGCGGAATGCGTGTCGTACCGTTTCAGACAAAACGAGTGGAGTGATGGGTGACACGCCCACCAGGTTCTGGCTGTCGACTCGACTTCGCGAGGGGGGGGGGACTCGCTCCATGCCATGCCACACACAGCGGTGCAGCTTGTATCACATATCGCAGCCAGGTCGACGGTCGACGGTCGATAGTAGACACAGCAGCGTAGTAGACGACGGATCGCACTACTATGGCACCCAGTGCACCATACGTACGGCCTGCGTCGGCCGCGCTGAATCGGGACCGCCCGACAAGAATAGACCCTTGCAATCGCGACGATATCGTAATGCCAACCACACTGCCACCCTCTGCGCTCCGTCCGGTTACGCAAGCATCCGAACCGGGCTGAGAGATAAAGACGACCGACGCCCTGTCCGGCGGACCATAGACGCCATAGTCGTCGATGATTGTGTCTTGCACGGGGATCCGCTGATGCTCTGCTCCGACTGTTACACCCGACTCCACGAGCATGCTTCGTTTGCTGCAGTCAACGCATTCCTGATAGGATTAGAAAGCAGTGGGAAAGCCAGGGATGGTCCTGCGGGAGACATGCAGTCCATGCTTTTTGTATAACCATGGGAGTCTAGATTGGGTGGCGAGTTTAAGCCAAAATTCAGTGGTGATATTGCGATGTTGGCGTTCGAGCATTGGTTCCTTGGTTGAACTGCCTGTACCGCCCCCCCCCACCTTCCTCTTTGCGCCGCGAGACAGACTCCGCCGTTGCCAGAGATCTTCTTGCTTCATTTCATCCGAACTGTCTTTGCTGCTTTTGATCTGCTTCATTCCTTCGAAGGACGCACCACAAACCCATCCAACGTCAGCTGAGATTGCCAGTCGGGCCAGCGCCCGAGCAGACTCTTGTGGAGCTTGTGTTAGTCGAGAGAGGCAGGCGTGATAGTGGCATGATTCTCGGGAGCAGTTGATGTCTTACGGATGGTGCGACAAACCCGTAGCCCGCTCGCGAGATTTGTCCCAGGCATAAGGCCAGGATCCATGGCACTGACAGTGATGAGAAGGAAGACCCTTTGTTCCTCTGGTGTTGGTCCGGAAACATACATCCACGACACATTGCGAAGCTTGCTGGTAGAATAGCGCTGGCGTCCATTATCGCTCAAAGACGCCGGGTTGGGGTGCGCAAGCAGCTCCGCCTTGATGTACTTTGCATCTGGCATGCCGCTCTTCTGCCTGCGGCGCTGGGTCATGGACGACGCCGGACGAGGTGAGCACAACTCGTACATTTTTGGCCAAAAATGGCTGCAGAAGATGGAACGACAGCGCGTGTCCGACATGTTTTACTCCAAAAGTAGTTTCGATGCCATCTGTTGTGAAAGAGAGGCTCAACGATTGAAGGCCGGCATTAAGCACGACAGCTGATACAGGAAGCCGATTGGCAGAGATTTCGTGGGCGAATCGTCGGATATCATTCAGGCCCGCAAGGTCGAGCTTGAGATAGTGAACATTCGAATGGTCTGTCTCTCCATTGATTGTTTGTGCTGCCTCTTCTCCAGACGATCGAGAGCTGGTGGTGACCAAGGAGTCCGGCTTGTCGTTTGCGGTGGTGCGAGCCGCCTCGTATCCCGGTCCAGTCTGGCCACCGGTCATCACGATCATCGGCTGTTGAGTGCTCATGGTTTCTGGCGCTGGGTATCTGGTACTTGGTGTCGACCTGGTGGCATGACGAAAGCTTTAGAGATCTGGGAGAACAGCTGCTACTGGATTTCTTTCTGGTCCGAAACGCTGCTTCCTACGGACAGGAGATTGCCCTTGGCGATCCTGAAAGCATGCGGCTTCAGAAAGTGATGTCGACGTGTATCTTGCAGTAGGCCGAATCCTATGTGCTGTAGCCAGCGGATACAATGAAATGTGGAAGTGAGCCTCGGCACAACTTTTGCTCCGAGTCGTTATCTGCCATATTCTTCGGCACCATGCTCGATGCTTTTTGCGATTGCGAAGTGACGAAATCTACTCAAGTTCCAACTGATCATTGCCCAAAGCACACTTTCCAAAGCGCTGACGCTCTGCGGTCAAATGCCATGTATTTTACGGTGATTTGGTGTTAGTCCGCGTCTTTGTGAGAGCCATAATTCGTCCCTTTCCACGTCCACACCTGAACCGCCGACGTACGCCAGACCATTTGGAACAGTGCGCTTGTCGTAAGCCGCGCACTGCGCGACTTCCCGTACTCTATCTTGCATGCAGGCTGCGTGTCCTTCTACGCTGTACTTGGTATCAATCTCTTGGCGGATCGTGAAGGATCACTGCTCATACGCCCTCGAAGTCGATAAGTCTCGCCTGTGGACTTTCGTGCAAGCGCTCCATGTTCACATCCATGGCTTGGGTGCGAGACATTCTGTCCTTCTTCATCAATGTCCCAGCAGAGGAAAGGGGGAAGAGCGTGCCATTGCCAGAGCGTCGGATTGGAGGACATCGCTTGCAGACTGTCTGCGCCGCGCCGCCCTTTGCACACTCATCCATCTGCACTCGCATCGTCGACTCTCACGAAAACGGTAAACACGATACGAAGCTCATCCACGGCGCAAAGTTGTGTGGGCCACGCTAGTGGTGCGGAAAGCTGCATCATCGTCTCAGGTATGGCTGAGACACATCTCTGTTGCCGGTGACAAGTGGGCACGCCCGTGAAGACGCCATGGACGGCCCTCCATTCGACCGTGTCATGTCGCATGCAGAAGAAAAGGCCACGAACATTGTTGCTTGTTGTGGGCGTGGCGGTCCTGGATGCCGAGCGCGTAGCGCGTCGGGCGCTTCGTCTTTTAGCCTCTCGTCAGAGAAATGATCCGAAGCGTAGAGGCCGAGGCGGGCGGGAGGTACAGTATCGTCGCATCCTGGCCGGATTGGGGCGAGAAGCTGGCCTAATTTAAGCGCATCTGCCGATTCCCCCTGTCACATGTGGCTTCGGCTGCATCTTCTCCGCACACGCAGCTAGCGCGAAAGCTTGCGCTTAAGTGAACGTCGGGGCATTCTTTGGCCGGACAAACTCTAATTTCGGAGGACGGATTCACGTCGTCGTTCGCTGCTCGAACGATGCATGTAACGTGACCACGATAATGCACGACATTGCAGCGGAGGACCTTGATCAATGCATCATTCTGCTTGGGTTGCTATCGATGCAGATCACTTGGCCATCATATCGACCACTCCAGCAACGCATTGTGGCCAGAGGGGCTGCTCCGAGATGGACATGGACATCATCCCCTGTCTGGAGCCGTCCGGACGGTCTCGATGTTACATGGCGGGCTAAAGGCCTGAAGCATGGTCAGAGTATAGATCAGGACTACCGGGTCTATCATCACCGCGTCTCGCGTCTCCCGTCTTGATTCTACCGGTGATCAATGTGTGACCAGAAAGCTCTCTTCACTCGCCGACACAGGTACAATAGTGGGAGAATCTTGAAGACTGCCCGTCGCCAGCAGTGTATATAAGTCCCGCAAGGCTTGGGAAAGCGTGAGCTGTTAGCACCCCGCAGCCATCATGGCTGCTGTTGCTAGCATCGAGCCAAGTGGCTCAGAAAGCAATGCTCCCGAAGCCCAGATCCACTGGGTATCACCACTCGAACCGATCGAAGCGCAAACAATAGCACTACCGGCACCAGACCAAGTCGGCATCACCGTCATTCAACCTCTGATGGTGTGCTTCAAGACAACAGAGCACTACCGAGAAGATCAATTCATCGAGTCTGTGAAAAAGGCGGCTTCCGGTTGCATTTGGGAGATTCCCGCTCTGGCGGGCAGCGTGGTTTGGGAGGATGAGTCCAGGCACAGGACCAAGGTCGACATTCCTCATGACGCCAAGGTGCAAGTCAAAATCAACTACTTGCCTCAGAAAAACGCCGAAGAGCTGGACCGCCAACATTGGCCACCGCGAACATTTCCGCACGCAGAGGTTTGCTTGTCCCCTCGACCGACTTATGGGATTGGAAGCTACAATTTCGGCGTACAAGCGAACATTATACAGGGAGGTGTGATTTTGGTGTTGCACATGAATCATACCATCTTGGATGGTTCGGCTCAGGCGATTGTGGAGGAGATCTTTGCACACCATCTGTCAAGAGCCATGGATGGCGAGGCCCCGATTGCATCAGGGCTCGTGCCCCCTGAGGCTTTGGACAAATCCAGAGCGTACGGCACTCATCCAGCGAAACCGATTCTTGAATGGAAAGACTGGCGACTGGCAACAGAGAACACCATGTCCGAGGAGGCACAAACCGCAGCTCTCCTGGACCGCATGGCGAAGCTCACATTGACTGTGTGGTATATCTCTCCGGCTAGATTGGCCAAACTCCGCGCAGCAATGCAAGATCCAAGCCAACCGAAAATGTCACTGGCAACTTGTCTCACCATCTGGCTCTGGGCTGCCACCTCTCGAGCAAGAGGCCATAGCCCAGACACCGAGACAAGGATGCTCATGCCGGTCCAAACCCGCGTACGGGTACCCGATATGCACGAAAACCACTCCGGCTCTGCCCTGGTCTACGGACGTACGAAGGCGACTCTGGGCGAGCTGAACACTCTCCGCCCACATGCCATCGGCGAGCGCATCGCCAATAGCATCGCCTTCTGGACGCCCGAACGCATCCGCGAATACTGGGGCTCCATCGAAGACTGCGACGACGTCGCCAAGTACCACTCCAACACCAACCGCGAATTCGGTACCGATCTCGAATTCACCCACATGTCCAATTTCAAGTTCTACGGCATCCCGTGGGGCAGAGGGCTACAGGTGCGGGCGTACCGATTACCCGGCATCGCCTTCACCGATGGCTGGACCGTCTTCTTGCCCAAGCAGGTCGACGATGGGAGGGAGTTGATGATCTACCTCTCGCGGGACACGCTCGGCAGGTTGATGAAGGATGCGTCTTTCCGGGAGTATGCGGAGTACTGGTCTTCGTTGGATCCGAGTATTGATAGACAGGCTGCGGAGACGGCGACGGCGTGGACTAGGCCTGGGCTGTAGTCAGGCGAATGCACTACCGTTTCTTTCCTTGATGGATCCTCGCAGGATCATCCTTTCCTCAAACCTGGTTGTATGTAAGGCCGTACGACACGAATAGGTGAGAAGTTCGTTGCTTTTCCACCGTGATGTTAACCGAATCAGTGTCGATCCGCTTGTGCGTGGAACAAGGCCGCGGTCATTCCCAAGACATGGTAGACAATGCAACTGCAATGCCCTTTTGAGCGCTCACATCCACGCTCATGGACCCTCTCCGCGAGACTCAGTGTGACGAAAATTGATAGTAGGTCAGTCATGGTGCGGTGAACATGTCAAAGTGAAATTGAAACAAGCCTCATCCCAACGTCCAGGTGGCCTTCCATACAGCAGAACGAATTCCACCCACGACAACCAAGGCGAGAAAGGATAGTGAACGCAAAGGTAGGATTTGCAAGAATACGGAAAACATAGCAAGAAGCCGAAACTAGCAAGAGCTGTATCAGATATTCTATGTCATTCTATTCTTCAAACCGACCTCCCCACGCTGTTCCAGTCACGACTAGTAGCGTGTTGCAAGCCAAAGTGGTGCGACTGCGAAGTACGCCCAGAGCCAGCCCGTCAAACCCAAGGTGCCAAAGAACGCAGGCTTAGGAGGAGTAATAGCCGCCATCGAAGGCCGCGCCACACCAGTCTTCTCGTCCCTCTCCAAGAAATCTTCCCTGGTCTTCAGATTCGGGTCCGGCGAGAGCACGTAGATGATGGGCGTGATGGAGTTGTACAGGCAATCGAGCAGAATCTTCGTGAAAGGCGGGAAAGCGATGGAGGCCAGGAGCCATTTGGTCGAAGTCGCGTCGCGCAGAGTCAGGGAGATGACCGCCGTGAGGAGGAAGAAGTAGGTCATGTGCATCCAGCCTCCATCGTAGATGACTGTTCGCCAGAGTCTGCCGATGACGCTGGTGCTGGCGGTTTTCTTGGAGGCGGCGCAGTCGGCGCCGGTGGTGAGGAAGCGAGGCATCTTTGACTCGCCGAAGATGGCGTGATGGACGAGCCACATGACACCCTTGAGCTGGTACGGCAAGTTCCAGAGACGTGTGCCGTCGTCCAGTGAGATATTACCGTTTGCAGCGGCTGACAGGAACCAAGACATGATGTAAGACGATGAATATGCAACCGAAGCCAAAGCCAAAGTAATTCTGAAATCGGTGTAGTTTGCAGTCGGAATGACCGCAGTTCTGGCCAGCAGAAGGATGGACGGGAGGGCAAGCACCAGGAACAGGCGGAAGATGGTCATGTGCAACACAGGAATGAGTCCACTAACTCGAGCGCCCAGAGGCTTGCAAGTCAGAATTGGGTGTGTGAAGAGTGAGTATGCGTGAATGATTCCCGTCATCCACTTGGTCTGTAGTTTCGCCATATCCGTATAGGTCAAAGCGTTCATGCCGTGCTGGTGCTCCTCTTCAAGTAGGCGGACCTTGTAGCCATGCGCTGACAGGATGATGCTGACAATGAAGCTATCCTCCTGCTTGACCATGGTAGGAAAGCCTCCAAGAGCTTCAAAGGTAGATGTGCGGGCCAGATATCCAGTCCCTTGGCAGACGGCTTTGCCATTTGCGTCAAAGACACGTTGAAGCACGTCGCTCTCCAGTGCGAAGCGAGGAGCCAGGCAGAACCCTTGAGGCAGGTTGTAGAACTTTTGCGGGCTGCCAGCCATGGCAACAAGCTCGTCCTCTTCCAGAAATGGCACAGTGGCACGAATCCATTCGGGTTCCAGCAACATGTCGATATCCACGACACCGAAGTAGGGCGCGGCGCCTCCCGGCAAGGTCTTGACCAGCTCCATACCATAGCAGATGTTCGCAGCCTTCGAGTGGATCTTCACCTCTCTGCCGCGAGCTCCATAGTGTAATTGAACATCCGGGTTCTCTTTGCTGATTTCAGAGACAAGCTCGCGCACTGCAGGAGAGTTACCATCGTCGAGAATGACGACACGGAATTTGTCTTTGGGATAGTCTTGTCGAACCGCAGTGTTGATTGTGTCCTTGATGATGTCCAAACCTTCCCCGTAGCATGGCAAGAATACATCTACGCGAGGAATGCTCTCGCCTTTCGCCCGCTTTTGCTCTTGAGGAGTCCAGGTTTTGCCCAGACTAGAAACCAGGAGTGCATTCAGCAATCCGCTCACTGCATCCCGTTAGCCTTCTGAGCCAACTTCGCGCGTTTCTGAAGGCTTACCTGCGAAGATCCATTCCACCAAGAGAAATCCTACGAATGCAACAATCTCACTGCCACCGGAGCTTGGAATGCATTTGAGGACGCTAAACCATCGCCACGCAAAGTAGACGAGGTTGGTGAGCAGAGGTACTTGGGCAAAGCCAATAGCTTTCTTCAAGGCAACATTTCGTTGTTGCTGTTCCTCTTCGGTTCGTCTCTGGTGTATTGACACAGCAGATGCTGTCTTCAGGCCCTTGACACCCATCTGACGCTCAATGTTGGAGAAGGATGGGAGTGAGTGTTCCAGAACGTTTGTCTAGGGAGCGCAAGATGTAATTGCGAGGTCGTAAAGGCAATGGTCATGGCCATTATTAGGTATGAGCGTTGGTCCCTCTAGACTAGTTGAGGCTAGTAAGACAACCTCCCTGTCGCGAGGTTCGGATCTGCAACAACTTATTGCACCAGGACGATATCGTGTGCCGCGGCACGACGGCGACCAAGGTGCCATTCTGACACATAACGTTCTGTCCTGCATCTGATCCGTACGACTCTACCCTTCTGCAACTGCCCTCTCCGTGCGGATCAGCAATGCCGCAGCCATACGTCTCAATACCAGAAGCATCATTCTACTCGAGTGCGATCGACCCGACTCGCAAGAAGCACGACGCGTCGCACGAAAGCTGTCAATTCGCCTGTCAATTCGCCGACATGTATCGGGCCCAGCCTATTGCATGGTCACATGGATGGGTAACATCAAAATTGCCGAATTGGGACCGCAATGTAATCGCTCGGCATGCCATCTTTGAGCTTGGAAACATCCGAAAGCTGCAACAATGATGACCCAATGGAGTGGCGTATCCGCTTCAGCCTGTTATCTGGCTTGATTGAATGATGCACGTGTTGGCCAACTGTTTCTGCTTGCAGACACTTTCGTAGAAGCAACTTCAAAACTTTGCTGGCGAAGCTTTGAGGCCGGCGTTCCAGGAGATCTAGGTATGGCGAGGCCCGCCGTGTCTTCGATCTTGCGCTGCAACCGTCAACCACGGACCCCGTTACACCAGCTACGGATCGACTCGACGACGACATTGCCAATGCCAATACCAATGCCAATACCTCGATTGTCCATGTTCTATATTTTCTCCACGCCCAGCCTTTTAAGGCTCATCGCCAGGCCACGTGCGATCACGCACAGTCCGGTGATCAAGCAAAGTCCGGTGAGGCCACATATCAAGCTTCAAGATAAACGAGGTGAACAACCCGTAGGGATGGCAAGGCTCAGGGATCAAGAGGCTCGGGCCAATTATCGAAAATTCGCCAGTTCATGAACAGCGCTTCCGATTCCTGAGGTTTAGCAGGGCCACTGAGCTTCGAAGATGTGCCGATTTAATTGACCGTTAATTATCCACTTTGGGTCAACACATCTTCATGCTTATCTCCGTCTGTGCCCCCGAGGGAGTATGTGTACAGAGTCGCCTGTGGTCGCTTTGTCCCTGTCGCCCATGGACCTGGTTTCACTTGGTGCTTGGATGATTGTCGTAGATTCCCCACCTGTAAATGCCGCAAGTCTCAGCTTATCCTGTCCGGCGTGGCTGCCGACTCATCTGTTGGCTGCGCGATAGTTAAATGCCCCTTAGCGCCCAGACAACGGATATCTCCCTCGAACTTCGTGATAGTCAAAGGTGCATTGAATGCGCCGCATATTGACATCAACATCCACTCTGAATGACCTCTTGGCCGACGCTATCGGGCACAAAGACAGTCACCAAGCCCCTTTGAGCGCAAGCATCGCGCATATGGCGCAGTAGTGCAAGCAAATCGCGTCTTGAGTTGAGTAGCAGTGGTTTCGTAGAACGGTGTGTGCTACGCAAACGCAACAATTGGTGGCCTTTACGGCTAACCCATACGACCGTCCATCGAGCTCCCCTGGGAGAGTGCTCTTCGCCTTTGCTGCAAGAAGCAGGCCGGTTTCATAAGGGTCATACCGTAGTATCGAACTTCGACGGTCTGCAAGATCGTCCTGCGCTATTGCTTGGGAACCAGGGTGCCGATCGATAGGAATAATCAAACCGAACGCACTATCACGGGTGTGTCGGGCTCAGTAATGGCCAAGAGCGTCGGGCTTGTCAGCGCTGTTCAAAACCGGCGCATACCATCGCTTTACCTGCGCGTAATCAACATTTAATCAGTGACACTCTCGCTGCATCATCTTCTCTCTTCATATTCTTTATCCTTGTCAATCTCCAGGGAAGTGGTTCGATCTGCGTACACAGCCACGATCATGTACGGGATTGAAGACCGGCGCTTCACCCGCCAGCTTTCTTTTGGTTCGCTCGTTGATCTGAGTGAGAAGAATGAGCTTGGTCTCAACGGCACACGTCGTCGAATCGCCATTGTCGGCGCTGGCATCACGGGCGTCGCAACTGCCTGTCATATCTTGGATGCCGGATTCGAATGCCACATCTTCGAGGCCGGTGATAAAGAGAGCGTGGGGGGCATCTGGACCAAAGTCAACAACACTTCAACGCTTCAAATCCACTCCAACTTCTACAAGTTCCACGATGCGGTATCATGGGAAAGCGAATACCCAAATCGCCAGGAGATTCTGGGCCAGGTGAAGAAGCTCTGGGATTTCTATGGCCTCGCCGAAAGAACGACTTTCAACTGCAAAGTGACGAACACTTTTCAAGAGGATGACGGTAAATGGGTGGTGAACGACCCCACCAATGGGTACTTTGATGGCCTTGTGGCAGCGGTTGGCACTTGCGGCGACGTCTATGCGCCCGCGATTGCAGGACAAAGCTTTTTCCAAGGACAGGTCATCCACTCATCAGAGCTCGACCGGGAGGCGGTCGAAGGTAAGAAGGTCCTCATCGTCGGTGGAGGTGCCAGTGCGGTGGAAGCTCTCGAATTCGCGTGCGACAATGGGGCTGCTTCAGCCAATGTCCTCGCAAGGGTAACACAACCTTTGTCTCTTTCAGCTGAGAACAATTCGCTGACAGCTCGTAGTCGGAGCGATGGTTTATCCCTCGTCACCCAATGTTCAATGCCTGCCTCGCTGGTACGATAGGGGATCGTTACGGAATATTGGCACGCATTCTGGAGTTCTTCCTTCGGCTTATCTTCTATCGCGAGTTCTGGGAGATGGCCCCGCCGTCGAATGGCTCTAACGGGATCTTTTCTGGAACGCCCATTGTGAATAGTCGCGTATTTCAATTGATAGTAAGCAGACTCAGTGCATGAAGGAAAAGAATCGAGCTGACCTTTCCACAGCGCGACGGTCGTGCAGGCTGGGCTCGAGCGGACATCGAATCGTTCGCGCCGAACGGACTGCATGTGTCTCATCGTAGAAGGGGGGCCCTAAAAGGCGAGATTGGTGACCAGCGCATCGAAGAAGGCGAGGTCATCATTCTTGCTACCGGATACACTCGGCCGTCTCTTTCGTTCCTCCCGAAGTCGTCCTGCAGCAGCAAGTACCAGCCGCCGAATTGGTTCTTGCAAACCTTCCCAACAACCGATCCGACTGTGTGTGCTACAAATTGCACTTGGAGAGATGGAATTGGCAGTGTTGGAGGATGCCACATTGGGATTTACACTCGCTTCTTGTTGGTCTTCTTGGTTGATCCTCGCACTGCGCCGACGGAAACAATCATGAAGTACTGGGTCGACCTGGTCCACATCCTCAAGAAGCCTTCACCAGGCGGTGCTCTGGCTTTCGTTACATCCGCGGAGTTGTTCTTTTGGTTTCTGGTCGTTATACTTGTTCAGCCAGCACTATGGCCATACATGAGCTTCATTCTTGGCGGTCCTGGACCGAAACTGAAACCAGAGCCGCCTGCGAGACCAGTTGAGGTCAAGAGAAGCATGCGGAGACGAAGTCGGGACAATATGATGGCGCTGGCGAGGTAGCTTTTGGAGTTTGCTTTTTTCCTTTTTGATACCCAAGCGAGTAATCGTATAAGACGAAGAGTTAGGGACGGCGTCGGGGGTGCCTGGCTGGATCCAGGCTTTCGGTATCCGATAGAGCAGCAGCGATAGAGCCAGCTTCAATGTGATCGATATGGTTTCGGTAGTATCCTTCGAAATTATTGTTCGTCTGCATGCTCTCCTCGTCGGTAGAAGAACGGGTCATCATTTTCGAGAGCCTAAATCCGTCGACGGGGAAGAAACCTTGGCGAGCAGTTCGGCGGGGGCCAGCTACAATCTCCTTCTCGAACCTCTCAACTTCCCAAGTCCTAAACTCATCCCTGTTCTTCTTTCATTTCACCTCTCCAAACATTTCTTGCTCGCATCCCTTCGAGGATTCTAGAGCGACCTTGCCCTTTTGCCACGCAGTCGCAGTCATGTCAGCCGAATAACCTTCCCAGATCGCTCCATTTTTGGCAGACGGTGCAATCCGCAACGACAAGAATGGCTTCGATTCTCATCGCCTTTGGTGACCTTTTGGCAAGCGCAGCTGGGCTCCTCTACGGATCCTTATATCTCGGGATTGCGCTGGCATACTCCATCCAGCAAAAGGAGACGTGGCTTGGCCAGAACGAGGAGGATGCTGCTCATCTCCGCCACGGTAAGCCAACTGGCAGCCCTGCTCCACTGGGGAAGCGAGCCCCGATAAACGATACGTGCAAGCGCTAAAACATCACGGGCAGCCTTGCACGAGTTATGGTCGCTCTCAAACAACGATGGCCGACTGGAACACAAGTTTTTGAAGTTGCGCAATGGCGTCCAGTTGCATTATCTAACGCCCCGAGGAACGGAAACAGCGCAAGCGGCACAAACGCTCGTCGTATTTGTGCACGGATTTCCAGATTCCGCACACCTCTTCACCAGACAATTGCATTCGCCGTTAGCAACAAAGGCAAAGTTGGTGGCTCTGGATTTTCCAGGATGTGGAGGAAGCGACAGCCTCGCATCATATGGACCCGATGAGGTGCTGAATACCGTTGCTGAAGCAATTGTTCAGCTTAAGAAACAGTATTTGGAGGGCCGTTCGACGCGATGCATTCTTGTAGGCCACGACTGGGGCGGTGTAGTCGGATTCCGCCTCGCTGCAGAGACAGAAGGACTGATTGATGAGTTGGTAACACTGAACTCTCTTTGGCCAGAGTACGCAGAAGAGGTCTTGAAGTCGCATCTTTCTCGAGGTCAACGTCTGTTGTCCAGATGGCGAATGAGCGAGGCCAGAGATGAGCTTGGTCCAGTTTTCTCACAGCTCCAGAAGTCCGGTTATGTAAGGTTGCCGCTTGAACATCCGGGTACTCGATCGAACACTGACGTGTTACCCAGACGTACATGCTGAGTCTGCCATTCCCAATTGCAAAGTGGATGCCACGAGTGACAGCTTCCCTCCTCAAATACGCACAAGGTCTAGAATACAAACAGTCGCCTTCACAGGCCCCGGATATCCTGGCGACTCGTTTAGCCATGGCCTATGGACCAAGCTCCTTGGAAAGTGCGCTGTCCAATGCCAACAGCCCTCATTATGGGCCCTCTGTGCTGGATCGATCGAACAGCAACCCACCCGGGGACTGGGACGCACGTGTCAGGCTTTACGCAGACGGACTGCTCCGAGAAAAGTGGACCCCTTCGTACAACGGCCATGATATTTCAGGGAAGCATGGAGATGACCGCGCGAAAGGTTTCCGGTGTCCAGTTCATATCATATTTGGTCTTGGAGATGTTGCGTTGGACCCCCGCGTCGTCCTCGACGGCATCGAAAAGTACTTCCGGGACGACGCAAGAGACGGAAAGCGCATCATCAGGCTACCAGGATGTGGTCACTGGTCGATTCTGGAAGAAGAAGGTATCAAAGCCCTCGATGGTGTGTTGGTGGAGTTGATCCGGTAGTGCTTTGCAAGTAGATCTGCGAACGAATGTCGGTCGAGCTGGACATCGTTGTAAGTAGATGATAGACACTGCGCAGCTCGCACCAAAGAGCATGTAAAGTAGCTTTCTGGCGACGCTCCTGGCCACAACAGCTCCATCAAACTGGAGCAGGGCATTGTTTTCTGCTTGCCTTGACCTTGGCCGCTTCTGACACAGTCGTGAAGACTAGCAAATGGCGTAGGACTTCTCGATGGCAACAACTGCAGATTTGGTGGATGATCCACCAGACGTACGTGCATTGCTTGTCCACCGTGACACAGAACCAACTGCATTCTTATTGGGAGGTCGTGGATAGCGTTATGCCGGAGCCATGAACTGGCACTGGAGCGACATTTGTACAACCAGCAACCATCAAGGAGTCGGAAGATCCTTGCCGCGTGTCTCCAGAGTCGTAATAGCCTAGGGCTTATCTTACGAGACGTAGAGTATGTCGTGCCCTGCGGTTTGGCTGAAAGACGACGATCATTCGAAGCAAGTACATCCTGAAGTCTGCTGTTGCACCTTTCAATTCGAGCAAGAAGCTCTCCCGCTTCGCGCCAGACAGAGAGTACTTGAATCTTTTCACTTCAAATGTGACGTTTGGCTCAACCATAAGGTAAGTCTGTGCATGCTGGCTGAATGTTGGCAGTGACGCCTTCCCATAGCGGTCAACAATAAAAGAGGGCGGCACTGGGTAACCTGCACCGGTGATAAAATCCAACACCGACCTGTGCTTACCCAGGGAATCTGCGGATTATCTCACCTCATGTCGACTCTTGAGCACCTCTTGCATCATCGACACTGCATTCTTCACTCGACCTCGCCATTGTGTCCATCATAATCTCCAGGGTCTCCGTGTAGCGTTCACGACAATCTGAAAGTCGCCGGTGTAGTGTGTCCTCAACATGCTCTTCGCGCCAGCCCTACCCCTCAGACTACGCCATGAGAGCCTCGTATTGGCCAGGATCGGACTACACCATCAAGAAGCAATGGCGGGAGCAACTCTTTCAAGTTGAGTTTGAACATGAGCTGACAATCCTTAATCCGTCGCAGGTCTTTCCGATGAGTCCGCTGGATTTTTCACCAAGTAGCGATGACCAGTTTGGTGTTCTCGGAATACTTCAAGGCTTATACAAGGAGCGTAAAGGCTCCAAGGACGATGCCTGCGATATCTATGCCGCTCATTGGGACGATTCGCGGTAAGTCTGGTCGGATCAAGATACTGTTCGAGGCAGTGTGGCATTGGATATGTTTGTCACTGACATCGTGGGAATTTGGAAGCTGCTATCGCTGGAAGGCCAGCTTTGTACATGTCCAGATGCAGATAGGTAAGCGCAAAGCCTGCGAGGGCTCGACACCGACAGTAAGCGAGGTGGTGCTCGGCCGAGATGCTGGCGTGACTGTGAGGCTGGCTCCAGGCGAGGCTGTCAGGTGAACGATCGTGACGGAAAGGCAAGCAAAGTCAGTACACAATCTGCTCTCGCAATATCTTGAGGAAGTTGTTGGAGAACGGAGGGAAGGGCGGAAGAAAGATACAGCACAGAGACGGCAAGGAGCACGAGCCACCCGATCCGGACCGTACCGCTCCGATCGCCGCTAAGACTTAGGTTGCTCCGTCGATCGAGACGGCTCCCGAATTGCCCAAACATCATTCAAAGAATCGCTCATAACACTATTGATCGCATCAACGTCGATACAACGCCCGCGCTTGCCTCGTATGCGTTGGAAGCACCGGACGTTCGACAAGACACACTGCCCTCAATCCGTCCTACCTTGGCATTGATAGATGCCTCCACGCTACTGGCTCACTTGATGCCAATACATTCATGACATCAAATGGTGGAGACCGAGATCAAGATGGACAATGTTGACATGCAGCTCTTGTGCGATCGCCGTTTCCTGTCTGCCTACAGATACGGAAACACATCTCGCCAAACAGCATTCCACCTTATCAGGTGATAGTTTTGCGGCCGTAGTCGCTGCGACTTCGCGACCTATGACCGAGATTCCAGCTTCTGCATGTCCTCTTCGCGACAGCTAGGCGACGGATCCCAGGAGAAAGGCGTCCGATCTGTGAATTTCAGCCGACATCGAGCTGACGGTGCCAACCAAGGACTTTAGACGCTATCTTGGCTACTCTTTCGAACAATTGACACGCTGCTCAATAGCGCCCACCCTACGAAGAGCTGTCGTGTCAGAGTCAGTCGGCGTGAAAAGACATACTAGCAAGACCAACCACAGGACAATCAGTCTGCACTCTTTGGGAAATTGAAGATAGCGACGAGCGCCTTCAGTTCCCTACTTGCCAGAACGCGCAGCCAGCCAATGAATCCGACGGCCTGCCGTCGTCGTCTGTGGGTTCCAAGGCAGAATCTTCATCCATTCATTTTCGAGAAGAGGTTCAGCCTGGCGTTCTCCAAGCTGTAGAGTAATTCGCCCTGCACGAAAGTCTGCTTTGCGACATCTGCGGACAACTTTTCCCCTCGCACAACAATATGGTAGCGGATACGCCAATCGACCTTGCGAAGTGCCAGGCCATGGTCGCATCAATAGGTGAAAGCTTTTTGCCGAGCAACTGCTGAATTCAATGCCTCGAGATCGTATTCAGAGTATTTACGGGGAGTCGCTCCAGTATATTGACGACACTTTGCAAAGAATCATGACAAAGGGCTCGGCTACTGCTGGAGTACGCCGCGAAGTACACATGATTCGAGACAGCGCTCACCACGTATATGAGGATCTTAAAGCCGTGTGACACCGTCTCACTGACAGACAATCTGACCAAGCTGTTCGGTCGGCTCCCATCAGGGCTGAGCAGAGTCAACAGAATGGCGACGATATATCTTCCACTGCAAGATTGCAGTCATCGAAACGCGAAAGCTTGCCTGCCATGCTCAATGCTTCAAGGAGAGAGTCTTCCGTTGACTCGTCTCAACAGGAAAGTCTTCAGCACACGCCACTCAACATCAACCCAAACGGGAGGACCCATCATCCTCGCCGCTGTTGTCTTCAGCACAGGAACCTTCAACACTGTGCTATCATAGCCCGAAATCCTTCGGACTGATATCAGAGCGGCTGGTGGCCCAGGAAGAACTTCTACGCGACTTCTGCGCTCAGCTTCATCCGTTACATGACGCGATGGTAACGAGCATGCTTGTACAATTCGGCGATTGCCTCGCACTAGCCACGGACCTTTCAAGACCCAATGGATCAGGATTGCATAGAGTGGACAGACAAGGCTTCGATTCGTCACAACAAATTCCGGACTCCACCGACGCGATTACCATCAAAAGCACTGATTCTTCGCAAGTTCAAGGAGCAATCGAGACAATTGAGGCTCAGCTGGGCGAGATTAACCAGCGGCTTGCAGATGCATGTGAGAGGTTCTTGCGTCAAATGGCTTAGACATTGATCCATTCGACATGACATTGTTCCAATACCGAGCAGCATGGTTCACCCAGGATCAAGCCTTTCTTCAGATCAGCTGCTAACTGTTGTGTTGATCGGACGGCCACCGCCTATCAAAGCAGGCCCGGCCATCCCACGCACTTCTTGATATTTCACGGCCTGCCACACCGAGCGCCCTTCCTCCAGCGGTACCCTCCTGAATTCCATCAAATTAGTATTCTCCTTGAAAGGACCGTCAGGCGTGAGCCGCGTCTCCGTGTGGACGTTGACATCGCCCTTGTTATTCCGGCGCACGATATCGATGTCCAGAATCCTGTCCACGGACTTCGGGTACCGCTTCAGAAAATCTTCGATGGCCTTTAGCCATTCTTCGCGCGTCAGGACAGTCGAATGTCCCTGGTCGGGAGGGGAATAAATTGCCTGGAAATCCGGAGAGCAGAGGTGGCGTACGGCTTCGTAATCGCGATTCAACATAGTATTTATCATTGTCTCGACGACACTCTCGCGAGCTACGCCCGTTTTGGATGGTTTGGAATTTTGTTCCATCGTGTTGAGGTCGTATGGTGCTCCTGTCGGCGGAAGAGAGCGTTGATGATGTCGATATCGGCAGCGTTTGAGTTTATCCCGAACAGAGCCGAGTGCAGTACAACTTGGACCGCTCAGCGACAACCTCTGGGAGGGATAGTTGCTCTTGATCAAGTAACTGCCTTGCGATGACACACAGCTGAAGTTCAGGATGCAGGCCCATCGTGGCGTCCAATGTGCATTGGTTGAACCTTCGCAAGAATCCGTTCGACTCGTTCAGCTAACACGGCAAAAAGGGCTTGGCATCAACTCCTCTAGGGCCATCGGATCTCGCACTATGTCATACTACTCAGACACTGGCTGGTCTATGGACAAAGAATTCCGAAAGGGGATCCCCTTCTATAAAGCGACTGCAGTCGCAATTGGTTTTTCACATGTGAAAATATGCCGGTAAGATGAACGTTGACGTACACGAGCTTCTAGTTGACAGATAAGGCATACCCGTGAAGGCGTACTCCCGAACTTGACGAAGCCACTAGAGGTGGATATTGAGTACTTGACAACGCGAGCAGAGTTTTCCAAGGCCTGTAGTTACCGGGCGAAGTTATTGGACGGCGAGAAACATATGGAACCTCATGATCCACTCGAGGACACAAAGCAGCGATTCTCGAAGCAGGAGGGAGAAGGACGCAGCGTACAAGTCATTTCGCTTCGGATAGACTTCTCGAGAGTCGTGGAAACAGAGGATCACGTAAAGTACAGCAAAATTTTCCCTCTGTCACGATAAGCGCATGCTCAAGAAGCCAGACGTGAGCAATAACAAAGCGACACAGGAGCTGGAGACCTATCTCCAAAGATTCACTAAGCGGGAGTGGAAGCCTAGGGTTGCGGAAAGGGTAGCCGTGAAGAGGCAGGTAGAGGAGCTGCCCAGTGCGTCTGAGACGCTCCACAAGAGAGTGGCATTTCCATCGATGTTGGGTTACTCACACTGTTCAAACCACCGCCTGTGAAGAAGGGTAGGGACTAACTGCGTCGGTATGTTCCTGAATAGGTGCTACGCAACTCTCACACGTACTCTCACATGTCAGTAGTGTGTTTCACGTTTCGTGTGGTCCGAGCGTCAACGCGCAGGTGAAAATGGGGTCCGTGCTTTCAGCACCTACGACTTTCTCTCTTTTTCTTTCTGCGAGTTAATGATGAGACACGAATAATTAATCGCGCTGCAGTTGGATCCATCGGGTCGCTTCGATCTCCGCTCTGCTTTTCGGAACTGACAATCTTTAAAAAAGCTAAGCTGAACTTCAACAACGCCCATTCGCATTCTCACTGAGCGCGCGCCATAACCTCTCCGACCACCCCAAAAAACCAATATGGCCACTACGCACCTTCCACACTCCCTCCTACCGAAAAGCCACAACACGCCCCACCGCCTCCTCATCCTCCAATTCCAAACAAGCCACCTCACAAAGTCCCATCTCAAACTGCAACTCACCCTCACGCAAACCACAAACTGGACCATCACCCGCATCGAACTCCACTCCAAGACCTCCACCTACGCAGCGCTCGACCTCCAAGAAGCAATCACAAATTTCATCCGCTCTTCTCCAGACCCGCAAGAAAAATTCATCATCTACTACGGCGGATGCGCATTCATCGAGGAGACAGATTTCCAATGGAGATGGCACCCTACGCCTGACTTCTGGGGCAGTGAGGCGGAGAGAGTGAGGTATTGTGAGGGACACACGGCGCGTGTGGATCCGGCGGTGGCGTTGGAGACTCTGATCCACGGCACGGGAGATCGGGATCTGCTGTTCATTTTCCACTGTCCGTTCGAGACTGCCAGCACGACTTTCCAGCACACTCTTCCGAGAACGCCAGGCCGCAATATCCAACTGCTCCTCCTTCCTCAACAGACCTCCGCGCCGGTGCCAGAGAGCGGGACATGCATGCGACAAACGTGCATGAACCCGACTCTCGACACGGGGAAAGGCTGGAACCATGATCTCGACGATCAAGGCCTGGAAGCTCTGCGGAAATGCCTTGAAAAGCGTTTCCAGGGAGAATTGGAGGAGGAAAGGAAGTTCAGCTTACAGAGTCTCTTCTACAGCTTGCCGGGGGAAGGGTACCGAAATGCGGTCCTCATGTCTATCATGGGCGAAGCGAAGAATTTCATTTTGACAAAGGGAACTGTGTTGGAGGGGAAGAAAATGGATGAAGAGGAAAAGGAAGGTGTGATGATGTCGTGAGCACTTAGTGCCAGGGAAGAGAAGCTTTTCTGATCCAGTCCCGAAGTCCGGCTTCTGTTCCATAGGGCCACCGCATCCCGTGCATCCTCAATAGAACTGCTCCGCCACTCAGTGGGACCAGTACTCGAAATGAAGAAGGGCACAAAAGAAAATTCAGCTTACAATGTCATTAAACTCGTTCCATTCCAGCGCTATACTCTATGTGACGCTATAGCGACAGCGCCGTGGTATCTTTACAATGATGACCAGCCCAGCCTACTCGGCCATGCCAACGCCGGTCGGATGGAGTCTGCCGCCTGCCCTTTTCCTAAGCTCATGACGCCGTCTCAAATGCATGCATGGATGCTATCTGTGTTGCGATTCAGATAGCGATCATGTTGTAGTTGTTGGTACAAGAGGTCGATTTATTTCCACTTCTGCACCAGGACTCCGCCGCGCTTGAAGTCAGAGATGTCTCCGAGCGTTTGTGTCTTGTCGGAGAACTCTTTAGGAGGGAAGGTGGTCTGCAGAACGTATGCTCGCTGCTGTGAGGCGGGCGAGGCGCGCTCGACGAACGAGTAGACATCTCCGATCGTATGCGTCGTGTTGAAGCGCGAAGTCAAGCGGGTGCCGTCGCCGAGTGTCACGCGAAGCTGAACCGTTGGCTGCGACTCGTCGACGTTGACCGGAAGTGTGCTGCTTGACGATGATGCAGGTGCGGCAGCAGGCGCGGCGGAGGACGAAGCGGCTGCAGATGAAGAAGATGCGAGGCCTGGAGTTGGCGAGCCAAGTCGCTGACCTGAACCTCCGAACGGTTTGTACTTGGGCTTCGGCGTGACATAGTTCTCGCCCTTGTGCGGCTCCAGATTGAGATCAACTTCCTGGTCTGGCTGCACGTCAAGCAACGCCTTTGGCGCTCGGCCCTGGTTGATCTCCTGCATGATGTGCTCGTTTTGAGGGTCATCAAAACGATACAGCGGTCCATCGTCGATGCTGACGCCGTCCGCCCACAGGTGCAATGTCCTAGTTACACGAGGCAGTCTCTGGCGCTGAGGCATGACAGCGCGGGGATCCTCTACGACCTCGCTTGGTGCATCATCCCCTCCCAGCGTCTGTGCACGTCCGATGAAGTGGCTAGATCCTGGCTCCTCTTCCTCCTCCTCGCCCGTCGCACCCGGGCGATCTCGGTTCTGACGGGCCTGGTTCATGATGTTGCGGAAGTGATCGATGGGCTTATCTCCGTCCGGATTCTGCACCGCGAGCCCACTCTTCTCGCCGCCAGCGAACATGTCGTGCTTCTTCCGCTCTTCCTCGTCTTCATCGTCGTCTCCGCCGGCCTGGAGGTCGCGGAGGGTTTTCATCTTCTTGGGCTGGCCTCCCGCGGCACCTCGCTGGTTCTTACTTGAGGACGACGAGGCGGCTGGCTGTGAAGAGGTGGGTTGGGATGGTGCGCCGTCGGCGTCGTCGTCTTCGTCTTCTGGCTGCTCGTCGTTGGCGGCGAAGTAGAGACCGACGGCTTCCCCGAGGTTCCAGTTGGCAGAAGCGAGTGCCGTTTGCGCCTGGGATAAAGACTTAGTACGGGTTTCCACGCGATAGATACTTCAACGGCTCCACGTACGACACTCGGATTCGCGCCTGTTATGGCGCTGAACTCCGCGACCATGTCGTTCTGAGAAGCATCCATGTTGCCGCCGTGAGACTGTTGTGAGCGGCTGTTGATGATGATAGGTGTGCCGACCGAAGGATGTGAGTGTGTCTGGGGTTGAGTAGTGAAGGCAGAATTGGGGATATCTGTGTGGTGGTTGCGGGTGGCAGAGCGAGGAGGTTGTTTCAGAGACAAAGTGAATCTGATCACGGGCTTGGAGAGGGCAGTGTGAGGCTCGACGTCAACTGTTGGGGCCAGTGCTTCTCACCTTCCTGAGTCCTGAGGCTACTTTTCGGAGGCGGAACATCTCCGCTCGTGGGAGGGTTTCACGACTCTCCCGTCACCTCTTCTACCACTCACTCTACCCACTACTCACTCACTCACCACTCACATTCCGCCACTCCTCACCACTGACTGCGCAAACCATCCCGTAGAAGCGCTCCGAGCGCTGTCTTCCACCTTCACCCACCACCCATTCTCGCCTATCCCTCCTCGGCAATCCACGAGGTCCTTCTCCCGGAGCTTCACCGCAAACATGTCCGCACGCGATCTCTCCGAATCGCAAACCACGTTTCCCTCCGACAGCGAGAACTACGATGCGAATCACTCCAACTCCAATGATTCCTCCGATGAGCCGCGGTCCGACTCCTCAAGTCCCATGATCTTGTATCAACCGCCCACATTTTGGAGTCTCATCAGAGGAGCTGCCATAAATCTGTTCTTACCTTTTGTTAATGGCTTGATGCTGGGATTTGGAGAGTTGTTTGCACACGAGGCGGCGTTTAGATTGGGATGGAGCAATACGAAGGTCAGTAGGGTCATGGGCAGACTACGTGCAAGGAGCCTCGGTCTCTTGACACCCAGGGCGACGTTGTCTAGCGTTCTGTGCTAAGATTGTCATAGGTCTTTCCTTCCCACAGGAGCGACCATCGGATAGGACCAGGTGTGGAGATTCGTGAAGACCCGATTGAGCGGAGACGGAGAGACGGAGAGGAAATGGACGCGTACACATCGCTGGAGTGAAGAGCCTCCACATGCGACGCCATCATATGGATGATGAGATGCTTTATGGTGTATATAGAGCAAGAGCAGAAGGCCAGCTGCATAGAGTGGATGGTTGAGGACAAGGACAAGCATCAATGGAAATGGCATAGGACCGGCATTGGGTAGATTGAAAGGACAAATGGCCACGTGCCGTATTCACGAGCTCCATTGCAGCTCGCGCAGTGTGATTCTGCCCTCGATGTTCCAAACTACCTGCAGTTACAGTAACACAGTGGCTGTTCTTGGGTTGTATCTGTGCAGGCGGTGATGATTTATGAATCGTGCTCTGACATGTCTCGGCTCAAGCCGAGGCCTCCGGAGAACCCTGCCCGGTAGTTCGGTGCAGTAGTACTGGCCCTGGCACGTCCATCTCGAAAAGTTTGGAACACTTGAATTGCTCCCATCGCATCGCATCGCATCGCATCGCAACCATGATGCCCAGTCGGGGCCTCGACATCGCCAAGCGTCAACTATCGCGATCGATACACCGTCAAAGCCGAAATGTAATGCGATCCGGCGCAAGATCATCTCATACCAACGCTGACTATTGCGAACAGCTCTCGACAAGTCCGCCAACTCTCCCCCGAAGTGCACTCCTCCGTCCGACCTCCTCCCTACGCGCATCGAACCAGCGCCCGCCACTGTTCCCACCGCCCATAGCATCCATAAGTGCAGTACGACACGCGTCATCATGGTCGTCGTGGCTGGGGCTGGGTAAAAGTGAGGAGGCTCCCGTTGTATCCCAAACACCGACACCGACAGCACCCGCTGCCGTAACGCAACAACCGCCGCCTCCTTCGACCGAGAACGTCGCGGCCGCAGCGCCTTCCAATGCTCCTCCCACTGCACCGCCTACTGCCCCTGCCGCTGAGCAGGCGCAGTCCTTCAATGTCGACACCATCACGTTCGACAACATCGACCTGAACAGCGCTGCCCTCGATGCAGCCCAAATTCCCGAAGGCATTGGCTATCTCAAGCAAATCGGCGTGCACTTTGGCCTGGGGCCAACGTCGATGCTGGAATGGCTTCTTGAACACTTTCACATCTGGGGTGGTTTGCCGTGGTGGGCTGCCATTGCTGCAACCGGCATCCTTGTCCGTTGCTGCATGTTCCCCTTCTTCCTCCGAATGAGTGACATGCAGGCTCGTACTCAGGCTCTTTCTAGCGTCACGAAACCCTTCCAGGACCGAATGATGCAGGCATCCAACGAGGGCAGGACCCAAGACATGATGGTCGCTTTTCAGCAGATGGCGGCGATTCGCAAGAGAGCTGGCATTACCACCGCGGGCCAGTTTGTGCCTTTAGGATTTCAGGCAGTCATCGGTTATGCCGGCTTTAAATTGATGCGAACATGCGCCGAATTACCAGTTCCGGGCTTCACGGATGGAGGCTTCCTTTGGTTGAAGGATCTGACCATGACTGACGGATACCTCCTTATGCCCCTCTTCATGGCGGCCACCATGCACATGGTCATTCGAGTGGGTGGGGAAGCAGGCGCAGCTGCTCAAATGTCGCCTGGAATGAGGAACATCATGTTGTACGCCATGCCTGCTGTGATGTTCCTGTTCATGATATGGCAGCCAGGCGCTGTCTGCGTTTGGTTTGCTTCCACGGGTGCTGTTGGCATCCTTCAAGGTCGCCTTCTACAAAGACCCGCAGTGCGCTCGTACTTTGGCTTAGCGCCACTTTACAAACCGGAACCAGGTGAGAAAGGGTCTTCTCTTTTCGACTCCTACCTCGAGCGCGCCGGATTGTCATCATCAAAAGAAGTGTCGAGTAAGGCAAGCTTTGTTCAGGGACAATCACAATCTGCGACTAAGAACGCTGCATATATGCAGCCAACATATCAATCTCCCAACCTACGTCGAAAGGTCGTTGGTAATAAAATAGATACAACAATCGTCACTCCGAATCCATCAGGAACGACCGCCACATCGTCTGAGATGATTCAGCCTGGTGCTCTTGTGGAGAAGGAGAGCATGTTCGGAAACCTGAAGCAACAACTCCAAAATACCGTTTCCAAGTTTCAGAGGATGCGGACCATGACGCCCGAGCAGGTCAAGAAACAGCAACGCGAGGCTTTTAAGCGAAAAGCGGAAAATTACGAGAAGAATGCGCAGAAGAGAGGTCGTAGGTGATCCCGTCCTGCTGCTGTACATTAGCAAGATTCTGTTCGACAATGTGTATACTTTTCCTATGAGGCATGGCAAGGGGTAAAATTAGATACAGCATCGGGCGGCGCAGCAGTGTTTCGATCCCAATTGGAAATACCAACAAATGTTATCACTCCCCTCAGAGACCGCAATGCTGTTCAAGGATGGCAAGTGGCCGCATTTACGGTCAAGGAAACCTGAGCCTCCACCTGTTCGAAGACCGGAGCTTCAAATGCAGAAAGGCCCACTCTGAACCACCTCACCTCATGTCGGATTCATGATGAGGTAGCCATGGACAACATATAGGTGACAAAGTCAACACGAGTTCCTCCAACGGTCTTCCTCGTTTCCTCATTTTCCATCGGCACTCTTCCCTTCCTGCCCCTGATCCGCAACTTGACAGGACTCACTTCCAATACTACAGGTGTGTACGCTGACGGTGGCGATGGTCGTACCGGCTATCAAAGTGGGATGCAGACTTTTCGACAGAGCTCATGAGTATGTCAAGTACGATAGACTCGGAAGGATTCGTGAAAAATGGCGAGGAAGGAGAAGCCGGACAAGGGATCCGTCGTGCGGTTGATGATGGGATAGTCAAGAGGGAAGGAAAATCTTCGTTACGACGAAACTTTGGTCAAGCCCATCCAACATGATGGCCGCTTTGAGACTATGATGGCATGTTACGGAACTATTAGCATGCTCGGGAGCACGCTCTAGCGATAGCCAAAAGCCCAGAATGAAGTTTGGCCGCCAGATTGGGATACATTGATTTCTATCTCATGTTATTTCCCTCGCTGTGGTGTTGTAGTGCGTTGATTCGGAGCAGATCAGGTTTCCTGTGAGTAACGCCTGCCTGTCCCGATATCAGCATCAGATCAATCTGATGAAATCACGAATCCATCAAACTAGCTCCCGTCTCAACACACGGAACATGGAAAGCTCTCGGAGAGATCAGTCAAAAAAACTCCCATTCATCTGCCATTCCGAAAGCTGACAGATCAACCCCTGGCTCGTCGACCGAGACTTGACCGAATCAATCGGTATCTCAAACGTTCAAGTCCAAGTCCTCTACCACGTAAGCAACTACGAAAAGAAAGAAGAGGCTTTTTTGTTTGGCTCTGATATGGATTAGAAACCCTTCCTGAGCCAATCAAAAGGCCTCCGACCCTCTCCCGTCGCACGTCGCACGTCCAACTTGGAGGTTTAGATGGAGTTTCGGGCGTCCTCTTATCTCCGGTAGGTAGAGCAGAACTCCGGTTTGCCGTCTCTCATCCAACACGAGACGACTGGTATCATCTGTGTCTTTGGCTAGGTTGCTAAAGGCTCTAAGGACTTTCTTTGAAGGATCGCATAATTACCAATTGCTCGTCTTCGCCTTGTAGCACTCGGAATCAACATCACCGATGCAAGCAACCTACCCTCAATTGGAGCCTAGGATGGTCTTGAGGATGATCCTGCCGTAGCAAATGGCCTTGTGGGAGAACGCTCCTCGCACTGTTCGGTAGTCGTCCTGATGTTAAGGGTTGGTGCCTGGTCTATTTGTCCAATGCCGCGTGTTGCCCTCGTTCCGGGTGAGATAGCGCCTGTCCGGACTTGTATCAAGCTGCCAATCCGTTGGACTCCATTTTGCTACACTGACACAATCAGGCCGGATCGGTGACTCCTCGCAGCCGCTTTTGAGATGATCAGCCAGCAGTCGCCGTAGACAGTATTGGATTGAACTGAGCAGAGACTGGTGGTGATACGGTACGGCGTTCGGGAGAGCCTGCTGGCGCTCTGAACATACTGCCGGAACTCAATTCGTAATATCAATGTACAGCATGAGACGTAGACATTGTGTCTAGTATATGTGGAACGGTATCTGTATTCATCGTTGCAATATGCGAGCATCTTGGACCGTGAAGTGTAAGTGGAAGAAGAACAAGAAGATGAAGAACTCGCGCTTTCCGACGCGATGAGGAGTCCCACGAGTTTATTGTCTTGGCGCGTTGTGCGAAAACACACGAAAACAGCGACCTCACCTGTGCTGCTTCTTTGCCATTCACTCAACTTTTACGACAATATTGATCGCCATTATCACTCGCTTGCTGACATCGACTCCCGGACTCTGCTGGCAGCAGAATGATCTTAGGGTAAGGTTTAAGTCACGCCATCGCGGGTGACTTGCAGGTCTTTCCGTTTGTATGCTGCACGTTTCATTCACCTGCTCCGCGCCCTAGCGCCCCTCCTCACCTAAGCCCGACCTCTTCTTAAGTTGTTTCCTGCTCCTCCTTCCTTTCTTTTCTTCTCGCAACCCACTGCGTGCAGAGGAAAACCACCTGCACACAATGGGTTTCCAGTTCAACGGCGCACCGCCAGCTTGGTTGGACAACTCATCCACGCCCAAATCATTCGGCATCCCGTCATCTACGCCATCTGCTAGCGTACGGACTACCACAGCTCAGTCCTTTGGACCGGCAGCCTCAGTGAAGACGGCCCCTTCTTTTGGCACGAACCCGGCCATCCTTCGCGGCTCGCCAGGCGCCTTCCCTTCTTTTCCCGCTGCCGCCTCAAATCCGCACCCGCCAGCCTTGCAATCCACGCCAAATTCCTCATTCGGTTCGTCGCCACCTTCCAGACAGTCTAAGGCAAAAGTAAGCCCTTTCGCCACTGCCTCCTCAGATACGCCGACGTTGTCTGGTATCCCATGCAAAACCTCCGTCTCAAGTGAGAAGACAGACGATGCTCTCCGCAAAGCACTTCAGCGTGCATCCGGAGACCAATTTACCGCGACAGTAGGTGATGCCGACATCGCCGCAGACGAGATCCTGAAGGATGCGCTTAAGAAGAGCGGACTCAATAGGAGTAATGTGATTGCTCTGTTGCAAGCTCTCGGACAGTCACCAGAGCTCTCGATCTTCACCAACACCTTGTTTGGAGAGCTAGTCGGTCGACGTATTCCAGGCTTCCAGTCCCAGTCAAAGACCACTACCAAGCCCACCGACAACCCTTTCAGCAAGCCGGGGCAGTCAGAGAAGAAGAAAGCCGAATCGTCCTCCCAGGTGCTACGTCATCACCCATGGGTCCGTTATCGACTTGAAATACCTGTTGCGCAGCGCTTGGTCAGCTCCAGAGCTATGGCGAAGTTTGAACATGCCAAGGTTCTTGCTGCTTGGATGCTCTCGCAAGTATGTAGTAGTGCTACCAGCGACAAACGGAACATGTTGGAACTAGCGGCCACGAACATCATCGAGCGGAAGGAATCGGAGTTGGCAATTAAGGGCATCGTGATCTGGATTAAAGAGAAGGTGTCCCGTGCGAAGGTTCTGCTTGCTACGGTGGAGACAGAGCGTGGTACACTGATCTCAGACGACGAGGACATGAACAAAGTCATCCGCAGTGCCTCCATTGCCACTCAGGACGACATCTCTGTCTTTACGCGGAATCCTCCGGCCTCTTCGAAGAACGACAAGCCCTTCCGGTTTCTCGACCTGCCAGCCGAGCTCAGGAACGGCGTCTACCGTGAACTGCTGGTCACAAGATCCGGATACCTATCAACTCACCGTCTGGGCGATACCTCCTACATTCAAGCTGAGCAGGGCGGTACCAAATTCGATCTACACTCCCCTGGCTGTCATCCTGCGATTCTCGAGACGTGCAAGCAAGTCTACAAGGAAGCCAAAAGCGTACTATACGTAGAGAATGTCATTGTCGCTCGTCTCACAGCGAACATCGGCACCAAGAGCGTCTTCAAGATGGGTAGAATGCGCCCTTCTACCCTGCCTCACCTTACCAATCTGGTCTTGTCGGTCGATAGCATTAAGTTCGACGGCGGTCTTCGCGGCGCCTTTGCGGGCGTCTCTCCAAACTACGCCAAATTGAACTGGTACGCTCTACAATCGCTGACCGGGCTCAAGAAGCTCCGCATCTGCAACATCGAACGCGAAAACCAGAAGTGCGACTTTCCCGAGGATCATCTCAAGCATAAGACTGCCCTCTTGGAACAGATAATCGAGCGCATTCCAGCGAACTGTGATTTGTCTTACGAAGCTCAAGAGGGTATCGAAAAGAGGTTTATACAGGAACAGCTTCAGTGGCGAAACCGTCCAGGCCACATCCGAGATGCATATGAGGTGGACGGAGAGGTTTTGAAGCGATGCGCGCAGGGTACGTTGCAGAATCAGGGCGCCAAGTCGGGGGATGAGCGGAACCACTTCTATGCTGATCGGAGTATTAAGTTGGGGAGTTTGGTGAAGGACGGAGACGAGGGAACGTTTGATCCGAGGCATGTCTTTGGGGCGGGAGACTAGAATCTGGCTTGTTGTCCTCGCGCCTACATAAAGATAAACAGGTGGATGTCTGCTTGCGCTGGATTGCGAGATGTGTTGGAGCACTATGGGGTCTCAATTTCCTGGCGCCCTGACGTCGTGTGCTATCACATGATACCATTGTACTGCTGGTTTGAAGAATCGTTCCTCCTCATCAGGGGCTATCGTTTTTTTCCATCCCAAAATCGACTCTGTGGACATCTCTGTCAACGTCTCTTCGAGGAGCCTGCGAAGATGGGAGGGTCTGTGCATGCTTGCACGTTCCCGCCGGAATAATGATAAGACCCCTGACCGTCTATTGCTGATGACTAATCGTTAGTCAAACCTTATCAGTGAAGTAATCACACCTCATGTCTTCTCCTCCTCCTTCTTTTCCTCTGGAATTCAAATCTCATTTCTCATCCCATACTTCTGTCGCCGTTCTGACGAGAGTATCGACAAACTCTTTTGCTCGTCAAGACAATTGCGTGTGTGAGAGAAGAAACGACCGTTTTTCCTGGCTGAGCTCCTCCACTGGGTTTTCGAAATACGGCAGACGAAGTCAGAATGGCGCCAGTCTGGTCTCTGGGACTAGTGAGAATAACTCTCTGGAATGCCAGCATTGACTTCTCATGCTGAGCAGTCTGGCGTGGAATCCTAAGCTTGAGACTGGGCAGCTGCTACACTTCAGAGAATGCGTTATGCTGGACAGGACATTGGAAAGCCAAGCCCATTCGCAGTATGGGATCAAAAATGCAACGGAACGTCTTCCAGCTCAACGTGAGCCGGAAGCCCGACATAAAGTCAGAAGGAGCTGGCCGCACGTTTGTTTTGCCACGGATCGTGCGTCACATCCCACGACTGGAGAGAAGCTAGAAGCTTGACGAGAGGCTGTCGACAAGTCGACCGACCTGTCTCCTATAACCTGTGGCGAATATTGTTGAAAATGTAGTCAGCTTCTGCATCGGCAACGACCTTCGCGCGGTAGAATTAGAATGCTCCGCTCAGGAAAATGAACACCGGAGACTTTGGCAGAGAGAACCGATGAGCCCAAAACCACCGATCCAACACAAGCGTGCGCCATCAACTCCGCAGACACACTGCACGAGACCGGATTCACCAACCATTGTGCTCTCTACGTAGTCTCACAGATGGATGTCCATCCAGGAACCAAGGTGAAACTGCGACGTTACTGCTGAAGTAGCGTGCCGAGCTGCACCACGAGAAAAAATGCAGTAGCACGATACGACTAGCAGTACATTTCTGCTTCTTCTGAAGGGCTTCCAGAGGCACCAACAGATCTTTGCGCGAATGAACTCATGTTCATCGTGCTGGGAATCTTCACTGAGCCCTGCACAAAATCGCAGCCACTTGGCACCCGGGACAGCATTGACCAAGTTCGTGGTGCTCCGTTGGGTTATCTGGAAGTGTCATGGACAGGCGCATCTCTCCGGCAAAGTGCATACTATGCTACGAATCCCTGGCTACAGCTAGGCATGTGATGCGGACATGGAGTACTGATGGTGTGAGCGCGGCGTGTGATCTGTAGGAATACGACTTCTCGAGCCGAAATTGTGTCGTTGTGTCTTTCGCCAGCGAGGCTTTTTGGAACACAAGTGACGCAATGAGACCGCCCAAAAGCCATGAAAGTTGTATTACCTGGCTGGAAAGCGCACCTGGACACGCCATGTTCTGTGAGTACCTCAGCCAATATTGATTCTTGGACTTCTCAACGGCCCTTGGATCACCACCGGCCCTTGGATCACCACCGGCCCTTGGATCACCACAAGTTATCAAGGCAGCGTCTCCTCGTGTCGTGAAACGAGGTGTCCGTGGTTCCGGGCTCATGCACTCCGCGTCTTCAGCCGCAGATCGGTATACCGAATAAAATGGGGCCCTAGCTCACGTCATTGTCAAGTTGAAGGGGCTGTTTATTCGCTTTCCGATGTGCGCTGCAGTCTGTACTTGTGAGTGTCACAAACGCAGCAGCACGTGCAAGGTCTCAACTGCCTGGCGAACACGTGTCTATGTTTAGGCGGGCTTCTCGTCTGGATCATCTAACTGCATGTCAGCAAACACAAACGGTCGATTACTACACAGCATGTAGGAGGGCCAGGAACCACATCGCGAACATCTGCAGGAACTCCGCCTCATCCGTTCCTGCTCAGCTAACGCAGGTGCAATTGACGTGGTATGGCTCCATCATAAGATGATTGGCAGAACCTGCTCAACATGGCGAAATCGATTCGATTGCCAGGTTTGCCTGCTTGCAAGATCCACAACCTCAGGTGAGAAGCCTTGGGACTCAACAGAACACCGCATACTCGCTCCACGAGCTGTCCATCGGCCGTGATCACACGCGTATTGAGAAGCCACGGTCCTGTTCTCGTACTTCGTTGCAAGGCATCATTCGATCAGTGCATTGCAGCATCGTAACGGCAATTCTCTGGGCAAGCAGTCACCGCAGAGGCTCGATCGTAAGATATAAAGATGCCCTGTTCTCTCCTTCTCATTCCCAGCATCCGCAGCATTTTGGGCAACAAGACATTTAACGTCGCCGGCTCCGTACACCAATCGTTAAATCTTCCCCAATTCATCACTATCGCTCATAATTCATCATGCATACTCCATACCAGCTCCTAGTGGTTGCCATTGTCCTCAGCGGCCTCGCCTCTGCCCTGCCAGGCGCAAGCGGTGACAAGACCTGGGCTAGCTCGGCCACCACCACTCCCTCTAGCTATAGCGGTGGCTCTTCCAGCACAGGCTGGGGCTCCTCTTCAAGCACCCCCAAGGGGTATGGATGGGGCTCCTCTACCACTTCCTGCAGCGACAGCACGACCTACATCCCGTCCACCGCATACAGCACCATCACGGAGGTCGTCTCCAACACGGGCTACATCTCCAAGACGGAATCCTCCGCTTTCACCACCACCGTCGTGACGACCGTGCCCACCGTCATCGTCATCACCACAACCGGCGAGTACACGGAGACCGACACCATCACGCAGACCGGCGAGTCCACAACCACCATCGAAAGCACCGCCATCATCCCCTCCGTCGTCACATCCTGGACCACCGAGGTATCCCTATCCCTTCCCCTCAACCCCCCTTTCCTTCCTTACCATCCCACTCCCCCCCCCCTCTCTCTCTCTCCCTCCCACTAGCCAACCAAATCCCTCTAGATCATCACAACCTCCCACCCCATCCTCTCAACCATCCACCTCCCCTCCCCAACCATCATCTCCACGCAAACCTTCCCCACGACATCCCTCCTCACCACCCTCATCGTCAAAACAGGCGCCACGCCCATAACGCAGACTTCCGACGTAGTCCGCACGGCTTTCTCGACCGGGTATAGTACTTATATCACCAGTTGTCCGGCGGAGGGGGGGAGCACGACGACGCTTTTCGAGACGAAAACTTACGTTACGGAGATTCCGAGCGTTGTGGAGGTTTGTAGTGGTAGTGGTGCGCCGAGTGGGTATGGGGGTGGATATGGGTATGGGGGTGGGTACGGGGGTGGATGGTGATTGAGATGGAGAGGAATGGGGGGGAGTTTCAGTCGGGCAAAGGAATACCTATTGTCTCTTGTCTCTTGTCTTGGAGATGTGCTTTGATGGATGATAAGGATTTGACCAATCATGAGTGAGATTCACGACGCTCATTTGGGTGCTAGATTTTCATAATAGCGAACGATCGGTTGGAAAGTATGGCATCCCTCTTTGGACACACTGCATTGACGTGCGTCTACATGTGGTACATGAGATGGTCAGAAGGCGGTTGAACGTTCCAATATCGAGCATGCGCAGAACGCCGGAAAGTCCTCGCATTCCGCCGACCACCGCAGTTGGAAGGCGTTCCGACATGTGATGAAGTATCCCATCGATACCTCTACCCGACGCCATAGCAGCCCATAATCCCTCTATTCCGATTCCGTGAAGGGCCGGGAGATGCTATACTTCGGAATGCGCTTGCTATCCTCTCCTTGATACATCAGATGCCTTCCACTGTCGCTAACGCTGTCAATGTGCCGCTCGCTTTCCCCACTCTGCTCCCTCTTCAGCTGCGTCGGAACAGCGTCCGCGACTCCACTTCTACCTTGTGCGGCGATCTCCTCAAGCGTTCGGCCGCGAGTTTCAGTGAGACCGAACCAGCTGTAGATGGCGATGAGAATGTCAAAGACACCCCAGAGGAGGAAAGTACCCCATCCCATGTTGCGAATCATGTATGGTGTTGTCAGGGAGAAGACTATATTGACCTATCAGCAAAGAGATGGAGGATGAAGGCTCGACAGGGGCTTGGGTAACCACATACCGAAATTGAAAAGCCACTGGAACCCAACGCCGACGCCAATCCCGGGTTCTCGAATGCGAGGTGGAAAGATCTCGGCGACGTAAGGCCCTATCATCTACAATCAATATCCTTCCGACATGGAAAGTGCGGACATCCAGAGGGCTTACTCACAAGGCAGAGGGCCCCAGGAGAAGTTGTATGCGATGACGAAGAGATAGATCAGAGCGATGGCTGCTATTCCGGAGTGCGATATATCGGAACTCGGAGTCTTGGGTGCGGGGAAGGATCTGAGCACTGCTGCTGCGCTGATTTGGCAGGCTGCCATGAAAAGGGCACCGGCGGTAAGGATGTATCGTCGTCCAACATTATCAGCCACAAAGAGGACGAAGAGCAAGCAGGCGCCGACTTTGACGGCTCCGAAGATGGCAGTGAGAAGGAGACTGGTGTTGTCCTTGGAGCCGACGAGTAGTTTGAAGTACTGAGGGCCGTAGTAAGCGAAAGCTGTAGCACCAGTAGCCTGCTGGGCGGTGAAGACTGCTGCGGCGGTGGAAAGGCGCTTCAAGTTGCACGGAGCGAGGAGCTCCTTGAAGTGGAAGCCGCGCTTTGCGTGCGCCTCGTACTCCACGCCGGCGCGAATCTCGTCCATTTCGAGATGTGTCTCTTCGCTCGAGTCGGCACGAATCCATGTGAGGGACTCCCAGGCGTCATCGTAGCGGCCTCTGCTCGTGAGCCAGCGAGTAGATTCTTTCAGCGTGAGCATGCCGAGGCCCAAGAGAGCTGCGGGAAGGATCTGCAGACCGAGTGGGATCTGCCACTGGCGCGCTTGGGTTTTGGGGATGTGTTTGGCAACACCGTAGTCAATCCAGTAGGAGGTGAAGATGCCGAGGGTGAACATGAGCTGATAGAAGGATCCTACTTGGCCGCGAATGTGCTTGGGAGCCATCTCGCCGGAGAACATGGGAACGACGACGCTGCTACCGCCCAGGGCCAGCCCAGCGATGACGCGACCGACGAAGAAGGCGGCTCGGGAGTGGGTGTTGACGGTCTGGATGGTAGCGCCGACGATGTGAATGATGGAGCAGACGATGAGACTCCATTTGCGGCCCCAGCGGTGAGTGACGGGCCAGATGGCGAAGCAGGCGACGAGTGCGCCGAGTTGCTGGAGGGCGACGGCGAGGGAGCTGATGCGTGTCTGATCGGCTTTACCGTAGTCGTAATCGATCATGAAAGACTTGAGGGTGAGCACGCCGCCGATGATGCCGCTGTCGTAACCGACTGGGGATGCACGTTAGCCATGTCGATGTCGATGTCGATGTCGAGATGGGGGAGATGAGGGGTGGGGTGGGGCAGCAGTACAGAGGAAGCCGGCGATGCAACAGACGGCGCCGAGGTAATATGCTCGGAGGGTGCCGAGGCGCGTCATGTTGAGTTGAGGGGAGAGGACGAGAAAGAAGAAGAGTGAGAGGGAGAGGGAGAGAGAGAGGAAGAGTGCGAGTCGGAGTGGTCAGTGGTCAGTGGCGTGGCGAGGAGAGGAGAGGAAGACGTGCGCAATGTTCGCGGGTCATGGATGGGGCGGTGAACGTTCCTTCCTGATCAAAGACAGTCCTGACCGAAGAGAGGAAGGAGCACCGCACTCAAGCCATAGACGGGATGGTACCGAGGGAAAGAACGTATGGTATGGGAAGGCTGCAGCATCATCCCAAGCATTGCTCGACCCAGACGTCGAGTAAACGAAACGCATGGAACATGGTTGATCCGTCCATTGATTGGCGAGCGGCGAGTTTCGAGGCACGCACGCAGTGCACAGCAGGCAGGCGTATTGATGACATTGCACGTACACAGTGCAGGCTGATGAACATCGCACGCACACAGCGCAGGCATATTGTGATGTGGATGAGGGAGAAAGCAAGTGAAGTGCAGTGCGTCGGCAACGTTGAAGTAGTGTCACCCACCTATTCAGCAACACTATCACACTATAGACGGAAGGTACGGGTGACTGATCGCCCGGGTCGACCGTTGCGGCTCGTGCTGCGGCCCCACTTCCCACGCACGCGGGACCAAGCACGGGACAGACATGTGGAGGAAGGAGGGCCCATGTACTTACCTTATACAAGGTGGAACGCGTGTATCGTATCACTGATGACAAACCAGTCAGTCATTGAACTCGAACCACTTTGGACGCATAGAACATCTCCTTGGATGCGTTCAACCTCTCCTTGCATGCTCGCTCATCGGAAGCAGACATGAGCGCATCACAGCCTTCCGGCGGGACTGCCTCTGCCAAGAGACCCAACTTCTTGGTACGGCCGTCTTCAAGCTCCTCATCCACCTCATCATCAACCTCATCATCCATGATCATCATCCATGATGCCTGCTGACCCTCTCATGTCAGGTCATCGTCGCCGATGATCTGGGCTGGAGCGACCTCAGCTGTTTCGGCGGCGAGATTCGCACCCCGAACCTCGACAAGCTGGCCAGCAATGGCTTGAGATTCACCGACTTCCACGCCGCCGCTGCGTGCTCGCCAAGTAGAGCCATGATCATGACGGGAACCGACCACCACATCGCCGGCCTGGGTAACTTGATCGAGTGGACCAATCGCTCCGATCAGAATGCCCCCTCCCAAGGCGAAATCAAGTACTGGGGCACTGCTCCTCAACGCGGCATGCCGGGGTACGAGGGTTACCTCAATGAACGTGTAGCTGCCTTGCCCGAGCTCCTCCACGATGCGGGCTATCTGACCCTGATGGCTGGCAAGTGGCACTTGGGCCTCACGCCAGAACGCTCCCCTCACAGCCGGGGATTCGAGCGCAGCTTTGCCCATTTACCCGCTTGCTCAAACCATTACGGATACGAGCCGCAGCTCGAGGCTCCAGACCGGATTCCCGACTTCATGACCATGTCCTTCATCGCTTTACACTCAGAAGACGGTGAGTACGTCAAGAAGCTGCCAGACGGGTGGTACAGCACCGAAGGCTATGGCAACAAGATGCTTCAGTACCTCAAAGACCGCCACGAGCAGAAGGATGACCGCCCTTTCTTTGCCTACTACCCATTCACTGCCCCACATTGGCCACTTCAGGCTCCCGATGAGTACATCGCCCACTACAAGGGTGTCTATGATGAGGGCCCAGAGGTGCTGCGGCAGAAGCGTCTGCAGAGAATGAAGGACATGGGTCTGTGTCCAGAGGAAGTGGTACCGCATCCTGTTGTGGCCGATGAGGTCAAGGAATGGAAGGATCTGACTCCAACGGAGAAGGAGAAGTCGTGCAAGGCCATGGAGGTCTTCGCAGCTATGGTGGAGTGCATCGATCACAACGTCGGCAAAGTGGTCGATTATCTCGAAGAGACTGGAGAGCTCGAGAATACTTTTGTTTGCTTCATGTCTGACAACGGCGCCGAAGGAGCTGCATACGAGGCGTATCCCATCGTACAGAGCACCATGCTGGGTCATCTGAAGAAGTACTACAACAACTCGCTTGAGAATCTTGGCCGTGGCGACAGCTTCATCTGGTATGGTCCGCGCTGGGCTCAAGCCGCGACCGCTCCAAGCAGACTCTACAAGGCCTTCACCACGGAGGGCGGAGTGCGTGTTCCCTTTCTCGCCAGATTTCCCACCGGTATGAGCGTCCGAGCAGACGGCGAAGCAATGACTTCTGGACCAATCCGAGCCAGCAGTACCGGCTCGCACGTCACCAATGAAAAGGGAAGCATCACGAGTACTTTCAGCACGGTCATGGACCTCGCACCCACCATTCTCGAAATGGCCGGCGTCAAGCATCCCGCCCCTCGCTTCCAAGGGCGCGAAGTCGTCGGCATGCGCGGCAAGAGCATGCTCCCCTACCTCAACGGGACAGCGCCCTCGATCCATCCCGCAGACTTCATCAACGGCTGGGAAACCTGCGGACGGGCAGCCGTTCGCTGTGGCGATTGGAAGATCGTCTTCATCCCCAAGCCGAAAGGGCCGGAGAAATGGCAACTCTACAACCTCAAGAAAGATCCGGGCGAGGTGGAAGATCTCGCGGAGCAGGACCCGCAGCGGCTGCAGAGGATGATCAAGATGTGGGATCAGTATGTCTTGGAATGCGGTGTCATCCCGCTCGCGCCCGCTCTGGGCAACTGGATCGCGGCTACCGAGGCGCAGATGCCCGAGGATGCGTGGATGGAGTATGAGTATTGGAAGGAAGGGGCCCGGGATGAGCCGGAGAAGTTCACCAAGAACATCCCGCGGTTCGAGAGGAGCGTGCGAGCAATTTAGAAGAAGATATCTCCGAGTCTGCAGATCAGCATTTCAACACCGTGAGTGACATGACCATATCATATCAAAACTGTTCCCTGAGACCGAAAATAAAAAGGCCTCGAAAAGTGAAAAGATCCGCGTTCCCAATTCTCTGCCTGATTCTGATACAATCGGAGCATCTATGGAGAAAGAAGACCTCTCAAAAGACCCAAACCCGAGCCATCCAAGGCATACAATTGTCTCTCCATTCATCCGTTTCGTTCGTCTAAGAACGAGTTCCCGCCCGCCCGCATCCCGATCATCATTCCCATTCCCCAATCCCCAATCCCCAATCCCCAATCCCAACCCCCTTTTTTCCCAATGTTGTTTTAATTTTTTTCTTTTCCATCGTCCAGGAAGCCAGAAAAAGCCACAAGCCTCAAGCCAGCACCGCGGAGTTCGAGTTCGAATTCGAAAGAGAATCCCTTCTCTCTCTCTCTCTCATCTCATCGCATCTAGTAATCGGGGAGACCGAAGCATTTCCTGCAGTTGCTTGGCTAGAAAAGGGGGAGAAAAGGAGAGAATTAGTCAGCGTTGGAGGAAAAATGATGATGATGGGGAATGGATTTAAAGATGATGACTTACCAAGTTAGCGCCCATGGAAGAAATGGCACCCATGCACTTGGTGTCTTCCTTGACGTCCTTGCCGCGGCCAATAGCGGCCCAGACGCACGTGGCGACCAGACTACCGGCGGAGAAAGCGCAGGAAGCGGCGCGGGAGTAACCGCAGTGCAGACCGGGAACCTTGGCGCGCTTGACGAGGCCGACGGCGGTGGAGGAGGAGGATTTGTCGGACTCCTCGCAGGCGGCGGTCTGGTGGCTGGCGGGGTCGACAAGGTCGATCTTGCCGGACTTGAGGAGGTCGAAGAGGACTTCGATGACGTTGATGGGGCCGCCGAGGGCGGTGAGGTCGATGTCGCCGTCGCCGTCGATGTCGATGGTGGCGTTGATGCCCGGGAGGCCCGGGGTGGCGATGACGCGGGCCAGGGCGGTCATGGGGAGGAGGGCGACTGCGAGGGTGGCGAGGAACTTCATCTTGATGGTTTGGTTTTGGGGTTTTGGGGGTTGGATTTGTGGTTTGGGAGAGAAAGAGTTGGATGGAGGTGCTGAAGTTGCTGAAGTTGCTGAAGTTGCTGTTGCTTGCTGTTGCTTGTTGTTGCTTGTTGTGCTGCTTTCGATTCTGTCGTGGGATTGCCGTCCCTATTTATCCTCCTCCTCACTGCCCTCCTCGTACCCTCGCCGCATTCTCGAATCGCACCATTGCATCCCTCAATGTCCAAACTCATCGCCTTCTGCCCTGTCAGGGAGGCCCCTCGCCACCCACGTGCAAACAATCATGGTTCTCCCATAACAGCCAGAGCCGAACATCGTCTGAGCGGTGGAACTAGAGTCGTCCGGAAGAATCTGGACGTCGTTGTTGCAATACATCCCAGTCCTGATGGAAGCGTGTGCGCGTGAGAGCACCTCATCGCACCCACGCCGTACGGTGAAGCAGTACCATTCGTCCGTGGAGTGTTGTTGTTACGTGAAAGCAGTCCCGAGTCATGTCAGCATCGCTGCCAAGCGGTGCTCTGGACAGGTGCCATCCGTAGTTCGCCCAATTCTGTAGAGGGACGTTAAGACTCAAGAGCCATGGTGGGTAAGGAGCCGGTGGAGTATTCCATCAGTTCATTGAGCACGTGGGAAGCGCCTCTGGATTCTGAGGCTCCGGGCTGCTCGCCATCTGGGCTACGGGAGGGCTCGAGCACATTCCTAAGTCCTGACAAGCATTCTCTAGGATCGGAGCCTTAGGTTGCACGGATGCTACACCCCCCTCCCCCCCTGCCTACGCAGATCCTCCCTCCTTCGTAAGCTCGGGCGCCCTTCTGCTTATAGGACGGAAAATGGTTCTTTTGCGAAGGCGGACTCGCTGGACGGGTAGCCGCGACTTGGTAGCCCTAACAGTATATTTCAGTCAGTAGGATTAGGATCTTTTGCAAAGGAATGCTCGGAATCGTGACTTGTCCGCAGCCTCGAGGGCTTTAGGATGCGATTCCGAGGGTGAGTAAGAAAAAGTAACACAAGAAACAAGTGGTGTCTTGGAAGGGAAGGGCTTCTCGTGCTTGTTCCAGTCTAAGGTAGGCTTGGCCCATTGTTCAGCCAGCTTGTTCCAGGCTGATGAGAGCAGGTTCTTCACGGCGGAGTCGCGCCTTGCTGGCAATACGACGGGTGCAAATGCCAGACGTCCCGAATGAAACGGCTCTGCCTCCTTTCCATGCGGCATTGTAGCAGTGATGGCCGTAATGTATGCATAGTCGAGGCAGGAAGAAGTCCATCTTCTGACGTTGATGGTGAATGGCCGTGCAGAAACAAGCACTTGGTCAGGGCGGTAAGGTAGAGATCGGCCTGCCAAGCTGAAACGCCGGGCGGATGGTTCACCGGCTGAGCAGGGGTATGTCGGTTCATTTTGCTGGTACTATGTACCCGACTTTCCCAAAGGGCCATTGTTCGGGCCGCTGTGAAGGATTCATTCCTTCTACGGCCGAGAAGAGACTGATACATACGAGCACATGTGCCAGTAGGGTCGACCTCCCTACCACAGTGTTACCTGCCTGGTCTTGAATCAAGCCAGAGGCCAGAGATTCTCGTAAGAGGCGTCCATAGCTGCAAGCCTCATCAGTCAATCGTTGCACGTGGGTGATGGGTTCATCATAGACTTGCAAGGTTGCCATCGCTGCGCTGCTGCCAGAGCAGACTAAGCATGCTAAGCACCACAACTGACACCTAAGTACTGCAACCGTCCGAATCGCTTCTCACGCTTTGTCTCCTCAAGCGAAGATCCCCAGCCCCCTGGCGGTAGGCTATATTTAGGTCCATCCACGAGGTCCCTACTCTCTTCGGGTGGCCCCTCCTACCGTGGGACACTCTTGAGAATGCTTCGGCGACGTGATATGGTCCTGCGTGGGATGCCTCGCCGGCGTGGCAGCCGCGATATGGTATAGTAATGGCAGCATAAGGGACAAGCACAAACATCCAAGAGATAGCTCGTGCAAGCGTTAAAGACGACACTGCATCGCCAAGGAAAACGGCCGGACAGCTGTGAGGTCCGCGGAAGTTTTAGAGACTGCAACAGCGCTAAGCCCCGGATTGATCTCCAGGCACTGACTTCTATACGAACCCAAGTAGTGCCGCTGCCGAGGGATCGCAGCCGGAGCCTCCTTGAGGTCTTTGTTGCAGCAAATCGTTGAATGCCATTCTGGTCTGAAGAGTCACAGCATCCGCGGAAGGAAGGAAGCCGTCTTGTGAGATCATCCAGGTGCTGATGCTGGTTCCGAGAGCATTATTGATGAGGTTGCGACAAGCTTGCATGGTACACGGAAGTCACGGGAAAAGAAAAGACATTGTATGCCTGGCGCTCGGGCAATTCCCAGTCAGCCTTGATCAAGAAGGATGCCGTGCGTCCCGCGAACATGATCGAGCGCCTCTGAGAACGAGAGGCAGGACTGAGGAGTGGAAATGGAAGCCACTGAAAATTCTGCGTCGATCTACAGAGGTCATCAGCTCAAACATTCAGCACTTCCACCCAATACAATACGCCGTCGCTGAGAGAGATCTAAACCTCTCGTCAACCAGCAATCACGAAGTTCATCGCGGTCACTACCTTGCTGTTCGCAGCTTGGTGGACGGTTCTGGACAACGGCATCGTGACATCACTTTTGGGCGTTGACTTGGTTCTCGCTCTGGCCATTGCTCGACGATGCTGCCGTGCTTTGAACAAGCTGCCCACCCGATCATGAGGCGACTCTCTATTCGTGCTGCTCGCACTGACCAGTCCTCTTCTTGTAGACATGGCTCGTTTGCGGCATTGTTGCCCCAATTCTCTCCTTGGTGCTTTGCCTATCCGGCTGGGTTGGAAGCATCTAGGAACGCTGCCGCCGCTTTCACTATGCTCTTTGCGCTTCGCGTCCTTGTCAGTCGCTTGGCCAATTTGGTCGTGGCTTGTAGTACTGCCATCGGAATCTTCGTTGTTTTGAGGTCTTGGTGAACGCCGGTTGCCCGATCTCTATGAAGCCCGCTCTGTCGCAATTACCAGTACTTCTATTGGGCTCGCTCGTCGCTCGTTATGGTCTTTTCAGTCGCGTATCCTCGGTCCGTTCGTGCGTGCGGCACTGCACTCAAATCTTTCTTTGCGCAAGCTTCTCGGAGGAGGGTAGCATTGGAGAATGGTTGATCGCGTTGGGTGAAGTTCGTTGCGGCGAGATCGTAAAGATTCGACGCAATGTGTCGAAGAGGAAGTCGAACGGCACCAGCGGCTTGAGAAAAGGAGCCGCGCGGTCTCGCTGCCAGGTGCAGTCTAGATCTCGCGCGTGTCGCGTCTCAACACTCCTGCGTAGGACAGTAGGATCAGCCATGCCGATTGCTTCTAGGGGTGACGCTGTAAGCGAGTGCTTTGGGTCCTTTACGTTGCTTCTGGGAGATGCATCGGGGGTTGGCCAGGGCTTTCTACGGTGGTAGTTCGCGAAGCGGAGTCTGCTATGCCCACATCGCGTCCGCGGGCCCACAACTTCAAAGCCCCATGTCGTCAACGACACCTGCCATTTCGTGCGGCGGACTCTGTCAGGCTTGTCAGTATTCTTCCGCCTCATCTCGTACCTGGCAGGTCACTCGTGAAGCACGGGAGCGATGCTGCAAGAGATCAGCCAGCTAACAGCGAAGCCCGTCTTGCCGCGGCCATGAGCTCCACGGCTCCCAGAGTCCATGTTGTCCACCACCCCTCCTGCCGCCGTGCGAGAGGTTGTTGTTGGGCCTGCCGGTATCCTTCCCCTTCTCCTCTTCCTGTCATATCCGCTGCCATACCATACGCTGGTTGTGGTGTTGTAATAGACGAGACCACAGAACGCGAAGTCCTCTTCATGGCCGTCGTGAGCTTGCTAGCTCCAGATATCCCGGCTTTGTGCCATGCCCTCATTTTCCGCGAGCGACGCTTCTAGAGGGCATGCCGTTATCGTTCTTCTCCTCATCGTACCTCGTATACCGTTCGTGAAGCCGCAGTGGTGGTGTTGTCGGGAAATCAGCCGACAAAGCTGGAGAGCCCACTCCATCGCCGCCACGAGCTTCACGGCTTCAACAACGCGTAACATCCACCATAAGCGTCGGCAATCATCGAGAAAGTGTTGAGGAGCTTACTGTGACCGGTCCGCATCTTTCGATAGCGGACGCGTACTTTGTCAGTTGTTGTTGCTCTCGCACCAATGGCCCCTGTCTGACGGCAAAGCCGGTCGCTGGAGCTTCAAGAATGCGTATCGTCCACCACAACCGTTAGAACCTGTTGCAAACGTGTCCTGAGAGCCTTCAGTATTCCATCTGTACCTCGTGAGCACCACATCGTAAATTATGAGGCGTTGTCACGGCTGCATCGCTTGTCTCCACCTGAAGCAAGCCGGCGTCGGCTTGCGAGCTTCACAGCTTCAAATCCCCATATCATCCGGCACAAATGTTACATCGTGTCGCAAAGGTGTTGAAAAGCCTACCGTGATCTATCCGCAGCTCGTGATACCCATATTGCATATTACAGCGCGTCGTCGTGGGTGTATCGTCGATGCGCGGCTGATGTCCGGCGGCGCCGGCAGTGCGGGCTTCAGCCTGTCCACGAGCTTCACAGCTTCAAAAATCTACACCGTCCGCCACAAACGTTAGTTTTTGTCGCAAAAAATTCGAGGTGTATCTCTGAATCTAGGTGAAGCTTCTCCGACCTATATCGCAACGATAAATGCCGTGGTGGTGGAGGTGACACGATCCGTGGCTGGAATCCAGACGCGTCGGCGGAGCCGGCTTCAGTCCATCCTTGGGCTTCACAGCCTCAAAATTCGATATCTTCCACGACACGGCCCTGATATCTTCGAAAAAATGATGAGCAGTATCACTTGACTTAGCTGAAGCTTCTCCAACCAAAATCGAAATGGCAGAGGGTGTGGTTGTGGAGATGAAACGATCCGCAGCAAAAGCCAGTTGATCCGGCTGCGCGAGCTTCGAGTGTCTTCGAAGTCGGCTTCAGT